AATTCGTAAAACTCGGACAACAATTCATCGTATATCTGTCGCTAACAGATAATCCTAGTGCCGTGCCCTCTCATCTCGCAAGCAATCCGTTCGACTACCCTTTCCTTGATTTAATAGGCTTGTTGCTATTCGTTCGTTTTTATCATCGCTGATAATAATTCATTTTCTTTGGCAACTAAAGGAGTCTAATCACGGTTAGAGATAGCCCCTAACTCGGGCAAGATATGAATACTAGTGCAGTTTCTCAGTCAGTCCACCCGTACAAAGTCAGGGAGTTTAGAAGTTCAACATACACCGCAGAGACCTCTATTAGCGTGATCATAGTACTTCCCAAGACTTGTAGCCGTTCGCCCAAAATTCGGGATTCGATGCCCTCCGGGTCATAAAAACCGTCCTAATCTAAGTAGTACAACGAGTCATTGAGTGGGTGTTTTCTTCTCTCTTCGAATTCCTCCTAGTATCTTGCACAGGCGGTTTAGTTGCTCTAAACTGCTGCTCGAAGTTGATGCTGAGCTTTAAGGCTGAGTTTGCAGGTACCTGGTTTGTTAAATGCTGCCGTAAAGGTTTCAAGGATATTGCCAAGATAAAAAGGCATTGAAGGGCTTTATTTTCGTGCTTAACCGATTCTAGTCGTCTCAGTAGAGCAATAGCGCTATCACGTGTTGCGATAGCCGCATCTACATTAGAGATATCCGCCTTTATAAATTCAGCTATAATAATTAAAAGCCTAGATAAATGTAAGATAACGCTTCTCAATAATCTGAGGTAGAATGTAGTATAGTACCTGAATAGAGTTCTTGACTTAGTCAGTTTTCTAATTAGGGTAGGGGGTCTGATACGGTAATTTGAGGGCTAGAATCCTTAACTTTATATCATCTTAATCTTCCATTTTTGGCACACTTTAGGGGCAGTAAAATAGCTCGACATCCTAGGAGCTCAAAAAATTCTGAGCAACTAAACCAAAGATAGCTTATAGCGTAGCAGAGTAGGACAGGGACCCCAGGTTCCCAGGAGCAATGTAATCGGAACAGTAATACTCGGTCCAAAAGAGATTGCAAGAATAGGATTCTGACACATGCACTCAGAGGTAGGACTTAGCACTCACGCATTAGACAGTTCTTCTCTAGCGGACGATTACTCAGGGCAAGCTATTCTAGTTTAGAGCAGACTCGTCCAAATGTATCAAGACTAATACTATCATGAGAGGCCCATAGTAGAGCCAGTAGACGAAGGGTTCCTAGGAGCATGTAGTCTAATTGATAGTGTGATTAACTAATAGGCTCCATTGTGATGCAATGAATAGCAGCAAGCGTCCAGGACGGAATATCAAATTGTTGATGCCAGTGCTTTTCTGATTTTGTGGATACGACTAGCATGTTCACGTTTTATTGAGTGCTGGTCAGGCCACGTGCTCAGTGAGTGGATCAGACCTGCTCAGCGAGCTGATCAGAGTGCTTACGTAATGCACTCTGGTCAGATCAGAGGGCTCAGAGACGTGCTCAGATCTACTCAGTGAGCAAAAGCGGCGAGAGTATGAGCACCAAAACGGAACGGGAAAGCCAAGACCTGGCATAGGAAATCCGGTCGGTAGAATCTAAGTAGTATAGTTCTTAAGACTCTAGTAAACCTTAAGATTTAAGATCGAGTATTTAGGTTAATAATAGATAATATATTAAATAATAAGATATTAACTTACTTAACTACTAATAACGATGACACGGTGAATGGGAGGCCAGAAACGGCCGCTTTTGACGCCGTTTTAGGCCGCTCGCTCACCGACGCGGTCTTGGCGTCACGTGTGCCAAAGCCCACGGTCGACCCTCAAGACGTCTTTCTGACCGCTTTCTAAGAACCCCCCCCCCCCAAAAACAGAGCCTCGGTTTCATCGACTGACTACCTATGATCACGAGCCCCAAAATCTATATAGTACAACGGTGGGTGGAGTGGCATTGGGATATGTCTGAATCTATCCAGCAGCGCTCATCCAAGCGTCAGCGTCCTAAAGTTCCTCTGGATCAACGCAAACGAATTGTTAAAGCCTGCACCTCTTGCCGTCTACGCAAGCGGCGATGCATACTGGGGTCTTTAGACAGATGTCGGAATTGTAGAAACAGCAACCTGACTTGCATCTTTGAGGAGGATCAGGATAGATCATCTCCATCGGCATCTCAGTAAGTATAGGAAACCACCTTTCCCTTTATTGTGATACGATCTAAATCCTCGCAGCCAAACTAGCATTGACCATAAGGATGTTGTGGCACGGTTTAACAAGTCATATCCAGAGATTGGTCTGAAAGCACACCATTCTTCTTTCCTCCTGGAGATACTTATGGACTCGGGCCTAAATTCTGGGGAGGAGGGGTCTTCAAAGAAGGGCTGTGCGTTTTGCCATACTGCTAGACACCCATCGCCTCATGGGTCTACACCCACCTCTGAAAACTCTCACCCCAAAGAGGAAGCGCGAACACCTAGTATGGCAAGGATTGGCTCAAAATTTGTACTCTCTCTGACTAACAACCTAGCTGAAGGTGATGATATGTTGGCGCATAGAGATTTTCTCGCGTATGCCACTGCAGCAGTTTCCCAATCTAAGAAACCGGAATTCACAGAGGATGCTGTATGTTATATGGCAATGGATTCCGTTCTGGAGGCCTTTTCTGACCGCTAATTGATTCTCTCAACCAGACTTCTTTTTACCCGACTGATGAACCATATTACGGAGATGTGGACGTCCTCATAGAACGGATATTGGAAGATTTTCCTTCTCGAGCCGGGGCCGAAGCTCTTATTTCAGCTTTCTTTTTTTACGCTGAGGCGAACTGGTACTATTTCGATGAACCCTCATTTAGAGACCAGTTATTCGGATTATACGATAGTGGGCTCTCACCGACTTTGACCAGTCCTAAGTTCATCTGTTTGGCCTTGGCAGTCTTCGCCATGGGAAGCCAGTTTGTTCATCTCTACCAGGCTGATCATCTGAACAATTCAGAAAACATGACTGCGGCCCAGATAGGAATTCCAGGGACGAGGTATTTCCAGCATGCGCAGAAACTTGTACCTCACATAGTAGCCTCTCCGTCCTTGGAAGGCCTGCTGAGCTGTCTACTACTTGCCTTATATGTTCTACCAATTCATAACACTAACACCTGCTACACCTATCTCGGTCTTTCATTACGCATCGCGATCTGCCTCGGCCTTCACCGAAAGTCAGCAAGCTCAGATCTATCCCCGACACTTTCAGAAGTCCGCAATCGTATTTTCTGGACTATATACAGTATTGAAAGGTATGAATCTTTGTCTAGTCCTTGAGTCTAAGTTTCCCCTTATTGAAATTCCAGACGGGTTGCTCTCTCTCTTGGCTACCCCGAGACGCTTCAGAGCAAGGATATCGACTGCCCTTTCCCCCGGAGACGGCCTGACCTGGATACTCTATTTTCATTCAGAGCTGAAAGACTGCTGGCATATACAAAATTAACTCTATTACTCAACCGGACAATTTGCTCAAGGTTAGAAGCGAATCATGATTTCGATGAAGGCAGCACACCCTACTCAAGTAGCGTACTAACTCTTTCAACAGGACCTTGGATAACTGTTCGAGAGATATCCGAAGTCAACTTTTGTCTTGGAAGGCGGCCCTACCAGCTCAATTGACAACACTGAATGATACCTCTTTGCGACTAAACGTCCATTTACAGCTTCACTACTCTATGGTATGGATCTATATCGGTCGCGCTGCCTTGATCGATAGGGTACGAAGCTTTCTTAGCAAGACAGAGTCCAGTAAAAGTGACTATGGGACCAGCAAGGAATGTCATAAATTATCAGATTCTTGCGTTGAACATGCTGCGCAGATAATTGACCTAATTGATCTGCTCAGAACTCGCGGGCAACTGGGTCGTTTTTCTCACACTGATTTCCATACCTGCAGTTCCGCAGCCGTTATCGTTCTCCTGGAAAGTATCCTGTACCCACGTCTCACATCATACTCGAAAGTCAGAATGGCAATGGATGCTTTGCGATACATGGCCACTGGCAGCGACTTTGCGAAAAATAGCCTTAAGTATGTCAACGACTTCCAGGTGGCTGTCAACAAGGCTTTGGCATCAATGTACCGCCGAGACCATGGAACATCCTGCTCTATGAGGGTCTCAGACTCACTAGGGTTTGGAGACTTGCCAAAAAGCCGAGACACTTTCATGCAATCATCAATGAAGCCTTTTCACCCGCCCGATTCGAACTCCTTGGAATCACATCCAGGGGCTGATACTGAAGACGGGGACCTCTCGTATCATCAATGTGACGAAGGAATGCCCAGAATGGCCTTCTTTGATGACATAGAGACTGCCCTTGAGAATTGTTCATTTACAGAATTGCACCTACTTGGGTTTGACAGTCTTTACTCGAGCCAGGTATTAAATTGGGACAACGTGGGTGCATAGTGAGCAGGCAGCACAGCGAATGGGCCACCTTCTACCACAACACCCCATTTTCAATCTTCCTTTGTAATTTCTCTGGCAAAATACAAGGAACCAACTAGCAATGAAAATAGAGTACTTTGTGCTATCCAGGCTCTTGAAAGAGCAACAATCTAAACATCCGATCAATTACCAAGATCTACAATGTTAAGTCGTACAACGCCACAGTCAAATCAACAGCGGACAATCTCGATGCGGCAAGACTGGACACAATGCACTTGCCTGTCACGAAATAAAAAGATGTCGGATGTATACAGTTTTGAGCAAATTCAGTGCATTATATGTATTGCGTTTAGATTATGATTGTGAATAACCGTACGCTGGTGGATATACGGCCTGTTCGCTAGGCTGGCCCGATCTCGATGCACACATTTTATCTGTTTCTAAACAGAAGTATATCCAGCTCAGTTTGAGAAACGTCATTTTCTTGATCACCTTAAACTACACTGATTGATATTTGTCTCCACATTTCATAATCCATATCCATTCGATACTTCGAACATGCTCAACGGGCAGCGAAATAGATCAAAGAGTGTATCGGAAATGCTTGTCTTGTTTGTCAGTCAAATCCTTTCCAGCTATGTCAGCCACATGCTCGGCGATATCCACCTCGACTATATATCGACGCTTGTTCTCGTAAACACACGAAAACCAATATACTGACACGGTTGGAATGAACACAATCCAGCTAACAAGAGCCAACACGAGGCCACTGCGATACCTGGGTGCATATTCAGTGTTCCAGAGCAATGGTCCACAAATGGCACCAACAGCGTAGCCAGCGAAAAATAGAGCATTAACAATAGATTTTTTTGTGTTTCCACGAATATTGGAGGCGTTTAAACTGAGCAAAATCGAGAAGATATTTGAGATGACAGAGGCCTATAGAAAGAAATGATGGAGTTAGCCAACCCTAGCAGGAAGCTTTAAGTCCTGTAATTTACATACCAACCATGATGCAACAATCATGCCCCAACCCGCTGACAAGGGAAGCACAAAGAGCAGAATAATTCCAGTGAGTGGGACTATTGTGAGCCCAATTGCAATGGCACACCGACGATTCGGCCATAGGTAGCAGAGAAAAATCCCGACCCATATGAAGATAATCTGAACTGCACCCGTGGGTGATGTGTACAGCATGGTTTCAAAATTAGAGTATCCCAGATAGTATATAATAAGTGAAGCAAACTGCCGTCCAAATGCTGTCAACAATTGTATACGATCCAGTTCCATTGAAGAAATGCACACTTACCGCAATAACTGGCGCAGGTAGTGTCATGAGGACACCAAACAGGAAGCTCAGATAGGTCCTGATATCTGTTACCGCTTCTTCCAATTGTGGAATGGAGAAATCTGTCTGGTCGCCCCCTTCAGTTTCTGTTTGCATTCTCTGTGTTGCTATCTGTCGCTCCTGAGGGTCGAGAAACCACGCTGTTTCGGGACCAGCTGGCATCAAGAAGAAAAATAGAATGCCAAGAAAGGCCGTAAGAGCACCACAGATGATGAACATAGCCTTCCATTGGGCAATGGCCATTTTCTGGTGACCGAGACCATACATCATCAAAGCGCCGACGATCTGAGCCAGCCCATTGCAGCTGATCCATAAACTAGATTTCCAGAATTGTTAGTCGGATAAGGGAAGGTTAACATTGGTTTCATGCAAGATTTCCTACCCAATGCGCAATGGATGCTCCTTCTTCTTATACCAAATACTGGTGAGAGTCACAAAGGCAGGCGAGACGGCACCTTCAGCCAATCCTAGGGCAAATCGAGCACCCATGAAGGAACGGAAAGTCGTTGCGGCTGCCAGACACTATTTACTCATATTCAATTAGTCCTAGAGCGCGTGTATGGGTCTACGTATGGATCTCACCATGCAGATGCCACCCCATAGGATCCTTGACTCAGTCAGTTTTTGCCGATGTTTGTATGGAAACTTCAAGCTTACACTATGACAGCAACAAATTTCGCAAGAGGCAAGCGGCTCATCAGGTACATGGCCGGGAACTCTGCCACCAGTTGCCCAACGTAAAAAATAGACCCCAACCAAGAGAACTGAGTTCCGTGAAGTTGTAACTCTTCCATCATCCCAAATACACCAGCATAACTGAGGCTCTGCTTGTCGAGGTCTAAAAGGCGGGACATCAGCAGGGCTCCCCGGGGAGGCAGTTTGGGTTCTTAGTCTTGTAAATTTAGACACCAAGGTATAAAACTACTTACACTGAGAGAAGAAGACTAAACACATCTTAGTATCTCACTGTTAGCATGGCGTTACTTATAATACCATGTAAAAGGCATGGTTGCTTACCAATGGCAGGACTACACAATCAATCTTCCTTCTCACGCGTTTTTCATCCTCAGGATCAATCAAGGCTGTTAACGTCCCCGATTGAAGACCAGCCTTTGACTCGTCTTCCTTCGGTATCATATCTGTGGTTTCGGTTTTTGCTTGGTTCTGCATGGTTAATTGACGGGCTCAATGATATTTTAAATTCGCAATATTTGAGGAACCAGCAAGATAAAGGGGCATGGTCATGTTCAACAGCTTTTATACATATCTACCTACCAAAACTAGCGTGTCTCCCCGGACCCCGCGTTCGGTATAATCCCAACTGTAAAGACCCGGCCTGTTGGCTGCGTGGGGTGCCAGTTCTATGGAAAAAAGGCTATCTGGGCCAATGATGGTTAAAATCGTAGAGCGCTGCTGGTTCAATTTCCCGATGACCAATAAAAGAGGATAGAATAGGCTCTATGCTAGATTGGCGTGGCATAAGGCTGCGGGTACTCGTACCCGCAGCCTCAAGCCAGTTGCCGCCGAAGGGATGTTGATATGCGGGAACTGTTCCCGCAGCTTCACCTTTTGCTGAAACGGCGATCCTTGGCACAGAGAATGCTTTCAGCTAGGCTAGTAATCTGTCTCTTGCTTAAGTAGTTGCTCCTCCCCAGCACTTCATGTTTCATTTGCGCTCACCTTATTGGAGATTACCTTTTCCTACAATTTCTTTACTTATCACGATCGCAAGCATGTCAGTTGCTCAGTCCGACCTTCAACATATTGTGAAGCCATGGATTCCAGGTCCACAGCGGACGTACATCTTTACATCTGCCAACCTAATCGACCCTGTCTCCGGAAAAGTCATCGAAAACGCCACCATAAAACTTTCCAATGGCTTTGTATCGTCGATTGATACCACGGGGAGAGAGGTTGTTGACAATGTTGACTGCAATGCTGTGCAGATCGATATGAAGGGTAAATACATCAGTCCGGGCCTGATTGACTGCCATGTCCACATATCTGCAGTCCCTGGATCATTGAACCTTCGGGACATGAAGGAAATGAGCAACAATCAGAGTGTTCTACGGCAACCGAGCGTTTGCAAGTCCATGTTGGACCGTGGGTTCACGACTGTGAGAGACTGCGGAGGGGCGTCTCTTGCACTGAAAGAATCAATCCAGGAAGGTGTCATCTCCGGTCCGAGGCTATTTATTGCTGGACATGCCCTCTCTCAGACAGGGGGCCATGGAGATCGTCGGCAACAACACGATCCTAACGAATGCTGTGCGGGGCATGTAAATGGAATTGGTCGCATAGTGGATGGGGTGGATCAGTGTCTGAAATATACCCGTGAGGAGCTGAGACAAGGCTCCGACTTTATCAAAATCATGGGAGGTGGTGGGGTTGCTAGTCCAACGGACCAGGTACAACACCTTCAATTCTCCGATGAGGAAATAAAAGCGATTGTCACAGTGGCCAACAATGCGGGGACATACGTTACCAGCCATGCGTATACGCCGCAAGCGATCCAGCAGGCCATTAGGCAGGGAGTCAAAGGGATTGAACATGGCAATCTCATCGATGAAAAAACGGCAATGATGATGAAGGACTACGGCGTCTTTCTTACCCCCACTTTGGTAACTTATGCGACCATGGCTGCTCCTGAGTTTAGCGGATTCCTTCCCTCGGTCTCTGCGAAGAAGAACCGCGAAGTCTTGGACAAAGGCTTGCATGGTCTGGGGCTCGCCAGTAAGGTTGGTGTGGATATCTGCTTTGGAACGGATCTATTAGGGCCCTTGCATTACGCCCAGAGTAAAGAGTTCGCCATTCGGAGCACTGTGCAGTCAACGTTGGAAATTCTTCGAAGCGCTACTACCACTCCTGCCCGGATGCTGGGACAGGATAGCTTCCTCGGTCAGGTTGCGCCTGGGTTTGCCGCTGACTTGCTCATCTTAAACGCGAACCCTTTGGATGATATCACTGTGTTTGATCGGCCTGATGACCATTTGCTGGCAACTATCAAGGAAGGTCGTGTCGTGACTTCACGTTGGAATGTATTGGAGGTCGAAGCAAGCCCTCTGCCAAAGATTGAATAAATCAACTGGATGAGGCAAATCAAGTCAAAAGAAAGTAGAAATGAAACCTTTGATTGTAAAAAATCTAAACCAGTTTGGCCTAATTAGTAGAGCTAAGATCCATCTTAGGACAAAGTCATTTGTTACAGAATCGCAATTCTCTTTTGATTTGCTTGCCGCGTCCGATAATAAAAGTCTGCCAGCGTAGAATTAGTAAGGGAAAGCTGTTTGACTTCCCAATTGCCAAGGTACTTCACGATGCCGAAGATTATTTGTGTAGGAATCAATTCCATATTGTTTAACCAATCGATTTCAGCCGTATTAGAATCTTTCTGGAGGTTCGGGAGGTGATGCTCGGGGACAGAAGGAAAGCGGGGGCAGAGAGGATGCGGATTCGGGCAGGCGGTGGGATGAGAGCCGTTTCTGGCCCCCGCTCACCGTGTCAAACAATACTAAGTCTTATCTAGTAATATAGCTATTATCTGAACTCTATATCTTATTTATATTATCTAGGGTAGACCCTCCACGAGGAACCCAATGTTTCAGGGTGTCCCAAAAACAAATGATACGTGATAGTTGGCAAGACAAGCATTGAAATTAAGCTATCGATGATCTCGAAAATCCGCCGATATTCTGGTCGAATCGAAACAGTGCGAGCGTCCACGCCGAGGATAGCCCGATGAAGCCCACTCTGCTAGGCAGCCGTAGATACAGACCACAGCAGACGATTCACTAGACGTTGCAAACGATAGTATGATAGATTCACGAGCTGTATATCAAAAATTCTTGAAGTTGGGAATTCCAGGGCCATGGTTGAGGGTTTTATTACAATCAATACTCAAGAAAGAGCACCTACATCCACGTTTGCCGCTGCTGATAGGCGTTATTCAACAGTGCCAACTTTATACACGTAATCTTTTCTGTGCATAGCTTCTGGAATCGAATTTCCGATTATTGTCTCTCGCTCTCAAACATACCGATGATTGTTTTATTCGCAACCTTGGTAGCGAGTTCCAGCAGTGCCCGGTCGAAACCCTCTTCATCCACTCTGGAGAGCACATCCTTATACAAGAGCATCCCAAAAATCCTGACAGGCTGGCCTTTAATTTCATATCTCGAGAAAATTAAGAGTTGTCTTTGAAATTTATCTAGCCGGGTAGTTGGGATGCTGATAGAATGGCGGGTTGAGACTCATCTTTGGATCCGGATTCATCATTTATACGCATTTCCGGATGGTGGATGGCTTTCAGTTCCTTTACTCCCTGTTCCCGGATGAGCCGAGTTATTATCCACAGCATAAGAAGGCTTTCAGTATTCCCATCTTTCTGCAGGTGACTCCGGTGTCCATTATGCTGCATAGGTACTGAGTGTAACAGATAAAGTCATGTGTATTATCGGGAATCATGTATATATGGAAAGTATGCAAACTCTCTAAAGCCCCTTGCCAAACAACTCCTCCCCCACCTCCTTAAGCAGCGGTTCCTTGTGCAAAGCCGGAATCCGAGCCTTAGCAGCAACAGTCTCTCTAACACTCATTGCACGACAAAGATCAATCAACATCCCCTCAACAGGCGCCTCATAAACAAACAGTCCAAGTGCAAACAAAAGACCATGTAGAGCCTCAGGACTCGAGTCCTCCCGCGAAACAGCCTCCAACAACGACGCTGTCAATTCGACCTGGTCTTCTTCCGGGAGCCGATCAGGATGTCCGTCGAAACGGGCATTATGATTGAATGCGGCGAGGTTGTATGCGAATGAAGCGGCGACCACGCGGAGGTTAGCGTGTGAGTCTAGAAGAGAGTTTGTTGCGAGTTGGAGGCAGGTTTCCCGAAGGAGGGAAGAGGGCGAGGCAAGTTGGTCTGGGTAGAGGGGGGTGCTGAAGAGGTTGCATGCGAGCTGAAGGGCGACGATGCGGAGGTTGTAGGGGCACGAGGAGAGATCTTCTTGGGAGAGGGGGCGAGGAGAGTGAGGAGGGTGGCATGGTTGGTTTCTTCGGCGAAGTAGCCGCTCACGCGGGGGTCAAGGAATAGGAGGCGGATCAGGTCGACGACAGCAAAGTGACTGTCGCTGGGAAGAGTGGTGTAGGTTGATTGCAAAGTCGTAGCGAAGGCGTGGAGATCGGGGACTCGAATATCTGCCGCGGGCGTGTTGCCGTTGCTCGTAGAATGACGAAGTTTGACGAATTCTATGACTGGTGCGACGCCCGAGGCCTCCTTGAATGCCGCTGGGAGTTTCTGCACGAGCTTTTCCAATGGTGGAACCTTCTTGTACATGACGAAGTTGGTAATGTTTCGCTGTAGACTTGGAAGGCGTAGGTTCCGGTGAGGATGAGGGGGATTTGCCTGCTCAAAAAGCATACGAACTCTGCCCTTGAGCTGGGCCGGATTGGCACCACTCCATTGATCTTGTTTCTGACCCTTGAGAAAGGTCATGAAGGTTGGCGTTGCGCGCACGTTATATTTCATGCTCACGTCGTAGGCTGAGCCGATATCCACCTTGATCAGCCTTCCGTGTTCACCGACTTCCTCTGCGAGCTCGTCATACGTTGGATAGACGATTTTGCAGGGCGGACACGTCGATGAAGTGAAGAAAATTACAGCGCAAGAGTTTGATGCAGCTCTTAATTCGCTCTCCAACTGGGACAAATTGCTGACGTTCCGAACTCTGCCAAGTATCGGTGGAGCCGGCCCCATTGATGGGGGCGCCGTAGGAGCCCGAGGAGGTATCGTTGCTGCGGGCTGGGCACTTGGCCCAGGAACGGGGCCCATGCCAGTGCCCTGTGTCACACCTTTGAGAGCGGCCTCGATTTGAGGCTTCATCATTTGACCAAAGGGGGTCTCCAAGAAGGTGCGAGGCAGATTTATGATATGCTCTGGGATACTTTTTCCCACAAGAAACATGGCAAAGTCTTGTGTAAAGTTATTGCAATTGTGAAGGAACAGATCGTAGGACTGCAACGTGTCAGATCCAGAGGATTATCACCCGAGTGGATTCTGGTGATGACAGACCTCTGGGGGATATATAGTGGCTAGGGAGCCAAGATATTCTTCAATGACCTCGCTGGGGAGTTCTGTCTTCCCCATATGGATCTTCTCCATCGGCTGTCCATGGTGAGTACTGCCAGGTGCGGCTGTCTGGATGCCTTGACCAAAGTAGTACTCAACTCCACTGATGACCAGCGAGGTGTGATAGATAGCATCTATCTGTGTACCTGTCAAAGGTTGCGAGTACTGATCACCATTTTCATGTAAGAACAGGCTTCTTCTTGGGCACTTGGTTGATTTCGCGACACGCGGGAAGATCACTTACCACTCGCGCAAGACCCTGTTGGACCATTTAGCCAGGCTGTGACCGATCAGAGTGAAGGGGGAACTTGCCTTGGATAGGTCATAGACGTAAAGATCAACATCCATGGTGACGGTGAGTGTTATTCAAGTTCGAGAATACCAGAACTGGTACGAGTCCCTGTGCTCGCCTTGATATGCGCCAGGGCTTGGGCAGGCACCAGGCGGATCACGTCAGCAGCACAAGCTCTTTCGGAAGCCTTCGACTAACTTCTTCTCTTTGAGCCTCGGAATTCATCAACGTTCACAGAAGTAGACTTGGAATGACCTTTCTCGTTGGATAGAGTAGTACGCATGGTCATTGGTCATTTAAGAAAAGAAATGCAAACCTCTGTGTTTCGAAAGTTAAGATTCTGTCTGTCGCGATAGCGAGTATAAAGCTAACCAACGTCATTGATCAGTGTCAGGATGTAGATAAAACAGTCTGCTCGCTTTGGATTTGTTGGCCGTTCCTAGGCAGGCCGTTAAATCTGCTCTGTAATTTCCATCGAATTCAATGTCTCTAGGCACCCAAAGTAGAAGGTGAAAGTTGTATCTAACCCATCAATGGCACTGTAGAAATCCCCAGCCAATCCGCGCCTCCGCACCTCCGCACCTCCCTAACTTTCGTGATCGTCATCTTGATCTCGCAGCTACAACTCCACCAAACCCAACACCCACAACCAGCTGCGCATCCCTCTCCTGGGCTAAGATCATGGTATTTACATCCACTACTACCTATTCTGAGAATCACAGAACCCCCGCGACTAACATTCTTCCCGCACAGCCGCCCAAGAGGCGCGGAGCACCCGCCAGCTCCTCCACCACCACCGCCCCGAGGCGCACGCGCTCCAAGCTCGCAAAAGAGAACGACATCACCGCCGAAGAAGAAAACGAAATTAAAGAAGTCTTCCAACTCTTCGCCGATGCGAACGAGGATTTCCCCGCCGAAAAAGACGGCGTCCTGCCGCGTGAGGACGTCCGCAAAGCCATGGTGTACGCTACATCCTACCGGCCTCTCTTAAACCTACTACAAGCATAATGCAATATACCCTCTGCGTATATACATTTACTAATCTCTTCCTACATGCAGAGCCCTCGGCGTCCCACCCACCGACTCCCCCGAACTCGCCGACATCCTCTCCGCCATCGACCCAACCTCCACCGGCTACGTCCCCTACAACGCCTTTGTCTCCGCCGTCGCAGCCAAGCTGCGCTCACAAGATGATGATGCCCGAGCCGCGGAGGTCGACACTGCATACCAGCTATTCACGCGGGGTTCAAACGGGCCGATCTCCTTGAGCCATTTGCGCCGCATTACCCGGGATCTGAAGGAGGATTCTGTCGATGATAATTTGCTCAAGGATATGATTCTCGAGGCGAATGGGGGTGCTGGGTTGAGTTCTGGTGTGACGCTGGAACAGTTTCATGATGTTATGGTTCGGGCGGGTGTTTTCAAGGTGTGAATTGGTGTCTGGCGTTTGGGCATGGCCAGGTGATGGATGAGGACCCTTTTTGTTAAAGGAGTCTTGTTTTTGTTCGTGTACATCGATGATAGGTGTATCTTGGGTTGCTTGAAATTTGTTTGGGTGTGATATATGGGCTATATGTGGCGTTGGTGACTCCGGGTTTGCGGCGTTGATACTTGCATAGCGCTGAAAATACATTCCTAATTTAATCGTTTACTCAATGTTTCGTGCACTTTAAAGCCAATAATAATAGTCAGAAGAGAGGAATTCTCTTCCGAGAGTCTATCTAAGTACGGGAGAAAAAAAACCTGGAGACATGGCCCATTGAATAACCGTTGTTGCATTGTAGATACATGCTGTCCTCTGTGCGAATCATGCGGAGTAGCGACAAAAAAAAAGGAGATTAAGTCTGGTAGTCGAGAAAGAAAAGGCTCCGGAGAGCAAGAACACACTCAAAAAAAAGCAAAAAAAAAGAAAGGGGAGGACAGCAGAAGATAAGACCCGCGCATCAACTATCAAATTCCTCCGAAAAGAACCCTGCAATCCGTGTCATGCCCAGGAGTGGTGGCGAAATAGAGAAGAAATCATGATGTGGTGAATGTTACATTTACTGGTAGCATGTTAGCACATGAAGCAGCGTCACAAATAGTCGAAATACTTACAGAGATCTCAGCCATGCCGGTGTCCTCACCGTTGGCGGCCTGAGGAGCAGCGCCGCTGGCAGGGGCAGCACCGGCGGCGGGGGCATTCTCGTTGCTGAAGTAGTCGACCATCTCGGCATCGAGCTCCTCAACGGTCTTGGGCTTACCACGGCCCGGGAGGCGGCCACGGCCACCACGAGCAGCACCACGGCCGCCGCGACCCTTGGCTTTGTTACTGGCGGGCTTAGGAGCGGTCGCAGGCTTGGGCTGGGACTTCTGACTGTCGAGGGGGTCAGGTTGGATACTTGAAGAACTGGCGACAGAGGAACGACTTACACAACACGTTCAGCCAGAGGCTTAGGGGCAGGAACGGGCGGGGCGTGGGAGGCGTCGAAGACGACTTCGATCTGTTTCAATTATCAGCATAAATTCAAAAGCTTCTGGAGCCACTGTCGGTCTCACCTTCATGGGGCGGCCGTCGACGTGGAGTCCATTGAGCTCCTTGGCAGCCTTCAGAGCAGTGTCGGCCTTGTTGAAGATGATCGAAGCAATGCCACGGCTGGTGCCGTTCTGGTTGTAGGTGAGCATCACCCTCTTGACGGGACCTGCGGATTTGGCAAAGTATTCCTATAGCGAGAACAGGGAGGATCAGTATTTTTGCCTGGAATCTCAAGCTGGAGTCAAATGTGGTCGGATGGTCGAGTGAAACAACGGCGACAGCGCGAAACCAAAACGAAGAGTAATCCGGGGGTGAATGAGCATCAGCGAGCACACAGCGGCGATAGAGCATCATGTCGAGTCAATCCTCCCCAAGCGTATACACCAGCACCATATGTAACAAATGCACAAAAGCATATCTAGCCTCGCCCACACCACTGTATCCGTTCCATCTTGCCGCAAGGTATCTCTCACAACAACATAATACACTTCTATTTTCCATGGACCACCAGGGTAGTGATAAGTCTTCGAACGAGGGAAAGGCAGGTCCGGAAAGCGTAGCTAATGCATGCCCACACATTTTGCATTGCAGCTGACACAGACACCCTTCAAGTTCTCGTAATCACTCTTGGGTGAGACGTTCTTGATGCCGATCACTCGGCCTCACTGGGACGGGGTATCACCCCCTGAAACAGTGAGTACCCCTCGGAAAATTGTCTCAAGGACGCGCCTTTGCGCGGATTCAAGTGGGTTTGCCTTAGAAACCCAAAGTCCACAAATTTGCTGATGCGCGCTCGCTGATGCTCGTCCGAAGCTCACAACACCAAAAAGGATATGGTTGAGAGAGGTCTCAAACATGTAATTGGGCCAGAGGTGTAATCTCAACCTCCGAGCCTTGGCTCCATACTGACAGAGTCACGCAGGTGAATCCCCTACAGCCGAGTAGGAATGGACACGAGCAGGGAACATCTCGTCACAATACAACGGCAGAGCTCAACTTCCCACTTCTGGAATGCCAGCCAGAGAGTGTTTTGTTTTCGCAGAAGCATAGGGAAGGAGCATCTTTGCCTGGGCCTCAAACACCGAGTGACTACCACACCAAGGATGGGGGTATGAGGAAGATGACAAGAGTCGTGAACGCGTGTCGACGTTGTTGGCACCTCGAGGGGTTCGAAACAAAGATGGCGATCAAAGCCAAGGCGTAAGCCTGTAGCTCAACATACCTTGATATTGCCCTCAGACACATCGGAAGGCTGGCAACGGAGTTAGTGGATGCGCGGTCGAAGGCCAGGCAGGTGAGAGGAAAGAGGAACTTACCAGTCCGCTCACGATGATCTTGCTGGAAGCAGTCGGGGCGACGGGGGTGGGGTGGACGACCTTGGCCGCAGCCTTGGTGGCCTTGGAAGCCTTGTGGACTCCCCCGACCGAAGCCTTTGCGGCACCACGGCGACCAGCACCGCGGCGGCGAGCGTTCTGGCGACGGTTGCCGACGAGATCGTCGAGAGACTTGTCGAGATTGGCAGACATTCTGGAAGAGCTTGTGTGGCTGGAAGAGATGAGCAAAGCTGGCGTTTTGCGATCACAAGCTGACAAGTCGCGAGAAGAACGCGTGGTCGATGGCTACGATATGCGCCACGAGTGGACAGTGTTGAGAGGTGAAGAAAGTGTCGTGATCGAAGTTGATCGAGAGGTTGTCCCAAGAAGAAGAAAGGGAAAACCAGGAGGTGACAGATGGGGGGGGAGTGATGAGGCGCGGGAAAGGATGGAAGCGGAGGGAAAGGGAGAGGAAGAGGCAGCGATGGGTCAGACCGGACTAGTCTGTTTTGGGAAGTCGGGCACCACCCGGGTTTTGCATGTTTGCATCGAGGCTCATGAATGAGATCGTTGTTCAATGTGCACTTTCCAAGGCAACAATACAATGAGACAATCCTGCCTCACGATGGTGCCTGCATGTCTTTCAGCCAAGCGTTTTACTTGTTGAATCATTGTTCGGGTACTGATGTTATACCAAAATTCAGCAGCGGCGAACACAGCCCCAGGCTACATCGCCCCCAATTTATAGCCTTCCGAGTCATGCAGGCTGCCTGCTGCAACCCGGGTCAACCTCAAGGACAAGCCCAATAGAATTTCATACAAACGGGGTAGAATTACTAGTTTCATTCTATGTAGGCCGCGCGAATAACGACTATGGAAATGACAGCCCGCCAACTCCGTCCCAAAAGCAGAAAGGCTCAATGCCAATAACAAAGGCCATATAATGTGGTTGCAGAATATAAATGACGCTTTCAAACAAGTTGCAGACATAAGACATGAACAGGTCAGCAAGATACACTAGCTCTTGAGAGCCTCCAGACGGTCGCGCATCTGCGAAAGTGTCGCCTCCTGGTCCTCGAACTCCTCCTCGGGCTCGGCGGCAACGGGAGTCTCGTCCACGGGCTGAGCAACAGGGTTGGCAGGGGCCTGTGAGAGCTTGCCCTGTAAGATCTCTTGCAGGATCTTGTCCACTTCCTCCTCAGCCTCGTCGAGTTCTTCTTCAAGTAACGAATCATCAGGCAAGGCCTCGTCCACGTATTCCTCGATAATTCCCGCTTTGACGAGCTCGGTCGAGAGCTGATGCATTGTAGAGGTAAGCTCCGGCATGCGTACCAACACGTTCACGTCTTTCATGATCGCCGTAGACTTTTGAAGACTGCCTTGGATCTTCCGAACCTGGAACGCTTCATTGACCTGCATGCCGACACTTTGTAGCTGAGCCCGGCTTGTAGAGAGGCGAGTGGCCTGTTTCCGAATTCGCACAAGCTCCCTCGCAAATGTCTTGGTCTCGCTCATCGCTTGTTTGGCTTGGGAGGGGTTGCGCTCTGCGCGCCGGGAGGCATTGATGATATACTGGCGAGTCTTGTTGTCTAAGGTTTTGAGTTGATTGAGGTCGCGATCAAGTTGTCGTGTATTTTGGCGAATGAGAGCATTACATTTCCTCATCTTAACATGACCAGTTAGCGGGGTCTTCCGTGGCTACACCTTGGTATTTGTCGAGGGCTGCATGGCTTACCTGGGCCTGAGGGTCTGGCCCAAAGAAGACAGCCTTGATAGTCTCCATAGTGACGAGAGTGACTGGAGTTCTGAAAGGACGAGAAATGGGTATTGAGGGCAATTCGGTGAGTTGGAGGCGCTGGGCAGAGGCTCAATCAAGAATCAGGATGAGGAGCGGTGTTGTAGATGAGACGAATGACAGCGCGCATTCTCCGAGTGACAGTAGGGAGGTGACAATAATATACTTATTTCAAACACGCTTGTGGAGTCCAGGATATAAGACAAGGTGCCCTAGAGACCCTGACTGCTCACTTGGGTCTTATCAGTATCGCGATGCCTGCTGCAAGAGGGGGGACTTTCGCTTAGTCAGGTCAGTGGCGTCCACCTCCTACTACTGCCACAACTGAACTGAACTGCGGTCCCTCCTTGCAGCCTCAGGCCACACACAGAACAAACCAGGCAAACCACGGGGTTCCAGTAGATTCTAACAGGTGAATGCGGTACAAGATGCTCCAGCCTGAGCTACTCCTCCTCTCCCTCCCCTGCCACACTATCTTCTTCATCGCTTTTTAAGCTTCTTCTCTTTACTCCATCTTCCACTCTTCCCGCTTTACCCCCCATTTCCCTTCACTATAGACACCATGGCCAACACCATCCACCCCGAAGGTAAGTTATGATCAGCTCGCCTTCCCCGCTCTGTCCCAAACGCCTGGTCATGCACATTTTGCAACGAACTGCGACGACATTTCCAGATGCTCTGGGTCCTGATAGACTATGACTTTGCTTCAATTCATACATGAAAGATTTTTGATGCACACCGCTAACCAGGGATGTTCCTTGATTTTCAGTTACATGGGCTCAGCGCTCCTCCGATTCCGACCCGGAGCGGAACTACCTCTACGTGAACCTCAAGACCCCCGACGTCCCCAGGGCTGATGCCAAGCTGAGCATCACTGCTTCCAATGTCTCTTTCACCGGCACTTCTGGCAAGGGTGTCACATACTCCGTCTCCCTGGACCTCTACGCCGAGATCGACCCCGAGAACAGCAAGGTCAACCACACCGACCGTGAGGTTGAGCTGGTCCTGCGCAAGAAGGAGCTCAAGCTCGAGTACTGGCCCCGTCTGCTGAAGGACTCTAAGAAGGTCCACTTCCTCAAGACTGACTTCGACAAGGTAAGCTTCGTCGTTCCTGTTACTCATTGCTGGTGGGGGCGGGACGAGAATGCGGCTCGCTAACTTGGATACAGTGGGTCGATGAGGATGAGCAGGATGAGGCTGCTGAGGATGACTATGCCAACAACTTCGGTGGCTTCGGCGGCGACGATGCCGGTGGCCTGAGCAACATCGACTTCTCCAAGCTCGGCGGCATGGGCGGTGCTGGTGGCATGCCCGACCTGGAGTGCTCTTGCTGGTGCTGCTGGCGGTGCTGAGGGCGCCGAGGGTGAGGAGGAGGACGACGTAAGTGATATCCCACCATCCTTACATACCATGCGGCCTTCATAGATGCGGTACTAACGTCGGACAACAGGATGACCTTCCCGAGCTCGAGGAGGCTGATGGCAAGTCCAAGATCCAGGAGGTTTCTTAAATATTGTGAACTGTTATTACCCTTTTCTACGGAATCTTTGATGACCAGAAATGAAAAATCTGGGTGCTGAGGCGCCTGCGGACCGGTGAGCCGGGGATCTACTGGATTTCTTTTTCCTGGGGAGTTCCCCTTTTGTCTGTAGAGCCAAGCACCACAGCCTGGCTTGTTGAGCCATTGCACCTCGTTGAAATGCTTTTTAAGACACGAGGTATAATTTTAGGGAACCCTTTGACGAATGAAAGCAGTGGCCATGAACCTTACTTGGATCGCAGTAGACAGTCAATAGCAGCCCTAGGGAATCCACGTAAAACTTTGTCTCGAACGGGAGGTAGGATATGTAGCGTAGACCTAGACCGGGTGGTTCGGCAACTTTTCCTCTATGAAATCACCGTTAGCGATTCCCAGATACTCCAAACATTCTTCCTCTATTGTTGACGCCATTTGTCCGGCCAACCTTATGCTGATCAGCCGCATGGCCAGCGGGAGGCCTTCTTAAGAGCCCAGCGATGACGCAAAGGGTCGCTCTCCAGCCGGACGCAGCACTCTAGCAGGCCGGGGCATGACATCTTGAAGGAATATTTCCAGACCACTTGACATCTAGAATAACTCGATATTCTCATCATCCGTACTGCGCTTCGCTCGATTCCTTATCCTATACCCAAGCCTACGCCCAGTTGTCGACCGTTTGGGTATACTCGGCGGGCAACGGGCGGTCATTGGCTGATCAAAGATTGTGCCGCCACACTCACCCCTCGAATTTGTGGAGGGCTTCATCTTTCAACTCTTTCACTCTCCGTCCTACCTTTTCAACTTCCGACCTATTTTCCTCCTCCCCTCTTCGAGATACCCCCGTCTACCATCCGGGAATTCCCTGTCTCTCTTTCAGGTTGCATTGGCGTTTTTTTCTCTCGCCTTGACTCGACTATCCCTGCGATCGGGCACATCTCACATTTTTATCCCACCTCGAGCCTGTCCGGCGTGACCTACCACACCCGCCAACATGCCGCCCAAAAAGCCCGATGCGGTTAAGAAGAAGAAGGCCACTGTCGATGACAAGGTATGTCATATCCTATGCCGAAAGACTCTACAATTGCTCGGCCTGCTAACCTTCCAATTCTCCCCATAGACATTTGGCATGAAGAATGTACGTCTATTCCTGGAACGCCCTCACGCGCACCGGAAATCACCCCGCCTCCAAAACGACAATCACTAATCTCGACCAACAGAAAAAAGGCGGTGCCGCCAAGAAACAGATTCAGCAAATGCAGGCCATGGCTAAATCCAACAAGGATCCCGAAGCCAAGCGCAAGGAAGCTGAGAAGGAAAAGCGCGAGGCCGAGAAGAAGGCCGAGGAGTTGGCCAAGAAGGAGGCCGCAGAGCTGTTCAAGCCCGTTCAGGCACAGAAGGTTCCCTTCGGTGTCGACCCGAAGACCGTGCTGTGCATGTTCCACAAGAAGGGCGGTTGTGAGAAGGGCAAGAAGTGCAAGTTCAGTCACGATTTGAACATTGAGCGCAAGGCGGCCAAGAAGGATCTTTACACCGACTCGCGTGACGCTGACGAAGATGGCGAGGAAAAGAAGAAGGCCGATACTATGGATAACTGGGACGAGGAGAAGCTGCGCAGTGTTGTGCTCAGCAAGCAAGGTAACCCACGGACGACGACCGATAAGGTCTGCAAGTACTTTATTGAGGCAGTGGAGAACCAGAAGTATGGTTGGTTCTGGGTCTGTCCAAACGGAGGCGATAAGTGCATGTATAAGCACAGCTTGCCCCCAGGGTATGTGGTTATCTCAAATGCTCATTGTATCTGGTTTATATACTAATAACTTGAACAGATTCATCCTGAAGACCAAGGAGCAGAGGGCAGCTGAAAAGGCCCTCATGGACAAGTCGCCATTGAACACCCTTACCCTGGAAGATTGGCTGGAGTCGGAGCGGCACAAGCTGACCGGTACCTTGACGCCGGTGAACCCAGAGACATTCGCCAAATGGAAGAAGGAGCGCCTGGACAAGAAGGCCGCCGAGGTGGAGGCACAGAAGGCCAAGGAGGCTACTGGTCGTGCGATGTTCGAGAGTGGAGACTGGAAAGCTGAGGAGGAAGATAGCAGCGATGAAGAGGATGAGGGCGAGGACGAGGACGACGCCTGGAACTTGGCCGCCCTGCGGAGAGAGACTGAGAGGCTAAGTGAGCAAAAGGAGCAAGAGCGATTGGCCAAGCTCACCGGATTGGAAGTCCCCCAATCAAGTGATGATGCTATTGCGCAGGAGGTTGCTGGTTGAGCGCTTAAACGCTCCCGCGAAGATTGTTTCGTGGGTCTCTAGGATCTGTTTCCTTTTGGGTCTTCCAGGAATCGACTTCACTGGTATGATTCCTCTCTCTAATGGGTTCAGATATCCAGCGACGAGTGATCGCTGTCATGGCGTGTCGCCCGATCCTGCATCTTGAGATGTACGGACGGACGCTCGCCCTGAGTGACCTCGTTGTATTCTCAGAGACCCGACCCACTGTCTGGTTCGATTCTCTTCTACATCCGGGTATTTGATAGACCTGGATTGTGGATAGAGAAGATGGAGTAGCTGTTGGTAGAAGGCGGCAGGGTCTGAGAGGATCCTGTGTTCATGAGACGGAAGATTTAACGACTGATATCATTATATGGCAGCCTGCTTTTGGTAGCAAAAAGTTCGTTCATTCCCAGTATTTTTCAATCTCAATAGGATATGATTCCCACCAACTTCCAACTCATGACCTATCTATGCACCCCACTTGTGCCCCGAGTTTCTAGCAAGGTTTACAGAGCCACTAGACCAGTACTACATTCTCTGGGGAGTGCTTACAATGCGACTAGTGGAAAGTATTTCCGACTTCAATTGTCATACCCATGATCGACATTCCGTTCTATTTCCTTGCGGGTCTAACCAGTATTCGCCCTCTACTTCCTCATCTCCTACTCCTCAACCCTATTTACCTTCATATCCAATCGCTGCAGGCTTATCATTCGCACTCTCATCACTGTCAAATTTCTCACCCGAGTCCTCATGGATAACAGACTCGCGCCGAACGCTCTCCCGACGAATAGCCTCTTCGAGGTACTCCGGCTTAAGCTGTCCGTGCTTATCATAGCGATATGGCTCCTTGATAGAGATTCCAACAACGTCGAAGATGTTGGACGACTTCTTGAAGATGGCATCCATCTCCTCCAGGGAACGGTAGCGTGTTTCGGGGAAGAAGAAGTATACAGCGGGGAACATGAAGAAGTTACTGTGATTGAGTTAGTCACGTTATGGCTAAGGTCTGGAGAGAGGGTGGTGGAATGGGGGGTATCTTACATGACGGCAAAAATGATATAGGTTTTATACTTGATGCTGTCGAACGCGACAGGAGTGACCATCACGACCATGAAGTTGAAGATCCAGTTTGCACTAGCGAGAAATTCGTTAGATCCCACCCAGAAGATTCCGCGGACTACATTTGGACTAACCTAGTCGCCAGCGCATTTGTTGGAGCACGAATACGCAGTGGCACGATCTCTGCAGGATACAGCCATGTCATACCAAGCCAGCCAATGGCGAAGAAGGTGTTGAAGACGAAAAGAAAAACTGCTTGGCCAACACCAGCACCGCTCTCATTGTAGTGGATCAAGCGATAGTTAGTACCGGCTAGAATGGCCATAGAGATTGACATGCCAGCAGCCTAAGATGGTCAAATTATGGTCAGCTCTCTCGATACGAAGCGAGCCAGAGGGGTAGATCACATACTCCGAAAAGCATCAAGGGCCGACGTCCGACTTTCTCAATGATAAAGATGGGGATAAAAGAGGCCATGAAGTACTCTGTGCCGTTGCAAGCAGCCAACAGCTTGGGTAGATTGCCTTCTCCAAGGCCAATTTGCTTGTACAGCGAGGGTGCCTTAATGCAATTGATTAGCTTCAGTATAGAAAGGGTAGTCAGTCAACGAGCTACTAACGTAGTACGTGATCAGGTTGATTCCAGAGATTTGCTGGAACATCTGGTTGACGTAGGCAAGTACCACACGATGGAACTCACGGTACTCGCTCATCTTGAACAAGCTCCTGAACGAGCCCTTGTTCATTTCCTTGACCGTTTCGCGGATGGCGATGAGCTCATTCACGATGTAGGGATCGTCTCGTGGTTTCTCGTTCAAAGCTTCAAGGATTTCTAGAGCTTCGTCTTCTCGATTTTGCATCACAAGCCAACGGGGAGATTCGGGAAGGTGGAGGATAGAGAAGAAAATCACCACGGCGAAAAGGATTTGGAAAGCCAAAGGGAAACGCCATGCAACTTCCAATTCTCCGATAAAGGAAAAGCCTGTTTCAATTGATCAGTCTTGGCTCTTATATCTCTTAAGGGGAACATCTTTCTTACCGTAGTTGATCCAGTAGCTAAGGCAAATGCCTCCTGTAATAAGCGAACCCTCGATCATCACCATCTTGCCACGATCATGTGCCTTTGACGACTCCGACTGCCATGTTGGAACAGTACTCGTGTTCAAGCCATTACCAATACCTGTAACAATACGAGCGATAATGAACTGGGGCAATTGAAAAGAAGTAGATTGGAGCAATGCCCCAGTAGCCATAGTTATGCAGCCGCAAAGAATAGTCTTGCGTCGACCGAGCGGATTACCGATGAAGATACATAAGATGGAACCGACAAAGCATCCTAAATTGTAGGATGCAACGGCAATACCTTGGTTCGTAGCACGTTGAGATCGCACGGCATCTGAGACCGTCTGGTCCAAGTTGTCGATATCAGGAAAGTACTTGATGAAGGACGGCAGGTCTAGCAGACCACCCGTGATACCTTGATCATAACCGAAAAGCCTTTGGTATATAGAAGTTAGCTATGGGTGTTGGCACTATAAGCGCCACAACCCGCGCCAAGGAAGAATAATAGAGAGCCTCATACAAGAAATCAAGACTACCGAGGGAACTGATGGCCAAATTTAGAGACCGGCCCCGGAAGCCAAAGAACCTCGGAATACCAAACATCACGTCCCAGCAGCGTAAGAAGTGAAAATCGATCGCAACATCGAAACCAAAAGGAAATAGGGCATGATATTTAACTGCTTATATAGCACCCACACTTCCCCAGTCTATCTTCGGATTAACAGAAAGGGTAACCCGGGCTGTCCAGCTTCTACGGGGGACCAGGTATGGGGTCGGCCAAGGTACGGGGAAAGACGTGTGTGGCGGGGATAGAAGGACTCGGGCAATTCCAAGGTAAGTACGATTTGGGGGCGGCTCGTCGGCCAGATTGTAATAGGTTACATGACTCTTAACGACGCACGAAACGCTTGGCAAATCGTCCGGGATAAGTGAGTGGTACTATAGCATTGCTTGGCGGGCGTGTGGAATATCTTGGCAGCGGCATGGCACTTCTTGGCGTCTGCCTCAAAGGAACGGGCTAATGCACTGGCCTTTTTGGATTTTGATTCCGTACTTTGCCGAAAGGGTCCCACTGAGCAGGAGGAGTCCGAGATTACCATTGTTAAATCTCCACTTGTGCCATCGCTTGCGGTGGTGATACCATTCCGGGGAACAAATCTGGAGAAACCTTGTGGGTCTAAGCATCCAACGTTGGCCCAACGCCCTCGATCGAAAGGGAAATCCCATGTTGGATATTCTAGATTTGAGAAGTATGGCTAGAATTGGCACCTCGAGTTCAATGTTAGAACAAGATAAACATATTGGTAAATATGCGCCAAACCGCCATGCCGCACATGGATCCGAGCGAATGAGCCAGCCAAGACGTTACAATGCAAAGCCCCGGCAAGCCTCTCCTCAATCAGACACATGAGAGGCCGTGCAAAGAACGCCTTTTCTTGGCTTTCTCAGGGTGGCTTGCCTTGGCTGATCTCACAGAATCTGAGAACCAGGCAAAACACGACCAAGCACGACCCAGCAAGACTGCTTCGCGTAGTGAAGTATACTTACCCGGACGGACATTGGAGGGCCATATCCACTTCCGGTATAGCTGGTGGGCGAAATGAACAAATCAAAGACCATGTGCGAACTTGAGAGCCCTATCCATTAGGAAACACTCCGAGGTTATCAAACGTTTCCGAGAATCAGCCCATGCTGAAATTTACCTTGCGAGCTTCAGATGAGGCTGAGCTCGAGTATCCTTGCGAAAGCTGCGACGCAAAGACAAGGGTCTCTAGAAACAGGAAGTTGTCTTGAGATTGTTAATAATGCCTTCGGTTTTCTATTCCATCCAACATGTATGCAAAGCACGCTGGGATGCATGGGATCTCTTAGTCGTGTCACTTATTCAAGAAAGCTTGAGGTCCCATCTTGATTGCGATGAGATCTTCATTGCAAGTGGATTTTTGTCATGTTGTAGGCTGAGTTGACACCATTTCTTGAAGCCCTCTTGACAGCGGTAGATGATTAACAGTCAATTCGTAACAAGCTTTAGTCTTTCAGCCAATGCCGACAGTACAGCCACGCTTTGCGCTTCTTTCAGCCAAAGCGCTTGGCCCCAAAAAAAGGTGAAGTGTATGTGTCTTGTACGTTCTAAGCTATTCATGATTGGCTCTTGTTCGTTCAATTATCACCTTTGACCCAACTTGAACGCTACCATAGTGTTCTTGATATAATTAATTAACTATGTAGTGGTTTTCTCCTCTCGCATAAGTTCACGACAGAGCTACAGTAGCTTGATTAGTAGATGTTTGAAAGGACCACGAGTTGCACAACGATTCTGAATATGGAGATATTTGGCCAAGAGGGAATGCTACTGAAGCGAGCACACCCGCAGGATGACTTTAAGAATATAAGGTCGTGAATTTCCTAAGAATACTTGTTCTACCAAAGGGTCTCATGGACCAGTATGAATGTACGCCGCCCAGAACAACGCACTAGAACCCGATGCTCTCAGATCCACGATCGCCTTTCGCAGCGCTCTCGCCGAATTAGACGGATTGAAATGTCCTCCAATCTCCCCCAGGGCTCTGTAGAATCGCACAGCCATCTCAGAGCTAAAAATATCGTCCACACGCCAAAGACTCGCAACCACATGAGGTACCCCAGCCATTTGAAGCCCAACAGCTAGATGAAGTCCTTCGTCACGAAATTTGGATTTGTTCGACGCGCCCTGGCATGAAGACAGATACACCAGTTGACAGGGTAGATCACCTTGCTGCAGAAGGGATTTCACATCAAGCGGGCTGGAGAACCAATCTGTAAGGCGAAGTGTGCTCCTCGCGGGATCGACTTCAGTGCAGATACCGTGGCACGCGAAATGGGCATATTTAACCCGCTTGAGACAGTCCAAGACAGCATCCCGTTCCGGACTCTTCAGCAAGTCACTTGCCTCGCCGTGGCTGTTGAGTATCTCTTGAACGCTGGTCACCTCGTGCACAGAATTCAGGAAATCTGAGTGTTCATTCATCCCGGGAGTTCTCTCCATTGATATCAAGAGCCCTCGCTTGGCGTCTTGTGGTTGATCATCATCTTGTTGAGTTGGGTGTAACCGGCTGCGGGTATAACCGAGTGCGCGAAGACTGTTGATATAGGATGGAACAGTCCTATCGAGAAGGTTGCAAAGTGGACCTTTCTTTGGACTTCCTGCGGCATGGAGAGGAAACTTGCCGATCCGACCCGCTGTGATCCACCAAGATCGAGGCAGATCATTTCCTGTAGTCAATACCCCGTCAAACCCGAGATGATGCAGGATTGGCTCCGCAATAGTGTCCCAGAGCCACTCCAAGACTTGCTCCAACTTCCTGGTCGCGGCAGGAAGATCAGTGCTCATAAGAGAAAGTGCTTCATCATACCACTGCTCCATTTCTCCCATCATCTGAGTGTCTAGCAACGGAAGAGAGAGTGGTTCGACTCCATTCGCAGTCACAATGATGGCATCGCTGCGAAAGACACTCTCATTGACCATGATAATGGGCCCGTCTTGCGCGTATTCAATAAAGTTAGGCGTGTCGTCTGGTAAGCGAAGAAACTCCTCTAATTCAGAGTTCGCTCGTAGTTCGTGAAAAAGTTGTTTGGACTCCACAATTTGGAGATAAACCTTATGCACATGCATGATCATCTCGCACAAAGACCCTGGCGGAAGCGCCGTCATGTCTAGGGTCTCAGAAGCCCCGAGGGGGTTCTGAATCCGATCCAACTTGACACACAGCGTTGGGAAGTTCTCGCCAGCTTTCTCTTGGGATATCAGCCGCTTGGATAGAGCACAGTCCCACATAACGCTGCGCACTTTGTCGAAAAGCTGGAGAGCGTGGGATGGCATATCTCCCGCCGCCAGCGAAAAAGCGATTATGAACCTTGGTAAAGCGATGAAGTCTCCAAGGTTCTTAACAATGTCTTTGCGGTCGAAACTGACCAGCATAGCCCTAGGTAGAATATCCGCGGCCGTGCGGATCATGTCACGAGCAGCCGTCGGGTCCTTGGTCACAGTAAATTGCGCCATGGCTGCGTGGATATAGAAGCTGACCAGCGTGAAACCTGAGAATGCTCTCAGATTACGCGGAATTGTTTGGCTGACACGTACGTATATTTTCCCATAATCGGATGCCGCTTCGCAACCGGAATCTTGCCAACAATCGAAGATCAACTTCGCGAAACTCAAAATGATTCCATCAGTTAGTACGATTAGATTGTTTTCTGGTACCGACTCCAAGTAATAAAGAGTGGCTCTTATCTGGGCCAGAGCAGCTTCTTCGTCTTCATGGCTTTTGGTCGCCTTGGCTTTGTATCTCAGCACCAGGCTCAAATGAAACAAAACCACCATGCGGCAGGCAGCAGCTTTGCATTCACTTGCGAGAGAGCTACGGAAATATTCCGCAGCGTTTTCCAGGTCAGTAGGCTCTTCATTCTTTGCATAAGATAGTAGAAACGCCCGCCCAAGATTGCTGTGCATTTCGCACATGTTTGCTGGTGCCAGATTGAGATCGCATGAAAGCAGTTCATGCAAGATTGTCTGGGATTGCTTGATGTCGGCCATTTCCATGATAAGTTTGAATCTTTGCTGATAGGCCAAGGCGAGAATGTCCGCTCGATAAATATACTGCAAGGTATTTTTCCGAGTCTGTCGAAGGCAGTGCTCGTAATAAAGGATCGCGTTGTCAATATCTTCTTGTTGCTGAGTGATCTCAAATTGTTCCATGAGAGCCATGCCCAATCCGGCCATCGATATCTGAAAGAACGATGTCAGATATGGATTTGGGTTCTCTTTCAGATACTGAAGAGTCAATTGGTACTGGTAAATGGCCTTCGAGAGGTCAGCCACGAGTAGAGTTGTCCTGAACTTCCAATGATATGCGCTGCCGAGGTCATAGTGTATTGCGTAATTCTTGTCCTTGTGGTCGACATTCTTCGCCAGGGCTTTTCGATACCAGCCGATTGCATGGTCAAGATGTTGAGACCGGCCTGTCTTTTTGTAATACTCATAGAAGATCTTTCCGACGACGCTGAGACATTCTGCTCTTAGAGGAGCCGAAATAGTCTTGAAAAAGTACACGCGCGCGACTGCTGACTGGGCCTTGGTCAGGTCGTATTTCCATCCGAGGGCGATAAACCGGCATAAGTGACACTGAGACAGCTTCAGCAAAGTGCCTGCATGGTCTTCCTCTAGCTGATGCGGTCGGTCGGCCAATGTACGGTATCTCAGTATGGCGTCGTTGAGGACTTCGACTCTGTTTGTTCTCTGGAATAGCCGCAAGAGCGCCATGCAATAGGCATTGCAGAGGGCGTTGCTAGGTTCTGTAGTAGCATGACAAGCCTTGTCCAGAACTTTGGCCGCCTCAGCAAGCATCGCGTCGGAGTCGGTGTATTCGGCGAAGATGCGCAGATGATTCCCAAGACTCTCCATGGTAAGCAATGAGTTCGGCATCAGTTGTAGAGCTCGCCTGAGTGAGTCTATCGCCATATTGGCATCCTCAACATTACCGTTCTTTTCAAATTGGAGTGCGGCCACCCGGCCCTGGTCTCGACAGGCGTAAAACATGTCTGATAGTGTAAGTCGCGGCACTGCCATGGCCAATCCGAACACTTTCCTGGCATATTCCAGGTCCAAGTCGTCTTGAGTGACCTCATAGCGCTCCCAAAGGGCGGATCCGAAGTACCACCAGATGCAGCTGACAGAAATCCGATAGTCGATAGGTCGAATCCCAGGTCTGTGGTTGATTATAGCCACCTTGAGCTTGTTAATATACCTGCGTAACGTCTCGGCCTTGTCGATGTTCTCGAATTCGTCTTTGAATCGGATCAATCGTGCCCATCCGAATAGGAAGACCAATTGTCCGGCTGGTTGCAGGTTGAAAGCCTGTTGAAAGCATGCTTCCGCTTCCGCGTAGTCGCCTGCATCATGCTGTCGTGCATATCTCTCCGACAGCTGATCCGCCAGGTCGTAGATATGGAGTGCACGATTGGTCCCCTGAATAGGACCCAACTCCACAGCCTTGCGGCAGTAGTATATGGAATCGTCAAGTAGGTTGTCGTCTGATCGCGTTCTCTGCCAGTCAACGAGCACACACCGGGCGAAGGAGTTGAGAATGATTCCACGCAGGGGGTTCTCAGCCTCAAGCGAGACATGGTAAGCCGCAAGCGAGCCAATGGTGACGGCAATCCTCAACCGATATTCGTCTTTCGTCCAAAAATAGGTCCTTAGTGATGCTTCGCTTTCCTCACGCAGGAGGCTCGGTCGTACAAATGGCGGGTGCTCTTCGTAGATCCGGAGAATTCGCATCAACTCCTCCACAGCAAACTGAGCCAAGAAGTTGGGTTGACGAAAGTAAGCCCCATCCCGCATAATGTGGACATTGCGGGGGGAAGCATCAATCAACGTCTGAAGCTGTTGACGCAGGTCCTCCATTGTCGAGGTAGTTGACGAAGTTTCCGACATAGTAACATTCAGAGTCTGGGGAAGCCAAAGTGGCTAAAGCATGAGTATAACATGGAACTTGGTATTTGGTATACTTGGTCAACACATAAACAGCGAAATTGACAATGATTGTTTACGGGTCTCCCTCGCACTTTCCAACCAGCAAGTCAGTCTTACTTCATGGGAAAGGGCGATATCCGACTTGGGCAGGATCCTGTCGGTTCCCGATTGGGATATAAGAGATGTCTGCCTGTCAGTCATTGTCATTGCGCTCCTTTTAGTTCCTGCCAATGGCGGAGGATGAGGGACAGTAGTGGTCAACTTAGCAATACTCCTGGCCTTCCAGCGCAAAGTGGCCCACTTTATATGGGCAAGAATTATGCACGGACCACTTGCATAGTAAATCGATGCCCCAGGAAAAGTTTTTGGACACTTTAAGGAATGCACACGAATTTCACACCCAAAAGAGGTCGGAGAGTATATATAGAGGTAGTGGGTCACAACCATAGAACCAAATATCCACAAGGCGGAAATGCTACCAATGCTAATGCAATTATTTACAAAGTTGCTTTGGCTTGGACCCGCAGGAGTCCACTCTCCAGCATCAGCGCAGTCACATCCTCTGCAACCCCCCGCGACAGTTCGAACCCACGTCCACCAGCACCATAGGCATGGACAATGCTCTTCCCATCCTCGACTTGCTCCACCTCGAGCCGCATCCCGCCTTCACGAGCGGGTCGACGCCCCACGATGTCTCGGATAACATCGAATTGGCCCCCGCTTTCGGGGGTGAAGGGGAACCATTTCGAGGCGTTGGCGAGGAGTTGGGCTCGAATTTCTGGAGAAGGGTTCGGGTCCCAGTCGTGGGGTTGCTTGGTCCCGCCGATGACTGTGCCACCCTCTAGTGGGCGCGGGATACAGAAGGACCAGGCCCCGTCTGCATTCTGGCGGGTGATTGTTGCGGAAACGGGGTTGCGAACCAGGCAGGTTTGGCCTTGTTCGAATATTAGCAAGAGGCTCATAGTTCTCATAGTACCAGTAGAATGGATAGATGAGAGACTTACCTCGAATAATGAAAGATTTTGGGTCGCCGAATCCTGTCCCAGAGCAATTCACCACCGTCTTCACATTATTGGCGAGAGCAAATGCCTCTTTACTATTCACGAGGGTGTATTGTTGGGTCCTTCCTCCCTTCAAGATGAACCTGCGCAGCATGTATGCGCAATATACAGGAGAATTGATCACGTAAGTACCATATTCGGCTCCCCATTTGACGCCAGCGGGGACCTCGTCATCTTTCAACGAACGAAAGTCCTCGAAATGATAGACATTGGACACGCTCTGCGCGTCCAAGTATTCCGGCGGCGGTGTCTCCAGGTGCTCAATGCCTTGGAGGAATTTAATGCCGGCCGCTGGCTCGCCGGCAGCGACTTGTTTCAGGTAATTGAACGTCCGAAGGGCCTGACTAGCTTCTCGCAATGCCTGTGGTGAAGATCCAGGTACTGGGCGATAGTGCGCTCCGGCCCATGGGGAGGCGTAATTGATGGAGGTGTCCGAGGGGAAGTCCCTGGCCACGAGAAGCACGGATTGCGTGCTACCCGACTGCTCTTGGATTAACAGGGCGGTGGAGAGGCCAATCACACCTGCTCTATTCACATTGTTAGACGTTGGGTCGACTATAGTGCAGTAGGTCGATTTCCAACTCTGCTGACTTCCGAGGTCGGTAGTGTACTCACCCTATCACAACGATGGTTTCGGCACTGGCCATGACTGAGGATTAACCCCAAGGACGACGGATGAGACCAGATATTGTGAATGATGAAATTTCCAAGCGTTCCGTGAGCCTCTTTAAGAATGTTGGGTCGGGGTGAGGCTCTGCTGCACCGAGGTGTCGTGAGTCAAGAGTTAACCCGGGCAAACGACAAGACCCCGCAGACAGTAACCGACCTCTGTGGCTGAGAGCGAACATCGCTTGAGATGACCAGATTTGGGTGGTGTTTGCCGCAAAAGACGAAAGTTGTGGAGGCTGAATCAGTAGAGTTATAGTTGTCGATTAGGTATCTGCCTTATGTCAAAGATATAGTTAACTCAATAAGCTATAGATCTGTAAGCTGTCTTCAAAGATGTTGATCGGCTGCGAGTCTCCTTCGAGCTCGGCCCAATAGCAGCTTCGCCGACCGCCGGCCCGCTCTCGGATCTCTCTTCCGTCATTCTCATTCTCGCGATGCTCCTTACCTCAGCGGATCAGCACCCACACCTCCTTCTCCGCACAGCAAGATACAGATACACACGGTACAGTACATTGTTTGTGCAACTCCTGCATTCGGCAACTGCCGTCATCCAAGCTCGATTGGAAACCTCGATATGTAAACCCTGCCCGCCCACTGCTGCTATCACAGAGGGCCCAAGCTCCTGCGAAGAACGCCCGATCTATTTGCTTGGTGTGCATGAAAGCGACCCCCGCTTGAAGCATCATCCACAAGTCACATCACAAACCTTTTAAAACCATCCGGATTCGGAGAGCGTTGCCTTGCGATCCACGGAGAGCCAAAGAAAACAGAAGCAAATTTACAGACTGGCCAATTCAAGGCCACCGATACCTATGAAACTCGGAGACTCGAGCGGCCTCCTAATTCTCCGTTCTGCAACGGCCCTTCACGGTCTCCTATAGGCCCCCTAGCTGGCCTCATCAGGGACCATTGCCTCACTACCTTCTGTTTCCCTATTTCTCTAGTCTCCCTCCTGTCCCGGTCGAAGTGTGATATCTTGCACTTCTGGGATCTTATTGGCTGCACCGATGTGCTAGAGGCGCCGTGCGATCAGCAGTAACGAAGGATGATTGGCGGGCGAGGTGACGAAAGGTGCAGATTTACACTCCTACTCATCAGCACGGATCCCCATCACATCGTGTCTCAGAACACAACATGCTTTGCGACTCGACCGTTCACGGTTTCCTGCAGCCTTTCGGCCCAGAGGACCCTCGTGGAAGCAAGTCACTTTTTTAATGCCTTTGCCTTGCGGGCCACGGATAGGCCATCCCATTTATGGATTTAAATCGTCAAGAATTACAGTTTCTGGGTGCTTAGTACTGCTGGTGCACTGATGATCTCTCTATACATAACAACCACAACTTCTGTATACTAACCGGATCTCAGAGAGACCAACGGACAACCCGACCATGGATCGACGTCCCATTTCTCCGCTTTACGCTGATTTTCTTCTCCAGATGCGCCCGCCTAGCAGAGACCCACATCTATTTTGGCGGGCCTTGAGCATAATGATGGTTTTCCCTCTGTGATTCGGGAGCCTCCTGCATTGATCTAAGCCCGTAACTTCTTCTACGCCCGCGTTTCTGCATGCTCGTTGGTGCAAGCCCGTACGACCAGAGCCACGCCTCCCCCAGCCACCAAAAAGGCTCGATCTCACCGTCTCCGCTAATGATATGATGCTCTGCTGGCCTCCGATCCTGCAATTCTGGGAACACGGGGCGGTGGAGTACTTGATTACTCCCTTCCTGCACATTGTGTGGTCGGTCGTGAAATGAAGCGCCCTGCTGCTTTTGCCTTCTGCTAGCCCGGCGTCAACACCGATTGCTCCATGGCTCGAAATTACTTTGATCGGTGGTCTGCGCCCCGTCTCCTTTTTTGGGGGTGTTCTGCGACTTTAGCAACCTCTCAACCAGTAGACTACTAGACCGTTTCTCCCCCTTGTCCTGCAGGAGTCAAGTGCATATCCATATCCTGACTAGGAGAAACAGGGTAGCGCTTGCTTTTATATTTGGCGTATAGATATACATATGGCGCCGAGGGCCCCTTCACACCCCTGCTACTACCCACCCCGCGTCCTGTCACAAACTCAAGCCCCTCCACCACGCTAAAGCTTTGGGATGTGATGAACGTGGACAAGCGAGCTCTGTTTTCCCAAAATACATCCCTGTCATCTTTCTGCGTCTCTGATATTTTCGTTTTGCACCTTTTCCCACATCTAATATTCAACTACCCTCTGATCGGTCCGCAAAACGACTGCGCCAGTCTCGTCAACCCGCATACAGTCGTTCCCGGACCGTCTGCTGATAGTCACGATTATAAACTTGGGCCTGCAATAATACTGCGTCGCTTCTTGCAGCCCCGCTGCATCGCTTTGCTGGCTAGCCTGTAAGGCACTAACCTCTCGGAGTTTCCCCATCCCAAATGCCTGGCGCTACCCTGTCGCTTTGCATTCTCTTGCCTTGAGCGGTACTCAGGGTCGTGAACCGATTACTAACCTACCCCCTGGTTCAAGTCGATCAGGTCAGTAAATGTTTGTTCTTTCTTACATTATACCCGGTTCTGGTGGTCTCTGTGGAAAAAGTTCCAGGGCATCTTAGCTCTTCGTGGAGGCGTGAGATCCGGCAAGCAAGCGGTGCGGAGAAGGAGTCCCTTTGGCTCACCACTCCAATTCCGGCCTCGGCAAGACAAATTGATCGTGTAGAACAAAAAAAGCACAAACGATGTCAGCTAACATAATGTGGAACAGGAGTTTGGTGCCAGAATCGCGACCCTCGAAGTCCGTCAAAGCAATGGCACCACAGTCGCAGGTCCCGGAGTCCCGCTTCGAGCCCAGCTCTTCCACGGCGTCCTTATTCCTCTATGCCCAGGGTGCGGTGATTCTATGCTTGCACCATGATACTTTGGCCGTGGAACGGCGCTTTACCAGCCATCAGGATAATATTGACTTCATTTCGGTGGATAATGTGAGCGAGCGCGGTGCGGGGAGGCTGGTTGTCAGCTACGACGTGGGCCAAACTGCAATTGTCTGGGATATTTTTACCGGCACAGAGATCGCGCGATTTGCGTCGTTCGAACATTTGAGAGTCGCGTCGTGGATGCGCAATGGAAATGTTGCATTTGGTATGTAGGAATATCCAGAAGGACTTGGAGTATCAGGTTGATCACTGACGGAGTTACTATCTAGGTAATGGCAAAGGCGAAGTAATTCTTTTCGAACCTCCAACATCAGAGCATATCTCTGCGCGCACAATATTCGACCCAATTACAGCTCTTGCGCCGGCAACAGACTGTCGCACATATGCGATTGGGTAAGTGTCAACCCGTGAGCGGGCAATGGACGTTAACCAGACTAATTGTATTTCACAGTTACCAGAATGGATCAATATTGATCGCTAACCTCCTTCCTCAATTTACTATTCTCCACACATTAACTACTTCTCGTGGACCATCACCGATCCTCTCGCTAGCATGGCATGCCTCGTCATCGAAGCAGAAATCGGACATGTTGGCAACGCAGGCTTCCAATGGCGATCTACGAGTTTGGAGTGTAGCGAAACCACCAGGAAAAGAGCCACCCCGAGTTATTCGCGTGTTGAAGAGGTCCGACTCGACGTCTGCGGATCCAAAATGGATGGCCTGGTCAAAGAACGGAAGAATTGTGCAGTATCTGGAAGGGTAGGTGATGGCGGGATTTGAGATACGACAAAACTTTAACTAATCTTGATATGTACAGGGAAACATGGTCTTGGGATGTTCGGACAAAGCACGTAACGTATGAGCCAATTCCTACAATTCAGGGTGTACGAGGCATGGCGAGCTATGGCCCGACAGCAACTCTGTTCACAATTGGTCCTCAAGATACAGTACAACAATACGACCTGGAAACTTCAGCCATGGTGGCCAATGTTCAACATCTTGCCATTGGATCCCGCTCAACGGCGTCTGAAGGAAGCCGATCACGAACCATGTCTCCACGTCACCTTCAAGATCCCCCTGAAATTCGAGAAAAGGGAACCGGGAGGCGGACTCCATTCGACACAAATGGCGTGGAAAGTGCAAAACAAGCAAGAGCGGATCTTATCAGCCCCGCGTCTTCAAGAAGCCGGACAGAATCAGTCAGCTCAAAAGCTTCATCTGGAAAATACAAGGTGGACCGGCCATTTTCACCACCGAGTCGATCTGCGCAGACTGGGACGTCCTTCTCTATGGGCGACCGGGATACCCCACAACCCCCGGCTTCCTACGCTTACGCATCGTCCATATCGATGTCGTCGGCCAAAAGCTCCCGCGCTGCATCTCGACTTCGAAATGAGGTCCATTTGAGTCCTGCTGAGCGAAACATAGTCGATCTTTTCCCGTTTACCCGGGCGCGATTAAACGATGTACCATATAGACAGACGCCGCCTCTTGACGAGACCCATCTAACCCCAGATGATCTACGACAGCAGATGCTCAGTGTTGTGTTTGGATGGGATGGTGATATTCAAGATCTGCTGAGAGACGAGTGTATGTCTTTACTAACTGTATTTTATGTTGATGCCGCTAACAAATTTCTTAGTGAGTCGCCACAAGGAAGGAAGCCAGAGCGCTATTCTACTAACACGATGGCTGAATGAGAATGACTCTGATCAAATGGCAGCAATGCTCGGGCCCCGCCAAGTGACGATAACGGATTGGATGATATTAGCGCTCAGTCAGATGAGCGGGCAGACCCAGGCAAACAAGGTTGGACAAGCATTTGTTCAGAAATTGCTTGAGATTGGAGATATTCACACGGCAGCTTCCATTCTGCTTGGAATCGGGGATTGCAATGATGCAATTGAGGTTTACGTTTCTCGAAATCATTTCATGGAAGCCATTCTCATGACCTGTCTCCTGATGCCTACGGATTGGCAGCGCCAGTCCTATCTCGTCCGTCGCTGGGGAGAACATGTCGTCTCTCATTCGCAGCAACAGCTTGCCATCCGCTGTTTTATGTGCACTGGGGCTGAACCTACCGAACCTTGGACGTCCCCAGCCGCTCAACAGGCCGCCTCTTTCGCGGAAATGATTCGAGGAAAGTCACCATTGGCGTCTCCCGAGCCTACACAACCTCTCGGTCCTAGTTTCATGTCGCCTTTAAACCGGCCAAAGTCTGGGTCAAGCCAACGGCCAGCTGGAAAGACCCCCGCACTGAAGCTCATTACGTCCTTTGATAATCAACCGAACCAGCGTTTCCGATTCCCGGGATTAAAATCAGACGATCGCACGCCAACTAATGCCCCTGGTGTTACTCCAATCGCAGAGTCTGCCGTTGCTGACTCGGCGTTGTCTCCTGGCGGCTTTGGATCGTACAAGCTCAACAATATCCAGAGTCTAAGCCAAGCGATGACTTCTCGAACAAATACGCCTGCCTTCAATCGTCGTCGCTTACCCTCAATCGGAGAGACCCCGGTAGACGTACACCCTCCAGCATTTTCACGATCTCAATCCCACAGCACAAGCAATTACGGGTCGACGTCGGAGAACGACGATGCGAGCGGGAATGAGCCCAGTCAGGATGAACAGGCGGCAGATAGTAGTCTATTGACATTGTCTTCGGCCCGGTATAACCCGCCTCAGGAACGCCAATCCCACAAGCCCAGTCCTCAGACCGCCGTCCAGGCCCCAGATCACTTTGCCGCTCTCAAGGGACTGCCATCTCCAGCGCCAGGCTTCATCGAAGCGCTAAGAGAGCATTCTGATATCCGAAATGGCTCACGGGACCGAAAACCCGACGGACTACAGATTGACCTTGTGCAGACAGAAGAGGCTCCGCTTGACCCCCAAGGCCTTTTGCCTAGCGGAAACAGTACAACTTCCACGCTGAACAGCTACAACTCAGCCAAGAGCCCGAGTGTTCGCAGTATCGACCAGTATATCAGCAGTCTGGACGAGGCAAACTATCACGCCAGAAAACAAAATGGTCGTCGTACACCTGGTCGAGGTCGGCGAAATACCGATGATACCAGTAACCAACAAGGTTCTCGCATACATACTTCCCGCGAGGTATCTCAGGAAACTCGTGGCCGCAATGAGAGGCGATATATCCAGCCTGCTAAACGATCCCCTTCGTCGCCGGTTCCAATGTCGCCTGAGGAGTTAGCTCGATACCACAAGGGAGAAGCTGAAAGGCCAAGGGAATCGGAATCGCGCAAGAAGGGATCCTCTCGCGCTAGAAGCGGAAGCAAGATGAAGAAGGCCGGGTCGCGAAGTCGCCAGCGTTCGTCTAGCCGACACGCAGCAAGCCATCTTGGAGGAGAAAGACCAGACGCCACTTCTCGGGGTCGCAGTGTTGACCGTATAGGATCTGCTGTCCGCTCACCATCATCACCATTGCCCATGTCACTGCCCGCTCAAGATAACCCGAAGCCGAATGATGGTGATGATCCACTCCGGCTTGTTTCTGGAGACCGAGAACGTCTGCGCTCCCGTCACCGTAGTGCCAGCCGTCGTCGAGCAGAGCGAGGAGCCAGTTCGAAGCGAGAAGGATCTCCAGAGTCCAAGCATCGGCCATCTCACAGTGTACCCGATGTTCCACAGGCCGCCCCCGAGTCGGATATTTCTGCTCAGGCCAGTGGGCTTGAGCAATTGAGTGTTAAAGTCTTCGCTCAGGAGAATCTTTTCCTCACTGGAAGTACCTATAAACCGGAGCCAGTATCTGATGATGCTCAAGAGACGGTATCTCCAACGACGCCTTTCGTGAGCTTGGCCGAGAAGAAGAGGAGAGAGCTTGCGGCTGCTGAACTCGAGGCTCGTCGTCTTTCTCTTGCTCGCAATCCGTCTGCACCAAATATCCCGTTCCCAGGCGAACTGCATAACGCCCGAAGCCCGGTGGAAAGCCCCCCGCAGGTCTCGGGATCATACTTCCCACGGGTTCCGTCTCGAAACAAGATCCCTCCCAGCAAGAACTCTCCAGAATACCAGAGCAGCTCCGACTCTGGCTCTTCTCGGTCTGGTGTTCCCTTAGGGCTCCCTGCGACACCCAGGGCAATGAGGCACCCCAAGTACGGTGCCAATGGTCATGAAGTGGAGCGACCTCCTTCGGTACCTACAATCCCTACAGACTATTACAACGGCCTTCTCCTCTCCGACGCACGGTATCAAGGTGAAGCCGAGAGAATCGGACGCTCTATGTCAGTCCCCGTGGTAGAGGCCCAAGCCAACAATGCCTCTGTTCCGTCCGATATCCCGATGCATCCAAGGTTCAATCCCCATCTCCCACGAAGCCGCTCAAGCAGCCGCAGCCGAAACATGAGCCATCGACGCACCAGCTCTGGCGGTTATGTCTCGGGTACATCTCCGCACGTAACGATTAGCATTGAGGAGACCATCGAGAATGCAATGCAACGAAGACCCTCTGGCGTGCAAGTTGAAATGATTCCACCTCCTCCACCACCACCTATCCTCCCAGAGCTGCAGCACCTCAACACACCCCCGCCTCCACCCCCGATTCCACTCTCCACGGAGGCAGCTTCGCCTCGAGAGTCTTCGGCCACGATTGACATTGCCATCGACCATGTTAATATGGGTCGTCTGCTTCCTCGTGCTATGACAGCTGCCCCCGCCTTGAGTGGGCCTGATAGTCGTCAGAACGCGAGCCGGCGGATGTCCTTTGAGCACCGGCGGAATCGAAGCTCGAATGAAAGCTTTGCGAATAAATTGCGCAGTCTTACTCGAATGCGAAGTAATAGTCGCAGCGTGGAACCGTGGGGAAATACCGAGGCCGAATGGCCGTATGATACTATACCGGTGTCGAATGGTCAGACCAATGGGTCCTAAGAGTGTCCTCAGTCTCCTTCTTTTCCTGCTTCGTTTACCTGATTTGATTCACTGTCATTTCTTGGGGTTTATTTATTGCCCTCCCTCACTGTCCATTTTGTCTCTTATTTTCTGTGTTTCGTTCCATGATCTCTTGACGTTTCTGAGATTTAGCGGACTCCCCCAAGTTTTGCTCCCACTTACCCACCCGCTCTTGCTAGTATACCCCCCTTCCCTCGCTTCTCTTCTAGTCTTTTTTTTTTGCAGCATACTTTCTCAATTTTGCACCAATCTATACCATCACGTCGGCCGTATGCATCACACCAACCCTCTACTTGCTCAACCTTACGACTACCTCCTCCCCTATCAAGACTACCAGGCCCTGTCGATGGCGCATCTGCTTGCACTTTTGGTTCATTATTAAATTGTGCTTTCGTACCTAAACCAATCCGCCTGCAAAGGCTAATCAAGGTGTTCGGTGTTACTCGTCTCCAAGTCTTCAGAGTAGCGGGTCAATTCTTGATGCTAGTATTTGTAGGGCGTAGATGTTTATTGTACATGAGAAAAGCATAGATAGCCCTAATTGACACAATTACAATCACCAGCCCCGGCTCTGAGGCGTTCCACGATTGGATGCGTTTCTCTCAGCTTCCATCATGTGGTCAAAATCGGCCTGTGCCTGCTCCTTGTCGCGGTTTCTACTCGAGTCATACTGATCTCGATCACCGGCAGGCACATAAGTTGGTGAGTTAGGAGAATCCTGTTGCTGACCCCACTGTGGCCTGGGCTGCTGGGGCGGCGGAGCCCGAGAGCTTTGTCCTGCATTGTGTCGACGCAGGCGGTCCCAGGCACTCCCAGAGGGTGAGCCATCAGGGTTCGTGTACCTGTATTCCGGGGCTGTAGGGCTTGCATCGTCATCCTTGCCGCCGAAGAAGAAGTCGGAGTCCGCAGAGTCGCGGGATGATCCCTGCTGGGGTGCGGGCTGGCCACCGTAACCCCACGACCTGCGTGGGGCTTCCGCCACAGGGCGCTGCTGTGCAGCTGAGCCAGTCTGTTGGTCATTTTGAGACGTGCTGTATGCCGAGTCGCTACCCGAGGGCGTCGTTGCCGAGTTATCATACGCGTAGGAGTCTTGATCACTTTGCTCCGAGTGAGAACCAGGATGCTGCAATTCCTCAACGATATAACCCTCGATATCCTTCTCACCACCACGCATACGACGAATCCGTTCGCTGGCCGCTTTGAGCTTGCGCTGTCGTACCTCCTCCGGCTTTTGCCCTCTCATGTCCTCCACGAAGCCCCTCAATCGGGGATCCACAATCACGTTCGTGGTCTCTGAATAGAGGGCAGCAAAGCCAGACACGATTGCACCGGTTGTCGTGATGAATAGCATCTTGAAAGCGGATACCGCAATCATGGACCGGAATCCAGCTTTGTCGACATGGGCGAAGTTGCGTAGATAAGCATAAACGGAGGCTGGACTCGCGCTTGACGGTAGTCCCGCGTTCTTGCGTACTTTGTAGTAAAGATATGCCGTTCCAAGGAAGGACGACATAGGTACACCCATGCGCCGGTAGTACAGGGTCCGTGTCGAGTAGGTAGTGAACGCGTCCAACTCGTCCTGGGTAAGAGGGCGCCCTGTCAAAAGCCACGAGTTCTCCACCCGCTCCATCATGGTGTATGCCACGTTCCGCTGCCAATTCCTCTGTCCAAAGAATCCGAACATCATCGTGAAAAGGTCGGGCTTCACCACTAGCTCCGGCCTGACCTTCAAGTGGAAGTTGCCAGCCATTGCGGGATTGGGGCCAAGTGATTGTTCAGCTTGGGGGGTGGGTCGGGCATTGTTGTCGGGGTAGCCCCCAGCCTGCGGCGAGGCATTGTCGAGGACCATGACGACACTTCTCGATCGAGTTGTGGTTTGGAAGGAAGAAGCTTTGTGAAAGTTGAGCCCTCCCGATGTTGAGGTCGCGCAGCTCCAGTCGCATGACGTTACGTGCTGACTCAGCGGACTGATTACTAAGCGCTCCTGGTCAGGGAACGGCATCTGTCTGGTTTCATAGTTGTCGCTCGGGCGATATCTCTCGATATACGATTTAAAGCATTCTTCACAAGTTAAAACTCACAGAATTTCCCTGTAGTAAAATTCTGCGAAATAAATATGGGTTTACGCCAGCCACTGTAGCGCAGGGTGTTCCTTGTTCAAGCAGAACAAGACAGGGATAAGCGCAATAGATAGTCAACTTGTTTAGATGCTGAAACGACCGGAATATAAACGACAGACAGTATTCGCTCTGTTGAATCTGAGTCACATCATTGTAAAAATTTGATCAACAAGTAAGAACTCTTTCACTAGCTCGCTTTGTTGTCGCCAAAATCCTTAGGCAAGTCGGGACCCCATACAGACAGTGGCCCAACCGGTTCTCTGCGAGTCGGATTCTTTCGATTCACCACATCTCCATCGGCATAATGTTCAATCTTAAACTTGGAGCTGTCATACCAGTAATCGAAGATCTGGCTCCCCAGGATATGCCTTCCAACCCCCCAGACACTTTTCCAGCCCTTTTTGGCAAGATAGTGATGGCCCATCAACTGTGTATCAAAATCCGCAACCTCGAATGAAGTGTGGTGGACATACGTTTCACGAACTGTTGGCAAAGCACGCTGCAGAAAGAGCGTGTGGTGGTCTGTATACTCCTCGCCCAAGTCCAGATGCATGAACGTCATGACATCCACTTGAGAAAATTGGGGGTGGTATAAGATGTCGGAATGGACAAAATTGAAGTTACTGGTGTAGAAGTCCAGCTCTGATTCGAATTCCTTGCACACATATCCGTAATGACCTAGTTTGTGCACCAGAGCGGGGCCATCATGATATCTCTGGAACTGCCCTTTTCGCGGCTTTTCAAAGGGTGTATTGAACGGACCCTGAGAGTCGTGTGTGGCCGTTGGGACAACATTTTTGTCCAACTCACGTTCCGTCTGACCGTATACCACGTGAAAGTATGTTCCATTGGGGCGCGCAAACGTGATCATCTCGCCGCCACCGGGGGTATCATTCAATGTCTTGCGTGTAGCTCCTGGCAACTCTGCGGCCTTGTTGAAATTCTCCAAGTCTTGGGCGATAAAAGCAGCCCCCAAGAACCGTGATCTTCGTGTAGAGCTCTGATGAGCCACATAGATGTAAGGGTCTCTCCCATATCCGCGGTAGTAGATGGTTTTCCCCTTGCGCTGGGCCTCTATGAAGCCAAAATCCTGAGCAAACCTGCTGAATGCTTCCAGATCATGGTGCTCAAAATATACGTGCGCAATACGGCCCAGCTGAACCTTAAATGGGGCATTTTGGACAGTTGGGATGTTCGATGGCGGCAGTATCCAGTTCTGCCATTTTGTAGGGAGAAGTGCGATCGCGTCAAGAATCCAAAGGGACATTATTGCTTTATCTTTCTTTAATGGATGGTAGTTCGGGCTCTGCCCGCGGTATGAACGGGTGAATAGTAACAAATTATGGAAGTGCCGGAAACCGCGCCGTATTCTAATCTTTATAAAGCCCGACTGGTATGTGGCGTTCTGTATATGAGTCTTGTCAAGCCACTTATTCTCCGGAATACATCGGTCATTGGCATCAGCCATTCGGAAGATCTACGAACTCAATATCCAGACGTATTAATGAATCGGCGCTTACATTATAATACACTGCATTCAGTCTAGGTCCTTTAAGGAACTGTCTATCCCGCCATGATGGACTGGCTTTGTTCAGACCTGCGGTAGAACTGTCATAGCCGAGGTAATAACTTCTTTGATCGTGCTGGAAAGATTTAACGCAGTCTCTAATTGATGTTTTAAGCCCCAGGATGATCTGCGTTTCCCCATGATTTTCTTTTGGGGCAAGGGTTTCCAGTGGAACCCGTGAGGCAAGATCATCCGCGGAGGAACTTTTGGAGATGAACACCCCGACAGGCATACATCCCTGGACATGAATAAAATCTTTGCCTCTCTCCCAGATCTCATACTTGGAATTGTCCTCTTCAGTGTCTTTGAGGTTCCCAAAATTCTCACAATGGTCACGTTTAAATATCTCTTCCAATTTGAGACTGGCAATCAGGAGAAATTTTGGGCAAGAAGTGAATCGGCGGAGCCCGTCATCGGAGGATCGGTCACAGCATACCTAACTTTCGACGATGCAATAAACAACACACATTCAGGAACGGCAATCGTAGCAAAGGTATGACCACCATCATGCACATTACATCTCCAACTCGAGAGCTAATCTTGTTTTCGATAGCTACTCCCACCCTTGCCCAAAACTAATCTCCCGTTATACTGCGTTGGGCTCAATTATAGGAGCCATGCGAAAGAAGCCAGCGTATACTACTCAATCCGAACCTGCTAGCCATTTGTTCTCTAAAACTCGTTAGATCAATATTCCGGTCAACCCCCCGGTGTGGACAAAGCCTGCCGCAGCACTATCAGCTCCAAATGAGATAATTCCTGTCAGCCGATTTTGTGCCTCGCATCTTCCAGACTGGGAGGTAGGTTTGAATGTACCGATCGAGGATACCAGCCAAGTCATTGACAAAGCATTAACAGGGCGAACTAGTATTCATCACGGCTCGGGAGTGCCGAGATGTTTCCCCGGAGGAAGCGCCATCCTACATTCTTGGATACACGGTTGGCAATGACCTCTCGTGCCGATTCTTTCAACTCCCCGAACAGTCCGGCGGCCAGTTCTTCTACGCCAAGGCCTTCGACAAATTTGCTCCAATAGGACCAGTTCTTGCAAGCCCGGATACTTTCTACGAGACCAGATCAACGGCTAGTTTGGTGACCCGAATCAACGGAGAAGTGAAGCAAAATACAGTCATCCAAAATGACATGATCTTTACTCCTGAACATGTGTTGAGCTGGATGAGCCAAAGTGAGTTTAAGTTTCCTGCTCTGTTCGTTGCGCCAGCTTTATAGATTCTCACACCTATTGCAGGCACCACTATACCAGCATATACGGTGGTGATGACCGGAACTCCAGCGGGAGTCGGGATTTTCCAGAAGCCACGTCAACTGCTGAAAGATGGAGATGAAATCGAAATTGAGATCTCTGGACTGGGCACACTGAAGAATCAAGTCAGATTTGAGGAAGGCCAGGATTCTATCATGTAAGGATCTGCTCCTTCGTACCGAATGCTCAGGAAGACTCAAAACAGCGTGCCTGGGTCTGCGCTCTGGGCGATGAGGCTGAATACTGATCTAGATCCCATTGAAATGGTCACATAGGTTACTAGCTTGGAAGCTATTAAAGGCAAAATTCTGGTATAGAATTAGCCTTTGGCTTATATGACAACTCTTAGTATTAGATAACTAACTTTTGAGCAATCGTCCACTTTACGAATCAAACTTCAGCAAAGGATTTACTCATCTCTTTCAGTGACTCAAACCATCCATGTCAGAGTTAGAATAACGAATGGTGTGAGATTTGGCTTCAAGGCCTTTGTAAAAATTGGCCGGGAAGGCAGCGCATGAGGTGTGATATCAAGACTTCACAGGACCCGCTAGATTAAATACAGACTCTGACTCGTTCAGATTTGCTTTGGATGACTCTTCCAGGAGATGCTATTGACAGTCCGCAAGAATTGCGTTGGCCGATGAGAGAAATTGCAACCATCGAGGATGTAAGGGCGCTTCAAACCGCGACAGAATCACAGCAACATGGTGATGGGAAAGTGGGCCAGATACTGATTGGCTGAAGCTTTCGAAAGATACTATGTTTTCATTAGCTCTAACCGCCACCCAATAGAGTCCCCAAGAGGACATACAGTGAAGAAGCCTTGGTAACGTCCAAATCTTAGCAAAATGCTGCAGTTGAAGGTGCAGTATGGTGATATGATGATCGATATTGGGGTTTTGATTGTGCCCCACCGTATTGACAGTCTTTTTTTGGAGATCGAGGAAGATCAAAGCCGTGAAAATGGTGAATGAAATTGCCGGATCGACAGCAAGGCAAAATGAGCTATCCCATTGATCTGCGATAGATGCGATATCCTGACATGCTTCAAGAACATGCTGCCAGCTCATCAACCATTCATCGCCTTTTCTCAGACCAGGGTCTGCGATGGAGAGGAGTAATTGTGCCATTCGTAGATGAAGGACTGTGATTGTCCGTGCGTGGTGATCAATATGGGACTCGTTAGAGAATGCATTGCGCCTTGGGTTGAGCCAGCCGGGAGGGAGGGCTAGACGAATGGTAGCAAGCTGTCGCTCAACCTTTGCAATTTGTGCAACTATCCCCTCTTGTGATCGTAGTAAATTCAACCGCAGAACAAGCCCGGCCTGGCGCAGAGTAGCGATTGTAATGTTGTGAACGTTTCTCAATAACGTCTGTGGGATTTGAGACGCAGCAAGAAGCACTTTCGACAGATCTTCGAAGTTGGGAGGTAGATATAGTTCCAGAGAAGGGTCAGTAACATCAGATGACTGAGTTGTGTGGCTTTGAACAAATGAAGTACGTATGACGGTGTCATCAATCAGATATGGTGTCCCGGAAGAGAGATTAGAATAGGCGTCGAGACGATAGATACACCACCAGAGTGACCTCCATTCTTGGATATCCTCATGGCTAACGGTACTCCAGTCGGGATATAGCTTGCGAATAAGGTCTAGGCGGTCGAGACCAATGCGATAGGCCATGCGTGTGACTCTACCCACCCGCAGCCAAGACTGATGTCCCGGGAACTGATGGAATTCATAGAATGCCAGAAGATAGGTCTTTCGAAACTGATCGAGCGATGGAATATCTCCAATCAGATCGTCCTCCAATATACTTGAGCTAAGTAATTGATCCAGGCAGATGTCCAGATTGAGTGGGTCATCTTCGATTAAAGTAAACCCGGTAAGCTTTGCAGTAATGATCAATATTGTTGAAATTAGATCTTCACTGCATTGGGAGCTTCGATAGCGATGGAAGAATAGCTCTCTGGAGAAGATAGGATTCGCATCTTGAACAATATCGAAGTAACTCTCAAGGCTAAAACAGTCACATTGGTTCAAAATGGATTTTCTCAGATAAGAGTGGATAGTACGTACAGATACCCTGCCTGCTGGTGGGGAAAATGAAATTGGCTGGAAACTCGAGTGACGTTGGCTGGCGTCTGGGGAGTGGTGGCCACAGTAGTGGGTGAAGAGTCAAGTGGAGCTTGCAAGACATCACTTCCCAAGGCAGTGGTGGCTTCTTCACCGGACGGATCCTCCCTTGTGGAGTCGCTATGGCGCCTGTGGGCTGGATTTGTTGCTCCGTCCGTTAGAATAACATATTGAGACCAGACAAGAAAGGGTTAGTGAGGTTATTCACCTGAAGACCGACGTGACTTTGATGGATTGGATGTGTAGTGAGATCCGACTGGTGGGCCAGGTTTGCGCTTCATTGAAGTGTAACTGCATGTCTCTCCGAGCTCAAAGCAGCGAGAGCAAGTTGGCCGTGCCTGATTACCTGTTCCAATTAGCAGGCGGACTGGAGATTTGGGATTGCGACACCCGACACATACACTTAACCTTCTTGCTGCATTGTATCTTAGTAAGAGCCTCTAGCGTGAAGAGGGGATAACTTACCGAATGCACCTATCGCAGACTCTTAACGGCATCGGACTAGAATCAGTGTTGTAGACAGCAGTTGTGGGATGGTCCATTAGTGCTGGCTGGTAGGGGTAGGGGTGGCTTTGCACCGGAGGAACTTTGGTGGACTCGTCAGAAGCTCAATAAACACGTTCAACCTAGGAGGGAGCTAATTATGTGGTATTCAGAAGCTGGATCCGTTGCTCAGTTGAACTCCCCTCGAAGGAGTGCTAGCCTCATGTGCTAGTTGCTATTCCCGATCGAGTTGGGGAAGTCAGGTTACGTCAAAAGTTACCGGTGTATTTATGGGGCGAGAAATCGGGCTATGATTGGCCCATGATGAGTCTACTAGTTCCTCCGCGGAGAGACTTCTTTGCACTATGAGTCGGGCCGCTAAATCCTTAAATCCCATTTCTGCTAAGCTCATCACATATTAAGTAACTAAAGTCAGGCAGTAGAATCTCACAGAACAGAAATTCGGGACTAGTCGTACCACATTTTGTTTAAGAATTCGTTGGGTATTTACGTAGTAGTTCAGTTTATTGCAGGAATAAGTCCTCCTGGAAGTAGAGGAAGAACAAGCTAGATCGGTAGAGCTCTGCGTGTGAGCAGGCAAATGAGCTTGGACGAAACCAAATGAACAGTAGTCAGAGTCTTGATAGTGGAAGTACAAATATACCAGAATGTTTCATATTCGGGACCGCGGTTTCCGAGCTACGGGGCCAAGAACGAATAATTGTCAATTGTGACAAGTCTGGAATCTACAGCCTGAGTATATTAGCATTCTAATCCTGGACTTGGACGTATCGTAGGCTCATAAGACTACGCCTCCACAGCATATTGAGACTGCTGATGTGCGAAGGTGAGCTCCTACGATCAGTTTGTGTTGTCCCTTTTTCCGTCTTGCACAAGATCGAGTTTGAACTTTCGGTAGACAATCCAATTCTGCGCAGTTTAATTTTTGTTAGATGTGATTATACCTTCTATAACGGAGTGGCTTACTAGTAGGTGCAACGGCAGGAGAGTTGCAAGCAAGCGCAGAGACCGAGCCAGAGCCCCTTCCCATATCTCAGGGCTGACTCGTGGGCGCATCAACTTTGCGACCACCGATTCAGCATAAACCTCGGGTGACATGCCATTGATATTGCCACGATATTTGATATCCTCCACAGTACTCTGTATTGAAAGGTACAGAGATGTCTCCGGGGCGTGTAGTCCGTGGTGAAGAATGTTGCTTTTCACGAACCCGGTCACGATTTCGATCACCTCTATACCGAGCGGCTTAACCTCCTACTCATCGGTCAGATAATTGTGGAATATGGCAATACATGATGTTCTCACCAATCGAAGTGTCTTAGAATACTGACTAAGGGCAGCCTTGGATGCATTATATGCCCCTTGCCATACGACAGGAATGTCCCGCGTCACACTGCCAATCTGCACAATACGCCCACGAATTGAGCGGCGAAGCAGTGGCACAAAAACCTGACAGATGCGCATGACAGCAAAGACGTTGACTTGAAAGAGCTGGATGACTTCTTCCATCTGCACATCCATTGCGGTTGACGCGTAGTGTGTCCCCGCGTTGTTGACTAGGAAGTCCAAGCGGCCACCGGTACGCTTGGATACAGTTTCCTTAAGTTCGTCGATACTTGCGAGGTTGCCGAGCTCCAAGGGAAAAGCTTCGATGTTGTTGAACTTGCTTGTTAGTTCACTGAGGGATTCGGTGCGCCGTGCTGTGGCGAGAACCGTAACTCCCCTTTCTGCAAATGCGATCGCGAGCTTTTTTCCGATTCCACTGCTGCAGCCAGTGATGAGTGCAAAAGAAGTTGTTTTTGACATGATGAGTATGGAACATAAAAGCAAGCTACCGTCAATGTCCTAGTTATATGATAGGAATTCGATGGCTATAGGGATGAAGGAGCACACACAAGACATATGCCCGGATGTTATAAACATTCCCACGCTAATTCTCATAGCATACTTGGTCTTCACATTAGACATACATGATAATACGAGCCAGTAATAGTTACTCCGGCCGTCAATGACCCAGGTTAAAATAGGTTCCTGCAGTGATTATCCGATGGATCCTCGGGCTCGCTCGCTGATTGTGTTCTTTACACGTGAACTGATACCATCACTCCAGCAGAGGCAGCAGCGGGTACTAAGCAAATGATTACTCTTGCGAGAGTCTCGTCGCTACTGGTCTAAGATGACTTTGCCGTAGCCAGACAGGCCCCATCAAGTACCCAATATGAATGCCCGATGGATATTGATTCACCCTGTCCTATATATGACCAACAAAATGGGTTTGTACACGACAATGGTTTGTGGACTGAACAACGAACTATCATTTCTATGCTCTCATCGGATACAACCAGCTGATTATACCTTTCATCGGCTCTTCCTTTGTAACATAATCTAAAACTTGTCCCTTGCGAAATTCAGGCGCCATAACGTACCGCATAACTAGACTCTCCGTCCAGCTAGGAATGACCAAATACCGAGAGAGGACGTAGTACCACGTATTGTGCCAGGTATGCATACGGGTCTCGAATCCAGCATTCGTAACATCACTCTTTAGTGAGGATTCAGAGCTCATTCGAACTGCCTTGTACTTTTCGAAAACCTCTGTGAGGACACTGGCACTTGGGTTCCCGTTCGGAGCTGTCTTGACGGCCTTCCGAAGACCATTGCAGAGTACCACGACATCTTGAACGCCATTATTGAATCCGAGGCCCAGATGTGTGGTCATCTTGTGGCATGCATCACCCACGAGTACGACTCTCCCCAGGCTCCAGTGTTGCACGATTCCTTCGTCCAGGTTCGTTAAACCCGCGGCTGACACCCGTGGCCAAACGTCTTTCACCCTCACAGTCCTGGTTAGAGGAAATTCTAAGAACTCCTGCGCCACAGACTCGACGTCATTCTCGGTGTAGCCTGTGCGCTCTTGTGTGGGCTTTGGTAGCCTCTTATACAAGAAGAACCAGCCACGGTCCGCACTGCTGAAGTACATGATAGACTTGTCCTTTGACTGTATATCATATCCGAAGCCTGGTGGGGATGGTGATGGAAATGAGCCGTAAAGAAGCTGAAACGATGCTGCGTATGGTTGCTCAGAATCCCAGGACCTTTTAGGATTTGTCTCGAGGGCGAGTTTGCGCATTAGCTGGCGAGTTTTGCTGTGGACGCCATCGGCACCGATCACAATCGATCCTTCGAAAGCGTTACCATCAACACAAATCACTCTAACCCCATCCGACTTCATCTTGATATCGACTATTTTCTTATTCGTCAAGATTTTCTCTCTCGCAGAAGGCGGGAGACAGTTGTACATAGTCTCAATAAATTCGGAACGGTGGAAGGCAACTGGTCCATAACCATGACTAACTTTGGTCAGAATAAATGTGCGAGCGGAGATGAAACTCACAATCCAGATAACCGCATTGCATGTGCGGTTCAGACTTACTTCTGGCGTATTTGAGCATATTGAGTCCCCTCCTTAAAAACGTATCCTTCGGCAGTGAACGACAAATGGTGATTCACCTCAGTACCCCGAGCTAAGAACCCTTCGAGGACACCGAACTGATGCAAAACCCGCAAAGTAGAAGGATGAACAATGAGGCTAGCACCTTTATCTTCCACAATTTCAGGCCTGCCCTCCAGCACCGTAAAGTCAATTCCCGCCAGATGAAGGGCATGGGCAGCTACGAGTCCCACTGGGCCTCCTCCCACAATTATCACTTTGAAGTTGCTCTCACGGGTACTCATAGCGAACTGTTGATTCTGTGATAGTCAATTCACCATATAATCTTATCCAAGAGAGAGGGAACAGTCCGTACTTTATATACACAATACATGTCAATAAGTAATCCTCTGACACGCCGATCAAACCGAGATATGCTCAGTCGTTATTCATTAAAGGGGCCACGAATCGGCATCTGTCCGCTGCTGGGCCAGGTATTTATCACGGACTACGGCGGCGATTGCGGTCACCGACCAGAAACCCTTTATTGGGCATCTATTTCACCGCCCTATTGATCGTCATGACATAAGCCTAAGACCTAGACGCATCCTACTTCCTAATTAGGCAATTCAATGTGATTTTCAACGACCGTTGAATCAACGAATGTCGCCCCTAGCCCTCTCAGGCTCCCTCGCTACTAGCTATCTTTTCGGTCATCTTCTCTATAATCTCTCTCGCCCTTAAATTTTCTCTCGCCGTTTATTTTTCGTCGGGGAATTTTAGGCTTGATTATCGTGAGGGTCATTACGTAGAGAAGGTCTCTTCTTCTCTATATTTAGTTATCATATATCTAATTTCCTTTATGATCAGCCTTAATAAATAGCTGTAAGCAGTATAAGGTATCGTGGTAGTTATCTGACTCACCGAAATTAGATAATGGCGATTCTGCCGGAATATTTTGGTCCAATTCATTTCAGTATTAATCGGTAGTTACCTGTAGAGACCCGCTTAATAAATGGAGGCTCTATGAAAGTTCCTCCGGAGGTTCCTCCGAGGGATCCTCCGACGTGGGTAACGAAGATCTAGGTTAGTTACTGTATTAAGCTAGTGATCATATCCCCGCACCGTTAAGATTGAAGTTATGCCGAGGCTGTACTCGACGAACACCCCTGAGGCCACCAGGCGCCAATAAATACTTCATTATCAACCAGGTCCATCTGATGGACCCGACTCACTCCTTTTGGGTATCTTTGTGACTGTCTTAAAAGACGGTAGCCTTCACTGGAAATGTCTTCCAAGCCTGTTTCGGTCGCTGTCATTGGAGCGTCCCATGCAGGCCTAGGAGTCAGTCATAAACTCCTCCGGCAGGCACCCAAAGCATCGATCACACTGATTGACCCGTCGGACGAATATTACTTCAACATCGCTACACCCCGATTCCTCGTCAAACCTCAAAGCTTGCCGTCAAACAAATACCTCTATGACATTCGTGAAAGCTTCATCGAATATCCCAGTGGGTCCCTCAATTTCGTCAAAGGGCTTGTCACCAGGATTGATTATTCGAACAAGTCGGTACTTGTCACGACGAACGAAAATTCCATCAAGAACGATGTCATCTCAGTAGCATTCGATTATCTGGTGATTGCATCTGGTAGCACAACACCGGCTACGCTTGGACAGGGTAGTCTGAAACTCCCTTTCAAGGCGACTGCATTCGAAGATACCAGGAAAGCAATTTCCGAGGCTCAGAAGAAACTCCAGAATGCCACGAGACTTGTCATCGGCGGTGCGGGTCCACTGGGAGTCGAACTCGCTGGAGAATTGGCCGAAGCATCGGGCTCACCAAAGGTCATCACTCTGGTTTCGAAGACCGGTTCATTGCTGGAGGGAGCAACGGATACTGTGCAAAGAACCGCCGAGTCAATCCTTCGACGCAAGAATGTCGAGATCCTGAAAAACGTCACCGTCGACGAAGTGAATGAGGATACAGAAAAGAAGAGCTGGACGGTAAAGCTGTCCACTGGTCAAACTATCACGGCAGATGAATACATCTCCACGACAGGAGTGATTCCAAATAATCAATTCATCCCGAAAAGTTTCCTAAATGACGAGGGCTGGGTGAATGTCGATGAACAACTTCGAGTCGTGGAAGGCAAAACCAGCCGAAGCGACACGTACGCAGTCGGCGACATCACCTGCCATCCTTATCGGCTCCTCTCCAGAGTCTCCATTCAAGCAGCGACTGTTGCGTCTAACATTGCTGCAAGTATCAAGAAGGATACCCGCATTGCTAAGTACTCCGCTGAAGCGCAGAGGAAGATGATGGTCGTCCCCGTGGGACAGTCGACAGGTACGGGGCACTTTGGCGGATGGACACTCCTGGGTTGTCTCGTGTGGTTCTTCAAGGGCAAAGATTTCTTGACTTATGAAGCGCCAAAGTTTCTGCGAGGCAAAGTGGAGCGCTAAAGCAATGCTGAACCCTGTATCTCAATGATAGAATAGTTGTCTCTTGTGGGCAACTACTTGTAAGTTTAGCCGCAGTGATGTCATTGGAATTATTGAGTATCTAGTCACATATGATCAGACTGGATGAGGTCAAAAGACTTTAATTCCTAGCATCCCGTTCACTCCTCCAGGTAGCAATAAGTATCCGTCTACCACTTCTCAATATAAGGCCGCAGATCCAACTCAAAGGCAAACGTAGTTCGCGGCTGAGTATGCAGATACCAATACGAGTCCGCAATCTAAGCTAATCAGTATAAAGTTAGAGCAAGAAGGATCTATCTCCGAACTTACAGAATCAGGGCTCAATTTAGCATCTTCATGGGGAAGAACCCACTGCTTCGTGCGTGGGATGTCGATAATGCCATCAATGATAGCATGCGACACATGAATACCCTGAGGTCCAAATTCACGGGCTAGTGATTGAGCCAAAGCACGGAGGGCGAACTTGCCGCTTGCGAATGCAGCGAATTGGGCGGATCCCTTGATACTGGCGGTGGCGCCTGTGAAGATGAGAGTCGGCGGGTGGGGAGATGAGTCTTTGGCCTTTAGAAGGAGGGGGAGAGCACGCTGGGCAAAGTAAAATGCACCCTTTCTGTTGATGAAGTTAGATATGGTGGGTGGTTGGTTGTTTCTAGCAGGTATGTAATGCGTACGCTTGCGAGTCAAGTGCCTTAGAGTAGTCCTCGTCGGTAAGTTCCAGGAAAGGCTTCCTCACAAAGCCACCCCCAGGATTAAAGATGGATGCAGCTAGTGGAGAATCTGGGAATTGCTTCTCGATCTCATCAAAGGCCGATTTAACACTGTTGGCGTCGGAGACGTCGGTGCTGATACCGATGGCCTGTCCACCACTCGAATTGATCTCCTGGACAAGTGGCTCAAAGTTGCTCGGGGTACGAGACAGAAGCACGACCGAATATAATTTAGCAAAGCGCCGGGCAATGGAGGCGCCCTGCGTGGCTAGTCAGCTTATAGACTTGAATGGATAAGAGCGAGAATGTATACCGTGCCAGGGCCAACGCCAGCGATAATTGCAAGTCCCTTTGAAGCCATGATATGAAAGCGGTATTTGGGGAAAAAATCCAAGTGATTTAAATGAAGAGTGACCAAAAACCGTGGAGAGCAGGAGCAACTTAAATAGCTCACGTCTCGGCCTCCCAGCTATCGCCGACGCTTAGAAATGCGAAATGCTGCGGGGATTGATCATCACCCACGGGAATGATATCATCTTGAAAGAAAAGGACTGGCGCTCGATGTTGACAAAACCTCTGATGATAATATCATCCGAGGTATTCCCAATGTTTCTACATTTTTCAATTTGATGCAATTTATCCCCCAGTCTACTGTACCCTTCCCATAGTCTCCACAATGTCCTTAGCAACCTGGCGCTTACACTTAACTTCATTCGCCGCCTCAGGCCGCCATCGATAAGCCGCGCTCAAATTTCCGGAGCTTCACTTTATTCAAGTCACATCGCATCGCTCTCCACACAGCAACATGGACGCCTCAGACCCTCTACTCTGTGAGCTCTGCTCAATCTGGTGAGCAAAATTATCTGTACTGAATGTTCACACCCATATTTTCCGGTCTAACCTCACCCCTCACCATAGCCACGTCAACCCGCCAAAATACCGCTGTCCGCGCTGCTCAACACGCACCTGCTCCCTCCCCTGCACACGCCGCCACAAACTCTGGTCCCAATGTTCTGGCGTCCGCGATCCAGCCGCATACCTCAAGCGTAGCGAACTCGCCAACGAAGCCGCCTTTGACCGCGACTTCAATTTCATCACCGGCATTGAGCGCACGCTGGAGCGCGCGGAGAGAGATGTGGAGAATCGGGGGATTGAGTTAGCACGCGGACAGGCGCTGCGGAGTGAGGAGGGACAGGATGACGGTTCTGGTGCGGGTCGCAAGAGAAAACATCCTGGCCCAGGCCTAGTGAAGGGTGAAGCTGGGTTCTTGCGTGGCGCGGAGGCTGGTCGTGTGAAGGTTCTTCGGGCGCCGAGGGGGATGTCCAGGAATAAGCAGAATACTTCGCGGTGGCATCCTAAGTAAGTTGAACTCTACATGATCTCTTCATTGGTTGGTATTAATTGGGGTTTTGTTCTTCAGGCACAAGTGTCTCAGCTGGACGGTGGAGTGGATATCCGCCGCTGGGGAGAAGACGATCCGTAATGCGTTGGAAACATACCCCATCTTCGAGGCTTATGATCGGGCTTTCCCACTTCCTAAGCAGGATCGGCCCAGTACGGATTCGAAGAAAGAGAAAGATGTCGCCCAGGAGAATATCTCTACGGAACAGAATCATGCACCCACCGAGAAGCCCGATAGCATAGCGCCTACGACTGCTACGACAGAACCCACGGGTTCTGAGCCTTCAAACCCGGAGACAGATGAACAACCCACCGCACCAGCAGAGCAAGCAGAATCAAAGCTCCTTCTCGCCCTGCACCGGAATCTCTACTTCTACCTGCACCGCCCAAGAACAACAACCAAGAAGCCCGTCCTTGTTCCCCTCCCACCACTCGCAAAACTACAGTCTGTCCTACGCGAGCGTACAGTCCTCGAATTCCCCACTATCTACGCGCTCCCAGATTCACCAGAGACCATTCTCGAGTCGAAAGAAACGTCTCCATTTATACTGGAAGAGGAATATTTACGGACGGCTTCGCCGGAGGAATTGGGTGATAAATCTGCAGAAGAGCAGGAGGGGACGGGTGATGGAAATGAGGTATCCGGGGTGGATTTGCAGAATGTGGATGAGGAGAAGGTTATGGAGGTTTTGAAGCAGGAATTGTTTGAGAGTGTATAATGATTGAGGATTTGTATAAAGGTCTGTCCTATAATGTGAAGCCAGGCCATGAGGGAATATCAAAGTAGAGTGTCTACCTCGACCCGATACGTCAGTAATGTATATGAACTTACTATAGTCGTGGGATTCGATCGACAAATACTAGGCTCAGTCTGTTGAGACCCGGTTCATCTGCCTTGGGTTACTAGGAGTGGGCTGTCAGTGTTGCATCGGGGTGTTGGAAAGGTACCGGAAGGCGTTTTATGAATACAAACGACATCCAAATCGCCCGTCAAGCGGGTGTAATAAAACCATCAATCCATCACGTCTACCAGCTTCGACAAAAAAGTCGACGATCAAATCTAAAAAGTAACGGCCATCAATAATCGGTCCGAAGGACGGATACGACGGGAGACGAGGGTTAGACAAGGTTTCAAAGCACTCGGTCGATGGGACAAGAAGACCTGCACCATCGATGAGTTAATCAATTGATCATAAAGATCACAATAACTCCGAGAAAAGATACGACCCAAGCAGCCGGGATATGTCAAAACAGCCGAGGGGGTATATGGAACTAAATCACACAAATAGACCAAAGATCAAAAACAAAAACTCCCGTGTACAGGATGTACAAAACTCCCAGAAATGCCCAATAAATCGCTGCAATATGCAATATATAAATCCAAAAATCTCATCAAAAGATGGATATAGAACACCAACGCTGTATGCAATCCAAATAATGCATAAACCCAAACCTGAGAATGTCTACTTGCATGTGACCGACTGCAGCGGTATACGAAGTAGATCCCAAGGAGGCTGGTGGACCACCTGCACTCCTCGGTTGTTCAAGATGTTGAACTATCTGCGTCAGACGCAGTTTCCGGTAACTCCGGAACAGAAGAGTGCTTTGCACTCTCTGGTGAATGGATAGGCTGCGTGGGCACCGTGTTGGGCACGGTGGGCACCACATCCTCCTGAGCGACGCGCTCGGAAGTTTTGCCACCGAATGGATGGCTAGCCTTTGAATCCGTGGGGGACATATTGAGCTTCTCGGATCGACTGGGCTTCAGCTTCAGACGTCCTTGCTCAAGGGCACGCAACACGGTGCCAATATCCTGGGGGTCGATCGCCCGGAGTTTGCTCATAGCATCGTCCGAGACGTCAGCGAAGGGGTTCCAGCCCAACTTGTCGAATTCTTCGGAAGTCGAAGACTTCGACTCAACAGAGTGACCGCCGGTGACCAGGCGGTGTAAGAAAGTGTCGGAGACACTGGGACGGCGGGGGATCTTAACAGGTTTGGATTTGTTACTGGTGCTAGTAGAAGCCACGTCCTCTTGCTGGCGCTTTGGAGGACGTGCGGTGATGGGACCTTGGGGCCCCTCGCCGACCTCGTTACGAATCTTATAGTAGATCAGACCCAGGGTGGCGGCTAGGGCCTGGTGTGCAGCCTCGGGATGCCGACGGACAGCTTCCGCGCGGGTGATGCTACAAGAGCCGTCACTGGAGCTGCTGGAATCACTGTCGTCGGCAAACATCTCGGTAGGATGCATGCGGCACCAATCCTGGTAATCACCCAGTTGGTAGAATTCTGCCAGTTCAACCAAACGATGAACTAAACGGGGAAGGTCTGTTAGAATTGGGGGTCCGGGGGGAGCAGACTTATATTCATCACTTGAAGCTTACCTCGGCTTCGTTTCTTGAGGCACCAGAATCTCCACACAGTACGTGGGAAATACTGGGGCCATTCGAGGGCCCCGTCATCCGTAATCACCGGGACGGGGCTGATGGGAGCATGGACGGTATGAGCCAGCGAGTTGAACCGGACCCGATCGGCATACTTCATCTGTGATTCAATTGAATCCATCCGCGAGTTCAAGGTATGGTATTGACGGGAGATCTTGTGGTCCAGGGTCATCAGATCCGTGCGGAGCTGATGGGACGTGGTCTGCAATTTGCTGATATCGATCCGCGTCGCACACACCTCGCCCTTGATCGATTCAATGTCGACTTGCAGCTGGTCAATGGTCTTTTGCAAACGATCCACATCGCCGCGTAAGTAGACGGTCTCAGTCCCGGATTGACCGATACTGGACTTGAGCTGAAAGATGCTGGTCTTGATCTGATCGACATCCGAGCGTAAAGCCACAACATTGAGATCGATGCGTTGGGAAATGGCGCGATGGCATTCGAATTCACGGCGAATATGTTCATCTTCACGGTTCCGGCGGTCGACATAGCCCTCTTTGGTCAAAACGGTGGAGCGCAATTCCAAGACGCGCGAGTCCAGTTGGTTCATTCGGTCATGCAGATGGATAAGCGAGAGTTCCGAGCCCGGCGGGGTGGTCTCGCGTCGAACGGAGGAGAGGCGCGGGCTGGACATGGAGAGAGACGTGCTGGAGGTACAGGAGTGACTCCTTTCGAGAGTGGTCATTGTGGACATGGCGGCTATAGTATAATGTGGTGATTGTCGTATTGGAATCTGGACTTCAAGAGCATTTTTTTTCTCTAGACCAGAGTATCGTCCATTGTGTCGGATGGGTTGAGTGTATAGGGTGGTGTGTGGTGTGTATTGTAGCCGTAGTGTGGGTAAAGGGACGAGACTGCTCTTTCGGGGGGGAGGCGCAGGGTAAAAAGGGCGAGCGACAAAGAAGGGGGGGGATCGGGTCGCACAGCCAATTTTGGACCGTCCGAAGTGTCCGTTCTTTTGGCTGGTCTGCAGGTCAGCCGCCGGTCATTTTCACGAGCAACACCAACCCATCATGACTGATCCCCCAGAAATATGACTCTTCAATAGAAGATGGCTATTGCTATTGGTTTCTCCTGTTGATTCTGTGCTTCTTCTGAATCAGTTCGCGTGTTTTTCCCTTGTGAAAAAGGGCCATGGAATGGCTCAACCGGTGGAAGGATGATAGATTACCGCGGATGACCATACCAATACCATCAACCAGGTCTTCCACGTATTCCGCTCAGGCCCCTCTGTAGGAACACTCGCGTGCATTAGCGTGCATTAGTGCGACGCATCTCGCGCAGTCCAACTCCCTCGTCCATTCCAACGAGCCTGATTGGCCGCTTACCACTCGACCGCCCCTCGCCACTGGATGGACCCTGTCTCTTTATTGGTTAAATCGCCTCGCATCGCCCCGTCTTCAGAATTCCCGTCAGACTCAGCCTGGCCACCCTCCCACCAGCCCGACGCATGCGGTCTCATGATGACATCGCCGTATTTTCATACCTTTTCGTGACGTGAGGCCGCCTGTCGGCGTAAATCCACCAGTTGACATGCGACTGGAGTGGACAGAGACCATAACAACTCGCCAACAAACGACAAGAACTCGTTCAATGTAATAATGAATCAGAGTGATAGGATCTATTTTTGGCCATAGCCCAAAATGAGTCCGAAGAGCAGACATGTTCCTGGAACAAATCCACGGGAAGAGTTCTCGCGGTATTTCCCGATTAGGAAACTCTGATGCCCTAACGGACGACCATCTACACCATCGCGACTTCCTCCCAAGAAGCCAGGAGAGACTCGCCTGACACCAAGACCAGGCAATGGATGTTAGTGAACCTTGAATGTGTATTTCTTTTTCTCTCTCCCACTCTCATGTCTTCGTTCGGGGGCCCCAGCTGACCACCATGAAGCCAGGCGCCCTATCATCAGTCATCCTGGGACTCGATCTACTCAGCACCAGTCAGGCGAGGGCATTCAATGCGGCTCCTCCTTCACAACTATTAGCAAAGCCGCCTCGCAAGAAAAATCCCACGGAATGCGATTGCTTCACGGTGACTGGCCCTGATCCGGGATACTTCCAACACTATAAGCTCTGGGATTTTCGCTCCGTTCCATTGGTCAAACGGGCTCATGTGGACATTGCAGAGCTCAATGATGATGGCCTGGAACAATGGCCAGACCTAAATGACGAAGAAGTTGATGGTAGTGACTTCGATGAGGATGAAGACCGCCAGGATGACAAGGACGAGCCCGATGCCCTCTGGTTCTTCGAAACTGCCTTCGACAAGGACTGGATCAGCCAGCAATGGGAGCGGCCTCGCACTGCTGAGGCTCCGATCACTATGGTCAACTCCAAGCACAACGTCTTTTTTACCAGAAACCGCCAAGAGCTGGACAAACTCGCCACATTCCTGGTGATGCGCACCACCCGTCATTGGAACTATACTTCGACCGCTGAAATCGAGACCAAAGTCTGCGATATCTTCCGCTGCTCCCTGCGTGTCCGACTTCGGATCTTACCGTATAACTTGGTTGTCTCACAGCCTGAAGATACTTTGTCCTGGCACAATCAGAGTATTGAGTTGAACGAAACTGCCAGTCCCGCAGAGGCCAAGCCATACCCCGGTGCCTGTGTCGGGATCTTCACGTATCGCGCTCACAACTGCGAATCAGACATTGAAATCTTAACAAAGGATCCGCCTTACCGAGTACACTATGCCAATCAACCAGACTACGATGCGATCAAAGACGCGATGATTCCCGGTGCGAGCACAACCAAGGATCTCCCCGTGCACTGGACAACCTGGACTACCCACCGTCTAGACTGGCTCTCTAATATCTCGCGCTGGTGGGTAGACAACAAGCCCCAGGACGCCAAGACATATCGCGTGCCCGATCTCCCAAGCAGACTGGTAGTGAACCTGTGGAGCAACGGCGGTATTTGGACGGGCGATATGCGATTCGGCGAGAGCGTCTTGCTGGCCATTGACTACATCGAGCTGGCATACAACGTATCCTCCGGGTCACAGGGCTTCAAGGTTCCTCCCTCCGAACGACACGGCGGACATCAAGTTCCTGCTATGAATACCTCTTCGCCCGATCTTGACACCCGGCCGGATGAATCTTGGGCACCAGGCGCGGAAATCATCGACGGATCGTCGATGAAGAAATGCAAAAAGGGCCGGAGGGGACGCAAGTGCAGAAAGGGTCGCAAGAAGCATGGGAAGAAGCCGAAGCTTCCTCCCCATAGAGTCCCGTCTTTGTGGTGTGAGCGTGCATGTAACATTGATGACCTCCGCTTCGCGAATGGTGGCCTGCATGGTTGAGGTCTCTACTCTATCTTTATGGAGAATCTCCTGTCTCATGTCTGGAGATGCAGAGCTGTTGGGCATGGATGTGTATTTTTATAGATTCGAATGACAACCCTGATTTTGCAATGAAGACTGTTAAAGGACCCGTGTGCCGCGGCTCTACCTAGCGGCATATAGTTCGAGCAACTCCTAAAGCACGATATCTCAAATCTAGATGTAAAGTATCCACACGCCTACATAGTACAATATACTGGCCATGCTTCTTTCACGTTACTTCATCCACCAACGACAATGGGGGTATCATTCGAGTTCGTCCAGACCATAAAATAACAAATAACAGATGCAATAAGCGCAATAAATAAACACCTCGGTTTCATCCATCCATCCAGAGAAACCCCTCATTGACCGATTCCCTGCTCCCTGCCATCCGATTTTCTAATTCGCCATATGCGCCAGGAATAATGTAGATGAAAGTCCGGAAAAATTGTAAACGCCTGGGTGACGACAAATGCATATGCTGAAGTCCTGTATATCAGGGCAACTGGCCCTCGAGAAGGAATATTTGGGAGTGGCGCTGGTGGGCTCGCGATAGGAGACGTAGTTCTCGGGTCCGCGGTACTCTCACGAGAGAGGTTATGTTGTAGGTATTGGACATGTTGTCTTGGCAGTATGCCCTCAAAGCAAAATTTGGCCCATTTTATCGACTGGACAGAAGGGACCGTGTAGCCCACCATTCATGAGTTCTGCGACGATCTTTGCCCGCAAGCCAACCGTATCGCTTGCCCCGAACGCCGTCGGTTCAATGCCAAGGGCAATAGCCTTGGCATTGGTAAGAAGAAACACGCCGCAGTCACTCATGTTATCCTGCTGGGAAGAGACAGAGGGTAAGAAGGTCCATTCTTCTGCGTCAAACTTGTCTCCCAGTTCTCCGCGGAGCCAGTTTTTGATAACCTCTACCTCGCGCACGCCACGGGCGCCGAGTGAGTCGAAGTATTCGATCGTCCGGTCCATAGGCCGTACTACCATCAGAGTCCAGTGACTCGCCTGATGCACTGGGATGAAAACAGTGTCAACATCCAGAAGAGCCTCCCCGCCAATCTTCGCGCGGTTCGCCCAGCGGCGGACACCTTGATACCCTTTGTCCTTAAGGGTAGAGTAGAAGAAAGTGTTGAACGCATGGAACTTGGGTCGCTCATTCGGTGCAGTGTTGCCGGTTGACTGCCGGAGATATTGAACAAGGACGGTTAGGTATGCATTGATGATTTCATCATTGAGCCACGCCAGTGGCTTGATACACGTTGCAATGTCCCTCTGGTACAAGTCGTCGCCCGAAGGAGACCTGGCGACTGCGTAACCCTGAAGGGTTCTCATGGCCTCTGAAACCTTCATCATCCACTCCCTTGATAGAGGCCGTACAGCCGGTCCACGTGGAATAATCCGAGTTGGACGACCCGCCAAGCCCTCTAGAGCCCTCCTCTCTTTTTCGCGTCGTTCCCATTCAGGCGCAAGTAGAGACGCGATACGATTGTCCGGCAGCGGTTTATTCTCGGGGTAGAAGAGGGACACGGCAGATACAGGCCTGCCAAAGGGTAGCTTCTCGTATGCCCGGTACTGTTGACCGTACGGGTCCTCTATGGCCAGATCATCATGGAAGCGCGGTCTTCGTATAGGCTTTGTTGAAGGGGTGGTGTCAGCGGCCCGGGAGCGCTGCGGGGAAGGTGTGTATTTCGGTCTCCTGGGGTGCAAATAGGACCCAAGATCCGTATGTAGTTGCGGGGCAGTCGAGACATCGATTGCAAGCTCCTGCGTGGCGTCCACGAGCACAAAGTCTTCCTCTAATTGCTCATCACGCGGTGCGAGGCGCGGGGACACAGATGGCGATGGCGGAAAGGCTCCAGGAATCGGGGGGAGAAAACATCTACAACATTCGCATATCTCAGTCACTGCATAATCCTATCGCGCGGCTTTGTCGCTGATACCTTCATTCTTTTGGATCTCGTCCAAGACCTTGGAGCTTCTGAGAGGGTCCAGAGCTCCTATTGACAAGACGCCATCTTGTACGGGTTCAGGTTCAGACCTGCGGTGAATCCAGGAGAAGAATCGTTTCATTGTCAGAAGTTGAGTTGTCGAACGAGGGAAGAGGGCTGGGAGGTCGTGGTCCCCGGCGCTGGTGGAGGCTGGGGAGTAAAGCAAGGGCAGGGTTAAGACGAATTGAAAAGGCAAGATCGGAGGTTTATCGTAATAAAAAAGGAATTGGACCAGGTCCCAGCGTCCATCATTGAAAGGGCCAACCCCAGGAAACGACCGGGAGCCCTGTCGCGGAGTTGGTCTGAGGATAATCGATAGACCGCGGCGCCGTCACTTTCATGATGGGGCGGCTGACTGATCCGCGCTAACCCGTTTGGGAGATCTGCAGCTGCATGTTCGCGAAGTATATAAAGAGTACTGTCTGCCGAGGTAACCTAAATCTCTTCAAAGATAGTGGAGAGGATGAGATTCGTACATCGTATGTATTTGGTAGATGAGATTGGAGGTGGTTAAGAATTGAAAGTCCTTTATATATTCATAATCTTATACGTCGGCCAAGGGTAGGCCAATGGAGGGTTAAGGATACAGATCGCAGTATGTGCATGCGCGCGCCCGGCCTTGGTGCCGTAGAGGTCCCTCTTCCAGCACAGCCCGCTGGACTGGAGCAGGCCGCAGAGAAAGTTGAGACATGTTGAGCGGAAAGCAAGAATGAACTCCGACACCATGATACTAAGAAGGAACTCCGAGTCCAATCATTTCAAAAACGGGGGCGCCCCATTGATGACAACCCATGGGATTCCTGTAGCCTCAAAATCAGCGCTGGATCTGGGAAGGAATACGAAAAAGACAATTTCATCATACCTGCATATACAACAAGCTTGGTAATAACCTCTACGTCGTACCGTACCCGAGGCTTCTTGATCTGAGAGAAAACCTCCTTCTCGTCCGTTCGGCCGATTCCACCATATGCTGGGGGCGGAAGTGGCGATGAGCGAGGGATGTTGGCATCCTCCTCTACCATGGACGAATGTGGGCTCCCAGTACCCATCATGTGTTCGTACTGGTCCAGTTTGGATGGCTTCCGGGACAACACTGGTCCACCATTAGGCCTTCCGTTCTCATCAGCGGGAGAGTCACGATTGCTTCCGGATAGGCTTTCACGTCGGCGCTTCTCCCGGTAAGCAAGAGTCTCATACGCATCGGCCTCGGACTGAGGACCAATGGAGATTGCACGACGGCGAGGATGACGGATGGTGGTAATAATTGAAGGGATGTCTGAGAAATTGGGGAACACTTCGTTGTCCTTCAGATTAGAGGGAACTGTGGTATACCGCCTGTGAAGATTGTCAGTGAATCTAGTTCAAGCGGTTCACTTTTGGAGACTTACGATGCAGTGGTGAAGAAGCGACGGGGCAAAAGAAGGCCGACTTTCTCAAGACTTCGGAAGATGGGCGGGAGGATGCGCAACAGAGTCGGCTTGGTGATCTCTCTCCAGGCAAAGACACACATCACACCGACAACGAGGCGGAACACGGTTCCAATCAAGCCAATGCTTTCGTAATTGTACGGAATCGTCCCGGGAAGGGGGTCAGTCCACGCCAGACTGGACATTGTAAAATACCAAGAGCCCACATCCACACCGAGCGTGACACCAGCGAACGCGACACTGTCATCGAAGCAAGGACAATCATCCGCTGGTTCTGGATGAATACGAACAAGAATCAAAATGACAATGGGAATGACCAAGATCTCCTTCAGCGTCGCAGACAGAATATACTCGTCAAAGGCGGGTCCGTAACTGAATTGCACCAGGCCAATCCCTGCGCCCAGAATACAACCAATTATCACATCAAAGAACCCATGCATACCGCAGTATAGCCGACCCAATACTATTGATGTCACGTAAAGGTATGTGATAACTTGGAGGATAAAGTTGGTTTGCGCAGGGACCGTCGAGTCAGCCGAATTGAGTAGCGCGATAGCGTAGACGGCAACTGATACAGCGTTGGTAGAATGCGTCGAAGGGAAACCATATTCGAGTGCAGCAGAACCAGACATGGTGATGCGCTGCAGAGGGGGGACAAAGGCCGGGGCAGACAGAGCAAGTCTTTGATGAATCCGCTGAAGAAGACGCCGGACGCGAGGATGTGCACGAGTCTGTTCATGAACCAGCTATTAATCATTCCATACTATCACCGTACACCTGTGCAATCCAATTCCAGATACATACCCTCGACCGAGACTAGTATGGCCGCACCAAAACAGGAAGGGCAAAAAGACCATGAAAAATGTGTGTGTGCCGAGGTTCGCGGTGAATGCAAAGTACGAGTCCAACGTCGGGGTGCGGACCTTCTCCTGCAGCCAGGCAAGGTATGGCGTCTCATATCGGACCAGAGGGATCAGCTTTTGTCGTGGCCAGTAGCGCCAGAGTGGTAATTGGGTTGCATCTATTGGGGGAATCGCATCAAGCAAGCGTTAGCGGGTGACTCTATGCAGCCTTCGGAGGGAACATGCGGGGAGGAAGAGCTGCACAAGGAGGGCTCTATCGTACAGTGATCCAAACTCCTCAACCCAGCATCTGGCTGGTCCTTTGCGTCCTTTGTCTTGCCCATTGTGTGATACTACCGATGGCGGGTGCGATTAGGAGCGGGTCTCCATACAGGACAGGCCGGTGCCTGCCACTTGGGATTCGGGATGTCGCGATTCAGGAAGAGGACATAAGGAGTGTGAGTAGTTGGATTGCAGAACCGGGACCGGAGGAGGACGACCGGAAACCGAGGAGGAGGTGTTTAGGGTTGAGTTGACAGCACAAGATCGCATGGAGATCGCTGTCGCATCCGCGGCTCTTCCCCTGATGGCGGGCCATGTGTGGGCTTAGTCAGGACCCCAAGACGACGGGTCCGCGAGAGACGTAGAGACTGTAACATGAAAACGACAGATTATTGTCGATAAACCAAAATTCAAGTGTAATGGTCAGTAGAGCTAATGACTTTTTCGATCACTTGTTTATTGTTGCCATTAAATGGAGGCTTGGTTCGGCGGTTCGTAGCCAGGTCCTGGTTTAGATGTCGGGAGTATATCTAACTAACTAGTTGATCTACTCCGTACTCTACGTAGTAAGACGCGACACTAGTAGTTGGGTTGGAAGACCCCACCATTTGCTCGTCGCAAGGCTCATGAACCAAGTGACACGGACAGATCGCTAGTGGCAACGGCGAGCGGCTATGGGAGTACACCTTGTACCCACATTGCGCCGACAATCTCGTATGTCATGGTCCAGTGTGCCTTCAAATACATTGATCTGGTCTTGTCTGGGCATGGGGATCGTCATCTCCAACTCAATCTCCAATGAGGATCCCCACTTGATGTGATTCTATATTTGTTCTCTTCTCAATGCGATATGACACCTTCAAATTACTGTATATTATAGCCCTATGGGAACTGAAGTAGCATGCGTGTAATACTTGCAGCGCATATCACATGATATCGGCGTGGCCGCTCCATGGCTGGCAACTTCAACACTTCAACAGTTCAGCCTTCCAAGCCATCTGCTGGAGGAGCTGAACAGTGGGGTATGAGGGCCAAAAAGAGGGGCACGCGGAGGCCCCCAGGACCAACAAAGAAACCGGATCGGAACGATCGCAGCAATCAAGTTGAAACTGAGAGCCACAACCAAGGCGAAATCGAGGGAAGCGGAGTCCTGGCGTCATTGCGGCGTGGCGCGTTGCCATGGCAGCGGCCCGTGTAAACACAAGCCCACGGGTCTCGCCCGGACAGACCATCACTCACTTCCTTATCTTCCATATTGCCAGTCGATCCCTTGATCACCATTCGATCAACGCTATCCCTTTTCCTTCTACACCTCTTCCTCTTCCATCTTACACCTCTCATCCTCTCCTCAACCACCAACCTCCAATCTCCCCAGCTTCTGACCTATTCTACCGACGCATTCTCACCATATCCTTTCGGCAGATAGCCGCACCTTCACCACTCGACGACCTGCATTTCTTAACAAGAGGCCCCCTTCCTCCCGCACCACACACACCATGAGCCAAATGTATGACGACCAGTACTATGCGGCTTCGCGACGCCGCTCGGTGGCCACGCCTCCTCCCAGCATGACCCCACGACACAGCCGCGCTCGGTCTCAGAGCGTGCGAGTTAGCAACGGTACTGCCAGCACACATACCAGCTATTCCAGTGGACAAATGTCGGAAGCCACCAATATCACTCAACCGCCCTCGTACTCTAAAAAGTTTGTCGTGGTTGGAGATGGCGGATGTGGCAAGACATGCTTGTTGATCAGTTACTCGCAAGGCTACTTTCCAGAGGTGAGATTGTCAAATCACTGGACGATGTGGAGCCGAAGAGAATCAATACTAACATGGTTGATAGAAATATGTCCCGACTGTGTTTGAAAATTACATCACTCAGACCACACACAGGGCATCCGGGAAGACAGTCGAGCTTGCACTGTGGGATACCGCCGGCCAGGAGGAGTACGATCGTTTGCGCCCATTGTCCTACCCCGAGACCGACCTTCTATTTGTCTGCTTTGCAATCGACTGTCCTGCATCCCTAGAGAATGTCGTGGATAAGGTAAGAATCCAACAGCCCTCCAACCCAAAATGGTCTCGAACATGATATTAACATCCTCCAGTGGTATCCTGAGGTTCTACACTTTTGCCCCACAACACCAATCATCCTGGTTGGCTTGAAATCAGATCTCCGCAACAAACGCACATGTATTGAGCTCCTCAAGACACAAGGCCTGACCCCCATCACGCCAGAACAAGGTCAGGGTGTGGCCCAGCGAATGGGTGCAACCTACGTGGAGTGCAGTAGTAAGGAAATGCGTGGTGTGGACGAGGTCTTTGCCAAGGCTGTCGATACCGTCATCGCAATCGAGGAAGAAGGATACATCACCCAGCCAACGAATAATCGCAACAGCGGCAAACCTTCTGGTGGTGGAATCCGACCCGGAAAGAAGATCAAGAAGCGCACCTGCAAGATCCTATAACCGACCTTCATCCTCCTTTCTCTTCTACCTTCTTGGCTATTCTTACCTTTCCTTTCTCCCCTTGGTCCGATCAAATGCCTGGTTGCTTTATCGGCGTGCTTGCCTGCTCCTGTAGATGTGCCATGTCGCCGCAAGCTGGGCAAAGCTGGACATGAACTGCAAAAAATGATTTTGGTGTCTTGGATCGCTGTGCGCCCCCCTCGACTGATCTGTGGCGGTTTTCTTTCGCAATTGGACAGATATCCTCCCTCGATATCTGTATGCTTATTTGATTTTCTTCATTTTTCTCCTTCCTTCTATCCTTGTCCACTCATGACCACTGTGCTCCTTTTTTTCTCCCTTTGACCCTCATGACTCGGGTCTTTGCCGCTTTGGCATGCATGGGAATGGTGTTTTCGATTATGTTACCTGATATGCTCTGTTGGCGAAAGCGACCTTCCTATGTTACTGAACAATACATTGTGAGATTTGATGTTCAAAGACGAAATTTGCATCGTAGTGGTTTGAAAGTAGACATAATCTTGTTCGTAACATTCAACGTAAACTGAGCATGGTATCATGACAAAAAGGCAATGCAAGGCCGATATAAAACTCCCACTAGTCCAGCCCAGCCCAAGCGGGACAAATCCTACTGGCTGGCCATGGAGTCACCCTCGCGTTCATGCTGTGTTCCTGCATTGCCCTGTCCCGCACTCTCTCCACTAACTGTGCGCTTTCCCTGAGCAGCCTCTTCGAGTTCTTCCTCTGGTCGACCCATGAAGTTCTCAAACTGCGACCAGAGAGCTTCTACGGAGCTGAACTCATTCCCCACCTGTATATCATTAGCAAAAGATGTAGACAGGGTAATTGAACATGGGTAGATCATGCGTACTGTGATGATACTTTCCAAATTCCGATTCAGACGGTTGGTGTTTTGGAGGACTTGCTCCATGCCCTGTTGCAGATTACAGATTAACTTATGTTCAATTTCTCTTGAATTTGTATAAGATGTACTTGACGGGGCGGGCATGATACTTACAACGGCAATTTCCCGAACCAATTCTTCGCGTTGTTGCTCAAAGACAGTTGGCGATGCAGCGCGTTCACCAGAGCCCGGGGTGGAATTAAGCCAAGCCATGTTCGGAGATTAACAGTTGTGCAGGATCAGTAAGATCGACGAGCAGCAATTTTGAATAGACCGACAGCTCCTGTTGGCATAGGCGAGGCGCTGTTTGACGCGATGGCGGGCGGTTGGTGTGTCCCGTCGGATTTTGGAGAAGCCGTGTAAGAGCCGAGTTTAACGTCTGACCGAGTCTTCAATGCGAGTAGAAGTGCGGACAGTCTGTATTAAGGACTTGAGCAGCAGCGAACGGTGGGTTTGTGCTGCGTCGTGCTGTTGTGCCTCGTTAGAATCGCGCGGCGGTTGGAGATTGTCGGGGAGAAGTCGCGGGTGGTGGGGCAGTTTGGTGATAAGAGATACGATTGGAGATAAACCATAACAAGATCAGAGTCAATATTATTACTTTTCAACCGCAATAAAGCAAGGAATCTATAGACAGCAATACTACAAAGGGTTTCTTCAAATTGGTTGAAATCCATTGATCTATTGCGCTGGGGTATACAAGTAAAGTCACACTAGCGGATATCGCTCACCAAAGGTAGTTTGCTCATATCATTCGCTGCTTTCCAAGGAGAAGACCACGACAGCTTCGTGCTATTTTTGATGTGATTTTATTTGGTGTAGGAATAGTCGATATTCAGATTCAAGCAATTGTTTGCGACTCTCCAGCATCAGTGCCTTCCACGGAACCTGCCCACTTCTCTAGGTCCTGGAAGGCCTCAAGTGTGTGTGGATTTTGAGGACCCAAGGTTTTCAACAGTTCTTCTGCACACTTTGCCATCAGTTCTCTGGCTTCCGCAAATTTCCCTTTTCTGTAAAAGACTCTTGCTAGGTTTTGACCACAGTACAGCCGGTAGGTTTCCAAGGTTCCAAACAGCCTGGTGGTCCATTTTAATACATCCCTGTAAAGAGTTTCGGCATCTTCAAGCCTTGAATGGGCAAAATAGACATCGGCAATAGCGCCCATGTTTAACAGTCTCTCACTGTCGGGCGCCGTTGGTGTATCCGCACGTACTCTATCGAGTATCAATTTCAAGTACCTGTCTGCACTTTCCGAATCCCCTTGCTCGAAATAGGCGTTGGCAAGCTCGATTGCAGCTCTGTCACGTATTTTCTGAAGATCCGGCGAGCAGTTCGGCTTATCAGAAGCATCCATAATCCGTAATAGAAGCATTTCACCCGTTGCGTAATCACCTTTCTGAATTTGGGCGATTGCTTCAAAACGAATGGCCCATAAGGTGGTTGGATCATCTTCTCCAAAGAACCGCTTCGAGAGTTCTATGAATTGGGGTGTAAGCTCTGCTAATTCGGCAAACTTTCCCATTGCAGTGTACGTGGTGACTAGGTCTTGTGTCGACCTCAAGGTGATGGGGTGTTCTATGCCCAAATTCCGTCTTGTTATTCCAAGAACAGTCGCCTGTATATCTTCGGCCTCTTCATACCGTGACTCCTGGTAAAGCATCCATCCCTTGACTGTCATGCTGTCCACAGTTGAAAAGTTTTCAGGGCCTAGTACTCTTCGTTTGAGATCCAACAATTCGTTCAAACGCGGTTCCAGGTCACTGAATCGACCCTGTTCCCAAAAGAAGTTGGTAACGCGCTCCATGCAAGCGATAGTCTCGGGATGCTCGGGGCCAAGTTTCATTCGAAGGGTTGCCAATGCATTAGTTAAATCGCCTTCTTCTTCCCACAGAGGAATGTTATTTTCTGTGAAATCGATCGTTGCGGTTTCCTCTAATGTGTCGCTTATTGTCTCGACAGGAAGGTCATCCAGCAAGCGACCATCGGTGGGAGAGTGTAAGCCAGAGCTGAAGCTTTCAGCAACAGAACCCCTGCTATCTGCTGAGAAAGAATATAATGATTCTCTATCTTCCACATCCATCATCAAAGCTTGTCGTGACTCATTCGAGTCTTCCTCCCGCGCTTGTGATTCTTCGTCATCGGGCTCTCTTCGTGGGAGAACAAAAAAAGCAAGCTGCTGCAGATGCCGAGCAAGATGTTGCTGAAACCTGCTGGAACTGGATATTGGAGATCTAGGGCAAAGTGGGCATTTTTGCGCCAACGTGGAAGGTCTTGACTGGTTTGCCATATCTTGTCGCTGTTCTTTGGATGTGTCTGCGTGTTTATCGTCGAGGTGGTGGATGAAAATGGCCTTTTCTGCAGATGTATATGGGCAACGGGTGCAGAACCATTCTCTTCTGTGGAATTGTCGCTCATGTGCGCTCCACTCTGTGAAGCTGTCGTACAGCTGATTTTCTTTAACACAGCCGCCGAAAGTACAAATATAGGGCCGCAGGTCACTGTATACGTGATAGATCCAGTCATCGTCATTCTCTACCTGTACTGTCTGATGACAATATGGGCAGATGAACGGACTTCGCCTTATCACACTTATTCCGCCTGGAGGTGGCGGAATCGAATTTTGATCCTGATCGCCTGCGGTGGAAGTAGTTTCAGAAAACTTCGTTCGCCCAGAGTCCGATGCGACGTCATTATCCTGATAGACTGTTGAAACTGTGGTATCTTGTGTCCATTGCGTCGATATTGTGGGAGGCTTTTGTTGATGGCCGCTTTGCAGTTCAGGTATCACTGGGAGCTGACGCGCTGACACAGCCTTGTTGAGGGCCACATCGATATATTTTGAGATTTTGTCCGCGTGATCTTTGTAGTATGCCAGCAGTTGCCGACGTTTGGTGTTAGCTCTACCAAGACGCTGTGCGAGCATGCTATCCAACGGGAGGTTGAATTTATCGCAAACATGTTGTTTGTCATAGAACTCAAAATGATAGAGATCGATGCGAGACGCTTGAACCGAACGATCACGGTGTGCTGGGTTCTGGAGTGATAGGGATAACTTGTACCTGTAGAGCCGCCAAATTCATTAGCAAAATGGCTCATCATCTTCCAGAGGAAAACAAACCACCTACAGACTTGTCACCGTATGGCTTAAGTCATCGATGTATACGTCAACGGGCGATCGATGCGACCCCTCTGTTCTGATCTGCTCCCAGAACCCATCCGAGTCTGAGCTCTCGGAATCCGAATCCTCTCCTATCACATCTACGGCGCTCGTAGATTCGGGGTTTCTTGAAAGATAGGCGCTTGCTGAAATGGGTTGAGTGGCTAACCCGACAACAGCAACTTATAGGGGTCATACCCTCTTTTATCGTTTCTGAAATATCATTCAGGTGGCTTCTAACCCCACGGTGCAATTCTGGAGCCTCCCTGAGTCGGTGATCCAAGGATAGCCGGTCCGTTTGTTTGCGATGGGCACCAAAGTTTCCTGCCCAGACCCTGAGTCGACCAAGTCCCTCACTGACCTTCGAGTTAGCTTGGGAGTGCTCATCGAGGGTTGATAGTTCATCTAGAAGGTCCTGGAAATCTCTGAAACAACGGGACACAAGAGAGGATATAGATGCAACAGCATGACCCGCATCTGTTGTCTCTTGGTTATTGCCTTCGACCTGCGCCGGTGGGGCTGAGGCTCTATGAATTTGTAGCGGGTCAGCCATGTTGGATGCTGCGGGTCGTATAAAACTTCATGGAGATCTCATGTGTATTCCAAGGGGGATCAGTAACGTGAAGCAGAGAAAATGAGAGAAAGGTGGATCTGTCCTTCAATGTTGCAGGCAGTTATTGTATGGAGTCTTCGTGCTGAGATTTATTTCTTCGTCCCCTCTCCAGCCGTTGAGCCCCAAGCGGGGTAGATGCATTAGCATCAAAACAGAAACGAGTCTCAAGGCTCTCACTCCCTAGATAACGGTACAAGTCTTCACCGAGTAATTCATGACTTACTCGTTGCATTCTCTCAAGATATTTCGGTTGTCAACTGTCATCCTGATAACATCTACAACCCAACGCTGACACGATGGCCACCGGATTTGAGGCCGTAGGACTCGCTCTAGCGATCTTCCCGATTCTCATCGAGGCGCTTAAATTCTACACGAATGAGAAGGACGCCATCAGCGACATTTTCAACTATCAGCGACTTCTAATCCGTATCGCTCGAGATCTAGATCGTGAACAGACCATTTTCCACAACTCCTGTCAGCGGTTCATGGAAGATATTGCAGCGCATGTGGGCGTTGGAGAAGAGGAGGTATCTGGGATGATTAATAACTCGAAAGATGTCCGATGGACTCGGGGAGTCTTGGTCGATCAGGATGTCTTTCACCGGGCCTCCGTCCAGCAGTATCTCAATGCGGTTGAGGATATGAACGAGGAGCTATCCAGGGTTAAAGAGCTCATCGGGGTACAGGATGGAAGAGGGCAGGTAATCTAAGCTTATCGTTGATTGAGTTTCAGACCATCAACTTACCCAGACATCATGTCCAGCCAATACTTCTCGATAAAAAGACACGCCGTCGACAATGGAAGAAGATCATCCTTGTGCTCAAGAAAGACTCAATCACCGAGCATCTAGCCAAGGCCGAGAAGCTCAATACATTCCTCGCCCGACTGACCGAACAAAACCAACCAACAGCTACTAATCGTCACGCCTCACGTAAAACCACAAAACACTATAAACGTATCCGATCCCATGCAATCGACCTCTACAATATCCTCAAGACTCAATTCCCTGCCCATCCCGCCTGCAAATGCGCCCTACGACCGCACCATGTCAATATGAGATTAGAGTTTCGCAGTGCGCAAAGTACAGCCAAGGGACTATACTTTCATACAATCTTTACATCTGAAACGGCCTTCAACTCTTCATCCAACTGGCGCGAGATTGAATGCGAGCCTTGGGGAACAAGTGATCACGATCTTTGTCAGGATGCTATACACAGTGCTCAAGTACAATTTGTGGTGACCCCGCCGACACAGTCCCAGGGCAGTTCTGTAACTGCGAATGAACCTGAGATATCTAATCTCTGCGCGGTAATCACTGGACCTGCATCCAAAGATTGGCTCGGACGAATAGCCAATCCAAAGGGACAACAGCATCGGATCCGCGCAATGGACCATCAGAAGCGATTGCCTGCCTTTGAAACCATTGAAACAGTGTCACTAGGCGATGTTCTGGCGGACGAGAACTTTGGGGAGGAACAACGTCTTCAACTTGCATTGAAACTGGCGTCATCCGTAATGCAACTCCATACTACCGACTGGCTCACGGATTACTGGAGTAAATCCGATATTGCGTTTCTCCGGTCTTCATACGGAGTAATCGACTTTGACAACCCTCTAATCGGCCGCACCTTTGGCAATAGCAGCTACACCATGACGACGATGTCACAGAACCTCCCCCGGCCAATGCTACATGCATTCATACCATGTCTCTTCTCTCTAGGAATCGTACTTTTGGAACTACGCTATCGAACCCTATTCGAAGATCTCAAGACGGATCATGAACGGACCATGGTAAGACCCACAATAAACATGACAGAAAAAAAAAAAAACAAGCAAAGATCTAACCACCGCTTCAGATAGCCGAAATCTCCGATCTTGCGACCGCGCGCCGTCTCGCCTATGACATGGTCGGTAGTCCTAATTATCAGAATGCCGTGCTGCGCTGTATCCTGGGACTGGATGCGGCTTATCGCTCCCTGACGGAGGCCAAGTTCCAAGATGAAGTGGAGGATAAGATCGTCTTCTTGCTTGCGGAGGATCTGAAGACCTTTTGTGCCAAGGGATCGGTCGAGGCCTGTTTATAAGCAATGAATGTGGCATAGCTTAACTAGGACACACAGTACTCAAGCATAACAAGAGTGCATGTACAATCGCATCGCGAAAAAGTCTAGGCCGGCCATTTCGCATCAAGCCGCGAGACAATTCCCAATTTTTCGTCACTCATAACACCCTCGAACTTGGCATAGCGCGGGCATCGGTTCTCAAATGTCTTGAAATTAGTTCACGATCTTCGAGAAGCGAAGGGGTCCGCTCGCCCAAATGGGCCAGTCTAGAACCCCCATCCACCAAACACCCGTTCACAAGCGCCGATGGAAAAATTTCCGAGACAACGTACAGAGTACCTACGATTGTCCAGTATTCTTTTGTAACAACTGGTCTCTACTGCCCGTACAACAACCCACTACAGCCCACAATGTCGCACTGTCACCTCCGAGGCCCAGCACAGTAGCCTCGTCGCAACTGGCCAGGGTCCAGCCAGGGGAGCAGGAAGGAAAATAAGATCCACCCGGTACCTGAGGCCCGACGCTGTACCTCGGTAACACTGACACTCGGTCCATGGGACACGAAATGACAAGTGCGAAAAAAGCGAAAAACAAAAAAAAAATTCGAGATCCAACCCGGCCTAGAACGCTCGTGGGCTCGTCGGGTTTCAGATTTACTCAGGTACAGAATGTGCCGACAGATTCTGTGTCGCATGGATGCGGGGATGTATCTGGCTTGAGGGCAAGTACCTACATACGGGGATTGGGTTGTGCAATGCGCTGTGCATGCAGGCTAGAATCGAGGGCATCGATGAGATGATGAGGGCGTTAGGGGCCTTTGCAAAACGGGCGGAATCGGGATTAAAGGGCGTTGAGGGCTGCAGTGGGGGAGCTATCTCTGGAGTACAGCACAGCACAGCACGTACAGTAGAAAACTACCAAATACCAAATTGGCCTGCGTGTGGAAATGTGGAAATAAAAGAGCGTTTCCTCGTGTTCGTGCCCATGAAAATAACCTAAGGAATAGCACTACGTGGTATACGATGAGTAAAAGGCACGTATGGTTTCTCAGGGGGTATGGAATCTCGAATTCGTGATCCATACAATCATAGTAATTTTTTTTTTTAATTCTTTCCCATACAGGGAATCGAGAATAATGAGTCATAGGGTATTTAGACTATACAAAGGGATACCTCTAAGGTAGGCCATCCCATGGAAATGAAAAAGGGTGCATCCAAGGGGAAACATAGCATCATCATCACATCGTTATCGTGGGGGAATACAAGGGCGAGGGGTAAGTCGAGGTCTCCTACGACTGGGGCGATCGCAGTCTCCCTTGTCAATCCAACCGGTCAAAGGCTCAATGACCCCTCTTCATCACTATTTCCCCCCTTTGAGACGTCAATTCCGCCCGACAGAGATCAATGCTGGCTTTTCGATCATCAAGAACATGCGATGCTCATGTTGTTTGCTGCACATCGCTACCTGCATGCATGCCAACAGCTTATAGATCCATCCACAAACTTTCGTGGCCCCCAATTGTATTGTTTGTTGGGCTCGTCAACAAGCAAACTTCCAACCCGGGTCGTGAGGTATCCGTAATCGTGTCATTCGTATACGCGACTGCTCTTGGCGGCGCGATGTGTAGAAGAGAGGAGTAGAGTAGAGAGGAGGGAGGAAACGTGTGCGAAAGTGCGAACAGATCAGGAGGTTCGTCGCGGTTGAACCAACATGCTGCTAATTCGCTTCCACCGCTGCGTAGGTGATGTCGAGTTATTCCGGGCGAGATGCGACTTGTCTGCCTTGGTGGAGGATTGTGTGGAAGAGCGCGGGCGACTAATAGTGGCCTCGTGGTCGGCGAGGACGTCCTCGAGGCGAACGTCCGAGTCGGACATGCGCAGGTGCGAGTCCTGTGGATCGAGAATCTCGATGAACTTGGAGGGTGTGTCGCGCATTGTGGCTTTATTTTTCGCTTTGCTTTTTTGTTTTTATAATCTCTCGTTGCGATGGGAGCGAAACGGTCACGAGGGCGCGGCTGTATAGTTTTTATAGTAGCCCCGTGTCCCCGTTTGCATAGATGAGACAAAGAACGAAGCAGGAAGCGCAGTGTTTCACGTTCTTTAGGGAGGCGCAGGATGCAGGAGAGTGTGCATCGAGGATTTGAAAAAAGGTCGAAGATCGAGATCAATCAAAAGAAGATAATGCGACACATGTGGAATATGAATAGAAACCAGACATGAGGAGGAGGGGGCGTGAGCCAGAAAGGGGGCCACTATTAAATAAGAAGTCGCGAAAATAAAATACAGTTCAACCCCCCATCACGCAGGTAGCCAATCATTTCTGCGACGGAGTACATAATACCCAAATTTAACCATATGTCCAGTATAATACAGCGTGTACCAGAATTTAAATCGAAATCCTAATTTACACTAGACCCGACTTCCGCAAATGATGGTTAACCAACTAACCCAACTAACCCAACTAACGCGGGGCGAGGGGCCAGCCAGTCTGAACGGACCAGGCGGAGACTGGATGATGATCAGGGACGGGGTGAACCCACCAAAAAGAAGCCACCAAGCATTCTTACTTGCCTGAATATCTCAGTGTTATGATTGGGAATAGGTGGATGGTGGTAGTGGTACGACTCTCGCCGGGCTGCTAGAGAAATTGGCACAATTTGGGTCAGGGCCCAGGGGACCAGGAACCAGGGTCTACCTACGTCCTGTAGAGTATGTTGGACAAGCGTTATTGACTTGTTTACTAACAACCCAGGAGTTTCAATATTTCAAGCAAGTAATCATTCAGTGTTCATGTGCACTACTCCGCCTCAAAGGCTAGGTACTAACTTACTCCGTAATGTAGCTGAGCTCGGAGGCAAATCTGCGAACTAGATAGCTCAGTCTGATCTGTCATGTCATGCTCGACAGAGATAGATCCTTCCAGTTGTACTCCGTACTTAGAAGTACAATACCTGCTATATACTTCCCCCGCGCATGGTTTCCCTTGGCGTATCACCACCAAAGTCTCACCGGTCCTCCATACTCCAGGTAGTTATGAGTCTGACGCACAATCCCTTGTTCTACAGTTCATTCTTCAGGATTAGGCCGCCTATGACTATCCAATACAGACAAATCCCTCCCCCTCCCACTGAACTACCTTTCTAACTTACGATCCTCCTGGTATACTCCACACTCCTAGACGCCCAATTTCCTCATTCGGCAGGGTTAGGTCTGCTGATGCACGCAACCCTTCGAGGCAAAAGTGTGTGGGTGCCAACCGGACACCATCCAGTGACGATCAGCGCTCACGCACCATTCGAACGGGCTGGTGGCGCTTGGGGGCGCTTGGGGGCGCTGGCCACTGACCGTTAGAGGATACGAAACCCGCAGCGTCCATGGTTCGTCCCGATCGGCGTGGGTCGGGCTGGGGACGGAGGGGAGGTACTTGCGCGGCCCTGAGGGTCGAGTTTGGTCAACTGAACAGTTTTCATGGGCATATGACTCCTTTTGGCGAGGAGCTGAGTTCGTTTGGCTGAGGGAGGTTCTCGGGAGTCGCCGCTGAGTCGGTGCTGTACCTCTTGGATAATATTGATGTTGTTGTTAAAATTGGAACTGAATGTTGGTCACTGCTGCCCCCAAATAAACACACAAGCCTCCCCCCCCCCCCCCGGGGAGGCTTTCAAAAAGAATAGTTTCGCTCCTACACGGAGAGTCCCGATGAAACATCCGTTATTATTGTGTTACTGTCCCCTGCGAGCACAGCGCCATGACGTCGGGGGCTCAGCCGACAAGCAATCTTATCTGTCGAGCTCGTGTTCGAAGTATTTGGGAGGAGATCAAAGCAGCGTCAGCGGGTGATCGTCAGCATCATTTGCCTCATCTATAAAAAGATACATCTTCAGCGGAGTACCGAGTACCGAGTACCGATCTGCTGTACAGCATTAATATTGCTGTTCCTGGTGTAAGTATCCAAGCTAAGATTCGGGATTCTATACTCCGTGATAAGCCTTTTTGTGCGTCTGTCTATACACACAGATTGTACTATTCCTTCAGGCACCTACTATAGTGTCTGTGGCTATGTATATGGAGAACTTCCCAGTAAATGACGAAATATCCTTGCATTGGTCCCCACCCCCCACAGCATATACTGTAGTTCGTCCTGCCTTACCGCATAGGAGGCGGCTTGCACCGCCCACCAAGCTGATGTCAAGCGGGAGTTCCGGCCTCATCGGCTTTCTTCTCTTATGCCTGTATCGCGTGAAGGATTGAAATTCCGGTGATCCGATGCAGCAGTGGATAAGCATCGAGCCAATTGTCCTCGGCGAGTCATTGATGATGCCCTCTACCGAACGAAATAGCTTGCCTTCCATCCCCCTCTTCACTGTAGCTGCTGGTCTCCACACCATCCTCTTCAGCCTATTCGCATGGAACTTGCAGGATATATGCGGCATCCAGGGTGGCTAAGGTGTTGCATGCGCCACCTGACGACAGTGTGCCCCTCTCTCGGATATACATCCATGAACAGACCAGGCTACTGGATAAATACTCCGCGTCGCTTTTGACAGGTGCCATTACGCCGTGGTTCACTGATCACTACGTATACCAAAGATCATCCGTGAAGGCTCTTGGCGAGGCGCATCTGAGAATGCATCAGCCACCACCAACAGATACTCGTACAATACGCAGAACAACGTTGCGTGTCCAACGACATTGATTCGATTTTGGTCATTTACCATGCAATATTTCGAAAGAACCATCAAAAACGCCTTGTGAATCGAAAAAAGTAAAGCAAAGAAAACACAGCGACAAAGCTCCAGCTGTGCGGAGGACCTCGATGGAACCCATAGCCAAGTAGCTGCCTGTGGCTTCCACTACACATCACACATCCTCTGTCCTTGCGCGGCGATGCATCCTTTCTATGCAACCAATGCCCCAGTCGCTGCTAGGGATCTCAGATCTGTCTTCAAACCACCCGAGAACCAACCCTCGGTGTCTGTTCGCCTTGGAATCGAATTTCATCCCGCAGCGACAAGGGTTGACATGACAAGTCGTCGCACACACGCGGTCACCAATCACTCTCTTTCCTTCAAACCCACTTATTTTAACCCGAGATCCGTCATCTCAACGCCATCCGCCGAGCCCATCCAAAGAATGTTGTTACACCTGCAAGTAAAAGACACCATATCAGTAAACCAGAACCCCACATCGTTTGCAAGTCAATGCCCCCATGAGGGACATTGTACCGCGAAAGGGAAAGGAGGAGTGTACGCACCGAATCAGCACCAGACCCAGGCTACCAGTGTGCTTGCCGTCAATGTATTCCTCCGTATCGCGCAGCAGAACGTTCATGTAGGAGTCGATGCTCTCCAGTGTGCCCTTGTACTCGGTCTGGCCCCACTTCAGGCGGATGACGAGCTCGGTGCCGACTCTGGATATTGAGAAATCAGTCAGTAAGGGCTCCATAGAGGGGGTCATGGTGTGTAAAATGGCGGGATGTGCGCTCGAGCGAGCTTGGTGGAACGGAATGCTGGGGGTGTAGAGGGGTCGCGTACCTGGCCTGGAGGAATGGCCGTGGGTTAAGGGGTTGGAACTGTGATTGAATTGTTAGCTAATGCTCTCCAATTGCCTTGCCAAGCCCTGAGGACTTTGGTCAAGCCGTTTGGGAGCTTGTCGACCGGCGCGGAGGACGAGCATGGGTGGACTGGACGTACGCTCATGGTGATTCGGGGGTGTTGGTGGTCTGCGACCGTGCGCGGAACCGAATGTGTAAGAGGGGAGGAGGTATAGAAAGTGCCGAGCGATGAAGTCTATGGATACTCGGACTGGTCGTGATGGTCGCGCGTGGACTGGGCTGAACTGGATCTCGGAGTCGGTTGCACCGCGAAAATGTGAGCTGGTCAGGACGATGCTCGGAGCCAATCAGAGCTTTGTTTACGCTCACCGCCTCGTGTCTTGCACACGATATGCTGTTCGATGGAGGTGAGCAAGGCTTGGATGCTCCTATGAATGAAGGAACTTTGCGATGTGGCTATTCAAGTTAGACTATGTTGTATTCAGCATTTTCTACTGAATTATCGCCATGGTAGGGGGAACAACCACCCTCTTCATTACCACCAACTCCCCTCCACCCATCCTCCACCAGTCCATCCGCACACTGCCAGTAGTAATACAATAAAAGTTTATAGGGAATACGGAGCAAGATTCTGTTGAAATTGCTCAGTCCGAGGGCAGACTTTCGAAAGCGTAGCTCCCTGGTTGAGGCAGTTGAGTTCCCCCCTCAAGTGTTGAGAAAATCACGAGCGTCCGATACTCCAAGTCATCTCCTTGATGCTGACCTCCTCTCCAGCCTTCTCGTCATAGTCATACCATTCGCCCTCAGAAAGCTCAATTCCAGTGAAAGGGGTCGAAGATTCAACACCCTTAGCCTCCCATTCACCCTGTAAGGTGCCAGTTAGAAACAATAACAGGGTGCATATGTCAAGTGGACTTACGTCAGGCTTGAACTCGGTGAACTCCAGACCGCGGCAGTCAATCTCGATGATCTTCTGGCCAGTCTTCTTCTCTTCGGCCTCGTAGGTGTGTGGGCCAGCGGTGATGGAGGCAGAGTGGGTTTTCTGAGCGCGAGGATTAGCTGAATATTGTGCAAATGGGAAATGGGCAACACTACCGTGCACAAGCGGCACTTCCACACAAAGTTCGCCTCACCCCTGCTACCAGGGATCTCATGCTGCTCCTATAATGTAATTCCCAGTCAGACCAGGATTCAAAGTGGATCCAAGTGACGGATAGGAAGTCCTTACAAAGCGGTTGAAGCTGACCCAGTTCGGGTGTGTCTCGCGACAAGATGTACATTGCACCCTGAACGTGTAAAAGTATGGGTTCTCCTCAGTATCAGTCGGATGCAAGCCAGTGACACTATCCCAAGACGTTAGTCATTGTCATCTCCCAGGTCTGCGATACATATCAATGCCGCGGGCATGCCCCGAGAAAGCATTCATTCCCTTGGTGGGGTGAGCGGGGGTGAGGTCTGGGTGCGGGCAAGGACGAAATATTCGCTTGGAGCGTCTGCTTACCCTTCCAGCTCGGCCTTGAGGGTTAGAGTCAGCATTTTGAAGGGGTCTTGATCTGGTGTGTTTTTGTGGTTGCAGGAGATCGCGGTATGAGCTAGGGCCGTGTGGTGAAGGTTTCTGGTGATGCGGGGTGGAGACAGAAAATAGATGCAAGGCTTGGCATGTGACCACCACGGTGAAGGCCACTCTAGTCAAGCTCCGACTACAAGGTCAAGTCTAGAGGTCAATTCTAGTGTACGAGGAGAGTAGTTTGAACAGAAGATTCTCTATTGATCAATGTGATAAAGGGAAACAAAACTAACGCCAATCATGCACAAAGCAGTCGCTCGACAGAGAACGGTCAAAACAAGCTATATACATCCAAATCTAAAATATCCAAAACATGACGCATGTACCAATTGAGGAAGCTAATGCTTTACAGACGGCTTCCCTGAGAGTCCTGACCAAGAGACTTGGTCGAGAACGAGTTGAAGTACTCGTTGAGAGCATCAACAGTACCGGAGCCCTCAACCAGCTGCACAGTGCAGGCAACGTGGCCGTCAGGGCGAGCAACAACAACCCCACCCTTCTCAGCGTCAATGCCGAGCTTCTCGTGGGCAGCGAACTTGGCCTCAGGAACGCGAACATCGGGGATATCGTCCGCGTACAGGTGGTGGTGGTAGTCACGCAGGACCTGAGGGATGGAGTCAACGTCGACTTCGTTCTTGGCCGCGGCGTAGATGACGGAAAGGGTGAAGAGCTTGGAGTGGGGGTTGTGGCGCTCGAAGAAGGAGACGTCAGCAATGTCGGTGCGGCGGTAGGCAGAGAGGAACGAGCGCTCCTTCTCCAGGTTGCCAGCGAAGTCGGCAATGGCCTTCTTGGTCTTGTTCTGGTTGCCAGCAAAGACATAGATGCGGAAGGATCCGTTGACGGGAATCTCCTGCTCCAGCTCGACAAAGTTGGCGTCTGCCAGGCGGGTCACCATGGAGGGGGTGAAAGCACGGCCAGCGGTCAGGCGGACATCGGGAAGGTTGAACAGAGGAGACTTGGCGGGGTGGCTAGCATCCCAGTTGAAGACGTTGGGCTTGTAGGCGACTCCGTATCCGCTGGTGAACTCGCAAGAAGACTTGAAGGTCTTGACGAACTCATCCTCCTCGACGTCAACGCCAGTGGAGACGGCCTTGCTAGCAGAGATCTCGCCGGCGTTGGGGCGGCGCTTGGAGAACAGAGCGGCGTACTTGGCGTCAAAGTTCAGCAGAGTCTCGGCGATGTCCTTGCGCTCGCTCTCGTAGGTGCTCAAGGTGGAACGATCGGCAAGACCGCTCTCGACGGCATGAATCTTCCAGGCCATGTTGAGGGCATCGTGGAAGGCAGTGTTCATACCCTGACCGGCCTTGGGGCTGTGAGTGTGGCAGGCATCGCCGCCCATGAACACGCGCTCGTCCAGGGTGTACTTCTCAGCAATACCCTGGCCAATGGGGTAAACGGAGTACCACTCAACACGGTCCCACTCGACCCAGTAGGGCTTCAGGATGTTCTTGGCAGTTTGCTGGACCTCCTCGGCGGTGGCAGTCTTGCGAGGATTGAAGTCGGGGTCCGTGGAGGAGGCGATCTGGACGTAGAGGCGGACCATGTTGTCCTCACGGGGAATGACCATGATGGAGCCCGCGTCGGAGTGAATGGTGCACTTGGTCTCGATATCGGGGAAGTTGGTACGGACAACGCCGTCCATGACACCCCAGACGTAGGCGATGGGGTCCTTGTGGTGGATCTTGATACCAAGTTGCTCACGAACAAAGCTGCGAGCACCCTCACCACTGAAGAGGTACTTGGTACGGACATTCTCAATAACATTGGTGTCGAGGCACTTCAGGTTGACCTCGACCGGGTACTCAGCGGCGCCGTCATTCTTAAAGCCGATGATCGTCCATGGCCGCTCGACACGAGTTCCAGCCTTCTCGATCTCGTCCAGGAAAACGCGCTCGATCTTGCCCTGGTGGACGAGTGTGGTGAAGGGGTAGCGGGTGTCAATGAAGCGAGGGCAGCTGGGCCAGCTACCAGTGCGAGAGATGCCGGAGCCGTCGCTCTTGGGGTCCCAGAAAGCAACGTCGTAAACCTTGGCGGGTTCGTAGGCCATGATGGCGCGCTTCAGACCCAGGTTTCGCAGGATCTCGGTTGAACGGGGCTGAATACCGTCCGCGCGACCAGTCGCGGTCGGCACCGGGCGGTTGTCAATGTGCTTCACCTTGTAGCCCCATCGTGACATGCACAGGGAGAGCAGCAGACCGACCGGGCCAGCGCCGACGATGACGATGTCATAAGACTCTTGGACCATGTTGGCAGACAGGGGTATATCAGGTATATTTCCAAATCAAGGCACCGAATGTGGGGAGGAGGAGGAGGAGGGTGGTATAGGCTATGCAAGAAGGAGATGATCGTCGCAAAGCATGCACCAGGATCAACCAGGGATTTGAAGATGTGTTATAGATTTTCCTTGTACAGTCGCATCGATCCAAAGAAAGAAAAAGATCGAGGGCCATGGCGGGCTCATAAATAATCGCAAGCAAGCCGGGGTAAGCGGGCCGAATGGAGGCTGTTGGAGGCGACGGCGAGCAGCCACGGCATTGAGGATCGGTTGAATCGTGGGGAGGTAGGACGTTGGACTGGGGTGCGCCAATCAGCAGTGGTCCAGTGCGGGTTATGGGCGACAGTCAGCAATGGCAACATGTGGGGACCAGCACTGAGAGCCTGTGCACCAAGCAGGCCCAGCAGGAGTGGTCGCAATGATTCAATGCCGTCGTTGATTCCGAGCTGCAGGGCCCAGTGTCAGGCTCTGGAGGAGGCGCTGACTGGTCAACGGGTCACTGGACTCCCCACAGGGCCGGGAGCAGCACTCGGCAAGTGGAGAGAGACGCACGTGACCCACTGCTCGGCAGGGCTGGCCGGGACTTTCGTGGGATTTTAAAGCAGCAGATTATTTATTCCTCGCCAGGACAGTACTCTGTGCAGTACTCTAACAAGCACAACCCAACATTTTCCCCCCGATACACGCCCGTAGACTCCACCAGAGATCTCCTCGGTCCATTCACCGGTGTCCCGTTCGGCTCATTGGCCCTTTTGCCGACTTCTCTTGGACGATGTGGTGCCGCGCCTTGCACCGGGGAGGAACCCTCACGCTGGGCCTGGTAGTTTAGCCTGGCAGTTCTAAGGCGGAAAACCCGATCTAAGTGCCAGTTGGTACTGGTTGCCGTCTCTATTGCCTTGCTGGATTCCACTGTAATTTCCTTCTCGATTAAAGGATGCTCGTTAAAATGGTAGAATAGCTAGCTCCATGTGGTCACTAATGTACGGAGTAACTGACGGCTAACCCACGCTCAGTAGACATCTAAATTTGCTATCATCATGTTCTTGTATGACCGCCAAGTACTTCAGGACTGAATGCGTAGGATTTACTCTCCTGTGTCCAAATGCACAACTTTGCCCCGAGGCTATACCCGAAGACGGTCGTACGTCTTTTAGATTACCTCGGGCACTGCACATAATTCTGTCTTCGTCAATGATTAGCTGGGATTTACGAGTGGCAACACTTTCGTGGACTTGATGGTGGCTACGGGTAATCCGAGCGTTTAAACGCGAGTCTCGGCAGCCACCCCGGCTGAGCCAGACAACTCCTGGTCAGCTCCCGAATTGCCAAATCGGGTAATCTTAGCAACTTCACCCGCTAAGAGCTCGAACAAAAAGTGCTTTGGTATCCTCGACTCCCACAATTGACCACAAGACTATACATGGTGATTTAGCATACAGACTGGAGTCCTTAGCTTTGCCGTATGTTCTTCTATGGGCCCTGCTCGATGGATCGCCCTTACGTGAAGATAGCCCTAAACCTCCTACTCTTCTTCCTCATCGCCTACACATACAAGACACCAATGCAGCCTTGTCAAGAGCGCAAACACTGCATTATCGGTGGCTGGTGTAGGCTACACTCTGCGAATTACTGGGTTGGAGGGTGTGTCTCGCACGTGTCACTCCCAAAGAGGAAATCAAGAGGGTATTCCCAAGGCAGACGCCGCATGTGCCACCCGAGATTCGCAAAAGCTTCGCCGAATTAAGCATATTCTGCCTCGTCGAGATCTCTAGCAAACAATCATCCTCAAGGCTACACTTTGACGCCCTTAAAGTGGTATAGCTTCGCGTCCAGGAGAGGATTTTTAAACCCTCCGCCTCTTCCTGCTTTCCTCCTTTCTCCTTCTTCATCCACCGTCATCCTCGATCGTCTTCTTCCTTTCCATCTTCCACCTTGACACTTTGGCACTAGTTCGACCAAGTTCCAACCAAGCTCAAGCTTCACGGCTTACACCTTCCATCCCATACCTCATCCATCATACCCCAAACTTTCAACCATACACGACTCTTCCTCCCTTCCAAGTGTTCATCATGAACATGGAGCTGAACTATGGCCTTCTCAAGTCTCGCTCCTTCAATCTCAATACCGGAGGGCACATCAGCGTCGGCAATTGCCGCAAGTATGGAGTCTCTGAGTGAGTACTTCCAAAAACAGTGACACCAAATATGGATATTCACTCATCTCAATGACAGTGACATGGACTACGCCAATATGGCACTTGGAAACCCCTTCGACGATACGGCCATCGACAGGTCTCTCGAGCTGAGTATTTTCGGCCAGTCTGGCAGTGAGGTGTCTATTGATCCCCCCTGTCCGACGAGCGTGAGATCAAGTTCCACGCTATTGACCTCGATCCTGTCGACACCCTCAATCCTGTCGGCTGTTCCGAGGAGGAGTGGCTCGACTCCCTGATTCCATCAGGTCTGAGTATGGTGGACAAGAATGAGCTGATCCGCCTCCTACTTCCTCAGCAACATGGGGGAAACGAGACTGTCCTGGGCCTGGCCAGCCCAACCCAGGTCACCCGGTACGAGCGTGCGGAGCCCACCGAGGATGCCCCCAATATCGACAGCCTCACTATCGAGAACTCGGCGGCCGTTTCTCCCTGCCAGTCTACCTCGGATCTCTCTGAGAGCGACTTTAGGGGACGCAAGCAGAAGCTCCTCTGGGGGGAGAACGGCCTGCTGGGGCTTCCAGAGGATGTCGCCTCGCGTGTTGCCCCTCGCAAGTCTGGGCTGATCCGGGGAATGACCAAGAAGCTGAAGCACCAGCTTGCAGAGATTGTGAGTATCTCTCCTCACCTCCCCATCAACTCTAACATCATTTCTAAAAATTTCCTGTAGGTCGACGAATCCAACAAAGGGTTCATGCGCAAGTCGTCCTCTGCCATGTCTCCTTCCGCGCCTGGGAGCTCAGCCGCCTCCCTCGTGACCTCCCTGGACACCACTACCCAGGCCAAGCTGTACTCGGAGCTTGAAGTCATGATTTGCAACGTCGCAAATGGTTTCATCCTCCAGCAGTACTACGATGGGCGTGTCTCCCAGCACTCCATCAACAAGGTCAATGCGGCCTGGAACGCCAAGAACAACCACCACGTGGTTGAATTCCGCTTTGACCAAGCGACCCAGCGAGACCTCATCCTCGCCAACCGTCGCTGCATGGAGTTCACCGGTGACGCCTCCCGGTTCCCGATCCGTCTGCAGACCAACCTGCAGAATTGGAAGAAGATTGCTCACGAGATGAGCATCCGCACCTTCTGCTTGCCGGATAGCGCGATCCGCAAGCACTTCTTCGATATTCGCCAGATCATCGACATGATGGACCCCTCTCTGGAGACTCTTCGCGCCTTCCAAGATCTCACTGCTTGGACCAACGACCAGATGCTGGACAAGGAGACCGCCGCCCGCCGCCAGAGCGAGGCCCGCAGGAAGCGAGGCTTCTAAGCGCCATTCGCATTGAATCCCCCACTGGACTGTTCAGATCTGAGAAGAATATGACTTTTCTACTCCAGTTCGATCTGATTGGGGATTATGGCTACCAAGAGGCTGGCGAGGCTTGTTCTGGGGCATTTCTGGTTCTAATGATAATGACTGAACGCTTCATGATTTTGATACCCTGGGGTTTCTGGCTTTTATGATCCTTCTGAGTTTTTTTGGGCGTTCAGGGGTTTCTGGTTTTCTGACATCAATGAGGTTTCTATTTCTTTTTCTGGGCTTCTGGGATCTCCGAGTTTCTGATTTTAATGATCTTCATTGTTTTCTGGGTCCTCTGATCTGTATGATCCGGATGATGTTCTGTGTTTTCGAGATTTCTGGAATTTCTGGTCTTCTCGAATTCTCTTTCTTCTGTGGTTTCGACTTCTACTTAGCTTAGCCATATCCCAGTTTAATTTCTGACTTTCACGTTGCTTTTCGTTCTGTTTGTAAGAGTATAAATTTGGCCGCGTGTTGTTTTGTTGGATGCAGTTGTACAAAGTGGCACGTGCGGCGACGTCATCGGCTCTCATGGGAGAAACACCAGGCAGCTCCCAGCTTTTCCCACACTCTCGAGACAGAAGCCTTTTGGTTTCTCTGACAACTTCAAGCGACCAACTCTGTCTTGTTGGCTATTTCTGAACTACGAACCAAGGGTGATCAGCAACAAAGTCTGGTCATGACACGCAATACCTAGCGATCGGTCTCCAGATCTCTGAGGCCTGATCCCGACAAGGTCCCTGGAAAAAGTGGGACCACGTTGTTCGCCATGACGGGTCCATTTCATACATATGGGCCAACCTGTCTGTTGGTAGATGAAGAACCAGAGCTATCAAGCCTGTTCGGACTCTCCACGCCTCCAGAAGTTCGCTCTCACTACTTCTACGTTTCATCCCTTCCAATCGACGATCCGTTGGCACCGCTCCCGCCGCCAGCAAGCGGTCAAGCATCAGAAGATGAAAGGATTCCTCCAAAACCATTCTCGGCCAGAGATAACTTGGCCCTAGAGAAATCCTGGAGGGAGCTGGGGAAAGCTCGAGAGACCCAGCAGGTTGGCAAGACTGGGCCTGCGCCAGAAACGCCGACCACACGATCTGGAATCGCTGTCCCTGGCCAAGGATCGGCCTCGGATGTTAAAAGACGTCGGAAAGCAGCATCTAAAGGAGATGCAAGCTTATCGAGCACTGCGACTACTCCTATTGAGCAACCTTCGCTCCCAGATGAGCTAACTTCCCGGGGTGTCAAAGAACATTTCGGCCGCCCTGCTACCAGCTCCGGTGCTCGACCCGAGAACTACGCAGAACGGCGCTTGATGGTTTCATCTGCGGAGGACAACGTGAAGGATGTAAGCCCTAGTAGGAGTGCTGGCGGTGTCTTCCGGAAGAGAGACAGATCAACTTCGTTGAACGAATCACTCTCGACAAAACGAAGGAGCAGCTCGCCAGTCGATCATGACATGGAGGATGCTCATGATGAGGCGACGAGCTTACGCGCAAACCGATCTCGAGATGCAAGCATCAGTGGATCACCATTCATCAGAGCCCCGATTTCCCAATCACATAGTCCGTTCGGCCGCTCGGTCGAATCCTTACCACCCAGGGATGGGTATCAGGAAGCTCACACTGAGTTACGGGCTCCTGCCACTCCTCGCTCTGTGCCAAAGCCATCAGGTCTGCGAACTACTGTGAGCTTAGAAGAACTGGCGCAGGACCCCTCACGTGAGGAGGAGACCCAGGAGGACTCGCAGATCAAGATTGCAGTTGGTGCATCTCGCCTCCATTTGGTCGAGCTGCCAAACTTGAAGGTATGCGTGTCCCTAAATTGATAGAACATTGTGATGTACTAACGACACATTCAGATGAAACCCATCTACTGGAGCCCGCTTCATGACGTTTCAAATGTTGTTCGTGCCACGTGGTTCTACAAAAACACCATGATGCCGGTGGAGACGGATCTCGCGAACAAGCTAGAGGAGGGGTACGTCTATTTGAGACCGTGGACGCAGACATGGCAAGATGAATTGAACAGTTGCGTTGAGAATGGTGCAGATGCGGAGTTGAAGATTGTCCACGAACTCTGGCCCAAAGGGGAGCCGATGTCTACCAGCCGACCCGGTACTGCCCAGGAGCAACCGAGCAATGAGCCCGCTCCAGATGAGGGCTCTGGGGCCTTCAAATTTGACCCTAATCAAGCTGCTGGTGGAACTGCTAACCGCGCTGAGGTAGTCAAACCTTATGTCACTTCAAGCGCTATCTACGTGGATGCTCGGGATGCCCAGATCCTCAGGCCTAGCCTACTGCCGTCAGTCGCACGGGGTAGGCGACCGTTGAGTGCTATTCGCAAGGGGCGACAGATCGGTATTCCCGTCGTTCGTGGATTCAGTCGCAAGCGGTGGGATCAACTCCATCCGTCAAAGCCCAATCCCGTCGATGTTCGCCAGTATATCCGGAGAAGTCAAGACCAAAATGCAGCTCCGGCGCCTGGCGAGTCAATCTGCTACGCATGCAAGATGGAAGAGATGCGTCCGAGCCCATCAGACTTGGTATTTGTCATTCATGGCATCGGCCAAAAGCTCTCTGAGAGAATGGAGAGCTTCCATTTTACGCACGCGATTAATGCCTTCCGCCGTCAGGTGAACATGGAACTGAACAATGAGCCCGTGTGGCCGCATGTGCGAAAGGACCATGGTGGTATTATGGTTTTGCCTGTCAACTGGAGGACTACTTTGTCTTTAGAAGATCCAGCTTTCGATAACCCTGGCACAGAAGACCCAGCCCCCAACAACTACTCCCTTTCCGATATCACGCCTGAGACCCTTCCTGCGGTCCGATCCCTGATCAGTGATGTCATGCTCGATATTCCATATTACCTCTCCCATCATAAGCCAAAGATGATCAGGGCTGTTGCGAAAGAAGCCAACCGAATTTACCGCCTGTGGTGTGAGAACAACCCAGGGTTTCAGGAAAATGGCCGTGTACATCTCATCGCCCACTCTTTGGGTAGTGTCATGGCTCTCGATATCCTGAGTCACCAGCCGACGAATACCCCTCGTTTTGATTTTCCCAATACTCCTCTGCACAGCGACATCTTTGAATTTGATACCAGGAACCTGTTCTTCTGCGGTAGTCCTGTTGGGTTCTTTTTGCTTCTTAATAAAGGTGAGCCTTGATCAGAAAGAAGATTTCCAGAGATATTGACCGTTATATTTAGCCAGCCTTCTTCCCCGCAAGGGTAGAGACAAACCAGGTAGCGAAGGTGAAGATAGATTGCGCGGTGTTGCTGGAGAGGCTGGTAAGTATGGCTGCCTCGCCGTGGACAACCTGTACAACATCATGCATACAACAGACCGTATGAATGCACCTTCTCTCTCTCCAGGACCAATTTATCATGTGAGGACTAACAGCCCTTCCAGCAATTGCATACCGTGTGAATGCCGCAGTAGATAGCGACCTCGCCAACTCGCTCAAAACTGCTTCCATTCCCAGCTCCACCTCTTCCTTCATCCAGTCCTTCGGCAGTGTCTTCCGATGGAGCTCAGCGTCTGCCTTTATCCCAACAACCACGCCGACACGCCCAGCAGCAGTAGCAAAACTCCCATCTACCGTTGAAATGGAGACGCATGACTTTACCCGCGAGGAGATTGCTGAGAAACGCATGCTACTGCTCAACGATAACGGCCAGATCGACTACTACCTCTCTAGTGGCGGGGGTCCGCTTAGCATCCAGTACCTGAACATGCTCAGTGCGCACAGCAGTTATTGGACTTTGACAGATTTTGTGCGGTTCCTGGTTGTGGAGATTGCTCGCAAGCAGGGGCGGGATGGAACTCTACTTCCTTTTAGAGCGGAGAAGAAGAAAGAGTGGAAGTACTCCAAAGGTTGATCTCCCTTTTTTCTTCCTTGTCTTCTTTGGATTTATTGGAGTTTTGATTACTATTTGTTTCCAGGGTGGCTTATCTTGGCCTTGGGGTGATAGAGACCTTTCGCCTTTAGAAGAAAGATCCGGTTCATACAGGAGCCCATACAAATAGAATCATACTACTTACTTCCTTTAATTGGGATTCTCACACAAAGCCACTGTCTCCGAAATCGTCACCACTGTGTTTAGTTACAGAAGCCTGAGTAATTGATATGTCCATTCTACGTCTATAGGTTAAACCCTATAGCTAAGCCTAAAGGCCCTGTACCTACAAGAATTACACGTAAACTAGCTAGAATAATTACTAAAATTTAAAAGGCTTTAAATTCTTAGCCTATAACGAGTCGCGCCTACTTATAGTAAAGCTACTAGTGAATATATTATAAAATACTAGTATTTATAAGTTATTAACGTTACTTTCTATAGCTTAGCCGATATTAAATTACTACTTAGTATTACGCGTAGCTACCTATATTTATAAAAATTTCGTATAGAGTATATTCTATTCCGAGGTACGCAGGAGCTAGTAGGATACTAATTCTTAGATCTCTTACGTACTCTCCTAAATATTAAGTTCCTTAAACTTAGGATAAAATTTCGGATTAATAGTATAATGCTCTAAGATCTCGTATATTACTATCCGTACCTAACTATATTAAACTTTGTGAGCAAGCGATGCTGCGCAGGTTGGTAAAGAGGAAGATAAATTAAAGATGATTAAATAAGATCGATTGATCTTTCTTCCTCTTGATTGAATAGGAAGGATAAGTTCAATTCGGCTTAGGATTATAAAGGTAAGAGAAAAGTGAGGTAGGACTGAAGCTTGGTTAATTGTATTGAATCTGCTGATCTGTATGATTGATGATTCACATGATTTTTGTAGAGAAAACAGGGCGTATATATAATCAATATTTTATGCAAACTTATCAAACTTATTTTCTACATGTGATCAATCCAGATAGATCTAGATATATTCTAGATGTATGGTGATATCATGCAGATAGATCTAGATGCATAGTGATCTCATGCAGTAGCCGTTTGACTTGCAGTTGCTTGATTGTACGATGTAATTCAATCGTAATGATGATGTAGATCGTATGACTATGATGCGTCTGTTCATGCCTGATTATCCGATTGGATAATGATGATATGATAGCATAAAGCTTATAGAGATTCAGAACATCGTTCTGGCCTTAGTATAGGCCTCATGAATCTAGCTTAATATGCAGCCTAACGGCTTAGGCATCTTTGCCTATCGGCATCTTGCCCTATATCTCACAAACTTACTATAGGCTCGATTATACCCCTCTACCTTACTTATAACTAGAGCCTATCCGCTACGGAAGTTAGAAACTATATACTTATTAAGTATATAGTTCGAGTAAATATAGTATTTAATAAAACCCGACGAAATAGATAGTATTATCGAAGAGTAGTAGAGAATATTTCTAAGGCTTCGAGCCTTGCCTTATACGGTAGATATATCTTATCTCCGTTCTTATACTAGAGGTGGCGATATAACCGAGGATTTAGACGGCAATATAACCGAGGATTCGGACGAAGACATAACGGAAGATTCGGACGATAATATAACTGAATATTCGGATAATGATATAACTGAAGATTCGGACGACGATGAATTCGCATCTAGGCAGTTCAATTTTCGGATTAAACTTTGGCGGACTCTTAGTTATAGAGAAGGACATCTCATTCATAAGGGGTTTGAGCATATATAGCAGACCAATGTGGAGACTGAGATAATTAGCTGGCCTGTAGTGCCTATATCTGTGTTCTATAATCCAGGGCCCTACTGCACAACCGCTAATTGACTCTGTGATAGTCGAAGGCAGTAATGGAAGCAGCCGCAGTGCAAATGTGCAAACTTAGTTCAGCTTCTCTTCCTTACAACCCAATTTTTTTTCAGGAGGGCTAAGGAGGTAAACAGACTACAGCTTTATTCTCTTTGCGACAGCGAAGGGAGGGAGAGCCATGATGATGCCCGCTGCATTCTGCAGATGCTTAACCGATATACTGGACCTAACGTAATTTAGTTCTGCGGATAAACCATGGAGTTGTCAATCACATACTGGGTAGGATCAGCTAAGAATGCCACCGACATCGTGAATATCTATGAGCGAGGAGGATTCCGGGAGCGCTATCAATCAGTTATAGTAGTATAGCGAAACGACCATAACGCTTATTATTGATAGTATGGATGATAAATTTGACTAGTAATACAGAATAGAAGAACAAGCTGGCAAATCCACGGCGTCGGAGGTGCCGCTTTGCTTCGGTGACAGTGCGGGGTTCCCGATAACAATGCTGCACTGACAAGATAGCTACGAGAAGTGAGGTGTAGATGGTGTGTATCTTTAAGCGACTGCTACATGCTTAAAAAATTATGTGGAAAGTTTTGTAATTGCGATATCATTTCAGATGTATTCCAGGATTTCGAACCATTTCTGTATACTTTCTACCCAAATCCGGCACCATCTACACATAACGAGACACTATCCACGTTTGTTAGAATCAACGTCATGGTTAGTATCGTACTAGAATAAAAAGGATAATTCCTTCGGCACCGATAGGATTCATATTGCTAGGGATAACTTAGTGGAACATTTAAATCAGTTATTGGCCAAAATATACGTGGTGCAACTGCTGCATTATTAATTTGAGATAAATACATTATGTGCCAGGTTTTACACACCCTTCACAGTCATATCAAGTAAAGCATCGTTGTTTTGTAGTTAGGCCTGCTTGATTTGACCCTCGGGTCCATCACCTCGATCAGTTGCGTGAGAAGGAACCTGTCTCACGGCGCCAATCTCTTCGACTTCGAGGGGCATGATCAGGTTAAGAAGCATGGCAACACTATCCCAAATGTTAGTTTTTCACATGCAGTAGAGTATGTCCTCGGGGTTGTTCGAGAGCTTACAAAGCAGTAACAGCAAACCCTGTTTCCAGAACCAACTCGATCGCATTTTCAAAGCCCTCCAGATCCTTGTTATGGGTGGCTCCAAAAACGTGAGAGAACCAGGTAGGCACTAGAGTCGCACCGTACCCGAGAGCCATGGAGGCTGTCAAGATAAAGCGGTTGCGGCGGTTAAAAGGCACCTTGGACACGATAGCCTGACCACTAATCACCACCGAGGAAAATAGGAATGTTTTCATGCCGCCCATAACAGGGTTCGGAATGGCAACGATAGCAGCGGCAAACTTTGCGAAAATGCCTGCAATAATCAGGATTATACAGCAGCAGTACCCAGCCGTTCGGTTGGCACAGCGTGTCAAGGCGATGACACCGTTATTTTGGGCGAAGGTTGTCATGGGTGTCATAGTCGCAAGTGCAGCAAAAATGGAGTTCAACCCGTCCGCAAGAACAGCACCCTGAAGACGAGACTCGAAAATCTCGCCTTCGACTTCTAGGCGAGAGACATCACAAGTTGCTGTCACATCTCCGATACACTCACAGGCACAGATAATGAAAACAGCAAGCAGAGGGAGAACCATTGGGCCATATACCGTGAGAGGAAATGACTTGACCCAAATGAAGGACGCGACGGGGGCCTAGAAATTTGTCAGTCCATAAGAAAATAAACATACAGATACGTCAGCAGGGAAGAACATACAGCGTCAATTCCAGACCGATCAAAGTAGCCACAACCAGCAGCAACGATGCAGCCAACCAACAGTCCAATCACAACGGAGCAGGATTTCATGATCGGAGAACCGATTCTCTCGCAGATAAGAATGGAGACGAATACCAGGAAACCCAGTCCAATAAATTCCGCACTTCCCCAGGGCATGGCTCGAGGAGCTGTAGCAGAAGGACACAGACCAGTCGTGCATCCAGACCCTCCAGCCCAATCTTCGAATCCGCTACTGATTAGATTGATTCCAATCAGCATAACGGTGGGGCCTGTAACGATGGGCGGAAAGATCTTCTGCATCGTTTTGGGGGGAACAAAAGCGAGAAGGACTTCAATCAAGGCACAGCAGGCCGAGGTACCTAGCAGCGCACCGTATGCTTCAGGGCAAGGGAGCTTAGTGCCATCATCGGCAACTGGGCAGAATCCATTGGCATACATCTGGCTGAATGCTCCAGAAGCGACGGTTATAATGGCGAAGGAAACTCCCATGACGGAGAGGACACCACTTCCGATGAAGAAGCTAGATTGCATTGACCAGTAAGATTTGTGTAAAAACTGGAAAAATGTATACTTGGATCAACCTACGGAGTCTTGTAGATATGAAAGCGTGTAATTTGGACCGCTGACAACAGTCCGCAAACGATCAGGGAAGTCGAGACCAGGTATTGTTGCAGGTCAGATGGTAGGCTCAAGGAGCTAGACAGAATGATAGGAGGGGTGACAACACCCGCCAACATTGCCAGTGCATGTTGTAGGCCCAGAATAAAGGCAAGAAGCACAGGAATCTTCTCATTCAACCCGAAAAACGGAGCTGGGCGAGGGTCTCTCTTCATGAAAGGGAGGTCGGGGCGGAACAGGAAGCCGTAGTCATAGTCACCAATGAGACCTTCTTTGGTGGTGAATTTCTTTGTAATGCCTCGCACTCGCTGGCCGACCGTCAATTTAGGGTTAGAATCTGGGACGATCGTGTCCGGTCCATCTGTGGAGTGGATGGAGTTATCCATCTTTTACTTGCGTTGTGGTTGGTTGATGGTGGTCCCGGGGGAGCAACTATGTGTCATATCCTTCTTTCTCCAAACTTGAAGTCCAAATCACGATTTCCATGTTCATAGTCTGTCTATAAGACACTTTCTCCTGATGTTCATCGATTACCGAAATTCCGGTTGATTATCGCACAAGGGGGATCGAAGAAGCGCCAAAGAGCATTTGCTATCGCTTCAAAATGATAAAGAGATAAGCGAATCACCACAGTAATAATGTAAGTTACAGAGAGGTACAGTGACACAGCCAAAGTTCAAGGCTAATGGGCTTAACTACATAAATTCCTACCTACTACTGTAAACCAGGTACACCCCTCTGATTTCTCGTATTTTACGAGTCAAAATCGCGTCACTCAATCAAGACTGTGGTCGCTTATCTACCCGCCATTGGTGGCTGAAATTGAGCTTATCAGTGGCTTGTTTAGTCTGTTTAGCTTGTTGCAGTTGACGGACTTCGGCGGAATCCGACGGTGGGTGGCACGTGATAATAGTCAGTTATATGGATGTTTAGAACGCGGAGAAAGTAGTTGGATCAACTATTATAGCCTTTTTACTTCTGATAATACGATACATCAGCCGCCTCTCAAGAGTATGGATGAGCGACCTCTCTAGAACCTATCGGTAACAAGCACAGTTCATTGGTTGATATCGATGTTAAATCATCTGTACTAGAAGTCGGTTGAATATCGGATAGTAACCTGTACCTTCAAACGAGAACGACAATTATATACTTACATATTATGTGAAAAGCTATGTAACTGAGATATCATCTCACATGTATTTCAATTTCTGTATACATCATTCCTGGCCATTTGCTAACAAAATCCGGCCACCGTCGACACATAACGAGACACCATCCACATATGCCTAAAAGGGGTCATAATTAGTACTGCATAAGAAGTAAGGCAGAATATGAAAGATCATGAAGCACATACTCCTGCTTTGCTCACAAGATACAGGATCGTGCCCGCCATATCTTCGGAAGCGCCCGCTCGTTTCGCTGGAACCTTGTCAAACAACGAGCTAAAGGTTTTTCCTTCGACACCGACAGGATTCATATTGCTGGGAACGACTAAAAAGAAATTTTGAGTCAGTTATTAGCAAAGACATGCATGTTCATATCAGTCAACTCACGTCCTGGGTTTATGCCCACCACTCGGACGTAGAAGCGATTGTATTTGGCTGCCAACAACTTGACCAGGTGGTCAGTACTCTTGCTGGTGGCATAGCTTGTCAGATCGACATTTGTTACATTGTGCATACTGGCACAGGAGCTGGTAACAACAATCACTCCTCTTCCGTCATCGCGACCTTTCCCTCCATTCTTCAGCTGCTTCTCAGCTGCCGCAGCTAGAAGAGGAAGAAAGGCAACACTAAGGAAGTAATGAGCAGTCGAGTTCACGCGAAAGGTGTCTTCCCAATCTTTCTCCTTGATGGACCACCGATTTTTGAAGTTCCCACTTGTCTAAGCATGGCTGTTGTAAGCCCTTGTAGGAGCGGTAATTATGCCACGAAAAACTTCATCCACGGCAATACATGCATATGATCTGGACCAGACTTCCCTTCATCCCTCGCCCTGCAGAATCCATATTTGTTCACTACATGCGACCCTAAAAGCCTAGAAGACTTTTCAAGCGTGTGAGATCATTATTTTTGGCATCAGAGGCTACCATTTTCGGCATCGTACTCATAGCTCACTATATTCTGCATATAAGTTTCGCTCTATATTATGCTCACACCAAAAGCTAGACCAACTTCAACCGAACTCGGTCCAATCACCACTCCAGGACAACACTATCCCACATGAATCCATGCCAAGTAGTATTCCTCACCATGTCGAAAGTAATCTCATTCCAACCCTCCTTCAACAAACCCTTATCAAAGGGATACTCCAGCAAATGCCACTCTCCCGCACCGGTAGCAGAGCGGTACAGACACGGATCACTGGGCAACAACGCCGAACCACTAGTCATGTTGCCAACCTGGACTCCATTGGCGAGGATATTGCTGCTAGCTCCGGAGGAGTATCCAGCCAGGGAAACGATCAGATTCGGAGCCGCGGTCTTAGAGGCAGCCGGGGCCTTGAATCGCACCGTCCAGTTACCCTGGTAGGTCTGTCCGAAGCACCAATCAATCGGCTTGGACTCGCCGATGGTATAGATCAGGTTGGCCGGGCACGAAGCAACAAGCGCGTGCTGGTTTGGAGCTCCACCGTGCAGGAAGCCGTAACTATAGCGATCAAAGTCGCCGATCTGGAAGAGTTTCTTTTTCGTGGAAACTTCCCAGGTCAGACTGCCGAGATTGGTCTTTGCGGACTTCTTCACGGTCACGTCGTTGTGGAGCAAGGAGGTGGTCACATCTGCGATGGAACTTCCGTTGGACCAGGCTTGCAGGCCGTATGTAGCAGCGCGGACGTCGGAGAACTCGAAGTTTCCGTGCTTGTCGGCGTATGCGGTGTAGTAGTATGTTGAGCCCATGTCCAGAGCGGTTTTGTTCGGGTTGTTGTCGCCGAGGAAGACGGCGGCATTGCTGGCGGGTCGGCCGTCGGAGAGCATGATCTTGCCTTGGACGACGCCGCGACTGTGGTAGTCTTCGTCGTCGAGCCAGGTGTATGGCCAGGAGCGGAATTCTTCGGCAGCTCGCTTGGCTGCATCCTTCTTGTCACCATCATTCTGTAGAGTGTGTTAGTAGGGAAGACGATCTGGGGCGGACAATAGTGATACATACAAGATACCAGAGCCAAGGTCCCCACATCTTGCCATCTGGGAATACGTCGGAAGAGGAGGCCATAAAGTGAGTGCCGTGGATCATGTTCAGCTGCACGGCATCTCCGGTAGATGATTCGCGGTGGACCTGAATGACTGTCAGCATCAACACTCCCTGTACTTGAGAGCTCTCGATGAACGTACCATCAGCTCCTGCTTAAGATGATCACCGTTGTAATAGTCCTTTCCAGCATTGATGTACCAACTACCAAAGCCATCTCCATACACACCAAAGTAATCCTGGTTCCGAGACCAGGCAGTAAAATCATACTTGGTGATATACCCACTTCCATCAGGCTTCAACCACGTCTCGTCCTGGACTTTGTTCTGCGGCAGATACTCGCTCAGCGGGGGCAGCTCCTCATCCTTGATGTTTGTTCGGCCCTTTGTGAATGTGGTATTGTCCAACCGCCAGAGAGTGCGGAATTCACCGAGGGTGGGCAGCGCGTGGTTCACGAAGTACTGGTAGGCACCGGACAGGCCAGAGAAAATAACCCAGTGCATGTCTCCCTCCGCAGCAGTGAACGAGACATCAATGTATTGCTTGCCTTGATAGGTACCTCGTTTGGTAATGGAAGCCGAGGTCCACTGCAAGTTAGAAGCTGCGCCATCTGGAGGAGGGTTAGTCCCGAGAAAGAAGGAAGACGCAGTCAATGATTGAGGAAGGTTTGCACATACTATAGCTGACATAGTGGCCAACAGCCTCTCCAACGCAGTCTTTCTCCTTGTACATCAGCTTGACTCCGTAGATCTGCTGCTGAGTGACATTCCAGATCTCGTTTCCAAGGACCCATGTTGAGTTGTCGACCTGCGTCAAGAATGGCCCGGAGGCAGGCTTAGAAGGGAGCGCATTGACAGTGCTAAGGAGCAATGATGCCGCGGCAGTAATGAATCCCTTCATTTTGGATAGCAGCTCCTAAGGAAAAGGACTACTCTGGGATTACTGGGTGAACAAGGGGGCAATCAGGTTCTAATGCCCTTTCATATAGTACGAGATCAAAGTCTGAGCCCAATTGACTCGGCTTATTGAACACCGAGAAAAGTGAATACCTATTATGTTGAACCTTTTCCTTATAGTGAAGGTTCCTCGTGTATAAACACTCAGCCACATGTGGAATGCCCCGCAATTCCCTGGATTTCTCTACTGGGCCTCTCCACTTCTCCGCAATTGAACCAGACTCCACAGACTCCACATGATGGACGTGCTTCTTAAGCGTTCACTGACAGTATACATGCAAAAACCCTCCAATGGAATTTCAGGTTCGGAGACTTGTGTTTAGGGCAGAAAGAAGCGAAGAAGTGACGGACCATGGTTTTTTGCGGCTTTGATAGGTATATCAAACATCCATGGACACACATCTACGTGAAGATAACTTTCTATGCCAAGGCCTTTGAACTGCGAGCCTACCAAGGCCAATTGTCGACCAGGCTGGGATCTAGTAGCTGCTTGGATGATATTTGGATGTGATAAGGTAACACTGTAGGCATTATGTCTTCATCCATAGAGAAGAATTGCCATCAGGACGAGGATCATGCGGGGTATTCCGCTGTGAATACACCACATCGATTGGCGGAAGAATTGCCTGAATCTATCAGTCTAGTGTCGCGCTATCAAGCGAAATAAACAAGGCCAAGTCTACACTAACTACAAGAATGGGTGTCTTTCAGGGGAGTCGGAACACATTGACCCGATTACCCCATACACGACGAAGCGAAGATATCCCGAGCCTATATTGAAACGTGGGGGAGCACGCTTTGCTTTAAACCGAGCCTCCTCAACTTTTCAAGCTCCCAGCCACGTGTCGAATGAGCATATGGCCGACGTCTTTCAAGTATCATGTTTCATTTTTCGACTCTTGAATATCAACTGGCAGTCTCGTGACAATGTGTCATCGGTAGGAAAGATACAGGTACCAAAAAAACAGACAATCCAAACCGAAAAGTAAAGAGACAAATTGAGAAGAAAATGGAAATCTAGGAGATCCAGCCCCGGGTATATTGTTGTCATCGTTGTCGCATAACTTTAGCAAATGAGGCGGGTATCGCAACCGTAAACAGGTCCCATCATCAGTGCCTCCACAATCTCCCCCTTGATACCAACACCGCGGCCGGGACGCAGAACAACTAGAGCGTTGGCCGATGCGAGGCTACCAACCCTCGAGCTTCGCTGACCAGTGCCACCGACACCGGTGCTGGTGGCATACAATCGGCCGTCGGAGCGCGAGGCAGTGACAACCGCGCGGTGATATTCGGTGCGCTTGGGATCCAGAGGGAAGTGGTGTGTCAAGACGACCGCCACACGAGGAAGGCCAAGTTGGGGTGCCATCCAGGGCTTCGTAGCCAGCGCCTGTGAGCTCTCCCCAAGGCCAGACAGCTTGTGCAGCGAGGGCAAAACAAATAGATTCAGGGTCACCAAGGCAGAGGCTGGGTTTCCAGGGAGGGAGAAGATTAGCTTCGACGTGCGTTCTTGCTGGGTCCCCTCTGTAGCGCTCGTCGCAGCTTCTTTGAATGGAATCGTAGCGAAGGTGGTCGGCTTGCCGGGTTTCATCGATACGCGGCCGAAGTGAATGGTGCCACCAAGTGATCGCTCAATGGTAGGCTTAAGAAGATCTAGCTCGCCCATTGACACACCACCTGTAGTGACGATGACGTCGACGCTGGATGAGGCACGGCCAACACCACGCAGGGAGTCGCGTAAGGCATGTTCGATCTCACCAGCAGGAGTGTCGCGTGCAATACCGAGATCGACGGTGGGGAAGCCCCAGGCTTGGAGACAGGACAGGAGGGACGGACGGTTGGAGTCGCGGATCTGTCCACCAGTGAGGGTCCGGGGATCGTCATGCTCCACCAATTCGTCTCCAGTGCTCAGGACGCCTACTCGAGGCTTCTTGAACACCTTGACCGTTCGAATACCCGAGGCAGCCAAGAGGCCAATCTCGCCGCCAACGGGAGAAATCACGTCACCCCGAGAAAGGATTTTGGAGCCTAGAGTAACGTCGCTACCAGGCTCGCGGACGTTCTCGCCAGGTTTGATATCGCCGGTCAAGATTTCGATAGTGGCTTCTTCAGTACCGTCCGGTGTGGATGAGGCCAGGACGGTGTCTTCGACCATGACTACGGCATTCGCGTTGGGAGGGAGGGGAGCCCCGGTGGTAATTCTAGCGATTGTACCTGGCTGGAGAGGCTGTAGCGCTCCACCGACGTTGGCGTGGGTGACTGATGCTACGGGGAAAATGCCTTTCGTACTAGGTCCGGTGGGGGAATCTGTTGCAATAACAGCGTAGCCATCAACGATGCTGGCCTTGTACGCTGGTACTGCCTCGGCGGCGTAGACGTCTTCGGCAACGATTGAACCCACGACAGAGGGGTTCACGGGGGCTTCAATGACGGTGGGCTCGGGGGTATGCTCGCTGATCTGAAGAAGGGCTTCCTCTACGGAGAGCATTGGGTACGGTGAGGAGCGATAGCGCCGGTTAGGACCAGCGGATGGGTCATTGGACTGGGGTCGGTCTGCTGAGGAGGTGTGTGCTTTGGGGACTACATGTCCATGGCCATGGCCATGACCGTGGTGGTGATGGTGATCGTGGTGGTGATCGTGCTGCCGTTGCTCGGAGGCTGAAGAAACACCTGCTTCAGCCTCCAATTGCTTCACGCCACCGGCATGCATGGTTCGAGAGCTCCCGCCAGCAGTCTGCAAGCAGGCATGCGGTAACAGCTTCACAACGGCATCGAGATTCTCCATGGCTCCTTTCGGGGATCCGGGCAATGTAATGATCAAAGTCTTATCACGAACACCGGCAACTGGACGAGCCATCATCGCAACTAGACGAGGGAATCAGCGGGATGTAAATAGTCAAGCCATTGGAGAGCCCAGACGGCTCCCACGGCGGGGCTGATGTCATCTCACATGGCGTTACTTTCAGCGAAGCGGCGATCATCCCATGGCTGAGGAAATTAGTTGATCGTTAGTGGCTGCGCTCGGAACTGTTCATTGTCGTGTGTACTCACACTAAGCCCGGAGCATGGCGATGGATCAGGGGAGAAACTGCCTAGTGATGTCATTAGCGCGGGGACCAATGTTGACTACCACCATGAAATGCCTCACCTCGGGTGTGTTATCTCGAACCGCAAAGCCTGTCCCGCCGCTGAGCAGGACCAGATTGTACCAATTGGGACCATCTGTCCAATCACACACGGCTTGTTGGATCTGGAACACGTTGTCCGGCACGATCTTGATGGCGGGGGTTTCCCACTTTCCCTCCGCGGCGAGGATGGGGGCAAGGGCATTGGCCGTTTTGTCCGAAGCGGGGTCCTGCGAGGCCGTATCGGAGACGATCAGAATGGCAGCCTTGAGTCTAGGGGTGGTGTCAGTGGACTCCATCATGGGGGAATTGTGGGTTTCTGAGTTCTGCGAGAGAGTGGAGAGGAGGAGGAGGAGGAGGGGGAGAGGAGAGATATCTGGGTCTTAAAAGAAGGGAGGACCAGAGGTCAACACTGGAAAGTCCGGGGTCATCGCCAATCCCCGGAAACGCGAAATTGCAACTCGGCCCTGAGTGGCCGGTCCGTGCTGCGGCGGTTTTTGGGTGGACGCTTGTCGTCGGGTGGATACGAGAGAGCGAGAGGTTGATTCAGAAGATCATTATTATGCCAATAGAATGGATGTAGAGAAACTTTGAACGTGTTTCATGATATGTGTGGTCCCATTTTTGCTACTCATTACTGTACACAGTCTCCGAGTCACTGAGGCAATTCAGCAAAAGACCCCCAAAAGCTTGCTTTCTACGGTATCGAAATCCAGACGCCCTGATGCTTGTATACATAAAGAGGATCTCCGGTAGGAGACAGTCAAAACCCCAAAACGAAAAGGTGGAGAGAGAGAGAGAAAAAAGGAAAGATCTCGACATCATAATGGGGCGGCTTGTACCCCCCTCTTGCTGCTGCCATGCTACGCATGCATAACCCTCACACCAGTGGAGAGTCTCGCATCTAGGCCGCGCCCATGTCCAGGGCCTTGCCACCCACCAAAAGGCCGACGATCAAACCAAACAGACCCAGGACAGAACTGAAAATCTCAATAACGAGAATGCGGACGAACCTATCGGGGTGGGAAAGGTAAGCAGGCTATCCAGACCGCCACGCTGGCAACGACCAAACTCCGAGGAATCAAGACTTACAAGCTAGGATCAGCGGCGTCTGCAAGAGCAGCGCCACTGCCGTTGATTCCAACCGAGATACCGCAGATCAAATTGCAGAATCCGACGGTGATACCTCCCCAGAACAGAGCATAACCAGTGTAGTAGTTGTTCTGGGTGTAGACCTGACTCTCGGGGACCGGGACGAGTTTCGAGGAAAAGATAATTGAAATTATGACGCCGTAGATGGCCACAACTTCACAGAAGATGATGGAAATCAAGTTCTTGGTGCGGATTCGGGGTGCCCGCACTCCACCACCGACGATCGAAGAGCCCGTAAGGAAGATACCCCTGTGTGAACAGCGCCGGTCAGCCACCGCAGTCCCGGTCTCGAGCCATTCAGTTCAAACATACCATGCAGCGCCAATCGTCGAACAACCAATACACAATCCGATTCCGATGTTCGCCCACGCGTAAGGAGATACCTCCTCTAGGAAACGGCCGACCTATGCATCGTGTCAACAAGCAAAGAACGGACGAAGCTTCGGCAGAATCGGGAATAGCTCTCATACATTGAAAGCTTCACCCTCTCCTTGAAAGAGCATATCTGTGTGCCGAAGATCATCGGATTAGCTGTCGGACCTCCCAAAGCTTTCGGATGACGTGGTGGGAACATACACAAGCCGACCACCACGAAGGCGGTCGTCAGGACACCATAGAGGTACCGAGGATACATGGCGACCTCTGACAACCTGAAGATGAAAGAATGAAAAGGCCTCGGAGTGTTGTGGGTGGAGGGAGGCGCCGATAAAGGGAGCTGAAGCTCTGATCGGAGTTGGAGGTGGAATGGGACTCGGAGGCTCGGAGCGGATTAACTGCTCCGTTTTGGCGGTGGCCTTGTCTGTTTCCCCAGATCCACGGCTCGTGTTCCAACTGCCCGGACTTGAACTTGTCGATTGCACTCTCCTGCTCCTGTGGCCTTGACAGATCTGTCATTGCACTCTTCTTTTGCGCCCTGCGTTATATTTGCGTGACGAGTTCCCGGTCCTGTGGCCCCGCGCTTTTTTGACCCCGATCCCCCTGAGTCGCCCCCCCTCCTCCTCTCGACAACACAACCATCGCCATGGCCTCCAGTTCTGGGGTAGGGTCGTATTCGAACCCTTTGAAGAAGTTCAAGTAAGTGAAATCTGGTCTTTCCTACTATGTGTAAGAGAAAGTTGTGACTAACAGGCAACAGGCTGGTTTTCTTGGGAGAACAGAGCGGTATGCCCATCTCGAGGCGCAAATGCCACCCATGTCCCCCACGGGGAAGGAACGAAAGCAGGAATAGCAATCCTAACGATGAATGCAGTTGGCAAAACCTCCCTGATCACCCGGTTCATGTACGACTCGTTCGACAACACATATCAGGCCACCATCGGCATTGACTTCTTGTCCAAGGTACGACACTTTGAATTTCGCCCCCGCCTGTTTCCAGAGATTCGTTGCCGGTGGTTTCATAAGGATCATTCCGCTAATGCCTGCTATTATCTCTCGCTCTAGACTATGTACTTGGAAGACCGAACCGTCCGCCTTCAGCTTTGGGATACCGCTGGTCAAGAACGATTCCGCTCTCTGATTCCTTCCTACATTCGAGACTCGAGCGTCGCCGTGGTCGTTTATGATATTTCCAACGCCAAATCCTTCCAAAACACCCGGAAATGGATCGACGATGTCCGTGGAGAGCGTGGAAATGACGTGATCATCGTGCTGGTGGGCAACAAGACCGATTTGAACGACAAGCGCGAAGTCACTACGGCACAGGGTGAGGAGGAGGCAAAGAAGAACGGCCTGATGTTCATCGAAACCAGTGCCAAGGTCGGACACAATGTGAAACAGCTGTTCCGGAGGATTGCCCAGGCTCTGCCTGGAATGGATGGCGAGGCTAAGCAGGGAGAGAGCACAAGTATGTCAAAACATCTTAAGCCCCTCTCAAGTTTCTGTCTCGTACTGGATACTAATCAAATAACTACTATCTCCAGTGATCGATGTGAACATCCACCCCAAGGAGACCACCAACAACGAGGGCTGCGCATGCTAAACCACCTCCCGTCTCGACTATTCCTTTACACATTTGCGACCGATCACGATAATCGAGTCCGTCCATGATATTGCACCAATTCCTTAAGATGTACATGTTTCCTCCCCTTTTCTCCTTTGCTCGTTAGGTGAATAGCGTGCGTTTAGATCTTTCAGTGTTGAATGCGGCTGTTACGTCCCAATTCCTTTGGTGAGCTCTTGTGCGGAAGGTGGGCGTTTTGATTTTCTGTCTACTCCGCACTACATACTATTCTGTCTCCTTGATCATACTGGGGTGTCGCTTCTCTTTATCTCCGGCCTGTCCAGGCCGATTTGGCCGTCGAAGCTAACATATTTGGTACGGTATAGTCTATGAAGCTGTACAATATAATATCTTCACGTTACTGCAGTGTTCTGATAGCCAAAATTCTCCCCAATCTAGATATTCTTTTCATCATAGTCCTTCCTTCTCCCAGGCCGAGTAAAGAGCGTAGAGAGAAAGGCAAGCTGCAAAGAATGTCACCCGGCAAGCTCCCCAACTTGAACTTTCAATGGGCCCAATCTGCGCAGAAAAATCAATTTCCATTGCGCCACAAGGGTATTGTGAGATTTAACATTGCTTTTGGCTGCTTTTCGAGGCATTAGACCTGGATATTGAACATCCATATACGTAACAGAGGGCCCGGGAAGTCATTAAGCAAGGCTTAGCAGATATGACACGCTTTGCATCTGCCATTTAGGTCATGCTGTTCAGGCTCCTCCAAGTGACGAAAACACTGCTATGGATAATTTCTTGAGCTGCTGACTAGGTATTAAGTATTAGATGACAAGTTCAGCAGCCACATTTATCATTGAGGGATAGCCCCGACGGCAAGAATTATGCTTCTTTGCCTTACAGGTCACCAATATGCCCATCTTCCTGCATCGTCGAGCTATAGAAAACTTGACATTGTGATTGTAGCAAATACATGTCTGTCTAGATCCTGCGCTCCTCTACAGATGGAAGATTGACATACCTGTGTGGCGACTATCCATCAGGGCTTGGATTTCTCTAAATGTCGATGAGTGCTCGGAGAAAAGAGCCATGTTGTCAGTCAATGGTCACCGCTAGAAGCCAAGATATCTATGCATTCATGTGTGGATGACTAAAATGCGGCAATAAGCCGAGCCAACCACGTTGAAGTGGACTATATATTGCTTTTTATAGTCTACTTTATTTTGACCCTGTTTGATCTGCCGTTTTAACACAAAGTTCCAGTGGGGCTACGCTGTCAGTGCTAATATTCTTTGATGGCGGTGGAATACATCGACATTAGAAAATCAGTCTCCATATTCATAACCTTATCTGGACTATGATCAACTTATGTTATGTCAAGTAATTTTCGCTAGTCCTTTCCAGTCTCAAAGTCATGTACAAATTTTGGGGTATCTTTTTCAGGCACGTCCATCTCCCTCGGTTTCTGTGACCTCATCGTCCATCTCCACGGCAGCAGACTCCGACGCCGGTTCAAAGAAAGGCGCAAACTTGCTCTTCGATCTCAATTTCTTTCCAAAGAAATAGAATCCCACGGGGATGGGGACTAGGCATATAGCAAGACAACCGAGGAGTGTAGCGGCCCACTGAATGCCCATATTCTCAAACATTTGGCGTGAAAAGAGAGGGAAGCTCGCTGCTACCATGGAACGGCAGAAGGTATTTGCGGCGATAGCGGAAGCGGCACTGGATGGTATCATGTTAGAGTGACGATTTCATAATTTCACAGCTCGTGTGGGGCACTCACAACATGAGATAAGTATCAATCAGATAGTTGAATAGCTGGATGAAAATGATCAAGAGACCAAATCCAGTAAATAACCCACTGAGCGTAGGCACGATCCAATGGATGCTCTTGGTGTATCCAGTCCATCCAAACCAGAAGATTCCAGCGGCGAAGAGAGCACCACCAGCAATGACAGGCGGAAGACGCCATTCAGGGACGGGGATGCCTCCATTTCTATCAAGCTTGCGACTGTATGCATTGCTGGAAAAGATAATGTAGGAGGCAGCAATGAAAAGGCCAACCACCATGCCAAACAGGGGCAACCCACCGACTCCTGCATTCATACCATGAACTTGTTGGAACACGATTGTGTAAGCAGTCAAGAAACAGTAGAGAAGACCATAAATGAAGCTGAGGTAGACTGTCACCGCCAGGATCAGCGGCTCATTGATCAAAAGCCGTAGTGGACGGGAGAAGTTGTTAATTATCAGATCTCTCAGGTCAACCTCGATTTCTTCCTGCTTCGCGTGGATACCCCAGTTCTTGGTGCGGCGACGTAACTCTGCAGCCTTTTCCACCAGAACTACCGGGGGATACGACTCCTTGAGTAAGAACAGGTTCATGACGAAAGCAGCATATCCCATGAAGGCCGGGATATAGGCGGTCCATCGCCAACCCAAGTGAGACATGTTGATGAATCCTCCAATGAACGGTGCCACGAGGGGACCCAAGAAGACTGTACTAGAAAAGCAGGCAATTGCAATACCACGGGTGCGGTTGTTGTAAATGTCTGAAAAGATAGCTGCCACAACTGCCAGGGGTGAACTGCCAAAGACACCAGAGAAGAAACGGCAAATCAGCAGGGTCTGTAGATCTTTGGCAACTGCCACGCCTGTATTAAAGATGCCAAATCCGAACATGGCCAAAATGATCGGTAGGCGACGACCTTTCAGCTCAGATAGAGGAGCCCAGATTAAAGGTCCAGTAGCATAACCACAGATATAGAGTGTACTGGACAAAATTGAGACTTCGAGGCCAACACCAAAGACGCTGGCAACAGCCCTGGAAGAAGAGCTGAAAACGGCGGAATCAAAAGTTGAGCAGAGACTAGTAAAAGCCAGCATTGCACTGATCCATACTCTGGAAAGGGTGTGTTGTTAGTATTCGAATTGATCAGGACCAATGGGTGAAGAACCTACTTTGTTTTTAATGGCCAATTCTGTGGGTACAGAGGATCATTCGGGCCATCGAACTCGACGACATAATCCTCGCGGCTCGGCAATTGGGGAGGATACGGCTTACCCGCACCGAATGCTGGTAGCGGGAGCTTAGAGGGTCGCGACTTGACACTTTCACCCACGGTCATTGAATGCTGAAGCCGTTGAGTTTCTATCCGGCTCAGCGCCTGAGATAGTCCCGATCGTCGACGCTCCAGGTCAAGCTCTGTATTTCGCGACTGCATCCTATGGAAGGTCGGATTGTACTCAACAGAGCTACTCGAGGCCGTCGATGACATGCTGGATGCTCCCGATGTGGAAGGCCTCGCTGCCTCGGCTGATCGTCGAGGCTTCTCCTTGCGCCAGTCCTCAGACTGGTGGCTCGCGTCTGCCTCGACCTCGGCCATTTCGAGATCGTGGTCGACGTTGTTGCTCATGGTGCTCGGATGGTGACTGTGTGCTAAGGACGTCTGACAGTTGGTGGTTGGTAGTGAGGGGTCAGAGCTTTAGATAAGCGTCAGCGCCTCAGACGCTAGCTATGACCCGTCGAAACGCCTTGGGATCGTGAGATAACGGAGTGAACAAGGACAGAGAGAAATTCTCCAGGAAGCGACTCCAGCCGTCAATATAAACAGACGGCCATCTTCATCCGCAATGGGGCTTGAACAAGAAAATGGGGTTGGACTGGACCACGATCCCGACTTAACCGTCCAGACCCACCATCCGACGGCTTCAACTCGACAAAGTAGCTGCCGAGAGATTGGGATAGCGTAGAAAATTTTCCACTGATCGTGTTCAGACCCAGCTAAATTAAATATTGCAAGCATGAGATTGGCCAACGAGCTCCCACCTACTATAGACTGGCTTGTTATCTTTATTATTAGAAGGTTCCTGACTGCGAAGCGAGTATACGAGAATTTCGATGCAACCATCCAAAGGCGGCGCTCTTCGCATTACAGTCTGCGGTGGGTCTCCGACACTAGCGGGAAAATCATTTCCACCGCAGCGGGACTGATGTCATCCATTTGCGCCTGCTGATGAAGCCACTCGCCCAAAAGGTGGAGTTTGGTTAAGAATTTTCAGCGGATAACCTTTTGCCCTCCCCCTGGTCATGGAGATTCGACGCCCTGTACCGAGGGGTGGCGTGCTTACATTGTATCGGTGGCTTGAAATAGATATGGTGTCTATCGCGAAAACTCTGGAATGTTCATGGAGCTGTTTACGGAATGTTCTGCACGTGTTCCAGACTGTGACAAAGATCAAAGGCGATCCTGACTGTGGATATGATCGACATAAGCCTGTCGGAATCTTCCAGGAATCTTGGGTCCAAGCACCTCGGTTATTCGGGTCACACATAATTCTACCTTCCAACCAAGATCGAGCTAGGTGCGGAGTGCTCCGTACATCGTCATTGCTGTTTCTTACTAGTTATAGTTAGAGATTGCAACTCCTGATTATTAAACGAATGCTCAAGCCACAGATTTGTTGATGTTATCAAAAATCATTGAATCATTTGCCATGAACGTTGTTTGACTCCAGTATCGGAGAATGAGCCCTCTTTCAGGGGACCACAACAATCTAATGGGCCCCAGTCGGTACTGATCACAATGGAATCCGTAAGCTGCCTTGAAAGTCTTATGCTAGGTTTCGAGTATAAGGGCTGATACGAAGACGAACATATCTCGCCCAGTATTCTTGTTCATGCTTCGGTGTTAAGGGTGCCTTGAACTATGACGATCATAGGGTGCTTAGCGAGCTCTATAGCTACTTAAAGGACAATCAATCCAGCGGGAAAACATCTCCATCCGATCGAAAAGCGAGTATTTAAACCTTTGGGAAGGATCTTTGTTCAATCTGGATTACCTCGTTCTCAGAGAGTAGCAGCTCATTGATTAGTCGCTTTCACCGATGATACAAGGATCCCAAGATTTACCAGCTATTGAACCCCTTGGCTTGGCTTAGAGTATGATGACAAAGATCTTGCTGCATAGATTCTATTTTAAGGTCCCAAAAGGACTGTAGTCGAGGTGAAGGAGGCTGATGTCTTCTTTATTCCCAAACATCTACGATTGACTGGGAATTGTGAAAGCCCTGGTTACATGACACGCGAATTGCAGTCTCACTTTGTGTATTAACCCGTTCTTATTGAAGTTTTGTGGGATTCTGGTATTGATGCAGCTGTCATAGAACCTGTTGGTGTGTGAAGGCCACAGATGCTTCTTCATCACCTAGTTCTGGGCCAAAGTTAGACCGTGTAGCTGCAGTTTAGAGTCGTAGCGACACTTAACTTTACAAAGCTTCCTGGGTTCTACTACGTTAACAACAGCTCTGTACTACCGTGGATTCTTTTTAGCTTGGTCAAGAATGAGTGGTAGCTTCGGGTTGGTAAACAGTCTCCGTCTGTGCTGCGAGATCAGAACTGGACTACCATACGAGATGATGAGCCTAGTACCTCATCGCCGAGGTTCACGATATGAGTGGAGCTGGAGGTTCTTGGGGATTTACTAGCTTCCATCATAATCTATCATTACTACTACTGTAGTATGTTCATTTGACATATGCTTCGAATCTTCCAAGGTTAACAATTTAGATGGAAGCATTTTCTAGGTTACTTTCCATACAACTTCGGTCTACCGCAATGAATGTTGAACGGCCATTTCAGACCTAACAACCTTTGCAGCCCTCTGATATAGCAGTCTATATCCTTGTAATGGTGTGGAGCGACGATAAATTGAGAGAAACCCCGGCTCTCCTCCGTTGGGTTCCTCTTGTGTGGTGGGATGCTTCTTTAATGGGAATGCCAACGTGAGGTGAGCTTTTTAGAGGTATCTATCGCTTGGATCGTTGTGTAGTGTTTCGTTGACGCCTCAGAAGGCACGTTAAATATAATCTGGCCCAGCTTCTATAGCAATAGCAGCTGACTATGAGACAACGAGTGTGTTGCGGTCCAGGCTATATAGTGCCCAACAATTGGTCCAAAGTAACGAGCTGATTATCTACGAGTGTGAAACTTCAAGCAGCGATAATTCGGAAAAGAACCTCACTTCCTGATCTCTATTTCCCTCTTCATGTTTCCCCCCCCCCCCCCTTCATCTTCCAAATTTTCGTATTCTCGTATACAGTAGAACTGCATCAATCGCCTGGTCATACAATTGCTCGTATAAACCAGTCGCATTCGGGCAAGTGATCTGCACGGATCGGCCGGAAACTTGGCGCCTCCCCCTTGGGCCGCTTTTTCCACTGGACAACCACCTCAAAAGAGTCCCAGCCTTTTCTCTTCTCCTCCACACTCCGCTCCTTCGTTTTGTCCAACCCCCAACTCCCTTCATCTTTCGTACATACTGCACTCTCCTTATCATCCCGCGCCTTCGCATTCTTCGGCCCTTCCGGTCTCTGCCATCATGGGATTCTCATCCCGGTATCTCCGCATTCCGCGGCCAGAGGTAAGAGCTGTGTCGGTCGCAAATCTCGCGATCTCTATCCGTGGCCCCAAAGCTAATCGCCCGGTGACCTTGATGGCAGACCTTTCTGTATGTGATGAGCCTGGAGACAGGCGCATCGCTGATTACTCTATCGCTACTACTCAACAAGATCAGTGGCCTGTATGGCCTGCTCGCCCTGCTGACAGGCTACCACCTGTCTCCCGTCCAACTGTCCATGTACCTCTACTCCCTCATCGCCCTCGCTCTCGCCGCGCTGCTCTTCCCGCATATCCGCAAACAATCACCGCTCGAGTGTCTCGCCCTTGCCTGGCTGTACCTGCTCGACAGTCTCATCAATGCCGCCTACACGGCAGCCTTTGGTGTGACGTGGTTCCTCATTGTATCTCAGCATTACGACAGTGGCAAGGCATCCGGCCCAGGCAGTGAAACAATCGCACAGACCGCCGGCTTCACCAGCCCCAAGTACGATGCTGCTTACGTCGAGATCCAGAACACAAAGGAAGGAAACAACTTCATCGCCCATCCCCCTCGCAGCGCCGACCACCTCAGCAATGCCGTCTACCAGCCCGAGAGCTTCCAAAGCATCGTGTTCATCTGCATGCTGTGGGTTGTCCGTATCTACTTCGTCCTTGTGATGCTCGCTTTTGCTCGCCAAACCCTTCGCCTCTGGATTGTCATCCCTCGCCACACCCAACTTCCCACCCACAGCCGCAATGTCTCGGTCGCAAGCGTTGCTGACATCGACCGGGAGCCGTTCTCGGCAACCAGCCCCGAAGGCCAGGGTTGGCGGGGCAAGCTTGGTCGTATCATGGTCGGCATTGGTCGCAGCTACTGGCTTGGTGAAGAGGAGGAGGGCAACTGGCTGGGTAATCTGGGTCAAAAATTCCGCAACCGCAGCAGCAACAGCACCGAGTTGCCTGGTCCTTTGGAGCGTGAACGCAGACGTCGATCGGGAACTGGCCCCCTCAGCCATCACAGTCGGTCGTTCGGAGCACTGTACTTCAACAACCTATCCTCGAGCATGTTCCTGGTATGAATGTCAAGATGCAGGACTGGAATGAGCCTCGTTAATTGACTGCCAAAACTATCATATTCGTCAGCGGCGATCTTAATGAATGATCGGGCACAAATCTTGACATGATTGGGATTCTCGCTTCCCCAGCCAAACCCTCCAGTCGCACTCTTCTACAGCCCCTGAATCAGTCCCGGTCTTTCATGCCGTTTCAGTCAAGCGCATGAAGGCGCGCGAAGCTATTTGTCATCTCCAACAAGCGGATCAGATCTGCAGACATCACTTATCTGCATCCGTAGAGAAACAATGGCTAGGAATTCGCTTGATGGCCTGTCTCTGCTGCAGGAGTTGTGGTCTTCGCCGCATTTTCACGTCGAACTCAACATTACTAGATTCGTTAGAATCTCCTCTCAAAACGCTCGGCCTTGTCTCGAGCACCTCGCCCGTCCTTTGTGACGGGGGTCTACGAATCACGGCGTCTCGGTCTTTTGGAGTTGTGGTAGGATTCGGTGCGATGGGCCTACTATCGGGATTTAGGACTTCTGGTCCTAGCACTCGGTTTGCATTTTTCTTTTTTTTTGGCGTTCGGATCATGTACACTTACCTAATATGGAAGTGGGTCCTGTTTACAGGCGTGGGTGACGAACATTTTACAGCATCTCTATATGGCTGGACATAGAGGTCCCGGACAGATTTTACATTGTACACAGCAAGCACCTTCGCTATATATCATACAATCCATGCATATTACCTCATCGCTATTAATCTTGTTTAAGAATTTCATGTTCGTCGTACAACAACAACTGTGGAGGGTTCCTCCCATTCGTTTATTGATAACTGTTACCTATCAGAACGCCCCCTTGAACAAAAAGAATCATCGTTTACTTCTTTTGAACTAGTTGCAATTGTAGTCGGCCAAGAACGCCACTTGAGCGCCATGTGACAGGTAAAACCCCCCTGGTTTTGGACGCCATTTGACACATTCTTGCAAGAACCGTGCCCAACGAAGGCCCGATGGCCCTAGGAGTGTGGCCGAGGAAAACTCCAAGTGGGTACAGTTTAGTCTCAAATGAACATCGGAACACGGGTGGTGAAATAGAGTTATGATCACCACCCTTTGGTCAGTGGCTATGTGGTCGACATCTTTTCTGCGCGGCATTGACAGTGATCTACGGTATTTTCTGTCGACTTAAAACGCGTGAGATCCGCTCTGCGAAATTTCGAAGCGACTCATACACCCCTATACTTTCCTATTCCATAATGTGTGCTCGTTTTCTGTGGTCCCACGTTGGTGGTACGTATCTCATTTATACCCTAGGTTTGCTTTTTGCTGCTTCGGTGAGTGCTGACGATTGAAGAAGAACTTGCCAGCGACCCGTTGGGTTGAGCGAGACAAAGACTCCTCGCAGTATATCCAAGATCAATCCTTCAGGTATGGTCACCTTGAGCAAATGCTACCATCACAATCTAAATAGGCATCATGTCTAGATGTTCGGCATCCAATTCGACACTGCGGGCATCTACCTCGTCGGCACACCAACCCATCAATTCCACGTATCCTTCGAAGAATTAATGTCTTCGACAGGAGGCATCATTGGACTCCTCGAATACGGTCTCACATGGAAAGTGATAAACGCAGTTCTAAGTCGGGTCCGACACCGAGTCTGGCATCACGCGAGAATATCACTCGATACACCACCCCCAATGTGGATTGACAACTCCGGGCCGGCGATATACGAAGTCCGTCATGGGTTGGAATCTATCCGAGTCAGTCCGCAGGAATTGGAGAGTTCGCGGTTTGGGAGGGCGATTAAGAAACATTGGGATAGGGGGTTGACGGGGCCCAGTACAAAGTGGATTGTACAGATGGTGTTCGAGGCTTTCTTCATTGGTGTTTGGAAGAGTATGCGTCGGGGGATAAGGGTTCGGTGATTTTGATGATGGGAGGGCATTTTGATATGTCGGTTTGCTTTTGTTTCGCTAGACCATAATCTTTTGGGCGCAGGGAGGGACTTTGATGATTTTTAGCGTTGAGCACTTTACTTATCTCTACCTTGCAAACACAGCGTCTTGTCCATTCAATTATCAGGATTTTGAAGCAGGCTTGTGGCTAATTTGATCGAATCCCATGACAAGACAGAGCTTAGTCTGATGTGATGGTGGCATGGGCTCTAACCAATACGGTCCTCTCTCTTGGTTCTGCTCTCAGTCTTCTTCTCTGTCGTCGTAGGCACAGCTCTTATCAGGGAGAAGGGAAGTTGTAGACAACTATCCTCAATATCAGTGTTACACATGCGGTACTAGACAAACATGTCGATAAGGATGTAGGAATAGCAATTTCGTAACGTGTAACTAGCCAAACCGAACCATAAAAGTCGAGGACAGTTACAAGTTTAATGGTGAACAATATCAAAAGGATGAATACTCCCGGTGCATTCAATTTAGCAATAGATATAGGACGTGAATACATGAGTACATGAAAGAAAATGGTGATATCAAATGGGCACAAGTTATTGCACGAGCGTAGAGTCCGTGAACAGACAATGCATCTAGAGAAACGAAAAGGACCTTGACAAGAATTATCGCAAGAAGGAAAAGCATTTTATCAAATTTCCGTGGCGGTCATGACACGTTGGGCATTTTTCGGTTGGATCAAGTCCGGTATATTTACTCCTCGTCGTCCTCTTCCGCGACCTATGACAGAAAGTTAGAATCCAGATATTACAATGATGGAGTGATCATATGACACTTACACCCTCGTGGAAGTTCTGTCCGTTAGTGGTGGCCTTGATGACTCCAGCACGAATACAGAAGTCACCGAAGCGCTCAGGCGTCTCGCCATCGGTGTTGCGCTCCTCGGCGTAGCGCTTGAGGAGGCCCTTCATGATGTCCAGAATCTCGTCCTCCTTAATGGAGGAGCGATACAGCTTGTTCAGGCGCTGGCCATGGTAACCACCGCCCAGGTACATGTTGTAAGCACCATAGGCCTTGCCAACGAAAGCCACCTCGGCGAGCCATGGACGAGCACACCCGTTGGGGCAACCAGTCATACGCATGACAATGCTGTCCCGGGCCAGGCCGTTCTCCTCAAGAGTGGACTCCAGCTTGGAAATGAGAACGGGCAGGTAACGCTCGGACTCAGCCATGGCAAGACCACAAGTGGGGAAAGCAACACAAGCGGAAGACGACAGACGCAACCCGGAGAAGGACGTGTTGTCCAGCTTGTACTTGGCCATGACCTCCTTGACAACAGGGAGGTCCTCGTCAGTGATCCTGGAGAGGATCAGATGCTGGTTACCGGTGAGACGGAACTCGCCCTTGTTGAGGGAAGCGATCTCACGCAGACCAGTGCGCATGGCGAAGTCGGCGGTGTCCTCGATACGACCGTTCTCGATGAAGAAGGTGAAGTGGTTCAGACCGGTCTCGTCCTTGATCCAGCCGAAGGTGTCGACGTTCGAGTCAAACTTGAATGGGCGAGGCTCGGCGAAGCGCAGGCCTTCCGGCAGAAGGTCCTCAACCTTGCCACGGAAGACATCGACACCCATATCATCGATGGTGTACTTCAGACGAGCGTGCTTGCGGTTCTTGCGGTCACCGTTGTCACGCTGGACAAGCATGATCTTCTCACAGGCAATGTGGACCTTGTCTGCGGAGAAGAATCCGAGCATGCGGCCAGTCTGAGGGTAGGTCTTCTTGTTGTTATGGGTTGTACCCATACCACCACCGGCCAGAACGTTGAAACCTTCAAGGTGGCCATCGGCGCCCTTGATGGCGATCAGACCAATATCATGGGCATAGACATCAGTGTCGTTGTGGGGAGGAATGGCGATGGTGATCTTGAACTTGCGGGGCAGGTAGGTAGGGCCGTAGAGAGGCTCGTGGTCAACAACTGCATCACCAGCCACCTGTACCTTGTTGTCGTTCTCATCCTTCAACCAGATCTCATGGTAGGCGGTGGTGGAAGGAAGGAGGTGTTCACTGATCTTCTGAGACCAAACGTAGGTCTCCCGGTGGAAGGCAGACAGCTCCGGCAGGGAACTGCACATGACATTACGGTTGACATCACCACAAGCAGCGATAGTGTCCATCAAAGACTTGTTAATGGCCTGCATGGCGCCACGAAGCTTACGCTTGATGACACCGTGGAACTGGAAGGTCTGGCGGGTAGTGAGTTTCATGGTCTCGTTACCGTGAGAGCTGCTGATGGCATCCATCTGCAGCCACTGAGTAGGGGTAGCAACACCACCGGGAAGACGGCAACGAATCATGAAGCTGTAGGCAGGCTCGAGGCCCTGAGCCTTGCGCTCATCACGAAGATCACGGTCGTCCTGCATATAGGTACCGTGGAACTTGGTCAGCTGCTGGTCACTGGCGGAGATGGCGCCAGTAGACTCATCCAAAAGACCCTCCGCAATGGTACCGCGCAGGTAGTTGGACTGAATCTTGATATCTTCGTTGGTCATGGGAGCAGGCTCCTCGGGCAGACCCTCAACGTTGTCCACACCCAGAGCCTTCCAAAGACGGGGCTCCCACTCAGAGTAGCCAGTCTGGTAAGCATCAGGGTCCTGGTCGTCGCCGAGGCCAATGTCAGCGAGCTTCTGACCGCCCAAGAAGGAGACACGAGCGTCAAGATCCTTAGCAGGCTTGTTGTAATAGATCTTGTCCTCTTTACGGGGCCAGTAATGGCTGTCACCAAGGCCGAAGACCGAGTAGTGAATGGAAGAAAGGTCAAGATCTCCAGAGTTCTTGATGTGCTCCCAAATGCTGCGACCATTCACGGGGAATTCACCCTGGCCAGCAGTGGAAGAAATGAACACAACATTCTCCTCAGTGGGCAGATCCTCGATGGGGTACTCGTCCATAGCAATGACCATGGTCTTCAGACCCCTGGCACGGCCTCGGTTACCCAGGCGCTTGGCAAGGTTCTGGGCATTGCCACCGTCTGAGGCAAAGAGGATGGTCAGAGGAGCTCCGAAGAGGCCATCCAAGAGCTTCTCATAAGAGTCCTTAGCCTTGCGCTTCTGCAGGGCACGAACCTCGGTACCGTACGACTCAGACAGAACAGACGAGAACTTGGGCTGGCGGTTCATCAGCTGGGTGAGCTGGTTGTCCCGGCGAAGGAACTCCTCAAGCTCACGCTTAATGCGCTCGGAGTCAAGGGCGAACTTGGGCTCGCCCTTGTCCTCGTTAGCGGGGTTCCAGCGATACAGCGGCCAGTAGCCAAGATCGACAGCCTTCTTGGTCTCCTGGAGAACGGTGAGAGGAGAGTCGTTCTCTTTGTGGTAAGGAAGGTAGGCGACAACGACCGAGGGGCCATTGAATTGCTCAGCCTCGGCCATAGCCTGGAGGACCTGGGTATAAGAGCTGTACACGGCAGTGGAAGCAACGTAGGCGTTGCCGAGGTTCATGGCGTAGAGACCAATGTCCTTCTTGCGGCGGGTGGGATCGGCAGCAGTGCGCTCGGAGTAAGGTTGCGAGTCAATGATCAACATGTTGACATTCGCACCCGAGGCGAGGACATGATGCACACCAGAGTTGCCAAGATCATAAGCCCAGGCATCAGAGCCAATGAGCCACTGAGACTCCTCGTAGAAGAGCTTCTTGGACTGCAGGAGCTCGCGAGACAGCCGAGAGCCATCGTTGGAGAGGCGGGCGATAACATCTGGAGCAATCTTGTTGGCCTTAGCAGCATCCTTGACGTTCAAGGCCCACCGGGAGAGCCAAGTATTGGGGACATCAGTGGCAAAGGTGGTCGACTTGGAGGCCTCCTCAACCTCGCGAATGAAACGCTCACGGTGCTCCTTGCGGGCAAGTAGAGAGCCGAAGCCATACTCGGGGCTAGCAGCGATGGTCGAAGAAATACCCGCGTTCTTAGCACCAAGCTGGTTGGCAATGTATAGGCGCTCGCCAAAGAGCTGGTTCAGAATCTTCAGGTAAGCATTCTCAATGTGGGGCTGCTCGAGTGTTTCCGGAACCGCGGGGGTCCGGGCACTGCCAATTTCCAGGTTCTGAATGGGAGATGAGGACTGGAGGTTCTGGATGATGCCACGGAGAGCCTGCACAGCAGTGGAAGGCTCGACGTATCCCAGACGGTAGCCAACAGCCTTGAGAGCCTGTCCACGGACAGAGGAGGGGGTAACACTGGAAAGAATATCCATGAAGGAGGGACCCCACTTGGTGGTCTTACGAACCTGCTCCAGAACAGCAATCTTTTCGACTGAGGCGGGGATGGAGTTCACAATCTGACCACCGACCCAGGGGCGGTACAAACGAGCAGTGATAAGACCGATGTTCTCAAGATCGCTGCCGGCCTCGGCGTGAGACAGAGCATCAGCGAAGACGCCAGTAGAGCCGAAGATGAAGACGGCAGACTGGGCATCAGTGGGACCGGTGTACTCAATGGCACTGTAGGTGCGGCCAGTCTCCCTTGACAAGGCAGTCCAAATCTGACGAGTCCACTCGAAAACGTCAGCCGCGTTGACTGGACGAACGCTGGAGTAGTCCACGGTGGTGGCGGTGGAGCTGGGAGCTTCACTTCCGGCGCTGCTTTCACGGCGAGAAGAGCCAACTGAAGAGTTATCGACGCTCACTGCCAGAGGAGTCTGGGTCTGAGAAGGGACAGTCAACCCAACCGACGCCTCGCCCTGATCAGCAGGAGGAATCTCCACGCCGTCGGCGGAGACTGTGGCGGCACGGCCAGAGTCTGCATACAAAGTCTCGGCTCCGGTCGAGGTGTGGGTAGCAACATTTCCACCCAGGTTCAAGATCCTCTTCACGAGCTCGACGTTCTCGGCAGCAATTGAGGAATCCTTGGCCGAGTTGGCGGGGTCAAAGAAGTGAATGACACCCTTTCCAGACTTGATGGCCAGAGCATGGGCAGTCAAGGCAATATCTTGAGCTTCCTGGATAGTCTCCGAGTGCAGGAATGTGAAGCCGCACTGGCGAATGGAGCTGATGATGGAGTAGTCAGGGAATGGGGAGGACTCGAGGGCGACATGGATGACGAGGGGGAAGTTGGCAAGGCGGTAGAGGTGAGGAACGGCAGTGATCAGGACCGAAGAGCTAGTGACGACGGAAACCGACTCGCCTTGGCGCAAAGGGTGGAAGGCAGAAAGGAGGGGGTCCTCAATATGGCGAACAGCTTGCACCTAATGGGGGATATCAGCTACTATTGTCTCGCTTGGGGCACTTTGGCCATTGGATTTGGAACTCACCACCGGGGTACCTCTGGAAAGAGCGCTGGCAGTTTTGTTGGCCTTCAAGGTCTTGAGAGACTTGGAGAACGCTGAGTCCGTCTGGAGGGAAGGCTGCACGGACAGAACGAGATCACTAGACAAGTATGCGATTCTCGCAACTGATATCGAGGTTTGACATTAGAGGTGATCATCTTGGGTACTCAGATACCGGGGCTTACATACCTGCCTCAGCAGCAGTAGAGATAGATGCCATAGCTGGCAGACGCTGTGACAATCACAGCAGCAGGTGGGATGTGTAAATCACTGGCGATATTTGGGCTTTTCACCACACCCTGCGATCTCCCACACGTTGATGCAGGTCCGCCAAGTATGCAGAGCTGATTTTCAGTCCGAAGAGTGACACAATTGGTGTCCCTGGTACCGTCTGGTCTGATTTATCAACAGCACAAAAGAAAAAAAACTGGCCGACTCGGTTTTCTCCCCAAGCGTCCTTCCAGTTCTCCGCCATCGGGGTTAGATTATGCGCCGTCTGATTGGCCATTGATCACGACATCGACAATCGTGAGGAACAAACAGTGCAAACATGCCGCATTTACTGTTGGTGCGGGGGATCCGGTGATATGCTTGCTGAGTCATGCGCGAGCACGTCACCACCGGCATTTGCACGGGCAGTTCAGTGTCCCGCATGTAGCTCCGTATGTCCCGAGCAGAATTATACGGAGAAATTGCAATTGAACATCTCGATAGTCTGGTGTATGAGCATTCAATGGATTTGTTCGGAAATGGACGTATATCCTCCTGCGACCAATTCCGCGATGAGCACTTAAATGAGCCTGAACATGCATTTTTATGCGTTACAGTTAGAATTTTGTTGTTCACCGAGCCACTACCAATAACGAGGCGGCGATTACCGACTCCGTTCTCGGGCGAGAAAGAGTTTCTTCACGAAGACTCACCTGACAATGAGATGTTTGTGTTAGCTCGGTTACAGGTGTTATGTTCTTGGTCAAACCCCGTCGGTATCAGGCCACTCTATTTCTTCCCATCATACCGTACGTAGTGCTTTGAGTCCAAATTAGCAAAAAACTGAATAGGTGTATGTATGTCTGAATGAAAAAATGATCGACGCAGGGTTCGAACCTGCGATCTCCCGTGTGTAAGACGGGCGCCTTCACCACTGGGCCAGTCGATCATCATGGATGACTAAAACTCTGTTGTGCATCATATACCACTTGAATCGATTCCATCCGAGGACGACAGGGAATACTCATATTCGCATCTGAATCGAGCTCCGTGCCTCTTTCATTGGGCTATTGTATTGAGTCCATAGAGGCCGTGTCTAAATTCTCCGTATATTGTCACCAAGCAGGGCAAGGGTTGATAAATCCAGCCTGGTACGGAACTATCAGCAATCTATGAGGCTTGCGGGTGTAGGTATATATTTCCTTCAGCTGTGGTCGGATTTTCACAGCCAACCCTGTTTGACCTGTCAAAGATGACGATCAGATGCGAGCAGGTCGAGGTAGATAGCATAAAATAGATAGAAATATCATGCATGAGATTGTATGTGCTTTTCATTCGCTACCAATGCTCAAATCATCAACGTAATATACATATGTGGAACATGTTCTCGAACAGTCCGTGGTAAGAGATGAAACAAAGTTAAATATACAATCGGGCAAAAGCACCGAGATAGAATGATCCAGTGTAATAGAACGCCAAACCATATGCATCACAAATCATTGACAAAAGTTTTGGGAGACGGGAGAGGTTCTTCAAGAGAAGAAGTACTGGCTGTCACGAATCCGGCTCAGATCCCACGAGCCCTTCGTAGGAACAGGCCGGAAGCGAAGAGGCAGCCAGAGCCAGGTGTGCGGCTTTTGCCTCTTCTTCTGCTTAGTCGACTGCTTTTCTTCTCCAGCACCATCCTCTGTCGCCATGGTGTCGTCTGCCTCAACGTCAGCGCTGGAGGACTGGGTGTCCATCATGTCGATCTCGGTGAACAGGCTCTGAATGGCCGGGTCGCTAGTATCGACGTTGGAGGAAGGTCCTCGCTCAGCAGCAGCCAAGTCGTCAGGGACGTGGCCAACAGTGGTCTCGCCCAAGGTGCTGGCCATAGCCAAGTGCTTGTCCGTACCACCCATCCTTTCGAAGATAGCGGCGGAGGTTTCCATGGCGCGGCCTTCAGCTTGTTCAGCAGGATCGTCTGATCGGAGCAAAGTCTGACGGCGATGCTCGTCAATCAGCTCGACCATTTTTGCATTGCGAAGGTTGGCCTGGCGGCGTTTTCGCAGTGTGCGACCAATTTCACTGTTGGAGTCAACCTTGGCCAGGAACAGGTTCTTGCCGTAACGAACGTTGAACTCTGCGGCAAGGCGTCCCACGATGTCGTCGGAATGCATGTGCACGAATGCCTCACGGAGGATGCTGTTCATGGAGTCGATATCACTAGCATGGGTCCAGAAAGAATCGTGCACGGCGGAAAAGGTGAGGCCAGCCTCGTTACAGGCGTTCGCAGACATGATCATGTGAGTAGCATCTAGGGAGTGAATAAAATTGGGAGGGAAGGCCTGGAGCTGCTTCCGACGAGAAACCACGTCTTCGGCGCTGGGGTCCACGATGCTGACGGTCTGGAGCGATGTCACAACACGACGGGCCTTTCGGGTGCGGTATGGCTGCACCACAGGCAGACCAAGAGGAGTAGTCCAGATGACGGTGGACTGGAACTTTTTGGATGGGTCAAACCTGGTGTTGGTACCCTTCTCAGGCTTCCGAGAGGGCGACAAGGCCTCATTGGCCATCGACTCGATCTGCTCAGGCGTCAAAGATTGAGTGATGCGAGTGGCACAATCACCGAGCCAGTATTGGATTTCATGGGCACCGTTGAACATGGATCCAAGAGCCTCGAAAATCTTCCGTGCAATGTAGAGCGCGCCATCCTTCTTCATTTCGTTCGAGAGATCGGGGAAGTGGTCGTTGAGCTGACGGCGCACTTGTCGCATAGCTCCCATGAATGTCACACCATAGACATTGGTCATGACGGTCTGCTTTACAACTTTTCGTGTGATCCTTCCATCCAAGACCAGCGCAACCTTGTGGCCTTCAGCAGCGTCCTTCGCCACAGACTTCTTGACAAATTCAGAGACACCAGTGTAGACGTCGGAAGGTCGGTCAGACGGCTCCAGATTGACTTGCTGGGCACCGACTGTGTCGCCTCCGAGGGCAGCATAGTGCTGGAGTCCGTTGCAAGAACCGTCTTGGTGGATCGGAAGGCTAGAGGCATACGTCGTGGGATCGGGGAGTGCCAGGGCATTCCGAAGCTCACAACAGGCAGCCAGACATTGCCAAGGGTCCTCGGCCTTCAACCACCACCGTTTGCCATGAAGGCCCTTGTTCGCAGAGTCAAGAACATCATCAAGGTGATCCATAGCGAATTGTTCGCGCTCTGACATGCTGGCCTTGTCGAAGCCAGCCAAGTTGGCGATTTGAATTTTCAGCCAGCGTAATCCACCCGCACCCAGTGGCTTGGCCTTGCTGAATAGAAGCAATCCACGAGCGTTGTCGGCACCCATTTGATTGAGGTAAGGAGGAAGCGGATAAGCTCGACCACGGAAGTCGATATTGTGAGGAAGATAGAAGGTCTCATTGCGGAAAGCACGGGCAACTTCCAACTGGAAGTTCTGGAAGCATCGCATTGAGTGATATCCGGACCGAAGATTCTCAATATCGCGCATTTGCAGTTGCCAGTCCCGCTCGGCAGCGAAGCCGGCCTCAGGCTCTGGTTTTGGTGGAATGGGGAGATCCGGATCAAGTGGTGCAAGACTTGCAATACCTTCTCCAGAGTTCCAAGCTTCAAGCATGACTTCGAACACCTCGCGGTTGATGACCCAGCCAGTGTGGCCAAGTACGTCCAGTCCTTTGCGAATATCTTTGAGGCCATCGTTCTCCAAAGCCGCCTTCACATAGGCTGGCTGTAGAGTCTCACCAGGCGTGGATCGAACAATGTTGCTCTGGTATAGACGATATCCTCCCTTCTTTGCTCCCGTCCATGACTGTGGTTTGCAAACCATAGGAAGATGGCGGCCGAGAAGTTCTGCTGGTGGCTCTCTGCTAAGAATGTCGATAATTTCAGGGTTCATGTGGAAGAGACCCAATCGCTTTCCGAAGTTCATCTCGTAGGCATGCAGGAAAGCCGGGTGCATGGTTGTCGTAACGATACCAGTTTTGGGATCTGTAGTCTTGACAGGAGCTTTGGCAACATCAAACAGCAGGCCCATCAAAACAGCTCCGATTCTGACAGTAACACGAGGCGTCCAGGCAAATTCCTCGTGTTCCTTCTGCAAATTCTCGGACACGGCCTTCCACTGTAGACGACCATCCTTGCTCCTGCGACCAGCAAGCATTTCTTTGACCATCTTAAGTCGGCGAGAGTCGGATGTGGTGTTTTTCTTGAGATAAGCCTCGGCAATCAATTCGTCTTGGACACCTTTTCCGATGGATGCTGCAACCGTCGAGACTTTTGTACCCTTTTGCATTCCGTGCCGGGTGAAGACATCCATAACGGAGAGGACTGTGACCACAGCTAAACGGTCCGAGTCCAGAGACTGCAAGTACACGCCATACTCACAACGAGCTTTCTGTTCCTCGGTGCGCATTGGCTGGGTCTCGGCTTCCTCAGCAAGCTTGATCTCTTTCTTGATAGCATCTGAAAGGTCTGTATGCCACTGGCTCATGACGGACTTGAGTCTTGATCTACCCGAAGCGACATCCACACCAGCCTTGACTCTGCCCTCGAACTCGGCACGCCATCGCTTTGATGCCGTTCTCATTGTGTCGGATTCAAGTTGTTGTTGTCGAATCTGGGCGTAAAGTTCGCTTTTCTCCTCTTCCGTACCCTTAAAACCCTCTGGCAAAGCAACATGAGAGCCATCGGTGAACAGGGACAGCGATTCTTTCAGAGAGCTCAGACCCATACCCTTCAGTTCTGCTGCAAGTACCTCGGGCATGTCATCAATATTCTCCACAGACTGCTTGGGCAGGTCTTCGTCGAATGCGGCCGAATCAATCATGGGTGTGAGCAAATCGGAGTAACAGATCTGAGAGAGAGTTGAGCTATCAGCATTCCCGTAAGAGGCCCATTGAACATAACGCTGCAGGCAATACTAACCTTGGACAATTCACCAAGTTCTAGGTCAGTGAGTACCTCACTAGCCAGAAGGTCTTCGTGAAGACCAGCCTGCTTAGCAAGGCCCCAGTACCGGCGAACCGACCTCTCCCGCTTAGAACCATGCAGCATACGAAGAGACATGCGAACCATGATCGCAAATGTAGTGGCATCTGGTTTCACACCGCCCGCAGGCATGTCGACTTCGAACCATTTCTGCAATGGCAAAGCCATCTCGACCTGACGGGTGTAAATCATGTGCTTGACCATTGCCTTGAGATACCGATTGTGAAAAGCCAGGAACTCGGCGGAATCGACAGGGTAATATGCCTTCAACCGACTGATCAAGGCTGCCGCGCGATCAAACCGGCCCACTCGGAGGGACATGTCAAAATTCGCCATCATTTCATCCTCGTCGCCGCCAATTCCCCTTATCTTCCGCAGAATTTTTGGCTGGGTTTGGGGAATTTCGTTGAGGACGATTAAAGACGAAGTGTCGAATGGGTCGGACATTTGGAAGGGCGATGGAGTGATGCCCGGGGGTATGGAGAGCCGTCTAACATGTAGGATCCCTTCTCGAGTACGGATGGGTCGGCCGCAGTGGCGAGCTTGCGATGTGACTGGAAAGATGGCCTTCGGGGCCGTTCTTGTGTCGAAGTGCATTGTGAATTCACGATGGAAGTTGGGCGGCCGGAATTCGAGTGCAGGCGCACTGCCGGAGATGCGCCCAGTGCCCTGACGGCATTCGCCTTGCGTAGGTGGAAGAGCGCATTTTTCTGACGGGCGACTCGGGACAACATGATGCAAAAGATGTCGCTTTAGAGAATCAATGATTAAAAGAGTAGAGAGGTAAATGCCAGCAAGGGATGGAAGAAAAATTAAGAATGAAGTATCGAGGCAAAACTGGAAGAAAAAAAAAGGCAAGAGAACGCAAATAATGCAAACGAAAAGCAGAAGTGCGCAACACAGCGAAGAGAGAGAAGGTATTCGCTAGCTTAGTTAGGGCAGCTCTGTATTTCTTCCGAATGCCGTCCTGCAGCCCTCAGCCCGAGCGAAAAACGACTTGGATAAAGAAAGGAATGGGACGAGGATGGATAGGGATGCTGCGCACGAGAGCTGCCCGGAGACTCGGCGAAAAAAAGCGTCGCGGACGCGTGACTGCACGTGACTGCCCCTGATAAGCTCCCGCTGATTGGTGGCAAGATTTACAGAGTGACAATGCTCATCGTATGAGCTTGGTTACCCATGTTCAATTTATCGTCGACGAATCATAAAGTAGATAATCTACCAGTGATTATACGATTTTATTGCACGAAGTTTGAGGATGGAGGGCGGAAAGTATGATCATGCCTTGAACGGCAGTATGCCCATTCGCTATCAATAGTACAAGGAACCCATGGGCCGACAGATGAACCTCCAGTCTTTTGAACGCCAAGTTTAATCATATGCTCAACAATGCTACAACATTGGATCAGCTTTCATCCTCACTGTCCGATGGCCCGTCCATCTGCTTTTGTCGATTTTGTTTCATAGCCCACCCAGTCAGTTCGGGCCGTGCAGGATCAATCCGAGGTGCACTCATGCCATCCAAATAATCCTCGCTGTTAATGGTGGCCTTTAGTTGAGGTAGATCATCAGGTTTCTGGTTCATCATGTAGTTTTCATAGGTGTACCATGATTCCTCGGTCTGAAGAGAATTGCGCATTAGATTTGGGTCACGGTTGCAATGGGGGAAACTCAAAGTGGCCGCCTCGACGATGAATGCTTACCTCTGCATCGACCCATTCAAAATTATTCCACTGTTCTTCTTGCATTTTCTTGAGCAGATCCAGATTCCCGTGAAGGATGGCGCCTCCGTCTTCCGCGCCCTTGACCTTGACGTCGATGGCGCGTGCCTCGGTTTCAGCAGGACGTTCTTCATCCTCTTTCTTGCCCTTACCACCTCGTCCCTTGGGCAATTCATCCACTGCGTCTAAATGATGAATTTGAGGTTGTAATTGGACCACAGCGGAAACGGGAGATAGATGCAGATTTTCTGATTGCCATGTTAGCGATATCCATGAGGAAAATGCCATTCCTCTGTACGAGAGGATGAGTAATGAACATACTGCCTTTGAATGTGGCCAGCATATAAACTGGATCGCCTTCCTCGGAAGGTTTGATACGCCCACCGAGTGACTGTGTCCTGAGTAGCGCGGACGGGTCCATGCCCTTCTTGTTGTCCAGCACCTCGACATCATCAATGCTTTCTGCCTTGATCCGTCCTCCACCGCCAGGAATACCACCAGTGCTGAAACCGCCAGCCATACCGTAAGCGCCGCCACTGCGCGCAATGCGACCCTTCTTCATGGCATCACCATATCGAATTCCCTTGTCCACATCATAGGTGCATCTAGTGAAGATCGGCACTTCAAGCTCTACCAAACCCGTGTCAGGCTTCATGCGCATGACAGTCGGTTTTTGACCCTTCCTTTCATTGTATGGTTTGGATTCTGGGCGGTCGAGATATTGGAAGACGTAGCGAGAGATCTCGGAGTCAGTGAGGAAAACGTCGTAGGAGGCAATAACCGGATCGTCTTCGGTGGAGCCCATGATGGGCAGATGGGTGAATGGGATAAAGTGTGAGTATGAATATGATCGTGAGAATGGTCAGGATCATGAAAAATCTCAGAGTGTCACCAAGCTCTTGTGGTTGGGTTTTTTTTCTTCCGATAGCTCGCGCATATCATCGACCGTGATAAGCGGGGAGTGCCAGAAAAAGAAAGCTCCCTTCACCGCTCTCCAGTCACCGCCTCAATTGTTTATATTCAAAGCGTTCCCTGCATCCTTGTTTCTCTCTTCAAGGACCTTATTGTCATGCCGTGGGGAGTCGCTACTCGTCCTTCCTCCCATCCTCGCCTGCATGCTCCCTGATGTCGAAGCGTTCTGCCTCCATCCTCATTGAGCTCGTCAATTGATTCTCAATGCGTTCCTAGCGTGAGAGACGCACCCTCCTACTCGACTCCACCTCCACCTCCATTGCATTGTGGTTGACCGGCCGTCATCATCTCTCAATGTCTCATGCGCGTGTTCCTGGCTTGGAATCGGCCCTCTTGCCACCCCATAGCGAGTTGCGCGCTTTATCGCAGCCAATGACCACACAACACTGCCGTACCCCTTCCGCTAGAAAGCTACGGAGGGGCCGGCTCGACACAGCAGGGCCCGTTCTTCACTGATCGGGCCATACCATACCCCGCCGATGCATCGTCGCTCCACAGATTGGCCGACCGGGCGGTGGTTTTCGGGCTACATAGCCCACCCCTACGGTTCAGATGACCTAATCGCATTGAACCAACGACAGCAGCCGATCCTCCGGGATCACTTGGATTCTTCAATCCACCCCTACAGTTCAGATGATCTAATCACATCGAACCAACGACAGCCTTGATCCATTGCGATCATCCCTGATCCTCCAGGATCACTTGGATTTTTCAGTCCAGCAGAGCAGGCTAAGACGTCAGTTCTTCCTGGAAGACGCATGTATGGGTGTTGGGGGCTGTTGATGAGCTATTTGGCTTTCAATGTCGGTGGAGATGGGGTGGAGGCCAGTAGGATTTTAAACTTCAATCAATATCAATGAATTACCATTGGTCGGTGCATCTTTCTCCTAGATCGTCTTTCTAAACAAGTATATCTGAGGCTATTGTGGCCTACCCAAGTTGATCCCTCCATTGGTCTAAATGTTTTCTTTTCCCACAGCCTTCATCTTTCCGTAAACAGCACCGAGTGCGAGCCTTGTTTCCTACGCCACGTAAGCTGATAGGTTTACGGTTTTACCAGCTGGTATTCCCGCCCGGCGGTAGATTCGGGGCTGAAAAGCATTAGCGCCCTTGACACGCTAGGCTGTCACAGTCAAGTACTTCCTGGACCATGGGACCAAGTTCTTGGTTGGCCTTATTTAAGCCCTCGGCCCCATCCCAAGGACAGGAAACCCCCTTCCTTCCAGTCTTGCTTGGCACAGGCAAGAAATCCTGTCTTCCATCTACAATTCCTCAGCACCCACAATGAAAATGCCGTCATTGATCTTTGTCCATGGAGCTTGGCACAGCCCAGAGTACTGGTCCAAAGTGATCCCTGCCTTCAAGCAGCAAGGGTATCGTTGCTTTGCCCCGCAATTGGATTTCTGTGGCACAGCCCAGCCCGTCGACTCCCTCGCGAGCAGCGTAAACCAGATTCAGACACTCATTGCCGAAGAAACCATACTGGGGAATGATGTTGTGTTGATCAATCATTCGTTCGGAGGCTCCGCAGGCTGCACATCCGTCAAAGGGTTCACTCAGAAAGATCCATCGAGATTGACTCCGAATTCGGGCAAAGTCATTGGAATCATCCAGCTTTGTGCCTTCATGCCACGTTCGGATCTTTCTCTATACGACATGGTCGATATTACACGTGTATTCCACCACTCTGGACCAGATGGTTGGGAAATTATTGATCAGGACCCCGAGGCATTGTTCTATAACGACCTGCCCCCAGAGGACGTCCAGTTCTGGAAGAGTCGTCTGCTGAAACACTCATCTGCCACGTTCAAGGACGCGGTCAATGTCTATCCTGGATGGGCTGATGTGCCAGTCTCGTATATCTTCTGTAAGAAGGACGGTGCTATTCCGCTCCAGATTCAAGAGGCGATGGTCGAGGGCGCGAAGGAAGCAGGTGCATCTATCACGACGAAGTCCTTGGATACTGGCCACAGCCCCTTTTTGAGCAAAACCGAGGAAACGATTGGTGCGATCGTGGAATCTTTGAACACCTTGCAAGGCCAGTAATGAATGAATATGGTTGTCATTGTCTTCGCCATCTTGCAGTCTCGTAGTCGGAGGTCGGCGTCCAGTAGTAGGAGTGGTTGAAGTGTGGAGAACAGGCGGAGTTGAATCGGGAATGTCAACAACTATCTTCATGGGTTATATCCCCGTAATAGGTATTCTAATCACTCTCCCCCCTCATATGGCCTAGTGGTCTATTGACCTTTGGGTGTGCCCTGAAAAGGGCAAACATGTGATGGGAATAGGTACAGGCCTCCAGTGTCGAGTATAACTCCACGGATGGTCGGGCACATCCCTAGGCGGGGAGAGTGGGCGGGTGGGCATGCGAGGTGGTGGCAGCACCTCCTCGCGGATAAAGATCTTTTTTTTATAAATATAATATTACTCTTATATATTAATACTCTAATAATCTTAGAGCTAAATGAATTTTTTTGAAGGTGTTAGGAGAGTGTAGAGTGGTGCTGTTCGTTAGTGTGGTCGAGGCTGACTCTAGATGATGTACTTCGGCATCGTGGGACAGCGATCGAGCATCGCTATGAAGTATATAGGGAACGAGAAGATTGGGGGTTCGATTCACGGAGGTGGAGATTTTACCCAATTTGTTTTGGGCAGGTTTTGCATTCATTGATGGACCGTCTAAGACTCCTTACTTTATAAAACCAGTGTTGTCTCCTCGTCTCCTGTAAAGAAGGGCTGCGACTCTTCAAGTGCCAAGTCCTTGCCTCGTTAGACTGAGGCTGGGACTGTTTCCTGAGTTGAACTGCTACAAAGTTTGATCGCATTAAGCTCGATTACTGAAAGATTTCAGTGATAACATCCACCAGCTCAGGGTCATCTCACTTCTAGGTGATACATCAGAGGAATTTCCGGGAATACGTGGGTAACACCAAGTAATAGGAAGCCAAAGGCAGACTTGACAGGTCATTCACTGCCCGGAGACTGGACCCTTTCGCTTGCTGAAAACCAGATGGAGAGGTGGCACTGCCATGGTGAAAGTATCCTTGGAGTCCTCATCGAATCTCTTTCCATCCTCCCCAGGCGCCAGTGCGATATTAAACTCCCTTGCGATTGACCAGATGGCCATACGCATTTGGAGATATGCCAGTTGCTTGCCCGCACAGGCATAATGACCTTGAATTGAAGGTGAGCATGATCGATAATGAAAATCATGGACGAGAATTTCTTACCGATAGTGAAGGGGAAAAACGCTCGATCCTCAAATACTAAGCCTTGGTCTTTCTCAAGCCATCGCTCTGGGAGAAACTCCAAGGGACGAGAAAAGTTGCGTGCATCTCGTTGCAGCAAATATTGTGGAACAACAACAATCGTATTTCCCGGAATCCAAGTTTCATCAATATAAAGACCCTCGGGAGGTGTGACCCTCATCTGACCGCTAGGCACGACAGGTTTCAAACGAAGAGTTTCGTTGATTACTGCCTCAAGGTACGGCAAGGGATGTGCAATATCGTGGACACCCTGTGCCTCATCAACCACCGTTTGCAATCTCTTATGCACCTCCGGATGAGTCGCAAGATAGTACAGAACGTGGGCGAGGGTTGTAGCGGTGGTATCACTATTTTCATCAGAATTCTGTTCATAGAAACAGATAATGATAAACCAACCTCCCAGCGACAACCACAAGTCTACCCTCATCATATAGAGATAAGTCCGAAGCGGGTACGCAAGCATCGCCGTCATCCTTTGCTTTCAACAGCCAGGAGACGACATCAGTTGGCTTTTTTTCAGCATCATTGCGCCATTGCTGTTTGTTATCAGCGAGTGATCGTGCATCTCCCATGAGTCCTCATGTCCGCCATACCTTCTTTCGATTCTCTACTTGCTCAATGCAGTATTTATTGAAGATCGCGTAGGGGCCGCCAAGTCCAGGGATGCGGACGAGCAAATGCAGAACCCATGGAACTGCACCGAGAAGACCAATTTGCTCTAGCTGCGCATGCATGGCAGTAATTGCGTAATGTTCAGCACCGTCCTCAAGCTGGCCAAAGTCCTTTTTGAATGCGATCTCTCCCATGACATCGAAAGTGTAATATTGTGTCCATTGTGTGACATTGATGGTTTTGGAATCCCGCTCTTTAAGTTGCTTGATCAAGGTGTCAACCTTCTTCTGAATGTTAGGTTGATAGCTGGAAAGTGCTACACAGTTAATCAAGTACACAGTCAGTTCCTTGACAGACATTGCAAGAGGAGTTTGATCTAACTCAACCTTTCGTCCCAAGGCCTCTATCCCATGCTCTTCGACGGCCGCGGTGGAGTTCACGATCTCTCAAAGCTAGGAGGCCTATTTTGTCGGGATTATCGGAAATCTGGCTGTACCAAGGCCCTCTTGAACACTTGGATTGCGGGCCATGAATGATTCGCACCGCTGACGAGCGATTGACAGAAATCTCGCGAGGCCCTATCAAGCCAATAAGTTCAGGATTGATCCCTTGAAGAAGGTGCAAGAGAGTGATAGACCTGTTCTAACGAAATCCCCGTACTCCGCATGTAGCTTCTCTAACTCAAGGTGATATTTGAAGTCAGAGCGTTTGATGATCGATACATTATAAAATCGGCTGATCTTTGCACCCCATGGTCCAGGAAAATGTCGCAAGCGATGGAAGAATAACCGATAGACCACGGTGCTGGCCCCCAGGCTTGCAAGGAAAGAAAGGAAAGCGAGTGAAGATTTCGCGGTCGCAACGACATAATCAACACCTAGTAGTTCCGTGAACGAGATAGCCAAGCCGGCCCAGGTAGCGAAAGCCCCAATGAGCAAGCTACCGACAGAGCTGTCAATTTCACTGGTGAGTATACATAAATGGAACAAGATACCCAGGATACCAAAAGTCACAGCGATGTGACTATTGTCTGAAAAACAACCCAAGAACAATGATGAGTGCATTTTGATATTTGGTGAGAGTATCCAAAAAATCCTTAAATATCTTAAAGACAACGATGTATCGGCCTAATCTATCGCAGTTAAGGAACCAGGTGTATGAGTCTCCGTATTGCCGACCCTCCAATATTGAAATATGCTGCCTTTAATTTGACACTTGGACCATGCATATGCAACACGGCTGCAAATACAATCTCTTTGTGGCTAGCTATAAGCCAATGACAAAATCCGATTGGCGCCTTAAGGCGACCAACGTTGCACGACATGTCAACACATGCTTGAATATGCACCTGAAAAGCCTCCGATATTATGACTGGGTGATAAACGGGCACAGACCAATTTTCCAAGGATAAATCAGTCGTAACATGATGTTGGGAGACCTGCCACTGAGGCAATTATGCTGGATGGCGATAGGTACCCTCAAGACTGTCCAATCCTAGTCCATGAGGTATCAGCTCGCCAACATTACATGCTTTAGTCCCATGCTGAAGCTCAGTTAAAGACGTCATGATCACCCCATAATGGGCTGACTTGTGCGGGGTCTTTGCGTAGGTAGGATAGCTACCATGTGCCCTGGAGCACCCGCTATCTCCATGGACCGAGGCACAATTTGCACAAAAACTGGATTGTGTAAGTGAGGATAAAATCTTGTCCAAAAGAAATAAACCTGTTAATATGTGTTTGATGGGACATAATCAAATGCTCCAACCTCATCCGTGCTTGGAAAACCTCTCAACCCATGAAATAGATCATTGCCCCATGACGGATCCTCAAAGAGCATTTGAAGTGTAGGGTCCACAGAAAATGACGCTGATGGTATCCCGGCATCTTCTTGCAATAGATCAACTTGATAATTGGATCGATCACCGTCAGATATAGCTGAGCATTGTCCTTGTTGCTGAATTTGATCTCGTAACCTGTCTAGAACAGCCAGGCACCGTGTTGCAGCTTTGTCCTTTTGGCTCAATGAGACCAAGCAGTCACGAGCTCTGGAAACAGACAAGAGCCAGAGGTCTTGATTTCTATCTTCCAACCCGGATTCAATGGAATGGAGTGACCGAAGATGGTGGATGCTGAGGACAACTGCCGCCTGGAAGAGGAAGTAGGTTGCGTACCAACTCAGGCCAGCGTGGACTATGTCGATATTATTTTGGAGGAAATTTGTAATCTCCTGTATTGTCTCAACTGCTGTGAGATGGCAGATGCTTTTGGCTTCTTCGTGATCGGAAGGAAGATTGCATAACTTCTGACTTCCCCACCATAGCATCATTCGAAGGTTTTGCTCCTTCCATATGATAATTGCACGGGGTCCCCGAAACCATTCTGGAACCGCATTGGCGGTAAAGTAAGAAGGCAGTGATAACTTCCAAGCATTGAACTGATGGTTGATTGAACGAGAAACTCTCAGGTCCCATGAGGTCTTGTTTGTCGACGATATGAGTTCACCAAACACAGCATTTGCGATCGATGTCAAGCGTGACTGTGCAATGATTGCCGAATAAGTGGTCGGAAGATCCATTGCTGCCGGCAAGATAGATTGTAACGTGCAAGCCTGTGATGGAAGTTTAGTAAGTCTTGTTGTTTCAAAAAAGAATTCAGATTCTCTCACCGAATCATCGATATTTCGCGGAAGGTGAGTTTCAATGAACGAGTCGGAAACAGTTATTGGCCTTCCAGTTGTGATGCTGAAGCCCGAGTCAAAGCAATAGACTATCCACCAGACTACTCTTCGGCGCTCATTGGAGAGTGTATCTTCCACCGTCACCGTGGGAATCTCTCGATGAAGGCCCAAACCAAGCGCCATTCGGTGCGCAATTCCAATGAAATTGTAGCCGGTGTTAGGCCGATCTCGCTTTTGAAGATAGTTGCCCTGCACAACATTAACTTCATGATGCCTGAATTGGGAGAATCATTATTGGTGAGCTTACCATCAAAAGGCAAACCTGGACGTTCAGCAGAGTTCCAGACTCTAGCATGCGCATTGACATACATGAGCGCGCAGCCATGTAAAATCTGGATTGCTCAGCTTCTGACTCTTCACCTAGAATCCAGTGACCAATTGCAAAGACAAGGTGGAATATAACGTGCCAGCTTGACCGTGAATTAACTTGATAGCGATTTTGGAATTTCTCTCGAAAGGTCTTCTCGTGAAGGATAGGGTACGAAGGGTTATACCATCTAAAATAGGCATCAACAAGGCTCTCTAGTGTGGAAGCGTCCGCAAGGTTCACAAGTTGTGAAGGACTACTGGTCTGGTTACTGTTTGCGGGAGAGCCATGTGGTCGATGCCTCGAACAGGAGGTGGTATTATCAGGAAGAAGGTTTGAAATCGCGTTGAGCATTGTTGACCCTGAGGTGTTACCTATGATCTAGTCAGCGCCTGTTCAGAATTTCTGCCTTAAGAGGCCTCAACAATCTCACCCAGGTAGCCGGATTCCGTTCGTCGGGTCGGAAGCAGAGCCATCCCATCTGGTGCATCTTTCTGTACTCGTAATGGAGACATAGTCGAGGATTCACTCCATTCAAATCGATCCAATGAAGGAGCACTCTCTGAATCAGATTCAAGACCCTCAGGTCTTTCCATGGACACAGTCGGCTTGGCCTCAGCATTCTCTATCATTGAATCCAGGGCCACTTGGATATCAATATCGGGATTAAATCTGTGAACTAAGGAGATCAATTTTGCACATCGCAGCTCTGCTGCATCCAGATTTCTAGAACCATGTCAGAAAAGGCAGGGAGCCCCAAACATACTTTCGACACTCACTTTCTCGTCAGCGGGGTACGAGCCGGGGGTCGGCCAAAGACGCAGTTTTTATTTGTTCGAGAACAGTATGAGCATGGCAAAGAGCCAGAGCACTAGTTGTTTCTTAGTATACGTTGATAGTCCAGGCTCCTCTTAGGAGTCGTACCTTGCTTTTTCGCTTCTGCAAGATCGTTGTAATCAGTGATGAACAACACAGAAAGAAAGATGTTTTCTTACACGACACTCTGTACACTATCAGAAGTCAGTATTAAATCAATCGCAACCCCAACATGAGTAATTACCGCTCGAAGATCATGTGGACCGGACGATGGACGCCCGACCTTCGGCATTTTCGAGGAGTGTCAAGGCCAAGATCAACCCTTGCTTCTGGATGATCGATCTTAATTCCTCAGGGCGGCATGTAACGTCAAATCGCGTTTGATTCGATTGCTGGACATGAAAAATTGAAGATAGGATAGACGATGATCCAGTCCCTCTCTTTGCGGGGCAACATAGTTTCCTGTGGATGAATCATCGGACCGCAGCCGTCCGATCCGATACATACACTGGGATATGGCTTAAAGACACGCCCACTCCCTCCGTTGATAATAGGAATTGCCTTCAGCAACACTCCCGAGATATAGCACTCTCTCGATCCGTGGTGCTGACTTTTACTTCGTTCTTTAATATTATTCAGCGTTCATGATGGTCATCGCGCCCCTAGAAGATTATCGCAAGCCAGCTTCTAGAACCTTTGTTATTACTATATACACGGCGAAGGACATGATGTAACAATTAAAATACAGTTGCACCTCCATCAACAAGAATGTCCGACCCATTCATATAAGTCCCGGCGGAGCTAGCAAGTAGCACAATTGCTCCTGTCAGCTCAGATGGGCTGCCCATTCGCCCACTTGGGTTTCGCTCAGCCCAGAGTCGCCTGTGGGCATCTAGTCCCTTCCCTTCATTCAAAATTGTATCCATATAGCCCGGGCTCACACTGTTGGTTCTGATGCCATACCGAGCCCACTCTGCAGCAAGTGAGCTTTTTAGCATCAAAAGTGCGGCCTTGCTAACATTGTATGCCACCTGAGGCTGTGGGTAATTCACGCGATGTGCCGAAATGGATGCCACAAAGGTAACTGAGCCTCCAGTTCCTCGCTTGACCATCTCCCGTGCAGCTGCTTGGGCACAGATAAATGATCCAGTAGTATTAATGTCGAGGATCTTTCGCCATTGCGAGACGGGCATCTCAAGGGTTTCGACACAACCGACGACCCCGACAAAGCAGACAAGGATATCGACTGACCCAAGTAGACGAACTGTTTCTTCCATTGCGTCGCGAACTGCATCCTCGACAGTGACATCAACTTTCTGGGTGGAAATCTTAGCGCTTGGAAATTTCGACCTCAATCTTCCGATCTCCTTTTCGCTGCTTGCGGGATTGACATCGAAGATCATGAGGCCCTGAAGGCCATGTTCAAGTAGAGCTTCGCAAGATTGAAGACCTAGCGTGCCGGCACCTCCAGTGACGACGGCATTTCCTCTAACGGAGAATCTCTTTTGAGCACCAACTGCAGGGTCGGCTTCAGATGTTGAAGTTGGGGGCGGGGTCATCGAAGCGGGGCTGCCATCGCTGAGGATCATCGATGGGATAGACCTTGCGGCGAGGGCATCGCGGTCGGTCAGATCGTTTGAAGGCGCCATGGTGAGACCAAGAAGAATTTATATGGAGCTGGAGAAAGTGGAAAGGTAATGCAATTAAAAGAATAGCATCAAAGGGAGCGAAAGACGCTTGAAAGAGACGAATTTAAATGGTTGCATACAGGAAGTACAGCACAGTCCAGACGCAGAAAGTGTCGACTGGCCCAATCAAGAATTATTGCCACCGAGGTAAGATCGGAAATTTGTTGTCCGATCTGATATTTAGCCAATGGCGATGATTCTCACAGCTTGCTTCATACAAGTTCCACTATTGCCATAGTATCATGGGTGCCATGGAAGAGGCAGTAGGAGAAACAGTTTGAGCGCTACTTCGAAAGCATCGGGCCACAAAACGCCGATGAATGTGGACCACAGTGTCCTGGGGTCAAGCAACTCACCCAGTCGCCTCGGTTAATTCCCGATGGCGGGGTTCTGGTGGAAATAGCCGCATTTGTACTTGGCCATCAAGTCATGGGTAGTTGAGGTACTTTCTAGCCATCTTAAAGATTACAATATGAGCCACTCGAATGCATTCGGGTTTTCCAGGAGTTGCTCAAATTCTTTTCACTTATTTCTGCCTTTTGTTATTCAAGAATCAAAGTGACATGAGAAGCTAGGCGCTAAATGTAGAGTTTATTTTAATTTGATCTCCTCGTTAATTTACCGCAGCGAGTGCCCCGGCGGACAGTATACCGAAAACGAGTGGGTCACTTCGTTACATCTGCTCAGTTATAAAGCCAACCGAGGAGAGGCTTGGAGGATTTCATTTTCCTACACAAACCTATACCGCCACAATCATAATCACCACAATATGTCTATGTCTATCGAGGATAGCGCTCCGGCACGCGAGGGATTTCCCCGGCCTTTCCCAAACACACCCTCGAATGTGTTGGAACAATTCCGCCTAGACGGCAAAGTTGTGGTCGTTAACGGCGCCGCTGATGGAATCGGTCTGGCGGTAGCACAGGCTATGGCTGAAGCCGGGGCCAATGTCGCCCTGTGGTACAACTCGTAGGTCATTCAGTTCCGATCGAGTGTCTGTACAGAGGTAATACTCACAATAATGCAAGAAACAACGCAGCTATTGAGAAGTCTCAGGAACTCGCAAATCTACACAACGTGAAATCCGCTGCTTACAAAGTGGATGGTAAGCCATCGAAGATATTCAAAATTTTGGAGTTCAGTTAGACTCACTTTTCTCAATACAGTCTCCGAGTCAACGCAGGTTTCCGAGACCATGGAAAAGGTTGTTGAAGATTTTGGCAAAATTGATGTTTTCGTTGCCAACGCAGGTGAGTGACACATTAAGAACCGTGTCACTCTACCCATGCTGACTTTGACACAAGGAATGGCTATTTCCAAACCTATCCTGGAGCAGACTCTAAGCGAGTATCAGAAACAGATGTCCGTGAATGGTATGACTCCTCATCTAGCAGAATGGCCATAATGTGTAATCTAACATGTATCCAGTTGACGGAATCGTTTACTGCGCCAAATATGCGGGCCATGTCTTCCAACGTCAGGGCTTTGGTAACCTCATTATTACCTCGAGTATGAGTGCTCATATCGTCAATGTACCCGTTGATCAGCCTGTGTACAACGCTACCAAGGCGTTCGTTACCCACTTCGGGAAGTCTCTTGCCCGCGAATGGCGAGAGTTTGCTCGGGTCAACATTGTCTCACCGGGATTCTTCGATACAAAGATGGGGGCCAGCCCGCTTTGCCTCAATGAAGCATATCGTATGTCATCTCTGGGACGACAGGGCCATGTTAAGGAGATCAAGGGATTGTATCTCTACCTTGCAAGTGATGCTTCAACTTACATGACTGGAAGCGATGTGCTCATCGATGGTGGTTATGTTTTGCCTTAAGCCCCAGACTAGGACCTTTAATTAACATAGAATAAAGTATTGCCATTGGAATGAATTCATGCTTGTTCACCATGCCGCCGAAATCTTGGTACGAAACCTTCGTAAACACGCAAGCTTCCCGGTATGGCGCTTTGTCCCCCGATATGGCTATTCCTGGCACAGTCTATCCCATCTTTCGCCGATCAGTCTTTTTGGAGTAAAAGAGTCGATGGTATCCCCTTATAAGTAACGTCAATTGGAAGGCCCCGAGGCTGAGTGATCTGAGCTACGCGCGGCCCCAGGGTCCAAAATCACACAGATTAAGTTGTGGGGGCTGGCCCCTACATGGCTTGGATACGTAAACCCGAGGGGCGGAGATTATCGAGGAAGCAATTTGAAATATTATAGGCTCATGAATAATAGTCCCCTAATTCCTTTTAATATCAATCTTCGAGGCCACCAACGTTTGGGGCACGACCGCAATATGATACCCCATTGAGGAAAAGCTTGTAGCATAGCTGAAATACGTTAAAACTTGATATAAGTGAGAGGTCTGTCTCTTGGAACACAATCTTCTTGGAATCAATTATCAATTCCAAGACTCTCGAGATGAAGCTAGGAGTTACCACTATCGTGCCTCTCTTGATGGGGACCGCCGCCCTGGCGGCAGATGCAGCCTCCAAGCCAAATTTCATCATCATTCTCACTGATGATCAAGACCTTCGTATGGGATCCATGGATCACTTGCCAAAGGTGAAGAAGTATTTGACCGACGAGGGCATGTTTTTCAACCATCATTATGCTACGGTGGCTTTGTGCTGCCCATCGAGAGCGAGCATGTGGACCGGAAAGGCAGCACACAACACAAAGATCACAGATCTAAAACCACCCTACGGTATGAAAGATGGAAATCTGGAATGAATTTGCCTTGCTAAGTGGATTCAGGTGGATATCCCAAGTTCATCTTGGAGGGATACAACAAGAAGTGGTTGCCAATCTGGATTCGGGAAGCTGGTTACAAAACTTACTTTACCGGTAAACTGATGAATCAGCATAATATCGACAACTACAAAGACGGGCTGGGTGATATGGGATTGGATGGGCATGACTTTATGATTGAGCCAGGTAAATTGAACGGCACTTGGCAGATATAGATGTCTCCTAACTCCTGGTAGGCACTTATCAATACGTGAACACCACCATCCAACACAACATGGACAAGCCTGTCTCACACCCTGGACAATATGCAACCGATCTACTCGCAGATCTGTCCATTTCCTGGATCGATGATGCTGCTGAGAAAAAGTCGCCCTTTTTCCTTGCCATCAACCCGGTCAATCCCCACGGTAATTACGACTGGAACAATGGAAAACCGAGGTGGACTGCGCCTGTACCGGCAGACCGCCACAAAGATGATTTCCCAGGCGCAATAGTCCCGCGTGATACCAAAAACTACAATCCTGACAGCGTGGGTACCCATCTTCTTTGTCAAATGGCTCGAGTCGCAAGCTTACACTTCAAGACAGCCGAGTGGTGCCAGCTGGGTTCACGGACTGGATAAGCTGGATGACTCCACAATCAAGGATAATGACAACCATTATCGTCGTCGGCTTCAGGCTCTTCAGGCTGTTGATGATTTGGTTGAGAAGACTATTCAGCGACTGGAGTATCATAATATGCTCGACAACACTTATATCATTTACACATCGGACAATGGCTTCCATATCAGCCAGCACCGGTTGACTCCCGGAAAGCGATGTCCGTATGAAGAAGATGTGCGTTATACCTCTCATGTCGATTTTCTCGAACCGATGCGCAGATAAAGTGCTAATTCTTCAACAGGTCAATGTTCCTCTCGTTATTCGAGGCCCCAAGGTACCAAAAGGGAAGACTGTCGACTTTGTCACCTCTCATCTGGATATTGCCCCTACGGTTGTCAACTGGGCTGGTGCAAAGGGACCTGGAGATTTCGACGGCGCGGTAATCCCTGCAGACGGTACACCTGGATCTCAGGAGCCTTGGGAACATGTACAGGTTGAGCACTGGGGACTTGTATCGGACAAAGACAATGTTCCTAAGGATCTAATTGGAAAGGTAAACACGTACAAAGCTATTCGGGTGATTGGGCCGAAATACAACCTGTATTACGCGGTCTGGTGTGACGGAGACCATGAGGTCTACAATATGGCGGTAAGAACCTTACATTTCCAGACTCTTCCAGCATTAGCTAACAATTCAAAGACCGACCCATACCAAATGAACAATCTGTACAATTCATCTCAAACCGTCCTCGGTGCTTTAATGAAGAAGCTCGAGGACAGGTTAGATGCGCTGACCCTCGTTCTGAAATCGTGCGCTGGTGATTCGTGCCGCCAGCCTTGGGAGCAACTACACAAAGACGGTAAAGTGAAAACATTGGTTGACGCTCTCAAACCAGAGTTCGACGACTTTTACAAGAATCAGAATAAGGTCAAGTTCGCTCAGTGCGCAAAGTCGTACTTTGTGCAGAATGAGCTGCCGATTAAGTATCATACCTATAGGAAGGACGGTTCGATTCAGGATCGGGATGTGGATTGGTGGATGCATGCGGGTTGATTTTTTGAGGGTCGTGATTTTTCTCAAATTGTGAATGTCTGTTGATGCTATTGATTATTGGGAGTGAGGCGTACACGATTTGACCTCTCTGCGTGTCTTGAATATCCCGGAATTGCGAAATTGTTTATCGGGCTTGCATCCTAAGATAGTAGCGCGGAAAATGGGAGAGATATAATAGGTATTTATCGAATTGGTAACGAGTGACATATGTATCTGTTCAAACATCTCGTGACAATATAAAAGTCTGGTAGGCTGACTCAAGAATTTCGGCTAAAATCCAGGAAGTCCCAGCGTACTAGATACTAATTATATAGTCTTGGGTATTTCCAACTGACGCCCTCAACCAATTTCCAACAGACCAGCTGAACGAGCAGGAAGAGTGATCTTCTGCGCCTTAAGCGAGAAGCACGAGCTTATTGCTTCTTGACAAAATCCAGTCCCCTAGCTAGCCAACAACCGGTCTTAAAGCCCACGACGGAGCCACTCTCGTCGCGATGGATCACCATAGTCCAGTCTCCTGGTGCTGGCGCATCCAGCCCACGGGGGCAGCTCAGGGCCCACACATCATCCCCAAGATAACGTATCGGCGTGACGATACCCTGTCCAAGGTATCCGTCGAAGCACCCGTACAACATGCCTGCCTCTCCAATACAGTGGAAGGTAGAGTCAACCTCCTCACAATAATAATCACCCGTCAACGCCGGCTCCTTGAGACTGCTATCACGCGGAGTGAGGCGCCGGGCTTCAAGTTTCCGGTTCTCCGACACGCGATGAATGTGCAAGACATCCCCGTCAATGGACCCAGTCATCGAGCGGGATTTGCCGTTCTTCGCATCAATCAACTTGAGCGATGCGGGCTCCAAATGGGCGTCGTATGTAACCAAGACTTCCCCTTCTCGCGAGCTCTTGGCTACAGTGATTGCCAATTGAGTAGCCTGGTCGAGGAAAACGCCATACCATTCTGCGGCAGGTTTCATGGGCGCGCTTTCGGGGTTAGGTCGATTCAATACACCTCGAAGGATATCTTCAACCGCTGCGGATGCATCGGCCTCGTGATTGAATAGAACCACGACGGATAGATGCTCCTGTGGCACATGTTTCCGATGTAGCCGGTATCCTCTTAAAGCTCCACCATGACCGATTGCGTTGATGCCATTGATATCCACATGACTCAGACCATAGTGATACCTCGCAGCCGCACCATCGCTATAGGTCTGTGGCCTGGTCGCAGTGTAGTACCAGCTCTGCGGGTCAGCAGACAACTGGTCGAGGTACTTCTCATAGGCGATCATATCATTCAGAGAAGCTACCAATCCGGCATCGCCCGACCACTCCATGCGGTTGACTGCCTCATAGAATCCGTGGTCTTCGTTCCCTTCGTAGCCAACGCAGGGTGGTGGATGGTGGGCAGTGTTCGGACAAAGCAGCGCAGTTGTCATTCCTGCTGGCTTCAAGACTCTCTCCTCGAGCAGTTTTCCAAGTGGCTCCCCAGTGACATGCTCAATGATTCGTCCCAGCAAATAGAAGTTCACATTCGAATACGAGTACTCCGTCCCCGGTTCGAAGTGCAGCGACTTGGTCCTATCCAGCATCGAGGGAGTATCCCTGTCAATCAAGAACTCATCCTCTGGTTTGGCTCCCCATAGAGTCGTCATAGCCCAGTAATCACGAATGCCGGACTGCATATCGCACAGATTCTGGAGCGTCAACCCCTTCTCTCGAGCCATGGGGAGCAACTCATGCAGCTTCTCGATGAATTGACTCTGCACATCGCCCTTGGCCGCCATCGTAGGGGTGGGATTCCGATGAAGATCCATCATCAACCCGCACACAAACTGCTTAGTGATTGAGCATATTGGGAATTGGGTTGACGGGTCCACGGGAATGCGACGAGACTGGTCGGCGTATCCCCAGACACGTTGGCTGATGACCTCGCCATTCTTGATGACTGCCAAGGCACCGCCGGGTCCTCGGTAGCGAAGGGGAATCACATTAATGATTTCTTCGATGGTCTGCTTCTGGACCGACATGCTGGACGTTGTTTGTGGGAGAGAAGAAGGTCCCTCGGCTGACTCCGCTTTTGTGGCAAGTGAGGGGCAAGCGCGTATCTCCTTCATGTTACATCAAACCCTTGAAATACAGTACTGTAGATTGATCAGTGCAACTGCAGAGAATCGACGTCTCCAAAAATGGGAGTGCTTCAAGCGACTCTATTGACCAAATTCCATGGGCCAATTTGATTGGCTGTCTTTTGAAAAGCACCTATTCCCCTTAGCACACTGGCTGCCACTGTGGCAAGGCTAAGGAATAGTTACCCGGCTTACCCCAGACTTCCACAGCCATCCTTCTTCCCGAGCCCGGGTTTAGGCAAAACCGGCTGAATTCGAGAGAAATCAACCTGAACTGGGGCTAGACTGCAGGAACCCCCAAGCATGTACTCCGTACCTTTCTAGACCCTCGACTCCGTACGTGGACCGATGATCGCAAAGCAGGAACCAAGATCGCTCCGGGATGAATTTGAGTTTGTGGTCGTGGCCAGCATGCTGGCCTGCCATCCTTGGTCGGTTCCAACGAGTCTTCCAGCTCGAGTTCGTATTGTCCGTGGCTTTCGGGACCGTGCAGGTTTATCGGTGTGGATGGAAGTGCGGATGTCGGCAGTTCAGGGTACCCAATGAATCCCGGCATAAGGCAGCGGTGGTTCTGGTTCATCTCAATCCCTGTCCGACCGCCGCGTAGGAAATGACCACCTCCCGACATGGTTTCATGGCTAATTGCAAAGTCCGTGGCAAATTTTTCTTTTTCGACTTGGTGCCTGGCCGTGGCAGGGTTCAAGGGGCTGTGGACACGATCAGCTCCTTGTTCTCAAGAAGTGAACAATAGACCATGAACGGAATCTGAGATCATCTTCGACGTGGAATAATCGAACCGTGTATACTCCGTACTTCCTCCCGCATATACCACCTCGACCCCAATCGATCGGGCCGGTAAAACCTTCCGTGGCCGTAAGCGAAAGGCCTGATCTCCGCACTGCAACTCTCTCTCCCCACCCGCCAGGGGCTGATTGGGGGGTTTGAGGACACGAGTGGCAGATTCGTTCTTGTTTCCAGCTCATATAGTCATCCTATGCACACCAAAGTCGGAGTCTGCGTGTTTGGAAGAGTGTTGAAAGGCTATTAGTCTCATTATTCCTTCCAGGACTTCCATCGAACGACCTTTTCGGGTCTTTCCACCACGTGCCTCTGGCATTTCCCCGCCTTCTCCAGATTTTCCCCCTCCGATTCTCCGAAACCTGCAAATCCTCTTTCATCCCACAGAGTCCCTGCATTCTTGCCTCTATTATTCGACCCTGGACTACTCTTTCCCCCCCCCATTCTCGAGTCCTTCATTCTTGAAACGCCTGGAAAACGCCCAGTGTTTAACCTTCCCGGCTCTCGGATCTGGCTGGCAAAAAAAAAAGAAAACCAGGGTCCACCTCCACCGACCGCGGTCTGGGGTATTTCTTCTCTTCTGACACTAACTACCTGGAGATGTCGCTTGACTCCTGACGCCGCTGCGATTATCTGCGTTGACGCCGATCGCACAGCTTCAACCTTTGTCCCTGACCCGACCAAGGGGCGAAATCCCGGATCTGTACGATCTGCCTTGACTCTATGCCGCTGCAAGTCTAGTCCCGAGGCGAAGCATGTCGGCCACCTCCACCTCTCTCCAATCGTTCGCCAATTCCTACTCTCCTTTCTCGTCCCGATCGCAACCCACTCGAATGGCCCAATCTCAAACCCCCGGATTGGATACCCTCGCAGAAGGCTCCCAGTATGCGCTCGAGCAACTTCAGTTGGCGCGGCAAGCCAGCGCGTCCAATCCTCCGACTGATCCCGATGTCAAGCCGCTTAGCGAAACCGAGGCTCTAGAGCCCCAGCCCTATCGCGAACAGAATGGCACACATCACGGAGGCAGAGCCTCCTCCCAGCCGCTTGATCCCCTTGTAGATGCTCGGTCGGCCATTCGCAAGAACTCAACCGCCACTGCGGTGCGCCGGAGGATTAGCCGGGCCTGCGATCAATGCAACCAGTTGCGTACCAAATGCGACGGGCAGCAACCCTGCGCGCATTGCATCGGTAGGATCATTCCCCTGTTTTTATTGAAGTCCCCGTAGGTTCTCGACTCTAATTATCGCTTGATCCTAGAATTTGGGCTCAGCTGTGAGTATGCGCGAGAGCGGAAAAAACGCGGGAAAGCCTCAAAAAAGGATCTTGCCGCAGCCGCAGCGGTCGCCACTTCGAATGGTGACAACGCGCATCCAGATGGCGGGTCTGCACATGGCAACTCCCCAAATGGCCAGGCCTCACACGAGGTCAACGTGCCTTACGACCCGGCCTTCGACGCCGCTCGCGCTGTACCGGATTCCGCACAACAACCTCTGCGCAACCATAGCGTTCCGGGGATATCGAGAATGCAGCCAAACGCCCACTCTTCCTCAAGCCATCCCCAACAATCCGTAGGATCTGGCATTGATAGCATGTCGCTGAACTATGGGAATGTACCTGATTCGAACCGACCGTCCATGTCTGTGCCTGACCTGCGCTCTCTGCAAATGATGCAACAAAATGGAAATCCTCGGTCGCCCGGTGCAATGCTCCATTCTCAAGGATTTGGATCAGGGTATCATGACGGAGCATACTCGTTAATGAACTCGCACGAAGCAAACGCGACCTCAATCGGCCAGTTCCGACTCGCCGGCTCCGAACAAAATCCGTCAGCATCCTTCATGGGATTCTCCCCACCAGCACAGTCACCCAGCTGGCTTCCTCTTCCATCGCCATCCCCTGCAAACTTCCCGTCCTTTAGCATGGCTCCATTCGCCAGTTCATTAAGATACCCCGTCTTGCAACCAGTTCTCCCTCACATCGCCTCTATCATCCCTCAGTCCCTCGCCTGCGATCTTCTCGACGTCTATTTTACTAGTTCCTCTTCTTCACATCTGTCGCCGTTGTCGCCCTATGTTGTTGGGTTTGTGTTCCGCAAGCAATCATTCCTCCATCCAACGAAGCCTAGAGTATGCAGCCCTGGGCTCCTAGCCAGTATGCTCTGGGTAGCGGCTCAGACAAGCGAAGCGGCATTCTTGACCTCGCCTCCGTCGGCACGAGGACGTGTTTGTCAGAAGCTACTGGAACTCACTATCGGTCTGTTGCGACCTCTCATTCATGGTCCCGCGACGGGAGAAGCCTCGCCGAACTATGCGGCGAACATGGTCATCAACGGCGTCGCTCTGGGCGGGTTTGGCGTTTCAATGGATCAACTAGGCGCACAGAGCAGCGCGACCGGTGCCGTCGATGATGTCGCAACTTACGTTCATCTGGCTACAGTAGTATCGGCAAGCGAATACAAAGCGGCCAGTATGCGATGGTGGACCGCGGCATGGTCGCTCGCACGCGAGCTCAAATTGGGTCGTGAACTACCACCTAATGCTAACACGCGTCAAGACGGTGAGATGGAGGGTGAATCTGAATTGGACATGAATGGGAACAAGAGGCAACCATCATCACTCCTAAATTCGATGGGACATGGAACTGGAAGCTCGTCGGTTAATCTCACTGAAGAAGAACGTGAAGAGCGTCGCCGCATTTGGTGGCTTCTTTATGTGATGGATCGCCATCTAGCCCTTTGCTACAACCGTCCCTTGACCTTGTTGGACAAGGAATGTGAGGGTCTGCTGCAGCCGATGAACGACGATCTCTGGCAAGCGGGCGATTTCTCTGCCTACCGGCGCGCAGGCCCTGCCTTTGAATGCACTAGCCACAGCACCTTTGGTTATTTCCTACCGCTTATGTCTATCCTCGGGGAAATTGTGGATCTGCAGCATGCTCGAAATCATCCTCGTTTCGGGCTTCATTTCCGGAACAGCGGTGAATGGGAAAGTCAGGCCATGGAGATTGCCCGACAATTGGATGTTTATGCCCAAAGCCTCAAGGAGTTCGAGGCACGTTATACCAGTTCGATGGCTTTGGGTCCTGATAACGATACCGCCATGGAAGGCGCACATATCAACCATGTCAGCCCATCTGGTCGATCCAATAGCAGCACGGTCGGCTCGCATGTCAGCGAGTCAATTGTCCATACAAGAATGGTTGTCGCATATGGCACCCACATTATGCACGTCCTTCACATTCTGCTGGCTGGCAAGTGGGACCCCATAAATCTGTTGGATGATAATGATCTCTGGATTTCATCTGATTCCTTCATTACGGCCATGGGTCATGCTGTCAGCGCTGCTGAAGCAGCATCGGACATACTCGAGTATGATCCAGACCTAAGTTTCATGCCATTCTTCTTTGGTATCTACCTGTTGCAGGGTAGCTTCCTCCTACTCTTGACCGCGGACAAATTGCAGGGCGATGCTAGTCCGAGCGTTGTCAGAGCCTGTGAGACGATCGTGCGGGCACATGAGGCGTGTGTCGTGACTTTGAACACAGAATATCAGGTACAATACCCTCTCCTTCTCTACCTATCTTTCCGAGCAGCCTTACTAACCTCCTTTTAGAGAACTTTCCGAAAGGTGATGCGCTCAGCCCTCGCTCAGGTTCGAGGCCGAGTCCCCGAAGACTTTGGTGAGCAGCAACAACGCAGACGTGAGGTCCTTGCCCTATACCGCTGGAGCGGAGATGGCAGCGGTCTCGCTCTTTAAGCCTTCCGCTTCCCCGTCGCTGGCCGAGTTCAGCATAATATCTTCACATCGTTCACTATTCTCAATTTTAATCGATTCGGGTTCCAGATCTGTCCCTGATGATAGGGACAGGCTACGAAGCATGTGGTCGGCCCAAAAACATGAATCTGAATGCTTTGTTGCTTGCTTTTTGTATAATATATGTTGTTTCAACGAACATACCCCGAGGCGAGGCGCAAAGGAGCGCAGATGTTTCTTGTTGATTTTTCTTATTAATCTGGCACATATGAAATACCCTTTGAAACCGGTTTTATACTCGGTGATATTATCTCTGGACACACGATTTTCCTCAAAAAGTCTTTTCTTGTTTATGCAGTGTTCATCTTGAAATTGGGGTTTCGGATATTCCTGTGATACTTCGTGGAAAAGGCATCTTCAGAACGTAGTCAATGTGGCGAGTCGAGCAACGTGACCAGGGAATGGCAAAGATGATCAGAGAAAGTCACAATCCACCGTCACTTACCGAGAAAGGAGGGCATAAGTAGAGTTCTGTATGTAAAGCTCAGTAACAAAATGTTTTCTCCACATGAGGATCAGCAGTCCACAGCTCTAACAGTTAGGTATGACGTTACCGATGAGATAAGCCATATCAACAGCCCTTTCTCCAGATCTGACCAACTCTCCTCCTCAAACTATCACACTTCAAAGGCTTGGTAGACAGAGCCCGAGATCCAGAAGATGGCAAAGTAAATACATATGCACCATGTACACTTTTGCCAGACGCTCACATCGTATTCTCCCCACATCTCATCACCGTATCTCCCGTGGTCCCTTCGTTCTCAAGCGCTTCATCGGAATTCCCCCAGCGTTCCTCCTGGACGATTACACCCCCCAGTACCACCTGCTAAGCTCGGTTGACGCCTCAAAGAAACGATCCCTGGCATACGCACACTTACGCGAATGCAATCTGTGCCCAAGAAAATGCGGGGTAAACAGATATGAGACGACGGGGATGTGCTTGATCGGAGCGGAGACAGCCAAAGTCAACGTGATCGCGCCACATCGCGGAGAAGAGCCTTGTATCCAGGGATTCCACGGTAGTGGCTCAGTTTTCTTCTCCGGGTGCAATCTTCGCTGTGTCTTCTGCCAGAATCACGTAGGGAGAAATCATGTCTACCACTCCGAACGATGAGTACTGATGTTGTGCTAGGAGATTGCTCACCAACGCAAGGGATTTGACTTGACCCCCGAAGAACTTGCAGAATGGTATATCAAGCTTCAACAAGTTGGCAACGTCCATAACATCAACCTAGTAACGCCCGAACATGTCGTTCCTCAGGTCGTCCTTTCCATCCTAGCCGCAAGGGACATGGGTCTGCGCATTCCAATCATCTACAATACTTCGTCCTTCGACTCACTCGATTCACTTAAACTTCTCGACGGTCTTGTGGACATTTACCTCCCCGATTTCAAAGTCTGGCGGAACGACACATCAAAACGTCTCCTCAAGGCAGACAATTACACCGCCACAGCAATGGAAAGTATCAAAGAGATGCATCGACAGGTCGGTGATTTATCATTTACCTCAGACGGCATTGCCAGGAAGGGTGTTCTTTTGCGACACCTAGTCATGCCGGGTAAAGAGGATGAAGGACGAGAGATTATGCGCTGGCTGGCTGAGAATGTCTCGCGGGATCTTTACGTGCATATCATGGAGCAATATCATCCTGACGCACATGTAGGGAAGAAGAATCGAGTAACGAGGAGAGTTCGTATGGGAGAAGGAGAAGGTGATACGGCTAAAGAGGAGGTTCGGTATGCGGAAATCAATCGTGCTGTACGCGATGATGAACTCAGTTCCGTTCGAGAGGCTGCAGTCAAGGCTGGACTATGGCGGTTTTGCGAGGTTAATGAGCAGAAAAGTGCGTTTCATCTGTGAATCTCTCGTGGATAGTCCATCGATGTATATATACCAATCTTTTGCTGAGCGCAAAAAAACCTCACAAATCGAGGGGGATTGAGAGTAAAATTTCTTGTCCTCCGCCTATATGTGCGTGACCAGCATAGGGTTTTCAATCGAAATCCTGGAAATACTCCTTCATGGCCAGGGCTCAGGCATAGCTCTGGGGCTTTTAGTAAGGCATGAACTCACAACCTGCCGACCTGTTTCGACTTGTTTTGGAGTATCTCAAGCAATACTCCCATTGAAATTCCTAGATAGTAAAACTGCAGACAACCTGAAGGATAGACTAGATGCTCTTCTAGTCTATGATCCCACCAAAGGAAGGCCAAAATAGTTGTCATTTTGCATTGCTCATCGATATTTCGGGCTGTCATGATTGGACTGCCTGCCAAGCCCCACCAAAGCTCCGCCGATCGTCCCTCCCAGCTGTCAGCTTAACTCCAGGAAGACAGAAAGGACAGAAAGTCTTTCCCCCTTCTCAACATCCCTCGCTCCAACCCTTCGTCCGCCACGATGAAGCCAGTTGTTGGCCTCCTCGCGGTCGCTGGCCTAGTCTACCGAGCTTGGGCTCGAAAGTCGCTCACGCCGCTGGGTCTCGTTGTCGCAGGCGCATCAGCTACCGCACACGCCCTCCACCCGTGGTCCACACCATTCGCACTCCTCGCGGTCTTTTACTACGGAGGCACGAAAGTCACAAAGGTATGCGAAGAATTACAATAATCCTTTGATATAGCCCCGATCTATTATAAAGCTTACCCCTGTTCTTCGCGCCCTAGGTCAAACATGAAATCAAAGCACGGAAGACCCTCTCTGCAACTGGCTCAGAGGGAGGCGAAGGCCCGCGCAACCATCTCCAAGTCCTGGCAAACTCGGTTGTCGCGACAGTTCTGAGCATTGCTCATGCTGTTGTTCTGTCAAAAAGCTCTTCCACGGATTCCTGCTTCTCCCTCGGCCAGAGTCCCGCTGACATTCTCATGGTCGGGATCGTGGCGTATGGCCCCCTCCCCATCGAATTGTCATACCTCTATATTACTGTACCTGCTGTAAGAACTCGCTGACTCCGATCTCTTACGTTTCTTTAGAAATTATGCCGCCGTTGCTGCCGATACCTTCTCCTCCGAGCTCGGAATCCTGTCCAAGTCGAACCCACGTCTCATCACGTCCCCCACTCTCCGCAAAGTTCCCCCCGGTACAAATGGCGGTGTTACCGCAGCTGGTCTTGGGGCAGGTCTCCTGGGATCATTCTCGATCGCCCTGACATCCGCCCTCGTCCTTCCGTTCTGCCCAAGCAGATCCGGGATCCAAGATCGCGCCGTCTGGACCGTTGCGATGACTTTATGGGGTCTGCTGGGAAGCATTCTGGACAGTATACTTGGCGGGTTACTCCAGGCGAGCGTTGTCGACAAAAGGACCGGGAAGGTTGTGGAAGGCAGTGGTGGACGAAAGGTAAGCACAGAATACTAATTAGTTTCCTGCATTGAAGATACCTCAGTTCATTCTATCAAATAGGTTCTCATCCACCCGGGCTCCACGAAGCCAGCCGGCACTTCTGGTGATGGCCCATCTGCTGAAGTCTCGGGCAGCACACATCTCCGTAACACCGAGGCCGTTGCCAATGCGGCCACCTTGCGCGGAAGCCGTGCTACCGGCACTTCTGCAGGAGCCCAACCCGGCCGCCTTCATGATGCGAGCCATGAGAGCCGGCGCCTGGAGAGTGGTCACGACTGGCTGGACAACAATGGGGTGAACATTCTCATGGCTTTCCTCATGAGCGTGGGAGCCATGGGTGTTTCACAGTGGACCTGGGGAGTTGATGTGCGGGAGTTGTGGGCATAGAGAATATAGCCGCAGCTCTGGCTCGTCATTTCTAGAATATGATTGGAGGATCATTAGGGTATGTGTATAGGATACTTTTCGGAGTACACTGTATGTCTTTACGAAAACCAAAATGGCTAATGCAATGTCAAGAATAATCTTGCAGGATAACCTCTAGAATGGCCGAACGGCAAAGCCCAGAGTAGGCAGACAGGACAATTTGTCTTGGCACTTTTCCCAGATACCAAACCCAGACTAATGAGGAATTGGCAAACGAGAACAAAACCTACCTAAGAAAGCGTGTTGAATAATCAATTAACTTTGGGCGGAATCGCAACGAGCCCTGTGTGGAAAGTCAGTAGTTTCTGGGCTGCAGCCACAATTCATCGCTTCAAGAGTTTGTAGAACTATGGGATTCATCATCACATAGAGCCATGTACAGTGCCTTTAACAAGACGCTTGTCACAGTGCGCGTCGTGAAGAGATCATTGATCAGTTGAGTCCATGGACCTCGTACCAGCAACAGCTTTATTCTGATACAACATCGGCCATTGCCTGGATAGGAAGTCAAATGACGATCAGAGGCTGGGCACACGCGCAGCCAACAGCATGATGGCTTGCTAAGGGCGCCGGAGATTGAGAATCCTTTAAGCCTGCGGCGCCACTTTGCTGATCCTGACAGAGAGTTGGAGAGTGGACACAGATTTGATAGTAGCCAAACGCACTGACTGACAATCGCGCTTGGCGAGCTCTCGGCATTGAGACGTGCCAACCAGGAGAATCGTATAAATCCCGTGCAGGTCCCAATTCGGTCGACACACGCGACTCTTTTGATGGATCTCGGGGAAATTTCCAAGTTTTTCTTTCCCCTCTTGCTAGGCTCATCGTGGATATTTGGATAGACAGGCTTGCGAGTGGGTGTGGCCAGTCCAAGCCCTGGCCCACTTGCGAGTGTGTCAATTTTTCGCAAGTGGCCACGCGTGGCAATGTGCTCAATGCTGAAAGTGGATAAAGGGACTGATTGATAATGGATGGTTGATTCCATTCCATTTCATTTAGTACCCAATCATCCTCTTCTTTTTGACCACGCATTTATGTATTCTCGATGCTCGACCAAAGTACTTTGTCGGTGTTAGCCCAAGGTCGAGCTAGAAGAGGTGGCTTGCAAGAGAATATCGAAGCAAATGATCACTTATTCAGGCGAGTCGGATTCGATCGCTTCAGGGTGTAGTGAGAATATTTGCCTCGCATTATTGATTGCAGCCCCAGACATGTCACATCTGTACCGGATGTCCCGATAGGCCCGTGTTCAGTGTTGCGAGATCCAATGAGCACTAGAGCAATCGAAGTATCATCGAAGGAACCAATATAGTAACACCGAGGAGTACCTTGCAGTGTTGCCTACCAGTTCAAGAACGGAGGAGTGGGTGCATGCTAGAGAGAAAACAGTCTAGCGAGACAGACCATACCCATCGGGGCACGCGAGCTTGCCGCCGGGAGCCATTGGCGAGCCCGAGGCATGTCATTGGCCCCTGCGTAATATGGCATCTGCCATGCATCATGTACCGATTAGCCCGCCGAACATCAACGACTCGGGGTTCATCGAGGAATCGGGATTGCATCAAGGGCGTGGGAGATCTGGGATTGGCCTGTTGGTCTTTGGAGCCATGACCCGACAAGAGAATTTCGCGCTGCCAGTAGCGATGATGTCTCAGCTCGCCTCGTATTGCCGGCCTTTTTTCTTCGTTAACGCGATGGCTCCCCACGTGCGAGCAGCAACCAAGCACAACCAGGTACAGAGTTGTACAGTCCAAGGCGCCAAGACCATCGGAAAACGCGACGGAGACCGGGGGATACCACCCTGGTGGACTTTCTAGAACGCCCCAGGAGGGTAGCTGCGGTTAGCTGTGATGGGGGTGTGATGAGGATTGGCTGGCCAGCGGGGGGAGGGGACTCGAGTGTAGAGTGGTCTCGGAGCAGGCCCCAAAGCAGATGAAGAGATGAGAACCTCTCCTGGGGGCACGTGGGGGAAACGGAGCCCTCTTATAGGAAGCGGTGGTCCGTGAGGAGCCCCCGCCCGGAGCCCCCGCCAAGCCCGTTGGTGCGTGCCACTCGCAAGTCTCGCAGGATCCGTTCGAGATCTATAAGAATCCACCTCCGCCCAGCTTTGCCAAGGGCTGCCAAGCTCGCCCATTTTGCTTCGTTCTGAACCCAGCTCACTCAGTAATGAGTGCCCTCTTTCCTAACTGGTCTTCCATTGCGTGATTTTGCCCCAGTACAGACTACCCATTCGCAGCCACCATGGTCGGAAGTACGAGTCTAGAAAATTGCCAAGCACCTGGTTGACGAGGGGGGTGATGCTAATATCGCGAGTCCCTCTCCCACGTGTGGCTTGGTGCCCGTGAAAATGGCCCGGAAATGGCCATCGGATAGACTGCATTTCGCCTGTTGCCACGCCGGGCGAGTATTTTTTGGGCTCCAAAAATCCTGCCATGCTACGCGTGCCATGAGCCAAACCCACAAGCAGGACAAATGGGGGCCACCCATTGCAGAGATCGTGTCGAGTATCTTGTACATATAAAGCCCCATCTCGTTTCGCTGCAACGCCAGAATCCTCGTACTGTACCGCCATCCACCGTTGATCCCGCCACTGACTCGGCCCTTGCTCGCCGCTCAAGTGATTCAAGATGTATCTCCACCAGTATGATTATATCTTTGGTATCGGCACGGTGTTTGCCATGCTCGATGCCTTCAACAACGGTGCTAGTGAGTATACTATACACGAAGCTGCCCTATAATGGCCCCCTCCATTGGCTTCTCCGGTGCTAATTCATGTACTTTCTTCCCTCCAGACGATGTGGCCAACTCCTGGGCAACCAGTGTGTCCTCGCGGTCCATCTCCTACCGCCAGGCCATGGTTCTAGGCACCATCTTCGAGTTCCTCGGTGCCGTCACGGTCGGTTCTCGGACCGCTGAAACCATCAAGAACGGCATTATCCCCAGCTCGGCCTTCAAGGGCAATGCCGGAGTCCAGATGCTGGCTTTCACATGTGCCCTGGCCGCTGCCTCATCTTGGGTGATGTGGTGCACTCGTCACTCCGCTCACGTTTCTTCAACTTACTCCCTGATCTCGGCTGTTGCTGGTGTCGGTGTTGCTACTGTTGGTGCTTCCAAGGTCCAATGGGGCTGGAACGGTGGTAAGGGTCTGGGTGCTATATTCGCTGGTCTGGGAATGGCTCCGGTTATCTCGGGCTGCTTCGCTTCCATCATCTTCCTGCTCATCAAGTTCATCGTTCACATGCGCCGCAACCCTGTCCCTTGGTCGGTCTACAGCTCTCCCCTGTGGTTCCTGGTTGCTGGTACGATCTGTGTCCTCTCTATCGTCTATAAGGGTTCTCCCAACCTGGGTCTGAACAAGAAGCCCGCTGGCTGGATTGCTGGCGTGACTGTCGGTTCGGGCGCTGCACTCTGCCTCTTGTCGGCACTGTTCTTCGTTCCCTTCGTTCACTCCCGTGTCATCAAGAAGGATCACACTGTCAAGTGGTGGATGATCATCTACGGCCCCCTCCTCTTCAAGCGCCCCGCTCCTACAGATGCCGGTGAGGTCGCTGTGGTGCCGAACTATGCCGTTGTCCAAGATGATTTCGAGGACGAGACTTCCACCACCCATGAATCTATCGACGAGAAGAAGCCTTACCTCGACAGCACCCCCACTGATGCCAATGAGCAGCAAATGGTCAAGGCCGAGGCCACCCAGATGACATACAGAGAGATCATGGCCCAATCGGAGGCCCGTCACCGTGAGAAGCTCCTGAAGGGCCGCGGTCCTCTGGGCTGGGCTATGCGCTACCTCCGTGACAACCCCATGGGTGCTGGTGAGATATACGAGTGGCGCAACATCTTGACCCTGATCAAGCGCATCCCTGCCATCATCACCGTCGGTCTCCTGTACGGTGCTCACTACGATATCCACGGTGCCCAGAGTGGTATTGCCGGTACTCCCGAGGGTGAGCGCATGAAGCGGGTCTACGACGCCGCCGAGAAGTACCCCAACGAGGTCGAGCACACCTACTCCTTCATCCAGATTATCACTGCTTGTACTGCCTCATTTGCCCACGGTGCCAACGATATTGGTAACTCCGTCGGTCCCTGGGCTGCTATCTACTCTGCCTGGACTACTGGAAACCCCGCTGCTGCCAAGGCCCCCGTCCCCGTCTGGCAGCTTGCCGTTCTCGCCCTTTGCATTTCTATTGGTCTGGTCACCTACGGTTATAACATCATGAAGGGTAAGCTACAATATCCACCTGAGAAGTTCCACCAGATACTAATCATTTTCTCAACAGTCATGGGTAACAAGATCACCTACCACTCTCCCAGCCGTGGCTCCTCCATGGAGATGGGCGCCGCCCTCACCGTCCTCGTCTTCTCCCAGTACTCCCTCCCCGTCTCCACCTCCATGTGTATCACCGGTGCCACCGTCGGCGTCGGTCTCTGCAACGGTACTCTGAAGGCTGTCAACTTCCAGCGTGTCGGCCTCCTGCTGCTCGCCTGGATCATGACCATCCCCATCGCCGGCACCCTTGGCGGATGTCTGATGGGTCTTGTCATTAATGCCCCCCATTTCGCTGCTTAAGCGGACTGCCCGAATTGGGACGGTCCCTTCGAAGCTCGATTTTCCTTTTTTGTCATAATGTTTTCATAGAGTAGGATGATATCATCTGCATTTTAATTCCATGTCACACTTAGCATGAAAAATTTGTTTTGAGCAATTGAAAAATTTCCTATAATAGTGTCCCAATAGTTTATATTCCACTTTAGTCTATTTCTCGGTCGTCAAATCGGCTAAGATGTGAGGTGCAAACTATTAGATGGGAGGTTGAGAATCTTCGCTTCCATTCCAGAATTTCAGGATTAATTTGTATACAGAGTGGATTCTTTACCGCTGATTAAGAGGTGACATCCGCATGACTTCAAAACAACAACTTCAGCGCCGAATTGAATTTTTGAAATATCTCAGGAACCACGCCAGTTAGCAACTTCTAAGCAACGGCAGTTTCAATTTAACTCCCTGCGCTTCATTTTGATAGCGGTTTCGAATCCTCTCGACCGATATTGGAATATTGCGCGCATCAAAGGGCGTTAGGCCGGTCCCGCAAGGAGCCTCCGGAGGCCTATTGAAAAATCTGCCACCGAACAGAGAGCGCGTACTAAACGCTAACCACACCGCACGCGACCTTCTCAAAGAGCTAGGAAGGAGTTAGAATGCTGCAAGACCAGCTCCCAAGGTCGTCAACTTCCTCCAGTAGGTAGAAGACCTGACGAAGGACCTCCTGTCGACGCTATTAACCGACTAGCAGGATGAACTAGGTGCTCTCCGCAAGGAAATACAGGCTATTAAGGCGGCCGTTAAACCGCTAGCGAGGTAGACGGTTCGATCGTTCGCTAAAATAGTCCGTACAGCGCCTACACCCGCGCACTATCTCTCCTCTAGCAGCTCATCGAGCTTACTAACGCGCCCCGCGGAGGTAGTACGTGACCGCGAGCTAGTAGTCTATCTTAGTAACCGCTCGCAGGTTAGCGTATTCCGCCGCCTAACGAGCGCAGAGCTCACGAAGCGCGCGAATTAGGCTAGGGCGAAGGCGGCTAGAACAACTAACACGCTACCTCTCGTATTAGTGAAGATCCTCGTATCCCGCTAGCTAAAATCAGGCGATCTCCGATTTACTATACGTAATACAAAGGAAGCCAAGATCCTACGCACTTATCGTAATAAGTAGCTAAAGGGCCTCTACAAGACGGTATTCATCTATATACTAATATAGGGGATTATCGTGCACGATGTTAATATACGCTTGCTCGGCGTTAACAAGGGGTTAGACGATCTTAATAGCGTCTAGGACAAGATTACTAAGGACTTGTTAGCGAGCAATATACAGTACTAGGGGGAGAGGGCAGAGATTACTAAGATAAGCTAGCTTCGAATCCTACCGGGAAAAAGCGGCTCTCTAGTAGTCGAATTCACTTCTCCTATACTAGCTAATATAGTAATCGATAAGGGGGTCCTCTAGGACTACGATAATCTAACAGCTATCCTATACGATAGGGCGGCTCGTATACGGTAGTACTTTAACTATTAATAATATAGCTATATAGGATCTATCTATACTAACACCGTTAAATACGTATACTACGCCGAGGGCTATTAGTCTCGGGATTACCCTCGGAAAGACGCGCTAGAAAACAAGTACGCTAATTATAAGGGCGTATATACTACATAGAGCACGGAATATAAAGCATACTAGCGGGAGGTAGAAAAGGTAGTAGAGCTATCGAGGTACTGGGGAAGATATTACTATATCCCGGCTCTATATAGTATCAACTAGCCACTAGCGTCCTTATATCCGTCCTCCGCTAGCTTGTAGGGAACACCGAGAGATCTATTATCGAGCGAAGAGCTCATTAGCGGCGTCGAGGGTAGCGGTCTCACGCCGGCCGTATAGCCTAGCAATAGGGGTAAGGGTACTAGCCCTATATTAGTAAGCTAAATAGGAACTAGCCTATAGGCTAGTCAACATATAACTAACGAGGGCGCTAAATCGGTGACAATAGTATCATCAGGCAAGAAGAGGAGGAGGCTACGAAAAACGTAGAGGAATAAGGGTATATCCTAGATAATAGACACGAGCAAGGACGTAAGCAAGCCGACGAATAGCTAGTCCTAAGGATAGCTAATTATCATCGAACCCCTAACCGACGAATAACCGCCTACTATCGATCACTTAACCAAAGAACAACTAGTAATTCAATTCTCCACAGAGCCGAGTACTTACTAGTTCTCTATAGGGAGTAACAGCGCCCTACTATCACTAAGCGCTATAGACTTTCGACTAGACAGGCCTAGCTCACAGGCTACCACTAATAGTAGCGCCTAATTAAAGGCCGATAAGGCTAGAGCGAGAACAGCTAAAGCAAGAGAGGCTAGGGCAAGGAAGATTACCGAAAAGAAGGCAAGTAGCAATAATACTAGTAACAAATCTATACGCGTAATAGACCTTATCGAGACGGCTAGCTAGGAACGGGTTGAATTAGAACTTAGCTTAGAGCTAGATAAGATTAATATAAGAGATCTAGAACGCTAACTCGATAGACACAGGAACGATCAAGACTACTAGCTATCGTCACTACCGGAATCGATATTATTAGCGCAAGAGGGGGAGGAAAGTAGGAAGCGGAAGCAGCCTTATAGCGAGAAACTCTCTCTTAATATCCGCTTAGTAGGAAGACGCAGGGTACATAGCAGGAAATCTTCCTAGACCGAACAACAATAAATTATTATAACCACTAACAACTTACACCGAGGAACCTTAAAATATACTAGTATAATATATATAGATCGAAGAACGTAGTAATAGTATAGTTTCTACGTAAGCAGAAAGTTATTAGCGCCGATGTTATCGCTATTCAGGAGCTATAGGAGAATCTATTCTAGGATAACACTTACTACCCGCTAAAACAGACGTATAAGCTGCTATATCCGGCAGCTAGCGAAACAGGAGGGAGAGCGAGGATATATATATTTATATCGAAGAGGGTCGGAGAGTATACTTATTTAGCACACTCCTATAACTATCAGGAAGTAAGAATCAAGACTAGATCTAGGGAACTATGGCTATTCAATATATATAACGAATAGTAGCGATAGGGCATACTCGACTAGTTAGCGGGTCTACTACTATTAATACAGGAACAGAGAGGAGAGAAAGGCTTATACCTGATTTTAGGAGATTTTAACCTATACTACCCGCTCTAGGGCAGCGACGATACCCTACGCGATACGAAAGCGGAAGATCTCTTAGATTTAATAGAGATAGCAGAGCTAGATAACTAGTTAACACCGGGCACCGTTATACGCGACTAAGCAGGCTACTAGTTAATAATCGACCTCGTTCTTATATTATACTCCCTATACGAGTAGATAGTCGTATACGAGGTCGACCGTAGTATTTATACGGATTCTAATCACCTTCTAATACTCACCCTACTCGAAACCAAACTTCTAGAATCAGACCCTATCAGACGGCGGAACTAGAAGGCTATAGACGTAGAGAAGTTCCTCACCTTCGTCTTATCTAACCTTAGCACGATATAACTACTAAGAGAATACGCGCCGCGCGAGATCGACTATACAGTCGACTATCTTCTAGATATCGCCTAGCAGGCAGCCTAGGAATCAACACCCTAGGCAAAGCTATCAATATAGGCCTGCTAAGGATAGACTCCCGAGTACATAGAAGCGATTAAGGTATTACGCAGATAATATCGACGTTATATACGTATACACGACGATAAAGACTAGAAGTAATACACGTTAGCAAGGAACGCGAAGAGGAAGGTGATTAGGAAGGCCCTACGCCGCGGCTTCCGCTAGTAGGTACGAGACACGGTCGATCGAGACCCTCGCGGTCTATAGAAAGTGTCGAAATAGGCTAGGACTCGTGACTAGACGCAGACGTTAGGAAGTAGTAACGTCCCTTCTCTAAAGATAGAAGATAGAGGATTAGTAGAGACTAACCGATAGAAGATCGATCTACTTCGCTAGGTATTCTTCCCGTAACCCCCACAAGCTGATCTCTCTAATATCACCGAATTAAACCCTTTACCCCCTAATCAGATCTTATTTCCACCGATCAGCTAGTAGGAAGTACGCGATATAATTAAACGTGCTCTACCTAATAAGGCGCCTAGTAAAGATAGTATCCCGAACCGCGTATAGAAGATACTAGTAGATAGTAGCCACGAATTCGTGGCTATTCTAACGGCTATCTTCGACGCATATATACGAACAGGCTACAACCCTCGTTACTTCTAGGCGTCTATCACAGTAACACTCCGTAAGGGTAGCCTACACGACTTTCGCTAACCGAAATCGTATCGGCTAGTTACCCTACTAAACACCCTCGGTAAGATCCTTAAGTCTATCGTCGCTACGCGTATTATATAGGCGGTCGAGAAATACGGGATCCTACCGAGGACGCACCTTAGTAGAAGAAAAGGGATTAGTATCGACTACGCTATTTAGTTAATCCTCGACCGAGTACATCAGGTATAGGATATAGGCAAGAAGGTTAGTATACTACTACTCGACGTAGCAGGTACCTATAATAACATCTCCTATAAACAGCTCCTATATAACATTAAGCAGCTCTAACTAGGCTAGTTCGTGCTATAGATTATATCATTTCTTAGTAACAGGAGCACCCGTATTAAGCTACTAGGATATCTCTCGGACAGCTTCCCTATACTAACCGGTATCCTACAAGGATCGCCTATCTCACTAATCCTATTCCTACTATTCAACGCCCCTCTAATCACCGTATACAGCCTTAGGACAGGCGCTACCTAGTCCGTTAGCTTTAGCTAGGTAGATAACATAGTAGTCCTAGTCGAATTAGAATCATATCACAACAACATAATAACACTAAAGAAAGTACTCGATAAGGCGAACCTATAGGCTAGACGCTATATAGCAAGATTTATACCCGACAAGTTCGAACTTATTTATTTCACTAACCCTCGATTAAACGACAACAACTAAATAGATACCTAAGAGGATATTCGGCAAGAGGACAACACCCTAAACGACGAGTACAACGATATATACGACTTCCACAGAGCACACCCTTAGGGCAACGACTAGATACCCGTTAGAATCAACAACTTATTAATACAACTAACATAGTCTACTAAGTACCTTAGTATCTAGCTCGATAAATACCTCGATTTCAACACACATCGCTAGAAATTACTCGCTAAGGCTAACGGCAGCCTTAAAGCCCTCCGGGCGATAATAGGGTTAGTATAGGGTACCTTATTAGTAGTAATACGGAAGGTCTACTAGGTAGTAGTAGTACTATAGATACTCTATAGGGTATCGGCGTAGTACTACCCCGCGGTAAGGGCTATACTAGCCGGTGAACTACGACGTACTATCAACGAATTTACCAAGGTCTAATAATACGCGATAATCCTTATTAGTAGAGCTTTTAAATCTACTAGTATAGCAGCTCTTAACGTCGAGCTATTTATAATACTAATTCACCTACTTATAGACTAAATCATCCAGGAATCGGCAATACGAATCTAAATAGGAGCTATATAGGCGTAGCTAGAGTACCTACGTTAACAACAATCCCTATAGGAGATCAGAAAAGGGGGATAGAGCCCCCTTAAAGCCTTAAGATAGAAGAAGGATAGTATCTTAAACTACTAAGGATAGGAATCTCGGAAAGCGTTTATTCTAGCGCTATAGGAGGCACGGATCCTATACGTTATTAACTAAGATATAGAGATTACGCGCGCCTTATATAATAAGATTAAGACGGAGTCCCTATTCCAACAGGCCCTCTCTAACTATACCCCGATAGTTATACAGAATCGCCCCCGAACGATTCTATTCTTTATAGATAGAAGTAGATATAAAGGCCAGGTCGGCGCTTTAGCCGTTACCCCGTATAAGGGGATTTTTTAGCAGCGATATCTTAGAACCACCGACGAATTAATAGTATATATTACTAAGCTTAATAGTATTAAGATAGCGATTACTAGGTTCGTCAACTAACAACAAAACGATAGCAGGCCTATAAAGCTTATTATCTTCTCCGACTACTAGGCCGCTATCTAGGCAGTACAAAACCTAAAGCGATCATCAGGTCAGTTCGTGCTCGATAGTATTTATAACCACGTTCGGGTCCTTCGATTGCTATAGCAAACACCTACGGTCGATCAGATTCCTATCGAGATCCGTTAGATCCCTATATACGTAGGCGTTCCTAGCAATAAAACTACTAACGTTAAAGCAAAGTTAGCGGTAATAGGTAGGGGAGTAGAGAGGGGCAGAACGGGCTTACTATCCGCCGGTGATTCGGTAGCTAATTAGATCTAGTCCTCCGGCGATCAAGTCCTTCTAGCAACGATTATAAAGCGTCGTATACAGCAACGTATTAAAGAGAGATAGGCGCAAGAGTAGACAAGGGAGACAACTAGCAAGCCGAACTAGCGATTAGTAAAGGCTCTAGACAAGAAGGTACTTCGGCTATTCGAATCTCTTTCGAAGCCGTATACCTCGATTTTGATTCAGATACGATCAATACGAATCGCACTAAATCATTTCTTATTTAAAATCAAGACGGTCGAATTAGATAAGTACTACTATAGAGAAGGGTCTCAAACACCGAGACACGTCTTAATACAGTACCTATTATACGCTAATCTAAGGAAGACGTTCCTTAACAAGGTCCGGATAACCGACCTTAGGGATTCGACGGATTATAATACAATCATATCGTACTCGCTAGCCACCCGCTACGTAGCCGAATTTATACTTCAAACAGGCCTTCTAGGACAGTTCCGGCACGTCGAAATCGAGCCAGAACCACCGGAAGACAACGAAACAACAAGCTAGGACAGACTAGCAGGCACAGGTAGTAGAGACGCTAGATAGGAGGAACGCTAAGCCTAAGACCGACTAAGAGGTCTTAGAAGACTACATCTAACAACAGCGAACACCACGAATCGAGAACGAAGCAGGAGGATAGGAATACCGGAGAGGGAAGGCAGAGATAGAGATACAGAGGAAGCAGCAGGCCAATATAAGGGCGAATTAAGAGATATATCGTAGGATCGAGGGCATAACGGGCGTTCTAGTACTGTTTCTAGGCTGATTTTCTATAGCAAGACGCCGTTTTCCTATATATTTACTATTTCATACGCGTGGGCTAGCGTTCGGATCACTCTTGCTTCCGCCGGAGGAAGCGCCTGCATAGCCATTACGCCACTAGTTAGGCTGCAACAGGTTAATAGAGTATTAATTGATTGATTGATTGATCCGCATGACTTCAGACTATCTTCCTTTTCTTAATTTCCTCTTCGGCTATCTTTTTACTAGATTAATCGCTCTCGATGTTCGACCTAGACTCAGTCAACTATGAACTTTGGTCCAAAAAGCTCTTCAGATCAAGGACTCAACAATTTAAGCATACTGCCGTACGTCATATTGATATGCCGCCGAATGACAGCCTCGTGGAGTTCGATCTGAGGCCGGGTAGATCCGCGCAGGACGATACCCACGGGGCCTAGCCAAGCCCCGTAGCGCTTACGCAGCAAGACATGTTTGCATAAAGGTAATTGAGGGGGTGAGACAGAAAGGAGACGTTTGATAGAGAGTGGGTCGTAGGGCGGATGAATAGATTGTGAGTTAGTGAGGTATAAGAGAGGAGAGTAAAAAGGGAGGGTCTATTTAGGTGAATATCGATGGTACTTGAATAACTATAAAAGTTTGTCTTCTTTTTGAATTGCTTTGTTGTATGTGATGTGATACTCTGTGTCAGCGTAACGGCTATCTCGGGGGAGTTATATCAGTTGGTCAAGTAGAGAGATTGGGGACAAAAGGGTAGCGTAAAAGAAGTAAAAAAGGTAGTGAGTCAAGCCACCATGTACTGTTCACATAAAACTGAATCTTGATGAGATTTCGAGAAATGATCGAAGGAGGGGGTTCCCTGAACATGGCTCTCGTTATGCACCGATGAGACAACGCCAACTCTACCGGCCATCAGTATCTAAACACCCGCCTCTTGTTGTACCTAAGGTAGGTTAGCTGTTGTATTGACATGAGCACACCTTATAATTCTTTTCCAGACGGCTAAGTTCACGTAGGATTGGTGCTGTTACTAATCCTCACGTTTTCTGCAATGTTGTTTAGCGGGCCATAAGAGCCACAGAGAAAACCAGATTGTCTCACGTAACCCACAAGTCTCAGGCATAAAAGTAATATTTCGGAAGCGAAAACAATACTGGCCAGATTCCACCTTTTAGAAAATCTGACTACAGCTTGCAAACTGCAAGCTCTTGCCTCTAGATCACTCGCCGGAAGCTTTGCGGCATTAGTGATAAATATTACCGGATAAACTTTCTGTTTGGTGGCCAAAAGAATGCAAATTTCTGGTGTAATCTTGGAGTACTTTTGGAGTTCAATTAATTGATTTGTTATTGTGTTGACCCCCAAACAGAAGGGGATCGCAGGTTCGTAGTAGCCCATCGACAAAGACCGTCCATACTCTCACATGCCCACCGTGAGATGGCCATGTTTGATCTATCGATAGTGAACGTAAACACTCCTAAAGAGCACAGTTAATTCATTAACGCTACCTACCCAGGTAGGCAAGAAAAGAAGCACAGCATTCCGCCGCGGTGGCCCTCATAATTGTATCAGGCGCAAAAATGGCCAATTTCATTACGCAGCGTCCGCGACACTTTTTGGTGTCCTGCTGCCTCCACCATTTGGGGACGTTGATCCACTCTCCGAAATGGCCAATTCGAGCCGTTTGCTACCGACACTGTTTGGTGTCCGTTGCCTTCACCATTTGGGCGCAACGGTCTACTGCAGTCTCATTTGAACGCCTCGTTCTCAGTTCAGGTTGAGGGGGTCAAAAACTGGCTAACTGTCTCTAGAAATTAACTAATTATAGTACTTCCTTGCAACACATTTTGTGTCGCGGAGACGGCGATTTGAACCGAAAAAGCATACCAGTTTCCTGCTTGTTGACCATCATATTGTACACCGATTTACTATGGGCAATAACGGAAAACCTCTGGATTATTGATTCAACCATTTCACCGATTTGTTAAGAAAGATTTTATCATCCACTGCGTTGTGAAAACGAGCTGGCGACCCATATGGTGACGGCAGTTTTACGAGGGCGGTTAACGTGCCATTTTTGTCTTTATAACGTGAAACAACACAAGACCACAGTTTATTTTTGTGAGGAATAACATGTCTTTTCTTTCCGTATCGAAGGTTCAAATATTCAGCTTTTACAATTGGATTTTAGGACCTGTATTCATTGCACTTCTCCTGTCAACCGGCATTTAAAAGCACCCGTCTCTAAAAGCACCAGTCTCAGCCCCCCATCTGATAAGTCCTGTTCCATCTAATAAACCTCAAAGAGCAAGATATCAACTTCAAATGGCTGCTTTAGAAAGAGCCCAATCCAATAAACCCTCTACAAGAAAGTTGATTCGTCAAAGGCAGTACCGTCGCAAGACAAACATGATGAAAAAAGCGTCTGAATATAGCAAGATGTGTGATGCGGATATATGCGTTGGTATTCGCATGCGGGAGACCGGTCAGATACATATTTTGTCCGCGGATACTTCGGGCTTTTGGGCTTTTCTTCCTTTGCAATTGGTATGTAAACACAAAATGGCACTATCCATCAGAATGAACTCTAACTTGTCAGATTTCCCATTACCCGACCCCGATTGTGATGACAGATCACGATCTAAAGAAAGCCAAAGAAGATACAGCTTCTAAGGACCCACGATAGGCTCTTTACAGCACAGTATTACACTCGACTTAGGGTTTCCTCCATAGAATACCGGGAATTAAGGATGTTGCGTTTCTCTGAAATGTCCAATATCGTACTTGCGAGGCCAACAAGTATATCAAAAAGGCCGCATTTAAAGCAATTGTTTACTGTAGTCTATAAAATGATAGGAAACTGCTTGAGTATAGTTATAGTAGAAAAAGCTCAGCAGCTTGACTTTGGAAGAGTCGAATTGACATATCTGGTAACTTGGATGAAGAGGAATCATGGTCTAGCCTTGCAATGAACTTTTTCGGGAGAGGTATGGTCCTCTGAGTAGTATGACGATGCTGGCTTTAACCAGCGAGATGGGTGCCTGAGGAATAACAATGGTGCCGCTGCCCGATAGGTACAGTAGTTTTCGAATTCAGTTCTCAACACTCTTCAGACTTGATTCCCGGATAATAAATCCGAAAAGTGCGACTTCTGATTGGATATTATTTTTTGAGTACTTCAAAGTAGACCGCTTTCTACAATACGTCATCAGTACCATAGGTGATGTATTTTACACGAAATTTGCATACACATGCTACCTCTCATCTTTTCGTGATAACCAGCAACTTTCTTGCAAGGAGGCTTCCCGCTAACGGGTTATTTACCTAGACGACATGGCTCTCGCCTTCAAAGTTTGTCCTCATCCGCGATAGGATAGAGAGCGAATTTTTTACCACATCTGAACTCCTCACTACAAACTAACTTTCAGTAACTAGGTATGCTGCAGTGATCAACGCTATGTCGTGTCCTGCTATCCCTGCCATAGCCGACAGCGTTTATTGGAAAATATGCTCCACCCAGATCGATAACCATGTCGATCACTATGTCGATCTTTATGTCAACCACTCACTAAGCAGTAAAAGTCACCCTAGTCAAATGCTTTACGGAGTACATGTTTTCAAGGTTGGCATGGTGGGATAGGATGGTAAGGTGTAGAAGTGAGAATATTGAAGGGCTTGCGTTGGGATAGGGCATACGAACGACGGGATCGCGTGGGTACGTATGCGACGATATATTTACTTCAAGTTATAGGATTCCTATGCCTGCGACAATTTATAACCATAACGCATATAGTTGGCACGAATGTAGTGTTAAAGATAAATTTTTTGTACTACACATAGGTAAACATAGGTAAACATATGAGCAAGATCCATGGACATAGATAGTCTTGGTCTCAAGATATCCATAAGCCAAGTAACAAGGAGTGATCGGCAACCCGTCGTGAGAAGCTATTTACCGTTTCAGCTACGCCACCAAGCAATGATCGTCGATAGGGTCCCGATACTAAGCTAGAAATTGGGTACTCTGGGGCAGGCCTCTAGGTATAAAGAGGACGTACTCCCTCCCAGTTCTTTGAAAATGCCAATCATTTCGGTTCTCTTGTCATTTATTTGCCTGGTTTTGGAAATCGGACAAAATATGCAGGTTTTTACCATCCTCTTTACGGCCATGTTTACGACCTTGGTGTTTGCAGCTCCTGTCGAAGAGCCTAATAACCAGCTGACCCAAAAGGGATCCGGGGAAGTGTTTGACGGGCCCTAAAGATACGTTCAAGGAGACAAGCTAATCCAGATGGGATGTGAATAGGCCAACAAAGAGTTTTGTCACGAATGCAATTGTCTTGAGGTAAATTATTTATAAATCTGGAAATTAATTCAAGGAACGGGGCTGATCAAGATGGAATATCAACAGCAAGCACTCAACAAGAAGTGCCGAGCGTGCAAAAAATGCAAATTTGTCTATAGTAGACCCCTTTTCGGGCTCTTCGATCCTTGAGGTCTCAATAGAGCGAGCAGCTTTATTACCTGAAATGGGGCGTTGTGCGGGATCCTCACTGAGAGGGGAAGGCAGCTGCACATGGAAAAAAATGAAGGGTGGGAAGGCGGAAAGGGACGAACGCAGACAGACGACGATCTTGCCAGATTGCTAGATCTAGTTTCAAACCAGTCGATGTATCATTACATTTCAATTGCAATACGCTTTTGGAAGGGACATGTTCAATACCACCAGAATTCTGCCAAACTAATAGATCAAGCCAGGATGATCACTAACATGGCTTGGCGGGTGCAGAATAGTGATGGTCAAGATTGATGGGGCGGTCGAGCGGCGGCCAGGTAGTAGAAATTACGGGTGGAAAGGCGGCCGTTTCTGGCGCCAGGAGCTGTCATTTTCGGCGGCGATTTCACAGGTCCTTATATTCTATGTGTATGTGTAAAGGATGAGAGAATGATCTTCCGTCCTCTGGCGTTATGGAATATTTCATCTAGTATTCGCTCGACGAATTAATTGATCTCAAGGCCAACTGGAGCCAGACCGGCTTCTAGCGCTTCGTGAAGTCTCGGATATTCTTCATTCGGGTAAGTTGAAGCCATAAGATTGAAAAGCGGACTCTAGGTTGAAGGAAACATACTTACTTCAACATTGAAGTTGATGGAGGCTGGCAGCTTTACAAATAGCTTTTTGAGCGGGGTGAAGGGTCCGTGGATAAATGATCCTCGTGTCGTCAGGTTTACCGCGGCTCCAAACTGAACCAGGATTAGCGTCATTCGAGTGACCCACACCGTAGGGTAGCCTAATATGGACAGTATATAGATGTTGATGGAAAATATCAGCACATACGATGCAAGAGGGACAAAGGAGAGAGCTAGAACAATGTTAGGGCATTAGGCAGCTAACTTGAAGCTATCTAGGGAGTAAGAAGCAGTATGTCTGGGGATAGAGGAAAAGATCGGGCAAAGCCAGAGAGCCCTCGAAAAGGCGTACACAAACAAAGGAGACAAACACCAAACACGAGCAGATAGTGATGGCCATAGAGATCTCCGCCATTAGTTACATGACCATCATGTCATCACATATAATTATACATCACTCTTTCTTCTGTTTATGCGTCACACTTTCTTCCCCCCGAGCTGGACGCCCATGCTTTCAAGCTATCTTGCTTTTCTAAAGCCTCCCTCTTCGCAGCTATCATCATGGCACCTCATACCCGAACCACCTACTTCGATGCTCGATTCCGTGGCCTTGTAGGGACTACGGTCACCACATATGACCTTATCTTGGATAGCGCGTCACCAGAATCTACCTCCCTCGCCCCTTCCACCTCGCCCTCTCGCGCTACGACCTCCCCCGCCACACCCTCTGCTCTGCCGAATTCTCCAATGACAGTCGTGTCTACCTCGTCAGGGATCTCCTGAAACTCCCGAACGTGGGTTATTACGGAGAAACTCTCGAAAAGGGCAGCTCCTATGACAGATCACGATGTCAAGATGGGACGCGGGTCAGCTAAGACTGTTGGCAAGTTTCTGTGCCACCTTACAGAAGACCCAAATCAGATAGCGTTTATGCGTATCTACCAACAGATTCCCATCACCGACACGGAGGACGCTGATCACGATACACTGGCTAGACAGGCCGTTCCTCCTGGAGTGTGTGGCGAGCTAGAGTCCTTTAAGCTATTACAGAGTGGACGCTGTAGCGCTGTTCCCCGCTTTCTTGGCCACGCAGAAAGCACACAAGGAGATAACGACCTCGTTCCCGGCGGCTACATCAGATACCTTGTGTGGGAAAAGGTCCCCGGGGAGCCTCTGACAAAGGAATTCTTCTGGGGCTTAGATGATGCCGCACGCAAAGACATCCGTTCTAAGTTCCGTGCCGCCTATGAGTAAGTCTATACAACTCCCTCCTAGGCAGGTAGACGGGATACTAATATAATCAAAAGACAGGTACTTAGTTGCGGGGTAGCACCAGGCCAGTCCAGAATCTCGAAGATCATCTTTGATCAGCCCACGGGCAATCTGTACGTCATGTATGCTATACAAATACGTTGGGAATATATACTAATGATTGACTACAGTCACATTTCGGGGTTCCGAAGGGGATGGCCAATTATCAGTAAACTTGAATGGTCAGAAGCTCGTTACGTCGAGTTTGGACTGGAGAAGCCAAGCAGAGAGAGAGACTACTAGTACCTTCACCCGGAACACTATCTCTTGCTACTCTGGCTCTCGAGGTAGTAAGTAACTGTCATATGGAGATAATACCACGAAGTTTCAGTCACCAACGTCGCCGCGATATCAAGACATACATCTAAAATTGCTCCGTGGGCTAGTGTATTTTTCACATGCTGTATAGCCCTGGCATTCCATCTAGATAAGGTATATCGCTCACGTGGCCTGTTTTCCAGTGTGGGAAGCTTAGAAGGTTATAAGCCCCTCTTCCTCCTTCAGTAGCACACGCCAAGCCTAGTCAAACAACACTAGCTCTAGCATGACGACTCTGCCAATATGGATAAAAAACATAGATATAGGGTGATCGGTTAAATTTTTATCGAGCTGGATATTTCAGTTATCATCAAGGCGTTTTGTTTATTGGAACTAGGTATCAAGTGGGAGGTGGTTATGTGGATGGGTCAACAGTGAATCACGTTTTTTTCACTAAATTTACTAAACGGCCGTTGGCCCAATGAAATCCGGCCTTTACGTGAACGTCTAGTCTAGTACTCTAATGGAGAATAAAATTAACAACTAAAGCGCAAAAAAAAATGACCAGACTGGGGTTCGATCCCAGGACCTTATCGGTGTTAACGATACGTGATAATTAGGGGGTATCGATGGAAAAGTCACGGTTGTGCTTGCTGTTTGGCCCCGATACCGTGGCATTCTCCCCCGTTACCGTGATGTTTCCATCGTGGTATCGGCGCGCCATCGACGACTCTACGCCTTGCCGTATTAGGCCTCCTCACATATCCTTGTCTCCTAGTCTGGCATAGCACGCCGGCGGCTCTATCATAAGCCTACGATAGGGTTTACGAACTAGAGGATATAAAGGCGGATGTGCGTGGAGTTTCGGCAAAATCGCGTGGTCGATTCTCGGGAAACTATAGCCTCTCCACTATAGGGCTTTGTGTAACTATCTTTTAATATAGGATACTATACTAACTATTTTCTAACCCTACCTAATAGGACCTTAGAACTATATTAATATTTATTACTGTTTAATATTTAAATCACTAGAAAAGAACTGAAATAAAGGAGGATAATATAACGGGCCAGAGCCCGAGGATTAGCCATAAGGCCTGGAGACGCATGTCGTAGAATCGCGAAGGGGATATACCGCTGGGCAGAAAACCCCGATCGGCTAGGTATCTTGGCCTAGCCGCATGCCCCTTTTCTTCAAGCTACAGTTTATGAAAAAATCAAACAATCCCCATCTTCCAGCAATTGTAAGCGATCGAATACGTCACTGTTCATTTGTTACTCCATACACATGCTGCCTGATCCGAAGATGATTGCCGAGTTTCAAAAAATTCACCACTCCCAATTTTCCGGGTGCTGACTCCAGTCCAGGTCCTCTTCTGGCGGCTCAGCCAGGTCATACGCAACGTAAAGGGTATCTGACCATTCAAGTTTGTCAAGGATTGGCCATCCCCGCTGAAACCCCGAAATGCGGCTGAAATTGTCAGCAAATTCTGTCAGCATTTAGGGAACCATTAACGTACATATCGCCAGTAGAATGATCGTAGATGATTTTGGAAATTCTTGACAACTGTGGTGCTACACCACAACGTAGTAGCTCTCTTTTGGTTGTGTTAGGATTCGTTATCTGGTTTTCTGGGCTCCAAAACTTACTCGTAGGCAGCGCGAAACTTAGCACGGATATCATCACGTGTAGGGCGGTCCAAGCTCCAGAACAATTCCTCTGTGAGTGACTCCCCAGGGACCTTTTCCCACACAACATATTTGATAAAGCCACTAGGTACGAGATCATTTTGCCCCTGCATCCTTTCGTCGTAGCCAAGGAAACGTGGAACAAGGCTACATCCCTGCCTCATCAATACCTTGAACGCTTCATGTTCACCACAGACCCTGCCAGGACGGCCCTGCTGAGCTCGAGTAGCTAAATTAGCGTACTCGGTCCCAGTAACAGGAATCTGATAGTAGATTCGCATAAAAGCTATCTGTGCCGGGTCCTCCTCTAGGTGGCATAGGAATTTACCAACTGTCATAGGAGGCCCAGCGCCCATATTGACTTGGTCCTGTGCGAGGTAGAGTGCGCTCTCAGAAAGCTTTTCCGTGATAATCCACGAGAGGCAGACCTTCGGGGGCGGGGAGCCAGGGAACGAAAGGCTAGGTTCTGTAGCAGATGATGCCGCAGTAGGATGGACAGTAGTGTGTGAGGCAGTAGTATGCGAGGCCGGAGGAGGTGAGGCCGTAGTAAATGAAACTGGAGGGGGAAAACCCGGGAGGGGGATCCGCAGACAGTGGCACAGGTGCCTCAGAGGCAGGGGAGACGGCCGAGAGCTCTTGTGGGGGGTCGATCTCGTAATAGGTAGTGACCTTAGTCCCGACCAAGTGATCGAGGAACTGAGCATCGAAGTCCGTTTGTCTCGCGGACGGTGCCATGGTGTTTGATGCGAGGAGAGAACCAGGGAAGGGGTAGGAAAAGTGGGAAAAAGCAGCTCGAAAGTCTGGGGGTTTCTGCCAACGAGATTTATGAGGGTAGGAGAAGGCGTAAGGAAAGCAAAGAGCAACGAATGACCACATAATAACGGGCATACCTAGGCGCAGTGCCAAGCTTTGCGGAGCGGGGCGATTTCCGGAGACTAGTCCTGATTAGGAACATCGCCGTTTCCAACCAAGTTTCAAACAAACGATTATTTCCGATGACATTGTGTTGAGCTCGATATCGTTGATAGGATACATCGCGAATTGCATTAAAATTACATTATTTGCTTTCCTGCACCACAACCTCAAATTGCGAACTCTGGTCTTCGATAAGCGCCCTCAGATCAGAGTATCCTCCCGTCCAGCATCGTTGGATGACCGATCTAGCTGCTATTCCGTCAACAACCGGATACTTTTTGTGTGCAAACAGATCATCAATCAGTTCTTTGTATTTCTCTATCTTATCCAGAGACTTAAATAGACCTGGAGGCCTATAGGGCCAATGGCCAGTCATTATCGTGTAGTAAATAGACCCAAGGCTGAAGATGTCCGTTCCCGGCGTCGATTCCGGCGGATCGTAAGGGTTATAAAAGCCTGAATCGGGGAGATGCCGACCGTCTATTTCTTCATTTGTTGAACCTCCAAAGTCACAAAGTAGAAGCTGGAGCTCAATTTCGGCGGCAGTGTGCAATAGAAAATTCTCAGGTCGGAGGTCGGAATGTATTACGCCCTTTTGATGAAGGAACTGAATGGCCTCCGCGGCTTGTGTTCGCGGCAATTACGGAGATTCTGGAGCAGCTTCGAATTTGGGAGCCGGAGATGTGGCGATAGCTTTGGGAAGTCATGTTTGCCAAGTTTGTCAGTAGTTCCCTAGATGAGTCAAGCCCAGTCTGGGTTTAGATACGCGTTCCTTCGTCCCTACTCAACAAACATTCTGATCGTCTCGAACCATTTTCTCTCTTCGTGTTTCGCTCCGCCTCAGCCTTCGAGCTAATCTCTCACGGCTCAGCTTACTCCGTACGCACTCTCTGTGATCCATATTAGATAACTTGCTAACTTAAGAAATAATCAATAGCTTTCGTCACAACAAAACTCGATTTCTCGAGATGCCTCGTCCCGCAGTCCATATTGGCCCGAAGACATTAGTCGAGTCTGCTGCGCCTAGGCTTGAACTAGGCCCATACCACACGACATCAAGCGCCTTACACAATCTCGAGTTCAAGGGGGATCTTCGCCCATGGCCAGGCTTTTTGAGTGTCGTACAGAGTATGTACGAAAGCTACGCCTGGCGGAATGAGTGCCTAGGCCTAAGCCTCCGTACTAGGGACCCCTACACATATGGAAACGTCGTGGTTGGGGACGAGCATGGCGTGCAAGGCCGCTTCCATAAATACTTCGGCGACACTATGAACGCGGTCTTTAACTCGCAATCAATGGGCATGCGCTTCGCAGATTTCAGATGCATACAGTCCACTTATAGTGGTATACCTGATGTGATCTTGATGGATGAAAATCACCAGTTGAAAGTTATTGGGGAGTTTAAGGTGCCCTGGATTCGAGATCACAACATTGGGAAACACTACTACCAACGGGATGGCTTGAGGAAGGTACTCGCCCAGCCGATACAGTACATGCAAGCACTAGGATGTGTGTATGGATTCCTCAGCAACTACGACCAGACAATCTTCCTCAGACAGCTCGTTGATAACCAAGGAGTCTGGAGAATTAAGTATTCTCCAGTGATCCGGGCATCCACCGCATACAAGAGTAGCGATGTGAATCCCGTTGTCTCTGTCAGGCAATGTTTGTTCTATGTAGGATGTGATGCTATGAATCAGGGGCTGGTTCATAACACCACTCCTCTGTGGGTTGTTTGAACAAACCAATCTTCAATATGTTCGAATACATGTGTGTTCAGAGTCACCACCAAGCTCTGGTCTAGAGATATGATAAAGTGACGTGTACTAGAATTGCTGTCTCTACCTATGTCTGTATATCTTATCTTATTTGAACTGAGTGGGCTGGTAGGTAGGTTCAAGATGTCGCCGATCGCCTAATTATTGTGGAATCGACTTTGTATACTATTGATGCGCTCATTTCGCGTTCGTGCGGAGGAAGAGAGTACAATTCTCCTTAAATGTGTTGGCCACTGGTGTTCCAGTCGACATGCTAATGACGCTCTATATACCAACATTGTACGTTAGGTTCAAATTCCAGTATGCTATATTTAGGGAGAAGATGCTGAAAGGAAGGCCGGGGTAATAAATAGCATCCAGCATTAGCTCGCTATGGTAGCCCGGCTGCTGAATCTCGACCAGAAGGTTGATACGGAGTCGTCCGATACCGGCAGCTGATAGCCTGATCTGATTGCACTAGTCGCGTCACGGAAACGATAGGGCGCTTCTCCGGGGGTGTACTCGTGGTAATTTGTGAAGGGGTTTTTATTATTAGGTAGTGATGTGATAGAAGAGGCCGGGGCTAATCGCACACTAACTTGAAAAGATAGACTTCGCTGGTGTTGTTAATATACAAAATTCTAGTTTTTGCACTTTCCATATTTGTTCAAGCGGGGCTTTGCAGAGAGATTAAAGTATATAAGATATTCCAACAACTATGAGACAAGGTAAATGTCGGATTTACACAGTGCGCATAAATCCTAGTGTGTGCACGAATCGTTCATGCACAGTCGGGTCAAAGGGTCGTACGATTTAATCATAGATCTACGATTGTGGAAGAGAGACTATCCACCATAGAGCGAAGAGCGGCAGTTTTAGACAGACAAGTTGAACAGTGGTAGGTCAACGCAGTGTGGTCAGGTAGGCCTAGAAGCTCTAGTCATGAATATAAAAGATATCAAACTTGTTCTATTTTACTAGGAAATTAGGCGGTATTTATAACATGAGGTACACGATAAAAGATCACAAGAGAAGTCGAAGAATACCCAAAATAATGGAAGGAAAATACGAGATTGTTGGGGATTCTCGTTGCTTTTTCATCTGGTGTTGATGTTGATGATCAACATCAATAATTGATATGCAGGCTTATGCATGCGCGCCACATTGTTGATCCGAGGGCCTATGCACACACACATGTTGACACATGTTGACAGTAAATCTAAGCGTGTGCATTGCTACTAGCTAATCCCCCTCCCCTCCGCTTCCCTGGGATATTTCTCATTTTCTGCTATCTTCTTATTTATCTTCCGGCGAGCTATCCTGAATATATAATAGAGGCTAACGAATTCTCTTATAGAAATCGACGAACCTAATGGAATCTATCTAATCTAGCTCAAAAACGCCGGGACGCCTCGATATTGCATACGAGCTCGTCGAAAATAAACTATCTGGAGGGGAGATCTAGCGAGAAAAACAGAACAAACGCAGGGAAACGGCGAGAGAAAGCTTCGGCAGTGGCACTTGAGCATCCACCTCATCAATCTGTGAGACCTAATAATCTCAACAAACCTTCCGTCCCAAAAGGCGATCACATGTGCCTAGTCAAACGAGTCGATACATTAACAAATGGGTCCATATGGCTCTCGTTAAGCACCGTTGAGACAACACCAACTCTATCAGCCATCAAAATCTGAACGCCCGCCGCTTGTTGTACCTGAAATAATTTCGTTAGCTATTGCATTCGCTTATGTACCCCTTAACATTATTTCTTAGACAGTCAAGTTCACTTGTTGTTGGCCCTATTACTCACCCTCACGTTTTCTGGAACGTTGTTTAGTGAGCTATAAGACCCGCAAACAAACCCTGATTGTCTCACATAGCCCACAAGTCTCGGACATAGAAGTAATATGTCGGAAGCGAAGACAATACCGGCCAAATTCCACCGTTTGGAACATCTGACTGCAGCTTGCAAACTGCAAGCTCTCATTTCCAAATCACTAGCCGGAAGCTTTCCGGCATTGGTGATGAACATGACCGGATATCTCTTCTGTTTGATGGCCAAAAGGATACAAATTTCCGGTGTGAAGGAGGAAAGTATTATCTTTCGTCCTCGAGCATTTTGGAATATCTGGTCTAGTATTCGATCGACGAATTCATTGATCTCAAGCGCAACTGGAGCTAAACCGGCTTCAATCGCTTCGTGAAGTCTCGGATATTCTTCTTCGGGTAAGTTCAAACCACAGGACTGGAAAAATAGATATTGGACTGAGAGAGACATACTTATCTCAACATTGAAGTTGATAGAGTCTGGAAGCTTCACGAGCAGCTCTCTTAGCGTGGTGAAAGGGCCCTGGATGAAAGATCCTCGCGTATTTGGCTTGAAACCTTTATTTTTGAGATCAACAGTATATCTCATCCTTTCGAGAACTGGATGGATCTCTTGTATATAGGTTGTCGTCAATGAGCGTGATCGTTGTCTGTATCTAACCTGGTGTTCTGGGCTGCACTTTGTACTACCGTCTCCATGTCTCCAATGTGAATGTTCTCTGGGAAATTGGAGTTTGCTTGCGTGCATAAACTTCCATAGTGAGCCTTCAGAACCCTAGTCATTCTTAGGATGCCTACCTGTTCGAAAGTAAGATCATGGATGGGTACATCAGTACCTGACTCGCTTAAAGAGAAGTCATGGAAAATGACGGGTACAAAGTCTCGAGTAAGCTGCACATCTGTTACGTATTAGCGAATACGAGATTGTGTCATGCTGTTCTCATGTCCTTTTACCGAACTGTTTGACGTTAGACAAGTACACATGTTATGCGCATGATACGTCTTACCTCAACATATGATGCTCCTTGTTTTGTGGCCGAAAGCATGGACTATTCCATGATTAGTGACAAGTGTTACAGATTTGTGGGGGGAGGAGGGTTATTCAACCTCAATTGTGTTCTCTCCGAGTTGAAGATAGCTCCAATCAGCAGTATTTTGACCAGAACCTTTAGCAATGTCAGTCATCTAGAAGGTCATAGTATACAATGCCCAGTTTCGATACCTCTGTGACCAACAAGTTGTGTTCCTCGCTCTGGGAAATAATTGTCGATAGGTGGCGATGTTTTCAGGTCCATGGGCTGTTTCGCAATCAAGAAGGTAAAGGTCACTGTTCCGAGGATCTCAGAAGTCTCCTTTGCCAAAATAGGAATGGTATGTCCCCTGAAAAGGCTTTCGCGGGTTGGTCCAAAGTAATCTTCTTCACTCCGAAGTAGGGTCGCAGCACTGCCTATCAGATCGCCTTTCCCGCACGACGAGCCTTGACGATAAAATTTGAAGACCAGGTGAGCTTCGTTTGGATTGTGTATGGGGAATATAAATGGTTCGTTTGCCATATCACTCAGGATTGGTAAGTGAACCAGGTGGCTAACAGTACTCCCCACTGACACAGACATGTCCAGTGGTGGCGATAAACCGGTGAGAATCTTGTCCTTTGAGGAAATATTCTTGAGCTCGACGCCCTTCACCTGTTTTCCATTCTGCAAAACTCCAATATTGACAATTGCGTGATCAGAAGTGACAGAAAGATCAGACCCCGCGTGATGAACAGGTGGCAAGGACATGATAACAGGGTTGCCGGTCATTTGAGATTTGTCCCATGATTTCAGAAGTTCAGCCAAGGAGAAATGACCCCTCAAGACTACATGTTCTATGGCATACCATCCACGGTAATCAGGTATGCGCTGACTCGCCCCAGCTTGCACGAGGAGCTCGGCGGCCTTCCTGTGCCCCTTTATGCAAGCGATAGTTAACGCAGACCAACCGTAAGGCAACTGTGGATCGTCTATATTTGTCTTTTTGCCGATCTCTAGCAGGATCTTGAGATAATCATCGCGTCCAATCTCAGCTGCGACATAAACTGGGCTTTCTTCATGAGCGGAGCCCCTTGGAGAAAAGAGCCGGGACTTTCCAAGCAAAACAACAACTGTCGTCAAACTGATACCGGATCGCAATATTGAGGAGGCTTTGCATGTGACTCATGATCTTGAAGCTGGGCTGGCCACTCAATCGACCTTCAACCTTCAAGGTGTCCAGGAATATCTTTGCAACAGCCACGTGATTCTCAGCTACCGCATAATGGAATGGTGTATATCCTTGAGCATCTAAAGACAGGATGAGGCTTGATGCTTGTCCTTGATCTTGCACATGACTGAGAATCTTTTGGCATACAGTATCGAGGCCGCATAACGCGCTGTAATGAAGCGGCAAGCGGCCAAGTTTATCCACGGCCAAGACGTTTTTCTGGTCAAGACACAAAATGTCAACAGCAAGCCCAACCGTATTTTCTCGAGTCCCACCACGGCAGATTTCACAGAGAGACTGTCTGTTTTGAATCTGTTCCAGGTGATCATGAAACACGTCTTCTTCGCCCACTCTGGTGATCATGCGGTTCAGAAGACTATGGTCTGCGATTAATCCATTCGCTGAAAAGGCTTTTGATAACAAGTACTGAATTGAACCTCCAGCGTGGTGCGTTATTGAGAGCTCCAGAAGATAGTCGAGAATTGCCTCAGAATTCGACGCAAGAGCATCGTTCACAGGGGAATTACACCTTGGAAAGAAATTCGAGACCAGTTGCTGTCGTGAAAGGATCAGTCATAGGCGGCAGGCAAAAGCCAGGATACATTTATACCCTATTACAAGTTAGTGCTACATCCTATGACTCTCAGGACCAGAGGCACTGCTCTAGATATACTATGTGTGTTTACCATCCATCACTCTCTTGATATCAGCGCGTCGTCTGTGTATGTACCATTACATCAATAAGAGAAGAAAAGGATGGGCTAAAAGGTGAACTTGGCTGATATTTCCATATGAACTATCTCGTTCTCGCACTTTGAAACCCTTTCCAAGCGGCCGGTCAGCAAAGAGATCCAAATACTACGCTAATAATCATAGAGAAAAGGTAGAGCTCCTCTATCTCTCACAATTCACAGCTAGGGCGCTCGCCTTTCCATTGTGGGGTTCAAATAATTCCCCACTAGTAGCAGCTTTGATGGCCGTCTCATCCGTTGGTAAATCCCGAACTAGCCGAGTCAACCGTGAGATGTCCTCGCCGGTTCCAGACCGAAGGGCAACAATCATTCGATGAAGGGCATTATGAGTGACTGATAACTCGGCAATATGTGCCCTCCTTCTCCGGTCGCGTCGGTAGTCGTAGGTGCATTGGTGCTCCTTGGCTCTGCAATTCTCGCATGGGACCTCACCAGAACACTGTAGACGAATTAGAAACATATTGGATCTCAGAGTGTGACATGTCTCCGACCTTGATTCTTTTCTTTTGACAATCCAAGCAAGCGGAAGATATTCTACGCCGCTGCAGCTTGGAGGATTTACTTTCAGCAAGGATGACATGGCTCTCATTCATGTCCTTCGGCAGGAGCTTCCGTAGGGTCTTGGATGTTACCATGGTCCATTATTTAATATAATTTTTTTCAGATCTTTTATATTTGTTTTATCTTGCTGCACTATCCTATGCTATTTGCTTTAGGATTTGTAGTGTTATTCACTATAGGTGGTTTAAGTGGAGTTGTTTTAGCTAATGCTTCACTTGATGTTGCATTCCATGATATTACCAATATTTTATAATATTGGAGGACTCACAGTTATAAATCCCTAGCGTAACTTTTTCTATAATCCAAGACGTATGTAGACGGTAAATTAAACTCTAAAAGAGTACTTTTTTACTAGAGGGGGGAAATGAACGTGAGATGTAGTGAGACTAGAGAGTCCGGCAGGGGATGTAGGGAGGACGCAGAGTCAGGATAGGGGAAGAATTTGCTGGCTTTTTAATTCGTCTATTGCATTGGCCTGAAGCTGTTCTTTGTTTGCTATTGACAAAGAACGAAATGTGGAGGCTGGTCGCTACTATACCTAAGGCGAAGTAGGGCAGTAGGGAAAGGACTAATCAGAGATACCCTATGCACCTATCTATGGTCCTCTTCCTGGTATGTGGCGGTGTGCTACCTCTTCACTTTTCAAACCCGCTTGTTACTCCGACGAAAAGGGGACCTTATATTTAGATATGATCCGAAGGTAAGTAAGGGTCCGCGGTTGCTGCGCGGTGGCAAATCTCTATCCCTGATGGTTGCAACGTTAATTGAGATTACCATATTAGCGAACGCTATCATGACCCGTAATAACTTGATTCATGCGATTTTAAAGCTGATTAGACGCGACTAAAAATAACTGACTGGCTAGCTAGACTGACTGACTTCACTAAGGTGACCAAGGTACCTTGTGACACATCTCAACCAACACATAGCACTGACAAGTAATCAAATGCCTCGCAGCATCAACGTCCTATCCAATTTCCTCTTACCTACTCGAAATATAAATTGAAGCAAATGTCTAAGGACTATATTTCCGGTTTCAGACTCGTCAAAATTATTGCGAAAAATTTTACGGGTTGTCCTGGTGTAAGCGCGCAGTTCAGCTAAGCTATGGAAGAGCCACACAAAGAAAACATGGTTTATTCCTTTCGTGAAAGACATCAACATGTCTCATACGGCAAGAAGTCAACCAACTGGCCATGTTGAGTCAGCTTCACACAAGCTTTTGAGAAAAGCAAGGCCAAGCGTAGTTGACAATATGTGGGGTATTCGATAAGGCGAGCCGGCAAAAAAAGAAATGACCAGACTGGGGTTCGATCCCAGGACCTTGTCGGTGTTAACGACACGTGATAACCAACTACACCATCCGGCCAATTGATGTATGAAGATTTGAATTAATGCTATATATATCAAGACATAGACAGATTAGGAATGTTGACATAATTTCACCGTGGCTGGCCAAGCTGAGGGTATTCAAATAGTTTTTTAATGAATACATGAAATCTTAAAATTTAAAAAGCAATAGCTGGAAGCTTGCTTCAGTCTGGAACAATAATTCTTAATTCAAACTTGCGTTATTCGTGATTGCTTCCTGGCTCCTAACTTCCGCCCTTGGTCAAGAAGCGACTCAAGTTCGGTCAATTCGTGTACTGCTCCCGCGAGAGGTTGAGAGTGTGTTGTTAGCGAATTCTTGGCAAGTCGGTTAGCCTTATTATAAATAGAGAGAGCTCTCGGATAATTTTCAGTGATATAAGCAAGGATAGATTCTAAATCCTTCCACGGAACGTCGTGCCTATAGCTAATAGATGTTTTAGCTGCCGCCTATACTGCAGCCTAGAAATAACAACCTTTACTCATATAATAGTGGAAATTTTCTTGCCTGCGAGAAAACTACACCACGCGATAAACGGTCGACGACGAAGGACCACCGTCTTCTAATCTTCATTTGCCTTGTGAGCCTATTACGATGACGTCTGCGGAAAATCTCCTTCATATTGTCCCATTCGGGATATAGCGACTCCAAAATTAGGCGCCCGTTCTGTTTTTCCATGTGCTATTCCATATTACAATCACGGCTTGAAAATCATGTAAATTTACGTGTATCGGTGGCAGGTCTTCTAAGGAGCCAATTAAGATTTTCTCAAAAGCGAAACATAATTGGAGGCATTCCAAATTACTGCAGAGAAAAGAAGGCACATATAATTATCTAAACGCTGAGAATGATACAAGGCAGTACTAGAAATGGAGAAAGGATGGTTGGCTGATAACCAACGACACTTGACACAATATAACATCATTTGATTTGTTAATATGGCAGCAAGGCTACGTTTTATCCTGCAAATAGGTAGCATACGAGAAAACCTTTAATAGGTGCCCTATAGAGGGGATATTTCTTTAGCTTCGTAAGGTTCTCTGCACATAACAAACAGAGCAAATGTCTATATCCAAGCATTGCCTAACGATCTAGGTGCTCGTAGCAGATCTTGCACCTTAGCTTTTCCTTTAGTTATGAGAGCACCTCTTTCCTCTTTCGGTGTACGTTCCTCTTCAGACGAAGTTTATCCTGGAGTATTCGGTTTGTCGCTTGTAACTTCGTGATTTTATGGCCTAGTGTAGTTTGAAGCTTCTTAAAAGTATTATTCTAGTCCTTTATTAGCTATGGAAGAAGAAAGTGTAGCGAGGAGCTTATACTAAAGAAGATCGCTCTTTCGTCTCTATCCGCCTTTGCTTCCGTGATGATGTCGAGCTAGTCGAATCACCGATTGATTCAGCGAACACGCTCTTATAATCTAGGTATCTGTAATCACGACGAGGGCCTCTTCTAGGTCGTGAATGACCTAGCTCGGGGCTTAGTAATACATCGTCATCGGCAATAATGATAGGGTTTGATATAGTACTACTAGTCGCTATACTAAGAGGGAGAAAGAAAATATCACCTCGCTAGATATAAATAAAATAGAGAATAAGAGGCCGGTACAAGACCGGGGAAATGAAGCCTTTTATATACCTGTGAACCAGCACGGACCGACTCAGCCCCGGGAAGTACTCGGGCACTGGTATTATCGCAGCTTTGCACGATTGGATGACAGTTTATGATGGAGTGAGATATGGTGTTTCATGTGGTACCCTGACAAGGCAGACAATATATATCTATATCTAGCTCGATGATTAAGTATGCCTTATTCAACAATAAGGCTCAGGCGGCGGTAGGATTACAAATATGTGTACCGATCGTGTCTATCTCGATAGACAGTACAGAGGAACTGCACAAGAGATTTGACTATTCTGTCTCTCCATCGGATCCAACCATCCTACACCAAAATACTTTCGCTATTTTAGGACTGCGCTGTGTTATAGCCAGCTGTCTAGCTAAGCTCTGTTCGCCGAGGGACCAAGAGAGAAGACGAAACGTGCAGGACAGACCGGTACGGAGGTAATCCTGGCAGCACATCCAGTCTGCATGACGCTGGTGATTTTCTTGCCGGCGAGGAGAACTACTCCATGAGATAACCGGCCGATGGTAACAGACCATCGTCGGCCAATAAGTACTTGGCACCTGAGCTTGTCACGATGACGATGTCGGGCCCTGTCGCTTAAGTGGTCCCATCCTTCCGCATTAAGTTGGCGCAGAATAGTATCGTAAAGACCGGCATTCGTAAGAGATGCCACATCATCACCGAATTTATATTGACGGAAATGAGAGAAAAGGTATCAGTGCCTTACTGCCCACCCAAACCGCTTCCCGGTTTGGGTGCGCCCGCAATCCTGGGCATTCCGCAATCCTGGGCATTTTTCTACTAGTAGCCTACTACTATCCAATTCAACCACCCAACATGCCTAAATCTACTGATTTTGATGAATCTCGCTTGACCGAGGCCTGCAAATTGGTTTTATCCTAAAAGAAACCAAATATCACTAAGATTGCGCGTGAATTCGGTGTTAGCCGCCAGACCTTGACTAGACGCGTCGAAATGGCTAAATCGCCTATTACACCTACTAAATCGCTGAAAAATCTCCTAGAGCCACACCAGGAGAAAGCCTTGGTTAGTTGGATAGCTCAAATGCATGGCTGGAACCTACCACCTACTGCTGCGGTAGTAGGCGCATGGGCAAATCGCGCACTCGCGCGATCGGGACAGCCGGATACGCAGGTTGGTAAAAACTGGGCGTATAGCTTTATAAAGCGTCTACTAAAAAATCTTGGCCTAGGTCCTGTGAAGCAAAAGACTAAGGAACTAAGGCGAATCTAAGCGGAGGATGCAGGCCTTCTTCAACACTGGTACGACTAGCTAGAACTGGTCCTCTATAACGTCCCCGCTCGGCTAGTATATAACTTCGATGAATGCGGGTTTCAACCTGGTTAAGGGCGAGCACGAAACGTTATAAGGGCTAAATTATCTTGCCCTGATCTCGCTGAGACTGAGAGAGGCGAAAATATCACTGTACTAGAGTGTATTGCTGTAGACGGCTGGTAGATAGACCCTCTCTTTATATTTAAGGGAACTAGCCGAAATCTTATAGAGGCCTGGTTCTACGGTAGCGAAAACCTCTTACTAGACACGATGACGGCTATATCTCCTAATAGCTGGATTTCTGATAAATTAGCCCTAGCCTGGCTAGGCTATTTTATTCAATTGACTGCTTATCGTGTGAATCGGGGTGAAAAGCGCGTTCTTATATTCGACGGCTATAGCGCGTATCTTATACTCGAATTTCTTCAACTCTGCGAGGATAATACGATTATCCCCTTTGCGTTTATGCCGTATTCGACGTATATTTGCTAGCTACTTGATGGAAAGCCCTTCCTAAATTATAAGTAGTAATTTCGGTTAATAAATAATGAGCTAGCTTTCTAGAGTGGCCAGCCGTATAGGAAATCGGATTTCCTCGCGATTATCGGGCTAATTCGCAAGAAGGCGTTTATACAGCGAATTATCCGCGAATCCTTTAGAGATCGTGGAATCTATCCAGTTGACGGTAGTAAGGTTATTGATAATCTTGCTAAGGATTTAGTGATTCCTGATCTATACGTACTAGATCTTCGCTTATAGGGCTCGCATACACCATCACCACCACCACCTAATCTCTCGTCTTCTAGTGTTGAAAATAGCCCTCCGAAATCTATCGAAGCACTATGCAAGAATCAGGCGAAGGTTACTAAACACCTCGAGGATCTATTAGATAAGATATAGCGAAATCTATCGAGGTTGATAGCGCACCAGCGGGAGATGGCGGAGGAGCTTTCGATAACGCGGGATACAATTCAGCGTATAAGGGCCGCGCAGGCTCTAGTACGTCGAAAATACACCAAGCGACAGGTTAAACTACTTAGCCAGACTGGTATATTAACTATACGCGATGCGAATCGGTCGATTAAGACCAGGAAGGAGGAAGAATTGGCTAAGGCGGAAAGAAAGCTAGCTAAGCAGTTCAAGAAATTATATGGCTACGAACCCACACAGCGATCGGAGGAATCTATTCAGCGGGCAATTGCTAATGAGGAAGCGGCTAGGCAGGCAGGAGGGCTTTTTTTTGTTGATAATTAGCTAGTTGGTTGGTAAATTTGACGATTTCTCTACAAAATGCCCAGGATTGCGGAATGCCTAGGATTGCGGGCGCACCCAAAGCGGGAAGCGCTTTGGGTGGGCAGAAAGGCACTGATAGTAATATGTCATTTCCAGAGGAATCTATCCTATTGACTCATCTTTGAGCGTGCTGAGGCGATTGAAGCCGGCAACAATTTTCTCTAGTATCGAGCCTTGGCCATAGTCTTCAGCGCAGATACGTCGCCACCGCAGATATTGGTCTCTGAGCGTATTTCGATCGCTGCGGAACAGGTCGCTTGCCGTAAATGTAAAACTTCGATTCACTAATGTGCGAGAAATCCATGCTTTTGAGTTGGGCGTGTCCACGTGAGTCACATTCGACGTTGATAGCAGTTCAGAGACTTCAGAGGCAGGGGCTGCCGGCGCAATATGGCCAGATGCTTCAACTGACGCCGGGACGCCGTTTCCTTGAGAAAAGCTTCTGGGAAGTGTAAAGAACGGAGAATCCTTCATGCTCGAATTGAGGATTTTCGATAGCGTACTGAAGGAAAGTAGCGCCAAGTTGTACAAGCTGTGGCAGGGAAGCTTCCATTTTGGAGGAAAACCAGAGGATGTGGTCTTTGAATAAAAGAGAACAATATGAATCTGACTATTTCTCAGTCCTCCGTCGATGTCATGTGCCACGTCATGGTTTCATTAAATTGTAGATACCGTGTGTCAGCACCTGCATCCCGGCGCTGTTTACCAGGGGCCACAGCACGGTTTCTCTAGAATCGTGTATACCATGTGCCAGTGCCCGCATCCCGGCGCTGTTTACCAGGGGCCACAGCACGGTTTCTCTAGAATCGTGTATACCATGTGCCAATTCCCGCCTCCTGGTACCCCCTGCCTCCCGGCGCTGTTTACCGGGGGCCACAGCACGGTTTTTCTAAAAGCGTGGATACCATGTGCCAGTGCCCGCCTCCCGGGGTTGTTTACCAGGGGCTATAGCACGGTTTCTCTAAAAGTGTGGATTCTATAGTGAAATGAGCTGATATGGATAGTTTCTTCCTAGCCTTGTATATTATCTCATATGATAGAACTCAAAAAAAGATTAGGTAGTGATAAAGAGAAGCCGTACTAAGTTTGCACACCTGCTAAGCTAGACGGAGCTTGCAAACATAATTTGCACTACGGCTTCTTCCATTACTGCCTTTGACTATCACAGAGCTAATTAGCGGTCGTGGAGTAGGGTCCTGGATTATGGAATACTGATATAGGCACTACAGGCCAACCAATTATCTCAGTTTCTATATTAGTCTGCTACATATGCTCGAACCCTTCATGAATAAGTTGTCCTTCTCTATAACCAAGAGTCCGCCAAAATTTAATCCGGAAATTGAGCTGATTAGATCCGAATTCATCGTTGTCCGAATCTCTAGTCATATCATCGTCCGAATCCTCGGTTATCTCTTCATCCAAATCTTTGGTCATCTCTTCGTCCGAATCTTTAGGGATATTGTCGTCTAAACAATCGGTTATATCGTCACCTCTAGTATACAAACGCAGACGAGAGATATCTGCTATACAAGGCAAGGTTTGAAGCCTTAGAAATATTCTCTGCTACTCTTCGATAATATTATGCATTTTGTCGGGTTTTATTAAGTGCTATAGTTGCTCGAACTATATACTTGATAAGTATATACTTTCTAACTTCGGTAGTAGATAGGCTCTGGTTATTAGTAAGGTAGAGAGGAACAATCGAGCCTATAGCAAGTTTAACATAGTTAAGTACGGATAGTAACATACAAGATCTTGAAGCGTTATACTATTAACAGAATTTCAACCTAAGTTTAAGGAACTCCACGTTTAGGAGAGTACGTAAGAGATCTAGGAATTAGTATTCTACGAGCTCCCGCGTACCTCGGAAAGGAATATACTCTATACTGAATTTTTATAAAAGTAGGCAGCTACGCGTAATAACAAGGAGTGATTTTACGTCGGCTAAGCTATAAAAAGCAATATTAACAACTTATAAATATCGGTATTTTGTAATATATTCGCTTATACTTTACTATAAGCAGGAGCGACTCGTTATAAGCTAAGAATTTAAAGCCTTTTAAACTTTAGTAATTATTCTACCTAGTTTTCGTGCTATTCTCGTAGGTATAGGGCCTTTAGGCTTAGCTATAGGGTTTAACCTATAGAGATAGATACTAAATCTAGATTATAATAGGGGGTTATAAGCGCTAATATTTCGAGGCGCTAGTATTATTTAAGATACGGTAGTAGTTCCGTAGTAGATTAACCGGAATTATAAACCGGGTCCGGTTCCTCTAGGTGAAAAAAGCGTAATTTATAGTATTTTAATAACTGATAAAGATAGTTAATACTTTAGTCTATATTTAATTTGTAGATTATAAGAGCTTTAAGATTAGCAAAATTGTTCTATTCCTGTTGATAATAGTTCCTAAAGAAGTAGAGAGAGTACGGAAGACATATATAAGAGGAGGTAAAATCTTAGCTAGATTAGGTTATTAAGATCTCGTAGTAGATATTATTAATAGCTAAGTACTCTACGGTTAGAGTAAGAAGAAGATCGGAGATAAATAACTAATCTTAGCTAACGATCTTGTAAGGGATTATAAGACTCGCTAGGCCCCGTCCCTTCAGTCGTAAAAGAAGTTCTATAGAGTACCGATAGCGTAGGGCGCGACACTTTTCGAAGTATATAAGTCTCGTCTAGGGGTTATAGATTTATTAATCGCGGGTGTCTCTAGCAAGAGGAGAAGGTGCTTCACAAAACTTATATTTCGAGCGAAGCGTTTTCGCGACGCTATAAAGAGGCTATTCAGTGATCTAATGTCTAGTGTACGAAATTGTATATTATTTATAGAGCTAATATAGAGTTTTCCCAAAGCTTCTACGTTCTAAACGCTGTTAACACAGGTATAGTTTAGAAGATCTAGAACTATGTGAATATTGTCGATGACTAAGCCAACAATTTCCGGAAGGAGAAGTGGATTTCGTATATCTCGATATATAATAGTAGCTATTATATGTACTATAATGGAATCGAGTTTAAGTAGCGATGCTGATTCAAAACAAATGCAGGTCGATGTTGTACTGGGTCCTTCTTTCAATTGCATGACCTTCGATCGTCTAGAAAGGCAAATCAACAAAAGATAACGCAGGATTTCCCATCTTTCTTGGCATTTTTTGAAGATCCTTTTTGCGCCACGGTCACATGATCCAGGACTATTTAGATTCCCCAGACGGTCAGACCCTCAATAGAACTTATCTTCCTATACATCTCTGAATTAAAGATGCTTCCTTCTCCTCTTCTTCCACATTAACAGATCCTTTCAACACCTACGCCCAAAATGTGTATAATTCCGGGACTAAACACTATCCCTCCCGAGGTCGTCATCAAAATATTTGGTGAACTCTCTCTGTTAGAGGCGCTTCACCTGGCCGCGACTTGTTGTCGACTCCGCCAGATCTTGGATGAAAATACGCCTACTATTTACGAACGTCTACGCAGGCAGATTCAATGTGAAAAATATGCGAGAGTTCTACTCGCAGATCAGGGGGTTCTGCCGTCCGGTTCTTCGGTAACTATACAGGGCCTTTTACGATTACGACGGAACTCCCGTATCGTGGAGAAGGCGATCGACGTGTTTGATCGTGATATTACACCGCATATTCGGAGTGAGCATACTGATCACTAAGTGTGGTAACTATAAAAGACTTTAGTTTTATTAATATTAAATTTCCTATAGTTCCCACTACGGATGTTGATGACGAATTTTACGGAGGAAAAACGCGTCCGTTGCATTTGACGCCGACAGAGCGTCATCGATTCACTCGGAGCTACTATCAAGTCTGGAGTATATTCCTACTTGATCGACCATCTCGACAACAACGATATAGAAGTATGCTGCTGAAGCATTTATACATGCTCTACGAAATGATTTATCTTGATCAGCCGATTGGTGACAAAACGGAATCGCTCTCATTTAACGAGAAGCGAACCGAACTCCTTCAAGAAGTTGACAAACTTCTCCGTTCTCTCTACCACCATTTCCATGGAAATGAGTTTATCAATTTCTCAGGTTACAGCATTTCCATGCGCACACAAGGGCATGCAGCTATATGGGACCATTGCCAGCCTGATTTGAAGTGTATCGTTTGCTTCTCGTGGCGGTCTCCAAAGAAGCAGCCCGTCAAGGTTGAAGGAGTGTGGGACTGTACGACCGAAGAAGAGTGAAGTTATATTTCCATACTATGAATGACATTGCAGGAGCTTCGAACAATTGCTCAATTATACGTGATAACCAACTACACCATCCGGCCAATTCGATATAATAGAGGCCAATTTTAGGAATCGTAAGCAATCCTGAGTTGGTACATAAACCTACGATTGTCGCTAGGATTAACATTAAAGTTTCAAGCCATAACTACACAGATAGATAATTCAACACCCCTCTGAGGGAAAAGTAATTCGATCTATAAAGTACTGTCTTTGGGAAATGCGCTTTCACTTGAAACGGCCACCATAACTGTGTGAAGGTTGTTATATATAACCAGTCACATTTGTGGTCGGTATATAGTGTAGACCTTGAATGATAATCACATATAAACATAGCAAACTAGATATAAATTTGATCCGAGAAATAGGTGACTCTAAGTATTATTCTAGCTAGTATCCTGATTAATGTGACGATCGTCAGCAGGATTGATGCCTGGTTCCTGAGGCATCCATCTACTATTTAGATAGCTCTCTTGTCGTTCTGCCTTCTTTCCTTCTTTCCTTCTCTCATGCTTAGTTGTTTTGGTCAAATGCTACCATGTTGATTGATAAATATCTCTCTCGTGCCTGAGCGTAACAATTAATTTCAATGTTTTCTTTTCTTTTTCTTCTACCTCTCATACAAACAACGTAGGAGTAGCGAAATATCATACATCATCCTGCGGCTCTCTGCTTGCTCCTCTGTCCCGCCAACTTTCAGCCGTAGTTCCCCGGGCGAGATGCTCCTCTCGTCTAGATTTCTTATCGCGAATTGTGATAGAGTCCTGTATCACCAACGCGCTTTATTCCCTCGAAATACCTTGATATCCTCATGGTCGGGAAGGGTTGGCACCCTAATCTACTAGCAGCTAACAATGGATGCCACGCTCATTAAGGCCATGCATTCCGCTGTGTCTTCCCGAAAAGATCTCATACAAAGAAATTTCGGATCTGTTATCCTCAATTGCAACTCCATGGCCCAAAAGAAGTCCAGCATAGCGGTCTCAGTGCCCCAGCGTCGAATCGGCGAATCTGTGACTGCCGCCAACAGCCTTTGCTTGTCATTGTTGTATAGTTGTCTAGCATTTTAACCCAGCAATACAAATTCAGGAAGTCTTGAAGTAATGATCTAGTCTGTCCATCTGGTGCCCCAGATCTCCCCGGTATTCATCCCTTTGATAGTGAAGATATGGTTCACAGCCCAGATTATGACAAGCAATAGAAGTAGTACCGTGGACCATACCTTGAAGGCCGGAGAATCCATAATCTTACCCAACTGCACGGCAGCGTTTGTGTATACACCCTTTTCAATCACGCAAGTGTTGTTAGCGTCATAGGTGTTATCAATAGAGACCACCGCAACCACTTACCATGGGAAAGACGAGAGCCCAGGCAGACAATGTGAAATGTGAGTGTCGTATACCTCCTGGCTGGGAGATACAGGTATGTATGATACTAATTATAGCAAAGATCCACCAGAATGTGCCATAGCCCCAAGCTAGCAGGCCGGCGAACTGACTTGTGAAAGCAATGGGCTTAGCAGCCTCGGCAGTCAAGAATGTGCCTTGGTCATAACCCGCGAAGCTTCCTCGTAAAACCGCTTGGCCGAGTGCTTGCAAAGCAAAGCTTCCTTGTCCAAATGGGCCACACAGAATCATATCCTGATATATCTGTTCCAAGGGTGGGAATGATCTGTCAAAAAGTCTTGTCACAAAGACATCGTTGAATGCCATTGCAAGCGCAAGTCCGAGGCCGACTTCAAGGTAAGAGACAATAATGACGGGAACTTGTAGACGGTCACTGAGAGCGCGTATCGACATATGACACCCCCGCCAGCAGCCGAAGTCGGAGCTGCAATTAATGGGAGAAGCACACAAGGTGTGACTGCCTTGACACCAGGTGACTGGACTTTGACGAAGAAATAGGGGATTCCCATTACTGATATAACAGCCATAGCAGTATTGATCCACCAGAGAACATATGCGACAATACCCCAGGCCGATCCCCACTGGCGAACGAGCACAAGAACGATCATTTGGATAATCAATGTGAATGTAATTGAAATGCTAGCGAGGCATGCGGTCTCAATCATACTTGTTCGCAGCGCATGAGCGACATGTCGAGGGTACATGAGAACTCGGAGTAGGTAGAGTGATACGCCCGCCGTCAATAATGCGATAGTGTAAATCCACGCGATGACGGATATAATCGCCAGTCCCCGAAACTGATAGTCTAGTTGATGAAGAATCAAAGATATGATACCAGTTCCTTGGGGAACAAGAAACCATTGCGACGAAAAGTTCCACAATGCGCGTGAGACGGGCGATGTCGGTGGTCTGTTTACGCCGGTTTCCAATTCTGAGTCTTGCCGAGCACCATTTTTAGGGCCGTGATGATCTGGTGACATTACTGACTTTTACTCGAGCAGCTGCCAATTGGTGACAATAGTTATTAGTGCGCATATAGACTCAAGGATCGTGTAATGATAGCGTGGGCGGTAACACTGATGAAATGAATGAGCAGAAAGACTCTGCCACATCTCTAGAATATGGTGAAGTCGGAAATGTATCATAGGACAGCGCCAAGGTGAAATAAAGACTGCTCAGTCTATGGGAGCCCCCGAAATATCCTGGCCCTCCTGTAACGTCAACGTGGGCCATAGTTCCTCGGATTTCAAGACTGCCCGAAAGAACCAGTTGAAATGTGACGGGATGACCTCAAGCCTTCGAAGGTAAGTTGCACGGAAACATTACTAATGCCCTAATATCCGGCGACTACGCCTATAGACTTTGAATGAGGGAACGATGACATACTTGCATACTGGGGGTATATATGAGCGAATCATGAAATAGACTCAAATTTGACATTATACACTCTAACCAAGAACAAGATCTTCCAAATCAATCGTCTTGTGTCCCAATGATCCGCGAAATTTCCTCCTTTCTAGACAATATGAGCTGCCTCTCCCTGGCCAGATAGGCCATGGTGATTGCACGATTGCTCATCTGGTTTCTTAGAGACTCCCACTCCTGAGCAGGTAACAGAACTTCACCCGGTAGTCTTGAAAAGATATCCGTTGGACGAGTTCGCGGCGCGAGCCCTACAGGATAACATCTAAGGGTAAATTTCCCACGCTGCTCTAGGCGCGGGCGAGAATTTGCCGCCTGTAGCCGCTCCATGCCTTCCAAAGTATGAGAGTTGTGAGCTCCCATTCCATCTGTACTGATAAAGTCTGTTGACTGCCCGGTGGCATCAGAGATGCCATGAAGTCCGTCAGCACCCGATAAGTTCTGATATGGCTTGCTTGTGCCCGGACTGTATTTCGGTCCGAAAGGAATGTCAGGCATGTCTCTGACGATCCGCTCTTTCAAGCTTTTTGAAGACTTTGTTATAGTGACTTCTGGATACTGATTCTGCCTCCTTCCACCTTTGTTTACAGGTGCTGGCCGGAGGGCAACTTTCCACGGTTGGACTTCCCACTTGCGTTTTCGTGATAGTTGATTTGGGCGCCTGAACGGTCCCTCATGAGGGGCGTTCTCGACCAAGGCCTCATTATGTTGAAGTAATATGCGCTTGAGATACTGTTCAGATATTCCCCTCCTTGATGCGTTCAGGTAGAACTGAACAGTCTCTCCCTCTGGGTTGATATTATCCATGAGACAAGGGCGCGCAGCAAGAAAGTGATCATGGGCCGCCTCCATATTTTGCTTTTCAAATTCGATTCGACCTATCCAGTAACGACAACGAGCAATAGAAAGCTTGTCATTTGAAGCTTGTGCGAGGCTAAGGGACTGCTTTGCTTGTTTTCTAGCTTGCCGAATTTGATTATCGGCGATGTGATTGATGACCGTCACAAGCAAGAAAGAGATTCGCAGGTTTCCCAACCTATTTCCGAGTTCGGTCGATATTTTAGGGCTCTGGTTTGACATGATCATCTTGACCACTTCAGACTTGTGTCGATGTGTATCTTGCAGCTTGCGCTTGATTTCTTCGGCCTTTTCGGCCAAGTCGCTCGGCGTGATTGGAACATAATCAAGCCCATCAGGTATATCTGAGTGCTTCTCATCGGATAGATCCAACTTTCTTGGTGAGTTGTCGCTTTTTGGCGAAGCAGAGTCAGACCTCCCTTGGGCCATCTTGAAAAGATTGACCAGGGGTAGTGGAGCGTTATGAGAAATGGGACAGTGAGTATCTCGGTGATCGTAAAGAGAAGGGAGAGAAAGCTGCTGAGTTGATAGAGCAGTAAGATCAGCTTTTAAAAGTTAGGTCTCTACTCTCTCAGTGTTCTCGGGCTCAGTTCCACAAGAAGGATGCCTATTGGGAAAGTGAGCGCTTCATTGGGCTTTTTAAAGTCAGCCCATTGGGCCGACAAAGAATTTAACTCTTTGTTAGGTCGCTTCTTTCCACGTATTTATCATATACTTGATTCCTTTGTTTTGCCCTCTCCGGTGTCAAATCATGTACGGAGTACTGGTCATTGTTATCTCACTATTTACCATACTTGGTTGTGGCTGGAAGTGTGCGTCATCAGATCAACTTAATTTTAGCTTAGGAAAGACATTCTACCAAACTGGGCACCAATTTAGCCTGAATCGCCTATCACATAAATAAGGCTGTGAAGTATTGGCGTTATCATCGGATCGGGCCACACATGCCACGTTATCAGGCGCGAAAGGGTTATGCCATCTAGACGTCTGGTTTAAGATCCTCAACTTTTCGATCGCATTTACCGGTCGAGCTAAAGAGATAGTTTTAAACTAGCATTTATGTCAAGCATGCGTATTCTCTGATTTCGATGATTATCATTGGATTGAGAAAGTTTGCATTAAAGCCGAGAATTGATTGAAGTCTAGAACAGACATATCCTCATCACTACTATCGATCTAATCAATTTTACGCTCTTTATAAAATCAGCACTCACCAGAAGACTTTGCAACACATCATATGGAGTTCACCAGACTCGGTATTGACAGGGATCATCATCAACATCGGCTGGAATTGGGAGATGTTCATCCAAACTGATCACAGGACGAAGAGATAAGTTGTCAGATGCACCATCATCGCAGGTTTGCTGTCGAGTAAACTCCACAATGGCTTTAATTTGATATTCACGTGCTTTGTCACAATATCCTGGAAGCTGCAGTGACCTTGAGAAGGACCAGTAGGCTCTTTCAAACCTTTCCATTGCCATGAAATCCATAGCCTCAATGAAGTATGCGGTGCCCACAATATTCCTATACCGAAAGTGCGGAACTTCACTTCGGGCGGAGGTATCATTCATTACACGATCCAATTGGAAAAGAGATTCATGGTACTTACCGATGGCATACAGGATAGCTGCAAGGAACACTCGAGAATGGATGGCTTCAGATATCGACAGACACGAGCTGGCCATGAGAGAAGTTTCCAGTGTACTTCGTGCAGACTCAATATCCCCATTTTTCCAAGCTTTCTCTGCATCCTTAAGATACCCCTGATTGGTGCATAACCAGATATCATCGATCCAGTTGAAGCGCTGAGCGGCCTTTGAACCCACTAAGGAATCCGTCGTCCCAAAGAGATCATCATCCAGTGGCAGACCTACATAGTTGCAATCTCCCATACGGGCTTGGGCATGTGCGAGAAGAAGGTCTGACTCTGCAAGTCTAGCCTTGAGGTTTTTGATTTTGCTATCTGCTCTTTCGAGCTGCAAGGCAAGGTTTGCATTTGCTGTGGTAAGCAGCTCGACATTCCACTCCGCGAATTGCTCTCCCTCCTTTGAAGAGTGACCCCTGCATAGGTAAGAGAATAACCTAGAGAACATGATGGTCAGGCAAATCGGGAAGGTATCCTTAAGTAAATGTCCAGGGTGTCCAAAGTGAACACCTTGGCCAGGAACTCTTAGATCTTTATATAGTTAATAGATCCAAAAATTTACTGTCTCGAAGATTAGTGTCACAAAGGCAGGGTTCTCATAAATAATGGGAAAGCTTCCATTGACCATTGTTCATCTGTTGTCCCTAATAATAACCAGCGTCTTTGCATTTCAACGGAAACTCAAAGAATCAGTAGATGCGAGAGGCTTGATGTCGGCTAGTCCGAAGAGAGCTTTTGTTGCCTATTTTTGACGTGAAACGGAAAGTAGGTTGGTGAGGCTGACGATTGTGGGTAGAGGTAGCATCGATAATGTCGAGGAAATGTGGGTCAATACTTACCGCTAACTCCTTTCTCTGCTGATGCCCTCTCACGCTTATGGTGTGTATTGTATGTAATATTGACATGCAACTACTCTTTCAAGTCACACGAAGGTACCTTTCCATCCCGATATGACATCCAGATGGGGAACGGGTATTTCACATACCTTCCATCCTAAACTCCTGCTTCTTCTCCAATCAATTAATCTATTCAGTTTAACTGCCAATTGGTTCAATTCAACAGATTTCTCCACTTAATGTGTACGATCTTATACTGTAATTGCTTGCTCGGACAGATATTAGTATTAACATACGAGATTATACGAGGGTGAATCATTTCGAGTGGATCCAAAAAGCGCGCAAATCGCGGTAGGAGTTAGCGGCCTCGACTTGGATCCGACAGACTCAGTAGTAAATTTGTCAGCCGCGATGATTGTTCCATGAATGAAAGGACTAGCTGGGTCTTTTGATTAGTTGACTAAACCTGGACTTAACTTTGAACTAAACCCGCCAAAAACAGCAATCCACCAAGTGCAAAGCGAGCAAACAGGCTAAACTGCGTGCTATGACCTCAGCGCGTCGTGAAGCTTGTGGACCCCCACACCCGCGATCGCCGCGACTGGGCGAAATGGGGCGATGGCTGGCAATGCAAACGGCCAAGTGGACATTCGCGACGTCAGACGGCAACACACGGCTGATTCAGCTGGTCTTGGTCCAATCTGGTCCCATCTGATAATGCGGATCCGCGTCCTAACAGGAGGGACTCTCGATCTAGACTTGCGGGGTTTTCGTGGTGCAAACATGTTCTACAAGACAAAACCGGGTCTGCGCGGGCCAATCGAACTGCTCCCCTCATGATATTTCCCTGTAGCTTGGAAATGCAAAGATGCCAAATCCAGCGTGGATGACTTTTCCGCGTTCCTCTAAGCCCACCTCGTGTAGCCCGCCTCGGGATTTGACGGGTTGTGACACTGTCCAGATCGTCCCTTTCCCCTGTGTTTTGCGATGATTCGTCATAGAGTTCAGCTCTATCAGTCGCGTCCGAGGTACAGCTATGCCAGGATTATTAGTTCATAAACCCTGACTCCCCCCCCTCTCAACATCTGCACACGTGTTTCATTCGTTCCAGGTATGGTTTTTCACTGTTCGCCCTTTGCTCTACCTCCCTGGTGTTTACGATAGGTCGATCTGAGCTCATCATATACTTTGTTGTAGCAACAACCTCCGCGATGTCTCCAACGGCACTGAAGAATGTGGACGCGGTTGAGATTGTCGACATCCACCGGGATGACCTAGACTTCTCTCTCGTGGATGACCTATACAAAGGCCTGAATCCTGCCGAGGGTACACCACGTTCATTTCCGACGCTCCTTCTCTACGACACCAAAGGACTAAAGATATTTGAAAAAATCACCTATCTGGATGAATACTACCTTACAAATGCCGAGATTGAGATCTTGACGACACATGCAAAGAGAATCGTCGAGCGGATACCGGAGAACGCACAGCTTGTAGAACTTGGTAGTGGGTCTGTTGTCCTTGCAACTCCAGATCCGTGGACTTTGATGGACTGCCCGTGAATGGATCGTATTGGCCTTGCAATATATTTCTAACACCTACCTTCTAGAAATTTGCGCAAGATCGAGATTCTTCTGCGGGAGTGTGAACGGGTGGAAAAGCGGGTGGATTACTATGCATTGGATCTATCACTTGTGGAACTACAGCGAACCTTTTCCGAGATCTCACCAGAAGGTTTCACCTATGTTGGGCTTCATGGTTTACATGGAACCTACGATGATGCTCTTTCGTGGCTGAAGAACCCGGAAAATCGCACTAGACCAACAGTGGTATTATCTATGGGGTCCTCCCTGGGTAATTTTGATCGCGCTGCAGCCGCGGATTTCTTGAGCGGGTTTTCCAAAGCTTTGGGCCCCTCGGATTTCCTGCTTATTGGATTGGATGCCTGTAAGACTCCGGAGAAGGTTTATAGAGCTTACAACGACTCCCAAGGTGTGACTCATCAGTTCTATGAGAACGGGCTGGCGCACGCCAATTCCGTGCTGGGCTTCGAGGCATTCAAGCCCAGTGAATGGGAAATAATCACTGGCTACGATGAGAAGAATGGTCGACATCAAGCCTTCTACTCGCCCACAGTTGATGTGACTATCAATAATATTAAGATCCCGAAAGGAGAGAAGCTTATTTTCGAGGAGGCCTATAAATATGGCACTGATGAGCGTGAGGAACTCTGCCGCAACGCAGGATTGATATCGCAGGTTGTGTTTGGGAACTCAACAGATGACTATCGTACGTATATGAGGATTCACTTCGTTCAAAGGAACAATGTTCCCATATTGGTGCTAGACATGAGATGTTGATATGATTTTATTTTCACTCCAGATATTCACCTGCTTTCACCAGCTTCCTTGAATATTCCATTGCAGCCCTCTCAATACGCAACTCATACAGTACCGACACTGGAAGACTTCCAGTCATTATGGACGGTGTGGGACGTTGTGACCAAGACAATGATTCCCCGGGAGGAACTCCTTTCGAAGCCTATCAAGCTCCGCAATGCTCTCATCTTTTACCTGGGCCATATTCCTACATTCTTCGGTATATTCACTTACGACACTATTCTTGTGCAGCCCTTAGGCTAACGATCGTTATTTCAGATATCCACTTGACTCGAGCTTTGCGTGGAAAGCCCACCGATCCGAAATACTATAAGCAGATCTTTGAGCGTGGCATTGATCCCGATGTTGAGAATCCAGAGCAGTGTCACGCTCACAGTGAGATCCCAGACGAGTGGCCACCTCTTGACGAGATACTGGATTACTCGGAGCGGGTACGAAACAGAGCACGATCCATTATTGAGGAAGGATCCGCCAATCAGGACCGTTGCCTCGCCGAAGCTCTCTGGATTGGCTTTGAGCACGAGGCAATGCACCTTGAGACCTTCCTATACATGCTAATTCAAAGTGAAAAGACACTTCCTCCTACTGGCGTGGATCTTCCAGACTTTGTGAAGCTGGCTCATTATGCGAAGGAAAACGAAAAGCAAAATAAGTGGTTCCGGATCCCCCAGCAATCATTCACGATCGGCTTGGATGATTCCGACGACCAAGCTCTGCCTAAAGATTCTTTTGGATGGGATAACGAGAAGCCTCAAAGATCGGTCCATGTACATGCGTTCGAAGCCCAGGCTCGGCCAGTCACCAATGGAGAGTATGCCAAGTATCTGCAAGCGAACCGTCTGAGAGAAATACCAGCTTCATGGACACTCGTTCACTCCGACCAGGATTATCCAACCTCAAAGGGAATCAACGAGTCAAGTCCTAGTGCGACTCACGACTTTGTGCACAACTTTGCTGTTCGAACTGTTTTTGGTCAGGTGTCTTTGAATCTCGCACAAGATTGGCCAGTCATCGCTTCATATGACGAACTGGCAAGCTATGCTCAATGGGTGGGGTGCAGAATTCCCACTTACGAAGAGGTCCGTAGCATATATTTGTACGCTGATCAACTTCGAGGGATAGATGGGCACACGACTGCCAATGGTCACAGGTATATACTCATGAAACCTGACGGTCAACCGAGTCGATCAAAGCTAATAACGAATCCAGTAGTGGTGTTAATGGCACTCATAATGGAGTCAATGGCACATCCAACGGAGTCAAACATATGACAAATGGGTCAACGAAGACTTCGCCTGATATGCCAGTATTCCGTGCACTCATTGGCTGCACTGTCGGTTTTCAGAACTGGCACCCTGTTCCCGTAACTCCAAACGGTGACAAGCTCGCCGGACAGGGTGATCTGGGCGGCGTTTGGGAATGGACCAGCACACCTCTTACTGCACACAAGGGATTCAAAGCCATGGAGATTTATCCCGGTTACACATGTAAGTGAGATTTTTTCACACCAAATTTTGGCATCGTGCTCATAGGGACTTTAGCGGACTTTTTCGATGGGAAGCATAACATCATTCAAGGTGGTTCGTGGGCAACTATGCCCCGGATTGCGGGACGGACTACATTGTGAGCTACCTTGTTCAAAAGTATTTGAAGAAGGTTTACTAATTTTCTAGTGTGAATTGGTACCAACACAACTACTTGTACGCCTGGGCAGGAGCGCGGTTGGTGCGTGATGCGCCTATGTAGATGGATCGCAATTGCAATAACTTAATCTAGAGGGGTTCATGGGTGTCATGGATAGCTAGCCATTTCTCATCTCAATAAAGCTACTTCTCAGCTCATCCCCATATCGATAAGCACAATTTGCTTAAAACTCGGTGAAATCGTGCACAAGTCTGCTATATTTTTACCGTAGGACCTAGATATCGCATCTGCGCTAAGCAGAGTCAACCAGTGATGGCCATGGCAATAGCAACGAAAGACCGAAAAGGTCATGGTAGTAGAACGTCATCGGCCACAAGAGATGATAAATCCAAAGAAAACTGGTTTGGTTTTGAAAGCCATATATATTCCTGCCATCTGGAAGACGACGACGACGACGACAACAACATCATCGTACGAGAGGCATCTTACAATACGGGTGGGGCGTGAAGGCTCTGGAACCCCCTGCTAGGCTTTGTAATCTGAGCGAGGAATGGATCTGGCAGCGCAAGGAAGTCCTCAAAAGCGGCAATCTTTGCCAGGGTGTGGAACTTTCGATGAATGGAGGAAGAATGCAGTGACCCCAGTTCCCGGGACAGGCTTGGGAGACTCTAACAGGAGTTGGGTGCCGGCATATCTGGTGGGCCTTGCGTTGCGAGGAACCATTTCTCCACTACATGCAATTCGACGCCCTGGCTAATTTCAAACCGATGTTGGTTTGCAATGGAGAGGTATCGTGGCCCGGGTTACTGAACCTACACATTTTCGGCAGACTCGGCACTTGAGGCGATAAGGTTGGTTGCCTGGGACTGCGGAAAATTGCCCATCGATAGTGTCAAAGTTAGATATTGTATGAGTGGCACTTAGCACTACTTCTTCGACATTTCTACCTGGCACAAGGTCAGGCCTCTTATCACGGTGACGAAATCTACATAGACATCCTGGACCCCCTTATATGCACCGCCCCGTCGCGGAGTCAGGGCCTGGATTATTTGCACCCGAATACGTCTGTCACCCGGCTCGAAGGACGCCTGGCCAAGGACCTGCCCTAAGATATACCTTAGGGGTTCCTGAAAAATGACAGTAATTCGAATGGATACTGAAAATATCAATTCGCTCAGAGCTTTTAACCTCTATTGTCTATGAATTGTTGTCGCTCCAGCTATTCGTACGTCGGAACCGCCCGACTTTTGTGAGGTGTTCTTTGGCATAGCATTGCTCCGACGCAAGGGAGACAAGAGATGCACGACCCTTTCTGAATATTAATATTCACTGTGCGCAAGGACCTAGGCATTTTCAGCTTTGGTCTAATTTCATGTGGCAATGCTAATTAGGGGGACTTGAAGGTCAATGGTGAATTGCTCAGATAAGACGACGACATGAAATGGCCTCGTTCATGGCCTAATTTATGCTGTCATTTACGTTCATTTGCCATTGTGACTGGTTGAATACGCTCTGTGAATCATTTCGCCCGGACTAACGAGGAGTAACTTAACGAGTAATAATTCTCTTCGTCAAACATTCAGCTCGTCCGTCTCCCATACAGTAAATAGCAGCGCAGGTTTACTGGTCCCAAAGCTGTAGTTTCTTCAAGTATAAACAAAGTAATTGAGCTAGTAGGCCTCGGCATAAAAGAATTAGGTACAGTCTTATTAGCACATACATATCTTACCTCAGTGGCATCAAACTGTCTGATCACCCCTGTCAGTGACGAGTTCATGATCGATCGACACGATCGAGGGTGATTGACGATCAACTGTGTATCGTATCCACTCAGCTTGCCATTGATTACGTGCCAGAGAGTGAAGCCCTCGGTCCTTGTCACACTCGCAAAGCGTGTAATAATTCACGAGACTTGCTCATAGCGACAATGCAATTCTTGAAGTGTAAGGTTGCCCCTTCCTTTCCCCGACTCGAACACAGATAAGACAACACAACGAGGCTGCTGCTCAGCACCGAACTGCCAACTTTCCAATTATTCTTTGCTTTTTCTCGCGCGTATCCGAGCAAACGGCGGGTCGAAGCCGTCTCGATCAAAATGCGGCGCTGCTAGATCCAAACTTTAAAAATGGACATGGGTGTTGCCCCCTTGGGACTAGGACCAAGAATGAGGTATGGGGTTTCTGGGACACGAGGCACACCTTCAGTGGTCCCTTTACCCTTTTTGGTCAGTCCTCCCCACTATTTCGCTCCACTAGATCTCAAGTGGCTCTTGCAAATGGGCGTCGACTGCATTTTCCCCTTCTCTGCAGGCTGCAGGCCATCATGACCTTGCTGCCTGTGAGTAATGAAGGACCCGATACCAGTAGATACGTTGTATATCCGGAGTGCATACTTCTGAAGCCCGGAGATCAAAGAAACCGTGTCAGTACAATGGACCAAAGCGCATGACATGAATGGTTCCTGCATAGAAACCAAAATAGTCACAAAAGGCTCCGAAGCTTCGGGTCGCCTTTCTCGCAATCCCAACCGATCCTTGTTGCTGTCCAGAAATCGAGGATTTCTCCAAGGTGAGAAGAAGTGCTGGCCAGCCCACCGCTGCCGCCAGGGAGACCCGGACTGTCCGGGTGGAATGTGTCACAGACCCATCCTCAGGACTTTCACGGGTGAATTCTCTTGAATCTTTCACTGTGACTGAATGGTCCTGGTTCCATGCCTCAGGAGTGGTCGGCTGTCGCCCAGTCCGACCTACATGGGCGGGGCCGTGGAGTAATTTCTTCCTCGACACGCCGTCGAGAGTATGGATGTGCATACTGCATGAAAGGCTCTGGAACTCGGCTCGGGGCGCTCCACTAGGGATTTCCTCTATATGTACTCCGATAGGGCCTCATCAGGTGGTTTCTTTTTTTTTTTTTTCTCATCCAGCGCATTAATGACTTAGCGCGTCTACGGCTTTTTGTTTCTTCATCTGTTTCCGTTTATAGACGTCTACCGTCAACAGTCTCTCGTTTCGCATTTTGTCCCTCGTTGTGTACATTTGTTTCATCAGCCCAGAGGGTTTTCCATTCACGATTCATGCTTCTCGAAGACAAAGCGGCCAGTCTTCCTACCGTGTAATCTGAGCTATTTACAGCTTTCCCCGAAGTCGTTGATATCGCCTCTTCATATAAAGCCATCGAGGGTCCCTAATCCGACCAGAGGATCAGACCAGCCACTTTCGTCAGAATGGAGTGTTTTCGTCAAATCTACCGATACCTTAAGGCACCATTCTCTCGCAACCAGGGGAAGATCATTGAGATTGTAAGCCCATGACAAATCCCAGCCAGCTGAGTGGGGACGCCACTAACAATCGTGCTTGTTATAGGGACCTCCCACCAACTTCCGAAAGGAAGAACTGCCTGCGTGCTTCTCAGATGCCGAGTCAGTCTTATCGCCCAGTCAAAATCCAACCGAGCGACCCAGTCTGACCTCCCAGCCACAGCACGTTGACCTCTCAGAACAGCCGCAGAACAACGATGGAGAAGGACGAGACAATGATCGAAATGATCGCTCGCCAGCCGTCCGTCAAGGAGAAGATCCAGAGCCATGTCAGGAAAATGAGCGTCCGACTTTCCAAGCCCGCCTCCGAGACCGCGTGAAGCGCTCTCGCTGGTTCAGATCGACTCCAACGACCAACCCGGAAAGGGAGGTCGCAAGTGAGTATGGCTTGTTTGCCACGACCGAAGAGAAGCCAAAAGAAATATAAACGGAATTTAATATGCTCGCTAAAATACATATAGTATTTGGGAGTTTGAGGGATATCATAATCAAAACAAAAAAGTTGGAACGTCATTGAAGCGGGATTTCTTGGATTCCAGATTGTCGGTCTCAGGGCCATTTTGGGGATTGTTATTTGTGGATGATGTGGCCTTTTTTATGTCGGAGGTAGAAGACGCGTTGAATCGCGATGGCTCTGGTAGCTCATCGAGATCGTCGAATAGCATTTGAACTCTTGACTTGAACCCGTTGACCGGTTTGGGAGCAACCTGCTCCCTCATTTCCTTAATTTTAGGCCTTGTGGAGATGCTTTCCCTATTACTCTTGGAATCTTGGAGTCGGGCAGTTTTTGTAGACCCGTGCGACTGTGGGCGTTTCGACTGAGGTATCGTGATCGGACGAGCCTTCCCATCGAGATCATCATCTTCGTCTGAAGCCGTCTCTCCGGCGAGATCTGCATCATCATCTGATGCAGTTTCTTCATTGACCTCGACAACATGAGCTGCTGCTGCCCTGAATAATGCAGCACCGGCCGCGGCTCGATTGCTACTGGAGCTGGCGGCTTGTCCAAAGCCTGCAGCGGCCCTCGTAGAAGACTTCACTGCATGCGTACCCACCAACGAGCGCGATTTTCTAGGACTGGTCATGAGGCCATGGAGATGCGTTCCAGCCCAGCTGTCATCGTCGCCATCATCAGAATCATCTTTGTCTTCTTCCGGATTTCTCAGTTGTGCCAGCCCAGCCTTCTGGCGGGCAGCGAGCGCTTCTGCCTCCTTTCTTCGTTCGGCTTCCTTCGGCAACTTTGTTCTACCATCAGTAGGCCGCTGGATATCATTCATCGCCTCTGTTCTCTGCGTTTTCGCTTCTTTCTTCCTTCGAATGTATTCCGCGTAATGTAGATGTTGTGTGAATGATTGAGCTATAGCGTAGAACTCATCCTCAACCATGACCCATGCATCATCATGATCTAAGCCTTCGATCAGGAACCTGCGTACCCGTAATCAGCGACGGCCGTTGTGATTGTGGGGTAATGTAATTCGAGACACACTCTTGGACAGGACAAGCTCGCGCGGGCGACGTAGGCGGGGTTTGAGCTGTAAAGTGCGTATATTGGTCAGCGCAAGTCAAGGAACATTTCAAGTTCTGATCACACACAAGACCTGAAGAAATCCCGCTTTTCGGGGGAGGTGGGAGGTTTCCTTGGGGTAGCTTCCTCGTCCTCGTCGGGCGTACGCTCCCTTTTAACACGCTTCCTCGGCGTAGACTCTCTTTTCACCGGCGTGCCATTACCCTGATTTAACAACCAAGGTAGTGTTCTCGGCATCGTGTGCTGTTGGTCAGGCGTTGGGAGAACTTCACGCGACGCGCTTCGGCGCGGAGAAGTTGGGGAAGGAGGCTCTGATAGGCACCGATAAGATGAGGTCACCTACCACTTTGGGTGCGGTCATGCACACTGCGGCTCTCGTTCGAAACGACGAAAGTTACGTAGGACTAATGGAAGGAAAAGTGGATTTAAGATCTTTCATTTGATATGGGTATCTGATCTGATATCAAAGATCTTCTTTATGCATAATACAGAGCGATGAAAAAGATTCCCGCAACGCCAACCGGGTCGTAGCCCGGAGCCAAGGACATGCCTGCAAACGCCTATGCAAACCGAAATTGAAGAAACGCCAAAGTGTTCTAGACCACTAATTCCAGTCTATGTCTCACCCGGTCGCTTGCTGTTGCAGCTCACGATCTTCACCCGGTCCGCGGAAATGGTGGTCTGGTTGTCCAACTTGAAGGTGACATCTTTGATCAGGAATGTCCACACTTCATCGCAGAATCGGTACGTATCAAGGTGGCCCTGTACAGAGTAACGGAAAAGAAGAGTAAGTCAGCCTGATTGAACCCCGAAATGAGACAGATCTCCAGCCACCACATTGGTCGTGTGCTCTGGATGACTCCTTCGGCGAAACGAATGTACCTTGAACGTGAGCCGGGCCCGGACCTTCTCGGCTAGAACCTCGGTGACCACCTTGTCAAAGGTGGACAGGATCTTCATCGCCAGCTGAGGCTCAATGCGGCCCTCGTTGATCAAATCATCCAGGGTATCCGTTAGGGAAAGGCCAAGGCTAGTCAGGTTTCAGTCAGTCTCAAAATCACCATATTTGTCCTGCTGTGCTGATCACCATACCTGCTCCCACGGTAGAGCTCGTAGTATGATTGTTGTGCGGCCATCTTGAATTCGAAGATGAGCCTGTTGGAGATAATGTCGAGGGACGGAGGGAGTGTCCAGTGCTAAGTTGAGTCGATGAATCGCGGGGATGATCGCCCACGTGATACCACGTGATTTGGTCTTTCCTTATCGCGCATCTACGTCAGTCCCGAGTAAGAAACTCGCGGGCATTTGAATAGTTTCGGTTCTCTTGTGAAAAAGATTTCTGATATACTGTCTCACAAAAGGTCCAGAATGGAGCTAAGATATGTTGCGAATACTGTCTCTAGGGGCTTGATATCTTTCAATTCTGTTCATCACATTATTTTCAGTCGTTGTCTCTCTTCGAGTCCTTCCCCAGCGCCACAAGGTAAGTCGTCGTTTCTCGCTCGCGATTCAATCAGGCAACGAAAGTGGACATTCATTGACACAATATCATTAGAAGGTAAAATTCAGGCTTCGAACCATTCCTCCTCGAGTACAAACGCCGAAACTCTTTCAGCACGCGATAAACAATCCCCGACCCTGACCCCGACCAAAACAGTCGCCCAAGCCGATGCGGAGCTTCGCGAACGCCTGGAACGAATGTCAGGTGATGGAGGAGCTGCAGGAATCGAATATGAAGACGGCAAACCAAGTGCTATGAAACGTGGCGTGCGCAACAACATGTTCCGACTGATATAAGACGCCCCAATTTGCAATCACAACAACCGAATCTAGCTGAACGAAAGAGTAAATGCTGGATATACAAAGCCCGCAGAAGACGGACATGTCTGGCTTTGCAGCGCCAAGGTATATCGTACTACAAGGGACATGCACTACCGTCGAAGGTTTCTAGTCTCCGTACAGGCTTCGGAAGATCCATCTGCAGAGCCCTCTTGGCCAGGCAAAGTGCTGGCTTCTGGCACTAAGTATACCAGGAGCAGTTCCAATGGATCAAGCCTGGCTCTAGAGGCCATAAGTCTTTTCGAAGATAGCCCGTGCGTCACTAGGCGAAACATTCCACGCGCTTGAGGAGCTGTCTAGCATTCCCCCTGACGCCCATCACAATGGAGCCGCGCAAGCAAGTCGAAACCCTTATCGCTGCGCATCTGGACCGTCTGGGAGGATATATTTGATGGGGTGATACTAAGAAATGCCTCGCTTCTGATGCTATGGTAACTTCACCATGTGTTCACTGTCGCAAATCACAATTTCGGGGATAGGTCTACTCGAGACTAATGCAAATGTGAGCCTACATGCAGTTGGAGAAGCGATATCCTACTACAGCCAGAGATCTCAACTCCATGGCGATCCAAATTGATCGCATATGGCGCAAATCTAGCCCTATAACATCACAATGGTATTAGGACATCACATCAAATTTGCCCAATATCCATTCACAAGGGTGCCTTACAGCACTCGTGTCTTCTCACAGCAAGGAATCCATTCATTTCTATGAGTGGGGTGGAACAACAATTCGAAACGAAAGCCGAATATTGTCCATTGCCCCCAAAAAATCGTAAAGCGTAACAAATCAATAGAAGTTTCCTTTTTTTACTTGCCGACAACCATGCTGGCCAAAACACCCGCTCCAATGACGCCACCATCCGACGCTTCTCGTAAAAACACCGACTTTCCTCCCCGTTGAGGACCCGTGCGCATGATAAGACGGTCGACGTGTTGTTGGCACATTTCCTTGAACTGCGGGTAATGTTGGATGATGCCGCCCGTGTAGGCGACAACGAGCTCTTCTGGACCGGACTGCCAGTCTGCAGGCAGTGGTTGGAGGACTGGGACAACGTGGCCGTGGACACTGTTGCCTGGTGTTGCAATGGATGACGGGGTGGCTGTGCTACTAGAGATATGGACATCTCCGTTGCTTTGTGGAGAAGCGGCGGCTTCGGGGGTATTGGTGTTGCTGTCTTCCTTTAATTCGATTTCACGACAGCAGGCCAAGAGGCCGATCACGGCTGCGGCGATCAGTCCTGCTGATCGTCTTTGCACAGCTCGCGCGATTCTCCGGAATGCACTGGCTGTCCGCGCATCCCAGCGCCAGTCGCTGCTCTCGGGTGGGGGGAGAGATTCGTTTAGCGTTTTCGCCAGGTCCTGGTCTGATCGGGCTTTGGCCACATTGTCGGAAATGTAGGTCGTTGTGAGGGCGTACTCTTGAACCAGGTTCGCCGGTAGGACTCGCTTGGATAAACCTCCTACGGTCGTAAGGTAGTCGAACAGGATCAAACGAATCAATTCACCAATGTATCGACCACCTGTCATGTACTCGAATGGCTGGAATCCCGGGCGTGTGCACGCTCGGTCCAATTCAACATCCCATTTGGTCGTAATGTTGAGTTCAGATAGTGGTGGCGCAGCTCCAGAGATGGTCCATTCTGTGTTGACAATCGTCTCCACGGCCCTGGGATCCATTGTGTTAACACTCTTGGCCTTGGATTCGTGAAGCTCGCTCAACTTCATCGGAATAGTCGCGTTGCATCCAGTGCCCACAATGATACCCATAGCGACTCGGCTGTTGGGCAACTGTTTCACCTTGTATGCAAGCGAAGCGAGAGTCGCAACCGTGTCGTTCGTAATGGCCTGGATCTTTAGCTTTGGCAGAGCAAAAAGCTTCCGGCGCTTGGAAGAAGGCTCCTCCTCATCATCCGGCCTCCTGGTGTGTTTTTCGTATCCATTCAGAAGGATATTGCGAAGATCGAGATTAGACGTAATAGCAAATCCCTTGCCCATTGGCATGAGGGTTGCCTCGGCCAGCGATTCTTGCCTATGAACAAGTTAGCACTGAGCAAACCATACAAGGGCTAGGTAGTAAGTTGTGAATGCCCTCTACACTCAAATCCAACACGGGTAGATAAACTGACATGATTGGGAAACTGAAGGTGATACCCATATCTAATTCTGCGGGAATGTCCTTCTTCGTGGCATCCGAAGTCAGGCTCTCAGCTACCACTTCAGCAATGCAGTCGCCAATCCACGCGAACAAGTCCTCTGCTTTGTCCTTCTTCAGATGCTCCTGGATTGGCCATGCTCGTTCCAATGTGCGTTTGACCCGTTGTCGCTGGGCCTTGCGAATGGTGTCTTGCGACCTCTCCGATGCATCCGCAGGGCGGGAATCTGACTCCTCCACTTCACCGAGCAACTCGATAAACGCGACCCGGAGGTTACTGCCTCCCACGTCAATCGCCAGATATCGGCCAGTCTCTTGACCGGTAGGCAGCCGAGTCACTGGGGTCGGCAGGAATTGCTGATCCGAAGTCAAGGCCAGGTGGCGGTAGGTTTCCGAGAAGCGACGAGCTAATCTGTACAGCACTGCCTCCTCCAAACACAGAGGCGCTAGGAATCCGTCTAATTGCCGGTGAAATTCGAGGTATTCTCGCTGCGATGGATCCAACTCTGAGCTGATGTCATGATCCTCGTCCTCAATCGCCTCCTCGTGCATGGTGTCGCGATCCTCATCGTTGTCCTTCTCGGACGTTAATGAAGTGACCGATGCCATTATATGACGGTAGGATACGCTAGTTCTTAGCGAGAAAGATTCAAACACTGTTCCTGACGAGAAACCAAGGAAAGATACGGTGTTAGGATATCTTTCGGGGGTCCAAGATCAGCAAGTCCAGTTGCTCAAGAACACCTCGCCGAGGGAATGTTGGCGCGTCAATAAGATCGAAGGAAGAAAAAATCGGGCTTTTTAGTCACAGTGCCTCGGCTTTAATTTTGACGTCGGTAAGCTGAGAATACCAAGGACAACTGCGCAGAGAGGACGAGGCCGCGTAGGTTCGAGCCTACAAGCGCAATAGCCAAGCACTGAAAGAAGCGCGCGTGGCGTGTCTTAAGAGCAAATCGGGGGGGGCTTAAATTGCAGGCGCAGGGGCTGCATTCAGGTTAGTCAGGTTCGACTTGAAAATCAATTGGGGGAGCAGTATTGTGGTGACGCGGTCTGCAGATGAATCGAGGCGATCGCTGAACATGGAATATGGGCTGGGATAGCGGAACTACACAATCCAAGTGCCAAGCCAAGGGTACGTAGTGGAGGGGCTTGCGGGGGACGAGCCGTGACGATCATGCCAGGACCGGACCTGGACACCGAGGGGGAAACATGATCTTCAGTAGTCATGTTTTTATTTACGTACCCTGGTAAAATTGTTGGTATGCGGGCGGAGATGTAAGAAAGAGAGGGGTGATAAAACTTCTGTCGAGAGGTGTCGAAAAGGATTGGGAAGGTGCCTGCTCGGTAGTTTTCGGCGCGTTGGTACTTTCGGCAGTTGAAGGAGGATGGAAACACAAGAAAGTCACCAAGAGAGGTGCAGGGAAGAGAAAAACCGAACAATAGGAAAGAATTTGGGAATCTGGCCAGGGATCGACCAGGGGAGCGACGTTATAAATGGACAAGGGCCGAGTCAGTATCCCTGGGGGGTGCCTGAGGCCTGAAGCGGTGTGCGTTTGTATGGGGGCTTTTGGCGGGGAGAGCAACAGCCAAGGTACTGTAGATAGCTAGCTCTAGCAAAGGAACTGGAGTGGCGATGATGAACTATATGTTCATCCGGCGCCGCACAGAAGAGGTATACACAAGCACGGCCTGAGGAGGATGAGATCGGGTGGTCGAAACGGGATAAATGGTTCAACGAGGAATGGTTGACAAGGCCAGGCGCTGGTGGAGCCCATTACCCACTTTTGTATGGAGTCCCTCACGCTCCAAAGAATCGTCCTGACGGTCCCAAATTGCCGGAGGTGGTTTTTATTGGGTTTGTTTGGCCCCAAAAAGACTGGAGTCTGCGCGGAATTATCAGTAGAGGAATTCGGGTAACCAGCCAGTGGTGTAAAATATTCGACCAAAAGTTGAAAGGAGCCAGAGGCTGGATCCAGTCTACCAGAGGGGGAACCTATGGGAAGTAAATAAAAGACATACCTCGAAAAGCGAATGAGGACAAGTAAATAAAGAACGGCGCGGTGCTCGGGAGATGCGACCATCGGAGGACACGAGGCGATGTGACGATGTGACGCTGTTCTTTTTCCGGGGTGGGCAAGTTCGAAATCCCGGCATATGGTACGCGTCGATTGGATCATTTGGAATTTGGGTCTCGCATTGAAACACTTGAACTGGAAGGACCAGCAACTACCGATCGAGTTATCTCACCACGAGGTTGCCTGTGTCAGGACTGAAGTGCTTCGGGCCTTTGGTGGCCGATTATGGACCCGATGGGAGACTCTCGAGCACATCTATAGGAGACCAGCTATCAAAACTACAGTAGTCCTTGGCCTTGTCGGCCTAGCTATGAACTGGTAGTTGCAGTCCTGCTCGTCCAGTATGGCACATTGGAACTGTTCATCTCTGTTGATTGCCTCGCTCGTGGAGCCAATGATCTCTCTCGCTAGCAATCCTATCGCCAGTAAGGAGCACGATGCTTTTTTCCTTTCCTGTCCCGCCTAACCAGCTGCTCGACGCAAGTGATCTATTTCCTCGAATAAAAGGAGATTTGACAAGAAAATCAGAGTGAACTCGACGACGATCTCGGTCGGAGATGTTCCACTTTGAAGCTCTTGCCCGTGCAGCTCAGTGCTCACCCATAGGTCCCATACAAGCAGCAATACAACCCCTCCCCATTTTATAACGGGAACTATGTAACCCTACCCGGGCATCTGACGCCTCGAGCTGATACGCTTTTCCAGCTCGGTTAGGGAACTCGGCTACACGTCCAATATTGTCTCCCCCCGCCAAAACCTGGGTCACCATTTTTATTCTCTTTGCTAACCGCCATTTGCTTGGCTCTGGCGTGTACCCAGCGAACACACGAGCCCTGCCATGGCGTTTGGGGCCAACGGACGCACGGCCGCGACTCAAAACCCCAAGCCATGCGACAGCCCAGGGTGTGTGGCGCCCCCCCCCCCCTGCGATCACGGTTTGGAAACGTGCCAAGTGATCATTTCTCCATCGCGCCATTCGCCCAGACCCGATATAGGAATGGGGTTCTCTCGTTCCTATTTCAGCCACTACGTTGTTCAACCCTGCCAGCGGCTGGATAAACGGGTGCTGATCATTGTGAAATGCTCGTCGTGAAGGCAATGATAGGCCTAGCCCTCGGGAATAACCGTGTTCGCCTCCAGTACGTGCAGTCACTGGCCAGAGCCCGCTGCCTTGCAACCCTGCTCATCCAATAATCCCCAAAGGGTCTCGATCGTTCGCTGGCGTCTCAGCCACCAATATGTCCGTACGCTTCCTACTGGAGCGGTCCAAACCCTCGCATGGGCAAACAGCCTGGGGGGCGATGGGGGAGGCTACCGGAGCGGATCACCTGCTCCCCGTCGTCATCATCAATCCGAGGAGGAGCTCCGTGCTCCGCACGAACAACCGTTGTGAGCCTCAACGGCAAGTATCCATGCTGAAAGCGCCAGGCAGGGTTCCTTTCGGGAGTTTCCACGAGGACCTGATTATTCTTTTGCGTTCCTTTGGTTCAAGGCGTTCCAGATACGAACTTTAGAAGCTTGGGCACCAGCGCCTCTTCTTGAGGGGGTCTCCGAGATCGGAGCCAAGATATGGTGTACTTGTACGGAGGACAGTATCCTAAACGGTGCTTTGAGAAATGGTCCGCAAAAAGTCTTACTGGCGGCTTAGCGTATCGGTTACGGAATGGTGTGACTGGTCGTGGTTTGGTGCCTGAAGGGCGCAAGATCATCTCGTTAATCCGGCCTTGCCATGCCTCTGGAGTATAGATGGGACAAGTCTTTGATTCCAAGTCGGTGGATTGGTCGAATTTGGTCACCGAGAGATTATCTGAATGGCTAGTGCGCACCTCCACAGAAGTTTCAGGCTTGCTCGAGCCAACCGACTCTCGTTCAAGATACGTATGCCTCGATCTCTCTTGAGGCTTTCGTGTCTATTGGGAAAGTTGTCGGCTGGGATATCCCCAAGAGGGACCTCCGGAGTGGCTTCCGTCTGATGCAAGTGCTGGGAGTTCAGAACACACGTCATAGGGCTCATGAGCTAACTAACTAGTTACTGGGTTGCCTGAGATAGCTGACAAGATCTGGCTACTTCTGGCGATAATAATAGTGGACCTGATTGTTCTCTACGGCCTACCAATTTAATTACTAAAAGGGCCGCGAGCGGGGAGCACCAAACGTTTAATAACCTAAGTATAACTAGTTAGTTACTAGCTATTTTAGTGACTATAGCCACCTTGCGCGCGTAAAATCAAGAGACTTCGGGTACCAAACAGGTTCCGTCCGAAGCTTGCGCCGAAGTAATGCCGGCCTTGACTCTCACGTGCTGTTGTTGGCTTCTTCCATGATCTTAGAATCAATGAAAATTGATGAACGATATGAACTATAAAACAACACTGTTCAATAGATGATCTCATGGACTGCAAGTCTCGAACTGTAAGGATCACGCTCAAGGACTGATTTAGCACTTCCATAAATCATTACATAGCCCTCCTTGATAGAGGCGGTCTTCTTCACAGTCCTGGCCTCCAGTAGGCATGTTCTATATGCTTCGAATTTTACAGTATATCTGTCCCCTAGCAGAAGGCCCTTGCAATCAGCTGGCTAGTTGCTAGAATAGGGTTGATTTGAGCATCAAGTATTCCCCAGATTGGCGCCCCAGGCATCAACACCTGACGTAATCAGGTCACAAGCCAAACCGCTAGGATCATCTCGTGCACCTGCCACACTTCCAGGGTCAAGACGGTTGATGTCGGCTTTGTCTGGCACTTCAATCTACAACGACTGCAATCATGGCGACGCTACCTCTTCACAAGGAAGATGTCTTTGAAGACTCAGAGAAGCCCCGGTGGGCAAACGCACATCCACGAGCAAGCCGAAACACCATGATATGGCGCTACTTTGTTGTCGTTAGCTTTCTGTTCGGTTACTACCTGCTCCTGAGACCGACCGAATCGCCATGTACATCGCTTAACTGTTCTACAAAATGCGATACTGCTGCTACGTGCGCTGCACGAGATGCTTCCATTGAAACTTCCACATCCCTACAGTCCGACCAGTCGCAAGACGAGAACATCGAACTGGAGCATTACGAACAACCTCCAGCGAGCCAGCGCCCTCTAGTTGTTTCTACAGAAGTCATCGAGAATCGAATTCCACTTGAAGCACATATCATGAGCAAATGCCCAGATGCCAAGGATTGTCTACAAAAGCTGGTGCTGCCAGCTATGGAGCAAATCAGCGATAAGGTCGACTTCAAGCTCTCCTTTATTGCTAGGTAAGCCTGCCGACACCATTGTCGCAGTACATTTCTAATATCTTCATCATGTCTAGAGTATCCGAAAAATCATCTGAAATCGAGTGTAAACATGGCCCTGGCGAATGCATTGGTGATATGCTCATCCTATGCGCTGCCAACCTGCCCTTCCCTCCAACGACGAATGAATCACTTTTGCCGCAATCCTACCCCCGTACACCCATTATCTGCTCATTGGGGTTCGCAAACTGCCTTATAAATGACTTCCAGTTTATTCCAGACCGCGAGTTTGTCCATGAGTGTGCGATGGAGCACGGTATCGATTTCGATGCCTTGAACAGATGTGCCAGCCAACAAGATGATAACCCTAGCGGTGGGGGCCAGGGAGATCCACCACTTAGTGGTGTTGTACTCCTGCGCGAATCTGCCCTTCGCAGCGAAGAACTCGGGGTTCGGACCAGCTGCACTGTGCGATTAGACGAATCGGTCTGGTGCATTCGTGATGATGGTGAATGGAGGGATTGTGTTGAGAACGGTGATGGTGCTAACCCCCAGACCCTTATTGCCCAAGTCAACAAGCTCTGGGAAGAGCGAAATTAAGGATTTTCCCGAATGCATTACTGTGATACCCCTATACTGTCGACAAGTTAATGATTTGCCCTGTTTTAATATAAGGCATACTCTCTTCTGCTTCTAGTGTTCCACCAATGTCGATTGATACGGCTCGATCCTTTTAACCTGCCGTATTGAAGAAGACATAAGATGTATACGATATTACGAAGGAGATACCCCAAAATTCGCTTAAGCTATCGAAATGTCCGGAATAGACTCATCATGATCACGGGCTTCTAGTCCATCTTCACGTGCGGGAACCATATTCACCTACCTTTTCACTAACAAGGCAGGCGCGAAGCTATACGCCTCGCCTGCCCATTTCGCCAGCAAGGCAGGCTTCAAGCTGGACGCGACTGGGGATGTTTTTTGGCCATCAGCCCATGCCTCATTTTTCTTCACCTCCCCGTCGTTCTCCGTCTTCTCTTCATCATCTCTCCTCCTTTCTCCCCATCACCCAACTCGAATTTTTCCGCGATTTTTCCCAGGCGCTCTCAACGAACCTCATCTCGACCTCAGCCAAGACGATATCCATTGATATCCGTTTGGTTGCGCTGTAGCTCGTTCAGATCGTCAGGTTTCGCACCGCTCATCTGAGACTTTCCTCACATTTCCACTCAAACCCTCACCACCATGGCCGACTCTCGTCCTGATGACGACCTGTACCACGCTTGGGCCGATTTCACCCAGCCAAGCAAGGTGCTTTCTGAGATCCTCGAAGATGAGGATAAATCCCGCACCTTGTACAATATGATCGAGCGTCAGTACAAGTTCATCTCCGAGCGCTCTGCCGATGATGAGCGTGGTGAGATGAGCGTCTTCGACAAGGTGCTCGTCTATATGTGGCAGCAGGAGCACCAGATCAACAATGTTGGCCTCCTTGAGTTCTACCTCGAGGAATATCTCATGGCCAAGATGGTGCACACCTACCCCGCCAAGAAGGCCCTCGTCTTTGCCCAGCTGCAGGCCGGCGAGCTTATTGATGCAGGTTAGACCCCCTACTACCTATGAGATAACTCTGATTTCCCGCGATTTCTAACGCCATCTAGCTTTCGTCAACCCTGACCACCTCGAGATGATCACCGAGGCGGCCGAGACCACCACCGGCGATGATGGCATCGCCCAGCAGGAGTTCGCCCTGGACAAACTCATCCGAGTTTACCAGGAAGCCAAAGCGGACTTCTACTTTGCCGACGCGGACAAGTCGGGCACTTCCAACAAGTGCAACGACAAGTTCACCAAGGTCCGCTTCCTCCGTGACACGGCCGAAAATCTCTGGCGTTACATGGAGGCGTTTGGTCATCAGTCTCACCCGCTGATGGCCGAGGTCCAGAAGATGGTGGACGTCAGCGCCCGGCACGCCGAGCATCTCGCCGGTGGTCGCAAGCGCATCTTCGAGCTCCCGGAAGATGAAGACACTCGCCCGGTTGGCCACCACCGGAAGCGAGCCCGCAACGAGCGCCAGGTCGACTCCTATCGACCCCGTCATGAAAGCCGTCACGACCGGCACGAGCGAGGCGATCGACATGACGACCGCGATGAACATTACGTCCGTGATGTTCGTGACCGCCGCGATGAGGACGACACTGACCGCCGAGATCGCCGCCGCCGCTCACGCCACTCCCACTAGAGTGCCGGGGCAGCGATTCTCAGGCGTGAGAAGGACACCTGGGCTTGACGACGCCAACGAGATGACGACCGGGGCGTTTTTTTTTTTTTTTGTGCTTTTTGTTTTTGTGTTTTTTGAGCGAGAAGAAGGACTACGGCAGATGGCGGTATTCTAGCGGGTGCCGTCATTTGTGCCCATGTTTCTTCATTCTCATGACTTATTGATAGGAATAGATGTAGCTTCATGAAGCTACCAAAATCAATCTATTCCTTACCGTTCCACAGTTTCGTATAGTTCATACTTTGTAGTTCGCGCGGATCGCCGCTTAACCCTATTGGTGGCCCCCACGTGTCCCTGGTTACCTAATCCAACAACAGGTCCGCCGATCAAGTCATCTGCAGAAAGTCGGTGGCCGCCGCATCTGCCGAAGAAGGGGCTTATATCCCCTCGAATGGAGAAGTTCGGTCTAAAAGAAGACAGATAGCAAGCAACAACAGCGACCGACGCGTCTCTTTGCGCCCCAGTGGCCGTGACTCTCGCCCCGAACAGCATGGCTGGTCTCCATCTGCCCCCGTCCACTGCGGGGAACGCTTCTTTCTCCGACTCCGGCTCGTCAAATACTCGTTTCACGCCTCCTTCCAATGGCTCCGAGGAGGAATATCCGACGTCAAAACCGGTGAACTCGCCGGTTGGAACTCTACGACTACAAACCAATTTCGAGAGAATGGACGCTGGCGGGTCTGTGTCCGATATCGAGGAAGACAATAGATATGATTCTGCAGAGGAGCTGGAGGGGAAGAATCGCAGGGTGCAGTCGAGGCCGAAATTTACACCGGAGGAGGAAAAGGAGGTGGTGAAGGTCTTTGACAGGAGGCTGGTTCCGTTCTTGGCGCTTCTCTACTTGCTTGCATTCCTGGACCGTTCGAGTAAGTAGAATTGGGCGCATGGATTTGATTGGGTTGGTTATTCTGACACTCGAGTGCAGATATAGGGAATGCCAAGATTGCAGGGCTGCAGGATGACCTTCGGCTCTCGTCTGACCAATACGAGTGGCTACTTACCGCGTTTTATATCACATACATCCTATTCGAATGGATGACCTTGATGTACCGCCTCGTACCGCCGCATATCTACATTTCTCTGTGCGTGTTTGGCTGGGGTTTGGTGGCCTCATTCCAATCTCTAGCGACCTCATTTGAAGGTCTCGTCATTTTGCGTGCATTGCTTGGTATTACGGAAGCAGCATTTGGCCCGGGTGTCCCATTCTATCTGTCGCTATTCTACCAGCGCGATGAACTTGCTTTCAGAAATGGACTCTTCATCTCAGCCGCACCATTGGCAACGTCCTTTGCTAGCAGCTTGGCCTGGTTCATCGTCAAGGTCAGCAGTGATGGTCCTATTTCGCCATGGCGTGCTCTGTTCCTTGTCGAAGGGTTTCCAAGCGTGATCGTTGCGGTTTTTGCCTGGGTTCTCATTCCAGATTCACCTGGCCGTGCTCGCTTCCTGACTCGCCGGCAGAGAGTGGTGGCTCGACTTCGCATGGAGCATGGTCAGACTGACTACCAGCAGTCCTCCTCGAAAAGCTTCAATTGGAGGGAGATTGCGAAGACAGCTGCTGATCCCAAGGCATATATGGCAGCTGTAAGTCAACTTCTTATAGCAAGTTTACGAGGATACTCTTCTAATTTATCTGCAGCTTATGTTCTTCAGCTGCAATGTCGCCTTTAGCTCAATGCCCGTGTTTCTGCCGACTATCATCAAAGAGTGCGTTATACCAATTTCAAATTCCAACTCTACCTAGTGCTAACATCTCAATAGTATGGGTTACTCTTCTCTTAACGCCCAGGCTCTCTCCGCACCGCCATATCTAGTCGCCTTCCTCGTGGTCCTAGCCACAGCATGGGCCTCGGACCGCAGCCGCAGCCGAAGCCCCTACCTCATAGCCCACGCGCTCATTTCTTCAGTCGCATACTTCGCCATTGCAGCAACAGGATACTTCCATGCGCACCTCTCCACAGAGTTGCACACCTTCATCCGATACATCTGCGTCTACCCAGCCATCGCTGGTTTCTTCTCCGCTATCACGCTGATCATCACCTGGTCGATGGACAACCGTGTGGAAAAGGAAGGCAAGGGTGCCAGCATCGCCATTTTGAACATCATTGGGCAATGTGGCCCTCTCCTAGGCACGAGATTGTATCCCGAGTCCGACGGGCCGTGGTATATCCGCGGCATGGCAACGTGCTCCTTCTTCATGGTGCTCGTTGCAATTCTGGCACTTGGCCTGCGGGTTCTCCTACAACGAGCCAACCGAAGAATCGCCGACACCACGTACCAGGATGTCAATCCGGCAGGGCCTGCTCATTCTGGAGAGGAGCGAGATGAGCTCATAGGTGGTGGGCGTAGGGATGATTTGGAGCATCATACCGGCGATCGCCGGCTTGTCTATATTATTTAAGAGGTGTATCTGATTGGATGACTGCCAATTCGGGGTGCATATTCGGGTTTTAAGCGATTTTCGATTTTGACTGCCATATTATACAGCCGTTCATAGCGATATCTACATTGTATGAAAAGAATTCTGATGCAATCTGCGACTCATACAGATTATCTCAATAGCCAGGCTGAAGCTTAAGAAGTAATTGAGTGGAAGGTTCGAAGTAATTATGAAATGTCGTGATTCCTCTTTATTATTCGTCAAGTTAGGTAACAAATGAAAGAAGGACGAGAAAAGTGCAATATCACGAATGCCAAATTTTGAGATTACCATTATTAGCGGCCTGGGTCACATAACCTCCTTCAAGTCTGGGCTAAATCGCCCGAAGCCGAGGTGCATGCTGCAAGCCTTTGTAAAGAACCTGAACTGTGCAGCGAGCTTCGAGGTTCGCGGTAAACCGATGCTAAGTATGTACAGAGATGGGAACCCTGTCCGGTTTGCGAGAGGCTCTCTCTGGGTCATCGAATTGTTTTGTGTATTCCATGCCCTCCATGACGCCGCGTCTCACTCGACTTGAGAACGTGTATGCAAAAAGAACATTATCCTCATCCTCAAGATATCACTCACCACGCCGTGTGGCCACCATCAATAATGAGAGTGCTACCAGTCATAAAGCTACTAGCATCCGAGAGACAGAACAGGGCAGAGCCACGGAACTCCTCAGGCGTAGCCAAACGACCAAGCATATTCTCCGCTTCCCAAGTAGCCCGTGCCGCCGGGTTCTGCTGGAAAACATCCTCGACCATGGGAGTAATGATATGCCCCGGGCAAAGACTGTTCACACGGATGCCGTGACGACCCCACTCCATAGCCAGCGAGCGGGCGAGCTGGATAACAGCAGCCTTGGAGGAATTGTAAACAGGTGAGGTCATGCCCTTATTAGCGATGAGGCCGCTCATAGATGCAACGAGCAGGATGGAACCTTTTTGTTGGTAATTGAACATTTGGCGGGCGGCGGCGGTGGCAGAGTTGAACACGCCGTTGTAGTTGATGCTCATCACGTCGTCCAGTGCTTGTTGGGAGTGCTCGAGTGCGGACTGTAGGTGGTTGATGCCCGCGGCAGCGATGAGACCATCCAGACGCTGCTCATGAGCAGCGATTTTCGCGAACGTGTTGTTGACTTCTGTGTTGTTGCGGACGTCAATTTTGATGTACTCCAGACTACCGCCATAGTCCTGGGCCCTGTCTTTGGCCTTGAGGAAGTCGGGGTGAGGTGTCTCGAGGCGGTCCATGGCGTAGACTGCAATTCCTGTTAGTATCCGGGTCCAGTTTGGATAACAGAATGGAGCAATTGATTCATACCTTTTGCTCCAGCCTCGATCAGGGCTTCACCCATCGACAGGCCCAATCCCCGACCACCACCGGTGATAACGTAAACACGACCCTCCATGTCGAACTCGCGGAATCGGTTGGCATTGCGCAATTGCTTCTTTGATGGAAGCTTGGACTGGATGTGATCGGGGTTGTGGGAGATGTTCTGGATGTCGCGCGGGTTGAAGGCGCTCTTGGTGCTAGAGTAGAGTCTTGTCGAAGAAGAGGCAAGTACCTTAGGGGCTGTAATCGCTGCACTTGCGAATCGAGCGCGGGCGGAGGTGAATACTCGAGAGGTACCGAGAGACATGTTGTGTGGAAAAAAATTAAGAGGGATATAGGGATATCTTTGTACAAAGAATTAAGTAAGGCCCAAGGGCTGGTGGTAAGGTTGCCGGAAGTTTGTATAGAACGGGGCACAATGTAAGGCAACTGAATACCACAAACTATACAATTGATAAAACCCGATCTGGGAAGATATCGTGTAGAATCATCTTACGTTGTTCACAGGGAAGTGGGTTTATATGTCCAAAACGGTCCGGCACGGTACTACCAGGCAGAGTCTACCGAAAGCGCAATCTTCCAAGGGCTTGTGAGCTGCCGACAGAAATTTTGAAAAATGAAATTGATAGAGAAAAAAATATGAATGTTGCGCGTGACCCCTCGGGTGGGTTGACCAGGCTGCTTTCACCATGGGTCAAGATCCAGACAAATCGACGGGAGCATCCACGGGTTTAGGAGCTTGCCACATCAGCTCCAAGCTACACGATGGGACGGGGAGACGTGCCGATAGAACCCCAGCCAAGACTATGAGACAGCAAGTATGGAACTACGGGGCTGCGGTGGGACATGGAACTAAGGAACTATGGGGTTGCGGTGGAACAAATCCAGCCGCGCAGAGAGCGGATGCTGTACGCACTCCTCTTCTCCAAACCACGCACGACCCAACAGTCGACATCTTGACCTTTGCTGGATTGTCGAAGACGGTAATTCTTCGAAGACTTCGATGGAATGGCTCACCAGGGCGGGCCCATCGAGGTATGCATGGCCGATCTTCAGCGGTTTGTCCAAGACTCAGACTCCTTTGCTCACACTGGTTATCGAGGGGCCGAGCATGGGGCCGAGCCCTGGGCGCCGGGATTTTAGCCGTAGGGCGGGTTCGACTGGCGGGCTCGATGGCTTTCGATGCTTTTGATCATGTATAGGATCTAGAGCCCGGCCAACTAGACCTTCGGGATGTCGGGGTATCAAGATATCAGGAATTTTTGTCCCTGTTCCTTGACAACTAGATGCTACTATGACTTCCAGTTTGAATCACAGCTGAATTTGCTTCGAGCTTGTTATGATGGGCAGGGTAACCACCAAAGAGGACCTTCGGCATCTCCATGAATAGGTTAGGAAGGGCTCTGGGACTCCATCGCGGATTGGCATGGAGCGAATCTGATCCACAGACCCTGGCAGCTGCAGTGGCATCGTCGGTTCCACCGGTGAAAGAGGCAAGTACCAGAAGGATTGTACATACAGTACTATCAAAGCAGGTCAGTTGACTCTTTTTCTCTGCGGGATGGGCTCCACAATACAGTGGCCAGATGGTCTCCTGGATATTTTTAGGTGGGGGGAACAGTGGCTGAACCAATGTAGATGTCGTGGATAAGCATACAGAAAGTTCCACTGGAAACAGGAGAATCAGTGGTCCAGCACTTTCAAGATGGACAGAGTGGAGAGACGGAGAGAGGTGAAAACCAACCCCTGCAGTGTATTCCCGGGATGTCCGGAATAGGCAATCCTGGGCTGACCCGGGTTTACACCGCCAAGAAGCGGAATTGCTCATGAAAGAAGATAGACGAGGGATAGAAAAATGCTCCTGTTGAGGCTCGTTCAATTGCTTGGGAAAACAGGCATTTCTTTGTGTACAAATCACCAATCCCGAATCAGTAGATTGAAAGTAAAAGAGTCGTATACGCAATCCATGATGATTAGTAGTTCCCCAGAGTCACGATAAGCTTCCGCCACTGCCCGAACCACCAGAACTTAAGCGCATCAGGCATCGGACCCGCAAATGCCACATCCCTATTACACATTTAACATTCAATATCAAAATGTAGCTTAATAGCCCAGGAGCTCCTTTTTGAGTTGGGGTACTTTTGAATTTCATGACAGTTGCTGGGCCTTGAAACATCTAACAGGGATCGTCAAAAAAGGGCGAACATTGAGGACGATCTCGAACGCCCTGCCAGATTGCGTGCCTTGTCAGCTGGACATTTCGTACAGCTATGTGACCAGTAGACACATATTGAATGCATAGTCGATCATCAGGGCTTTTGTGATAAGAAAAACTCCTATTGCCAAATGCAAGAACATGCGGTCCCTCCATCTAGGTCCGTCGTATAGTTTTACTGTGTAGATCTGTCCCGAGAGACATACCCCACGACCGAAGGCTCCCAGGATGATTGAAAGAACGGATGAATGGTTCTCGAAAGTACATATGATCCCTTTCCCTATATTGCGTCCGCGGATGCATCAAAAGTCAATTGCCCCAGACTCCCTGGCTGATAATTCTTCTTTTCAGCTGTAACGCCGAATTTGCCAAATTCCCCGAGAAAAGCAGATAGTATTTCCCATGCTCAATAATCATAAGAATCGTAAGAATGTCACATATACGAAGACCAATGGCAGATTTCCCGGTCTCTACCCCATACGCCCAAACTCCAGGTTTGCCGGACCAGGCGCCATCGAGGCACCCCGGAGACTCCCAAAGTCGAGATTCATCAACAGTCGGTCCACACCCGCCGGTTGGCGCGGTACATAGTGGCGGAATCCGGGGCCTGTGCTACCCTCTGCACGGGCTCCCGGCCAGGCCTGGCCCATGCCGAGCTGCGCGGTTGGGCCTAGGCCATCGCCCGACCGGTGGTCATCAATATCACGGAGGCTCTCAACGAGGTCTCTCATGCCAGCATCCACGTCGTCACGCGTACTGCGCAGGTCTTGCCAGACTTCGCGCTCTTCTTGCGCGTAATCGACCAGGGCATCGACGACACCCTCGTCCGTCTCTAGGTCCATGTTGCGCTGGATCGTTTCGAGGCGAATCACCAGGGCCACGAAATGGTCCACGCTGGTGAGAAGGGTACGAAGGATACTGGTAAACGATGTATTGGTGAGAAACAGAGATTGGACTAGAGTGGAAAGATGGCGTCGGTGGGCAACGGTTAATGCTTCAGGGTCGTGCCGACCCATAGAGGGAGGGCCAGCGTTGGAGCCGGGTCGACTAGAGACGCGGTCGGGAGAGGCAGCACGGGATTGGCGCTGTTGTTTTGAAGAGGATGCTGTCCCTGGCCGAGAGCCTGGCGCTGAGGTTGTTGAGAGAGATGGTCCTTCAATCCACTCCCGCAGATGCTGCCAGGACTCGTGAACTACCTCCCCCTGGAAGAAGCTGCCAATCTCGGAAAGCACAAACAAACAGGCACTCGCAGTGGCCCAGATCGGACGCATTTGTCGAATGCGGGTATTGTCCCTCTTACGGCCTTCTTTCAACTTATTCTGGCCAAATGCACTGTTACTCCGGGGCGGTCCCCATGGCGAAGGGTGATTCCTCCGAAGGGACGTTCTTTTCCATAGATCGCCAAGACGTATTTGAGCACGCCGGATGCCCAGCAGATAAGAGTGGATCTTGGAGTAGATGATAATATCGGAACTTGACAGGAAGAGGTCCAGGGGTGCGCGGACCTGAGCGGTCAGGCATGTGGGTGTAGGAAACAGAATGTCTTCAAAGGAGACTTTCGAGATCTCCGGAATCGCAGTCGAGCTTTGCGACGGGGTCATCGGACGGCTGGATTTATTGTCACTGATTGACAAGCGAAGGAGCTCCCGCGCAAGCTCTAGCTCCTCATCCGCCGGATCTTCTTCCTTTTGTAGGGAGAACAGCTCAGCCCATGCCTGGGCCAGGGCCGTCATCACATCGCCTTCCTTGATCAAGAGTCCCGCAAGGCCTCTGGACTGAGCCCGAGCGAAGGCTCCCCGGCGTCTATTCTCCTCAATGCGGGAGTCCGCATGGGAGACTAGGGCCACGGCAAATTCGCCTCGCCCCAAAAGAAGGAAATCGTGAAGCAGAGTAAGCATTTCCAGGATACGAGGAAGAGGCAAGAGCTTGGATAGTGTTGACTGTGATAATGACAGGCGAATCCAGTCCACAGCTGTAGAAAGCTGCGTGGATGAGATTGGCGACTTTAACCCGCCAAGGTGTTCAATGTGTTCCTGGTAAAGAGTCACTGGGGCGGTGGATATCCCTCCCGAGGTCTTCTTCTTTGCACGGACATGATTGAGTGATTTCCCAATGAAGAGAATCGACCCTGCTGTTTGTGCAGATACGAAATTTGGAAGCAATTCCATGTGCATGCTGAATTGAGTGTCGTCGTCTTCAGGGTTCGAGTCCTCCTGAATGAAAAAGTCTTCCTTTCCATACATGGGCAAATTTCCATAAAGAATCCACATGGATAACTGCTTCATCCATGCCGTCTCCGCCGCAGTCACTAGCTGTACGGCCATTTCTTTGATATCCAGATAACCCGTTTGGGACTCGGCGCGTAGGTGATTGATAAGGGCTGCCCCGCTACAGCCATATCGAGGATCATGGATTCTACTCTCGGGTTGTATGAATTGGACAACCTCCCATAGCCACTCCATGCGTCGTGTCCAAGGTGCAAATTCACCCACGACGGTGGATAACGGAACAATGCCGTACCCACCAACATACCCGCTGTCTTCGGCAAGAATTGCTTTCTCGACCTCGAGGATCTTCTTTTGAAAACTGCCCAAATGGTTTGTGACTATAGCGGTGGACACCGAGCGACAGATCACGGACCGATGCGCAGACAATATCTGAGAGGTATGCGCGCGGAGTTGCGCGTGCAGTTGACTTAGGTGGGCAATAGACCGGAGGAGGGCTTTCTCCGGAGGCGCGAGAAGGGATATATCATCTTGAGCGAGCGCATCTTTCCCTTGTGAAGGGCTGAAGAGGGGGACGGCTGGCCGGAGAGCGAGAGGAGGATCTCGTGGAGCATCTTGCCTTGGGCGCGCTGTGGCGATCAAGGAGATCATTGTTAGCTTCAAAGTTCGCACAAGGGAGCCCGGTAACTTGTCTGTTCTACCTAGCGAGTTTAATGCTGTCCTTTTCCGGGTTCTGCCTATGCCGGTATAGTAAGCCACGCCCTAGAAGCTCGAATCGACACATGTACGAGGCGGGCGGGCTCTGTGCTTGGGCGCGGAAGAGAAGATGATGCAATTAGGTGCGTTGGTCAAGAGAAGAGTCGCCGTATGAGACTGGATCTTTCAGCAAGCCCAGATCACGGCCAAGGCCATCTCCAATTTCACAAGAACAGCCCGATCAAGTTGCAAAGCATCGAATTGCAACCAACCAGAGCTCGAGTCGACTGAACATCTGCAAATGTCTCCGACCGCGGGGTGTTGGACGCGCTGATTAGTCATCCGCAGCTTGTCCCTCTTACGTCGATGCACCGTCCCGCTCTCGCTCTCAACAGCTGTTTCTTCTCCCTTGCCTCTCTTCTTTCTGCAATCAATCCGCCTCTCTTTGTTATTGTACAGCTCTGCGTCCTGCCTACCTCTCCTATACCTGCGCTACTTACTTCAACTCCTGCCCCTGCCCTGTCTGGTCAAAGATAGGTACCTGGTACGCTTCGAGTTGCAACTTGTTTTATCCGCACTAGTCGAGGGTCTTGCTCCCTGGGCAAGACTTTCACCTCCTGATTTTCACCATTCCTTCCGATCTTGCTGTTCGTGAATCGGCTAAGCCGGGAAAGCGCAGAGCGTCTGAAGACGACACCGCCGCTCGGCCTCAAAAGAAGACCATGACGGTATGGCACCATCCCGCTGGGCTGGAGATCCAAGTACTGCATGTCCACTAACTTAGCCCACTATCAGGACGTTACGATGCAGGTCGAGAACCCCCAAGAGACCGTGGAGATGATCAAGCATGGCGAGATCGATGAGTCTCTGTACAGTCGGCAACTGTAAGACTACCAATACCGTGCTCTTTCCTGGCTACCTGTGGTGAGACACCGTATCTAACCGCTTCTTCCAAGGTATGTGCTTGGCCACGAAGCCATGAAGCGCATGGGCTTGTCGAATGTCCTCGTTGTTGGGCTCAAGGGTTTGGGCGTGGAAATTGGTAAGCAATAACGACAGGTCACGCTATACTTGGGTAAAATGAGTGGCAACCCCGCGGCCATCTGATTAACACTTCTCTTCTCACTTTTACAGCCAAGAACATTGCCCTCGCTGGCGTCAAATCCCTTACTCTTTACGATCCTGCCCCCGTTGCTATCGCAGACCTCTCCTCCCAGTTCTTCCTTCAGCCTCAAGATGTCGGCAAGCCCCGCGCTGAAGTCACGGCCCCACGAGTCGCCGAGCTCAACTCCTATGTCCCAGTGACGATCCATGAGGGCAACAATCTTGCTGGAGACTTGGAACAGTTAAAGCGCTACCAAGCAGTGGTCTTGACCCAGACCCCTCTGAAGGAGCAGCTGGCGATTGCCGACTTCTGTCACAAGAACGGTATCTATATCACGATTACGGATACATTTGGTTTGTTCGGTTATATCTTCAATGACTTTGGTAAAAACTTCACCGTTGGTGATCCTACTGGGGAGGAACCCGTCGGTGGTATCATTGCCGATATCGATGAGGATGGTCTGGTATCTGCCTTGGACGAGACTCGGCACGGACTGGAGGATGGCGACTTTGTGACTTTCACCGAGATTAAGGGTATGGACGGCCTGAACAACAGCGCTCCTCGCAAGGTCATCGTTAAGGGCCCATATACCTTCAGCATTGGTGATGTCTCCGGTCTCGGCTCTTACCAGGGTGGCGGTCTCTTCGCTCAAGTGAAGATGCCCAAGTTCGTTGATTTCCAACCCTTGTCAGAACAGATCAAGAAGCCAGAAATTCTGCTCTCGGATTTCGCCAAGTTCGACCGACCGCAACAGCTCCACATTGGTATCCAGGCTCTCCACAAATTTGCGGAGACCCACGACCGTCAGTTCCCCCGCCCACATAACGACAGCGATGCTCAGGAGGTTCTGAAGATCGCCAATGAACTTGCGGCAGCTGGAGAGGAGAAGGTCGAGCTGGATGAGAAGATTATCAAGGAGCTGAGTTACCAGGCTCGTGGTGATCTAAACCCCTTGGCCGCTTTCTTCGGAGGCATCGCCGCTCAAGAAGTCCTCAAGGCTGTCTCTGGAAAGTTCAACCCTGTGCACCAGTGGATGTACTTTGATTCTTTGGAGTCTCTGCCGAGTTCGACCACCCGTTCTGAGGAGAACTGCAAGCCTACCGGTTCCCGCTATGATGGCCAGATCGCGGTCTTCGGTAAGGAGTACCAGGAGAAGCTCTCCAATGTCACTCAGTTCCTGGTCGGCGCGGGTGCCATTGGTTGTGAGACCCTGAAGAATTGGGCCATGATGGGCCTGGGTACTGGCCCCAAGGGCAAGATCTTTGTGACGGATATGGATCAGATTGAGAAGAGCAACCTGAACCGGCAGTTCCTCTTCCGCCCCAAGGACGTTGGTCGTCTCAAGAGCGAGTGTGCCTCTGCTGCGGTACAAGCTATGAACCCCGACTTGAATGATAAGATTGTGACTCTCCGTGACCGTGTCGGTGCGGATACTGAGCACATCTTCAACGAGGAGTTCTGGAGTGGTCTTGACGGCGTGACCAACGCGCTGGACAACGTTGATGCCCGTACATATGTGGATCGCCGTTGCGTCTTCTTCCGCAAGCCGCTTCTTGAGAGGTAAACCATCTTATTCCCACGATCTTCAATGAAATACTTGCTAACTTTATATCTAGTGGTACTCTTGGCACAAAGGGCAACACTCAGGTGATCCTGCCATTCATCACCGAGTCTTACTCTAGCTCACAGGACCCTCCTGAGAAGTCGTTCCCCATGTGTACGCTGAAGAGTTTCCCCAATCGTATTGAACACACCATTGCGTGGGCTCGCGACCTCTTCCAGACTTACTTTGTTGGCCCTCCCGAGTCGGTCAACATGTATCTCTCGCAAGCCGACTACATTGATCAGACTCTCAAGCAGGCGGGCAATGAGAAGCAGACTCTGGAGCACCTCCGTGACTTCCTGGTCACTGAAAAACCTCTGACCTTCGATGACTGCATTGTCTGGGCCCGCCAGCAGTTTGAGGCTCAGTACAACAATGCTATCCAGCAACTCCTTTACAACTTCCCCAAGGACTCCAAGACATCTACTGGCCAGCCTTTCTGGTCTGGTCCCAAGCGGGCACCTACTCCTTTGAAGTTTGACAGCTCCAACCCCACTCACATTGGCTTCGTGATTGCTGGTGCCAACCTCCACGCCTTCAACTATGGTATCAAGAACCCCGGTGCCGACAACGAGTACTACTGTAAGGTGGTGGACGACATGATTATTCCCGAGTTCACACCTAGCTCGAACGTGAAGATCCAGGCCGACGACAACGAGCCCGATCCCAACGCCCAGCCTTCCGGAGCTAGCAACGATAACGAAGAGATCCAGAAACTCGTTGCTCTTCTCCCATCGCCCAAGTCCCTGGCTGGCTTCCGTCTGCAGCCTGTTGAGTTTGAGAAGGACGATGACACCAACCACCATATCGACTTCATTACCGCGGCCAGCAACTTGCGTGCTGATAACTACGAGATCCCCCAAGCGGACCGCCACAAGACCAAGTTCATTGCTGGAAAGATCATCCCCGCCATTGCTACCGCCACAGCTCTGGTAACAGGTCTCGTTGCCTTGGAGCTGTTCAAGGTTGTTGATGGCAAGGACGATATTGAGCAGTACAAGAACGGCTTCATTAATCTTGCACTGCCATTCTTCGGGTTCAGTGAGCCTATCGCTAGTCCCAAGGGCAAGTATCAAGGCAAGCAGGGCGAGGTCACCATCGATAGCCTGTGGGATCGCTTTGAGCTGGACGATATTCCTCTTCAAGCCTTCTTGGACCACTTTGCCGACCGGGGCCTGGATATCACCATGGTCAGCTCTGGCGTCAGTTTGCTGTATGCCAGCTTCTACCCTCCGTCCAAGGTCAAGGACCGCCTTCCTCTGCCGTAAGTCTTATCATTTCTATGCATTCTGCACAAATATGCCCGACAGTATACTAATTCCGCACAGGATGAGCAAGCTTGTCGAGCACGTCAGCAAGAAGCCCGTGCCTGAGCACCAGAAGAATATCATTTTTGAGGTGACGGCCGAGGACCAGACCGAGGAAGATGTGGAGATCCCGTACGTCATGGTGAAGATGAGCAAATAGATAGATGGCTCGTCTGGACTCCTCCATTAAAACAGAACTTTATGGTGGTGGCAGTCTCTTCGGGGGTGGGAAAGAAGCAGTACATTCATGATTACCAACGACCAGCTCCATGCGATGCTAGATTTCCAGTCTTGAAATTCCAATTGCTTTCTTTGGCTCGCGCCTAATCAGGTTACCAATTTCTATGATGTACTGGCTGAAGTAAATCTTTGTAACAGCTGCCACACCCTTGATTACTAGAAGTACCCTAGTTACAGTACCTTGGTAGTTCTAGTTAACGAACTGCAGTAGCCTAGTTAACTGATGCCTGAGTAAATGCTTTGTCAAAGCTGACAGTCTGGAGGCCCCACTTTCGATTTAAGAAGATGAGTAAGCACTTCGTCATGGAGCCCGGATCGCCGTCAACCCCCCCAGTTGGAAAGCTCGCGATCTTCTCATTTTCTTTCCAATCTCTTTCTAAGCTTAATCTCGTGCTACTCTCGGCGAGATATATAACGCTTCCTGTCTTTCGCTGATGCTCTTGACATTATTGCGCTCACCAGCATTACTCACTCTTCCACGACCAGCTCTCCGCGCGGGGTTCATTACAGCTTCTCGAGTCCCAACGTACTTCTCCGCACGATCATCACGAAATATGGCGGTAAGCGATGAATGCAGATGCAATGCCCTCCATTTAATATTTCAATTGAACTGATTTGTGGTGTATAGACCGGCAACTCAGCTAAAATCACCGACTGGGTCAATCCCAATGACAAGTCTGGCGAGTTCAAGCGTCAGCAGTCCGTGTTCCGGAGCTTCATCTCCCGCGAGCCCGGCGCGCAGTTCCCGCCTGAGAAGGGCCGCTATCATCTCTATGTCTCCTACGCCTGTCCCTGGGGTACGTTCGGGTTCCAATTGCTAACAACTATCTTGTGAAGAAGTACTAACGTCTTTCAGCTCATCGCACTCTGATAACCCGTAAGCTCAAGGGTTTGGAGGATATCATCAGCTTCTCATCGGTGCACTGGCACCTCGCAGAAAAGGGTATGTACTCTACTCCACGATCTCATTCAATTACATGCTAAATGCGGATATAGGATGGCGCTTTGCCACGTCCGACGAGGTCCTACCAGGCGAGAACACCATTCCCGACCCGCTGCACAAGGACTTCACCCACCTGCGTGACATCTACTTCTCCAACAACCCAGACTACACTGGTCGTTTCACCGTCCCCGTTCTCTTCGATAAGAAGACCGGCCAGATCGTCAGCAACGAGGTGAGATCTCCACACATCAAGCATCCCAAAGGTACCCTATCTAACAACGCCCTCCAGAGCGCCGAAATCATTCGCATGTTCTACTATGAATTCGACGACCTGCTGCCAGAGGAATACAAGAAAATTGACCTGTACCCCTCCGCCCTGCGCTCCGAAATCGACACTTCCAACGAATGGATCTACAACGACGTCAATAACGGCGTCTACAAATCCGGTTTCGCCACCACCCAAGAAGCCTACGAGAAAGCCGTCACAACTCTCTTCTCCTCTCTGGACAAGATCGAAGCTCACCTAACCAAGCAAACGTCCGTCTCCCCGTACTTCTTCGGCAACACGGTGACCGAGGCTGATATCCGGTTGTTCACGACAATCATCCGGTTCGACCCTGTCTACGTGCAGCATTTCAAGTGCAATATTCGTGATATCCGGTCTGGATATCCAGCTATTCACCGCTGGGTGCGTGGGTTGTACTGGGATCTGCCAGCGTTCCGGGATACGACGGACTTTGAGCACATTAAGAAGCACTATACCAAGTCGCATGGGCAGATTAATCAGTTTGCAATTACCCCCGTTGGACCAGTGCCGGATGTTTTGCCCAAGGATGAGGAGGTGAGGGCCGTGCAGGTTGCGTAATAAGCAGAGTATGGGTGATATAGCACCGAGGCAGAGAAGGGTGGCTATCGAGTGCATCACAACAACTGAACTAATGAAATATGGATATACTATGAAATGCAATTGAATTGAATTTATCGTGACATAGCCTCTATCCGACACTTCTACCCAACTCAAGACTGTATCTAGTCGGTAAGATGTCCAAAAGTGAAATGTAGTATTCTCAATATACACAGAAAATGAGGAAACAACGAAAGACCCAATGATAATGCATGGAAAATCCACATGCCTCGACGCCTTGCGATGCTTATGTTGGAACATATGGTTGGGAGCGTGATCAGCCCCCAGAATGGGTTTGTAGCAAAGCACCTGTCATGTGGAGGATGTCTCACGAATGCGGAAACGCAAAGCAAACGAGGTAAAGCAAGAGGTAGATGCAAGTGATTTGGCAGTGATATGTGCCAGATATTTGAGCTGAGGATAAGATATATCCAATTTGGAACAGAGAGAAGCTGTACCATTGTATGGTGGCCTATTTTGCGGGTATCTTGGGCTGAAATGGCTCTAAAAATGGAAACGCGAAGAAAAAAAAACGTGAAAGAGATTTAGCAGGTCGAGGGCGGCGGGGCGGAAGAAAGATGGCGGGAGGAGAAGGTGACTCGAGAGGCGGTTTGGTACAAGGTGCGCTTATTTCAAGGCGAGCATCCGCTTCGAGTTCTCGTAGACCACGTAGCTGATGGACACTGCAGGTGCCACCTTGAGAAGGTTGGGGGTGAGGCCCTTATAGAATCCGCGGGGTCCCTCGGATTGGAGAGTTTTGCGGGCGACGTCGGTGATGCTGGTGTATGTAGTCGGGTGGAGGACGGTGCCTTGGGCTTGTAGCCGAGTCCGCATCACGTTGAGAGGATAGACGACCGAGGCACTGAAACCACCGCTGATGGCACCAATTGTGCCAGTCAGGAAGTTGTTCAGAGTCACGTCGTCCTCGTGGCAATGATCAATAATAGCTTGGCGAGAGACAAGGGCGCGTTTGAGGTATTCAAAGGTGGTCAGGTCGATCGCCGCGTATGGGAACATTCCGATGAGACCAAGGGGCAGGCCACGGAAGAAACCAAATAGCCCATTGGTGTTCAGCACTTTCTTCGCTGTGGCTATGATGAGCTTGTTTCCTCTCAAGCCACCTTCAACGGTTGAGCATTGCATCCGGCTAGAAGAACTTGTTAGCAAATGAATACTTGAGAACGCCCTGAAGCATGATCAACTCACAATTTCAACGTGTCCAGAGGGTAGACGAAGCATCTGCAGGGAGTCAATTAGGATAATCTTGACCTAGTCATAATCCAGAAAAGAGCATAGCATACTGGGCTACCATTCCACCAATACCACCCGACAAGAACTGTGATGTGGGCCGAAGCTTTTTGGGGTCGTTGTGTCCTTCAAGGCGAGCAAATGCTTGTTTTGACGACTAGATTCGAATATCAGATATGAAATGACCCAAAGGTTAATCAACGAGACTCACCTCGTAGGCTCCAAATTTGATCGCTGACTCTGGCATCACCTTCAAAACATTCAACCCGTTTCCTATGCACTCGTAAGATGAATGATCTCAAGAGATAGTGAAGTAAGGTAAACAAACCAGCGAACAAGCTCCGGATTCCACCGGCCCGCCAGAGCTCTTTCAGGGCAACAGACAAGGTTCTAGATGCATTTCCTGTCGCCACCAAGGGAGCACCATCCTTCGCTGCGCGAACCGCCGGGGCTTTTACCCCCGTCTGAGCGATAAGGTAAACCTTGAGACGGTCAAGAGGGGCAGTAGCCGTCCTCGAGACGACGCCCGCAATTCCGCCTGCAATAAAGTAGCCTAGTTTAGGGGTATTCTCGGTCAACTTGCGTTCATAATAGCGGAAGGACATCCACATGGCGACGATCTTGGGGATGGGCAGCCACTCCAGCTCGAAGTCACCGTCTAACGAGGCAAAGTCATTCCCGAAAGCGGTTGTCAACGTTGCAGCCGGGTTGGTGGTGGTTTGCGCGAGGGCTGAAGGAAGGAGAGAGGCCAGCGCAGGCAAAGAGAGAATATTGTACAAGAGGCGCTGGAGAGCGAGGAGAGAACGAGTAGGAAATGTGTGGTCTGTACCTAAACCCTGCAGATCATTGATGTGGACATCTCCTTCCGGGTTTAGATTGCCCGTCGCCGTGTAGTAGGACAAGACAGCGCGTAGGTCGGAGGTGGAGCGAAGCGGTAGGAAGAGGAGAAAGTCCCTAAACCGAGGTGAAATGAGGTATTGAGTCAGCTGGGTTGAGTTTGCTTTTTGGGGCTTCGGCCTCATCTTGATTTCGTCCTCCAGGCAAAGCACTTGACCAAGGGCAGGTGTTCAACGAACCTCCATTCCGCGTAAGATATTACCCCGTCATTGTTTTTGTCCACCTCGGCAAAAAAGTTGTCCAGCTTTGCACTCGATACGGTGACGCCGGAGTGTGCAAACGCGCTTTTTAGCTCTGCCTTGTCGATTTCTCCATTGTGATTGCGATCGATGGCCTGGAACATCTGCCATAAACCGGACTCGGTGTGGTCGATAAACGTTCGGAACTCTGAGGCAGGCAGGTTAGGGGAAGACCAAAACTCAGCACAGGTGCGCCCTGGGCCTGTGAGCAGCAAAGGAATCTAGCTCCTGGTGCTTACCATTGTAGTCTATCTGGCCATCACCGTTGGTATCGACATCGTGCAGGATGCTACGGAGCATTTCATCTGCATTTTTCAGAGCTAGTAATGCGACCGCGTCAGTCGGGAGCTTCCGGCACGAGACCCGATCTGAGACGAAGACAAACTCACGGTGATCGATCTTCTTTAGGCCTTTCTTGAGACCATTTAAATCGATATGGCCCTCTTTGCGCGTGTCCAGGGATTCCCAGAGCCGAGCGACTCTTTGGTCGCGCTCATCTTTGGACTCGCTGGGTGCCATGTTGCGGAGAAAAATTGTTATCGAGCACCCGTCATCATTCAAGGGAGCATGACCCGGGGTCTGGATTGAAGCAAGGTGAAAGGTTGTGAAAGAGACTCCCAAAGGGGCGGAGTCTGCAGAAGTGAGGTCGGGAGCATAAAAGTGAGCATTAACTGGTGGGGTTGGCCTCTCAATCAGGATCAATGAATAATGCGCGGCCGGTCATTGCTGGAACGGCGACTGGGCAGACTGGGCCTGCTTGACGCCATCACCGGGCGGGCACGGGACCAGGGCTGGGCCCTACTAACCCTCTTTGGGCTGCGGATGCTGGCCTTATCGACCTACAAAGTCCGAGGGGGCCGATCTATACAACCGTCTCTCTGCTGGTGAAATGCGTGTTACTATATCACTACTTCTATTATAGTCATTCTACTATGGCTGCCAATTACTGGGCCTCGACTCAGCGTCGTCACTGGCTCTTCACTCGGGAGAAATTGGCCGAGGTTCGGGAGAGACTCCGAGAACGAGATAAGGTCACGCATTCGCAGTTTCCATTGCCAGACCAGCGACTCCTGAATATTTACTTCAATCAACGTAAGAAAAACTCCCCTATTGATGCAAGACCTTATAGCTGACACCCAACAGAACTGATCAAACTGGGCAAGCGCATGTCGACCCGTCAGCAGGCCATTGCTACTGCCCAGGTATACCTGAAACGATTCTACACCAAAAATGAAATCCGCCAGACCAATCCCTATCTGGTTCTCACCACTGCATTCTATCTGGCCTGCAAAATGGAAGAATGCCCCCAGCACATCCGCTTTGTAGTGGGCGAGGCCCGCGGTTTATATCCTGGTATGTCTGACATATCACCCTCTTTTCTATCCCTCGAGACGGAAACATGTCCAACTAACTGCCTCGGTAGAGTTTATCACACCGGATGTAGCCAAACTGGGTGAATGCGAATTCGCCTTGATCTCCGAGATGAGCTCCCAGCTCATCGTCCATCATCCATATCGGACCTTGTCGGAGCTACAGTCCGAGTTGCCCCTCAGCTCGGATGAGGTCGCCCTAGCGTGGTCCGTTATCAACGATCACTATCTAACGGATCTACCACTACTCCACCCGCCACATATCATTGCAATCATGGCCATCATCGTCGCCGTGGTCTTCAAGCCTTCTCATCCGGGTAGCTTTGGCAACTCGGCACAGTCAGCCTTGGCTGGAGCGATGAGAGATGGCGGAGGCATGGGTATGCTAGCGGCATTGTCAGATAAACCTGGCTCTGGTCCCCCTCGCATTCAAAAGCTGGTACAGTGGCTGGCAGAGAGCGAGATTGACATCAAAGCTGTCATTGAATGTACCCAGGAGCTCCTCTCATTGTATGAGGTGTGGGAGCAGTATAGTGAGAAGCATTGCAAGGAGCTGATTGGACGCATGGTGAAGAGCAAGAATTTGGATAAGTGATGTCTGTGTGGGAAATGATATATACGCACTTTATGGCGTTTGGTTTTGCCGACGATGATGTTTACTACCATCAGCATGAGTTTTACTTGGCGTTGGTACTGGATTGTGAGCTTTTGCATTATAGCGACCCTTGAATTGAGCTTGATTTACACCTGCCAAGGGTGTGGAGACCTGTCCTCTTCTATACTGAGTGTGCATATAGATATGTACAAGGTCCACTTGAGGAGCTTGGCAGGTACATGGATAACATGCATTTCAAGCACAGGACTACTAAAGCAATGTCTCAGTATATTCTGTAGATCAGCACCAAAATTTCAATAGTCAATTAGATGTTGATTTGCAGATGAACCAGCTCAGGTATGTAGTCATCAATGCTTGGGGCTGCGAGTTGGTGTTCTTATTATTCTGAATTAGATTTTATCATGTCCCTAAAAGAGCACTGATGTCGTTGCTTACCGCAATAGCCGCAGGATTTTTGCTGCTACTTGTGTCAGAGGGCTATTACATATCTACAAACGTCCTATATACATCTGCAACCCACATTGCAAACCAGACTACCCTCCGAAACCACTCCGAATCGGAGTAAAGATTTGTGTGTGTACTACCGCCACCCCCAAAACATCAACATCGTCGGGTTCACAACCGAACCAGGGCAACCAGACCGTGTGGCCAACTCCCTTGCGTGGGAATGTCTGGGGCAGGAACTGGCAAGGACCCCCTCACTGATGTGAGTTCTTCGATTCTTTCATGCAGTGCTCGATCATTCTGTAAGATCCGAGCGATTGCATATCCTGCAGGCCTCGAGGCGTGGTCGTCGATGTGTCAACTGCATGATTCAAGTGTCGAGCCAACGGTGCCTGCACCTGGTCGTCTTTCACAGCACGGGCGCTACACCCCTCCGCGAGACACCCAGATTATTCCAAATGTCCCGATCGCCTTCAATCGGTCCATTCCAGTGCCTTTTGCCCCCCGCCTTAATGGAAGGTAATTCAATTGAAGGGGGGTGGTTGACTCCCCAAAGAAGCGGTGTAGGTCCTCGAGGTAGCCATGGTAGCATCGACTACGGATGCTAGGGTACCAGGTACGACTACGGATGCTAGGGTACCAGGTACCTGACGCCCTCAGGTACGGTTGACTCGGGTACCGCGTGAGTTCTTACAGGGACTGGGAATGACACGAAGCAATGGAGGTTGAACACGAGGGGGCTTATCCAGTGGCCAAAGGGTGTTACAGGTGGACCAGGGTGGGAGGATGTTCCACCAGGCGCCTACAGTATGTACGCCTAGACCAGGAAGACGAGGAGGCCCTCTCTCCATTGATCGCTGTCTAAGGGCCAGGAACGGGATAGGAACCCAACTCCCAGACCTACGGGGCCCTGGCACATACCGATTGCAGGCAAAGGTGGGACTACGGAGAGTCAGATTGGGTATTGGAGTGAGGACTCATAGCGTAGGACGGAGTACTGGTGACTCAGATGTTATGTACCCAGGTACAAGAGTACACGATGTACACTGGATTGCACCGTACTTTGTGCCTGAATAGCAACAGCACCCAATGAAACATCCGGTGGAGTGCGGAGGTCTTCTCGTTGGCCACGGAGACTGAATTCCTCATTCGTCGTTCTGTCGTCGAGGCTAGCCCGCAACCCGTAATGATGAGGTCTGCCGTTCTAGGAGGACCGTCAGATCTCACGGTGCCAATCATGAGAGGGGGTGGCGGGGAAGAACCATGCAAGCCTGCACGCTCATGGGCAAGATTATGGAGTGGCTTATCGACCATCTTCGACCTAAATGGTCTCTGCGTCGAGAGGACATGTCGGTCGCAGGATTGGGGAATCCTTACGAGGGGAGGGAGGGCAGACGATCAGCGATCAGCAGCCACAGCCGGAGCCCTACGGGAACGGAGAATGTGCCCTGGACGGCTGCCCTGCCCTGCCCTGTCCAGCCCAGTCCTGCATCGCCTGCAGCAGACTAAGACGAAAGAGAGAATGTCGAGGTTCGAGGCCAAACTTTGATGGGAGTGGCCCCAACACCAACGACGGTTCAAGTAGTGGCCGCCAGGGCTTCGTCGTCGGGACACCCGTTTGCTAGGACCCTCAACAGGTGGTCACAGCACGGGCTGTGTCAAGAACATGGGGGACGATGGGCATGGCATGCCAATTCCGGTTGGGGTGTGGCTGGGGAGAATAATTCGGCGATCCTCCAGTGTTGAGTGTCGTATGAGTGGAGCTCTCGCTTTCTCTAAAATTGGAGCGTTGTAACAATCATCATTGTTGCCCTACCATCAAAGCATCAGTACTCATCAATCATCATCATCACGAATGGTATGGGGATAAAAGGGGGATCAAGGAGGAGATGCTGATGGCCACGAGTCATCGTCTTAGCCATAGTTACATAGCATGTACATACTGGACATACTGTACTCCTCCTTGTCCTCTCCCTGCGTACTGCGTACTCAGGCAGAAATACCATACGGCAGCGAGTTCGGCCGGATCTCGTACTAACCCTAAATAGGATTAGCGTTGCATTTGTCGACGACGTCACGGACCAGTGAGTAACCGCCCAGGGGAGCGGCATCTGGGAGTGGGCCGATTAAGCTCCATTACCCGGAGGTGATTGGCCAGGATGTTGCTTCATTGCCACTGGCGGCGTTCGGACGGGTTTGGTTGGTGCGTGACCTTTCGCTAGCGCTGGGAGTCCACTGGAGGGGAGGGTGTGACAATACAGGACAGTATATTTTACACGGTTTGCACCCTTCCCTGGCTGCTGGTCATGAATATCACTGCCTCGAAGTCTCGACACTCACTCTCGAGCCCCCCAGACCATTTCCTCCCATTACCAAACGTGACCATACCGCACCTTCTCAGCCCCAAAACACCCCTCTTTTTTCCCTCGCCTCCCTCCCACAGTCCAACTCCTCTCCTCCAATTCGAACGCTCTTCTTCTCTTCCTCTTCTTCCACTTCGACTTTCCGCTTTCACGTTCATACCAAATCTCCCAACTGCCTACTTTCTCCCCAAACTTGCTTTCTTTATTTCTCCTTTCCTCCTCTTCAATCTTCCATTCTCATCTTTTTTCTCCACTTTCTTCGGGTGCTGGATACTCCCTCGATCATCCATCATGTCTGCGTTCCTCTACACCCACCATCACCAACAGCAACACCACCAACAACACCCTCAGCATGCTGCCCAGATGCATTCCCACAACCACCATGGCCGTACTCGCCGAGGCCCCAAAATGGCCCAGCAGAATGCTCAGCGTCAATTCCGTGGAGTCAAGAGCATGCGGGAACTTGCGGAAGCCCCAGCGGTGACGGCCTTCCGGGCCAGATTCGAAGCCGGTCGCTCCTTTGATCTTGATGATGACTTGGAGTTCTGCCCCAACCTCCTGACCGATGAAGATGTACGTCGAGATTAGCGGAGCCTTTCGCGATCGCTCCCTTCCCGTCTACCCTCTCCTAACCCTCCTGCTGTTGTTCGCTCCCGACGGCGGAATCCCGACCATAACAATCTTCCTTGTCATGGGGGATCGGCGGCGGCCCGGGAGCAACAACAGTAGCAGCAATAACCAAGACAACGACTATTCCCAAGCCAGCTCCGTATTGACAAGAACTTGCAGCTGCACTCCATTCACTCTGCTTCGTCCGATCGCTCCTCGCTCTCCAGCGGGTCGCCCGACACCTCGCCTCTACAGCACCAGATCCAGCCAGTGCAGCAGGTCGCCCCGGCGATCTCCCTTTCTCCCGCCTCGACCAACTCCTTTGTCCACGCCAATGTCGCTGCGAACTCCAATCAAGTCAACTTCCATCAGCCTGCTGCCAACCGGACCCGCAAGGTCATTCCCATCATCAACCCTACCACTGGAATGACCATGACTAGCCCTCCTTCGTCGATTTCACCGGCGATGATGCAGGCTGCTCAGCGTCGATGGTAAAGAGGCCCGATCGAGGTCTTTGGCCGAAAGAACGGGGCTTGCTTGCGAGCCCTTCTTTCCCTTTGCCCTAGCGGCATATGTCTCTGCACGTCACCTGAGTTCAAGTTTTGCATCATCGCGCGGGTCCCTCTAATCGCAGGTCTTAATAACTTCTTACGTTGCATTCTTGTCTGACATGGCTACTTTGCATCCTTTCTTTTTTCCGACACGACCACACCACCATCTTTGGAAATATCCATTTCTTCTACGACACGGCGAAGTCTTATCTTCAAAAAACCCCTTCCAAAAAAACACTCGAAAATCATTCGACGAAAATCCGGCTTTTGTACATATTACACCTCTACGCCGCTGATTACGACCATCTTCGCCTTACATCTAGATCCTTTGCGATTCTTCCAGCTTGTTGCGAGCGACGGCGCCCTTGCGATTTGAAACCCTTTTTGCATCCTTTTCCGTACGATACCTGCGGTCTCTCAGGGAGGGACCTGAAACTTCTATTCTTGGGCCTGTGTTCATTGTTTATTTCGGTTGGGCCCACCGATGATGTATAGAACGTGCAGTGACTTGCTACTCGACGTGCATGTCGCATTGGGAACCTGGAGTTGGTTTTTTTGCCTCTTTACAGGGTTGGGAAAAAGGATGGATCGCTTGCGAGTGACCTTTTACCCCGGCTCGCCCTCTCTCTCTTTACCGTTCACATACGCTGTGACTCATTTCGACGATTTCCTTGCTTCTTGGACTTTCTTGGGGTTTTGTTTTACTCATGGGGCGGGATGGATATCACATTTTTCAAGGATCTAGAGGCGGAAACGATACACGTCTGCATTGCTTGGGCACTGTTGAAATATCTGGGTTTGTTTTTTTTTTTGTTTTTCGTTACACCTTGGTGACTTTCGATTCTCGTTTATCTTTTTATTCACTGTCTCTTTTTTGGCTTGTACATCGGTTTATGGGGATGGGTGATATGTGAATGCTCATCGCTTCCTTGCCACGGGGTGCAGTGGCTGGTTGGGGGGTTTGGATGCGCAGCGAAACCATGGGATGCGGAGTTGTTTTCTGTTTGAAATCGATATCCTGGGGGTCTCTCGCGGAACATGCGATAGACCATATTGCGTTGGAAATGGTTTACCTTTTTTGTCTATGTCTTATATTGATTCTACTCTGGTACTATTTACTTTATCATATCTCCATTCGCTTCTTCTCTTACTCTTGTCTCGTCTATTGAATTTCCATTAAATGGCAGACCACGCCGCATGATGTTTGTTTTGAAGATTGTCGCACTATTATTTCTCTTCAATAACATATCTTTGTGCATATTAATTACTCAATGGCTTTGTTATCATGGCTGAGAGATACGTTTCGACCCAGATTGTGTCCCAGCGTACAACTTTAGAATGCTGTCCGTCATCAAAGCAGGTTGCATCAGGTATATATTGGGATGAATCCATGGCCTCCTGAACTCGTACCCACCTCACCACCTTGTCAACTTGGAAACAGGCGTTTCTAGAAAATCCCCCTAGTTGGAAAAGACAATCTCATTCCCCTGCGTCACTGGCAATGATTGTTGTCGGCTCCATTTATATCTCATGATGTCATTACTCGAACCGGCGGGCTCCAGCACGATCGGGGAGAATGCTGCATCCCCAGATAGCTGACAGCATCGACGGATGAATGCTTTAAAGAGTCACACTATTCACACAACATTGTTGCTAGCAAGCCTGGCATCTAGTCACCTATACTGTAGTCTGTTAACTAAGTAATGAGATCGAATAAAGCCCTCCTTCCTCTCCAACAAGTCATATCCGCTCATCCGGTCGCCCTTAAGTATCACTGACGTCATCGGTAAAGCATTGTTGGGGGGATCACGAATAGAAAGATGGGAATTGCAAGTTACCCAGTGAGTTCTGGGTCCATCTTAAAAGGATTGAACCCCCAGGATAAATGTCTTCTTGGAATTTTGCTGGTCTTGCGGGGAATTCCTCATCTCCAGTTGATTGTTGTCTTGCTTCTCGGCCTTCCCAATTACACTTCTACTGCTTCAACGAGCTAAGAGACGTCTGTCGCTACTCCAACTTCATCTTAAGAGAAATTAAGCTACATATCTCCGTCCCCGCCATGTCCTTCCTCACTTCTGTCCGAGCTGGCTCCCGTCGCGCTCTACCATCGAGCTACGCTCTGCCCTCCATCTCTACCTTCCACACCTCCACGCCGCGATGGACTCTCAAAGAGACCGACAAGAGTAAGTCGCCTCTTTGCTTTTTGCATCCAGTTATCGATCGCAAGGCCGGCAACGTTGTCGAAGAAATACTTGCCACACCAGCAACAACCACAACACCCTGCAGACCCTTGCATCTCACCGAGATATGGCTAACCAAGACGCCATTGAGTAGATCGTGACGACCTCGCGAGCCACTATGAAACCCAGAAAAACCAGCAGTTGAAGAGCCAGAAGGCTGGAACAGCAAAGTGGGACTCTGAACTAGCGAGTGCCAGCGAAGCGGATGTTCGTGTATACTATCCCCAATGGAAAAAGGTCAGGCCTTCAACTAACTCGTCGCTTTTAGGTCAAGGCGGATCGAGGCGAAGTCGATTCCTCGGATAAGGCTTTCCAGGAGTTTCAACAGAAAACCAAACATATTCCAGAGCAAAAGTGAGCGGCTACGTTTCAGTCGTGATGGGAATTTGCATAAGCTTAAAAGCTTGACGGGAGGCTATGTTCTTCACGAAACCGCGCAGTTGTGATTTCCGGGAGTCCATGAATGGATGTTGATATCCCATTCCCAACGAAATTGCCGCCGTTATTTCTCGATTCTACAGATGGAGTTCATTGAGATAATCATGAGGAGAGCTTGAATAATGGCTACAGTAGCCAACTCAAATTGACTTGGAGTCCTAACGCCGAAAATCTCAATCACCGTAAGCCATCAGAAGTAGGTTATAGAAGTGTCCATTCCACAGAGACCTAAAACGCCCGCTCGCAAGTAGCTAAAGCTTCGTCACAAACAAAGAAACCAGATGTACGACCCCAACGTCGCCCTATTTCAAAATAACAATCAAGATGACCAGGATAATGATCAAGCCAATGATGGTCATCATGCTCCAATTGTCACCAGCCTTGCGTCGAAACCGGTCCAGCCGGCGCCGCGCCCCGTCGAGTCGGTTCTGATGACGATCAACATCGCCCTCCATGCCGTCCAGCAGCGCAACGTGGCCCTCGAGCTCGTCTCCAATTTGGATACTCAGCTGATGCTGGCGTCCAATCGACTCTCCTAACTGATCGAGTTGATCGTCCTGTTCACGCATCACTCGATCATGGTGTAGATAGATTTGCTCGTTGGTCATATTGGATTGATCAATACGCGACGGCGACGGCTCATCGCGGTATGGCCGGAAGAGATTCTGGCGATTGCGATCTTCTTCCTCGTCGATTTCTTCCTGGACAGCCGCGGCAGCCGCCGAATTATCCATGAACCGCACCGACTTGGAAGGGGGATGTTGTGGAACGGGTTGTTTGAGATCGGGCGATGTTGCAGACCTGTGGACGGAGTCTGACGCCTGTGTCGGGTCTTGGCTGGAGGGGGCTCCATCTGTGCCGTAAAACTGGGAAGAAAAATCTTGGAGTTGCTCATGGAGGGGGCCAAGCTGGTCCTTCAAGGCGGCAGCGCCTGCGCTGTCATTGGACTCTGCCAGCCGTGCCTGCTCGGCCTCTACGGCTTTGATGCCCGCTTGGAGGGACTCGAGTGACCGGGAGATCTCTCCATCTTGCGCATTAGGTTCGAGGTCAAGGGATATGGCGCGCTGTCGCTCTAGGAGGGAGAGCTTGATATGATCGGCTAGGAGGAAGAGTTGGGATGGGTTCGTCATGGTGGTGTCAGACGGACGGCACCACGGAGGCAAGTCTGTCGTGGAAAGGGCGGGTGATGTAAGTGCCCCCAGAGACGCTGCGGAGAACTGCAAAGCACAGATGATTTCAGAAGAATTGCTGGATCACGGACGATACTGATGGGCGGGGTTGAGACGACAGTCCGGAACTGAGGTCTAGGCAGGAGTGGATGCCAAAGCACAAGGGAACCAACCCGCCGAGCGCGGATCTCCTGCTTACCCGCCCGCCTTTCCGCCTTTGCCTCTGCCCTCCCTTTCCCCTCCGTAACCTGACCTCCTTCATTTCCCCTCCATAGTTCTCTTTTAAAACTGCCCGTGCTGCTGTCAGACTTGCTAGGACCGGTCTTCTCTATTGAATGATCCCTATCAAGTCCTCGCCCTAAGGGGTCCTGCGTACCTTGCGAACGACCTCGGTATCTATATCCCGCATTACAATTATCCGCCGCATTCACAAGCTGACACCGAGACTTCGGAGCAGCAACGAAACTGCAATAAAACGCGGCCAAAGACCCTCTGATTCCTTTGCATGGGCCTTTCCCAAGGCTTGTAATTTTGCGCACCATGGATATTCAAGACTTCCTGGCGATGGAGGCCAACTCCGACCGCGACGACTTGGTCGACCTCCGCGCCCTTGATTTCGTCTCCAGCTACGATTCACACCTAATGTGTCCGATCTGCCACTGCCCCTTCGTGCAACCCGTGCGACTACAATGCGACCATGTTTTTTGCCAAAAGTGCCTAGGATCGGCCATCACCACTTTCCGCTCGGCCGACTCGGACGAGTTCCCGTGTCCCTCTTGCCGGACCCCCACCACCCGAATATCGACCAGGGTGCCCCGCCTATTGGTCAACATGTGCGATGAGATACAGGTACGGTGTCCTTTGGTCGGGGAAGGCTGCAACGAGATTGTCCCGCGAGGCCATGTCCAGTCGCATGTGGAGAAATACTGCGGTTATCGGCTTCTGCCGTGCCCGGATGAATCGTGCGGAAAAAGACCCGGAAAAAGGATCTCCAGCCGGAAGAACGCTGTATGCATAGCTATTGCCGGTGCGAGCGCTGCAACGAGGATGTGATGGAGCAGGACTTTGCCGAACATGACAAGGAACTCTGTCCCAGTCTAGAGGCGACTTGCGATGATTGTGGAAGTATCGTTCCACGGCGGTCGCTGAAGAAACATGTCGAGACCTGCCCGGATGTTGTGAGCGCTTGCGCGGCGTCTCAGTATGGGTGTTCGGTCAAGGTCCGACGTGCAGATATTGCGGCGCATGAACAGCAGTGTCCGCTGGTCTCAATAGGGCCGTATCTGGAGGCGCAAAATACGCGACTTAACTCCCTCGAGTTGACTATGCGACATCTCCAACAACGCAATGAGATATTCGAAGACGGAATGGCCAATATACGATCCACACTTCTCGAATCTGCACGAGTGAGCGACGCCGATCGCAACGGCGGAAGATCTGCCCCTAATGGCGATAGAGACGGGCAAGCTCTCATCGATGCAGAGGACCCTGCAGACCCTGCGAATTCATTCTCATCCCACACCACGCAATACCTGCTCTCGCTCCATGAATCTCTCCGCGAAGAGGTCAGCCAAATGTCACACGCTCTTACAGACCTCGACGCTCGCGCCAGCATGACCATCATGAACGAGTGTCTCCGCATCAAGGAAGACATGGCCCACACCAACGCCGCTCTCAACAGTGTCCGCATGCAGGTACAATGGCTCATGAATCCCCGACTCCACAACGGGACTCGCGCAAATGGCATGCGCACCAACTCAGCTAGTAACGAGTCTACCCGGACGCAATTGACCTCCACGTCTGCGCCGGGTCCTAGCAGCGGCACCGGTGTATCGCTTGGGCCTCTTCGGCCCAGAAGGCCTAGTGATAGCGGGCGCGAGGGAACTAAGCTATGAGAATGGGACGGAATCGAATATGTATTTTTGAGCGTTGCATTTCTCTGGGATCGTGGAGAGGGAGTCTTGGGATGATCTTATATCTTTTTTGTCTGATTTCATGACTGATGACTGGGCTGGTCTGCCTCTCGATGTATTGGGGCAGAAGGTACCCTGGTCCGGTGAGTTTTCATACGGATGGTAACGATTTATTATATTACAATTACCTTCGACCCATCCTGAGCTTGTTTTCATAGACTTTGTTATTCATTACATCTCATACAGCTATCCCCAATTCCCTGGCCAGCATTGAGTCAGCCCGTAAACGAGACGATGCTGTTACCGTTCTCTGCCTGCCAATCTCCGACGATTCAGTTCACGCACCCGTCTTCGTCGGAGCTGGCGCTGTCTGGTTCGGCTATTATTAGAGATCTGCCTGTAAAGGTTCGGAAGAATCGCTGCATGGCCTTGTTCTAAGTGATGAACCCATAGACAGGCCTGTGCCTCTTGGACCATAAAATCGCGAGCTGGGGTCGAGCACACGTAAACCCAAAGATCTCCGGAGTCCGGTTTGACCTGAACTGCATAGACCCGCGGCGCAACTGCTGCCAGCGAAGGGTGCCCACTTTTTTCTGGCGCGAATCTGATGCTCTCCACAATAGGCGTGACATCGTCGAATCCCCAGCCATTGTATGCAGGGCTGGGGTCATTCCAATGTATCCGAAACGTGAATGGAAGTTCGTGGGCTCGGTTCAGTACTCTCTTTCGCGGAGGGCGAGCTCCCCTGTCAATATAAGGGGAATGTTCATCATCTACGAGGTCCAGAAGCCAAGCCCCGAGTTGACGATGAGATTGCTTCGGTCAAGCGCTGAATCGAGGAACACATCGATCTCCTGCTGATTCAGCCGGGGCCTGATTTCCTCTATTGAGACATTGTTTGGGAGTATCTCACTGGAAATGCGATTTCTGATACTTTCGGGTGATTGACCCAGCCAGGGAAAGCGTGGCTCCCAGCGAACACGAATCATACATTGGAACGGATACGACCCTTCGTCGCAGCTTGCTATCTTTGATTCCCATGCCGATAGATCTGGCGGCCAGAGCTCAGTTGGTTCGACGGGGTCCGTTTCTTGAACATGATGAGTTATCCATCTTTTAATGCCTTGTGGTCGATCTGAGAAGTCTGATGCAGTGTCCACAGAAGAATCGTCTTCGTCGTCGCCATCATCGCAATCGTCCTGTTGCTGTGTATCTGCAATCTCTTGATCCCCCGACTGACTGTTAGACCACCGGCTTTGTGTCCTCTCGATCATCATATTCGGTATTGGAAGACTCGCTGTCATGGTCTTCACTCTCCGAAGAGTCACTTTCGGGAAATTCCTCGGGGTCCAGGTCGTCCGCGCTATTTTCAGTTTGGCCACTGGGGTGTTGCACAGCCGGGAGTGCTTCAGCAGAATGTTGTCTGGCCTCCTCTTCTGGTTCAGTCTCGGAAGGTTCGCTTTCACTCCTTTCGCTTCTTGGACTGTCGCTGCCGGAGGACTCGTCTTGATCGACGTCTTCGCCATCACTGCCCTCGGTTTCATACCCTGGAGAATGTAAAGATAAAGAAAGTTTCGGATTTGCTTAATCTTGATTTCTAGTTGAGGGGCTGACATCATCTTCGGAATCATCGATGCAGATAATCTCTGGAGGAGCACGCTGGCATGTTTCCTCGGGGTGTTCATTATTGTGTGGTTCTCGGGGCTCCAACCCCACGAAGTACCAGTGGATGATGATAAAGTAGCTTCGCGATTTGCAACGATATGTTGAGTGAGCCACCGCATCACATTTTCTGTCTGACTAGCCAGGGATCTACGTAGGCCGAGTCGACTGTCGCATCAGGGCATTGATCTGCATAACGAACGACATCCTGGCACAGTGAACGGTGTTTCAGAATGGGGTTTTCCACACAACCATCTGTTACTATATCAACGTGGATCACTGGCCACAGAGGTGACATGGTGGGCGATGGCTCGGTGATATTTCTTTTGTCTAGACGGAGGCTCCAATCAGCGGACGGTAGGTACTGTGGCCAGGGGCTGTATGTCAACTCAATCGGAGAGGACCTGAAGGCGCGCTAACCCAAATAGGGATATCACTGATCTATAAAACCTTGTCTCTCACGATCTTTGGATATGTAACAACTGGCATTAAATGCCAATGTTTGATGGTAGCAACATGCTTTGACTTAGGTTCCATTGAACAGGTGAATATTCTCCAATGTAATTATATCTTACAAAGCTCTGCCTGCCCTTGACATCATCATATTGGTCCCCCGATACACGGAACCAAATCACTTCCTGTATACTTTATCATTCGTATAGATCTCCTACACTCTGATCAGAGCCGAACATTGCAAGAACCTGTTTCATCAACACCAACTCGATTCCAAAGGCGTCAGTGAAATGCTATCAAACACCACCTGCCCACTCGCTTCGATTTTAATATCCTGCGACTCCTGGTACCGTGGGTAGACGCGCATACTAGTAACAACGCCATCAGATGAGAATATCTCGAGCGTGCTGTGGTCGAGGAAGATGTCCAGCGACAGCTTCCCGTCACTTCCCGGCGCCACAATGGGCTGCCACTGTCCTGTCTGGCCGTAGCCGGCGTTGGAGGTGTCAAGGGTGAGAAGTCTCGCGGCGAAGTTGTACGAGACGAGAACAGATTCTGCGGACGAGGCAAATAGATGGATTGAAAAAGAGGTTGCGGTCGAGGAGGCAGTATCGATGGTGAGCCGCAGACGAGCGGTGGTGGTTTGGCCCAGGACAACGGCGGTGTTGCCAATCTTCTTCTGAGTCCAGACTTTGGCGCTGGCGGGCTGTTCGAGGCTGACCAGTTCAGGGATTGGACGACTTCCCAGTCCACCGTCCGGACGGATGAAGAGCTCGCGAGTAATGGACTGCTGGCCAGCCCAGCCGTTCAAGCGACTCGGCCACTTGGAAGTCGGCCAGTTGCCCAGCCATGTAATGGCGAGGTTACGGCCGGAGGCATCCTTATACCATTGCATGGCGTAGCTGTCTGGACCGGCGTCAAGTAGGCCACTCGTCTCGCTGATGAACGAGGTGCCATTGTAGCTGCCAACTTCGAACCAGCCCAGACTGCGGCCCCCATAGAACAGTACCCATTTGTCACCCAGCGGGAAGAAGTTCGGACACTCGAACATCGAGCCCGTAGAACCATCGCCCTCGAACAGTACACCGACGTATGTCCACGACACCAGGTCCGTCGAGCGGTAAAGATGCACCTTTCCCTGGCTGCCTTCTCCAGAACCTACCACCATTTTCCAGCTATTGTCAGTTGGGTCCTGGAAGACCTTTGGGTCACGGAAACCATTGCTGGAGCCTGCAGGAACGGTGCCGATGACCGGGTTCTGCGAATAGAGTAAAAAAGAAGTTCCATCACTGCTTGTTGCCGCCGAGACGACCTGTTCCGTGCTACCAGGGTGCAGCGCAAGGTCGGTGAAATCCGTGAAGAGGATATGAAGCTGGTTCTGGGCGTCTTTGACGGCGCTACCAGTCCAGCGGCCACTGGTATCCTGAGGATTGTCTGGATACGGCGGATACAGCGCCACAGGACGCTCGGCCCAGTGCACAGCGTCCGAGCTGGTAGCATGGGCCCAGTGCATGGGGCCCCAGAGGGGAGCGTCTGGGTAGAACTGGCTGAAGAGGTGATGCTGGCCGTTCCACTGGATCAGACCGGCAGGGTCATTGATCCAGCCCTGGTAGGGGGAGTAATGGTACTGGGGACGAACTGGATCAGCAGCATAAAGGGTGCAGGAGGATGAGCTGCCAGCAGCGGGCTGATTGGCCTCTCCAAACACCGTAAAGGTGAGGCCATTATCGTCCTGGAGGGCTTTGCATCCTGTGCGGACATCGTCAATGTTGATGTGGGCCCACGACGAGCCGCTGTTGTTGTCGTACACGAGCAAATGCACATCTTGGCCGGCCCAAGCTGATGTGTCCCAGATGACCCGAACGAGGGCTTCATCGTTCATGCCGGTTTGGCTCTTGAGTAGAGTCCCATCACTGTCGCGCACTAGGCCGACATAAAGATTGACGGGGTCATAGCCACCACCAATGAGGAAGCTGAGATACGAGCTCGCTAGAAAGGAGTCTGACCGAAGCTGCCCAATGGCTGGGTCCCCAGAGGCGACGAAGCTATCGACGAAGTACTTCCCCTTCTGGTTGAAGGAGCCTCCCCAGTACGAGGTCTGAGCAGTAACAGATCCATTGCCAAAGGCCGTGCCGCTCAAGACATGCCATCCAGTGAGATCGCCCGTCTCGAAGCTGGGATTGCTAGGCCCTGGGTATTGAGCCAGCTTGCATTTAGAGAGGTGGGAAATCGGCTTCCCCCACACGCCTTGTAGGTCAAGAAATATTGATAAGGCAGGAAGGAGATGCAATAGAGAAGGCAAAGCTGTGAACCTCATCTTGCTGATTTCTGCTCTCTAGCAATAGATGAAACAGTACATCCGTGTCTGTGCATCAGAAATGCTCTTACTCGCCTTTTATACTTCAAATTTTCCTCTGGTCTACAGACCATTATTCGATGAACTGCATTGGACACGGCACCGTTGACTCCGCATTGACTGCCATTGCTCAATGTGGGGTAAGCAGTGTATGCCGCGCTTTGGCTTTTAAACTTCACTACAGTAAAGTCTGGGGGATAGAGGCATGGAATCCACCACAATAATCCCGTCGCGCTCTGGATTTCGAGCCTGATAGTTTAGCTATTACCACCCAACGAAATCACTTTGTGCGGACCCACTCCTCCAAAACTCTGAAAAACAGTGCGCGGGGTCAAATTTCAGAACCAAGAATGAGCATATTAAAAAATTCAGAGAGAAACTCATGTGGGAGCTGGAGCGTGCATGCACCTCTGCGGCCATTGACAAAGATCACGCCGGAGCAATCTCATCCGTGCCTGCTGCAGGACAGTTAAGGGAGCAATCTGCAGGTGCGCAAACCTCCTCGAAGCAACAGGGATGTGTAATTGAACGGAATCATAGATCCAGATCGAGCTAGAGGTATTTCTTCCACCGGACAGATGGTGCCCAATTTGGTGCTGCGGCATTATTGGGATTGGATATCGCTAGCCAACAAGACGTCGACTGAGGCCGCACAAAACAGCCGAGGAAGGATGATGTGGTGCTTGGGCCACTGGCCGAAATTCTCTCGAATCGAAAGGGAGATTCTACAGTCGGTCCGGCAGGGGCCTCAAAAGTTAATACAAAGCCGGACCGGAAAGTTATCGGTCGGGGAATCCTCGGCGACTTCACGCCGACTATACGGGACTAGGCAAGGGTCCATATTGTTAGCGGTTAGGCGCATGTCTTGGTGCTCCATCCTTGGGGTTCACCCCCCTACGAACCTCGTAGGCTCGTAGCTCGTTGTGGCCTCTTTTAATCTTGAGTTAGGTCCCCGTTTCGGGCTACCACGGGAGTATAGTGCGTCGAGAAAAATATCCCCAACGGGTGAGTATCGTACCCGAAACTGGGGAAAGAAAAGAGAACGAAAAAAGGCATTTACTGGGGTCCTCCATCAAGGAAACCTTTTTGTACGAGGTGCAGATCGGGGAGAGTTAAAATGGGCGTGATGTGGATACTCTGCTGCAACTTCGAGCGCCCTAGAGAAGTACAGAACCACAGGCACTATTATTGGTTCTACCTTGTGGTGAACTGAGTTCCTCAGTATATGGGCGAGTCTTCCGTCTCCAGCTCCTAGAGGGTCTGTAGAAGTCTGTGCGCCAATTCCAGAACAAGCAAATGCAACATTACCATCAATGGGGGCGTAAATTGTTGCATGAGAAATCCAGGATCTGTAGCGGTACGCAAGGATGATACTTGACTGCTGGGAGAGTACAGGATGACAATGCGGTAGCCATCCGGGTGTGCCAGATTATTAACGTTCGTAGCGATCAAGGATTGAGATAGCATTCGGTTAGATCGGTATGAAAATTCTGGAGGTTCGAGAAGGGCCAACATCGAAACAACAAACCGCCCAGCGGACATGAATAGCACCCTGTCTCTACCACCACTGAACAGGCTTCACTTCACGGAAGCTAGGAAATGGTGGCGTGACGCTTGATTGCAGCCATTCCTAAACGATTCAACTGGGCTATAAACTCCGTCACAAAGTATATCTCATCTGGAGTCCCAAGCTCTGGATGGCTGGTCGCAGCGACATTGATGGATTCCATGGTCTGCTGTATTAATCGAACATCGCTTATGCACTCCGATGCACATGGATCGGCGATCACATTGCTGAAAAGCGTCAGTATCGACATCAATATATAGAATAGATGAAACCTAGAATAAAAGGTGAATACGGCATTAGTTTCAGGGAATTCAAATCTTTTGGAATTCATTCTAAGGGGGTCAGGGGTGCTGCAACAAGACCCAGCTCGTGGCTTACCAAAATGTGTCACGACCAAAGCCAGAGTCCATTGTGTTGATTGTTTCCAACAATGAACGGCTCTCGTTCACAGCAACCTGAAGGCTTGAGTTGATTCCCGCCATGGACATATTCTGCCCATTGATCGACAGTCTGCATCTATTGACGGCTTGGTGGATTGCAATCACACAATAGTGATGCTGTATTCGCAGCGCCTCGAATCGAACATGTAGATAGCGTTTTGACTCAGCTCCCAAGGAATGAATATGTTGTCGAGCGGCAGAACTTGAATCCATCCAAAGATGTAAATCGGCATCAAGTTGCCGAATCGACATCAGCAGCTCCGTCTCTGACTTTCTTTGTGCCTTGACCGAATACAGCTCTCTATATATTCGAGACTGAAGAATACTGAGTGGAAGATGAGTTGGGAAGAAAGAGATAAGCCCCAAATCTTTGGGTCCGTCGTCCCAGGGGGTTGAGATGTCGGGGAGATCAAGGTCACATTCATCGTCTGGGAGAATTGGAGAACGCCCAGTCCGCAGGCATAACTCCTTGTCAAAAACATAGGCGATCCAGAACAATTTTCGCACGTGATATTTGAATTGATTCCTTTCTTGTGGTGGATGAGGTGGGCTCCGGTGACCTCCAAGCATGAAAATAGATCTTGCAGTAGATGCAAGCAGTGTCTCTGTTGAGTACATGTCGCCATAAAGTGTTATATAGTACAAAATCTATAGAGAGTTCATCAGCGTGAAAGACTTCTTAGATAAGGACAATCCAGCACGGCATAGTCGGGGAAAACATATGCAGAACCGAGTGGTACCTACCAATATCAGCCTTGTTTGTACACTATCCAATGTGGGTGGACCTTGCAAGACGTCGAACAAGAGACTCTGAGCTTCATATGCATACCGACTTACGTCACTGCTAGAAGACAACTTAATGTGATCTAGAAAAGACGATATAAAGGTCATGACTGCAAAAATGCAAGCCTTTGCGCCTGCTCGTTGTGGGGAGTACCAAGTGAGATCACCGTCGTAAGCTGCCTGTATCGTATAGAGAAAAAGCTCCTCGTCGATAACAGGAAGCCATCGAGACAAGGAAGAACGACAGAACGCTTGAACATGTTGGAGGACAATTTGCTTATCTGGGAGATTTATGTGGCCATTTTGAGCGAAATGCTGCCTCGTGCCCTCAAGATCGAGCACCTTTCGTCGTCTCCAAGGCGGCCAAGAAAGAACATATGAATCAAAATCAACGTTTTCTCCTGTGCAATTCTGGATCACTCGTCGCCCTTCTTTAGAGAAAAGTGGAAATACACTTAGAGAATGTATATCACTGATGTTTTCGTAGCTCAGTGGGAAGTCTTCTGAGGATATGCTGATTGGTAATCGAGGCAAAGTTCTTGTATCTGATGGCAAGGTGTTTCGTGATGGAGCCGAAAAGAACATTCCATCTTTGCTGTTGCCAGGAGAGTTTGTCTGTGTAGAGTTCAGGCCATTTTGGATTCCTCCGCCTCCTTGGCCTCTATTTACTCCATCAGCTCTATTAGCACTATGTATAAAATGGAGACATCGACTGGATTCTAACTTGCCTCGGTGCCTCGTTCAGATATTGCATGGCAGCCATGACACGAGCATTTCGACGAAAAGTGCATTGAAATTTGTGAATGGAGCACCATTCGCAAGGGATCTCTGACCCTTCACATTTGATCTATCCTTATGCGTCAACAAGGTCCATGGAAATGGGAGAAACTACTAACTTACTTTCCGTCTTGCACATGAATCACATGCAAATGCTCGCTTTGCGCCGTCATGGTATGCATAAGATTCCGACATATGGACAAATTGAGTACCCCACGGTATATGAACAAGGTAAATGGCTGTTACCGACAATAATCAGAGCAGTTTGCAGCTCTCGCTTTGCGATGGAGAAAAAGAGTGGCAGGGGCTAACCTTTATGATTGGCCAATCGGGCGCCAGCTAGGTTACTTCTTACCCGCCTTCATCCGTTCTCACCTCCATCACCCAGCCTCCAGACTTCATACATTTACCAGCCACTGGATACATGCGATATAATGCCAAATAAAATATTATACAATATTATCTGTAGTTCTTAAACTAGCCAAGTGTCACTTCTACAATATCAAGCAATAGATCCACCAAAGCTCTTTCCTTCGTCCTTTGGCCATCTTCGAGCTATGCCAAGACCATGAATCCAAAGGGCTTCTAGAGGACTTCTTGTCTCGCCCGATTGAACAGGTGTCAGGAGTCTCAATTTGGCAGTGAGAAGTGACATGGACAATCTTCGGACACAGCAGACCACTGCCTCGAATATGACACGGTTCTACCACGAGCGTGCGTCCATCGATAGACTGCATTCGCAATCTTTTGGAGATAGCTGAAATGCAGGGTGCAGTAGCTGCCTGCCTCAATCGGTCAGAAAGAGGGAATCTTCTTTGAAGTTCATCCCCATTCAAGCAGTTGGTCACTTTTCTAGAGCTATCTCCTCCCTCAATGGGCCCTTCCACGGATGGGCAACATGGCTCTGCGGACATATCGATGGCAAACGGTCTTGATTCGCCGAGGAAGTACAGCGACAGACGCTCGCCGGCTGAGGCTACCTTGTGCAACTTGCACTCCAGCCCCATCAAGGCTGGCCTTTGGCTCTATCGCTAGAGCCACGGGTGCGACATGGGTCGTTCCGGGTGCTGAGGATCCGCTTTCAGTCGCAGTCTGCGGAGGTGACAATGGATCACGGTTCGAATCTGGCCGTATTGTGGTTGCTTCACTTTGAGAATCGTCCGTTGCAGGTGGAGTCTGTTGCAATGGGAATTTTGTGCGAGTCTGCACGCGCGCCAGCGGCACGGGATCTGCCTCCTCAAATTTCGCCGAGATTCGCTGAAGAGCAGCCGTGATGCGATCATGGGTGGCTTGTTCCTCTGGAGACATGATCGGGGGTGTGAACGTGGCGTCCTCGGTTCTGTTGTCTGCACTATTCGATGTTGCAAGATTGATCGGTGGTGATTGATTCATTTCCGGTAGATCGTCCTCTGGGACTTCTTGAATAGTCCTCACTCTTTGCGTTCGTCGCATGCCTCTGATATCTTCTTCTTCCGACTCAGAATCCTCGTTGTATTCATAGTATTCGTCGTCTGTGTCCTCTTCAGAGTATTCACTCCAGTCGGAGTCGTCCGAGTCATCTTCGAGATCACCGCTGAAGAAGTTCTCGATATCTTTTCTGACGGTATCTTCAATTTGTTTTTCGACAGAAACCTCGGCTAATGCGACTGCCTCAGTATGACCGGAAGGTAGTAATTGCTGCCTCAGACGATACTCCTTGGCCTTGCTCTGAAGCGACGCAGTTGCTGCGTCCTGGTCCAGATACCGGTTCGCCATTTTCTGCATATGCAAGCTGCGCACTGCTCTGTAGGCCTGTGAGACAAGGTCCATCACGTACGTCGCCGAGGCGGCTTCGTCTGGATACATCGAGGCATAATCGTAGACTTTCACGCAGTGTAATTCAAATGTTTGCGCAAATTGGAAGACATCTTTGAATTCGCTACTTTCAAATGAGGGCTCTGGCCATTGAGACTCCATGATTATGGGTTGTGGAAAAGGTGATTGTAGGAGGATAAACTCAGAGACGCGTGAGGTACGGCTTTTTGACGCGTGAAGCTCGGCAAGGGGCCATTTCCGCGTCAACCATAAGTTATGCAGGCACGAAGAATCTTATTTGTAGCGCTAGCCCAATTGAATTGCGGGCCTGGATCAAGCAAAGGACAAAGTCACTGAGTCTTAAAAACAAAACAAAAACATCGGACGAAAATACTGGACGGATTTTACCTCTCGCCCAACTGCTGAAACCCCGACCATAAATAAAATTCAGGAACCAAAAAGAAAGGATCTCAGGTTATTTGTAAGAATAGCCGAACGCGGGGGTCGAACCCGCAACCTTGAGATTAAGAGTCTCACGCTCTACCGATTGAGCTAGCCCGGCAGGGCTGGTTGTAGAGCCTCAAGAATTATGGATCCATGAAGGAAAACTAAACTCCAAGTCTGCCAAACGATACACTTTGGGGGTCCTGAAGACATTGTACGAGGCTGGGCGAATTCAAACCACAAAATGTGATGCACACCATATTAACCCGGCATTACCTACGCTATTTACCATGGTCGAGAATCAATTCGGGGCAAACCATACTTCGAAAGCACATTGAAAGTCGTTGGACTACTTGGCCTTTCTCTCGCTTGAGTTGCCCGGGAAAGCTTGGGCACCGATGCAATGTTGTTTTTTCAAACCTGAGATTTTGCAACCAACCTTGAAGTGGTGCCACACATTCTGGCTCCAACGGGACCAATTGGAGGATTTGTGACGGGCCGCTCCATTACCTACTTTGAAGAGGTGAGATGTGCCCGGGGCCGACGTTCGATGGGAATATATATTGCGTCCCTTGCGCGGGCAGCGCAAGCCCAGGGAAACCTTCGACGGTAGTCCACCCAAACCTGTAACCACCGCTACTGAATAAGTCGTATGCCCGTCTCTAGTACCTTACATCTATGGTGGTACCTAACCGTGCTATGGGATTTGTAATATCGGGCCACAGGTTGGTGCAATAAGTGTCATATTTCATCGTAGTAGTTCTACATCTACAATTTGTCTAGTCTTTACCATCTGGAAACATAGCCAGCCTGGCAATCTGTTCCAGCCCCCTTGCGCGCTGATGTGGGACGGAGATAAAACACTGCCAGACTTCATCAAATATTTCATATCCTCATGAACCGTGTACACCGTAAGACCGCTCCCATCCCAATAATCTCTGGACACGCCGACGTGCAGGGCCTCTTAATAACCGTATCCACCCTGGTCGTGCCCATGCTGACCATGATCCTGCGATTGCTGTTGATACGGCGCATTATCTTGTGTCTATCCAGACCCAGCCGGGTCGTCATCGAGCTCTCTCCTCGAACCATGCGACAAACCACCAGGAATGAAATTAGAGATGGTGCTTTCAAGCTTGTTCAGATTCGACATGCCGGGGATAGGCAACTTGGAAATTTTATCCCAAGGCAGGCCAGAGGAACTTTGCCCGTGCGCGCCCGACGGCTGCTGGTGCTGAGACTGCGATTGCGAGAAGAATGATTGAATGCCACCCACTGAGAAGCCGTGGCCCTGACTCTGGCCGTGTGTTTGACCATGAGCTGCGCCGCCCAGAGCAGCGAATCCGCCCTGGCCACCGCCGTGAGTGTGAGGGACGCCACCAGTGTTGCGGCCGGTTCGGACACCCTCAGAGCTAAGGATGTCGTTGAGGTGTGCGCCCCGATCTTCGCGGGAGTGAACCCAGTTGCCGACAGTCTCAAACATGGTTCGGTGAGCCTCATTGTGCATATCTCGAACTACGGGATGGTGGAAGATGCGTACGCAATCCTCCAAAACCTCGTGCTCGGGGACGTCGACGTGCTGCCAGGCATACAGGACGCGAGGAGCAACGTACTTCAGAATGACAGAAGCGACCTGTCCGGCGGGCTCGTTCAAGATGTTGGCAAAGTGGTCCTTTGAGAGAAGCGAGTGAGTGGGATCGGTGCAGTGGGGATCGGTCCATGGCTCGTATTGATGTTTGCCAGAGGCACTAATCACACCGGATGACCCGGTCTGGAGAGACTTGGAGGCGGCGTTGATAAGAGGGCGGATGAATGGCGCAAGCAGCGACATGATGAACACTGTGAGTGTTTCGGTGATTTTATCAATGATTGCCTCCAAGCCCGGGATTTTCTCGATGATCGCGTTCAGCTTTCGCACGACCTTGTCACGGAAGGCTAGGATAGGGTAGATCTTGGACACGGTCTCCTGAGGGTTGAAATCAGGCATGCCCGGAAGACCAGGACCCGGTGCAGCGCCGCCAGTGGTAGGTTGACTTGGGTCAGGTGCGCGACTTTGCTGGATATCGCCCGTCTGTACGTACCCCATATGAGATCCGCGAGAGCGATTAGTCCTCTCCTGGGCCTCGGACTGCTGTTTGAGATGCTCAGCCTCCACGACCAGGTCTCGCGTACCAGGAATCTTGCCCAGAAGACTGGTAAGAGAGTTAAGAGAATTGCTGGCCTGGGCGTTGTTCTCCGCATCGCCAAGCGCCAGGTCCATCTCATTGACCTCGGACTGGGTGAAATGATCTGTGGCTTCACCGAGGACCGAGTGGAAGAAATCGACCATACCAAAAGTCCCTGTCACCAAGGGGAAGACGTTATGTCCACGGACATTGCACTGAGTGGCCGTACCCGTGTGGGGGAAAACATTGTGGAAACCCATCTCCCGCAAGGCAAGCTCAATGTAATTAGAGTGAGCCGCAAAATCCTCGAGAGTATGAAGACCCTGTCCCAGGCATCGAAGTGCCTCACACAGATCCTCTTCCTTGCCCTTGTGCTCGCCGCCATGAGTGTACATGCGTCCGTAATGGATGCTGCGGCTGAGACTGAACTTGACAAAGGCAGAACTAGTCGCCCAGTCGCCACGCTCGTTCGCAATGTAGTTTTTCATTCCAGTCTCCGGATCAATATCAAGCTCGACTTGACGAACTGGGCCTCGCAGGCGCTGGTCGAACTGGCGCGCATCTTCGTTGTCGGCGTAATCTTTCGGGTTACTGGGGGAGAGAGACATTAGCAGAGAAAAAGCATACCAGGGCAAGTATAGAACGAACTCAATATGCTCCTCTGGACGGTAAACACCCAATCGCTCGGCGGTAACCTCAAATTCACCCGTCGCGTACCCAAACGTCAGGAACGAGAGGACCCACACCAGGATGCGGATCGTATCGGCTTGGAGAGTTTTCAGGGTCCCGACATCCATTGCCTGCGAACTGGTGGGACTCTGTTAGCCGCGGAGACCTGCCTGTGCGTTGGAAGTATATTGGGAGGAAAGCTCACTAATCGCGCAGCCAATTTCCAAAGTATACACGCTTGATCATGGTGGAGGTCCATTTGTGGCCGGCGATGAACGTGATCGTCTTCAGCATGTCCTCGATATCGCCATGGCGCCAGTTTATGCCCTCGATGGCTGAAATCGAAGCGATATCTGAAACGGGTTAGAAAAGCCCGTAATCTGATAAAGAGCCCGACTTACTGCCTGCTCCGAATGCATGGACCTGGGGAAGTAGCACCAGCAGCAAGCACACGAGCAGCGCGGGGGAGCCCGCGCGGAGGAAGGGCATGGTGGGGGAACACAGATTAAGGGAGTATGTGTAGAAGGAAGAAGAAGAAGAAGAACAACAAGGAGGAATAGCAGTGTTTTCGAGTGAAGGGTCCAGCCACGAACCCGAAAGTAGAGAAAAGAAGCAAAAAAAGTTGGGCTGAGCCCAAACTGTCAGCCCCTAAGCTCTTGGCAGAGCTAAGTCTGCGATCGGGATGACGGGGCGATTCGCGGCGGTGCCAAGGGCGATGCCCAAAGCTTTCCCGGTGGACCTAGGGTTTGAGGGCGACATGTGGCAGTCGTCATTCCACTATTTTCACTAAAGGTCTGGTCTATAAAATATGAATGTATTATGACGGAGAGGTAGCCATAATAGCTTTGTTTATTCCCGTCTGTTATATTGTTTACATTGATTCACCTGGTCCAGAAGGTAGCTCTGGAGGCCCCTTGACCTCTGATCACCACGTGGTCGCGGTGCGAATTGGCAGAAACCCTGGAGGGTTAAACCATCCTTGGAAAAAGGACGACCCTATTACCTCAGAGGCTCAGCCATCCCTTCTCCAAACAACGATCTTGACAGGCAGGATAATGCATACCTCCGGAATTTCTACTCCAACTTCTGTGGCAGGTTTGAAAACCTCTGCTCTGCCTCCAGTAAGTATAGGCGAACTCCCTCTTGTGTTGGGTCATGTCGCCAAGGATTTGCCAGTTTACCGATCACCCTGGCTGGACCTCGAATCCACCAAGTCCTGACTATCAGGAAGAATGGATAGGTGCAGAGTCCGAAGGCCAAATCATTGCGCGATTCTATGGTCTCCAGCCAGGACAACCAGTGATGGAGGATAATAACGAGTGGCACACAATCTTCCTGTCTGGCGACAAGTTCTGTCTTTGGGGGCGATTAAACGACGAAGTGGAAGAATTTTTGTCTCAAGATATTCGTGAGATCGTATCGTCAATGTCACGGTCTGGGCTTAGGGAGCTCGCCAGAAAGCCTCTTATTTAACTCTTCCTTCTGCAGGGAATAAGCTACTCAGAATGCGGAGGGTAAACATCTTTGCTTGAGAGACAGGACATATCACTTCAGTAGACTAAACGACACTCATGGTCATAACATCTGAGTCATCGATAGGTGACAAGTTGTTGATGTAAGTTAACGAGTTAACAAGGATTAATTATTGGACTTTGCAACAACTTACCTGTCCCCTCCTGGAGGCAGGTAACTATCTCTACTTTATTACCTAAGCCTACTACTACTAACTAACTAACTAACTACAGTAGTTAGGGAGGGAATCGAGGTAGCGTGTGAAGTACTGTTCAGGACGAAACATGATTCTGCCTGCGAATATTTCAGCACTATCTCACCGATCACGTGCAGAGCCCACGATATACCAATGAATAAGCGATTCAGGGGGCAATTAAATTGTTCGACTACCGGAAAATATCGTGTCACTCGATAATTTCAAGAATATCTCTGGATGAATCTATTTGCTTCTGATGATTCCAATCCACAGAGATAAAGGGTCAAAGACCCAATTTAACCGAGTGGTAGTGGTTCATTGGCGGGCGGAAACGACTTTGTGAGGACCTTGTGGGCGGCGGGTGAGTACCTTGTGAGCAACACTCCTAATTCTCGACCAATGACTGGGAATGATTTGATTCCAGTGCCTTACGAGGCAAAGGTCGGATGGTGTGTCATAGATGTGCTTATTTAACCTTATTTCAACCTGTATCAAAACATTCGAGCGCGTTGTACACGAATGTATCGCTCTAAACGCGGTGATTTCGTCTCTGATCGGCATCAAAGACAGGCCAAACCATTCTAGAGTCTCCCTACGGTTGCTCTTGGTCTTGGTAGATCGAATACAGGGCTACCGATTCTTTCAAAATGGTATCTGAGTAAGGTAATTTAAAGGAAGCTTGACCAAGGTGCCTTTGCGTCAAATATCCTACACTCACTTGCTTGCTGGTGCTAGTGTACCACTCACAGGCTCTTTTTCTACAAGAGGCAATATCTCAATGTGTCGCTTGACTGAAAATAGCCAAATTGCACAATCATTCTGGTGTCTAGTTGTAATCACTTGATACATCTATGTTTAACGGTTCTCGCTGTCATATCGAAAAGAGACTCGAATTTTCTCTTATCTAAGCACTCCTGATGTTTACCGTCACAGGCCTACACACACCGCTTTCTGAGTAGACATGCTGTGGCACCTTATCGCCCATGAAAAGTCTGCTGTGGGAATAGAATGGCGAAATTATTGCACTTTGTTGATGCATAGATATTCAATTCATAAATCAAATAATCCAATATCTTGAAGATACAGTTATACAATTGAAGCATAGCGAGTCCGGAGTAACTCAAAAATAATCAGAAGATCAACCGAATGGCTTGAGAATAGCGGTGGCCGAGTTTTTTCTCCCCCCAGTTGCCCTAGAAGATCGGAAAGCCGTCTCGACCCGATCTCGGGACGGAAAAACTGTGCTTTGGAGTCTATACAGAATATTCCTTAGGAAAAACCATGAGTCAATTTGAGTACTAGGCTCCAAGCTACAAGAAATACATCGTTGAGGCATTTAAACGCTGACCACGACACCCGGGATGATACCTAGGTGGAGATTGCTGTCCAGGCTACGTTGCTCCCACCAATAAATGCTCAGCTTTGACGAGACTTTTGGCCTATGCCCACGCCATCTGAGACTTTCGATTCCGAGCGCCGAGCCACACTAGAGGGAATACTGAAAAAGGTGACCCGGCCCCCTATCTCTTCTCCCCTTCCAGATTTATCACTATCACTGCTATCACGTTTTCAGCGTGTTTCCAACTATGGCTCTTCACTTGACCCAGTCTAGGAGATTGCAGATTGTGATCTCTATTTCTTTGTGCTTCTTTATAACGGAAATCTCCAGTAACAATACCCTGTTTCCCTTTTTGATGATTGTGTGCTGACTTTTTCCCGGTTAGTTGGATTTTACACGAGTTCTCTTGCCCTCGTGGCCGATGCCTTTCACTATGTACCATGAACACCTGCCCTCATCCTCCTTCGAATGTTTCGCGACTGATAAATCCTAGTTAAATGACCTCATTGGGTTTATTGTTGCATTTGCCGCATTAAAGGTCAGGATCGCCGGCTTCACCTGATATTCACTGTCCCTGACAAGTCCTAGATTTCCGCCAAAAAGGATTCACCTCAAGACCTGTCCTTTGGCTGGCAGAGATCCCGGCTCCTCGGTGCATTCTTCAACGGTGTCTTCCTTCTCGCGTTGGGTGTTAGTATATTCCTACAATCCATAGAGCGATTTGTTTCTGTCCAGGGTATGTGGAATCGTAATCCTCCACGTCACCCACTGCTAATGTAAAAGCAGCCGTGGAGCAACCCAAGCTTATCCTCATTGTCGGCTGCATCGGCCTTGGTCTCAATATCATCAGCGCTTCCTTCCTTCACGGTATGTGCCACGACTCCAAGTTACATCGCCCAGTCACTAATGTGTAAATTCTTCCTAGAACACGATCATTCACACGGCGGAAACCCAGAGAGCCTAGTGAACGCAGAGAATGGGACAGAGGAGGTCAGGACCTGCACCCGAATCGTTTCGTCGATATTTGCTTAAATTCGCCTAGTCACCTGCCTTGCATGACAACCATCGGCACAACAATCTACAACCACCCACTAAAGGGTATGACTTGGGCATGCTGGGTGTTCTGATACATGTGGTCGGGGATGCTGCCAACAACGTTGGCGTCATAATCTCGGCTCTGGTGATCTGGCTTACTTCGTCCCCCTCCCGCTATTACGCAGACCCCGCTGTCAGTATGGCTATCGCCTTGGTTATTCTTACAACATCACTGCCATTAGGTTTGTCTTCAATAAATCTAGCTCCTGCTCGGATACTGAATGGTGTTTTGCTTAGTGAGGAACTCGGGTAGAATTCTTCTTGAGAGTGTCCCTAGTGGTATCAACCTTGATGATATCAGACATGATCTTGAATTGGTGCGTGAAAATGGTCCTACTCACGGACACAAAATTGACGACGAAATGCAGATCCCTGGTGTCCGCTCTATTCATGAGCTACATGTCTGGCGCTTAAACCAAGAGAAGTCACTGGCGTCAGTCCATGTCGCCATAGTGAACGAAACCGTCTCCGAATTTGTGAAAATTGCAAAGATCATGAATGATTGCTTCCATAGTTATGGTATCCATTCAGCTACAGTACAGCCAGAGCTTGGATCACCTCTCATGCCAGATGAAGCGACGGGTCCTGAATATCAGGGCAATTGGTCGCAGCTATGCCAAGTTAAGTGTGGTAAATCTTCGTGTGAGATCTTGACCTGCTGTGGCTAGTTGACAGTTGGGCATGCTGAGCAAGTTAAAATCTTGCTCAACGAGGAAGGAATAGGATGACGGAATTCAGGTAAAAATTAGTAGCTTGAAAGTGAGAAAACAAGGGATAGTCAGGAAGAAAGCGGGTGCATGTGAAGATATAATGACATAGGGCATATTTGAAGAAAGAGGAGGAGAGTGGAGTTGATTTTGCTGATTTCTACCTCTCAGGATATGAACAGAAGTTTAGTGAAGAAAAACGCACCTGGACTCGTTGAAGGAGGAGCCCAGTGATTTGACCGTTATAAAAACATTAGATGCTCGGCCTGGCCCGGGAAGTTTTATCGTATTCTACGCGAAACAGCCATGGTAATCGTATTATGATTCGGACGGAGAAGCTGATGAAAACGGTCAGCCTAACTTTCGGTCCGCAAAGATAGAGTGGCTTAGCTGGAGAAATGAACTTGCTTGTAAATGCCTCAGATGACACGTATCCCCTATATTTCTGCATAAATCATTGGCCACCGGATATGACGGGGACCAACTAGCTCGATACTTGCGGGGCCCAGGGGGCTGAGGGAGGGAGGGGAAGGAGAGGCTTATAAGCGTTTCTTTTCCCATACTATGGCCGTACTACTACTAAATCCTTACTTATCTGACTTTGTTCCTGAACAATATCGCAGAATCATTCTGGCTTCTTAATTCTCTCACGAACAATCTTCTAGCGTCGAAGAAAAGCAACAAAAATGTCGGGTCTTCTGGGGAAAGTGGCCGATCAACTATCCGGACAAAAGTCACCCCAATCTTCGAGTGGATCCTCTGGACTCATGCACAAAGTGACGGACGCTATCACCGGCCAAAAGCATCCACAAGACTCCCAGGTCTATCCGCAGATGTATGGAAACAACCAGGGAGCGATACCTTACCCCTCTGAAGGTAAGATTTTCATACGAGTCATACAGCCGGTACAAGAATGATTAGTGCTGACAGCTGAACTTGCCCAATCAGGATACCACTCAGGCCAATTTATCCGCCCCGAAACCCAGGGACACTATGAGCCTCGATATGAGGGAGGACATGGGAATTACCACACTCCGAGTGGTGGCTTTGTAGGTCACGATGATGGGCGAGGATCCTACCCCAACGAATACACCAACGGCTATCCTGGGGGCCATGGAGGTTATGGCGGCCCTGTTCTTTATGGACAAGAGCATTCTTCTCACCAGGCTGGTTACGGTGGACACAATGCACCAGATGGTCATGGAAACCGCAGCGAGCACCGACAAGAGTATCCAGAGGGTAGCTACAGTACCCCTGGACGTTATAACAGTCATGGAGAGTACCGAGGCGGACACAACGATCTAGCTAAGCATGCTGGAGTCCATTATGCGCGAGGTGGATCATACAACAACCACGGACAAGGTGGTTACGCTGAAGGTCATGGCCAGTATGGAGGAGCCTACCACAGCGGCCACTAGATCGATAGAGGTCATTGTGTAACTCACTCGTTGGAAGATACTACAGATAGTAATTTGATATAACTGAGTGAGAGAATTATCAGACATTTGTTTTGGATTAGGCTGACCTAGACTAAACTTGAGAGTTGGTGGATATCTTTATGATCTGCGTGAGTGCTTGTTCTGCTATGACTGTTTAGTCTACATGGCTCGATTAAACTGGAGTACGGGTAATACAACTGAGAAGTAATATCGAAATATATATCTATTGATTGAATGAAATCCCGGAGCAAATCCAAATTGCATTCGCTAGCTAAGTTGGAAGGTTGAGGTCGAGGCTTAGGTTTCACATGGCAAGCTCGACCTGAAACTCGCGATTGTTTTGAATAGATATTTCTTTTTGACCGTCGCTAATTAGGTATGTTTAAATCATTGTTTTCTCTCGCTAGCTGATTACAAACTTATACACATCTATGTGTCTGTTCGCGGTCCCAGTTCTTTGTGTTCGCTCATTTATTGATAAAGGTGTCTTGGAAAACGCACGTCACGTGCACAGTTGGCATTTTCTTTGAGGGCGAAGTGATTTTGCATCGAGGCGTTGGCAACAAGTGACCAGAATCAAAAGAGATCACTGCCTAACATGGAGGTCAGATCAAGTTCTCGAGCCCCATCTCTCAATTTCTTGTTGAGGTCTTAGCGAGGCAACTACGGAGGAGTATTTACTTGATGCTTGGCAGGACGATGATTGGCGGTTAAGGAGTGGGTCGGCCCCTGTTGCCTAAGGCTGCCTAGACGCTTCCTGCACTAAGCCCCAAATCAGACTAGAACAATTATTGACTTCATAATATTTAAACGACATCAGATCCATCTCATGGCCAACAGAAATCATCAAGGCACAATTGTCATTTCCATTAACACCTGTTCTTTGATTCCTGATATACATCGACAATGGCTCCCTCGTTGCCTTCTCTGCCCGTAAAGCATCACGATTTCGTGCAGTATATTAAATCGCACCCAGGGACACCCATTGAGGAACTTCTCAAGCCTTACAATGAATTTGATGTCTCTGCTCGAAAGATCTTTGCTCAGGATCCATCACATGCTTTGGTGAAGGATAATCATGCCAATATTGTTCCCCTCTTCGACACCACAACTGGCTCGACGGATATTCGTGTTAGGGCACGCGATCTGAACACAGAGACACCTGAGCAGAAAGAGAAGTATATTCTACCTATCCCCGACGATAAGCGCAGAATCAATGGTTCGCCAGCTGTTGTTCCCACGCTGGCTGAATTCCAGAACAACTTTGCTCTCTTCACAGAGGGTGCATTGAGTGAGCTGGATTGGAGTAATGTCGTTGCTGCTGGCAGCGCTGTTGTGACGTCTCTTCTTCCTGTGCCTGAGAAGTACCGCAACTCCAAGCGTGGCCTCCGCCAATTCTATCATGAAGAATTTGCCCCAGCGTCAGACGTCGATTTGTTCTTGTATGGCTTGACCGAGGAAGAAGCCATTGAAAAGATCAAGCACATCGAAGACAAGATCCGTAACACGATCTTGTATGAGACGACCACCATCCGCACAAAGAATACTATCACCATTGCATCTCAGTATCCCACCAGACATGTGCAGATCGTGCTTCGCATCTACCATTCAGTGGCTGAAATTCTCACTGGATTCGATGTGGATTGCTCCTGTGCGGCGTACGACGGCCAACAAGTCTATGCGTCTCCCCGTGCGATCGTCTCATACATCACCCAGAAAAACCAAATTGATTTGACACGCCGCTCTCCATCTTATGAGAATCGCCTTTCCAAGTACTCCCACCGTGGGTTCGAAGTGTTCTGGTCCCCACTTGACCGGTCAAAGGTCGATCCGGTATGCACCCTTTATTGACAGTTAAACCACTGGCATTGCTAAAAATTGGAAACAAGACCATTTTCGAAAGAAGCTTCATGAGAACTGAAGGACTGGCACGGCTCTTGGTTCTCGAAAAACTCCCGAAGCCGGGAGATCGAGACACCTATCTGAGAAAGAGACGCGAGGAGCGGGGACGACCTCCTCTCAGCCTCTATCTGCGACGTCGTCAAGGAAAAGAGTTGCACGGCAATATCAAAGATGATTGGGAAGATGAAGTTCCAGAATGGCAAGAAGAGGACCAAATCTCGGACTACCATACCTTCGTAGGTCTTTCCTTACCCGCCCATCCGCTTCTATTCTAACAAACACCAGACAATCCCCTATGGCCGAAGATTCAATGCACGAAAGATTGAGAAGCTATTGTACACTAAGGATCTACTTCTCAACGCGCAGTGGAATCAGAAGAAAGATCGCGAGGTTTATCTTCACCGCCACCCTGCCTTCTTTGGCGAAGCCGAGCATGTCATTGGAGACTGCTGTGGATCCTGCCCTCAGCCAGTGACTGAGGAAGAGCGCAAAGTGGCAGAGGAAGAGAGCAAGATCTATATCTCCGGAAATATCAGCTTTATCAAGGATGATCCAGGCCGGCAAGAGATCGGCAGTTTCAACCCAATTACCGAGACGGATTGGACTGGTATGACCCAGACCTCCATGCTGAGTGTTAGTGATGCGCTGACAACCTATAAATTATAGAAATGGCATATATCGGCCCCACTGAGTTGCTCTGCCAGGCCATCGTGTCTTATGACCTGGAAGCTGTGAAGCAATTCCTAGACCAGGAGGACTCGGATCCAGACCGCCGAGATTACACTGGGCGTACCCCTCTACAACTGGCCTGCATGTGTTCTACGCCCGAAATTGTTCAGTGTCTCGTGGACCACGGTGCTAGGCTAATTGCTCGGATGGCCGATGGGCAGACGGCACTGCATCTGGCTGCTGCTCGGGGCGCTACCGAGATTGTTTGCGTTCTTCTGAAGAAGAGCAATGAGAACGAGGAAGCGGAAAATCAGAAAGAAGACAATCAGAAAGCTACGCCAATGGATGTCGATAGCCCGGAAGACGATGACGAAGAGGATGATGAGGATGATGCTTCGCGCACGTCTGCTTCGTATGTCAAGGTGGACAAAGAGAACGATGACGAATTGGCACCCACCTTTGACACCATTGAAGAGAACGACAAAGATCCAGATATCTACGACATCAACGTGACTGCATGGGACAATCTCGCATCGCCACTGCATCTGGCAATTCTCCATGGCCACGTTGAAACTGTCAAGGAGCTCGTTACTTCCTTTGGAGCAGATGTGTTGATGCCGATCAAGATTACGGACGACTACAGTAAGCGACCTAAAGCTGCAATCTTGACGCTGGTCTTGGTTCTTGCTCTACCATTGGACAAGGCGAGAGAGATGTCCCAAACGCTTCTGAAGCTTGGTGCTTCCCCAGCCCAGGCTGACACTTCTCATTATACGGCACTTCACTATATCGCGCAATCTAACTATAGCGAGCTTCTCGACATCTACCAAGAGCATGATGGACCGGCTATGCAACGAGCCCTTAATCACATGGTGGTCCAAGGCGCCTGGTACAGCTCAAGCTACACTTTCTCTTCAGCTTTGGTCAACGCGTTGTGTGCCAAGAAGCCCGTCGCAGCAAAGAAGCTGCTCGATATAGGCACAAAACCTAGTAACGAGCTAGCTGATTGCTTGAAAGCCTTGAAGTCGCAGATGGCCGATGCAATGCGTTATGGTGGAGAACAAAAGCTTGCGGACAATGTCCCCAAGCAGCCCATCATGTATGCCATTGAGAATGATCTACCACTTATGGCAGTTGATCTCTTGCAACGCGGCGTTGACCCCAACACCGAACATGATCGAAGACACAATTTCCGTGAAACGGCGCTGGATTGCACGAAGCGATGCGTGAAAGAGCTGGAGCACTCGCTGAAGAATGAGACACCCATGCACCGTCCATACGGGATCCCTGATCCTGTCATTTTCGAGCAGGGTGATGACTCGTATCTAGCTGAATTCCAAGAAGGTACTTACAAGCAGTTTGCAGCAAAAGCTCAACTGAAGAAGGCCAAGGACAACAATAAGAAGGCCGAAGAGCACGACCAGCGTGAGAAGGAACAGGTGGCAGAGGAGAAGCCCGGTGAGGCTGAGAAGCGAGAGGCTGTCAAGGAGCTGATCAAGAACTACGAGTTGCTCATGGAGGAGTTATTGTCAAGAGATGCAAAGACTTGGGAGGAGCTTCACCCCGGAGAAACGCAAGACCCTGGACACCGCCAAAACCGGAGGAACCAGCAGAAGCAGAAACCTAAGAAGACGTTCAAGATTGAATTCTTCAGCGAACTGGCAGGTCTTTCTGATGTTGCACGTGAAGGATATGAACGACTGTATGTGCACAACATTGGATGACTTTTGAAAATAGCCGCTGACCCATGAAATCCAGATTCGAGGCCGCATGGAATGGAGATCTCGACACTATAAAGTCCCTCACCCTGTGCATGCAGGGCCCCGCCAAAGACCAATTACCTCTGCATGTCACTAGGGTTGATACCTCGGGACTGACCTGTCTGCATATCGCAGTAATGCGGGGCCACCTTCGCGTTGCCAAGGCCATATTGCAGATTGTTCAGGTCCAGTACAAGGTGAAAGAGCCTAAAGCTCGGCAGCACTTTGAGATGGACATTGATACAGACGGTGAATCCGATGATGAGGGCCTCAACATTGTCGGTCACACTGTGGACGAGCAGTTCACCTACGAGAATGTCGGAGAAGTTGCCGGTCGAGTTGAGAGCGATGTCTCGCCGCGTATAGCACTGTTGCGAGCTTTCCCGGTCCGGCTTTTCTTGGACGGGGAAATTCCCAACAAGGATAACCTCCGACTTGTGGGGATGAATAATTGGAGTGGCGCTTATTTTCAGCAAGTCAATACCTTGTTCAAATACGCCATTTACAAGAACGACCTTCGTCTGCTCGACTGGCTTTTGAAAGTCGGACACGACTGCGCAAGTACCGATCCCTCAGACAAGACGGCATTCACTCTTGGCCAAGAGGAACTCCAGCTGGCAATGGTCCTAGGCCACACTGAATGTCTCGGCATGCTCATCCAAGGCACTGCCGCCGGTCTTCCTCTCCAGAAGATGAGTAAGGAATCTGGAATCGCTGCTCGCGAGGAGCCCCAGTATTACCAGGGCTTGTCCATTCGCGGTCAGAAGCGCAAGGATTGGGCGGATGCTGGACGACCAGAAAACAATGCCGTCACTCGTGGAAATGAAGCCGGCCGGCCGCCTGTGCTTGTCTCTGCGTTGCAGGGGAATATGGCTAGCACGGAGTGGCTACTCGGCACCGCGCCCAGTCGTTACTACCTTGAATACGTGAATGCACACCTGGAGGATGAAAATATCCAGAGACTGTCCCAGTCTAAGCTTGGCCTCGATGCATCTGTCTTGAATTGGCTACAGAATCGAAGTGAGTTTCCCAACGCAACAGGGAAGGCTTGTACTAACTTGACATACAGACAACCTCGTGCTTCATTGCGCAGTGATGTCTCGCCCCTGCGAGGAATCACAGCGACTGGTTCAGTACTTGGTGGACCAACACCCCGAATGTCTCGAAGTCAAGTCATCCGAAGGACACACCCCCGTCGCGCTGGCTATTTCCCTTCACAGGTTGAGCTTCGCGCGTGTCTTGATCAAAGCTGGTGCTAACCAGGCCGTTCGCGATGCCGAAGGATGCAATCTTCTGCACTTGGTGCTGTGTGCCATCTCAGGCAGCACTGCCAAACGCTCGGAAGAGATCTCTCAACTGATTGACCTCATGGACAAGGAACATGTCTCTACCATGCTGACACAACGTGCTGGTGAAGGCTCACGGACGCCCTATGCACGCTGGCTGCACAAGTACCCCGATTTCGACTTCTCCGTCGAAGTTCAGCCGAAGGTCCCCAATCTGCCTTCAGACAAGGAAGCCACCGGCTCAATCACCAAACTGTTCCTGAACCTGGGAAAATCCACCAACCAAAAGTTCCTGGAACTACTTGACGGCGCAGGAAACACGCCCGTGCATGAGTGTGTCAAGCGGGGCTTCCCTCAAGTCCTGGAACCAATCCTTGACCATCGACCTGATCTTCTCTACCGAGAGAATGCTACGGGCAGCACACCGCTCGACATGGCGGTTGATGCATGGGTAAACGAGACAACTCGCACAGTGCCCAAGGTTTCCGTTTCAACGGATCGCTGGCCCGAGTGGCAGAACCTCACCGCGCGCCGACCAGAGTACTTTATCAAGAACAGGGACTGGAGGACAAAGGCGCAGATGATGGTGGACGTCTGTCAGAAGCGGGCGCAGCAGAGCCCTCAGAAGAGAAGACTGGTATCTCTCTTTGAAGCGAACGAAGTTGCTAAACGGCTGGCTACGAAGGAGAAGTCCCGTCCAGATGATGGGTATGGGCACCGGTGCGATCGGTATGGACGCCGGAGAGGGCGGCAGGAGGAGGAAGAGAATGAGAAGCTTGATGAGGTTGCTTTGTGGGGAGGGTGGGCTGCGCAATGGAAGGAGTCACTTTGATTTTATTTAGCCTAATGGTGATGATATGAGTCTAGTATAGTGCCGACTGTTATTGCCTTCTAGATCGGGAAACACAGATGGAAAACGAACACTCTTAATTGCGCGTGTCCCCTTGATAGGGTAGATCATGTATTTTACAGAACTGTGAAGCAGCAAAAAAGTATATGATTAGGTAATCACCCACGCCAAGAACTGCAGATCAACATATCTCCTGATTAGCTCGCCCGCAGAATCGGGCACTCTCTGTGGTCCAGTAGCAACAGTTTCTCGCACCAAGGACGAAAAACTCATTTATTTCACAAGGAACTCCAGCCCAATACGCCATATCAATCAAAAATTCCCTCAAATATAAGCAATTGCGAAGATGTCTCTCCTGGACCTATCTAACGAGGTTATCCTTATAATAGCGACACACATCCAGAGTGAAAAGGACATTTCATCACTGGTCAGAGCCAGTCGGTTCTTCTACAATTTGCTCAATAACTATCTCTACCGACAAAATATCGATAGTGGAGCCTCTGCATTGTCCTGGTGCGCTGAACACGGCGTCGAGAACAGTATCCGGCGGTTGTTGGAACTACAGGCTCACGACAAGACCAAAAATCGCCTGTTGCATTATAACTCATTCAACTTTGTTGATTCACCTCTGCGGTCCGCTATCTGCTATCACCACGCTTCGATAGTCAAGCTCCTTCTTGAATATGGGGCAGGTAAAACGTGTGATTTCCCAATCTCGACTCCTCTCCATACCGCGGTCCACTATGGTAGCGAAGAGGTTGTTCGAATAATCTTGGAGCATGGAAGTGATATCGATTTAATCACACCGAGAGGACAAACGGCTCTAGTTGTCGCCGTAAGGGAGCAAAGGCCAGAAATAGTGAAGCTGCTTCTCAACTATGGCGCTTGTCTGAACACAGAGCCGCATGTTCCAGCCGAGGCGCAGCGGTACGAAGGACTTATCTGGGCCACCCCTTTACATACAGCCGTTGATGAGCAATGTGGCAACCGTGATATGGCAGAGCTACTTCTCTCATATGGGGCTGATGTGAATGTCCGACGTGGGGATGGGGGTACTCCATTACACTGGACGACGAGCGAGATTAATGTAGATGAATCTCGATGGCTCCTGGAGAATGGAGCAGATCCAAACATCCTTGATGACAAAGGGTGCTCTCCGTTTCATTGTGCGCTCGACCTTGGGGCTCATGGCGCAGAACTCGTCAAGCTTCTTCTCGACCATGGAGCCAATCCAAATTTGAGGAGGCGAGTGACACCTGCGAGCCTAGAACCGCACTTGCATCCGTTACAAATCCTGGACGGAATGGATTGTCCGGACATTGAGAAGTTGCTTCGAGATTACGGTGCTAAGCTTCCTGAGTCTGCATAGGGACTTGTTGTCTTTGTGATATCTCAAAATCTCGGGTAGCATCAATTTGACGGACTGCTTTATCTAGAATTTATCTTATGCCAGATACTTATTTCAGCGAAAGTAGGTTAATTCATCCGATCTTTTTTTAATAGAAACAGGATTCTACAGGCATTACGGTTCTATAACGTAACTCGTCGTTTGCAGGAGTATAGCTATTCTATTGAGCTTCTGCAGTAATTATCGGGCACCAACCGAAAAATGAACCCAAGTTTTTGTTATACCCATCTCCTTTCGAAGCTGAGAAAAAAAAGGCGATGCATGAAATTAGCCGATTCAATCCTTGTATTTCGCCGAGAATCCTTCGAGAAGAGTAAAGATGCCCCCTGCACAAGCCCTGTAAAGCTTGGTGATACCCTGGTACGCCAGGGAACCAAATGTAGCTCGAGATGCGACCTCGGATACGATGATCGCACCATTCATACATCACCGTTCATACATCAAATGTACTCACAACTCCCATTCTCCACGTATCGAACCCCACAAAGTACAAAGTCTTGTATGTAAACAACCGGCCCGGTTCGGTCAGACCATGAAACAGTGGAGTACTTGTCGCTTTTACTGTGGAGAACCGGAATTTACTTGGCCCTGAAGGCTCCGAGGTCCACGCCCACTGGGACTTTGATAGCTCAAAGATACACGCAAAAAGCGATCGAGCAGAGTCGCATCGGATCTGCGGTAACATCGGAGCTTTGCCGAAGCCCGCAGAGCCCCTCCAAAACAGCTGGAAGTCCCTCTCCAGCGCAGTACTGGAGCATTACCGCGTAAAGAATTGTAAGAAAATGTCACTGTCGTACCTCCCCGCGTCGCATCGCAATACCCCGCAATCCCATCACTTTTTCTTGCTTCATTCCTGTTCAATCTACTTCATATTCGCATAGCCCGCAGTTTCACTCCTGATAGTTCTTTCGTCTTCAACTACCTTTACCACACACGCACCATCTATCGGCACAGACTCAACCATTGTCCCAACCATGTCATCCTCCCCGCACCCCAACCTCGACGCCCTCCAGCGCGACGGCTTCGTCGTCATCCGCAACCTCCTCACGCCCTCCGAAGTCACCCACTACCGCACCATCGCCACAGCAGCAACCACCAAAACCCGCTCCGGCGGCTGGCCACACTTCCGCACTGTCCCCAAACAATTCCCTCCCTGGCCAACAACCCCACCCCCAGCCTCGGAAGGCGGCATCTGGGGTGTCCAGCACCTGATGCATCCCGAAATGCCCGGCCGCGAAGACTTTGCCAAATGCTACTTCTCCGAGTCCATTCTGTCCGTCGCAGGTGAACTAATGGGCGTGTCCACCGGCACAGGCGACAACGAACCCCTCGTCATGGAACTATTCAACCTCCTCGTTGCGCCGGAAACAAAGGACTTTGAATTACGCTGGCACCGCGATGATATCTCCGAAAAGTGCTCTGCCGAAGAAGAACTCAGCCAACTCGCAGCAAAGTCCCCGGGTGGTCGCCAGAGCCACGCACAATATAACCTCGCGCTATGCCCGGACGCATCGCTCATCGTAATCCCGGGCTCGCACCGGCGCGCGCGCACAGATATCGAGCGGAACGCGGATCCCTACGAGTCCGTTCTTCCGGATCAATTGGTCGTGCAGCTGCAGCCGGGTGATGCGGTGTTTTACGATAGTAATATCTTGCATCGGGGGGTGTACAAGGGGAAGGCTGAGGGTGGGGAGGAGAGTCGGTTGACGTTGCATGGGAGTTTGGGATTGAAGGCGGCTGATGCGGCGGATGCGGAGTCGAAGAAGGTGCGTGCTACGGCGGTGTTGCAGCATGGAGTTGGGGCGTGGGTGAATCGCGAGGATGCGGCGTTTGGGCTTGGTGAGAGGCCTGAGAGGATGAGGGCGAATTTGGTCGCGATGGGGAGTGGGGAGGGTGTTGGGTATTCGTTGCAGGGGTAGATGAAGCCGGAAGGGGAAATGGATAAGTTGTATTATTTTAGAATTTACCAGAATGTTGATCGATGAATGTACGTCGAATTTGCATATGTCACTTCTGTGTATACTATCTAAGGAGAAGAGGTGTCTAGAAACCATACTTGATTATGCATTCAATTCGACATAATTAGTACCATTCGCTCTATGTAAAGCACAATCATCTCCTCTAGAAGCGTATGTACACTAGACTACTCTAGCAGCACACCTCTATTTATCGCTGCTACTTCCATCCACCACATGTACGCCACTTGGCAATCCCAAGATCTGCCCACTCTGCATCAACTCACAAGCTGCCAAGGTACCCTTTCCGCCGGACTCCGTCAGGCAGTCACCATTCGCATTCTGCAAGTGACCAGTAATAGCGTGCGACCAAACAGTATCAGCTCCACTCTTACAATCAACAAGGACAGTACCTGATCCCTTACCAGCCAGACACTTAGCTGGATTCGAGAGCGGGCTCACGGTGACCTTGGTTCCTGAGCCGGACACGCTCCAGACCTGGTTATCAGCTGCGTTGCAGGTCTGGAAGGTAGCACCAGAAGATGAAGCGGTCAGACAGTGTCCTGAAACAGTGTTGAAGATCATTCCTGTCGGAGTAACCGAGGTACAGCCCCGACCAGGAGTGATTCTGTAGACTGCAGTTGCGTGGCTATCGAGGGTGATATCAACAGAGTCGTGGATAGAAGAGACCTTGCCTGTCCAGAGATCGCGGGCTTTATACTGGCACTTCTCGTTCAGACCCAAACGAGCCACAGAGATGCTAGTCTTCGCAGAACTTGAGCCGGTGTTCAGCACGGTGAGTAGCCGGTCCCCGTTTGCCAGCGAGCGAGTCAGTACATCGAAGCTCGCATCACGGCTGACCAAGGCCGCTTGCTGAGCCAATGGATCCTGGTCGACAGCGATCAAATCCTTGTTAGAAAGGAACTGAATTTCCTCATCCGACAACGCGGGGATGTAAGCGCTGATAATCAGCGGCGCACCGAACGAAGTCCACAGCGCGAAATGGGACCGCTTCTCGGCATCGGTCAGACCGGGGTGATCAGGGATCAAAAAGTCCGGGTCATTGTAATAACCGGGTTGCTGGTAGCGCACAAGAAGAGTCTGATAGTGATAGTTCACCATGATACTATCCCAGGCACTCCCCTCGCCTACATAGACAAGGATATCATCCGAGTGACGGGCCAACTCCCCATAGAAAGGAATCCAATCCATAACACTCGCCCACTCAGTTTTATTATCGGAGAAATAAGCCGGTGCAGACTCGGAGAAAATCAACGGATCAGCCATGGCACTCAGAATCTGATGCCACTGCCCATACCGACGCTTATACTCCTCAGCCATGGACCTCCCATTCTCAGGATAAACATTACACCCATCAAGCTTCAAATAATCAATGCCCCAACTCGCAAACGTCTCCGCGTCCACCTGCTCATGGCCGTATGAACCGGGATAGCCGCCACAGGTAGCATTCCCCGAGTCCTCGTAAATACCCAGATGGAAGCCGTGCTTGTGCGCGAAATCAGCTAGCCAGGGGATACCGTGCGGGAAGAGGGTTGCGTTCCACTGCAATACACCGTTTGCCGTGCGCTCGTGTGTCATCCAGCAGTCGTCCAGATTGAGACGATTGTAGCCTGCAGCCAGGAGGCCGCGGGATACCATTGACTGGGCGGTTTCGGTGAAGAGCGTCTCGTTGAGATCGCACTCGAAGCGCGCCCAGTTGTTGAAGCCCATTGGTGGAGTGGGGAGGAGTTTGGGGTCTTCAAATGAGGCGTGTACTGATAGAAGGGGGAGTATTAGGAGGCTTGCGATGCGAGCTGGGATCGCCCAGCGGGAGGTGTATGGCGGAGGCATTGTTTGTTTGGCAGATGTAATTGAGAGTGATCAAGGATGAGTAGATGCCGCAACAAGAGTTCAAGTAAAGCTTGCGATTTGAAGTTATGATCCTTGTTCGATCAGAGCTAGAGCAGCACCAGAGCGCGAATTATAAGGTCGACACACTGCCGAAGGCCGTCGCAGCTCCGGCATGTTTGCTTCCCCGCACTGCAGTAGAGGTACTAAAGGTACTTGAAGATCGACATGAATCATACGTCGGGGCAAGTCGCATTCATCACGCTACGACGGTGGTATTGTTGATAGGCGTTTTAATTGAGTTATTTGTAGGCACAGTCAATTACCCGCACGAAAGCCATCGCTGCGCTGTAGATCGGGTCTAAAAGAGGGATATTGCTAAAACGACCCCAATTACCAACTCGACACCACACACCCTATAATTAGTTTAGCCTCGTAATTGTATTGGGTTATTTACCAAAACAATTACTAAGTCAACTGCCAAATCTGCTGCTAATCAGCTACCAACTCTACGAGAAGTGATACATAGGGCGCCAAAAGTCTGTGGACACTTTCTACCCCGTAGACCCTTACCGCCTAACCCTATCGTCTTCTAACTACCTTATCTCTCTCCAATACGCTCCTTTAGCACCAAAATTAGTGGTAATCGCCCTAAAAATGCCGAATTATCCGAGGTAATTCGAGCAGCGATCGTCTACGCGTATAAAAGTAGCGAAAACCCCGGTTAAATTACGTCTCGTCTATCTATCGCACGCTCTATAGCATATAGTACACTAAATCGCGTTTAAACTACTAGTGATCTAAAATCTAAGCTACGTACTAGTCGTCCTTCAAGATTATATCCTCTAAGCGTCGTTATCTCTTTTATCTTATTCGCCGTATGTCACGGCGTGGCCTGACAAGTGCGATACTATATACATTGGGTCCTGGGTTATATCCGCTGAGCGCGGATATAGTGGTCTTTTAGCCTATGTGGGACGTCAGGTAACCCAGGCTGATGTCGTAACAAAGAGAAGCTTACTTCGTGGTAATACTTAGTGACTAACTTACTTAGCGCGTACTTCTAGTACGTTCTGCAAGATACTTAATAGGACCCGAGTCCGTATAAGGCTTAGCATAGCAACGGTACGGTTACGAGATACTCTTAGAATCCGTAGTAGAACTAGGCAAGTATAACCCTAGGCAGCTCTACTCGCAGTGACCAGTTAGCACCGTGTAATAATTCAATACCTAATTAAGGTATAAACGAGAGGAGAGAGAGACCTACTACAAGGAATCAGTACTTATCTCGATCGAATTCAATATTAGCGACGATATTCAACACTCGTTGACCGCTAAGGAGGTATAACGGAGCAGCAGGATTAGTGGATACTCGGAGAAAGGAGATAGTTACTATGAGACCACTGTCACAATTGAATGCGCGATTTTTGAAAAAGGGGAGACTTTTTTCGGAGCCAGGAGACTCGGGGTCTCTAGTATGGGATTCTGAGTCGAAGACTGTGGTAGGCTTGCTCTTCGCAGGGTCCGCCACACACAAGCGTTCTTATTTGACTCCTATCCGTGATGTGTTTCAAGATACCAAGAGGGTAACTGGAGCTATCGACGTTCAACTCGTAAACCTTGAATCATGACCTCGGTTAGACTGTCTAGCTCTTTTGTTGATTTTGCGATTTGCGCAGTGAACTAACATTGGGCAACGCAAATCCAGATGGGAACTGCTAAATGACACCGCACACCTTATCGTTAACTAGTTTAGCCTCGTTGTATTACTATCTTCTAATACCACTTTGACGATTGCAAGATTTCTACTACTATATACCACTTTCCCGGCACACTGCTTATTCGAAATACGGGCATATTGACGTAGGTTAAATCTGCCCTTCCTGGTTATTCGAGGTAGCGGATTCGGAGCAAGATTCGTCACTAGCGAGGATATACTAAATCTACTCTTAAATCAGCTACCAAATCAGCTATCCAATCAACTGCTAAATTAATAGGAAGGTAGCCAGTAGGGATAATGATGAAAGTAGGAGAAGATGGATAGGTAATAGACTGTAGTACAGTAGTGTGCCCAAATGCCACGCTTACCATTTCAAAGTATGACAATTAGCTCCCATGGGAGATAGTCCATGATTGAGGCATGTACTATATGATCTACCATCTATCTATCCATGATACTGGCGATACTGGTCGGGCACTCTGGAGTGGAACTGTCCATTGGCGCGTCGAGACCGAACTTTTGTCCCACGATGATCAGCATGGCCGGGTTTCTGTGAGGAATCACATTTTTCGGAAGAAGGTCTCAGATACTAAATGAGATGATTGGAGGACAGGGGCCAGTTGATACTTTGCATTCTCACCTTAGTCAGTCCACTTGTCAATTCGTGGGGCTCGCCGAGTCAGTGCATGAATAAATCCTGGATCGGTCGTGAGTCCTGTACAAGACCGTAGTACTTTGTCACCATGCATGCAAGACGGTGTGAGATCTGACTGGTGTGGAGAAACAGGGCCTGTGTTAGTGAAGAAAACAAAGCCAATCAACTCAACTCCCTCGACCTAGTTAGCTTCGTCCCTTACGGTGGGTTGAAGAACTGGGAATTGACTGAACCCCCACAACCCGGTCGGGGTTAGGCCTAACGGCCGTGGTTCGCGCGATTTGGCTGGCTGATCGGTGGAGAGGGGGACTTCCGCTGAGGGACGGTCCTGAACTTTAGGGTTGCGAGTCTTTCCCTCTCTTCCCCCTTTCCTCCTTCCAACTCTCCGTCGAGGAGGGATTGAATGCGATATCAAGCTGGAGGAGCTTTGCTGGCCGATTGCGCTCAGCCATTCACCATGTCCGCGACCGAGGGCAGACACAAGATTCGCCCGCAACAGTCGTGCCTCAAATGCCGCGAGCGCAAAGTCAAGGTATCCGCGATTCTTTCATCCCCGCAGTCGTTCCCAACAAAAAGGGTGGAAAAAGCAACTAGAAAAGAGACTGTTCGAGCTAACCAGCCCTTTCTTCACCCAGTGCGACCGCAATGTCCCCTGCGAGGCCTGCATCCACCGCGGCATCGAGTCCGAATGCACCTATCTCACCTCCCCCGAAGACCGCGACCACATCAGCCAAGCCGAGATCATCGACCGCCTCCGCCGCGAAGTCGCCCAACTGCGCGGCCAATTGAACCAGAGCTCCGCACGCGGTCCCAGTCACAGTCGCCGCGACAAAGTCTATACGCACAAGAATAAGATGGCAGGGTTGCACGGGAGCTATACAGCTGGATCTGCGTCTGTATCTGGACCTGGATCGTCGGGGTCTGGGTCGGGTTCGCGATCTGCGACGGGCTCGGCGGAACCGACGGAGGCGGGGAGTTGGGCTGGGTCGTCGCCGTCGTCGATATCTACGACCGCCAGGACTGGGTCGGTGACTGTCACCAGTCCGGATAGTACGGGCAGTGAGAGTGGTGCTGGTGGTTCTGGATATGTCCAGCAGCATGCGTATTCGGGGCCAACGGGCCCATATGGGACACAGATTGCCGAGGTGGACATGGCGACAACGACGGAGAGTGCGGTACTGGGGAATTGTATGTTCCACCTCTTTCTTATATGTGTTGCTTTGTCCGTTTTCTTTCGTGATTGCAATCCTGCTGGCGCTTTCTTCTCTGTGGGACCCTTTCTTTTCTTTTTCCAATACTAACCCCCCAATCTTATCAGATCTCCATGACGACGCAAGGGCCCAGTATCATGCAGGCAGTATGCCAGTCTTCGCACATAAACCTGCTGGATCAATTCCAATGCAAGCCCTCTCATCACAACCCGCGCATCCTTTGCCCGACCAAGGACTTTCAGGGCAGTCCCCAATGCATATACACGGTAGCCACGATAGTCCAGACTACGAGGAGGGCCTTGCGCATGCACATGCGCAGGCTCACATGGCCAGCTACACTCATAGTGGGGACTATAACCAAAATCTATACGATTACACCAACATGAACTCCATGCATCCCTCTCAGACAAACCATCAGCCCTGGAGCCAAGGGCAATCTTATCCACAGACCCATTCGCAACTACCACCACAAATACAACAACCACATCCACATCCCTACCCGGACTCAACATACTACCCCTCCAGCATGAACCCCTTCGCACCCACCGACTCCACCATATACCCATCCCCTCATCCCTACTACACCACGAACGCAAACGCAACCCAAACACCCTCACCACCCGCCCACACACCCGAATACCAAACCCACGCTATAAACTCCATCCCCGACTCCTGGAAAGGCCCCGACAAACGAGCCCTCCTCGAAACACTCCTCGAAACCATCACCAGCTGCGACGAAGAGCGCGTCGCCCAGGTCGTCGCCGTGGTGCGCACCAGCGAGACGCCCGAGGAGGCTGTTTCGGGGATCTGCCGGGTTCTGGGTATTGGAATTAGTGGGGATGGGGATGGGGATAGTTCGTCGATTATAAGATAATAACTAGCGTGATTATCTAGATGGACGGGGAGGTTCCTTGCGGGTTGAGTATCAGGCGGGCTTGATACCTGATACCCCTGAGGAATCCCTTGGAGTTTAAATTTAGATTCTTTGATAGGATCTGCGTTTAGCCCATTGACACTATAATGCCGTGGCCCGAATTTGGGCTTTTTACCTGGAGCCACTGCAAGCCAGCCACTTCGACTAGCAAAGTGGCTGAGGTGTAGTTTCGTGCTGGAAAAGCGGACTATACGAGATATGAAGTAGCTATGAAATTATGAGATGACGAGATTACGATGTGTTTCAATTCTGTTCTGATATCTAGACAGTTTCTGAAGCATGTTGTTTACTTTTCACTTTTGCATTCGGCCTATAGGTGGTCTCTTAGCTTTCGCTATGCCATTTTTGAAATCTTCATAATCATAATGATATGCCATGCCATTCATGCTGCGCCATGCATACTCCAGCTCTGAGTTTGTCCGTTGACAAGAAAACAAAGCATAAAGTCAAAGATGCAGAAAGAAAAAAAAAGACAAGTAATTCTAGTACATCAACATAAATGCCTTTATACATTAATCCGGAAGTCATCACGCCATAACTCATCAAAGGTAAAAAAAGGGTTATAGAACCAACCGAGTCCGCTCCATCCATCCATATCGATGACTCGATAACTCGATCCGCTCTACCACCATGCAAATAATTCACAGCCACAGCCCCGACAATTCAACCCGCCCTAGGTCAGATTGGTGGTTTCCTTGCGTCGGCCCATGACCATTCGTATCGACCGGTTTTTGCCCATACACGAAATGGAATAGCACGTAGAGGTGGAACTTGTTGCTCACCAGCTCCTCGCGCACTTTATCCATGTACTCCTGGGCATCTTGGTAGGAGAAGCCCAGGACGCGGGTGAAGAGGGCTAGTGTGTAAGGCTCGACGACTTCGAGGATGGTCAGTTTGCCGACGCGCCCGATTTCTTTGAGACGGCGGTTTTTGGCCCAGCCGCCGACGGGGCACTGCACAGCATCAGGAGGTTAGCTATTAGTCGATCAAAATAGAAACCCTCTGGGAGGCGTATTGCGGATATCTCCAGGGATACCCATGGCAATCGCTGGATCTTCGACTCACCTTATAAATATCATCCGTAACATTCACAAACCCAGCATCGCCCAACCATCCCGCCAACCGCGGCGCCACATTCATCGGCTTCCCAAACTGTTCACTCGCGCGATTCAGCCGATCCTGCCAATCCACAACCCTCGTCGCGCGTTCATGCGTCCCATCATCACTATACACCAAGGCCTCAAACTCCTGCGCCTCAAACCAGGCCCCCGGCTTGAGGTGTGTATACGCCTGCCGCAGCAGCCGCGGCCAATCGGCGATCCCGCCGCCCAAGCTCCGCGCGTGAATGTAATCGAATGCTTCGGCCGAAGAGAATGTCCAGTCGGACTCGGCGTCGTCGATGAAGAAGCGGCAGTTGGGAGGGGCCCAGGTGGGCTGGATCGGGGAGAGGTCTGTGCCGAAGATGGTGCTTGTGGGGAAGTCTTCGGCCATTTCGATGGCCCATTCGGCGGTGCCGGTGCCGATGTCGAGGATGCGGGAGGGAGGGGTGCTGGTGTTGTTGTTGTTTCGGGTGAAGGGGGCACGGTACAGGTCGCCGCCGGAGAGGAGTTTGAAGAGGTGGTGCATTAGAGCGAGGCGGGCTTGTTCTTCTTCGTCGTTGGGGAAGGGGTATTGGCCGTGGCGGTAGGCATGGTAGCGGCGGCCGTTTTCGTAGGAGTAGTCGCGGACGGAGGAGGCGAAGGAGAGGCTGGAGTCGACGAGGGATTTGGTGTCGAAGATCGAGTCATCGTCACTGGTCTGGAAGGGTTGGGAGTGTAAGTGTAAGGGTTAGGGTAAGTGGTGGTGCAGAGAACAGAGAAGGAAGCGGTGAAAGTGGGGGAAAGTGGAGGTCCAAAGGGAGAGAGTTTGGGGATGTGGTTTAGAACCAGGATCAAGTCTACGAGGGAGAGGGCAGCGCTTGAATTCGGGATAGTAGGAAGACAACAGGGGTTTACGGGAGGGAATGACAAGTTAAGAAAGATGGGAATAGCTCACATCGACCTGGATTCGCTCGTAGGGATTTGGTTGTGACATGGCTTGTCGGAAGGAGGTGAAGAGCGAAGAGCGAGCAGCCGAGAACGAAGTATAGCTACGCCCCGCCAAGAGAAATGAGGAGGAAAGAGAGAGGGATGGAGGGAGGCAGAGGAGAGGGGAGGAGGAAAAAGGAGAGAGGAGAGAGAGAGAAGGAATAAAAAGAAGGTGAAGCTATCCGGGTAAGCGAAGAAACGGGACAAAAAGGGAAAAAAAGGATGGTCAGTGCAGAGGAAGGAAGAAGGAGGAGGAGGAAGAGGAGGAGGAGGAGATGATCAACTGCTCCGGTTTCTTCACTGGCAGTCTCATTATTATCGATCAGAAACACCCCCACCTGACGAACGAAAGCCAAGTCACTACACCGGACTGAAGCGACCAACTAACTTCGCGACAGACTTCCAGAGAACTTCCAGCGAATAGAAAATACACAAGTTCCGACTGCTTCCAGTCTAGCGGCACCTCCGATAAGTCCGCAGAACAGCGTGTCAACCCGACGGAGGGGACGCTGGGAACCCGGCAAAAGATGATCCATCAAATCCTGTTTGGTGCATCACGGGGAACCCCGCAGGGCAATCCCGAGGGGCTGGTTAAAGTAGTCGAGTGGGAGGGCCTGAAGTTGAGCGTACCGGGGACCTGGGTTTGGGCCAGTACCAGCCCACTGATGAATGGAAGATGGATGGCGGAGGGCTGGATCTTGATACCAGGTCTATCCTGGTCGAATACACAGCTTAGTGATCACGGAGTACTCCGTAATGACCACTTCCCTGAAAAAAAAATACGATAAAACAAAGTACAGTACTACTGTGGAGTTCTCCATAGAGATACGAGGACTAGAGTGTCAGTTCTGGATGTCACCGTGCCCAACCGCCCTATCCTCACCTCCAGCATCAGGCTCTTTTCTAATAATTCAAGAATAATAAGAACCCAGGGTTTACGTATCAAACTTCCATCGGCCCATGGCCTCGGGCTCGTCTCCGCAACCCCTCGGGGCCCTCTGATTGGATGACCCATTCATGGGCGGTGACTTGACTCGTGCCGGGCTTGGCAAGGAAGTTCACTGATTCAGGGACTGGTACGGACTCCGTAGTACATCCAATGTCAATATGCGATTTGTACAAGACATTCATCTACAAGGCATACACAACGTCAAGTTCATTATTTCCGGTCTCAGCCCACATCCTACTCCACAGACTGATCCGTTGATTTTGCAATCCCCTCGAAGGATCAGAATCGAAGCTCAGACAGACATAACAGACATGATTCCCATATTCGAGCACTTCAGACAGGAACTACCGGCACATCACAATCAAATATTTGACCTCCCTGAGTCAGTATGTCCCCATTTTATCCCAACGCCTGTAGCTTCCCCTGCTCATCGGCCGTCAACGCCGCAAACACCTCCTGGAAGCCCGGCTGCTGCGACGCCCGCCGGAAAAACTCGGCCAGGAACGCCTGTGTCTCGTCATCCCGACGGCGCACGCCAAATACACTCTCTGATCCACCTTCGCCAAAGCTCATCAACTGCTGCTTGGTCATGCCCAGGCCCAGATCCAACACCTGCCCCGGCTCATCTTCCCAGTCATCATCGCCATCGTCGCTCGCCACGTCATCCAAGGCCGCCGCCTGCGCAGCGTCAATCTCCGTGTTGCCCGAGGCCGCGGCCAACTCTTCAACCAGCACCTTGACGATCTTCAGTGGCGCCGAGACAGTGGTGAACCGATCGGGATTGGCGCGGGCTTGCGAGCGCGTCTTGATGCGGCCCGTGTCGGTGATGATGAGGTCGCCCTTGACGGGGACCTCGGATAGTCGCGGGTCGGACAATTCATACAAACGCGCCAGGGCGAAAATGTTCTGCTTAATCTCGTCATAGCCGGCAAAGTTGACCGAGTTCTCGAGCCACTTGCTCAGCACCACCACCAGCCCGCTCTGCCCACCGAGGTTCACTTGGGCCAGGAAGTCGACTACCTCTCGCGCGGAGATGAGGGTCAGCCGGGCGAATACCAAGATCAAGCTTTGGATGAATTGAGCCTGCTCGGCAGTCGCCAGGCGCTGGGCAACCGCCTGCAGGAGTTGGGGGAGATACGGTCCCAGACGCTCGGAACCAGCGCGCTCCACCAGCTCGGCAGCCAGCTGACCGACCTCAGTGGCGGCATTGTCATCCACGGCCGGTCCCAACAGACGGTCGATAATGACCAGAACAACCTCAATGGCCTCCTTACCAGACTGGGGATCGCGCCAGGCGACGAATTGAGCAAAGTCATGCGCGAGCATGTGGCGCACGGCCTCGGTCGCGGGCCGGATCAGCTCACCTTCCTCAGACTCCAGCAGCAGACGGTTAAGCTTGGGCATGACGGTCTCTACAAAGCCGGCCGGCATGGGTTCAAGGCTGCGCTCGGCTAGAGCACGGAGCAGGTCCGCCGCGAAGACCGTCAGCTCGTTCTCCTCGGTCATGTTGCCCACGTCAATAGCGCCCATCAGCGACGGGAGGACCTTCTCGCAGAGACGGATATACGCCTCCGGGCCGTGCTCAGTGATCTGATCTACAATATCCTCAAAGGCCTCGGTTACAGTCATTGTGAGCTGGAAGTTCTCTGCACCGCTGCTAGCGATGTTAAACAGGACGTCAATGGCCAATGATGACAGCACCACAGTCGAATCGACCATGATGGTATCCCGAAGAGTCTCGGCCAGAGTGACCTTGAGATCATCCGAGTCGGTCTCCTCGCGCAGGTCATGTGCAGAGACAAACTCTGAGAGGGCCGAGATAACGGTAGTTTGGAACGGGCGAGCCACATTGACGGGCAGAGAGGGGATAAGGTCTTGCAGAACGCGAATGCAGGCCACCTTAACCACCTCCGAGGGATCCTCGGCAATGGCTTTCAAGGCAGCTTCCAGGTAGGAAACGGTGGTCTGCTGGAAAGGTTCACCGGCAACCTTGGCCAGGGCTCCGGCTACGAGGTAGCCCCGTGCGCGCAGCAGATCCTGCTCTTGCTGAGTCGCATACTGGACGAACTGGGTGAAATGAGTGGCTACTTCTTGAGAGATTGGTTGGGAGACCTCGCCGAAATCCCGAAGGAGGGCATTAAGGATGTATAGAGCTGCCTCACGAGACTTCCACCTGTTTGACAGAGGATTAGCATCATTCACATGTCTTCATAGCAATAAAGAAGCGCTTACGAGGCAGAGGTATCGGCGAAGAGGGTATTCAGGTAGGTCAGAATACCCTCGGCCGCCTTGTCTTTCAGCCACTCGCCGAGCTTAATGGCCAAGTCCCCACTGCAGGTTCTAGGAGTGTAGTTTGCAGTGACCGAGGTCTCTTCCGACAGGAACAGGTTCACGTCAATCTCCCACAGGCCTTCTTCTTCGCAGGTAATTTGTGAGTAGCTACTGGCAAGCTTCAAAATCTCTGGTAGCCAACCAGATGATGTAGCAGCAGCGCCAGCGTTTTGCAGTTGTTGTGTCAACTCCGCTTTCACGGGCGGTGCCTTCAAGAGGGCCTGAATTACATCCAGCTCCTCAAGGATGAGGAAATCCAATGAGTACGGAAGACCGTCAACATCTTCCAGACGTCCTTGGCGTTCATCTTCAATATAGAAGTTTTGGTAGATGGGCATAGCATTGGTGAGTTCTGTCCAGACGGTCGAGAAGAAAGTCGGGCTCTGGGCGGTTAGAAGTCCGGGGAAGACCATGCGGATCTTCATAACAGTCTGTACAAGCCAAATAATGTTGCGTTAGCCACTGTTCAATTCCAGAGACCACAACACTCCCTCCATTACGAATGCATACCTTTACGACTTGAAGCTTCAAGCCAACAATACCACGCCATTGCGATGGAATCTCGCCTACTTTGTTTGCTTCCTCCGGACTCGGTGGCTGAGGCAGGGGGGCCTTTAATGTCTCGACAAAGTATGGTGACCACGCACTCAGCACCTCATCCACAAATTGCTTAATTGCAACCTTATGCTGCTCCAGTACCATTTCTAATGTGTCAAAGCAGGACCGGAACACTGCAACAGCAAGCGCCCGCAGCATTGGACGACGGGCCTCGGACGTTGCCACGGCGAAAAGTGACGAGACGAGGTCACGGGCGACATTGAAGAACTGCTCGTCACTGAACCCCGTATCCACCAGATCCAAGAGTACCTTCAGGGCTCCGTGTAGCGCAATGTCAGTTGTGGCAGGCTCGTTGATCACATGGAGCAAATTGGGCAGAAGCTCTGGCCAGTCATCTGGGAAATCCGCGCTGGCGATCTTGCTAACAGCGTAACTGGCGGAAGCCTTCACTTTGCGTTCGGGGGTCTCGACGGTAGTCGCCAGCTCCAGCAGGGCGGCGCGGATCTGAGCCTTGTTCGCATCGGAGACGAGCACCTGGCCCGTGAAGTCGTCAAGGTTGGGTGACCAGGAGGAAGCGATGAAAGTGCGTAGGACGGAAAGGGCCGATTGGCGCAAGTTCACGGGGACGGATTCGTGGGAGGCAATGGCTGTAAGGGAGATGGGGAAGGATTCGTTTGAGTTCAGCTGGGCCAGCTGGGCCTCCGCGGCTTTCCTGGCGTCTGCTCGAGGTGACTGGGTGTCTGCCAGGAGCGACAGGAGTTCTTGCTCCATGGCGAGGTGAGCGGGTGGTTGAATCGGTCTCCACGGGGTTGATTGTGAGAGAAAAGGAAGAGTGGCCCGTCGCGAGGAGAGGTGAGATCAACAAGTTTGCGCGCGGCGCGATAAGGAGACGAGGCCGTGGAGGGGCAGAGGCGGTCAATCGGAGCTTGGATGTTGTTGAGGGGGCTTCTCCCGCTACAGCGTAGAATATAGAGCAATATACTGAATTATAAGGAGCTTACTGCTGAGAATGAGTTGACTTTGCTCTCTTTTTTATCATATGTCAGGGTTCTTTGACTTATGATCCTCATTCGCTGGCAGACTCTAGGAGTCTTTGCTTAGAAGTTTTTATCAGGTACAAGCCCAACATCAGCCACGCGTATGACTGCATAGACGAATTATGCATGTTATGAAGGCAATTCCTCTTTGACCAATACGAATTGGGCCTGAGATCTCCAAAGTCGAATCCCATATTCAATTCAAAGAGCCGGTCTGTAAAGAGACTCAAGGATCTGTAGACTGGTCGGCTAATTGATTCGATATCCGAGGCTGGCCTCTGACTAAATTCCAACGCTCTATGGTGTTAGTAATGAAGTCCCATGACCACATGCATATATGCATGAATGCAGGATTGCATGATGGACTTCACCGTATATATAAGGTTCGACTCTGCAGTAGCTCATTTGGTTGGGCTTTGAGTGCATGTTGACTGGCTAGCTCCGAGCTGGTCTCGGAAAGGGTGGCGGCTAGCCATGCTGTATCTTTACTTTTAACTGACCATTCTTTCTTTGATCTTCCTTGAATATAGTTCTCTGGTTCTAATTAGTCGTGGAGAAATTCTCAAGAAATTCTAGTCTGTATCAAAAAGGGAAAGCTTGGCAGCATGTGGCTTGCTTCAAAATATAGGCAGAGATCTCGCACATCAATTACATGGGAAAGAATCTACTTGCGCTACACTACAATATACTATTTACAACCTTTTCTTCACGTGATATTCAAAGCTACCCCTTCACAGTCCCTAGTGCCGGTTGGCCTGCTTGATATCCTTAACGTGGTCAGTGACCAGGATAGTATAATTGGCAGTTCCACGGTAGATAGTGTATCCATCATCTGGCGAGGGTCCAGTAGAAAGATTATCACCGTATTGCCAGAAAGTATCTGCTGCGATGCCCTTAGTCTTCAGTGCAGTCTGCTGCCAAGGACCTTCGGATGATGCATGCGCAAGGGAGCCGTACTCCTCCAACAAGCACGGTTTTCCAGCCTTGACACAAGCGGCACCGTGAGCCTCAATCCAGAGGTTGCCCCAGGGATCTTGCTCACTCCCTAATCATCAAAAAAAAGATGTCAATAAAAGTCAAGGTGCTAAATGGTGGTGGAGACTTACACTGGCTAGGATACAGGTGAAGGGTGCCAAAGTCGATGGTAGGAATATTAAGGTTCTTCTCAAAATCCACTCCCTCGTAATAAGTGAATGGATAGCTGCCGTCCGATTGAGTTGTGAGACCCATTCCCTCTGTCATCAAGAAATAAGTAACGTTATTTTCTTTCTCTCAAGTGTCCTGATGAGGATTTCATGCACTTACCATCTCCAATACAAACCATTCTGGCGGGCTCCAGGGACTTGATAAAGGCGCTGGTGCTCTTGGCCCAGTTGTAAATCACACTGGTATCACATCCACGGCAACGGGGCTCGTTGGCAAGCTCCCAAGCAAAAATAGCAGATGATCCCTTGTACCGTGAGATAACAGCCTTAATGTACCCACGGTAAGACTTTTGAGAAGCCTCGTCCGTGTACCAAGTTGTGGCATTACCCCCAAATGCCGCATTGTAAGCAGCAATACCACCATAATCACCCCAATTATTGACAAAGTTAACGATGAGCTTGACATCGTGTGCTTCGGCGGACTTCACAACGTAGTCCAGGCGCTGTAGGCCATCGGCTCCCTCATTTGTAGTCGAAGTGCCATCTTGGATGTGATGGAACCAGACGCTGCCATCGGTGGGAATTTCATTGACATCGTTAAATCCCCAAACGCGAAGGATCTTGAGGCCAGACTTTTTTGAGATGACTCATGACCAAGTCCACATCAGAGTTGCTCTTGAGGAATGGGATCCAATACGAGTTGCTGCCAGCAAAGTAGTCTGCATGACCGTCGATGACGAATCGCAGACCATCATGGCTTGGAATTGCAGACGTTTGGTGAGCGTCTAAATCGAATGGGTTAACTCAAAATTTTTGGTATCTTCAGAAGAAACATATCCATCAAATTAATGTGGTGAATAGCGTACCTTGGACAGCCCGTCGATCGAGGGACTCGCCAGTTTCGACGGCATAGCTAGCAGCGAAGCCAGTCCACAAAAGAAACTTGGCAAGTAGAACACGTCTCATTGTGTTAGAACTGGGCAGTACTAGTTCAATGAGCGAGTAGGAAATTCAGATGAGGGGTGGATTCCAAGATGAAGACGAGTTAACCAGGACATTATATATTCCCCGACCCCGTGTTACAGTACTCCGCAAAACCCCAGGCTAATTGATTTTCAACCTCCTGCAAAGGCCTAGCTAAACCCCACATGCTAAAGTTTGCGAAAGGAGGTCGTTTCGGAACAATTTGAGTTGCCTAATTGCTGGTCCAGGGCCGTCCCGTTCCGTTTTGGTAAAGGGATGACGGAGCGGCCAAACGATGTGTTTAGATCTAGCTTGAGTGGGAAACTTTTTGATTGCAAGAATTTATGATGACACGAGCTTGTAGCTCCGGCTTTAAGGCGAGAAGTAGAAAGTTGCAGTTATTCCACAACAGGGCTAATTTGATGAAACCTGGCTCACATTATCCGTCGCGAAGTAGCTCCCACCTGGACCACCATTTTGTTCTATTAGCATAGCGTGGGAAGGAGAAAGATAGATTACGAAATAATTTAAGCTATTGAGAAGAAAGGGGTGGGAATCACTGGGCGACTACACAGGAAGAGGCTTTTGTATGCCCCCTCAAGCCCCTTACCAGCCACACCGATACTTTGTAGCTTGTAGCTTGGCTGGGATCTCTTGCAGGTTCAATTCTCTGATCTCCCACGGACATAAAACTCAAGTAACTGAAAGCCATAATAGGAACTACTCCTAGTCGGACAAGGAATAGCGATCAAAGATTTGACTGGTGAATGGTCACAGCAGAATGTACGGTACGTCGCTTAAGATTTCCCAATCATTCTCCCATCCGAGAGGCTTGTGAAGACAATTATGGTAGGATTCCCGTAAAATTGCTACTTCTGGCACGCGGGTAAGCGAACAAGATCCGGACTATACGCTTTGTGGTAAACTCGTCATTGCGGTTACCCCGGATTTGTGGAGGGCTATGTATTCGCCTCTGCGAGTTGGGAGACTACAGTGTACCTTTTCGCCCCATTGGCAGAGGGGACCTACGGAATACTTCTCGCTTGGCCAATAATCACAAGTTTCCATTTTTGCCAGTTCTCATCATTAACTCTAACCCTTCTCGCCATTCGAGAACAGCTTCTTACCCGATCGGGAAGTTGAGGACTCCCCGCATCTCCGCTTTAGACGCGGAAAGAAGGACCACTCATCGCTGCCCCTCCACATCCTTCAACTTTCGGAGGAATATTCGATATTCAAGAAGATGAGATATAAGGAGCCAAGTTCCAAATATATTCTCAGCCGCCCATATCGATTTTCCTTCTTAGGTGTCACCTGCAGACCTCTCCCCCTCCCTCTGCGACCTCGACTAGGCATTTTGAGATACTCGACGATGTCGGCCGTCTCACACACTTCAGGACCAATCGCAGACACCGTCATTTGAGAGTCAGAACATAATTGGGAATTCGGTTCATAATGGAAAAATATATGTGACCTGTGTATCGAGTGTTATTATTCTTTAGTTGTCCTGACCAAAACACTTGCAGGGGATTTGGGTCGGTGCGCTTGGGCTGATATGCAAAAGGCTCAGCGCATTCCTCTCCAGAGTTGACATCGCACATGGGTTAACAGACCATATTTCAGCTAATATCAGCATCATTCTCTACTACTCTTTATAACCAGGCGAGTCCCAAGTGCTTCATCTAAAACATATAGGTCTCTATTCCGAAATCCTAGACCATTTCCGACAAGAGCCATGCTTCTCTCTCATGGTATGGAGAAACTCTCTGCTCCGCTTCATTTCAACGCCGGGAGTCCCCGAAATTTATAGAAAACAGAGCGAGGCTATTCTCGAGGGCAAGAATGTGCAAGCAGATGAAGATTCGATTTAATTACTCTAAATGAACACACTCATGGCAATTTTGTTATTGAATTTGGGAATATCAATGTTGTAACCGTTTTATGGTAGTCTGGAGTGAGCGACTCTTGTGTGAGCAAATTGTACGGGAAATTCCGCAGTATAACAACGCTGAGATTAGCGGGTGCTGTAGGTAAGCGGATCGTTCGATTATTCGCGGTGTACAGTGCCCAGCAATTGCAAATAACAAGCTAAGGGTTACCATAGATTACGAATTGTATACTGGTCATGTAGGTACACACCTCTCTTAAGTGTCTAGAAGCATGTGCGCACTCATATACACAGGATCCTCAAGCATAGCCGGTACCTGGTGAGACAAATTCCGGCAAACCCGCCGACACGAAGATAAGCTTCTTACACCTCCCGCTGGGTTCCTCGGGTATGGCTTGATTCTGCTCGGGTATACCCCGTGGGCTCTTGCAGCATTTCCAAGGTTATAACCTGGCTGGTTGGAGGTTCCATGTGCCATTGGCCTGCATGTGTGCATCCAACTTCTACCTGAGAGGATTATGTTGTATATTTCCCTATTCACCTTTACTAATTTTCTTTTTCGCTTGGCTTGCGATGATCGGCACTCTCGCCGCTAAGCGTCCGATGATCCCACCTACCAGACTAAGTTGCGCAGTGGGGAAGAAAATGAAGAGGCAAAAAAAGGGCAAGAAAAACCTGTGCGCTCAGTACCGCCCCCAAGAAATCCGACAAGAATATTTGTGGTACCCTGAATCTGCCCTGGGAATGTGTATCGAGGGTTTTCCACTTTTATACTTTGGCCTCGAAAGCCGTAGTCCTGCCCATCCCGACTATATAGAGGGACGATTTTGCAACGGATGATGGGTGATAGGAATTGAACGATCAAGAAGAATGTCATGTCTATACTGTAAATACAAGCGGAAACAGCCTCCAGGGACTGATCACCCCATGGGAATACATCATTTACAGTTGGAAAGCGAGAGATTCTGCAGGGCCCATGACGCAACCACGTGACGGGAACCGTGACCCTTCCACCGACCTCTTCCACTCCTGCTTTTCCCCTCTGCCAAAGCGGTACAATTGTGATTGTCTTGTCGAGCCATCGCTATCGGCTTTGCGATTTATTCTACAGGCTCCTTTTCAACCAACCCTTGGGAACGGAGCTCAATCTTTGCCGACCCTCTCGTTCCTCTGCCCTCAGGGTGTCCATACCGTCCCCCTCCTTCCTCTCGCTTTAACCCGCCCCTCCTCGCCTTCCCCTCCCTTGTCTTCCCTTGCCCAAGAGGGATATTAGTCTTCTCAACCAGCGACCACACTCCTTTTATCTTTTTTGGGATCGGCGCTCTGGGACTTATCTTATTCATCCCTCATGCTTTGAGGGTTTGTGTTTTGTCGTTTTGTCCACCCAAGCGTACGTACTTCTCGGTTGTCCCCGTCAAACACTCCCCCCTCCATCTACTCTCTCATCGCCGACCTTGATACTTCCAACCCCCCCACCCAATCTTCAACCATCCCCAATACTCTTTTCGTAATCTTTAAAACGCCCTACCACCTTATTGCATCACCGCACCACTACCTGCCCACTATCCACGTCGTCGCTCAATCGACCAGCACGATAGCGGCGTTGGCCGACAATCGGAGGCCGGGGCAAACAAACACTTCCCTGACATCATCAAACCCTAAAGCTCCACCAACGTGTTTCCTCAAAGACGCCCGTATTGACTGATGACTATAGAAAGGCAGAGCGATGATTAGCTTCAAGGTGGAACATCATTCAGATTCTTCGAGACTCCGTCAAGATCACCCCTACCGTGGCAACGACACTGGATCGTTCAACGGCAATGCCAATGGCCAGTGAAACCAGTAGTACCACCACCATGACCACCTTTTCCGCCCCGGTCCCTGCTACCAAATCGCTGCCCACCAATCAGTCAGCGCTAGCGGCGTCTTTTACCAGCTTCCTTACGGTGTCAGTCCACCAAATACTTTTCCTGCGCTCCGTCTACCCACGTGCCACATTCCTTCCGGTACGGGCATACAACTATCCTGTCCGACAATCGCGTCACCCCAAAGTGTGTGACTATATCAATGATGCATCAATCGCAGTCGGGACAGAGATTTTGAAAGGCACAATCACCGCAGTCAGTATTATCATTTCATCTCTGCGCACAAACCAGCCCCTCGAACGGTATGCCTTTGATCTATCGGGCTTCCCTCGCGCTCCAGCTGGAGAGGTGAACACTACATTTGAAGGCAGAAATGAAGATTCATCCAATGCAGGTGCCCCTGAGGGCCCCGCGCCAACTTCGGTCGACCTCGAGGCCCAGTTCCGTGCATGTCTGGCCCGACTCGCGTCTGCCTGTGCTCGATTGACTCCTCTGCCACGAGACGACGAATTCAGCTTCACCGTGTGCATCGAAGTACGGGAGGATGCTCTTCCTCCGGCAGGGACCACCAACGAAGAACAAACGTGGATTGTGGCCGAACCTGGCAAGGTGCATTTACGATCTTGCACCGCCCCATACTCCGTGTCCAAAGTGCGAAATGGCGAGCCTCAGCAGCAGCAACCATCTCCCCCAGTCTCGAACGGACGCGCCAAAACAGTACCGGTACGACGGGTAGAGGCCGGAGAACTGCGCTTGGAGTTATGGGTAGAGGAGGCACGTCAGAAATTTAATGAACCGGTGGAATCAGAACAGCCACCTTGAAAGAGACGCACTCTCAGAAAGAAAAGAAGAAGACCCTTCTCTGAACACGCAAGAAACCTCGTTTTTGTGTCAACCCTGATTTTGGGAAAATCGTCTTTGTTCCTTTGTTCATTGTCCACCGCATATCCTACATTAAACCCCCACATACCCATATCACATTACCGCCATTCACCCACCTATCCACCTCTTTTTGACCTCCATTTCAGTCTCATTCTTGATTTAGCGTGACCAATGATCGAACATATATGATGGGCGGGGGAATTAAGAATTGCCACCTGCAGGAAAGTGGCGCAAATACATAAACGGGAAGCGGCAGATATTTGGGACTCGCATGGCATTTACTTACATAGACCAGGTTCATATCTTTTCTTTTCTTTTCTTGGTTTGACTTTAGGATGTTCCTCCCTCTGCTTTTTTTCTTCTAAATTCCCTTCCAGGATACTTCTGATTCTTTTCACGTTCACGACACTCCTTCTCCTTCTCTCATTGTTTGAATTTCTCTCCTCCCTACCCTTTATGCTTTCTTGATTATCGAAAGTCCATCTCATTTGCATCTCTCCATGCCGATCCCTGGGTTTTGACTCATTTGGGCTTCTTTGCTGCGGTCTGGTCTTTTCTCCTTTCTTCTTCCATACCATCCTCATGTATCTCATTCGTCTCCTTTTGTTGAAATTTTCAACTACATGATCCTCTACAATTCCATTTAGCCAATTGCCAATTCAATCACCTAGCAACCCGTTCCATGTAATCTCGTTTTCGCTATCCCGTTCGCCTATTGTGACCCGTCATGACACCCCTTTCTCTAGTTTATTCCTCCTATGTTATGCTTTTCCTTGATTATGCAGTACGCCGTGTCGGCTGCTGCTTTTAACCGGTGGTTTTGTAAGCTAGACCGTACTATCTCTGCGTCTGTCAATGATCCTCCATTTTTTGGGGTTAGTTGCTTTGAGCTTGGATTTAGGTCCTGGTGGCTGATCTACCTGGGCTTGGCTGGTACAAAATGACTTATAGGCCTGCAATGCATCCATTTCTGAATGTGAACTAGCAGATTATGCGCAGCCCTGGCAATGGACGCTTCAGGAACGTAGGTTGTCTGCTATCATAACGTTGGTACCTCTGAACCGAGCCCTGACCTTTTAGATGTAATTATAACATATGGACTTCCTTAAGAGGGCAAATGGCCGCAATCTTGCTCTGCGCACTGTCTATTTAATCGTTATAGATATGATGTATCAAACTCATTAGCGGAATCACAAGAGCTGTAGCAAATAGATCAATGAAGCACATAGTACAGCACTCGCATTCATGCAAAAAATACTATTGTTTGCCCTCCATTAGTGCAAGTACGCCATAGGTATACCCCTCTTCTAAAGATAATGTGCAAATTAATTGGGATCAGGTATATAAATCTTGCTAAATCCATATAACACAACTGCAAACCAACCCTCTCCCTCTGCCCCTGCCACTCAGGCCTTTCCGTCATCCACATATCCATACACTCAGAAATCTTTTCCTTCCAAGTTCTCCGTCAAATGGCGCCCCCGGACCGACCACGGGGTTCTCTCCCGCCCCAGCAGCAAAATTGTATGTATTCTGAGCCAGTGGAACCAAGAGAAAGCCTACAGCACCATCAAACCCAACCCGACTCCGGACTACCATCCCTTCCACAAACTCATCCGTCATGGACCGACTTGACTGGCCCGGATCACGCTGGGTCTGGGCAGACAAAGCAGGACTTCTCACGACGGCAGCAGTCTAGCCAGATGAACAACACCCAGTCTACGATTCCAGGCCAAGCAGCTCTGCAGCAGCCACTGCCTATACCACTTGAGGCGCAGCAGCCGCAGCCGCAGCCGCAACAAATGCGTTCTCAGAATGGAGCCCAGCCAGCTCTGCCGGCAGAAGCGGTCCTTGTCCCACATACCATCGGACAGGTAGGATCGCACGTCTTTCCGATTGCCAATGGACAGTATCAGATTCGGGTCATCTCGTACATGGAAGTTTTGATACCCATGGTTCCGTGTCCTGCTCAGCCGCCGTCTCAGTGATTGGGAGATTGCATGGTAAGCGAGACGTGATGATCGATGGATAGCTCCCGAGAGTTGCTTTTTCGCTTTTCCTGTTGTCAAGGACCAGTACCTCCAAGTCGGAATTTTCCCCGGGTGTGAAAAAGGGTTGGGTTCTCTTATCTTGAGACCCGCAGATAGTTCATGCATTAATCTTTCTTCTAAGAATTCTATTTCAAAGACCATAGGTTCTCGTCAGTCTCCAGGATCCTGACTGTCATATCATCAGCTGTAGACACCACTAGCTTCCCGTCCCGCGCAAAGGCCATCCCTCTTTCCCAACCCTGGACTGGCCCCAGCTTGGTGCAGGTTGTGCCTGTGCTGGTATCCCAAAGTCTTATAGTGGAGTCGTCCGACGCGGAGACGACCATTTTGCTGTCTGGAGAGAAGATCACGTCTTTCACCCAGCTTGAATGTCCCTCAAGGACCGTGGATAGAGTACCCGCTCGCCACAGCCGCGCTGTTCGATCTTTTGACCCAGTGGCTACCATCGTGCCGTCTGGGGAGAAATTCACGGCCCGCACGTAGTCAGTGTGACCTTCAAGTACGGCGCGGGCGGTACCTGTATGCACATCCCAGATGCGGGCCGTGCAATCGTCCGAGGCCGATGCCAGCAGGTTCCCATCTGGTGAAAACTTGACCGTCCGCACCCAACCCGTGTGGCCACGGAAGACTCTTAAGGTGTTGCCAGATCCGAGATCCCAAAGACGGATCGTTTTATCGTCCGACGCCGATGCTATCAACTTCCCATCTGGCGAGAACGCTGCCGACCTCACACAGCCCGAGTGCCCTTGAAATGAACGGGATACAACCCCCGTGCCGATTTCCCAGACTCGCACGATCATGTCATCGGAGGCAGACGCCACCCGCTGGCTGTCCGGTGAGAAGGAGACAGCCCTGACCGGACCAGAATGGTTTTTGAAGATTCGATGTAATGAGCCCGTCGCCGTCGTGCCCCAGACTCGGACCGTGGTGTCATTCGAGGCCGACGCCGCCATCGTGCCATCCGGCGAGAGGGCCACATCCCAGACCCAACCAGAGTGGCCCTCCAAGGTGCGACGCGGCACTAGCTTGACATCTGGAGAGTTGGTGGTTGGAGTCTGCATTGGTGGCGGCAGTGACCCCCTTTTCCTTGGAGGGGGGTGAGGAACGACCCTCGTGACCAGAAGGGGGCCCTCCAGGCGAGCGTTGGTAAACAAGGACCCGAGTCAAGATAAAGTTGGATTATAATTATCCTCTTGGGGGGTGGTTGAAGTTATTTTTTTTTTATATTTTTGGTATTTTTCCGGGATAGTTGGAATCGGATGGCTTATGGATGGTGGAGTTGGTCGTTGGCTGACAGCAAAAAAATGGCCCAATTCCCCTCATTTTCTTGGCCCCTCTTGGATCGAAGATTCCCCTCCATCTCGTCGCCGATGTCATCAGCCATTACGTAAGCGGGTCATCCTCCAACCCCGTGACCAGCCCATACCCTACCGTCAACTGGTTAGATCACGTGATGATGCCACATGACTTTTTCTTACATCACATGATCCTCTGTGCTCAATCACGTGATGCATATCACTGCTGGAGAACACTTCCCTTCAGGGCCAGTGGGGCTCCTCCCGCCTTACGTCAACGGCAGGTCTAACCGGCCTTCCAACTAAACTTAGTTCCCATCAAGTGGAAAGCCGCCAAGTGAACAATCTGATTTGCAGATTCAACCTCCTCCTTACCCTTATCTAGCCCGCTTTCTCTCGCTTGCCCTCGGCTCGGGTGACAAAGAGAAACCCCCCTCCGTCGGCCGCCGCTTTCCCACCAGACCTTCCCGGCCCGGATGATGATGGTGGTAGAAACGCGCCAGAATGGAGCCAATTGAAGCGGGGACGAATGGAACTAGGATCGAAATTGGCGTGTGTCACAATCTCTCTCGACTTGCCCGATCCTGTCCCCTCGCTGTAAGGTGCGTAGGGCGCGGTTCCGGATTATATCATGCCGCTTGGGGGGTGGGCCCTCACCCGTGGGCCTTCAAGAGGCGGTTAATCCACATTTGAACCTGTCGACCCCGGATTTCTTTTGAGAGGATTTTCCTTGGTTCTTGATCTTCTCCTATTCCTTTTCGCTGCAAAATATCCCGTCATTTAACTATCGGGAGCTTTGATCGTGATCGTGGAACTTGGAGACATGCAGGGGGTTTGACCTTCTACTACATACTTCGGTAACTTTTCCGCTCTCGTGACCAGGCCGCCGATCTATACAATAGGCTTGCCCTGCTATTAATTTCGCCTTCTCGATCCGAAGCTCTCTTAGTTGCGGAGTAAAGTAGGTCGTGGAGACCTTCAACAACAACCCAGACTTTCCTACTCAGAAAGCCGCTCAATCAGAAGGACTACAAACGATACCAAGATGATTGCTGCAAACGTTCCCCATCTCCCAGACGGAGACTCGCCTGACCTGATCCTGGTCCCCGCCACTCCTGAAGAGCGTATCGCCTCCATCAAGCTCAATAGTACCGCCTGGAAGGGTTTCTTGGATGTCGAAACCTACATTGCGCGTGAAGATCACCTCCGCAGCCAACGACTTACTCGAGATGGACTGACCTGCTGGATCTTGGTCGACGGTAGCGAGCCCGAGGGTGATCGCACTATCTTAAGCTCCTGCGAGACCTACCAGAAGAAAGCCCTCCTCGCACACGACGGCCAAGTGGAAGATGTATCCACCCACGGCATAGGATGTGTCTACTGTCGACCGGAGTTCCGGGGCAAAGGTTACGCAAAGCGCATGCTCGAAGAGCTCAGCCGGAAGCTGGATACATGGAAAATGGAAAAGCAGCCACGAGGCAGAGCATTTTTCACAATTTTGTTCTCGGATATCGGAAAGAAGTTTTATGCACAGTTCGGCTGGCGGCCATACTCATCCTCGCATATGGTGTTGCCGGCTCGGGCGAAGGAGGAGCTGTCCAATGGGGTGGTAGGGACGAGTGTGACACGGGATTTGTATGCCGAGGACGTCGACAAGAATATGTGCAACGACACCGTCATTACCAAACTGCGTGAGGACATGCGGGTCGCCTCGAAAAAATCACAAACCGCCAAGGTGGCTATCCTGCCTAACTTGGACCACTTTGTGTGGCACTGGGCTCGTGAGGAGTTCTACGCGCAGCAGCTATTCTCGAATCGCCAACCACCGATTATCAAGGGTGCAGGCAATGACGACGTCCGCGTATACTGTGCGTGGAATCGGAAATTTGGCGAGACACCTGAAGACAGTGTGCTTTACATCTTGCGGTGGGTGTATGACGAGCCTACATCACCCGAGGCAGAGCAAGCATTGGTCCAAGCGATGGCCGATATCTTGCGGCGAGCTCAGCAAGAGGCCAAGGAGTGGGGTCTGAGCAACGTCGAATTCTGGAATCCAGAACCTTTTTTGCAGAAGGCTGTCAAGGTGCTGGATCCCGATGCAGAGGTCGTGCACCGTGAGAAGAGCAGCATTTCCTGCCTGCGCTGGACCGGTGACGAGCATGGACTTGGTCAGGATGTGGAATGGATTTTGAACGAGAAGTATACTTGGTGCTGATGCAAATTGCTTGGGTATCATTTCGAAAGGGTTTGCTTTTGCTCATCTGAGAATTATGATCATACTTGGAGGTTCAAGTACGGAGGTCATCATCACATGAGCTATTGGGTGGCAGACGTGACATATTCTTTTAGAGAGTGCCTGGCATGATAGATCAGGCTACTCCATCAATGGCGCGGCAGCGTATTTGATGATTTGCAATCAGTGGCGCTTTTGATTTTTTAGCAATTCATGCCAGTTTCTGGTGGATTTGACTTTGGCAGCTGTAGCTGGCGCAGCGGCAGAAGTCTGGCTGACTTGCTGCCGTTGCGATGGTTCAACGAAGCTTATTGTCGTAGGATCGGGGCTCTGATATGATCCCTCTTGTAACTTGGATAGAGCAACCTCGCTTCTCCAGGACTCTGGAAGGCAATCTTTCCATTCACGGAGGAAGTCGCTCCGCCCGATCGCGGATGATGATGTGGGTGCTGTGGCAGCGAGATATGTCTCACCCACCCATTGCGTACACTCGGCCTTGTCAAAGCTTGCCCCTGGATAATCATCAGATCAGACTGGACATGACACTAAACATCGGACCATTAGTAACTCACACTTAATCTCATCAGCCAATGCTGGCCCCTCATCCAACACACAGAGTCTCCTCACCACGGCTTCAAGGAGCGCTCGTGGGAACGGAGGATCCGAAGTGTCGTCTTCGTCAAGGACTGATTTCCACAAGTCTCTTACCAGAAACTGCTTCTCGAGGTCAATTGTTTGTAATATCGCACCCTCCATCAAGCGCTTCCACACATTGAGCCGCATTCGTGCCGAAGGCCGCCAGCATGCGCCTTGCTTCTCGTCGACAAACGCGCAAATTTCCCTCCAGCCAGCTTCACACTGCGCCGAGGACACTGGGATATCCACAAAAACACGATCCCGCAACTCAGCCAGGCCCAATGCGCCGAACCCACGTGAAGACTCATCCATAGGAATATCCCCGTCATCGTCGCCGCTCCGGCGATCGTATAGACCCAAGCTCTTCTCCAGGAAGGGGACTGCAGAAAACCCTCCAGGAGGAACATGTAGTTCCAACGTTGATCTGCATTTCGCAATTGCTGTCACGGCCTCATCAGGGAGGTTCAAGGAGCCGCTCTCGCCGGCTTCTTCTTCAACGACTTTGATGTCTGCTCTTGAGATCTGTCCAAGGCTAGGTCGAAGAATATGGAGAGAGTTTGATGACTGTACTTGGCGGATGCGGTAGGTTTGCGTGGGCGTACACAGATTGACATATTCTAAGGCACTTGGGTCGACAACGGCGCGGGCGAGGGCTGCGGAGGGAGATTTGAGCTCGAGTCTAGTAGATTGGTATTTGTAAGTGGTTTAGTTGCAAGAGGAAGCCTCTGAAAAACAGCACCCGAGAACAGGCCAACGTTGGACAAGCCAGAACTTCCACGTTATGCGGACGCTAAGGCATGGATGAAGCAGTCAACTTACGCGGGGGCATCCTTGGAAGAGAACAACTTCTCCAGTTCTGGGGTTAGCTCCAATAGCCGAAACCCCTGTTGGGGATTTGTATTGGTGAAAAGAATACTGCTTGAGTTTTGAGTCGCCATTGGAACGAGCAAATATCTCCAAGCGCGATCTGCAAGAAAAGTTGATGAGATGCCAAAAGAAACGCGCGCGGACGCGATGGACACGCGCTGGTTGTGCACGGACCACCGTTTAATGGTCGACTATGAAGCTGGTCAACCTTCTGGATTCTCGGACAAGTCGATCTGAAGATGAAACATTATTGCTTTGTTCGGACAACTTTAGGTGGTTCTGAATTATGAATTGGCTATTGAGGTAATCTCACCTGTGGGAAATGCCGCTACAATTGCGTCAGCGCCCGGTCAACCCTTTCCGGGGTTGAGACGGACGTGGAGGGCTTTCCATACATGAAGCTTCCTTGCCTCGCGCTACACATACCCAGCCAGGCCCCCAATCAGGCACACCTCCAACGAATTAGACGATGTAAATTGCTCGTCCACTTCCTTGAACGAGGCTCTATAAACGAGTCAGCCAATCACAACCAGCCAAAGAGACGATTAATTTCCTCATCCTTACTCTTCAAACATTTTTGTCAACTATGCCATGCTCTTTGGCTAGTATATACTGCTGTCTCGTGCAGCTGTTCTATAATTGTTCAGGCAACTAGATATGATTGTTAGCAGAGTATTCAAAGGCCCTCGTGGTTTTTGCCTATAAAAAGAAGACAATATGATGACTAGTAACCAGAAGGACCTTGTTCAGTTCTTGCGCATTTGCGGCAACATTTTCTTGGTTAGAGTCTTTCCGTCGCTTTTATAGTTTCTGAGTCTACGTTGCGCAACTTCCTCCAGCCAAGGCCCTCTCACCGAAAATGCGACAATATCTCCCTATCCTATGCTCTCTACTAGTGACATCTCTTACGGCTTTTGCAACACCAATTCAAACACCTGCGGCAGTCTATAGCCAGTCACCACGAGATGAGATATCAACCACCACAGCCATATCATCAACAACGACAGATCCAACATCTACAACTACGGAGACGGGATTTCATCTTACCCTGAGCCTCAACCTGCCATCCAACACTTGCCCACCCACCGTCGCACCAGACAAGAATGGCTGGGTTCCTGTCTCGCAATGCAATGCCCTCTATCTCTACTACCCATCTTTCAAAGCAGCGATTGCATTCGCCGTTCTCTTCGGTCTACTCATGATGGCGCATTTTGTCCAGGCTACCATCTACAAGGCAGACTTTGCTTGGGTCGTTCTAATGGCGTTCCTTGGGAATGCGTGGGTTATACCACCCGTGCTTTGAGTACACGCAATCAGCAGGATAACACGATTTCCACTGTTACCCAAATATTCATTCTTCTAGCTCCACTATGTAAGTCTTTACTTATCACTGCTTTATAGCTCACATATACTGATACCTCTGTCTTTGCGTCAGGGGTCAATGCATACTTCTACATGGTCTTGGCTAGGATGGCATACTTCTTCATACCAGAACTACAAATCAGCATCTTCAAACCTTCACTTCTCGCAGCAATCTTCATCCTGCTTGACTTTGGTTCTTTCATCATCCAGATCATCGGCGGAATGAGCGCAAGCCCGGGCCAACCCAACAATGCAGTAATGAAAGGAATCCACATATAAGTGGCTGGCATTGGCATCCAGCAATTCTTCATCATTTGTTTCCTGGTCGTCGCCATTCGGTTTCACACACAGATGTTGCAACTAGACGGCGGGGAAGATTATTCGCAGACAAGCGGCGGTGGAGACATCTACTGTACGCTTTATACGGGAGTCTTGTTTTTATTCCGGTGCGAATCATATACCGCCTGGTGGAGTTCTCGGCCGGCGAGACTACGGCTAATCCTATTCCCTATCATGAATGGTATATATATGCGTTCGATGCGGTGCCAATGCTCTTTGCCATTGCGGTTTGGAATATCGCGCCTACAGGAGCAGTGTTACAGGGGTCCGATGCTAAATTGCCACCTAGTGGGCTCGGAAAACTTTTGACATGTTGGAATTGTTGCAATTTGTGTGTTTGTCGTGGCTGTGCATGCTGTTGCCGAACGTGTAGAAGGCGGGAAATGAAGAAGATGCGACGAATTCCGGATTTGGGAGGGGAGATGTTGCCGCTGAGGGGGACTCCACCTTGTCGGTAGTTAGAGACTTTTGGTGTATACAGGCTACTTGGAAGAATTGATAGATACTAGCCCTTGTTGAAGATATGGCTTGAAGCCTTGTACAGCAGACAGACAACCTTTTACGCATTTCTATTCTCACCCATCAGTTATGCCTACAATTGTATTTAAATATTGCTAAAGCACTGAATATGGACACCAATTCCTCCCATTGATCAGTTGAGCTCACCAGGGCCTCCAAACTCTAGGGCGGGTTTCGTTTCACCCCTACCCGAAACCCGCCAGGCACAACACACTTGATAACAACAGCACATATAGTTTCTCATGGAGCTAGAAGTCCCTAGGCCCAAGGGCTATATTATAGAACAAAATTACCCCTGACTGTAGTCATCTGTGGTACAATCTTTTTCATTATCTGCTTTCTTGGCATCTGACTCTGTCACCCACCACCATGGGATTTGCATCTAATGCCTTATATTTTGCACTTCATCCAAATCAACTAGGAACATTAATTCAGTGGTATGCTTACTATACCCAATATTCCAAGCTTGGAGAAGGCTCACTAACAAATACCCATCGCCCATAACAGGAGCCTACGCCAAAGACCTCACCACGTAAGAGACAAAAACAACGAGACAGCCACAGCAAAAACCTGTTTCAATTTCCTCCGCAAAACAGGCCGCAGTTTCAGTCCCGTCGTCGAAGAACTGCATCCAGAACTAGCATTACCGGTATGCATTTTCTATCTGATCCTGCGTGGCCTCGACACAATCGAGGATGACACCTCGATCCCGCTGGAGATCAAAGAGCCTCTCCTTCGCAATTTCAAGGACTATCTCGACGAAGACGGTTGGAACTACACAGGCAACCGCCTAGAGGAAAAAGACCGCGAACTCTTAGTTCAATTCGACAATGTCATCGTCGAATTCAAGAAGATGAAGCCAGTCTACGCGGCGATCGTGCGCGATGTCACGGAGAAAATGGGGAATGGCATGGCTGATTATGCACGCAGGTCAGCTTCGGAGAAAATCGGTATCGAGTCCATTGCAGAGTATGACCTCTATTGCTGGTATGTAGCCGGTATAGTAGGCGAGGGACTGACGCGTCTCTTCGTTGAGGCCGAGCTAGCGGAGACGGATCTGATCAACCAAGGGTTATACAAACCGATGGGTTTATTCCTACAAAAGACTAATATCATTCGGGATATACGCGAAGATCGAGATGATGGTCGACGGTTCTGGCCTGAAGAGATCTGGTCCAAGCACGTCGACCACTTTGACGATCTATTCCAACCCGAGAATCGGGGTCTCGCGCTCTCATCCAGCTCCGAGATGATACTGGATGCTCTGCAGCATGTATGTGATTGCCTGTCGTATCTCGCTGGGTTGCGTGAGCAGAGCGTTTTCAACTTCTGCGCTATTCCTCAGTGTATGGCTATCGCCACGCTGGAGCTGTGTTTCTGCAATCCGGCCCTTTTTGACTCGAGTCTCAAGATATCAAAGGGGGATGCGCTTGGACTAGTTGTTGAGGCTGGTCGGGGGATGGAGAATGTGTGTCATGTCTTCTGTCGATATGTTGATCAAATTCAACGGAAGATTCAACCAGAAGACCCTTATTACTTGGGAAGCCGCGCTAAATGCGACGAGGTATGTGTTTTTGGCACCAGATTAAGTTGGCCTGAATAGCTTATTTCTTTTAGATTCGAACATTTGCCAAAACGCTAGCGCTTCAGAGTGCTGATGGTGTTGGTGTTGGTGGTACAAGTCAGGGAAAGACTTTGGTCAGCGCAGAGGAACAACAGGGAGAACCTCTCCATCTGTCTGGCATAGATCAAGAGGCCCGAACTGTGACTGGACGAGCGTTTGCATATTCAACAGGCATATCACTATTAGTACTGGGAACTGCATGGCTCATCAGAGCCCGTTCGAACGCTGCCTGATTTCTAGCCAGGGAAAAGAGCGTGTAATCAACTTGCCAATTGTCATTCCAGAATACCACATTGCTAGCTCCAATATCACGCCCTCTAAAATGCTGTCTAGTATACCATGCAAAAAAGAAAACCACCCGAAAACACAGGACATATACAAACCAAAAAAAAAAACGGGAAAGACCAAGAACCCCATGTAAGAAAACCAAAGACAGCGCAGTGCATTTGTGTCGCTTGAAGGTAAACTGACTCCAATTTCAGCAGAGCGAGTTGGTGTGAAAAGAAAGTCCCGAAAGAGTAGCAAAAGTTCTTTATCGGTCAAGACATGGCTGCTCCGAGGGCCAGCGAGCACACCATGTCTTGCATGCTTAGGATCCAGCCGGCTGGATATGTCGAACTAGAGCCGACCGAGAGCTTAAAAGAACGGCCGAGCCCTCAATCGCTCTAAAGATTGGAAAAGCCCTTTGCAGAGTCTTTGGCCGGTTGAGCAGCGGGACCCTCGTCGGAACCCTTGTCCGAGCCCTTGGCAGCATTATGAGCCTTGGCCTTGGTGCTGTCTGTTTGTTCCTGCAGTTCACGTTCACGCTCTTCCTGCTCGCGGGCTTCACGCTCCATCTCCTCCATATGGCGCAGGTCATCCACGCTGGGCTCGTACAAATGCCAGATGACATAATGCGGCAGTCCAATGACGGAGAATTTCATCCGTTTGGCCATCTGAAAAGATTGTTAGCTGCTGGGAATAGAAAGACGCATGAATCGATGGATCTTACCTTGCCAAAGCCCTCGGTCTCAGCGTGCTTTTCAAAGCTAAATGCTGGGAAATGGACACCGGCGCGGAATACGCGGGCCTTTGCCAGGATGCTGACACCACCAATTCCGTCCAGCTCCATCTCCATATCCGGGTCTCCAAAGGGATCGCGGAGGTAGGCCAGATGGGGTCGCCATGTGGCGTATTCGGCATATCCCTCCACAATAACGGCGTCTTCATCTAGACTCTCGGCCAAGGCTAATGCGGTTTCCGATTCCTGCCAGGAATTTAGATCGTAAGGTTGTTCACCACCAAGCCAATCCGGGAGTGGCCGCCACACGTCTAGAGGCCAGGGTTAGCACCACTCGTGGAGATTGTAGACAATGGAAGAGTCACGTACTCGGGACAGTCACATCCCTGTTATGCCGCATCAGATCCTCGATAATCGTGAATGGCGCAGTCTCGACATCTGCGTCTCTCCAATAGACCCAGCTATGGGTGGGACGCAACGTCGCGCTCAGCAGCCAATTCCTCGCCTGAGCCATCAATTTCCGCCGACTCGCCTGAGCCTCGAAACCATGCCGACTCTCGACATCTTGCTGCACCTTCTGACCAAAATCTTTCTCTATAACGGAGATCTCGCCAAAGTTCATCTTCGGGTCCGGGTCATTCTGCACCTCCTGCAGCATGCGCGTGAGCATGCCCAGTGTGTCGTCGCGTGAGTCGGACACCAGGAAGGCTAGGTCGATCAGGTTGTGGGGGTAGGTGAGGTTTCGCAGGTGCGAGAAGAACATGGGCAAGTGGGACGAGGCATCGCGCAGCGGAGTTAGCATGAGGACGCGTTCGCCACGCTCCCAGCCTTTCTCCGTGCCTTGAACTTCGGAGAGATCATAGTACCGGACTGTTTGGAGCTGGAGGTCCTCCGAAGGATGTACGAGACCAAGGGATAGAGTCGGGATGATGGCGGCGCGCCAGGAGGGAAAGATGAAGATCACTAGCAAGAGTGATACCCCGCCGAGTAGGAGCAGCCGTTGGAACAGTTGACGCCGTCGGCGGAGGGCGGGTTGCGAACGAGGCTGGAAGCTACTGAGAATTGTCACGAAACCCGGTTAGTGTTGATTGCTCTTCTGGGGTGGGCTCTCTGATCAGCCATCATTTTTTGGCGATTGTCCTTGGCCCCATGTGGCTCCAATGGGGGGTTGCGATGCACGCCTGGGACCCGTTACGTACCGATTGGGCGAGATGGAGAAGGCGCTGGGCGCTCGGGGGTAGGCTGAATAGCCCTTTGGAGAGGCGTACTGCCTGTTCATTGCGAAGAGATGGGCAGCATCGAGGAAGAAGGAAGATTGAAGAGGCGATTGCTCTGTAGCCTAGCGACCAGTCCTCGGCAGAGTCTCGAAAGGCCAGCTCGAGATTGGATGAGGCGGAGGAAGGGAGGAATGTAGGGAGATCAACAAGGGCAGGGGAGAAGCACAGAGAAATAAAAGGGAAGACGAAGAGCAAAGAAGATGAGTGAGAAGAAGTCAACGAGGCAAGAACGAGAGAGCTGCAATTGAAGGTACAGTATCGAGCCAAAAAGATCGAAGATTCGCTGGACGGACATGTGTTGCCAGGCGGGCCGATCTGAGCGTTTCCGCTTGGACAAACACGCGACGAATCCGGTCGACCGTTTGCGGCCGATCGAGGACAAGGGACACAATTGGTACGAAAGAAGTACAGTTGAAGGAGACAACCAAGATAACAAGGACATTGTTAAGTACATTGATCTCGAATACTATGTACGCGAGTAGCCTACGTAGTGATGTCGTACTTTGTGTACGAGGCGTACATTAGTTTGAACTCAGAGACTACTACTGCAGTGTTGCTCGTGTCGTGTAGTACGTCAGACACTCCGCAGCCAATCGGCATCACCCAGTTTTGGCACTTTGGGATTGTCAAACACTCCCCAAACATCTCAATCAACTCCCCCTGTTGATCCTGTTGATCCTGGTGATCCGATCAACCCCAGTTCAGATCACCTCCTTCTCATCCTCCCTCAATAGGTCGTCGGCGCAGGACTAATCGATACAGGCGATCCCTTTGAAGCACTCCCCTCAACCTGTCGCATCATCCGCAACAGCAACGATTCCATCGCCGCGCCGTCGCGCAGTGTCCCCAGGACGGATCCGGCCTCGTACTCTCCATCCAGGATGAAGTACCTTTCGGCCTGCTCCACCGCACCCCGACGGAATGCGACTTTGGCGATCGCCTTGGCTGGAACACTGGCCTTGTTGATCGAGCTGCGCGATACCATGCGCAGAATCGGCCCCAGCCCCGACCGTGTCTGATGTGCCACCCGTACCGACAAGGGGGCCCCGGTTCGCAGGTGGCTCGCCCCAGCCATACCCCCGGGATCTAGCGTGAAGATGTCCAGCGCGATACTGCCGGCCTATATTTGGGAGAGCTTCTAGTCAGCACTTGCATGAGCAGAATGCACGTTGTGGAATCTGACCGGGGTGGACCAGCGATCGGGTGTCAGACTGGGAACTTACACTGGCCAGGCTGCGTCGCAATGCATATAGCGCCACGCTCGCGAGAAGCTTACTACTCCCGAATCGAATATTCCCTTCCTTGCGACTCAGGATCGTCCCCGGCGGACGAGTATCGCGTCCTTGATCGCGGTCGAAGAAGTCAAGCCGACCTTCTGACGCCGTGGAGCAGCCGATGTAGATCACTTTCGCGCCTCCGTCGGGGGTTCCATCGCCCGCGCGGAACGCCTCGAGTAAGCCGACTGTCAGGAGGAACGGTGCGAAGCAATTGGTTTGGTAGACGGGGTCATACCCGTCCAGGGTGAGTTCGTCGACGGTGTACGATGCAATAGCGGCGGAGTGGATGAGATTGAAGATGGGCGGGATTTCTTTACTTCGTACTCGCTCGATGGTCCGCTGGGCAAAACTGTTCACGGACTGGAGGTCGGTGAGGTCGAGACTGAGGATTTCGATGGATCGGGGCCCGATTAGTCGGATTCGTGAAATGAGGTCCCGCGCATCTTGTCGTTTGGGATGTCGGGCTGTAATGAGGAGATGTGTGAAGGGTTGTGTTTTGGCGATGGCAACGGCGATCTCGGATCCTAAGGAGCCATTTCCTCCGGTGATGATCACGGTCCCTGTCAGTGACCTCCCCATATCACTGTAGGTGTGTCTGTACTCTGTAACTCCGGATGTGGTTGAGGCGAGGAGGTCTAGAGAATCACAGCAGCAACGATGCGATCAGACGGCTTAGATTGCATCCCAAAGTGGTAAGGCTTCAATAGTAGCGATATATCAGAATGTGACCTTGCAGGTATATCGAAAAGCTTAAAAAAGGAGGCTTGAAGGCACTAAAAAAAAATTAAGAGAACCTAGAGGCCGTAGCCAAGTGCAAGGAAAAATGAAGAGAAGAAAAAAAATCAAATCATGCATCTCTGACAAAGATGAACTATATACGGAACTGCGGGCCTTGGAGATCGTCTCCATCCGCTCTCAACCAGGGCCAACAGGTTGAACAAGTTTGGGCCAATGGTTTCCAACGGGGCATGAAGCGGTGTCAGTGTCGACATGTCTCAGCTCACGGCGAAGGGGGGCTCCTTACAAGAAAAACAAAAGACGAGTGGATCAATCAGATGCGGACACAAACGACGTGCTGCGTTAGTGTCGAGCGAGAGACCCAGACGAGTGGGAACGCCTTGGCCCCTGGAAAGACAAAAATAAAACTCGCTTTATAATCTTCCAACGGTGAGAAAATGGTGGAGTTTCCTTGTTTCGACAATGAGAAGAGAACTAGCGCCAACTGCACTCGTAACGAACCATGTTACAACCCTACAGCCCTCGATATTAAAAATGCTGGTCCAGTGGCTTTCGGCCCGGTGGTGTGCTTCCATGTGGCGTGCTGGCAAAGCCATTTCGTGGCCTTGGCAGATCTTGACGGCCACATCATCAACACGAACCGTGGAAGGATTGGCGGTTCAGATCGGCCCTAGCGATGGGTTACGATCCGGCGGCTAGTCCGGACTGTAGCCCGACCGATCTCTGTCAAACTGCGTTGGGCATAGCCTCAACCTTCAAGGCTGTGTCTGGACTACCCCATAGAGCGAACTTGTGAAGACTGAAGAGAGCGGATTTGACCGAGCAGCTCACGCTAACTGACGAGCTAGCCCAACCGACCAGTTTCTCTAGTCATCGTTTGACACATCAGCAGCCGAGATGGCGTATGAAGAAGTGGATAGGATTACTGTAGTACTTTTATCGCTGTACTGTCGACTCAGCAGTGATTTCGTATGAATACAGCCCCGCGTCGGGGTTTCGAGCGCTTTCTCTTATCCCGACTAGCCAATCTGCTTGGTCGCTCTTGACTCCCTTGTTTTAGGCTTAGACATGCATGGTCTCGTCAATGCGAGCATCTTGGCTGCCCAATGATTCTCGTGAGAAGTTTTGATGAGATGGCAGAACTACTAAAAGCTGCTCACAACATCAATTACACACAATCTGTTCTGCCTCCTTTGGCCATAAAGAGAGAAAAGCAAACAGAATCTTGGCGCTGCCTAAGATCGAGACGGGGGTTGACATGGCCATAAATGACGCCATTGCATCTCATCTTGAAAATACTAGCCAGTAAGGAATGGTTGCAATACTACAAGTTTGAAGAGACCAGACAGTCAGCCAGACACTAGCTTAAGGACTATTTTGCCTAAAAACTGAAGGCTTGTTCCGGTAGGCATCTTGAACGTGCGATGTGGAGAAGTATACGGGGTAAGGATTCCAAAGATTTCACAGTTGTTCGAGTCTAATTCCGGAAAGTGAACCAGCTCGCAGGCGACTGAAAGTGTATCAATCAAGCCGAGATATCAACCAGGATTTTGATATGTTTATCCTTTTCATGGATGAGTGCCTTGAATCCCTTCTCGACTATCTCCTCCATGGCAATCGTGCTGGTAATCATCGATCGCGGGTGAATCATGCCTTCATTTGCACACGTCAGCATAGACCTAGACCCAGTATCAAGGGATCTGATCAATACTCACCTGATTCAATAGCACCAATCACATCCTCAAAGTCTCCTTCATCATACACCACAGCACCAGCGATATGCTTCTCCCCAAGAACAACAGCAATTGCGTCCAAAACCGGCTTCTTCTCCCAAAGTGACAGTATAACCGTTGTGCCACGCACCCTGGTACCTGCCATGGCTGTATCAAGTCCCGCCTGAACACCAGAGGATTCAAAGGCAACGGAGACACCTCTGAAAGCACCCGTGATAGCACGGATCTCTGCAACGGCGTCAACCTCCGTGGGATCCAGAACATGAGATGCTCCGAAAGTAGCGGCAAACTCTCGTCGTCGTTTGGAGACTTCCACGACGATGATTGTGTCGATTTCTCGTGCTTTTAGTACTTGCACGATGGCTAGGCCAATGGGACCGGCTCCGACGACTAGCGCCGTGTCGCCTTTTTGGAGTGAGCTGCGTTTGACGGCATGCCAGGCGACGGATAGAGGTTCTACCAGTGCTATAAAAACAGGGTTAGTGCTAGGTAAGTTGATCTTGTTAATGTTTCTTCCTCGCTCTGCCTACCTCCAATTTCTAATGGGATCGAATGCGGTAGCAGGATCGCATGCTTTCTATCCACGACAATATGATCGGACAGACCACCAGCACTCCCTTCAGCAAATCAGTAAGTATACTTAGTATACGAAAAGTATGTAACTCCGCCGCATAGAGCAAGGAGCAACTCACCACTATATCCAATAAAGCCAAGGCTGTTGCAGCAGTTGAGCCTCCCAATCGAGCATGACCAACAGGTACCATCCGACAGATTCGGCTTAACGGCAACCTTATCACCCACTTTAAGATCTGTTACGTCTGCTCCAACCTCTTCGATTATTCCGCTGAACTCATGACCGAGCGTAGTCGGGAGTTTCTCGCCGGTGACTGGGTGCGGGGTTCGAGGTACTGCATGTGGCCCACCCATATACTCATGAAGATCTAGGAATGAGATTTGATGGTGAGATACATGCCGAGAAGCTGGGAAATACATGCTCGGTGACTTACCACTGCCGCATATTCCGACGAATGCTGGTTTAATCTGTGGATGGTGAGTAGTTGAAATCTTTTGTAGCAAGTCAAGAGTTCACGGCCTGGCATACTTTGACTTGTCCACTTCCGCATACTGGCTCTGGTACATCGTCTACTCGGACGTCCTCTCTGCCATGGTAGCGAACCGCTCGCATAGTGGCTTGGGCGTTGTTTGGCTCTACGTGTGTGGAAAGAGATTGGCGACAGAATGAATGTGGCAATGCAAGGAGCGCATGTAGAGAATATATAGCCAGCGAAATCAGGGAGTCTTTAGAAATGGCCTGGGGTTAATTGAAATGGTCATCTGTTATGTGGCTTCTTCATCCGAGGTCCAACTCTTCGGCCCCGCATATCCCCATGGGGGACGACGAGTCCATACCACACATAGTGAGTCCCACATTTTCTGGGCATGACTACCGCGGAATAACCCCGTCCTCTTTGAAAGAGCCATAAGATCACTTTTAAAACTGGTTAGACAGTCATGAAACACGAGGCTGGGTTACGATGAAAAAGATAAGATTGGCCGTCATCACAGTGTTTCATTAAAAAACAGCTAAAAAAAATCAAAGAAGGAATCCTGGCGAGGCTTCACCTGCTCTTTCGAGTCAGAAGCCCCTTGAGAGCCTCCGTTTCGCCTTCCAACTTCGAGACCTTGAGTCTCAGCTCATCCCTCTCCCTCCGCACACTTTCCAATTCATCTTCCAGACTCTTCATCCGGTCAACTCGTCTCTGGCGACACCTTCGTGCCGCGAGTGTGTTTAATTTGCGTTTTTCAACGCGAGATGAGTCCACACGGGTCAGCACGTCGTCACCCTGTGAAGTGGCAGGGCTAGATAGAGATGTTGAGACGGAGCCGGGAATCTGGGAGATGGGGGAAGCATGCGATGGCACATCTGTTGGGAAGTGGTTAGAACGCTGCTTTGAGGATATTGATATAGATTTCTATTCAGGTTTAGTTCTTACCTTGTGAATTAGACGGGCTAGGAACGAGAGAGGAAGGAAGAGGCTGAGGCTCGTTGGATCCCGAATCCGAAAGCGAGCCGAAGGTGGAGGGTACACCATAAGCCAAGTCATTGACGGTGACATGAACACCGTCAAAGCCGGACGGATACAGCGTAGGAGGGTCGATAGGTAAGAAGTTCCAGTCAGAATTGGTCAAGGACAGAGGCGGCTCTGCCCAAAGATCCGACTCTGGCGTGGCAAAGGTATCAAAGGATTGGATGTACGGCGAGACCGAAGGAATACATTCCAACGGAGGCGCCAACGAAGAGAAAGAATGGTCTTGGAGTTGGTATTGGTGTTGAATAAAGGAGTGACTAGACCATGGAGAAGAGTCCACGAGGCCGTTTGAAGGTTGGATCGAGTTGCTGAGGCTGCCAGAAGAGTGTGAAGGTCTGGTAAACGGCCGCGACGCTGGTGCACGTGCTTGCCGACATGGTGAGATTCTTTAGTCGGGCCTAAGCGGGCCCGGGGCGCGTTGCCTTGATTGCTTTGAAGTTGCTACCGGAAGTCCTGGGGACTTGGAGGAAATGGGTTGAACTCGGTCGCAAAGGCCCGAGGAGTGGTGTCCTGAGGAAGAAACGACGGAGCGAGAGAGGGGGACGGTGTTATATCAGGCAGGCGACGAGGGGGCTTAGAGGGACCACCCCCGCTTGGATGCAGCGGAGTCCGGTGGTTCCTGCGATTTCATTGGTTTGTGATACAAGACTCATCGTGACTCATTTTAGTGCGTGCCGAATTGGCCTATCACGGCCGAGAAATTTGGAAGTGGGGCTTCTCTTTGGTAACATTGGGAGATCTCCTGAGAAGAATGAGACTGTGGCGGATCAGTTGAGGAATTTTTGCCTGAAGACATTCTGTCATGGCCCTCAGTCAACAGAGCTCAGTGTGTTTTCAGGGGTTTAAGGTTAATTAGGGCTGAGTCGGGCCAAGCCATGGCGGGATGAATTCAACTTGGAGCGGAAAGTATATCCACATGGGAGTGCTGACATCTTGGGCTATTACAGTGTAGATATTCTGCAACTTGCTTGGCGATCTTGTCCATGGTGTAGACAATTTACGAGATCTGCCGTATCCAAACTCTTCTTAATCTACACATACAGCAAACAAAGTAGTATTGCAGAAGGCAGCATGCCACGGAGACCGAGTATGAAAGATGAAAGAGAAGCTATGTTCTAATCATGGCCCTTAACTGGCCATTGACCGTTCCAGCGGAGAGACGCCTTGACTTCGAGTCACCGAAATTATTACTTGCTTCTATCCATCAGTCAAACGTAGACTCGCGCATGACTGGACTCCGCTGTCGAATTTCAGGTCCCTTGAGCACAAGTACCACCGGTACGACAGACAGAGCAACGCCGATAAATCCCAATAAAGTTCCAGCCCAGCCAAACCCTAAATGCGTAAAAAGGGCCGTGGATGAGAGAGGAAGAAGGCCGCTCATGATGTTCCGGCCAAGCGAGGTAGCCGAGAGCGCCGACGCAGCATATCTCTCGTACGCATCAGTCAAGAAATTGATACCCGCCATCAGTATAGAGAATATCCCGGCTCCAGTGCACCCAATGCCCAGTGTTGGCACAATCCAATGGACTGAGCCATGGCCGACACTACCCCAGCCGTACCAGAACAAGCCACTGGCGAAGAGAAGACTGCCGGGAATGGAAGTATAGAGTCGGGATTCGGGGATGGGCTTGCCAGGGGTATCCGTCTGGGTGTTTTTTTTGGCTGATTGTCGATACATAGCATCCTGTATAGGATTGAATACAACACCGATAAAGGCGCCGACTAGAATGGATAGCTCATCGAGGCCAACGTTGAAAACCCCCCATTTGTAGTTCTCATGGAACGTGAGGTACACGCTATTGAAGAAGAGGAATAAAATCCCCCAAGCGAAACTGAGCCAGAGTGTAAAGAAGGTAACAACGGGTTCGGTGACAAGCATTCGGGTAGGGCGTGTTGTAGAGACTTTGAGTCGTTCCCATGCGCTAGGCATTTCGAGCTCGGACTTGGTATATATTGGTCGACCCGTTTGTTGACGAAGTCTTTTAGCACGTTTCCCTAAGATCACGTCCCCCCGTGTCTCATAAAGGATAAGATAGAAGAAAGGAATCAAGGCCACTGCCCAGATTATTTGAACGTAGAAAATCCTAAAAGAACAGTGAGTAGTTGTTAGTACCTAGGGCTTGAATAATTTAGCAGTTCATACCACCTCCAGGAAGTGCCAATATGAATTCTCTGCAAACTTCCACCGACAAAGGGTCCAATGGCAACGCCAACCACATTGGAAAACACATAAAGTGACATCGGGCGACTCCGAGCCACACTACCACGCCAGAAATCACTGATAGAACCTCCAATTATGTTGATGGTAGATGCAGCTGCACCGCCGCCAAAGCACCGGGTTACCACCAAAGTGGCAAAGTTCCGGGCAAAGGCCGATGGGAAAAGACAAATGATGTAGGTAGTATATCCAACACCATATCCAGGCATGCGACCCCATGATTCCGACAGCGGGACGAAGATGGGAGGTATAAACGCGGCTCCCAGTTGGAATGACATCGTCGCCCATTGCAAGTTAGGAAAAGGCTTGTTCTTAACGTGAAACTGGTTGGCCACGTGAAGCTGTCCTCCGCTGTATGATCCAGCCGGTATAGCAACAAGGACAGCCCTGTGAATGCAATGAGTATTCGCTAACCAGGTGAGGGAGAGGCGTTGTACTGACATAAAACACGTCGTTATCGTGAGTACCCATTTATATGTCTTGCTCCAATTGAATCTGCAGTAATTAGTTTCCGCTATGAACGGTTCTCCTTTCTTTCTTTTTCAATGAAACATACGGATTTTCTGGATCGTCTGGCCCGTCCCAGTAGTGGATTTCAGCTTTTTGGTAGTCTGGTGGCGAGGAAGGGTGACTATGCAACAATCGATTGAAGAATGACCGAGTCCTGTCACGTAGTGAGATGAATTGTCTTTCCAGAATGACAAGAGCTTCCTCATTGCTGCTTGGTTACCGTGATGAATCATTTTGGCCTGCGTTCGCATCTCCAGTGCCTCCCGGCGATATGTACCCGTCAGGATCATTCATTGGAGCTTTTCATATACAAGTAGTCCCTCAGAAGATAAAGAGGTGACTATCAAGGCGGAGAAATATGTAATGAACAAATCCAAAGGGGAAACAAGAACTTCTTTTGTGAAACTACGAGCCTGCGCGGTGGCACTTGGAGGCTCCATTGCGCCCCTCGGACGCGGCTCCGAACCATGAAGCTGTCGGCTAATACGGATGGAATGATGAAATGTGCAATAAATCAGCTTTAACACCCACGGCACTTTCAGCCGAGATATACACGGGTAATCGCTAGATACAGACCAAGTAATAATACACCCATTCAAGGACACGACATGGACATGGACATCTGATATGCCAACGGCAACCTTGAAAAAAGATCGTTGAAATGATGGAAATATAGTTGTTGTCTGCTATCGATGATTCCATGCGGATGAATAGAGTCTGCTGTCGGTACGGGAGTGCTGGCTGATGATATCTCCATGAAGTCATGGCTATGACGGATCAGATAACCGACCGGTTACCTTGTTGATGGAAATTCCCGAACAGCATGAAAGAGTTATTATTACCTCGATTTATAGCAATTTTGTTTATTAAAATGCCAAAAATTCACACCATGACGCCTCCTACAAGACCCTCGATCACCCTTCCCCAAGGCCAAGTACGAGGAGTCCGGATTGACCAACCACTCCCCCAGCCCATCGACGCCTTCCTAGGAGTTCCTTACGGCCTACTACCGACCGGTGACAGACGATTCAGGCCCCCGGTCAAGGTACCTGACTCAAAACACATCATAGAAGCCTCTCAGTACGGTTATGCGACCCCGGGAAAGGCATTGCTCTCTGGAGGACTTGATCTGGAACAAAGCGAGGACTGGTTGACTGTCAATGTCTTCAGACCTGCTGGAATAGAAGGTAAGGTACCGGTGGCAATATATTTGCACGGTGGTGCTTTCAATCGAGGCGCAGCTGCTATGCACGATACCGCTTCTATGGTTGGATGGTCTGAAGCACCGTTCGTCGCCGTGAGCTTTGGATATCGTATCGGGGCTCTTGGATTTCTACCTTCCAGTGTGAGCAAAGAAGAAGGTATCCTCAATTTGGGGCTACGGGATCAAGTCCATCTGTTTGAATGGGTTCGGGAAAATATCCAGCGATTCGGGGGCGATCCTGGAAATGTGACTTTGATTGGTCACTCCGCAGGAGCACACTCAGTAAGCGTCTTCGTAGAGTCTTTTTCACTACAATGTTCAGTAAAATCTTTCGTTGGTCATGTTGTCCTGACTTTGTCAATAGATCGGCCATCATATTTTGAACCACGATCAGAGAAGACCTCTTCTATTCCATAAAACAATCATGTAATCAGGAGGTCCAACTTCTCGAGCAGTGCGTCCAATGCAAAAGTCCACGAAGAACAGTTTCAGGATTTTCTACGAGAGGTTGGCTGTCCCGATAATATATCGAACTCCGAAATCTTCCCATTTCTACGTTCACTTCCTGGTGCAACCGTGATCAAGGCCCAGACTGCCGTGTTTGATAAATACAATCCCTCACTCCGATGGCCCTTTCAGCCCGTCATTGATGGAGATATCATATCTCGAAAGCCGCTCGAAGCTTGGAAGTCTAAGCTTTGGTATAAGATCCCTATTATGACTGGTTTCAACAACAATGAAGGAAGTCTATACGTTGATAAGAAGATGTCCCAAAGCTCACAATTCCGGGCATTTTGGCGCACCTTCCTCCCTGAGCTCTCACCTTCGGACCTCGATACGATTGAAAGGCTGTACCCAGATCCGAATATCGACTATACATCGCCATATACAGAGACCAAGGAAGGACTTGGGTCCCAATACAGTCGCATTGAAGCCGCATATGGCCACTACGTATACGTAGCCCCAGTCCGCCAAACAGCACACTTTGCTTCTTCCCAGGGGTCGCCCGTTTACTTATACCACTGGGCATTTCCCCGAACCACTCTTGGCGCCAGTCATGCCGATAACATGTACTATGAGACCTATAATAAAAGCATCACCGACATCTCGGAATTCCAGAGGGAGCTCTCCGGCACTCTTCATGCATATCTCACCAGTTTCATTACCACGGGGGATCCGAATGCTTTACGGCACAGATATCCTCACAGGCCACCGTGGACTCCTTTCAAGCCAGACAAGGCAAAGGCAATGATATTTGGGGATGGAAATGATGAATCAATAGGGGATACCATGGGCCCTATTGCTAGATTTGTAGAAGATGACTGGGCACGGGCAGAAACAGAGTTCTGGTGGTCAAAGACTGATATTTCGCAATTGACATGACAAGCATGAGAAACTACTAAGACGAGTAGTCGCGATAGAAGTACTCAAAGGTGGCAAGCGGGCATCACCTGGCTGTTGAAATGCACCAGCATAACAAAAGAGAAGGTCAAGTTGGGAGGTTGTCTGCTACATACTTATATTCGTATCTCTGTAGTTAGGTAGTTTGAGGGAAGTATAGAGTCCAGTATCCTACCTAAGTTGCAGCCCTACCGGAGCGAGAGGCCCATCGTCCGCTGAGTCATCAAGATTGGCCCCAGCGCCGGCAAGCAAGGAAAAAAAAAAAGGGTGAAGCTTTACGGAGATCGCGTGAGCAGGCTTGATTGAAGAATTCAATTGCCTTAACCGATCCCATACCTCTTGGGATCACCGTCAAATTGCCTCTCTTCAGGTGTGCGAGCCTATTGCGGGCCCGAAGGACGACCCCGCGGGTCCCATCGTTGACTCCGATCCGTGCCCCTCCTCGAATTTCTTTTCTTCCAACTCCTCCACGCGCATTCACCATGGCGACCGCAGCTGCCCCCGAGTCTTCGCTCCTCTCCCTCCTCTACCGCTCGTACCCGGCCACCATCTCTCCCGATGCCACCGAGCCCGATTACCTCCACGCCTCGGCCAAGATCTTCCCCACGGTGAACTTTGGCGAGGCCGATGACGCAGAGATCAAGACGTGGCTGAACACCGTCTCTGGCCTCAAGAATGCCCAGGCCAAGGGTGAAAAGGACGCTATTGACAGTATTCTGGCCCAGGTCAACACTCACTTGGCCTCACGCACCACCCTGCTCGGTGCGAAGCCCTCGGTCGCCGATATTGCTGTCTATGCCCTTCTGGCTCCCTTGGTCGAGAAGTGGTCGCCCGAGGAGCGAACGGGAGAGAAGGGTTATCACCACATTGTGCGTCATGTCGACTTTGTGCAAAACTCCAAGCTCTTCTCCCTGCAGATCCCCGAGGAGGAGAAGATCGCCATCGACGTGAACGATGTCAAGTTCGTGCCCAAGCCCGTCGACCCCAAGGAGGAGAAGGAGCGCAAGAAGCGTGAGAAGGCCAATGGCCAGAACTCCGATGCTGGCGCCGAGAAGCCTCTCGTCGTCGGCAAGGGTAAGCCCGAGAACCCTGCCGGAGCTGCGGCTGAGGCCGCCGCCGGTCCCCCCAAGACCAACAAGAAGGAGAAGAAAGAGAAGAAGGAGAAGCAGCCCAAGGCTCCCGCTGCTCCCGCCCTTCCTCCTTCTCCCTCTCTCATCGACCTCCGCGTTGGCCACATCCTGCGTGCCATCAACCACCCCAATGCCGACTCCCTCTATGTTTCCACTATTGACTGTGGCGACGCCCCCGGCGCCGAGAACACCTCTCTCGATGAGGAGACTGGCAAGACCGTGCGCACCGTGTGCTCCGGTCTGAACGGCCTGATTCCCCTGGCCGAGATGCAGAACCGCAAGATCGTGGCCGTCTGCAACCTGAAGCCCGTGACCATGCGTGGCATCAAGTCCGCCGCCATGGTCCTGGCTGCTTCGCCCCGCGTTGCCGAGGGCGAGGACTCGCACGCCGGCCCTGTCGAGCTCGTCAACCCCCCTGCCGATGCTCCCGCCGGTGAGCGTATCACCTTCCAGGGCTGGTCCGAGGGAGAGCCCGAGAAGCAGCTTAACCCCAAGAAGAAGGTCTGGGAGACCTTCCAGCCCGGTTTCACCACTACCGAGGACCTTGAGGTTGCCTTTGACAGCAGCGCCGTTCCCGTTGCTAAGGAGCAGGAAAGCAAGCCTGCTCTCGGCAAGCTGGTTACTGCTTCCGGTATCGTGTGTACCGTCAAGAGCCTGAAGAATGCTACCGTGCGGTAAAGGAAGAGTTGGAGATCGTCTGGATACATCAAAATCAAAATAAATGCCACTCAGTTGCATACCCATGAGGAGACGAAGAGCAAACGGGAAAAAAGAACACCCCATAGTCCCGATCTAGTTGTTCATATATTAAACGAGGAATGAATTGCTTCAAATACAATCAGCCATCTCGCGTACAATCTTTGACTCGGCCAAGTGTAGCTCAAAATAGCTTCGCTTCTATGAAAATGTACATCTACAATATTTGCAAAACAACGATAAGCCCTCCTCCACATATTGAGTCACCATTACCATCCCCTAATAGATTTTCACAGTATCATCCACGAAAGGCCTATCACGCTGGCGCCGCAAAGCCCAAAGACGGACCGCGCTGGTCGAAAACAACGAACAGAGCCTTCAAGAACACATCTCCAAAGATCTGCAGACTCGATCCCTGATTAGACTGGATGCCACCATAGCAGACTAGCAGAGAGTGATTAGCTCAAATTCTTCCAAGAGACGCCCTTTCAGAAACTCACCAGTCTCACCAGTGGTCGTATTCTTCCCAACCTCCGCAAAGTTAACGAGTGACCCCGGAATAGTAGCCTGGTACTTGTCACCCAGCGCAACAGTCAAACTGGGCAGACTCGCCGAGCAAGGATAAATCCAGCCGCTCACACTACTCGAATACGCCGCGTTCTCAACTTCCTTGTAATACGCCGTCACCACCTCAGGGCTGACCAGCATAAGCGAAGTACCAGTGTCCGCAATAGCCTTGGGCGCCTGAGTAACCTGCTGCAAAGAACCACCACCAACAGCGAAAAATCCAGCCTCAAACTGCCAAAAACCAGCGGAGGGATCAACGCTAACGTTCACCAGGGAACCAGAGTACTTGCTAGAATCGATTTTGCCAAATTCGTACTCGCCGACGCCATCACTGCGCAGGCGTGCGGTTAGAACGGGCTCCTCGAGACCCGGGGCGATGTTGTCGAAGAAAGTCTTCTGCGGACCCGGAGTGAAGGTGTTGATTGAGGAGAAGCCGAGGCCGACTAGGCCGTTGGAATTGGTGTCTTCGACGAAGGAGGAGGAGACGCTTGTTGGGAGACCGAAGGCTTGGTTTGTGACGGTTGCGCCGCCAATGTCGACAGTATCTTGGGCTAGACCACCGGATGCAGAGGACGAGTCGCCGTAGCTGATTTTGAAAGTGCCGCCGTCTATTTTCTTGTAGGTGGTGGATTTGCTGGGGTTGTAGACTGTGCGGCTTTGGGTCATGGATGATGGGAGTTCTGTGTTGAAGACCCACCTGTGATGAGAGAAGATCGGGAGATTTATGTCAGTGGTGGTTTCTTGGACAGGTATACACAGTAGTATGATGTTCAACATACATATCGGCTGATCCAGTATCAAAGTCCATGGTGATGGTTTGCCCGCCAATCGTCACGGGCGAGACGAATTCAACATCACTCTGCACCGAGGTCGCACTGACAGCGCCCGTCTGATCAGGCTCAGCAACGGTGTTTTGGTTGGTCTGGACCACGGATGTCTTGAGGTCAAAGGGCTCAAAGTCGTTCAGAGTGATATTGCTGAAATCAACGGGCATAATGCCAAATTTGCGGAACGCTTTGCGCAATGCGGTAGGTCCGTGTGGAACATAGTCACTGCGCTTGACACGGTCGATCTGGAAAGACCTGCTTTTCCGGACCGGGCGAGGAGCTGGTGCAGCCAATGCATCGAAACTCAAAGAGAGAAACAGTAGAAAGGAAAGAAAGAGATGCATCTCGTCCGATCGTGGGACACCACAGGAGTCGATCAGGTCCACGCGGGAGAATATCAAAAGACAGATGGACAGAATTAATAAAAAGAGAGAATCAGTAAGCCTCCAGGGCTAAAAAAGAGAATGTGTTCTACACTGTAGCAGGTCAGAATGGATGTGATTGTCGTAGACACCACAAAGGAGTGGGTGCTTGTGAAGACAGGCTGCAGCCTCGACCGTGCGAAGACAGCAGGCAAAGAACGAAAGTAAAACAAGAAGAGAAAGGCGGAAAAAGAATGTTGAAGCAACGAAAGAAAAGGTCTAGATGGTAAACAGGAACAGCTCCATCTGTCAAACAGGAAAAAAAAAAAAAACACTACCGAGAATCCCGGGAGGCAGACCGTTGTAGATCTATAAAAGCGAAACCCAACAACCCAGCCAGAAGAAAGCCCTTGTTCTACGCCCAGAACAAACTACCCCGTCAAACAAAACGACCCGGCGTACGTACTGTGGACTGCATCAGCAGCATAGTACGTTTCTAATTGCTGGCCACATCCTGCCCATCCCACCTATCAGCACCGCCGCAACAGCAGTCAAGCCCTTGGCCTTTGGCTCGGCGCGCTACCAAGCCAGCGCCATGGACACGCTACGACGGACACTGTCACAGCGGACTCCCAGTCAGGGGCATAGCTCCGGATAGACTAGAGCCTGGCAAGCTCGGCGGCTCATTTGTTTGTGACCGTGCAGTGTCTTGGGGCGTTTTGGATGTCTGGAGTGGGTGGGGTACCCACCTCCTGGGCGTGTTGGGGTTTGACAGGCGAGACCACTTGGCGTCGGTAGTTGCACTATGCAAAAACTGCACAGTACTTACTCTGTAAGGAGAATAGCTCTTGCTATTAGCTACTTCCAAACATGAACCTGGCCAACCACGCTAGCTACGAAGCTAGCCTGTTGATCCTGAAACAGCTCTGTGCGGGTAGACCGCCAATCAGCTGGCGAGCAGGCCTTTCCCCTTGAAACGGTGGGGAACCACGGGGATGACTCGGTATGACCTATCAAGAACGAAGGTGCTATTAGTTCACTATCTGACACGGCGTACCGCCTGTACTTGGTAAAGTAGGATGTTGATATATTATACATGGCTCGTTCTTGGGTTGCATAGTTTACTGTCATCGTTCTTGGGCTCGACCAAACCTCCTCCATCGGCGCCAGCCGAGGGGACTCTGCGGGCCAATCACGAACCACTTTCCCATGATCTCTCACTCCACAGTTAATTTTGACCGGGGAATGCTGCTATAAAAAAGAGAGACACCAAGAAAATAGATTACCTGCCAGATTGACCTTGGGCTGGTAGTTTGAGCCCGGAGCTTTGTGGTGCGTTTTGAATTTACATGGTCCAGTCCTGGTCGATGCGTCGCCGATCGATGCCGGTGTTGCCGGATCAGCGTCTATAGATCAGAGATCATCCAAGATTGCTATGACACTTCAACCATATCCCTACCTACCGGGTACACCACAGTGCATATCAGTAGTCGTCATCTACTGGGTCAACATGGTCGGAGAAGCAGCTATCAAAATTCTGGGGAAACGAGGGGGAGGGGTAGAGCCATTACAGTGGACTGTTTATAACCGAGATGTTTCATATACGTACTCCTTCTGAGACCTCTTATAGTTAGGGAAATTCTAAGCAATCAGATACTCTTGCATTCAGTCTTTAATCAGTTCAATTTATTCCTCAGAACGTGTATTCTCCGTGATTCATTTCACATATCTAAAAAAAAACAAGGCCATAATCATAAACGATACAAATTTAGAACCGCTGAGAGCCACCAATAGTCTTGGAACCTTCAAGGTCAGAGTCCACACGGGGATCGAGCTTGTTAGCAATATCGCTCTTGTGAGGACCAGCAGTCTTCTTGTGCTCAAGTCCACTGCCAGCAGTGTTGTAGCTGCTACCCGCGCCAGCAGCACCGGCACGCTGAGCCTCCTCAAAGGTCTTGGTCGAGGTAGGACCGGCATTGCCAGAGATGGGGATTACACCGGCACCTCCAATGCTGCCCTTATGAACATCCTTGTCGAAGCGGCCGCTCTGCTCCTTGCTGAGGTCGCTGTCCACGCGGGGATCAGCCTTGTTGGCCAGGTTGTTCTCGTGAGGGCCGGCGGTCGAGCTAGCAGGGCCGGTGGCCGGCGAGTGGGTGGACGCTTGCTGGGTGACACCTCCCATAGTGCCGTGGTGACCGGTCAAGCCAGTAGAGCCGAGACCGGTGGAGGTCTGGTGGGAGCCGTAGGTAGCGCGGTTATCACGGTCGCTGTCCACGCGGGGGTCGACCTTGTTGGCCATGTTGCTATCATGGGGACCGTGGTTGGAAGAGCGGTTAGACTCGTGGTGGCCATAGGCAGCGCCAGCTGCAGCACCGGTAGCAGCACCAGCACCAACACCAAGACCGGTGGAGGGGCCAGTCGAGTGGTGGTGAGTACCGTGTGTACCCAGGTTGCTTCGGTCGCTGTCGACGCGAGGATCCATCGTGTTGGCCATGCTGCTGTCGTGAGGGCCGTGGTTAGACGAGCGAGTAGACTCGTAGGCATTGGCGCCAGCCCCGGTGGCCAGACCAGAGCCAACACCGGTAGAGGTGGTGTGGGAGCCTAGGCCAGTAGTAGGACCAGTAGTGGTGGTGTGAGTACCGTGAGTACCCAGGTTGCTTCGGTCGCTGTCAATACGGGGATCCGTAGTGTTGGCAATGTTGCTATCGTGAGGGCCGTAGTTGGAGGACTTGGTAGTGTCATGGTGGGTGCGAGAAGACTTGTCACCGTGGTCGGTGAGAGCGTCCTTGACCTTGTGGATGATGTTCGACATGATGATGATGATGGAGGAGGGATGTGTAGAAGTAGAAAGGTATGAAAAAGAGGAATATATCTATGAAGTTTTTTTGTGGAAGAAGTCTTGCCTTGAATGAGGTTTGTTTGATAGTTGAAAGATAGAAGGATACTCTGGACAAACGAGAGTATATATAAGGCTTTGACAGCTCATGACGCTATCAAGCCCCCGAATCATGACAAGAGGGATGACGTTGTATTTTACAAGGATAGTGAGTGCCCCCATCAAGAAACGGTGCTTTGTTGATCCGTTGATCTGTGAAATTGTGGGGAACTGGAGCAAGATCGTGGCAAGGAACTGGGCCCGCGATGTCATCGCGTAACGTCATACCCGAGCGCCACCTACTATACTCCTTCGACAACTGATCATCATCAGCCCTATGCCTTATGCACAGAATTGGCTGAGAAGAAAGTAGAATAGCGATTGAAATTGCTCCTAGCTTCAAGTATGGCCGGAAAGCTAAATTGTGGAGGTTGAATGCTCTATTCTGTATGCTAAAGTGGTTGCTCGCTGTTCTGTTCCCGTCATTCTATAGATTACCACAACCCACCTGAAACCAGAGATGTTACAAGGGTCTCACGAAGATCGTCGATCATTAACAAACAGACTGGAAAGATCAAGGCAACATACGCCATAGTACTCCTCCTATTATTAGATGGTACTAAGAGGTGACAGCAGTGCTAAATTGTACTACAGTACCCCAACCCATGCGAAGGATTAGATCATAAGTGGGCGAAACTGGAAAGTTCCAGCCACACCTGGCCCATATTTCTCGAGCGAACCTCCCAAAACCGGAATCTAGCCTGAATCCTTGAGCTTGAACCCCCGTCTCTCGGATCTGCAGCTTGGCGTCCGTAAATGATGTCCTACTGCGCACCTTCGTCTCCAATTATAATTTACAAACGACGATCGTGAGGACTCGACACAGCTCCAGGCGACGTCTCCTATGGTGTGTACAACATTCTCGCCTTGGTAATCTGCTGCAAGGAGCTAGGCTGCCTTGTTTTGGCATCTCACAGGGCACAAAGACCATGTGGGAAATATCGCCACGAGATTGAGGGCGCAAGGTGGGCAGGGTGGAATGTGGCGCAAGCTTGAATTGCTAGCTAGCTCGAGATCCATGGGTGGAAAGATGGGACCTCAAACATGTTTGCTAGCAGATGAAGCCCTGCATGCGGTAGAATAGGTTGGATATCGGTGAACTGCTAGCAAGCTATGGCCGCAGAGCTTGGATGGGTTCGCCCATATTTTGAGAACCAGCGGGAAGTAGAACCCGTGTGTAGACGGTTTTGGAGCTGTATATCGCCTCCCTGATAGATATGAAAGGATGATAATTTTATTAAGAAAACAAATGCCCTGCTCTGCCGTATCAACTCAGCGTGGTCTAGAATAGTGCTCTGACTACCAGTATTTGACAAGAGACACCAGGAACGAATCGATATGAATTAAACGCTCAAGATGAAGCACATGTCCCTATTCTACAGAAATTATAGAGATTTGGTGCTTTCCCAACAAGCTCATCAAGATCATTCAAATGAGGCTTCATCCATTTGCTGTCGCCAGATCAGGCAAAATGTGGCTGTCAATCCGTATTCAATAGGCCATCCGCATCCGTGTCTCTAAAGAATACAAAACATTGGAAAGAGATGGTCAAGCGTACTACAGGCGATAAATATTGATTGCAAAGCTAGAGATGGTGGACATAGCTATTCAATTCCTAATCCTAGGTTAAACGAATGCAGAGGCCCTTCTTAATGCAGAACTGGCTTTTCCGCAAAACGTTCTCTGGCTAACATAGTTAAGCATCTAGATAACTAATCCGTATACAAACTATCTTGGATACCTTCAATTCTAGGTTACTCATAGAGAATAAGAGAGAAAAAAATAGTCTTGGTGTAAGTAGAGGGTACAGAACCTAAACAAAATCATGTCACGATGCTATTAGCCTCTTCGCGGGTAGGCCATGCCATGCTATACATGTTCAACTTCTTTAATTTCAGAAGAGAAGCCAAAAGGCCAGCCCGAGTACCTCAAGATATATGTTTACAGCTTCCTAATTTTGAATCCGGTTATAAGTTTTATCTATTCTTTTCTTCAAAAGAGTGATTTTGAAGTCTACCAAATTCGTCCACCTGAATCAAGCCCAGGTACGGATCAACGCTCTCATTGGTGGATAAGGTTCGTGATATGCACAACAGCGGAAATAGAGAAGAGGGGATATGAATTGCAGCCTATTTAAATGGACTTCCTCAACTATTTACTGCCGAGGTACCAGGGGGCACTACTTAACAGTAGGGCTCCTGCACGCTTCGTGCTGCCTACCTTCTTTCTTATATGATCGTCTACCTTCTAACAGATATACAGTGAGACAGCGTATATTATGCGTTTGATTATTACTCGATGATTTTTCCTAATTGGACACTTCACACCGTAGATCATGCGAGCGCAGCCGCACTTCTTGTTGCAGCTATGTAGTTAACCAACCCGGGGTAGCTTACAAATATAGAGCCATCGCCGATATCGGCCTTCAATGCGTGATGTTGATGTACATAAATCCAGAATCTCGTATCACAGAGAACATCAGGCCAAATCAACTCATCCTGTGCCCAGTGTTATCAGATATGGAGGAATTCAAAGGCGCTTGTCTGTGTCGCGGTGTCCAATTTACGCTTTCAGGTCAACCGCATAAAGTGTTCGCCTGTTACTGCACCCACTGTTCCATCAACGCTGGTGGGCCGTGCCAATTTGTCAGATTCCCATTTGATTGATCATTCCCTGGTGTCCTCAATACTACTACTTGATTGGACAAAAACTGACTTCATTTACTGTATGTAGACCGCCAGGTTCTCCCGCACCCAGCTCCACATCGAAGACCCACACAAGCTTATCTCTGTGTTCAGCATCACGTCAGGTACGGAGAGTGGGCACACCAAAGAGAAGCATTTCTGTAGCGTCTGTGGATGTACATTGTGGACTGTTCCCATGAAGCACAACGGGGAAATAATGGTTGTTCGCACCAGTTTGATAGAGAACGGGTCAGTAAGAAGTCATGAACTCTCGTTCTAGGCTAACTATGGTCAAGGTTGACCGCATTGCCACCAAGCACCGAAGTGTTTACAAGGAACAAGCCGACTTATTTTGCAGGTTGTTCGGACGTGCCGATGTCTTCTGGGATGCCCGATATCAAATCCTAGAGCCTTTCCCGTGGGAGATATTCTCCTCAATGCCACAATCATCTTGTCATGATAGCTGGTTTTGATACTCTTCCAAGCCTCATATCATGATGGCCCTACTAGCTTGCTAGACAAGAGCAAAATTTTGTCGTAAGATTAGTCTAATCGACTTGGATAATAGGTTTCAAGTCAGATGGTAGCTGAATATTCTCAAGTGCTCATATGATTCATGGTATCAAATAGAAATTCTATGTCCAAACGCCATTCTGTCAAGTTCGTCTAACCCTCATGCAAAGCGCTATAAAGAAAGATGATCATAATGAATAGAAGGTGAAGAAAACTCTCAACCAACCATTTCCTCTGGAAGGACGTCCTCCGGGTTCTCCCCAACCGCCTCACCGACGGCACGAACGACACGCTTAATAGCCTTTGACGCGGGGCTATCCGGGAAATTGTCCACAAAGCTCTCTCCATAGTCGCAAGCCATACCCACCCTTGGATCCAGGGGCACAGCGCCGAGGAAAGGAATTCCCATTTTCTTGGCAAGCCGGCGGCCACCGCCCGTGGTCTTGCGGAAGATCTGCGACTCATGCGTGCAGTTGGGGCAAACAAACCCGGACATGTTCTCCACCAAGCCGAGGATCTTGATGCCAGCCTTGCGGCAGAAATCGATTTCCTTGCGAACGTCCAGCAGAGACACCTCTTGCGGGGTGGTCACGACGACAGCGCCATCGACTCCAGATTCCTTCAACAGAGAGTTGACAGACAGGTGCTCATCTGACGTGCCAGGCGGGGTATCAACGATCAGATAATCGAGCTCGCCCCAGTCCACATCCTTCAGGAACTGCTTGATCAATCCATTCTTCTTCGGTCCACGCCAGATAACTGCATCATCGCGGTTGGGTAGCATGAACTGCACGCTCATAGCACCCAGATTATCCGTCACCCACACGGGGCTCCAGCCCGCATTACTCACGTGGATCGTCTCCGTCTCCACGCCCATCATTTTGGGGATAGAAGGTCCGCAGATATCGGTATCCATGACGCCGACGGTCGAGTCAGGGTTCGCAGCAAACGCATGTGCTAACAGCGTGGTGAAAGTCGACTTGCCCACACCACCCTTGCCAGACAAAACAAGGATCTTGTGTCGTATTTGCGAAAGGCGCTCGGTTATAATCGGAATATCGGGGTCGGGGCCTTTGGGCGCGGAGGCGCAGATTTGCTGGTTTGGACAGCCAGCACAGGCATCACCTTGACCTGCTTGTTCGGATTCGGGGCCTGGACAGTGCTCTGAGGTGGGTGTTAGGTGGGATTTTGCAATAAACTATGCCCACACGATCAAGTACATACCAGGCTCTGGGGCTACCAGGTTTGTCGGTGCCCGTTTGGCATGCGCGGCGAGGGAGGCCTCGACGGCCGACTCCTCGACAAACGGCGCCATCACTTATCAAGTGGGAGAATCTCAAGAAAGTAGTATGACTAGAAAGCAATCAAAAAACTGCCAAATGAAAGAGGGTCAAGAAGTCAATCGATGGTGGCGGATACGGTGCTTGATAAGCGGCGATGACTAAATTGGAGACGCCGACACCGGGATTGGCTGGGCGGGGTTCTGGTGGAGCCACGTGATCTACATGATGTTCCTCTTTATCATATTCTATAGTCCTGGGATAGTTAGGTACATCGTTAGATGTGCGTAAGTGTAATCGCGATCACCTATTCCATGGCTAGTGACCAATAACTTATGGGCTAGATTAATGCCACATAGAATACTGGAAATATGAAGCCAGCCATTCGTTTATACAGACTTCAATCTATAAACGGTCATTTGGGAAGAAATGCAGCAGCATTGCAATTGGAAATATATGCAGGTTACACCTTTAATCCACTTCCCCACTTTGATTTGACACATACAGATTATTAGAGCCATCGCCATTCCTGGTCTTGGTGAAAGCGGACCTTCGAGCCTCGCCTAGTACAATCTCCAGAACAAGAACATGATCATTGGGCAGTGTATAAAAACGCAACTTAGAGTAATAGAATGATATAGAATGAATAGTGTCATCAAGAAAAGGATTCTGCCGGATGCAAGGAAATACTCAGTGGATAAGGAACTCTAGATGATCAGGATGGCGGTCGGCTGAACGGCCATGCCGCAGGTACAATCTTTTTCGTCAGACCCCTGGTCCTGTCAGAGCTTAACCGATGGTCGGAATCTTGATTTTGCGCGGCCCCAATGCAAAATGATCAGCGTGGCCGGGCCCTAGCCAGTCCCAGTGGTTTCGACTACTGGACTGATGCACGAATTTATGCAGTCGAGGGTCAGACGAAGAGTGGGGGGTCATGGTCAGCTTCTGTCCAGCGAATGATGATATTACTGGCTTATTAGGGATGGGCAGTGCAAGAATGCAGTAGCGGAAATAAATATCTGATGTTAACATTATCAATCTTGCCTGGGCATTGGCCACTAGCACTCCTTATGTAGGTACATATGCGGGCGAGCGGATTGTGATACGCATCGTGGTGTGTGGTGGGAGGCATTGCTGGGCTGTCTGGACGAGATGAATCATCGCCGCAATTGACTACCTAACAGAAGAACGGTCTGCGATTAGTTAGCATACTTATTCGTCCTTCCAGTCGTAGTGAGAAGATTAGAATAGGCTCCGGTAGAAGCTGCTGACCTGCTCAGCTTGCAGTTATCGCGCTTAATGATTCGGCTACTGTAAATACAAAAGATAAGCGTAAACATGTCCGCTCCAAGTCAGGTCTAGAATTCTCTCGAGCCTCTCGTGGCTGTAACTGGCGAGGGTTAGGTCACATTTCGTTCCATGGAAGTACAAGTCAGTTGATGTCTGTCCCTCTCTGCAGGATGGCAGTGGTGCACGAATGGTCTGGTATCCGCATTTGCCGCAGCACCTTTCCCCCGCGGCAGGCCCCACTGATTGAGGAGAGGGTCGCTCTGTGTAACCCATCGCGGCGGCAGGAGCTGGTTGTGACGCAGCGAATTGGCGTGGGGTAAAATCCCCGAGGAGTTGACGACTTGACAATTCGATGGTGTCGCGAGGCACTTGGCGCCAGATGTGCGAAGAGCGAGCCAGGACGGGGTTAGTGTCTTGGGATATGATCGGGTCCCGTTTCTTTCCCCTTCTGCTCCGTTCGGGGCCCGCACTAACTCTCGCGGGCTGCTCCTATGAGATGGAGAGTTAACATTGGCGTCGAGTTCCACACCAACAGGCCAGATTTTCTCGCATAAATCTGACCGCCCATTTTCTTTCTTCCTTTCTTTCTCTTTCTCGCACAGATTTGTCCAAAGACTCACCTGACTAACCCCGTAGGAACAAGGTGTGTTGACATACTACCAGGGTAGGTAGGTATAGCTGACCCGACTTGGTGGGAAAGCGGATGCAAACAGAGCAATTGGTTGCGACATTGTCACATGCTTCTGTCGTCACAGGTTCACCTCTCCCAACGTTTCCACTTCTTTCCTCAACAACATCATGGACCAGGGCCGTTCAACAGGTGCCCAGCAGCCTGATGGGCTGCGAGAAAGAAATGTCCCACGCCCTGATTCAACTGAGGGCTGCGATGCTCTAACTGCGACCGGCGAGTTGGAGGCCAAGGATGAGGCCGGCAAGGACAAGAAGACTTTTGGTCGCACTCCAGATGGAACGGGTAGGTTTCTGTTCGGCTCCCAATTAATTCCTGCCCAGTGCTTCCAAGATTCTGTACCGCGACGAATTAGCGATGCTCGATAATCTCTTGGACATGATGAAGAATCCCCCCGGTCAACGACCCTGACGTTGTGGAGCTACCACCCGCTAACTTGGAATCCGTTGCGTGCTTAGTGTTCACAGTGCCTCAGACCCATGATATGGTCTCACAGCTCTTGTCACCATCGGAGCCCAAGAACATGGGCGATTTGGTGGTGATAGCTCTGCTGGCTATCCATATTCTGCTACTTTGGTATCTGCCCGCTGGTGCAAAGATTCCCGTCTTCGCTTTCATCTACCTTTTCTGGCGGGCGGCGTACAATGGTGGAATCGGATGGCTGCTCCACAACCAGTCGCACCACAAGACACTGATCCGATGGGCAGAGAAGACCAAGGTGTTCGTCAACCCGGCGACGGGCAAGAACCCTCACCCGGCTCTGTACAATTGGATCAAGAAAGAGCTTGAGTCCAAAATTCCCAAGGATTACTCGTTCGACAATGCACCCCTTGAATACAATACCTGGCTTGTCTTTAGACGTCTAGTGGACTTGATCCTGATGTGTGACTTCACTTCTTACTGCCTCTTTGCGATCGCATGTGGTCATCGTCCCGTGGGCGAGAGTATCATCATGACCATTCTCCGGTGGACGGCGGGCATTGTGCTCGTTCTGTTCAATCTCTGGGTCAAATTAGATGCGCACCGAGTAGTCAAGGACTATGCCTGGTACTGGGGTGACTTTTTCTATCTCATCGATCAAGAACTCACCTTTGACGGCGTCTTCGAGATGGCTCCTCACCCGATGTACTCCGTCGGATACGCCGGTTACTACGGAATCTCTCTGATGGCAGCCAGTTACAAGGTCTTGTTCATCTCAATCATTGCCCATGCAGCACAATTCGCCTTCCTCGTCCTCGTTGAGAATCCACACATCGACAAAACCTATAATGCGCCACCACCCCGAAAGCGATCAGTCTGTGTTGATTCGACCTCCAGCCTTCCCTTGGAACTGGACACTCCGAGAGCGCCAACTCCATCCGACGACTTCGTCCCCAATGCGACCTCCTCGTACTCGGCTAAGCCGCCTCCTTCTGTTCATAATCTTTTGGGCTTGAACAACTTGGATCTACATAGAACCACGGACTCGTCGATCATGCTTGTCCAGTTGCTCGTATTTGCACTTACCGCCCTCACACCATCCACACTGCGGTATCGGCTTCTTTTCGTGGCTAATGCTGTGGCGTGGCGGCTGTGGTACTCTGTAGGCATCGGGTACCTGCTCAACAAACAGTCTCGCAACAAAGCCTGGACGCGACACTTCCTCAAGTTTGGTGAAACACCGCAAGAGGCGTGGAACCAATGGAAGGGAACGTATCACCTCAGTATGATTATGTGCTACTCTAGCTTCATTGCTGCTGCGTGGAAAATGTACACGTTCCCGACCGACTGGGGCTATGGTCTAGTCCTGTTCCGCCACGTTCTGGGTGCTGGTATGATTGGCTTGCAGATCTGGACTTCGGTCAGCATCTACGATTCTCTCGGCGAATTTGGCTGGTTCTACGGTGATTTCTTTTTTGATGAGTCGCCAAAGCTGACCTACGATGGAATCTATCGCTTCCTCAACAATCCTGAGCGAGTGTTAGGTCTCGCTGGAGTTTGGGGTGCCGTTCTCATCACAAGCAGTGCCACGGTCACTTTCCTGGCCCTCCTGAGCCACATTTTGAGCTTGTCTTTCATCCAGTTTGTGGAGCGCCCTCATATGCAGAAGCTGTATGGCCGTAGTCTCCGCCAGGATGGTGGTGTGGTCAAGAACTTGAAGAAGTCCTTGCCGCCTTCTCTCAAGCAGCTCCATGGAAGTGTTGATAAAATGTTCGACGACTCTTTTGAGTTTATCGAAGAACTCCTCGACAATGCTCGCCCGAAGCTCGCGGCTGGTGTCAACACCTTCGTCAAAGATACCACCGCTTTGTTCCAAAAGTATCCCGCTCGCATCACCATCTCCCGCATTGACGCCGATTTGGCTGGTTTGAACGTCTCTGACTACTCGCTATCCGTTGAAGGCACTGATGCCAAATCTCTCGACGAGAGCGAGCAGGGCAAGGGTCGTGAGGGTGCCAACGCGCGAATGCCGTTGGATCGCCGAGGTGATCTCAAGAACTTGACATTCGAATATGGTGCTCCGATTAAGGTTAAGTGGACAGCACCTCTCAGCCACAGCAAGAAGGACTGGGTCGGCCTCTACCGTGTCACCGACAACACCTCGCGAGAGGTTACTCGCGTGTCCTCACAGGGCCGGTGGATTGCCACTAACGAGGGCTTCTATGATAACACGACTTGCGAGAAGGGTATTGTCACCAGCGACGTGGTCATTCGTTCCACCGAGCAGAATAGCCGTGAGGGACACGACGTTGCCTCGGGCGAGATCGTCTTTTCTGGCGACAAGCTCTTCTGGACACAAGGCACTTTTGAGCTTCGTTACCATCACAACGGACTACACAGTGTCATGGCCATCTCCAGACCGTTTGAGATCCGCATCCGCCGCTTTGCCGAAGACGATGTTCTCGTTGACAGCAATGGCATCGTGCAGACTGCCGTTGAGAACGCTCTGCTGCCAGTTGTCCGCAATTGCTTCGATCGAGACCCCGAGATTGCGCCGGCGAATGTCGAGGAGCAGTTTGGTAGTTTGGTCGAGCGAGATGGCAAGTTTGCTAAACGAGTTGTTTTCGCCGTCCACCAGATGTAAGTTTCCATTTCCGTCCGCGTTCTATCATGTGTTCATAACTAACCACGGATACAGGTTCGGAGTTGAGTTGGCACCGGAGGTGGTCAAAGCCGATGGCAATGTTTTGAATCTTGCCTGGAGAATATGTAACGCTAAGAAGGTTCTCGTAAGTGAATAATCCTTTCTTCCTGCATTGAGAACGAGTTGCCCTGACATCCCTCGTGCAGGCCCCCTACAGCATGTCCCGATCAAATGGCACCACAACGCCAGTCGAAGGGAAACAATAGACACGGAGCACCGGATCGGCAATCATCTCGGAAGTCGCGATATTTGGGGACATGGCGAACGCAAGATAGGCTTTGGCGTTCGACTCCTTTCCGATTTTGTCTCTATGTTTTGGTTGAATCCAAAAACAAAGAAAAAAAATCAACACCAAAGATCGTCCCCTTTTGGAGTGATGAGAGAAGGGAAAGAAGAAAGGGAAAAAGGGATTCAAAATATGAGGGTGTGGTTTTTTTTTGCTTCAGGACGATGATTCCCCTGGTTGGCTTATGTGACTGATTGGTATTGAATTCTCTTTTCATTTTTATCATCTCTCTTGCCTGAGGACCTAGGGCACTGAGTGGGCTTTGTGGTAGAAGGTCTGGCAATTAACTTTTGCTTCTTGACAATGTCTTCTTTTTTCAGTTTACTTTTGTACATAGCTTCGACTACAATGAATTGCGAGCTTATGATACCACAAAGGTCCAGTGAAAAGATCAACGAGAACAGTAATAATATTTTCAGTGCTGCTATGAAATTGCTACAAGTATCATAATCTAGACTTCAAAATCGTCAGCATGAATTCAATACCGGAGTTGATAATGCGGTAGGCAACGATAGGTCCATATTGCACGGAAAATATGCAAAGGCAAGTAATCAGCCGAGCCAGTTTAATTCATCCCATCCTCTGCCGTCCTCTCGAGCCAAACTGTCATCCAAGACGGACAAGCAGCCCGACCCGAAAGAGCCGGCACAAGTCAAGCGTAGCAGAGCCACACTGAAAACAGCAGAACCAGACGCCGACTGAGCCTACGCCCGCCGGTGCTCCACAACCTTCCTCCCTTTTGCGCCCGGAAGGGTACAAGAGGTCCAGTATTTGGGAGTCGGAGAACGTAGATCGACGTCCAGGCCCGAAAGCACCGCTGTGACAGTGTAGATGCATACTCGAGAGGCGGTTCTCAAGAGAGATCATTGAATGGATTGACTGGTTGTCATCATAAAGGGGGAAGGGGTGTTCCAGGAGAAAACAATGGGGAAAGGGAAGGAGATCCATACATTTTCCAATTGCAAGAAGGTATTGCAAGACTGTATCTTGATTGACTGGAAAATCTTGAAACTGTCAGCTTGATGTCCATCGGCAGCAACGATGTGAAAAGAGACAGTGACATGATTGGAGTAGCATCAGGAGTTTTTGGTAAGGTTTTTGTTATCTTCAAAAATTTTGCAGAAGCAGAACTGAAAAATTTGTTTCATCATGCTAGGGGTGGGTTGGATATATGAAGAAGAATTCAAGCTTACCTGTGGAGGAGGTCCAGCGCAGCCGCCATGCCGTGGTAGCTAGGTCAGTACTGGAATTGAAACCCTGGCTTGAATCGAAGTTAGCTTCTATGTCAAAGCCAACGAGATCGATGATAACAATGGTTATAAAAGAAGTGTCGATCAGATGGTGATGCATGTTTGTTCATGGCCCATTTATTTGTCACCGGAACAGAATTTGGGTAGATTTCAATCATGAAGACGGGGAGGGAGAAGGGGCTGCCTGGGGGCAATGAATGGCAGATGATACTCACAGGAAGTTAGTATAAGACAAGAGTATCAATGCAGATGGAACTTCATCCTAGAGATAGCTCCTTCATCATAAAAAGGGCTGGTCACCCAGGATAAAACAACACAGGCAGGTGTGTGGAAGGAAGAGAAACAGGCGAGCGAAGAAAAAAGCTGAAAAGCTAGCCAGCGGGTGGGGCCCTAGACAAACAGTGCAAACACGCAGGATTTCCGCTTCTGGGCACTTTGACATCTCCATCTCCGATAACCAAGTAACATTTCAACTTTCCAACGTCAAGTTTTCAAGATGATGGCCGACAGGAGAAGGATCAATGGGCCACCAGGTGGCACAAGGCCAGCAGTTTTTGCTTCAAACCTACAATCTGGCACGAGTGCCACAGACCGTGCTCAGCGCCAGCGACAACCTTCCGAGCTACGGAAAATCTGTATGTTGCCATGGACCTTTTTCCTTGCAATTGTAGGTTGCTCCCGCTAACCATAAACGTATAAGTCCTCAAAACTGGTCTCATTCCTACGGCCTCTGGCTCTTCATATCTCGAATTCGAACCCTCAGCCTCTCTCGCCGCTGCTCGCGCCAATCCCAAATCTCTGATCCCACCTTCCTCAGCTCTGAAGCTGGCCTGCACAGTCCACGGGCCCAAGCCACTTCCTCGATCTGCAGCATTCTCCCCGAACCTTGTTCTTACAACGCATATCAAGTACGCGCCTTTTGCTGCCCGTCAGCGCAAGGGTCATATCCGCGATGCCAGCGAGCGTGATCTTGGAGTACACCTAGAAACTGCTTTGCGCGGAGCAATTATCGCAGAGCGCTGGCCAAAGAGTGGTCTTGACATTACTATCACAATTCTCGAAGCTGAAGATGACCGGTGGTGGGGCAGTGCTCCGGACTCTCATGATGCCTCATGGGGCATGATGAACGTTCTTGCTGGCTGTATCACTGCTGCTTCGGCTGCAATTGCCGATGCTCATATCGACTGTCTTGATCTTGTGGCTGGTGGTGTTGCCGCTCTTGTTTCGGACGACTCTGCGAGTACTTCAACGGTGGCTCCTAAGCTCATGCTGGACACCGATCCTGCCGAGCATCGCTCCATCCTCTCTGCCTGTGTCGTGGCATATATGCCTGCTCGGGACGAGATTACAGAGCTCTGGCTTAAGGGTGACAGCTCTAAAGCCTCCCTCGAGGACGGTGATGACCGGACGGGCCATGAAGCTTTGATCGACGGCGCTGTAGATGCTGCCCGGGGAGCCCACGCCGTCCTAGCAGAGGCTGTGCGGGAGTCACTACTAAAAACTGTGGGACAAGCTTGACGTAACCATACCAATTTAATGAAGAAAATAATGAAGTCCTCGAAATCTATTATTCGATCACGTGCCAACGTAAGCCCTCAAAGTGAGATCTATACAACTCGCATCGCCAGTCCCCTACAGCCACTCCACATGCTTTCATGCTTTCCATCCACTACCATGTGATTTCGTATAACGAGTATCATCCACGGCCGTATGATACGGATTCCGGCAGTTGTCTCTCTCGCCGCTATGCTCCTCTCAGTCTTCCTTTGGTCTTCTCCCCATTGTCCACCACCTGCTCGCACCTGCTTCCCGCCAAACATCTTCACCACAATCCTCACACATCTACCACCTCACAGTATGTCATCATCAAGCTATTCATTCCTTTAAGCCTGTCCACCGACACCATTCATACTTAGACTAACATTTCTTCCGATCCTGCTAGCTCATCATGGCCACCAACGACGAGAAGCGACGGATCCTAAATCGGATTCTGGTCCAAAGCCCGTATGACCCGAGACCAGAGCTCTGGATCTACCTGATTTGGCTCTGCCTCACCATCCGCAAAGATGGAAAGGTAAGTTATACATGCATGATATTCCTGTTCACGTACCTCCACTATCGAGACCGCAACCGTGCATGATTCTAACTTTGTATCGTGTAGCCCGATTTTGATGCTGTCGAAGAGGAGACTGGATACTCAGACCTCTTCCTCCGGGAAGGATTCCGTAAATTATCACTGCATGGTGACGTCGTTCGGGCCTTGTTCAAGGAGGCCATTGACCCGGAGGATGGAGGGGACAAGGAGTAGGAGGTGTGGTTGGCCTATGTGACGATCAGCCTTTGTCTTGGGTTTTCCTTGCTGTTATTTTTTGTTTCTAGAAGCGAGTATTATGGTGACTCTCTGTTTCTATCCAAGATACCTTTGGCTTTTGTAACATCTTGAAGGTGTCAGCTACGCCAGCATGACAACTTCCCTCTATCTCCTCATCAATACGCTTTCCATTATGAACTTAACACTCCCCTTCACCATCTACTTTACCAAGATCTTTCTCAGGTGTATTATTACCTGATACATTGTCTTTTATACTGAATTTTACACCCGTGAGCGGATTCCTTGCCACCCACTACAGCTGCGCCAAAGTGGCTTCCAATCAATAGCCTTCGTAGATCGCCAATTTTTAAAGGCATATATAGCAGGTGTCCCTGCTAAAGCTCATTCCAAAGTAACTACCTAGATAGGATCCAAGGATGCCACCAGGAATTCTTGCTTTGTCTGGTTCAAAAACAACGGCGATGCAGGTATGCATTTGTTTCAGTAACCAGTGGGTGGAAACATGATTTTCGTCGCTTTCTGTTCGGCCCGGCTACACTTTCGTCCTATCTTGTGCACTTGTGATAAAGATTTCTTCTATAAGTCAAATCTAGAAAATTCTGTTATATTCGGTGTCGATGAATGTATAACCCACGATTGATGGCGGCTATTGAATGCTTCTCCTAAGAATGACAATTACGAGATGATGGACGAATTGGCTACTCTAATAGCCCGACGGGCCACCGACAAGAAACAAATGGACGAGCCTCACGCTGTAGAATATATCCACCGGAACCACGCTGGATTTGTTCAGTCTCAGGTGAGCGAGGAGGATCAGATTTGAATGGTGTGGCCTCGTGAATGGTAACATTTTTGCAGAATATGCTTTATTGACGGGGGAGATACATGAATGTGGTATACGCAGTGATATTAGCTGATACAGTAAATAAGTAGGATCAATCCCGAAAAAAATGCGGTTGATAATGAAAAAAAGGCGGGAAAGAACAGCCTGGACGCGAGCAAACGTGGACTTCTCCTAGCCTTTAAAAAGACGCACTTTCTTCCTTCTAACGACGTACTTCTCTCTTCCTCATCCCTGGCCTCCTCCTTCCCCACTCCCTTCTGCCACGCACCACGCTCTCCACCCTTAACACGACGCACTACAGCAGCACTCCTCAAGGTCCTGTAAGTTCCCTTCTACCACACTGATGAACATCTAGTATTCAAAGGGGTGCACTGGATGACATGAGCAGTACACTTTTCAGGTCGACACCATGTCTCCCACTTCCCCAAAAGTGGATTCCAAGACCAGAGTGGTCAAGCCTAGAGCCGCGCCCAAGCCCAAGGCCATCGCCGATGCTAAGGCCATCTCGACCCTAGAGAAAAAGGCGTACTTCATCTGGCTCCACTTCCAACTCAAGGAAGGTGATAAGGTACTTGACATTCTTTGAATTCACCGCGAAGACCGTTCTTGGCTAATAACCACTCATCATTCCAGCCTAACCATGCCGCTGTTGCAGCCAAGCTGGGCATTCCCCAGCGCACTTCAGTCAAGCGCCTCAGCGAGCTCAGACTTGTCATGGAGCAGATCGGTAACAAGCAGTTCGATATGGATCTGAACGATGAGTGCGTGCCTCCCCTCCCTTTTTGACTCAAAGAAACAGTGCCCATTTTTGACCAGGATAGCCCAGTAAGCAAGGTCTTCGACAACCTCGAGAAGATTTTCGCGCACGAAGCCATGCTGCGCTGAGTGGCGCAAAGGGCCGTATGGACCAAGTCCACTCATGGGATTCGGATTTTTTATGGAGTACATACCGTTTAGGCAGCTAGATGGGGGGTATGCTTCTTGGATTATGGTTTCGTCTTAACGCTTTGGTTTCCTAGGAGCTCATCCATGTTCATAGATGTCATGATCACCACTCTTGATTGCTCCACACCAAGTATGGAATTCAATGCTCTCTGATTTAGCTCAGGATAGTTCTCTGCCACTACAGAATGACGTAGCTCAAATGCAAGGATAATATTACTCGTTGTGAAGGTTAGGGATTGGGAACGGGGTTTTGTTGGCAAGGGATCTGATATATTTGCAGCCAGTCTATCAGCGGTACTTGGATCATTGAAATTGGTTTCAAACATGTTCATGATATCTTTCACCCGTTAAAAGCTTTCTTGAATTCTATGCGTCTCACACACCTCCCTTGACCTCATCTTCGACGCTTTCAAATACCCAGGATACATTCCTCACCAGGTAGGTGATATTTTTTGATGCAAGACCCCTATTTCCTCTATTGATTCATGTGCCTACCACGGATTCAAAGAACAAGGAACGCTGCAAGCCTCTTCGTTGCATTCACCTCACCCTGCAGTCTTCGGACAGCGTCTTCCGACTCAGTCTCATCCATCTCCTCTACACCAGTCATCCACGTCTGCACCTCAAACGTCCACCTCACGTTGAATCACATCTAACCTAAAGCATTCAGTCGTCCGTTTGGCCTTACATTCGATCCTCATCTGCCCGCTGTGTTCACTAACATATTCATTCCTTGCATCAGGAACCAAGTCAACATGTCTGGCCGAGTCACCAAGGACAAGACCAAGTCGCCCAAGGTGCGCAAAACAGCCGAACCAAAGTCCGAGAGCGCCACCGCTGATGCCAGTCTGGTGCTGCTTTGGCTCTGCTACAAGAACAATGGCGGGAAGACTGTGAGTGTTCTCTGGACGTGAGAGTCCTTGGCCTGCCACTTTCACTGACATTTCTATAGGTCAACTTTGACAAAGTCGGAGCCGCCCTGAACGTCTCGCCTATCGCAGCCAAGTCCCGTTTCCGTCGACTCAAGGAGCGCATGGATGCCGTGGTGGAGGCCATGGAGAACCCCAAGAATGGAAAGGGTGAGACTTCGCCTAAGGAGGAGAAGGCCGACTCTGCATCCCAGCCGGCCCAGCAGGATGCCCCAGATGCTGGACCGATGGACCTCGAGGACGATCTCACAACAGATGTCTAAAGAGAAGCACTCATCGACACGCGTTGCAGACATATTCTCAGGGCAAAGTCGGCGACAAAAGAAGAGTGTTAATCCAGAGGGTGCATTCTCGTTTTTGTTTTGTTGTTATTGCCTTTTTTCCTTTCTTTTTTATGGTATGGCTTGACATTCAGCAAGCGGGAGCAGTCTCATGCACATAATAATACCTAGGTATTACATATGGCGAGCAATGCATAAGACATATTCAAGATAACTTTGAAGTAGTTACATACATCACAGTACTGTAGTCATGGTTTGTAGCCATGGGTAAGTGGCGTTGAGGAACAAAGAAAGTAAAATTAGATGAGCCTATCATCTAGTGGCCCATGCAGCTTCAAGTTAGACTCATGTTTCAGGACCAGGAACCATACCAATCTGACTGTACAGGGTTCCGTACTTCTGTAAGCCCGTTTGAGTGCCAAGTATGTTTCCTTTTGCAGGACCAAGTCCATTGCTGCACCCTGCATGTGATCTTGCACTTGCAACAATTGTTTACGATAGTCAAGTGCTGCTCAAGGAGGCCAGTCGGTGTCAAAAGTACGCTGAGCGGGCCACCCGGGATCCAACGCCATCGAAAATCGAAATCGGAATCGATCGATCGAGAATAGAATGCGATTGGGGTTCGGGTTGAGATTCCTGGTTTGGTGGAGAAGATGGTTAATTGGTTAGGAGTCATAGGACAAAGGCCTATTGACAAGAAGCAGCAAAACAGCCACAACTCGTAGGCTCTCTAGAATAAAAATGGAAAAGACCGTGCTAACCACGATACAGGCATAACATTTTCCGAGGATCTCCTCTGGAAAATCGGCATCTACTACTGGCTAGTGCCTATCCTCCGTGGACGGGGCTTATTGACAGCGGAACTACTCATCGCCAGCAAAAAGGGGCAAAAGATCTTCGTCAACACTTTTCTCCATAGCCCCCCCAACATGGTCCTGCCTTCCCATGGTTAAGAGCGGATCAAGGGACAATTTTTAGTGTTTCGATGGTCATGGGAAATTGTATACATAGAAACCCCGTGAAGAATGCGTGCGGAGTCCTGGGCTACGAGTCTGGAGGCGGACAAGGCTCATCAGGGAACCGGCCGTTCGCCGTTTGAGCAGTTCACCTTCACCTTCTCCTTTTCCCCATCAACTGATTCAACCAAGCCAGACGAAGGATTAATCCCCTGCACAGAATTAACCTTCATTTCCCAGAGTCTCAAATTTGGATTGTCTTTTTTCTTTTCTTTGATCCCGAGGACCCCCTAACGCGCCCGAGTCGATGGAGCGACCCATTTGGCGTGCCAGTCCTCCAAGCCATCGGGTCGTCCAAGAAGCCAAAATTGGCACTCGGTTCACAGGATCGTGCCGCTAAGAACGCGATGGCCCCACGGGCCTGCTTGTCGATCACCTCGTCACACCAATGGTTGTGCCGCCGGAAATTGGGGGCTCCATCGGGTTACTCGTCCGCCCACTGGCCTCGGCCTTCTTCCTACTACGAGAGCTTGCTTGGACTGTACGGAGTACACTCGGCATTTGGTCCCCATTTCACAGGATCGCATTGAGATTGCAGATGAACGCCAGGTGTGAGAATGGACCAGGCGACGGCTGGTCTCCGGACAAAGACTCCGTGCTAGCCTACCAATGATTCGATATCTCACAGGGGAGACATGAGAATTCGATTCGTGCTGCTCGTTGGTCCTGTCAAGAATGGATTCAAACGTTCTGTCATGTGGACCCTCACGACGTCTGGCTGGGGCCGCAGCATCCAGCTTACAGCCTATAATGCAGCCTGGACGTTGACTCCGAAGAAGCTTTTGTTAGCTACATAAGCCCGTCCCCATTCGAGGGCCCCAGCTGTTGAAATTGTGGAAAGAAAAAAGAAAAAGAAAACATCCCTCTTGTGTTGGTCCGGGAACGACTCGTGTCCGCATCGTGTGCGTGGCTGCCTTGGCATCGTTTGAGTTTACCAAAGCCAGTTTCGAACGACAGACGGCCGTTCATGTGTCAGAACTAACGGCAGATGGAGCACTCTTAATCTTTTTTTTAGCGTTCGAACCGTCCTAGCCGTATCGGCCTGGCAGCGGGGCCCATCTGTGCCCGCGGCGAGGGATCATGGAGAAGACCGGACCACTCCCTTTCGCCCCTGATCCAGGCACAATCCAATGAGTGATGGATCTGCACGCGGACCACTCGACATGGCAAGTCTGTTGCCCATGGCCGAGGGTGTGAGCTTCGACTTTTCTTGTTCCATTTCCTCTTTCCTTTCCTTCTCTACTCCTATGATCTCTTCATGAATACCAAACCGTATGACGGTTTCTCAATCGAAAGCTTCAAGGCTGTCATGACTCCGCCTGTTTGATTCTTCACGGCGGCCGTTGGTCCAGTCGCTCCACTTTCAATTTGTTTAGCTTGAGACCTTTTTTTCCCCTTGGCCTTCCCGACGTCACCACGGGGCCGTCTCGTACGCCCCCCAATTCACCCACTCGGGGACATACAGCACCGCTTTTACGCATCAGACTGATTGCAATCTAATCAAAATGGTGGCTTTGAAGAAGCTTTTTCAAGCTGAGCGCGCGCCATCGCGCCCATCAACCGGTGCTGGGTTCAATGGAATGGAGTCAGAAGACCCATACTTTGGCACCGTCGAATCACCCACCCGAAATAAGTTCCAAAATCTCTTGTCCGCCGGTCCTCCATCACCAGCAATTCCATCACCAGGCTTGAGAGCGTTTCAAGCACAAGATGTGGCACATCACTTCGATCAGATTGAGAAACAGTTTGAGGATCTACATCAGCATCTAAGTGAACGACCAGTATCTTCTCAATCGCAGTGCCCGCCACCCGTACCAAATCGTTTTGTTCGCAAGGATCCCAATGCTCGGCATATCGATCTCATGGAAGCTATTGCTCCCCCAGAACAAGCCACCGATAGCAACTCCCCAGTCGCATCGCCTCCTACTAGTCCATATAACGAAGATGTTGCCGAACGGAACATGACCAGATTTCTTCGTATTCAGTATCGAAGCGGATTTGCAAGCTCCCGGATATTGTCCGCCCTATATCAGGAGGATGTTGCAGACAGGAATATCGCAAAATACAGTGGCGCATCACGCTCGCTCTCATCATTAAGCTGCCGCTCTTCCCCTCCCGCTCCTGGGAGAGTACGCAACCTCAGCCGCGATGGACAAAGAAAACGCAATGCCAGAAAATCCAATTGGACTTCAGATGGAGATTTGCGTGCTCGATCTGCCTCGCCGAACAGTGCGTTCGGTGCTTCTTCGCGAAATTCGCAGGCAAGCAGTCTACTTCGCCAACAAAGATCAGCGCCGAGTCTGTTTCCTGACGAGGATGGAGATGAGGCACAACCTCCTGTCATACAGCGCTTGGGCGTTCCTCCAGCTCATAAGCAAGGCAAGCGATGGAGTAACACTCCTTTGCCAGATAGTCCCACACTACCAACGCCCATTAGTGACGGTGGTAGCGCCAGTGAGAACCGTATGGACAGCTCCCCAGCACTCCGAGCTCCAATTACGACGACCCGAAGTTCATCCTTGACTTCAACATCAAAGTCCCCGCCCTCTTCCTCTGGCTCAGCTTCTCGGAAGAACGTGCGAGATCTATCCATCAATACCGACCTAGCCGCCCAAGGCAGGCCGAAAATTGCCCACCGCGCTATCCAGCCCCCCACACCCTCAACTCATGAGATGAAGCGGGCTCCAAGCATTGCAGAGGTTATGCATAGTCCTTTGCGTGCGCCAACCCCTCCACAGCCCTCCCCTCGGTTCAAAGTCTCGGAGATGATGGACCTGTTCAACAAGGCTTACATGTCTACACAAGCCATTAGCCCCCACCCTACGTACGAGAGTTTGCAGGATGCCATTGTCCGAGAAATCAACTCTCACGAGGCCTTCAATAAGGTTCCTCTGCCTGCTGCTGGTCCCCCTTTCACTCCTTCTCCGACTCAGGAAACATTCGATCGCCGTCCCTGGTCCGCTCACCCAGGATTGAGCCGCAGTGCCTCTGCCGCGTCAATTTCCAAAATCATGAGGAAGAGCTCCTTCCGGAAACACAAGCGAAATGCCGACTCCCGCCAGAGCATCTCCACAACCATTTTCCGCAAAGCCTCTTCCTCTCCGTCTCGCCGGCGGCATACCGATGCCCCAATCCCATCCCCGGGTCTCCTCGCCGACATCAAACAATCGCAGGAAACTGCCTCGCCAGAGCAGTTGACTTACATGGACGTGCTGTATCGCGCTACCAACGACAAACCCGGAACGTCCAGCTCCAAACGCCCTCAATCCTCGCGGAAGCGCGGACGCTCGGACTCTACCTCCAATCTCTCCGCGATCATTCGTGCCAATGCAGAGATGCCTCATACCCCAGGTCCCATTGGTGCCATCTACTGCATGCAGGCACATTCCAACTCGTCCAAAGATAGCCAGAACACTGGCTCGCACGAAGACAGCGACGACGACATTATCCACCTCCCCAGCGTTGCCGCGCCGCCCCCACGTGTACAAATCGATGCCGTCGATGATAACAACGTGCGCTACGTGATTGACTCTGCGACCGCAACTGATGCCCAAAGACTCATGAGCTGGCCCCAGCGCTCCCGCCGCAACAAATCGCCTGTACCTACCTCGACACCGTGTGACAACAGCTTGTCCCCGCTGTCCCACGCTCGAATGCAGCTTCGCGGCAATCGCTCCGTCGAGACCTACTGAATAGTCAAGCCATCATTTTGTTGATTTGCCTAAACTGGGAACCTCGCGCTCTCCCTGCATGATAATGACTTTCTCATGATTACCTCCAAACCTGGAAAAAAGCTTGTCCGGTCCCTTCAGTGTCTATTTCTCTTTCTATGGTGACTTTGAACCCTTCACTCAAAGCGTCCGATCTCGATCTTGAATCTCAAGCCTGTCTTTTTCCCTTTCTCCACCTCCTCCTCCTACACACTCTCTCCGACCCGGCTCCTCGCCTACTATCTCACTCCCTACGTCTCATATCTGCTTTCTTACTCTTACTATATCCAACCTATTCACTCTAGTCACTACACTTTCTTATTTCTTGTCATCATCGGCCTACCTTTTCGTCGATTGCCCGCCAATCCATGTGGCTCAAAGCTTGTTCTCTTCTCTTTTCGAATTGTGTCTCAACTATAACCAGATATCAGTGTGCATCCTCCGGTTGGCGTCTCAGTCGATTGATTTACAGGCCGTGTCAATATGTGTATTAACTCTATGCGCCCGAAGAGGCAAAATCTTATTCGCTATCCATTATTCTCTCTTATCCGGACGTATTTTCTTGTTTTGAAATCGGCACGACAATCCTGAAAACGCATCCAATACAGGTACAGGCTTGCTTTGGCAAAATCCTCTCGAGTCACGACTTGGCCCGTAGAAGACGTCATGTGACTGTGATGTATGAACCCTGATCAAGATCGACAGCCTTGTGCAACTGTCACGCAAGGCCGTGGAATGCGGGGATCGGGTTCATGATGTGGGGAAGATAAGTCTCTAGGTCCCAGTTCATTCGCGTCTCAACAGTCGCAGCACTAAGTTAGGCAATGCCATTGCTGATGCTCCTTGGATAACAGTTCAAAGTACATGATATCTTCGCTTTGATTAAAATGAAAAACGTCACTCATTTCTGCTCATAGGCTCATTGTAACTAACCACCCCCCCCCCCCCCCCGGTCCTTCCTGACACAACCCGCGTTTCCAGTCCCAACTCCACAGCAATGACAGGATGCACAAGGTATCTCGGGTGGGACCCCTGGTTGGTAGACCACTTCACATGTAGGGGTCCAAATGATTTTTACGACTTTGAAAGCTCCAAATTTAACTCCACCTTCTCGGCAAGAAATAAGAGAAGAAAGCCTACATCTTTTACCCTTGGAAGGGCTGGGATGAAGGTTTGCATGGAGCGGCTTAGTAGGAGCGGCCAAACATGCACCACTTCTCGGCGAAGTTAGAGCAGCTGGGGTTGATACACTTGGTAACGCCGGGCACGATGCCCTCGGGCTGCTCGAAGGGAATGCACAGCTTTGCGAAAAATGTCAGCATGCACTTACAGGAACTCTGAAGAGATTGGTACTCACACTCTTGCCACCCATTGAAGGGGCCTTGGCGTCGGTGACCTCGCCGGATTCCTCCTCGGCCTTGCGGGCACTCTGGTTCTTGATGGACTCTTCACAGTCCATTTGCAGACAGAAGGGCACGAGGCAAAGCTATGAAAATCAGTGTCTGACTTGGTATTTAAGGGAAAGTGTGTGTATCTCACGTTCTTGGCATTCAGGGCAGGAGTGAAGTCGTCCCAGTTAGTGATCTGGAGGCGGTGGGCCTTGAACTCGGCGTCGGCACGGTTGTACATATCGGTGTGAATGGTCTCGAGGAGCGCAGTCGTGCCGCTAACCAGGTCGGCGATCGGAAGGGTCGACTTGCCATCCTTTCCAGGGATATCACGACGGGCAGTAGTGACAAAGTGACCAGCCGACTCGCCAGGGCCGAACTCCAGACGAAGGGGCACACCACGAAGCTCCCACTGGTTGAACTTCCAACCGGGGGAGTAGCCCTCACGCTTGTCACTCTGGACGCGGACACCAGCGGCCTCGAGGACGGCGACAAGGCCGTCAATCTCCGCGTAGAGCTTCTCACGGTCCTCATCGGTGCTCTTGGCAGTGATACCGACGGGGACAATGACAACCTGCGTCTCAGCCACACGGGGGGGGAAGGACCAGACCCTTGTTGTCACTGTGAATCATAACCATGACACCCAGGGTACGGGTCGACAGACCCCAAGAGTTCTGCCAGACGTGCATAGCCTCCTTCTGCTCACCAGGCTTGGCGGAAGGGTCCTCAACAGTGATGTTGAACATCTTACTGAAGTTCTGGCCCAGGCCATGGGAGGTACCACCCTGAATACCACGGCCAGTTGCAGGGATGTAACCCTCAACGGTAGTTGTGTAGAGACCACCAGCAAATTTCTCTTTCTCGGTCTTCTGGCCCTTGACCACGGGAACGGCAAGAAGCTCGGAGTAAATATCGGCATACCAGTCAAGAATCTGCAGCACTTCTTTCCGGGCAGCATCCTCAGTCAGGTGGGCAGTGTGGCCCTCCTGCCACAAGAACTCACGAGTACGCAGGAAAGGCTGGGGGTTCTTGAACTCCCATCGGACGACGGAGTTCCACTGGTTCAGGCGCAGGGGCAGATCACGGTGACTGCGAATCCACTTTGAGTAGTAGGGGTACATAACAGTCTCGGATGTAGGACGGATAGCAATCTTCTTCTCGAGAGGAGTTGATCCGCTATAATGAAACGTCAAGTTAGTAATCTGCATCTCCAGCAAGTCATTAAGCAGGGAAATCCATACGCATGGGTCACCCAGGCGACCTCGGCAGCAAAGCCCTCAATGTGGTCCTTCTCGCGCTGCAACACATCCTCGGTAACGAACAAGGGGAACGAGCAGTTCTTGACACCCATCTTCTTGATCCTTTTGTTGAACCAGTCTTGAATCTCCTCCCAGATGAAGTACGAAGCGGGCTAGGACAGACATGTATTAGTGATGGCGCACGCGACTGACAGCAGGGGCTTTATCGAAATACCTTCAAGATGAAGCAGCCCGACACATCATAGTAGTCCAGCATATCTCCTGGAGGCGCATTAACAAGTATTTCACCTATCTCAGTGCCCTTTCTTACCCTTGGTGAGAACTTGCTGGTACCAGTCCGGGAAGTTCTCCTCCTTGGACGCATCGATACCGATCAAAGCAGCGCCGTCGACCTTCTTCTTGGGGGCCTTCTTGGCCTCCTTCTTGCCCTCAGACTTCTCAGTCTTCACACCAGCAGCGTGCTTCGCAGCCTTCTCAGCCTTGGCCGCAGCAAGCTTTGCGGCCTTTTCGGCCTTCTTCGCGGCATTCTTGGACTCGCCCGCCTGGTTATCGGCGGGGTTTTGAGTGCGGTCGGGCAGGGTTGTGGGAGCAGCAGCGCTCGAGGCGGCGGCATCGGTGGGATTCTGGCTAGCCATGATGGTGATAAACGAGTGCCTGGCTAGTAAAAAGAGAGTAGGCCAAACTCAAGAGCAGAATTGGAAAGGGGAGTTACTCGAAGTATGACTCCGTCAATAAAAAGTGGGATGTTATCTTCGACACCGCCTCAGTGCGGCAGAACTTTTAGCGTGGCCTCCGACCAAAACCCCCCGTCCACGCCAGCAGAGCTCTGTCATCGCACCTGAGAGCCCTGTTGTTCGACTTTAATTCGCCATGGCAGGCATCTTCGAGGCTCCGCGGAATGCGGACACTCTTTGTGAGTCCTCCGACCCTGAAGGTCATAGCAAGACGCTAACGCAGCTCGCACACAGTCTTGGGTGGGCAGAAAATCACCGGTGCCGACGTCCGAGAGCAGAATGGTATGTTCGACGATCAGCCATTTGATAACAATCGCTTCTAACTGACGATATGCAGTTCTCGCAACTCAGGCTATTTCCAATGTCATCAAGAGCTCCTTCGGTCCTTCCGGCTTGGACAAGATGATGGTGGACGACATAGGGGTATGGAGATACTGGAGTGCCCCGCAGGATTGGAAAGCTCCTTTCTAACAGCTGTTTCAAATAACAGGACGTTACAGTGACAAACGACGGTGCTACCATTCTTTCCCTGCTGGATATTGAGCACCCTGCGGGCAAGATCCTCGTCGACCTGGCCCAACAGCAGGATAAGGAGGTATGGATTTCCATGCCGTCCCCCAGACAGCTGGTTTTTTTTATCTGTTGCTAATTCGGCTGTGAATAGGTTGGCGATGGCACGACTTCCGTTGTCCTTATTGCTTCAGAGCTTCTGCGGAGAGGAAACGAGCTGATGAAGAACCGTATACACCCCACGACCATCATCAACGGATACCGCCTTGCGCTGCGCGAAGCCGTCAAGTATATGAACGAGAATGTCTCAACGAAGGTGGATAACTTGGGTAAGGACAGCTTGATCAACATTGCCAAGACCTCCATGTCTAGCAAGATCATTGGTGCGGACTCGGATTTCTTTGCGAACCTGTGCGTGGACGCCATGTTGCAGGTCAAGTCAACAAACCAGAGGGGCGAGGTCAAGTACCCCGTCAAGGCTGTCAACCTCCTCAAGGCCCACGGAAAGAGTGTTCTTGAGTCTATGCTGGTTAATGGTTATGCTTTGAACTGCACTGTGGCCAGCCAGGCTATGAAGACCCGTGTCACCGATGCCAAGATTGCCTGCTTGGACATGAACTTGCAAAAGGAACGCATGAAGCTGGGTGTCCAAATCACCGTGGATGACCCTGATCAACTTGAGAAGATCCGTGAGCGTGAGGCCGGAATTGTCCTGGAGCGTGTTGAGATGATCCTGAAGTCTGGTGCCAATGTCATTTTGACCACCAAGGGTATCGACGATATGGTTCTGAAGACATTCGTTGAGAAGGGTGCTATGGCTGTTCGCCGCTGCAAGAAGGAGGATCTTCGCCGTATTGCCAAGGCCACTGGTGCTACCCTTGTTAGCACCCTGTCGGACCTGAACGGTGACGAGAAGTTCGAGGCCTCATACCTCGGTCACGCCGATGAGGTCTCTCAAGAGCGAATCTCCGACGACGAGTGCATTCTGGTCAAGGGCACCAAGGTTCACACCTCTGCCTCGATCATTCTGCGTGGCCCCAACGAGTTCAGCTTGGACGAGATGGAGCGCTCCGTTCACGACTCGCTCTGCGCTATCAAGCGCACTCTGGAGAGTGGCAGCATTGTGCCTGGTGGCGGTGCTGTGGAAACCGCATTGCACATCTACTTGGAGGAGTTCGCTGTCACAGTGGTATGTTGCATCTGGCTTTCTAGTTTTCCATATTCTTGATTCTAACTACATTTTACCTTTAGGGCTCCCGTGAGCAGCTTGCCATCGGCGAGTTTGCCCAGTCTCTGCTGATCATTCCCAAGACCCTGGCCGTCAATGCTGCCAAGGACTCATCCGAGCTTGTTGCTCAGCTCCGTGTCCGCCACGCCCTGTCACAGCGTGTGCAGGATGGCGACGCCAATGAGGAGGAGAAGGCTATTGCCAAGAAGAAGACGTACCGCAACTACGGATTGGATTTGACGAAGGGACGCGTTCACGACACTCTGAAGGCCGGTGTTTTGGAGCCCAGCATGAGCAAGATCAAGCAGTTGAAGAGTGCTGTCGAGGCTTGCATTTCCATCATGCGGATTGATACGATTATCAAGCTGGACCCGGAGCAGAAGCAGGATGATGGCCACGGCCACTAAACGTGTTGTTATGTTTTGCTATCCCCGAGTTTACCCTAAAAATCACCGTAATTGGATGTTACATAGAAATGAAAAAGCAGCGGATGGGGCAACTCCTGCTGTAACTGCATATGTATGAACAAATTGATCAAATGGGATATCTACTGTACTGTATCTAGCGGACCTGCGAATTACGCTTTGTGCCGGTTTTGTCGGTTTTGGTTTAGCGCCCCAATACAGTGTGTCGCGTAACCTCTCATTCATCGAACCGATATACAAGACACGACCTCGCCTTTTCGACTGCTTTTCTCCTTCTGGTCCTCCCTTCAACTCCTCTATATTGCACTCATACAGGCAAGGAGGCCCTAGTAGCCAATAGGGGGTCCCTAAAGTACTTACTGCCCTAGTCTGTCAGAATCAGCCAAGGTTGTTCGAGGCTCATCGAAATTGACTCGAAACACAAAAAATCGGCTAAAACAGGACACATATCGCAGGAGATGGCGCTAGCAGCATGACTCGGAATAGGGGAGAGGGAACAAAAATTGTCCAAGGCCAGGATTCGAACCTGGGTCGCGCCCCTTCGTAAGGGCATCCATGGAAGGGTGTGACTCAACGCATGCTACCACTATACCACCTTGATCAAATAATGACAGTATGGGAGGGAGGGTGGCGAAGCTCCCGCTCGCTGTGGAGAGTTACAGGTGGAAAGGCGGCTGGTAAAAGCGGTCATTTTCGACGTCAATACGACAGGTCTTCAGATTCCAGTTTCCAAATATAGATGAAACAACTGTAGATATAGCATCTCACTGCCGCCTCTCGGCCATCAGTCGCCGATACTCCTCCACGATATTCTTTCTCTCGCTTGCCAATTCCTCGCGGCGTCTGAGACTACCCACGGCGTTGGGCACGTTGGCAACATCGACCCTTGCTCCACCGCGAACCTTGAAGACCTCCCTCGGTTTTGTCAACTGCGGTGGGGCCTGAGCAACGTCAAACGGATTGGCCTGTCTCTCCTTGTCCCGCTTCTTCAGCTTTGCCCAAGGGTCGGGGTCATCATCGCCGCTGTCCTCGGCACCATCGGCCTTCTTTTTCTTCTTGGGGACCTTCTTCTTAGCTTTCCCTCCCCGTGCTTCAGCCTCCCACTCCTTCAAGATCTCCAGTTGCTCTTCCATCTCAGCTTCACGCTCCTCACGCTCAGCCTGTTCCCGCTCCCTGATCTTGGCTTCGTCCTCGCGCCAACCAGCTTGCAGTCGTCGTAGATGCTTCTCGTGCTTGGTCATCTTATGATCGCGGACCTTGGGCGCACCCGAGTTATTGGACTTTGTCATCGCAGAGAGGGGCATTTCGCGGTCAACGCGCGCGGCAAAATCTGCCAGCCTCTCTCCAGGTAGGATCTTGGGCATCGCTTTCTTGGCTTCCGCTTTTTTGGCTTCCTTGTCATCGGTGGATTCGGTCTTTTGAGGTTTGGCCGGCGCGGTCTTCTTTGACGAAGTATCTTGGGTATCTGCTGCTTCGCGCTTCCGCTTTTTGTTGTCTTGTTTCTTTTCTCCGGTCTCCAGTCCCGACGGGCGCTTCCCCGTGTTGGCGTATTGCATCAACCGCTGGAACGCCTTAGGGGTGTCATTATCTGTGGCATTCTTGCGCCGAGAAGTCGCGGGGCCCTTTGAGGGTTTTCCTTTGGGTTTCTCCTGTGGCTGCGGCTTTTTTCCGGGCTTGGGCTTTGCTTGCTGTTCGCGGACTGGTAGTGATTTCGCGATCACTGATGGCGGGAGGTCGAAGTGGCTAGATAGAGAAAGCGATGTTAGATTGGATGTATTGTGTAGGTCAGATCGCATATTGGACGTACGAGTCATCCCTCTCCCGTCTCTTGTGCTTGTGAGGCATGTTGAGGTGTAGATTGGTGAGGTAAAAGTGGTGAAGAGCGGAGTGCTCAGCGGAACTTTTTTTCGGGCTCTCGAGTTTATCGGCCAATCAGGGTCTTATCGCGGCCACTCCCAACTATATATTCTCAGGGCTGCTTACAGCCTGACTGGAGGGCTATGCAGCCACTAACATGAGATTCATCTTTTAATTTCATCGTCGGTCTGACCTAATTTTGGATCGCAATGATATTTGGATATGATATAGAATCTCAAAGCTCCCTTCACACCCAAAACACCTGAAATGGAGCTATCGAGCGATTGAAAGTTAGGTCTCCTAGGATGCCTGCTTCGAGCTTGTTCCAATGATTTTGCCACGTCTAGGTATAGTCGATTCAACGAGGTGAATAGTTCAAAGCTGTTCTAAATGTCTGAACCATTTAGGTACAGCTGGTATATTCGATGATTCGGCTGGCGCAGTGCCCTATACCTAATTCGGATGCAGCTTATACTCGTCGCTGTAACTATGATATAAGCGAATCGGTTTCGTGAAGAATTCCACCTTTTAGTTCTACTCGTAACAGTAGTTCACCTTTCAACCCTACTGCTCTATCCGATCTCAGTTAACGCCTACTTCTTTTTCCCATCCACTTCCAATGACCATGCCGGAAATTCCCACAAATCTTGGACAAACGCCCCAACGGATCGAGATAATGGTGAATCGATTTGAAAGCTTAGCTGACTTTGAGATCTACATCCTCGACTGGCTGCATAGAGCTCGGACTGATGATGAATTAGCACTCTTTGACGTGTCTCTCTTTTTTGGCTTTATCACGTTGATGAAGTCATCGACAATCTCTTTGAGGACGTTCAATTTCAGGAAAGAGCCTTCTATGAAAATTTTGTATTTCAAAATCTAGTCGATCAAAAACTCCCTTGCTGTATTGAGGAATGGCTTGCAGAGCAGATGATCCCAGAAAGTGCAGAGTCGCTTGCATGTGAAAGGATCTTGGGCAATAATGCGAGAATAACCAGGTCACAAATGATATGCAGGTTGTTAATCCAATATCTGTTCCTTCAGGGCCATTTTAGAGCTTTCTAAGCTTCGTTCTCACGATGGTCGGCATGAATTTATAGTGCTCCGGCACGTCACCTGTGCTCCACAACCGCTGTGATGGAGCTTCCTACCACACAGCTGGAGGAGAATAGGGATGACGTACTCAATATATCCTCCTGAGTATAGACTACTTCAAAGATCAGCTGGGCATCCTCTACAATACCTGAAGCGTGTACGTACATAATTATCACGGGTCATTTCATACTTAACACTGTACTTGCATATATGTATGTAACTATTATTTGGTTATATTATTCGTTGCTCTCTTCTTTCCCTCACGCCTCACTCAATCAAAGTCAATAGTTTAATCAAGGCCGTTCAGACTTCGAGGCTACCCTCTTCTACTTTCGTCCATCTCCCTCTAGACCTCCCTTCTCGCAAGAATCATCATGGCGGCTCCTCCAAGACCAAGCACGATACATGTCTACTCAAGAGAGATAAGTGACATCTTTTGACAAGAATTCTTCAAATAATGGTTCACTAGAATCCACGCGATAAACCCACAGGTAACCCCGAGAGATGCAACATAAATGTAAACGGGTATGCCGCGCTAGAAAATGAAATGCCCTCCTGAGCGCCAGAAAAATATGCCCACGCCAATAACAACAACAGTAAAACAAATACCAGAAATATGCATAAGAACGTAACAATGGATGAAGATTTCGAAAATCATTCATCTTCATCATCATAGGAGTCTTTCGCGGCAGCCCATCCACACTGCCAGTCTCGTCCATCCTTTTGGCCCTGAGTTCTAAGCTCACGAGCTTCGGGGCCTTCGCGCCAGCACCGGGCGTGATAGTCATCGCTGACGGTAATCAGCTCTCCATTGACCGTCCAGGAAATGCCCGTGACTTCCTTTTGGTGCCCTTCGACCAGAGGCGTACCAGATTCGTAGATCGGGATGGTATCGTCGAGTCTTCCGGACAATCCCACACCAGAATTGGTACGGCGGAGGCCGGATCGAGTTGTGAAGAGAGAGGTTCGGGTAGGAGGCAGATCATTGGACAAAGTCTTTACGGGGGCCTGCAGGAATCGTTCATCGGTGGGGAACAGAATGGGACAGTGATCGCTACTACCAACTGCTAACATTTCTGCACGGTCATCAGAAGCTTTGCGCACTGCGAGCTTAACATAGAATGTCGAAACTTGAAGTCGAGGGTGGCGGAATCCATACAAGGGACCCAGTCCCTCTTTGTCAGAACCACCCGATCGTCGCGGGTGAGCATGGTTGAGGGAGAGCTCAGGTGCGTGTCCAAGCACCAAGTGGGAGGTTGAATATGTGTAGACGGTACCATCTCGACAGAGGGTGTACAGTCTTGCACCATCGCCACCAAAAGCCATTGATGTAAGGCCAAACCGTCGGTACTTGATGTGACTGTCAGGCTCGCGGGTAGTGGATAATGGTAGAACGGGTCGGCCACGGCGGTTGTTATGCGCTGTCCGCAAATCCCAAAGTCGGACACTGGCACTAGCCTCGGAGGCCGTGACAAAAGGTTCTCCTGGCCAGGCGGAAGGAAAGACAGCGAAGTGACAGTGATATCGGATCGACCGAATGGAGGGGCTTCCGATTTGTCCAGAGCAGGCTTTTGCGGCGTGGTGTATGCGTGAGCGCCATGGATGGTATTGAGAACATGAGGATACGTCATCTTGGGAGGTGCAGAAGCACTGGAGGACTCGGTTTCAGATTCCAACGAGCACCGAACCTGCAGCGATGGGCGCTCAAATCCCTTGCAGCGAAGGTCCCAAATGTTCACGTTTCCGTCGCGGCTGCATGTTGCGAGAACCTTATTGTTGGAAGCAGGCTGGAACTGAACTCGCTTTACCGAGGACACATGATTGTGAAGACAGTGGATGGGCCGCTGCGTGGTCATGTCGATTACGAGAGATGTTTGATCTCCAGAAGCGGTAGCCAATAGCAGGTCGTCGGATGAGAATTCTAGATCCATGATCGAATTCATATGCGGACGGAAACCAAGATACGCGCTAGAGAATCCTCGTTCATCCTCTTTAGAGGAATCCAACAGACGAATGCCACCTTCCTCATCGCCAACCGCGACCAATGAATTTGCTATTGATAGTCAACATCCTGTACAATGTCTTCGAAGAATGGGCTCCAAACTTACTGTTGCAGGAAGCATTGCAAAACGGAAGTGCCAATTGCCCATCATTAGCATAGCTAGCGCATGAATGACGGTCTTCTGGTCGCGAGTGGAAGTCAGATGTAAGATCTTGCCATCCTATAGATATGTCAGACTAAGATTCCCGAAGCATTAATTGGTCTAAACTAACCAGCTCCCACAGTTGATCGAATAGTCAGCCGGTTCGCACGCGAACCCTGTAGAGTTCGCATGAAGAATGAACCGGATGTTTGCAACACTCGAGATCGGCTGATAGGCGAGACCGGTCGGCGTTTGGGAGGACTAGGCGGCGTCGTTTGGGTGTTTCGGCCCCGCGCGATCACAGCGGTCACATCGATATCTCCAACAACAGCTCTCTGCTCCAGGTCGTCTCTCACAGGAGACCGCACACGGACTTTCTTCAATGGCGAGGATTGCAGCGGGGACGCCACCGACGAGAATGAATGCTTTCGTTTCCTGCTTGGAGTGCGAGGGAAATCTTCCGGTAGACCATGGTTAGGGCTTTGGTCACCGCCCGCCTTGGATGACCTGGTAAAAGCAGGACCGAGGCGATTCACAGCTGGCGAGGTCAGCGCCCGTAGGGCCTGGCGACTTGTCTTCACATTGCTAGCATTGTTGCCACTGTTCAGTAGAGACCGCGGGGTAAAGAAGCGTCGGAAGGACCGAGGCGTGACGGTTGGCGGCTTTCTCTGTCGACGCCCACCACCCGATTCAGATGCGACAGAAGGCGGGGAGGAAGGTATCTCTTGGGACGAGGGAGGAAGGATAGGCTCTGATCGGGGTGGCTCAGGAAGACCAGAAAAACGGTCCATTGTGTGCTCGATCGACCCGGGGGAGGAGAGAGCCTACGGCGGAATACATTGAGGTGTGAAAAGATTCGGCCCAAGGGGGTAAGATGGGAGGAGCGGGTCTGGTCGTGTTGCGCGCATCGGACGTGACGCGGAGCGTGTGGTTCGGGTATTTGACACCTGAATTCAGGCGCCAAGGCCATCGGATGTGCAGTGAAGACGTGACGAATTGGTATTGTAGATTATACATTGAAAGAGATTGTTATTTAGCAAATCAAAGAGAGGCTATGGGTCTATCTCCACGATTTGTATTATTGAACTTCAATCCAAACTACCAAGACTGACAAAATACTGGAAATTCATCAAGTAGATTTGAGTATGTCTGAAAAATTACCCCAAACATTAGGGCTTCAGTATTCTCCGTAAATATCTCCTTGATTTTTCATCTAGTATTCATAGCTGAACTGCCTAATAGTTTGATTTATCCAGTAGCATCTGTACATACTTAGCCATACTATTGACGAGGCCTGTACCAAGTCCTGTGTCTCGACTCGTGGACTCCGTCCAAAAAGGCGGTCCCCACTTGATCCTCACCGCCTCGTATTCTGCCACGCATTATCGGATTTTTCGATTTTTTTTTTCTTTGCGATACCACGAGAATCCTCAACCGTGCACGATTCGGTCTCGCCTATCAACAATGGCGCCGATCAAGCGCAAGGGGAATGCCCCCGAAGAAACGGCTACTCGCCAGCCGCAAAAGCGCGCCAAGGTTGGAGCAGAGGACCGCAAACAAGACTCCAAGCCTAAAGATACCGCTCCCAAAGCTTCAGAGCTCTCTGTTCTCCGTGACGACGAGCCATCTTTCCCCCGTGGTGGCGGCAGCGTCTTGACTCCCTTAGAGCGCAAGCAAATTCAGATACAAGCCAACAAGGATGTTCTCTTCGAGCAGAAAGGTGCTAAGAAGTCTGTCCGCGAATTTGCCGACGACGACGACGACGAGGATGATGAAGATGTGGAGATGGAGGATGCGGACACAGGTGCTACTGCCAAAAAGTCTCGGAAGAAGAAGTCAAAAGGCAAGAAGCCTACCGATAAGGAATCCACCGAGAAGGAAGGTGTGCGAATTGAGGGTCTCAGCTACAAGGTATGAGCGGGATTGAAACATGCTTCATTGGGTTCTCTAACTGACAATTATAGCGCATTGTACCGGGATCCATGATTCTTGGTCAGGTTTCCAGCATCACTGCCCACGACGTTGCCATCTCTCTGCCTAACAATCTTGTTGGCTACGTGCCTCTTACTTCCGTCTCGAAAGTCCTAGACGACAAGATCGAGAAACTACTGAATGAAGAAGGAGATGACGAGGAGGACGACTCTGACGATGAGATCTTCGACCTCAAGGAACATTTCTATATCGGCCAGTATCTCCGAACATACGTTGTGTCTACCGGCACCGAGGCCACCGAAGCTGGTGGTCGCAGCAAGAAGCGCATCGAGCTGTCTATCGACCCCAGACAAGCCAATACCGGCCTCTCTAAATCCGATCTGGTTGTGAATTTGGCCGTTCAGGCTGCGGTTGTCAGTGTTGAGGACCACGGTGTGGTCATGGATCTTGGCATTGAAGGCTCCGATCTCAAGGGCTTCATGTCGTCCAAGGAAGTCGACCCTCGCGTGGAGTATTCCAGCATTAAGGAAGGCTCAGTCTTCCTCTGCATGGTCACTGGTCAGAACGCCAGTGGAAATGTAATCAAGCTCTCCTCCAAACTTCAGTCTTCTGCCTCGATCAAGCACTCGCACTTCCTCAGCGCCGCGCCAACCATCAACTCCTTCCTTCCCGGTGTTGCCGCTGAGATTCTCCTGACCGAGGTCGCCCCGAATGGCATGGCCGGAAAGATCATGGGAATGCTCGATACCGTTGTTGACGTGGTGCAGTCTGGTGCCGACGACGGCAAACTGGACCTGGAGCGCAAGTGGAAGATGGGAGCCAAGATCAAGGGCCGTATCGTTTCCACTTTCCCTAGCTCGGAACCTTTCAAGATCGGCTTCTCGATGCTGGACCATGTCCTCAAGCTTTCCTCCGATAGCCGTGGCCCTGGCTCATCCGATGAGGCGCCTGCTGTCTCCGCCATTGTTCCTGAAGTCACCGTCGTCAAGATGGACTCTAGCGGCATGGGTTTGTATGTTCAGATTGGCGAAACCAAGCACATTGGATTTGTTCACATCTCTCGCCTTGCAGATGGCAAGGTTGAGTCCATCTCACCCGAGTCAGGTGCCTTCAAGATTGGATCTACTCACGAAGCTCGTGTTGTGGGATACAACATGATCGACAACCTTTACCTTCTCTCTTTTGAGCAGTCCGTCATTGAGCAGCCATTCTTGCGCCTTGAGGATGTCAATGTTGGCGCAATTGTCAAGGGAAAGGTGGAGAAACTGTTGATCGGTGCCACCGGGATGGATGGTCTTATTGTCAGCCTTGCAGATGGTATCACTGGGTTGGTCCCTTCGATGCATTTTGCAGACACTCAACTCCAGTTCCCTGAGAAGAAGTTCCGTGTGGGCCAGAAGATTTCCGCCAGAATCCTTTCTGTGAACCTCGATAAGCGTCAGATTCGGTTAACCCTGAAGAAGAGTCTGTTGAACAGCGAGTCTGCTATCTGGAATGACTACAAGGACATCGTGGCCGGCGCCCAGGCTCCCGGTACTATTGTCAACCTGCAGCCTCACGGTGCCGTTGTTCAGTTCTACGGCGCTGTCCGCGGCTTCCTGCCCGTTTCTGAGATGAGCTCGGCTTACATCAAGGACCCGGCCGAGCACTTCCGCCTGGGCCAGGTCGTCAATGTGCACGCGCTGAGTGTGGACGCCTCCCAGGGCCGACTTGCCGTCTCTTGCAAGGACCCATCGACTTTCACCGACAAGTATGGTCAGGCTTTCGAGGACATCCAGCCCGGCCTGCTCGTCTCTGGATCTGTCTTTGAGAAGTCTGGTGATGATTTGCTCCTGAAGCTTGACGATTCCGACCTGGTCGCCCGTCTCGATATTCAGCACATCATCGATGGTTCTCCGTCAAAGCAGAGCTCTACTCTATCCAAAATTCGTGTTGGTCAGAAGCTGAATGAGCTTTTGGTTCTGGACACTCATCGCGCTCATCGCCTTATCCGCGTCTCTAGCAGAGCCAGTCTCAAGAAGGCTGCTAAGCAAGGAAGCTTGCCCAGCAAGTTCGAGGATATCCAGGAAGGATCTTCGGTGACTGGCTTCGTTCGTAACATCACACCCGCTGGATTGTTCGTTGAGTTCTTGGGTGGTTTGACTGGTCTCGTCCCCAAGCGTCTTATTGAAGATGCCAACCTCGCTCAGCCTCAGTTCGGAGTTTCGAAGGGCTCAAATATCACTGTCCGTGTTCACGAGGTTGACACTGACTTGCAGCGTTTCATTCTGAGCCAGAAGGCTGCCGAATCTTCCAGTGCTGCTTCTAAGAAGTCCAAGGAGCCTGTGCAGACCAACGATGCCCTTGCAAACCCCGTTGATGAAGACGTCAAGACCATGTCAGACCTTAGCTTCGGCCGGATCGTCAAGTGCAAGGTTGTCTCCATCAAGGCTACCCAAGTCAATGTGCAACTGGCCGACAACATCCAGGGCCGCATCGATGTTTCTGAGGTCTTCGACAACTGGGAGGATCTCAAGGATCGCAAGCAGCCCCTGCGATTCTTCAGGGCCAAGCAGGTTCTTTCCGCCAGAGTCCTTGGTGTTCATGACGCCCGCAACCACAAGTTCCTCCCCATCTCCCACCGCAGCGGCAAGTATCCCGTCTTCGAGCTTTCCCTCAAGCCCAGCTTCATCAAGGCTGCGAACCCCGAGCCCCTCAACATGGACCAGGTCAAGGTTGGCACTTCATGGATGGGCTTTGTCAACAATGTTGCCGATGACTGCCTCTGGATCAACTTGTCTCCCAATGTGCGCGGCAGGCTGCGCTTCATGGATGCGTCCGATGATCTCTCCCTCCTGACCGACGTTGAGAAGAACTTCCCTATTGGTTCCGCCCTCAAGGTCCATGTCACTGCTGTCAACGCCGAGAAGGGTCATCTGGATCTCTCTGCCAGGCAGGGCTTCGACAAGCTCTCCTTTGGCGACATCTCCGTCGGCATGATTCTGCCTGGCCGCGTGACCAAGATTACCGAGAAGCAGATCATCATGCAGCTCGGTGAGGCTCTCGTCGGCGCTGTCAACCTGATCGACATGGCCGACGACTACTCCAAGGCTAACCCGACTGTTTACCACAAGAACGAGGTGCTCCGTGCATACGTACTTGCCGTCGATCAGGCCAACAAGAAGATCTCCCTGTCGCTCCGTCCCTCCAAGGTTCTGAGCTCCTCGCTTCCCGTCCAGGATCGCGAGATAGTGTCCATAAAGGAGATCAAGCCCAACGATGTGATCCGTGGTTTCATCAAGCGTATTATTGATGCCGGCCTCTTCGTCGCCGTCGGTCACGATGTCACTGCTTACGTTCGCGTCTCTGACCTTTCCGACTCATATCTCAAGGAGTGGAAGGATTCGTTCCACGCTGACCAGCTGGTCAAGGGCCGTGTTACTCTGGTTGACCCGGAGCAGAACAAGCTGCAGATGAGCTTGAAGGACTCCGTCCTCGACCCCAACTTCAAGGCTCCGATTACCCTTCGGGATCTCAAGGTCGGTCAGATTGTGACCGGCAAGGTCCGCAAGGTTGAGGAGTTTGGTGCTTTCATTGTCATTGATCGCTCTGCCAATGTCAGTGGCCTCTGTCATCGCAGTGAGATGGCTGAGAAGCGCGTCGAGGATGCACGCACCTTGTACGACGAGGGTGATGCCGTCAAGGCCAAGATCGTCAAGATCGACTCCAAGGCTGGCAAGATCTCGTTCTCATTGAAGGCCTCGCACTTCCAAGATGAGGCGGATGAGGAGAGCGAGGATGAGGATATGGAAGATGGCGCTGGTGGGGTTGAGCTCGGCGAAGACGACAGTGCTGATGAGGACGACGATGATGTCTCCATGGGCGGCGTTGAAGTCGAGGATGAAAGCGAGGAGGAAGAGGATAGTGACGAGGACGAGCCCATGAACGGTGCTTCCAAGGACGGCGGTCTCGGTGCCGGTGGCTTCAACTGGAGCGGCAACGTTCAGGATGAAGAGGCCGAGGCTGCTGACTCTGACAGCGACGAGGACGAGGACCAGAAGAAGAAAAAGAAGAAGAAGAGCAAGCCTGAGATCCAGGTTGATCGCACTGGCGATCTGGATGCGAACGGCCCTCAGACTGTCGCTGACTACGAGCGTCTGCTGCTGGGTGAGCCTGACTCGTCGCTGTTGTGGCTGCAGTACATGGCCTTCCAGCTCGAGCTGGGTGAGGTGGAGAAGGCTCGGACCATTGCCGAGCGTGCTCTCCGCACGATCACCATGGGTCAGGATTCCGAGAAGCTGAACATCTGGGTTGCTCTTCTGAACTTGGAGAACACGTACGGCAATGACGACAGCCTCGAAGAAGTGTTCAAGCGAGCTTGTCAGTACAACGAGCCGCAGGACATGTATGAGCGGATGATCAGTATCAACATCCAGTCTGGCAAGAACGAGGTATGTGATAGAGTCCTGTTATGTCCCAGAATTACATTTTCTACAGGTACTAATCCCATCTCCAGAAAGCGGATGATCTCTTCCGGACCGCCATGAAGAAGAAGATCTCCACCCAGTCACCCAAGTTCTTCCTGAACTACGCTAGCTTCCTCTTTGACACGATGGCTGCTCCCGAACGGGGTCGGGGTCTGCTGTCCCGTGCGCTGCAGTCGCTCCCGGCACACACTCACGTCGAGACGACCTCCAAGTTCGGCCAGCTCGAGTTCCGGTCTGCCAATGGCGACATTGAGCGTGGTCGCACTGTGTTCGAGGGCCTGTTGTCCTCGTTCCCCAAGCGCATTGACCTGTGGAACGTGCTAATCGATCTGGAGATGAAGGCAGGCGATGCAGAGCAGGTGCGCCGGCTGTTTGAGCGGGTGCTTGGGCTGCAGCACAAGAAGGGCTCTTTCACGGTGGACCCCAGCAAGAAGGTCAAGCCCAAGCAGGCCCGCTTCTTGTTCAAGAAGTGGCTGGCCTTTGAGGAGAAGCTAGCGGCGGCTGAGGGTGGGGATGAGAAGATGGTGGAGGAGACCAAGGCCCGGGCGGCGGCTTATGTCAAGTCTCTGCAGGAGGAGGAGGATTAGAGCAGGTATTGTTGGCTCGAGTACTTCTTGAGCCTGGAATGGTTGAACGTTGGGTTGATTTTCTGTCTACAAAAAAAGATCGGGTCCATGTTTGTTACAATTTTTTGTTCGTGGAACCCGTGGGTGTTTGGGACCATTGCATTCGTTGTATATAAAGCGCTACGACGCAGATCATCCATGAATTATTCTTTCTTTCCATTTATCATTGACCTGATTTTGCAGTAGCGCATGACTGTCAGCCCTAATCTAAGGTTGTAGATGTGGAGCTTCTGTCAGGATCTCAACGAGGGAATCCTTGTAAGTGTCGAAGACAGGGGCCTATCTGAGCTCTGGATGGCTGCATGCGGGCCTATCCCATGCTCCTCGTGGGCAGCCAGAAGTATAAGATGTATACTTGGTGGGAAGTATACTACTCCACCCTGAACCAAGTATCACGCTGCAGTTCACGAGAGTCTCTCTCTTCCCTTGAGCCAACGCCCGCCAGAGCGTCCCTGCGTGGCGTCCACGGGCTCCTCTCGTTGGCCCGCATGCCTAAAGAAAGTGCGGCCGTCCCACCGATTTGCACCCAATGGGGACCGGCAGCAGCACGGCATGGCTGGAACGTTTGGACCGGAAATCACCTTTGCACGTTGACCGTGAGAGACGCTGGCCATTTGCAGGGTTGAGATAGTGAATTGACTGCTATGCCTACAGTAGCTCGGTCTAGACGACGAGGGGTTCAACCACGGCACTAGGCTTCGGGAGCCAAAAATCTCACCATCGATCTAGTAACTCTAGTCCTAGTAGTGTCTATGCTGCCACGCCGAGGTTCTTATATACTATTCCCTCACCCCCCGCCATGATTCTTCACTTCGTCGTGTCTTTCTCCATCCTTTCCACCTCCCCTCCCCACCCCCCGGTCTACAGAGACCCATCGCGCCCGCAATGGGCGTCTCTTACCAGCCGTTGGACGTGACCAACCCTAGCGGCATTTCCGAATGCCTCCTCGCAGTGCCCTTCGAGGCATACACCGATTCACCCTCATCTACAACTGTCGCTGATGAGGATTCCAACGCCGACAGAGTCAAGGGCAGCACTACCGTGCGAGTTGAAGCGATCCCCCGCGCAAAGGTGGGGCCGCGCATCGGGAAATGGCGTCGGTCACTGGCGGCCTTCGTTCGGTCCAGGTTTGCGACTCGCTGCGCTGATCGCGACGACGCTTTACCGCTGCTCTCGCAGGATACACCGCAGTTTGGGAAGCGGTCTTGTCGCTCGTGGGTGGAGCACTGGTTGGTGCGGGGATTGTTGGGTTTCTTCGTTATACTGTAAGTGCACTGCACCTTTGCCCGTACTCCCGCTGAGGGGGGGGAGGGGGACTAATGGAGGTGTGGGGGATGTGCTTGGACCGATGGATAAATTATGCATTCTTGGGATTGGGCGCAAATCAAGACTCGAGACTCGAGGCTGACAAATGTGCTGTAGAGGCATTATCCAGTTCATCTCGATCGCCTGTGGAATCGGGCTGATCTTCTTCCCGGACGAATATGACCGCGCGGCACGCTTATTGATGCCGACCAGCGAACAACCCGATTCCGACGACATCACCCACTGGCCGACCGATTTCTCTCGCGAAATCCTTCCCGTCGGATGCCATTCGCACAATGACTACTGGCGCCGGGTCCCTCTGTTCTCTGCCCTGCAGGCAGGTTGCATCGGAGTCGAGGCGGATGTCTGGCTCTTCGACGAGGAACTGTACGTCGGCCACACGAGATCCGCTCTGACCAAGCGTCGTACCCTGCGATCCTTGTACGTCGACCCACTCGTGCGCATTCTCGATCGCCAGAACCCGGTTACCCCGTTCCAGCGGACGATCGAGACTCCCCCGCACGGGGTCTTCGATACAGACCCCGACCAGACGTTAATCTTGCTGATTGACTTCAAAACGGATGGCGCGGCGACTTGGCCCGCCGTTGTGAAGGAGTTGGCCCCGCTGAGGGACGGAGGATACCTCACGTTCTTCAATGGGCGTGATATCATCCCCGGGCCGGTGACGGTAGTGGGAACGGGCAACACACCCTTCGATCTACTCACAGCAAACACAACCTACCGGGATATCTTCTTCGATGCCCCGCTAGACAAGCTGATCGATGATCTGGGCCTCGACCGCGGACAAGTCGGCACATTTGGCTCGCCTGTGAAACGGTCTACGGGACTGGGCCAGGGCCTATCTGGGATGCCGGACAGCATTACCGCGCACACGTTCAACGTCACCAACAGCTACTACGCCTCTGTATCTTTCAAAAAGGCCGTCGGATTCCCCTGGCCCTTCCACTTCACGGAGCACCAGATGGATTTGATCCGGAGACAGGTGCGGATTGCGCATAGCCATGGGTTGAAGGTGCGATATTGGGGATTGCCGAGTTGGCCGCTCAGTTTGCGGAATCATATTTGGCGGATCCTTGTGCAGGAAGGGGTTGATTTGCTGAATGTAGATGATTTGACTGCTGCGACCAAGGGGGACTGGAAGATTAAGATTTTGGACTGGTGGTTCTAGGAAATGATGGTTTATGGCTGGTTTATGGGAAACGAGATCTCGATTTTACGTACATGAGGATGGGCACTGGACTGGCGTTCAGGTCGGGGGCTTTTTTTTTGATGACATTTTTTAAGATACCTTATTCGCCTTGATAGATTTTCACTTTTCTTCTCTCTTTTCTCTTTTGTTGCATGTTCTTATGGATACATCTACAAATGGTTTTTATTTCAGAATTGTGCTGGGAAATATCAAGATTCATATTGAAGCAGTCAAGCTTTTAGTGGCTGCAATGCAGTTTGCGGATGCAGTAGTCCTTGGTTTGTTTTGTTTGGATAGAACAGCGCCTGTCTGCCCTGGATGCAGGGTAATGCTAAATGACCAAAATGACAATGCAAAAATGCTAAAAGAACAAGTAGAATGAATATCACAAAGTGAGACCCGGGTACAGGCCTTGAAGATATAGATGCCACGGGGGCCCATCGGGGGGTATCATCAAATGGAGCGTACTGGGAGTCCAGTCCAGACGCAGTGGAGGGTGATGGTATGTTGAAACAGATGCAGAGATGTTGTTGAAGAAATGGAGACCAAGATCAAAGGCAGAAGAGAGCTTCCTCGCCAAACTCTCGGATTATGCTGCCTTCTTCGCGAAGGAGCCCTCCGAGCCAGTGTTTGGCTGTCTCGAAGTCCTTGGCGCCGAACTTGACCAGAACAAATCCGGCGCGCACGCGAGCTGCCGTCCAGATAACATCGCCCGTGGTGCTGAGCGATGGTTCGGGAGCCGATGACGGGGCAGACGAGGACCAATTTCGGCTGCCGATTCGAGGTTGAGAGTTGAACTGTTGCATGAAGTATGACCCGAGGCTGTCGAACACTGGGCCCGACAGGATCAGCGTACCTAGGACTCCGTGCGGGCGCGTACGTTCTTGGATGACGTTCAAAGGTACCAAGCCGGCCTGCGGTGGTGGCGTCTCAGCACGGCCAGAGTGGCTATTGAGCCCACTCTCGCCTGCGTCGTCGTCAAGGTCCTCATCTGAGTCATTGAGATCCTCGGTCTCATCGTCCAGGATGACCGAGTCACGTAGCAGGAGCCGGCTCTTGCCCGTCGTCTCGTCAGTAGCCCAAACTTCGTTACGGCCGCGCCAGAAGCGGAAGTTCCAGTTTTCGCCGCGCGACGTCCGGCCTTGTGTAACCCAGTCCAGAACACAAAGACTGCTGCGCTCGTTACCCTTGGCAGCGGCGTCGACGGTAAATGTTTGTACTTGCGCGTAGCGACTGTTCTTGAAGGGCACAGATGGGTCGGGCAAGTAGCATAGCGCTGCTTGGCGGCCGATTTTCACGTCCAGAGATTGCTGACTCATGTCGGCGAGATGTTGGTTGGCGGGCATCTGCTTGCGATGACCCTTGATCAATTTGATGCCATTCTCGTTGCCGGGCTCGGTCTTGAAAATCTTGGTGCTCCCCTGCGGCGTGGTCACTACCATGCGGGTCCTCGGCTCGAGTTTGATCGACACCTCGATGTGATCACCTGGCAGCAAACCACCGCCATAGGTGAGGAGGTAGAGATGGACTGGTCTTGAGGGACATGAATCCGACAATGCAGAGGATTCTGGGCTGGGGACGAATCCTGGAGCTCGGGGGACGAGCTTCAATGGGTATTTGTAGGTGAGAGTAGTGAGGGTGGGGTTGTTTGGTGGGAGGAGAGAGAGGACGACAGTGCCTTGGCCCGGCTTCGCGATGGAAGACTCGAAGGGCGAGCGGATGGGCATTGCTGGTTGTCGCATGATGCCGGGGGTGTGTGTGTTGTGTTCTTGCTTTGGTGGCAGGCACTTGGAAAAAGAGATGTGGGAGTCAAGACCGGACGAGAGGTGGGCCGGGCGAAGGCTTATCAAGCTAGAGAGGGGCGGACCGAAGAATGAGCCAAGCAGGCATGAATGTATGCGGATATCAGGAAAGACGGGCGACGGTAATGCTCTATCGCATCATGTGGATGTGCAGAAACTGATTTTTTTGCCTTGCTTACCCCAGACTCTTGGGATCTCGGGGCCATGCCGGATATATAATTTTAGCCCTGCCGCACGCTGGGGCGATGATGGCATCCATTAGTTAATGGCGCATCCACTCCTGAGGAGGTTACCGTCGGTTGGAGTGGCCCAGTTGGATTCCGCAATTCCATGGGCAGCGGCACGATGTGTCAAGCGGGGGTCTCTCATGACTTGCTGGCTTCCGTGAGACCGAGCAAAGTGGACTGAATTGCTGCGCCGAGAGGAGTTTTTATGACACACAAGATCCATGGATCTTCGCACTAGCAAAATGCCCAGTAGTCTCGGCCATGTCGGCGGCTTTGGACTTGCCCTATGGGGACCCCCGCAAGCCACTCGTGGCCGGCGCGTGACCTTGTCAGATTATGTCATCGTCCAGGGGGCGCATTCAGTTACCTCCCAAAGGGAGCTAGGCTTGATCGCCTGAGATTTAGGGTGTCGATGGATCGTGTTGGGTTGGTTCCTCAGGCTGTAAGGCTCTCAGGCCCCCAGGCTCTCAGGCTCTCAGGCTCCCAGGCCATCGCAAAGACCACGAGGTTTGCCAGGCGCTCAGGCACCCAGTCGCGTCGCACCTCCTTTACACTTCCTCGAGACCCCCGCTCTGTTCGTCTATCGGGTTTCTTTATTTTTCCCCGGACGATCGATTCGCGCACCCACTCTGGCATGCAGTGAATCTGGCCGCCGCGACACCCCCGAAGTTCAGCGATACCAACTTGGGTTCTCCCTTTCACCGGTGGTCCCATTTAACGAGTCCCGTTTGCTGCCGTTGCACGGCGCGTTCCACGGAGCGCGTTTGGTCTCAACGTACGAGTGTCCCCAACGTCCCATTGTCACCTCAGCTCGCCATTCTAGCTGACACAGATCTTCTCATACCATTGCAGTCTCTTGAATTCATATCCCACATACGAACACACACTGCCGTTCTACTATGGACGAGGACATTCCGAGTAGCCCGGCCTCCACGCCCGCCGAGGACCGACGCAAGTCGGGTCGCATGACGCGTCGACCCGAAGTCTTTTCTCAGAGCAATCACTCCATCATCGATTTAAATGCTGGTGGCAAGCGCAAGCGCGGCGACGCGCTCGACCAGTCCGATAGTGATAACGACATATCGGAATCCGAAAGCGATGATGCGGGTGATGAGGAAGCCGACGAGGAGGAGCTGAGAGAAAAGCGACGTGCTGCGCGCAAGAAGGGCACAAAGAGGGCACCCGTTAAGAAAGGCTCGCATGCCGCGAAGAAACCCAAGGTCACGAGTAATGGCGTGGGAAGACAACTGGCTTTTCGACCTGCAACGAACGGGCGACTGCCGACCTCGCGTCCCCGCAAGCTCAAAGTTCGACCCAGCCTAGTATCTGGCGAACGAGGGTTATTTGGTGAGTAACTCTGACCAACGCGCAATGAGAATTGCATCTAACCGATACAAACAGCCGAGGTTTTTGGAAAGAGCAACCATGCAGAGACTGCCGCTGCCCAGTGGTTGACTCAATATCAACGTAACCCCGCAGTGGCCATGCGAGACTTGGTCAATTTCATTCTCCGATGCACTGGAGATGACTTGGAAATTACCGAGGAGCAGGCGACGGATATAGACCATGCTCCTGGACACATCGCAGAGCTACAAGAGGTCTACATCGCGCACAAAATCCCGGATTATCCCCTCATCTCCAAAGAAAAGAAATATCGCGCATTCCAACCGGTTCTCGAGGAGTTCTTCGCCGCATTGATCCAAACGTTCCACCACTCCTCGATTCTATACACTGATGTGGCTCTGCTGGAGAACATCCAAACGTGGATCTCAAGCATCTCGACCGCAGGCATCCGGCCGTTCCGGCATACTGCAACTATCATCTCGCTAGCTATGACCACCGCCTTGTGTGGAATCGCACGCGAAGTAACGACAACTGTAACGACCTCCCGCAAGCAGCTTGAGAGTGAGAAGAAAAAGAAAACCGTCAACAAAGGCCGAGTGGAAGCAATCCAAACAGCCATCTCCGAGGGTGAAGCAAAGGTCGAGCGTCTGGATGATTCCTTGCAAGATGGATTTGATACTGTCTTTGTCCACCGCTACCGGGACGTCGATGGCGTTATTCGTGGAGAATGCTTGGCGTCTCTGGGCCGATGGATCGCCACATACAGAGAAATGTTCTTCGAGGGCCAATACTTGCGATATCTTGGATGGACTCTGGCTGATGTGGTCGCACATACCCGGCTGGTAGTCCTGTCGCAATTGCTCCCTCTCTTCGAGAAAAAGGATAACATTGCTGTTCTTCACTCCTTTACGGATCGCTTCCGCCCGCGCATTGTGGAGATTGCTGCACAGGATGCCGACATCAATGTCCGTGTAGCTGCGATTGAGCTGCTAAACCACCTTCGTGAAGGAGGATTGCTTGAGCCCGACGACATTGATGCCATCGGTAAATTGGTCTTCGATATCGACCCGCGGATCCGGAAGACGGCGGGTCGCTTCTTCGTTGCCAACATCCAAGATGCATTTGAATCATCAACTGAGGAGGTGGCGGATGAGATGAACGAGATGTTTGCTGACGACGATGACGAGGACGAGTTCGAAACGCCTAAGCGCTCATGGATCAAATTTAAGACTCTCGTGGATGTCTTCCAAGCTTATGATGACCATGGTGAAGATGAAACACCTGAACAAACCACGGCACGCGGTGTGCTTTCTGGAGCGCCCGCGGATTCCCGATTCGTTTTGGCGACCGAAGCTATCTACCCACACATGGAAGAACTTTCTCAATGGCAGTCCCTGGCTGGCTATTTGCTGTATGACCACTCCCAAATCGAGGATGAGCCGGAGGAAGACGACACTGCTGGAGTTGTGCGGACACTGTACAAGATGAGTGAAGGACAGGAGTCCATTCTGCTTGAGATTCTATGTGCCGCAGTCAAGCTTCGCGTGCTTGATGTTGCAAAGTCCGATATCGACAAGCGCGGACGCAAGGTCAAGGCACTAACTGCTAAGATTCCTGAGCTGCAGGAGGAAATTTCTCATGGCCTTGCTCAAATCATCCCTCAGCTTCTGAACAAATTCGGATCCGCACCCGAGGCTGCATCTGCTGTCCTGCGTCTCGAGCATCTCGTGGACTTGGATACCATCCAAGATCTCCAGAAGGATGCCACCGCTTACACATCATTGTTGAACGACATCAACAAGCAGTTCTTGACCCACTCGGACCAAGATGTCTTGGCGGAAGCTAGTGTTGCTTTCTTGCATGCCAAGAGCTCCGAGGAGATGCGCGAAGCTCTTGAGGGCAAAGTTCAGGAGTTGTGGGACGATATGGTTGACACCCTCGGTGCGCTGTCTCGCAAGAGGGAAGTTCAAGCGGGCGCCTACATTTCAGATCCCACTATCACTGAACTCGCCAACACTGTTACGCGTATTTTCAACCTCTCCACTATTACCGATTGCACAACCATCCTGGAGACGGTGCCAAAATCTCACTCAAAATCCAAGAAAGATACTCTCGAAGCTCCTTTCAATACACTCATCCATTTGACCCAGCGGGGCACTCGCAAGCTGGACGAGGATGAGGATATCGCCAAGGCGGAAACTGAAGTGGTTGCTAACAGCATCCGGACCTTGCTTTTCTACTTCATGTGGAAGGTGCAGGCTCTCACCGCTGCGTTGAAGGAGGGCAAAGCGTCCTTTACCACATCATACTTCGAAGCCCTCACGAAAAGCCGCGAGGCTTTTTCCTCTGCTCTTCTTGCTATTATTCAGAAGCGTACTGGTCTTGATGACCTTCGGTTCACAGCTGTTACAACATATCTCGACCTTCACACTCTCTTCGGCACTCTTCGCAACATTGGCCAGGGCGTTGGGAACGATGAAGATGTGCTCTTCCAAGCTCAGAGCCTTGTGCACGAGATTCCTTCCGAGGGCGCGTCTCTCGTCGCCAAGATCCAAAGCAGTGCCGAGCGCATCTTTGCTAAAAAGTCCAAGCGAGACCTTGAACCCGCAGAGGATGATGCGCCCGCTTCCGAGGACGAGCCCGAGGACGACGATGAAGCAAGTGACTCCGATGATGAGGCTGTTGTCAATGAGCGTCTCCGTAGCAGCATGATTGCGGAGCAACGCCTCTGTGAGTTGACTGGTAAGCTCGTTCTGGCCATCATTGGCCGTGTGATTGACGCTTCTGGGTCGAAGCGCGGTTCACTCAAGAAACGACTCCTTCATAACAAGAACGGGCTGGGCCAGAACTACCGTGAGGTTCTGTCCTACCTGGAGGAGCGCAAGCCTCGCAGCGCACCACGCAGCAAAGGCAAGCAGTCCGCCAAGGCTGGCGCAGGTGAAGGCGAAGCGCTAACGACAAAGAAGGACTTCAAGTCTGCTGAGCGCATCGACGATGACGAGGATGAGGAGGATGGGGACAATGCTGAGCCAGTGGAGGAAGATGACGACGAAGACTTGCGTGCTCGTGGTCTCGTCGATGAAGACATTGACCGTGACATTGATGAAAATGAAGAGCTTAATGACCTCGCACCCGAATCGGATGAGGATGAGGTGATGGGTGATTAAGTCTTTGCTGTCGGCAGAGTATTAAGTGATCCATTCGATGAGGAATTCCTTTTTTTTTTTCCAAAGCCTTTGATATTGTTCCGATTTCCCCTTTCTTCCTCTTCTTTTCTAATATTCCCGATGTTTAAATTCAAGTCCTCTGTGCCATCTGTGAACGAATTTTCCAATTTCCTTGCGAAAGATGGCCATCTTTCGCATACAATGTATATGTATTAGGATGAGTGACTCTTTGGTATTCAAAATGAGCAAGTATGACTTATTATCCGTGTCGGCGTCCGTAATCTTCTATCATCAATCAGATTCATTGGCTCTGCCCTACAGCCTTCTTCCTGTCGTCCAGCTATCACGCTCTCGCGACCACACGTGACGGGATCTTTCTCAAGAAGGAACGAGCTACCACGATTCGCACCTTCCATCTTCAACCCTCTTGCCCGTTTTATTCCTCTTTTCCCTTTTCTCCTTTTCCTTATTCTCTTCTTTCCTCACTTCTTCACTTCCTCAACTTTGACGACTTCAAACCCTTCTTCCCATCACGCAAATCATGCACACTGTTATTTTCTCTATATGACCAGCGTCAAGATGTGACCATGTCAGGATGTGGCCGGTGTCGAGATACAGAGAGGATTGACTAATCCATACTCGATCGGGTTGAGATATCATATGGTCTCTGCTGATTCCAGTCTTCTGAACGATCTGATCGTTACCGTTGCGGTTCTGTTTCCGCTCTCTATCGATCCGTTATTGACCCTGTCTCCTGCAAGAGGCTTCGACTGTGATTTTCCTCACGCCTTCCGAGTCTGCACCAGCTTGTCTGTCCTTCCCCAGACGGGAACACGGTCACGATTTTCATGAAGATTTCAATTTTCATAGTTCATATGTCCCTGGATCTGGTTGTCGTCCACCAATTGTCGATTGGTGTCCAAATACTGTGCCTTCCCATTCGCTGCAACGATTTATGAGCATTCCTGCTCCACATGGGGTTTGTCCACTGTTTGACTGTCTGTCTGGTATATGCAAGTCATGGTATGGTATCCGATTCTTATCGATGACCGACTCTTGCTATTTCTTGTGCTGTTTGATATTTGGTACACCTGTCTGTCCGGTTGTCCTATCGGGCTATGGAATTATTTTTTCGCTGACTTGCTCCAGTCACTATGCCTGGCCCTTTTTTTCTGTGTTATTCCTACTTCCTCTTATTTCCTCCAGATGTCCAAAGCTGCTTTCGTTCTTTCTCGGATATTTTTTCGCTCCCCTTGCCTTTTTCCTGTATCGTCTACTATTCCCTGTTCCCTCTATTGTTCCCTCTATTGTTCCCTCTATTGTTCCCTCTATTGTTCCCTCTATTGTTCCCTCTATTCTTCCCTCTATTCTTCCCTCTATTCTTCCCTCTATTCTTCCCTCTATTCTTCCCTCTATTCTTCCCTCTATTCTTCCCTCTATTCTTCCCTCTATTCTTCCCTCTATTCTTCCCTCTATTCTTCCCTCTATTCTTCCCTCTATTCTTCCCTCTATTCTTCCCTCTATTCTTCCCTCTATTCTTCCCTCTATTCTTCCCTCTGTACGTTCCTTAGTCTTTATTCTCGGTCAATGGTGACTTCTTTGGCTCCCTTCAAGTCTTTAGGACCTTTCGCCACGTGTATACCCTTTCAATTTGCCTTTGCGGACATGAATCGTTCACAATTCTCAATTGACGGCGACCCACTTGCCCTTCGCATTTGCCTCCGAATTCGATCTGAACGACCGCCCGTTTCGAAAATATCAGAGAGCAACAATTCCAGGGATTAACAAAATCCTTACTCGCGTTTGATGGTTCCTGGTGATGCAGATTGTGGGATCCATACCAATTCAGGCGTCGGCTGTCTACCACATCCATCGACAACCACACAAGAGATATTGACACTAGGCTTGAGGAGGAGAAAACAATATGTACACTTTCGCACAAACTGAGCTGGATATGATACCTCTCAACAAAATCAAGCAATATCAGAGATCGATCGAATCGGCCGTTACCCATTGAAGAAACCGTAGACGGGATGAGGAAGACCTTAAAAAAGAGAGACAATTAGCGTCTGGACAGCCCGATGACCCGCCTTTCATCATCGACTGAGTGGTTCATGTATTGTATTTCTGCCTGTTTTCAATTTTATCCGTATCCTTGTTCCTACTAGTGCTCTTCATAGATGGCTCGGCACATCGCCAGCTCTGCTGTTCAATCGGCTGTTCATTAGTACCGTTGGGAGTGCCGAAAGAAAACCCGACGAGGAATAAATCCTGTTCGTAGCTGTAGAAGTCATATGGCGAGGCCAGGGCTACTAGGCCCAATCTGTTACCCGCGCAGGCTTAGAATGAAAAAGCCCACGGCGCAATTCAATCAGTACAAGAGGAACATCAGATTATAATGAGAACGAGGGGTTATTTCTCGACGAAAACGATGAAGATAGACTGCACAAGACGCGATATTTTTCAGGCAGCCTGCAAAGAGATTCTACAGACCATAGCGCGATCGTCGAACCATACGTCAGCCAAGGTCCACGATATCATCGGCAAAGATATCAAATCAAAATCCAGCAAATAACTGCAAGAAACAGCATCTACCGAAGAAAGATCTGCCAACATCAACGCCCCTGGTGCCAGCAAGAGGAAATCATGACCTAAGGAGGGAACACCAGGTATTCGAGAAAAGGAAGTGACATTAACATAAATGGGAAATAACCTGCAAACAAAATACGCCTGTGTATGAGGATGCTAAAAAAGGGGGAGGGTTTACATGACGGTGAATCTTTATCGTGAATCAAATGGGGGCCAGAGAAACGGAGAAGGGGGCTGGGAAGATCATGACAGAGACCCAGGGCAACAAGAGGATGGATGGAAGGGACAAAGCTCCCGTCACTGCTATAAAACCATGAGAGTATGGAGCAGGGAGACCGGGAAGGGAACTGAGACGGGCAGGGGGGTTTGCTTGAGCAAAAGTCTTCTTGGGGCTCAACAGGATCGGACTCCGCAGATGATTTTGAACGAAGCCGGAACAAGCTGAATTAAGAAAAAAGTAGAATCAAGGTTTGAAAGGAGCAACAACCAGGGTGAATTGAAGCATGCATAGTAGCAGGAGTAATCGATCCCTTTACATATCCATGGAGTCAGCACCACTGGCGAAGTTGAATCCGCCGGCAGGCTGTTGCTGGCCAGTGCCGAGAGCGAAGCCAGCCTGGGTCTGCTGGGGAGCGAGCTCGTCGATCTCGCCAGCGGCCTCGTCCTCATCGGAGAAGTACTTCTCGATGATGTTGTAAGCCTTCATGTAGATCTCCTCGTTGGCGTTGTTCTGGCAGTCGTGGATCTTCTCCATACCACCAGCCTCCTCGATGAAGAGAGCGTAGCGGTTGACGCGGGCATCACCCTGGCCAGCCTCCTTGTCCATCTCACCAACCTTCAGGATATTCTCAAGGCCATCTAGAGCAACCTGGATAATCTTGTTGTCGGGGCAAGCAAGCAAATCGCAAAGGGGTTTGATGCATCCTTGGGACACAAGGTAGCGGATCTGGTCAGGCTTCTGGAGACCACCTGAGGTGGCGTTGGAGATCGCCCAGCAAGCCTCCTTGCGGGTCTTGAAATCACCGTTGGCCAAAAGGTTGATAAGAGGGGCAATAATACCAGCATCAATGACGGCCTGGATCTGACTTGAGTTTCCAGCGGTGATGTTGGAAATCGTCCAGCAAGCCTCCTTGCGGATGCCGTCCTTGGTAGAACTCAAAAGAGAAAGCAGAGCGGGGAGGGAGCCGCAGTTGATGATGACCTGGGTTTGAACATCGTCACCGGTAACTATGAAAAAGTCAGTGAGCGCTATCATCAATACCTATATGAATATTTAAGGTATTACTTACCGATGTTGCCAACCGAGCGAAGAGCGGGAGTCTGAACGGAGGTAGAAGCATGCATGAGAAGCTCCACAAGGCGACGAGGGATGCCAGCCTCAATGACAGCTTGAATCTTATCGTTGCTGCCGTCGGACAGGTCTGTTCTGAAGTTAATACATGTCAGATCACATATAACGGAAAATATTCATACAAGAAATGGCCCAGCAGGCATCGATCAGCACCTCATCATCGAGCATGTAGATAAGCTTGGCGAGGACTGGCAGAGCAGGGGCAATCTAAATTGAATGTTAATCAAATGCTTCCAAAACAATATAGGAGCGCTCGTATAGCGCAGTAGGGCGAACATACGGTGTTCCAGTCGGGCTGAGGGGTCTTGCCACGGCAGAAGTTGCTGAGGGTCCAAGTTGCGTTGCGGAGCATGCTCAGCTTACGGCCATCGTTGATGAGGTTCAGGAGGGGGCGCAGGGCACCAGCGCCCAGAACGAAGTCACGGCAGTGAGGGCTGTCACCAGCAATGTTTCCGAGGGCCCAAACAGCTTGCTCCCGCACATCGGGCTCGGGGCTGCTGAGGAGCTCGACGAAGATGGGCACAGCGCCGGCGGAGATAACGACCTATAGCATAATTAGCGACGAACAGTTGAAAAGTCCGGGAAGTCACGTACTTGAGTCTGAGTAGCGCTTCCACTAGCAATGTTTGTGAGGGCCCAGGCAGCTTCGAATTGCACAAGAGTGTGGGGGGAGCGGAGGAACTCGACGAAACCTGGATAGTGAATCAGCACTTGTTATCGAGCAATCAAGAATAAGACGGGCAGATTGACTCACGGCTAACAACACCGGTCTCAATAACGCGCTCGATAGGCGGATTGCGCTCCTTGGAGAGCAGTTTACGGAAACGAGTGGTAGAGCTAGACAAAGTTAAAAAAAAATTGATCCGATAAGAGCTTTGCTCAGTTATTTACCTGATCTGGTCCTCGACGGAATCGGAGAAGACACCCTTCACCATCAGAGGGAGCTCGACGTTCAGCTATAGAATCCATCGTTAGCTTTTGTGCCAACTGGCGTGGTGGGGTCGTGTGTAGTAATGGCTCGGGTTGGAGGGGTTGGCCCCATAGCAACCGGGCGGTGAAAAAATTCCATGTTGATGATCGCATCATACAAACAAAAGTAGTGTAGAACGAGAGTGACCAACGAGGAGCAGGAGACGAGATTCGGTGATAATCCCCGAAGAGCGAAGAATCATCCAAAGCAAAATCCAAGCTCCTGGGGAAGAGACAGGGTGGGAGAAGAAACGTAGAACAAGCAAGACTACTCACCTCGCTCTCGATAGCACTGGCCTCATCATCACTCTCGGTGGCGGCAGCCATGCTACCACCGACACCAATTCCTCCATCACGAGTCACAATACCACGTCGCTTGGCAAGACCTTCCTCGCGCTTTTGCTTGCGAATCTCGATTTGCTGCTCCTCACGGCGGCGACGGAGCTCATCGGGGCGGAACTGGTTCTTGGCCTTGAACTGCGTCCGGCGATGCTCGGGAATATAGCGTTCCGCCATGGTGTGTGTTGTAGAAAGAAGAAAGCGCGCCTCGGAAGTTCAGGGTTGAGTGAAGAGGTGATGGGAATGGGCGCGCTGGCGATGGTGGAGGGGGGAGGAAGGAGAGATGTGGGGGAAGGAAGAAGAGGAAGAAAGGTTTCGTGTGGGAAGGAGGGGGAGTCATGTGACACTCCCCGATATTATTTACTCTCCACGCGTTTGTACTGCGAGCTGTCAATCATCCTGGCTCAAGGGTGATACCGATTTGATACGACTAACTGCCGATTATTTGCAGGAACTCTCCTTCATCTGCCTGACTTGCACTTTTTTTCGTGGAGGGCCAGAGAGCGTGCCCGACCGGGTCAGCATGGACTTTCACTAAAGAGCTGGACAAGAAAGTGGCTGCTCTTGTCCCTGGAACAAAGACCTTCATCGGCGATCACAAGCTTCTGAAACAGTGGTCAATGACAATAGCCTGTTCGATAGACCGAATCCTGTCCAATTATGGCATCTCCCGAGCTGGTGGATATCACCACTGCATGCTCTCGTCGAGGCTATGTGAGCACCGTTGGTGTTGTGGTGGATGTTTTGCCACCCTATCGCACCAAAGGATCTTCGGCCTGTGTCACTTTCACCCTCAAAGACCGTCATTTTGATCAGCCATCCTGGTCTGGGGGTCTCAAGGTCAAATACTTCAACGACCGGATGGACACTCTCCCCAATGCCCAGCTTAATGATGTAGTTTTACTACGGAATGTCCGAGTAGGTGCTGCGTTTGGGGTCTTGCTTCGACCATACTTATCCAAGGCATGGACTAACTCCGTTCTTCCAGATTAACATGTTCAATGACAGGCCGAACGGGGTTGCTTCTCAGCATGACAATGTCCCGTGGGCAATCATCCGATCAGAGCCAGATCCTAGCTCAAGCCCATCCATTACGACAGGCCCTACTTCTTTTCCACTCACGTCACTGGAGAAGCGAGTGGCCATAATGCTCCTGGATGGGATTAATACGGACAAATCGGCCACCGTGACACAGCCAGTGCAGCAAGAGGCAGTCCCACAGCAGCCCACTGAAGTAGTTCAAGCGTCCATGACGACACCGAACATAAAGAACGGACTGCCACTTGTGTTGATTCAAGAGGTGCAGCCTGGACCTTTTGTCCAGATACTCGGTCAAGTAGTGAAATTGAAAACCTACGATAGCGAGAAATGCATCCTGTACTTGACCGATTACACATCACATGAATCTCTGGTCGACATCAAGAAAGACGGTGAAGATGATATGGGCACTGAGGGAGACACATATGACTATCTGTCCCGAAGAAAGAAGAACTGGCCTGGTCCCTGGGGCAAATTGACTATACAAGTTACTCTATGGGAACCACACGCTACCTTCGCCCGAGCACATGTGAATAATGGCCAACTTGTGCTTCTGACATACACGCGTATCAAGTCCGGGTATAACAGTGGCTTGGAGGCTGTTGTCCACCAGGATAAGCGATATCCAAATAAGATCCACGTGAACATCATCTCCCATGAAGACGATCGAGCTCGGGACCTCATGGAACGACGAAAGGAATACTGGAAAATCCACGGAAAGCCCAGCGATGATCCGAAGAAAGCTTCGAAAAAGAAGAAGAGCGAGCAAAAGAAAAAGGACGAAAGGGTGGAAGAAGGCCAGAAGTCGCTGACCTTGCCTGCATCTCGGAGGAACAACAACCCTTCGAGTAAGCCAATTATTCATGCCTGGTTGGAAGTATGCCGAATGCTAACAACGTTTGCAATAGTCAAAACACGATCCTACGATGTCCCTGTCCGCTCCATACCGAGAATTCTATCAGGTGAATCGCACATCAATACAATTCCCGGGGGAATCACCTACCAACTCCCTTTTCAAAATGTCTGCTACCGACCCGAAGTCCGCGTGGTTGACTTCTTCCCTCCAAAACTCGAAGACTTTGCGGTACAGGTTCCAATGGAATCAGTTCTAGCGGGCAAGGATGGTCAACCCCCAGCCGGTACTCCACGCATGGAATGGGAATGGCGGTTTTGCCTCCTGGTTGAAGGAACTGAGCCCTTGACGTCCAAAAATGACGTCCGAGCGCAGATGAAGCTCTTTGTTACGGGTGCAGAGGCCGTGCATCTGCTAGGTCTTGATCCTACCGAGTAAGTAGTAAGCTCCGCGGTTGCGAAATACCACCACACAATTGCTGATCACTCTCTTGCAGCCTCCGCCAACATCAGACTAGGTTAGAACAGCTCAGACAGCAATTGTTTATTCTCTGGGGTAACCTTGAAGAGTTGAAGCAGGAGCATGCCGCGACTGCAGGTCCCGATGAATACTGGGTTCCGACCAAAACATCCTCATTGCCTTTCATATGCTGCATCAAGGAATACGGTGTGCCATGTACTCATCCAGTCGACCCTGACGAGATGGCAGTGGATGGGGCCGGCAGGCCGGGTTGCATTATCCGGGGCTGCTTTGGGTGGGAAAGACGATTTGCCATGTTTGGGACGACAATTCATTCATGAATTTTCAATATTTCATACTTCTGCACACATGGGCACAGTTTCAAGCTGTCACTAAAGCGATTGCCACCTTGGGGCATTCTACATGAAAGAAACGAGAGTGTCTAAATCTTATTGAAAATATCAAAATATTTGCGTAATAGTGATACGGCTCCATTTTGCACCAGTGCATAATGGGATAAACCCATGTTTCAGGACCCATGTAAACGCCCCGGAAATTGCTAACCTAAACCTCATTCCATGAGGACTATTGATGAAATCGCAGTGACAACTCACGTTCATCCTGTACTCCATTCCGAGTAACTCCATAAATGGTAAAAGTGAATGAAAATCCCATCAACCTGGAGATACGTCCGGCATTTCTGTGTTGATAAACCCCCACACGACCAAAATAATCAAAAAATAAAATAAAACCCAAGGTACAACTCAAGAGAGAACGCCACGCACGGATGATGCAGCTGGGTCAGGGCAACGGCCTATCTTCTTCTGTGTCACACTGAATCTGCAGGGAAGATGCATGCGACATCCCCTTCGGCACACACCTTGATTTGGGAAAACTGAACCCACGTATGCCCTTCAGTCATGCCACACTTGATAATGAGGCGCCTCTGAAAGACATGTCCAAACGCAAGACAATTTAATCTGCCAAATGCTGATTGCCACTTAAATCTTTGTCACTTTAACGATAGTGGTGTCAATGCCGTGAGCGATTGGTTCAAATCGACAACTATCGCCACGGAAGCAGGTCTTTTTCCCAGGCTCGCTCTGGGGGCAGCGATGACCGTAGATACACTCGGGGTCATCACAATCCAGACCAAATCGGCAGGGAGTCATACGAGCAATGGCAGTCAAGATATGAAGTTCCTGCTTAGTCAACTTGCGATCATGATCGTGGTAGCAGTACTCTTCGTTAGGACACTCTCCCAGTAGGAAGTGGTAGTTGCACAGCTTCAGCTTCTTCAGGCGATTCAAATCATCACGAGGAATGCTCTTGAAGTCAAGGCGATCCACACGCTGCCCGTATTTATTGCGCTCCACCGTTTTAGGAGCCGTGGAGCCAGTTGCTTTGGGGCGAGCCACGTGTTGGAAATCAGGCGCAGTGTCGATTTGATTCGGAGTTGAAACTGACAAGGCGACGCCCGAGGCACTCGTGTTGGTGGATGTCCTGGATAGAGGGGGGGAGGATTTGACAAATTCGAGAATTGTCGGGAAGGAGAAGGCGTGAGCACAGATCTCGTGGGCAAGGCGCTCTTCCAAGGAGCGGCAGCCCACGCAGGTGCCATTTTTGTGGATCGGAGAACATCTGGGAATTTCGCGATGCGATATGAACTTTTCACTGCATCCAATTCTTTCTCGAATGCGACACCCTCCACAAGCGAGACGCGGCCAGTGAGGTCGTTGTCTTTTGACACATCTTCAAGGAAGAGCGCATATTCAGTATTGGACGGGCAGCCGACGAAGATCTGGTGGCAGTGGCAATTGTAAAGAAAAACTTGGAAGGTCTCTGCACAGTGGAGAAAAAACGGATCAGTCAAGACTTCACAAATATTATACCAGAGGTTGAGCCACAAACCTTGAATCTTATTATGCGCACTGCTTTTTCCAGATCCGACATCCACAATTTCAGAACACGACATGGTCTCGTTGAAGCCTCGAATAAAATCATGGATGGCACAGGGATCTGTGAAGACTCCGTTGCGCGCGCACTGCTCTCCAAAGCCTTTCGCATTCATGTAAATCTTCATCATTATCTTCGGGGTGGTGACGCTCGGGAGATTCGACTTTAAATATGAATGGATCGAAGCGTAGAGCTGGTCCGCCGCGTTGCGGCCACCCTCTTCGCCGGCCTGCAAAAATTCGTCCTTGAAGATTATGCCCTCGCCGTCAAGTAACACGACAACAAAAGGTTCTCGGTCCTGCAAGGAACCAGCCACATATCAGCGCATGCTCCTGGGTGACATCCCGCCACGCGCGCTCACCATAATAGTTTTGATCTGGGATATCTGTTGCATCAACTCCATTTCATGTAGCTGAATATCCCGATTGAACCGAGTCTCGCGTTCATGGTCGAGTTTTTCTTGGGCGAAGGAGGCCTCTAGGTCGGTTACTCGCTGAAGGAGATCCTATCGTGGAGCGCAAGTAATTAGCTTCTGTAGGTGTCAAAGGAGGAAGGCGCCTACCTCGATAAGCTGATTCTTTTGCTGGTCCAGCGTGCCCAGCTGGCGATATCGCTCAAGATATGGTGTTGAAGTCATTTTGGTGGTGATCAATGTGAGTCAAACGGATTGGTCTGAACTTGGTGGTAGAGAGAGGAAGATTCAAAAATTGTGAAGATTGGGTGATTGGGTTCTTGAGAAAAGGAAGATAGCGTCAAAGTAGGCAGGCGCTTGCGCGACAACACGGCGGTTAGCCCTCTTTGAGACGAGATTCTCGTGGGAACTGAAGAAGAGTACTCTCTTCCTTAGGGCCCTATAGAAGATTAATGCACCTTGCTATGCCTTGGTGTTATTCTCTTTCTTGTCTTCCAAAAAAAAAAAATCTCGATCTTCAAAGGGAGAAGACGCGATGCTGAGTCAGCTTCCCCGGTACCTCACTTACCGAGTGGACCTCCCGTTGGCTAAATTGCAACGTGTGATCACCCCTACTTACCTCTTTCTCTCGTCTCGTGTACTTCTCTTCTTTTCCCTCACCTCCAATTCTCCCCGCTTTCAAGATGACTCGCTTTGGATTCCTCTCCCTGGCTCTTCTCTCGCTCCAGGCCTTTGTTGGCACCGGCTTTGCTGCTGTAAGTTTGATCTGGCTTGCTCGCGAGACTGATGTCTCAATTGCGAGCGTTCGAACGGTGGAGACGCCCAATGGCCATTGACTGACATCAATATCTATTTCTCACGTAGGATGCTGAGCAGGTTGCAGAGTCTGAGGCTCTCACTCTCGCCGTCTCGGCTGAGGCCTCTTTCCCTGCCTCTGAGATCTTTGGTGTGAAGCTCATTAACGGTCACCCGACCCAGGCGTTGATTGCCTTCACCAACGATGAGCCGAACCCTGTTACCGTCAACTTCCTTGGAGGAAGCCTCTGGAGTCTCGATGAGCAGAGCAAGAATGTTCGCAACCTGACCGCCACTCGTTACGGTGTTGAGATCCCCGCGAACTCCAAGGAGAGCATCAGCTACAGCTTCGCGACTGAGATGCACCCGGTGGACCTCCGTCTGAACATCGCGGCCGTCATGTCCGACAGCGAGGGTCACTTCTTCACCGTCCAGGCCTTCAATGGCACTGTGAGCGTGGTGGAGCCTGAGACCAGCATCTTCGACCCCCAGATGTAGATTCCCCCCCCCGAAAATCCTTCTGGGATCAAATGGCACTGACCGTGAATTGTAGCATCTTCCTCTACTTCTTCCTCCTGGCCTGCTTTGTCGGTGTCGTCTACTTCTTCTACAATGTCTGGATCGCGCCCTACTTCCCCCAGAAGCACAAGGGTGGCAAGTCCGGCGAGAAGAAGACTCCTGCCAAGCGCGAGATTGCTGAGGATACCTCCAGCCCTGCTGTCGCCTCGGCCACCACCTACAACGCTGACTGGATCCCTGCCCACCACATCAACCGCCCGGAAGCCCGGAAGGTCAAGGGCAGCAAGTCCAAGGCCCGCGCGTAAACCAACGGCATGCGACCAGGAAACTTGAGGGTGAAGGTGAGGGGGGATTGGGGACGAGAGAAGCGCAAGGCTTGTGTCTGGAATTCTGTCGAGGCCAATTAGCGGAGACAAATGTGACGCGGACGCTGAGACATGCGCTGCGCGTTCATCCTTCTGTCTGCCGCTTTGACGCCGGAACATGTACATTTACAAAGAACACGATTTGGCCCAGTATAGCTGCCTCCGAAAGCCATTCTTGGAGGACTAGGGAGGCTCAATCTGCATTATGAAAATAAGCCGGTCTCTTCTTGCAGCGGACGTGGTGGTCTGCGCATGGTGGCCCAGTCGGTTACAGCGTCTTCCATTCTTTGAACTCCTCTTCTAGATGTTTCTTAAGCTCGACGAAACGGTTCCCAAAATTATTACCACAGCGCCAGCAGGTGAAGTCCTGCTTTAGATAGCCTTCAGATGTCGGATGCCGCCGCTTGTCGTCCGCAGCCAAGGGAAAATCGTCAATAGGCACGAAAAAAGGCGTAGAAAAGCTGTTGTAATGCTTTCGGTGCTTCAGCCGCTCGCTATACCGGTCCACCGCAATAACATGGATATGTAGATGGTTCATTGAAGGGACTGCATGAACACCGCACATAATCTCCTGGTCCCAATCGCGTCCAGGCGGCAGCTCGTCTGGTGGCGGGTCGGCGTTCAACGCAGCCCGTCTCGCTTGCTCCTGCGCCGAGTCCTTGCCATATTTTCGTCGCAGCTCGCCGGCAGCTAGCTTGCGAAGCTTCTGCACTTCTGCCTTGACCTTCGTGAGGAACTCGGCATCTTCAAAGGCCTCGAATGGGTGGAGACGCGTCTTGGTCTGGTCGCGTGGGAGAAGGAGAAGGTGCAGCGACGATTTAGGGAACATATCGTGAATCGCCACAAAGTCCTCGTTATGGTAGACAACGACGCTGGACGGATATGACTCCGGCTTTGCGATGTATGCGCCCAGTCCGTCGCGGCCTCCAGAGAAAGCCTTGCGACCGTGTGGCACGTTGCCTTTGGAGGAGTTACTGGAAGCGTGTTTCGGCTGCTTATTTCGGGACGAGAGAAGCTCGGTGACTATGAGAGGTCCAAGTCAGTATCATCACGTATAACTGGAGATCACGACCAGACTCACAGGCATTTCTCTTTTCCGCCGTTGTAGGCTGCTCTGCGGCAGACGCCGTAGCTTTGGTCTGGCCTAGATCCTGCTCCATCTCAGACATGATGGGCAAGTACCGAAGACGAACAATCACATGGATAGGGAGAAAGGATGTAGAAAGGAACTTTTCCAATAGACCCTTCCACAGACGCAAAGAAGGCCTCTTCTTTGCGACCGTTGCATGCGGCAGCAAGTCCGAGTCCGACTTCCCAAAAGTCTCCCCGCAATCAGCCCAAAGCGGTTTAGTGCGGGACAAATGACCAAAAAGGCCCAGAAGCTCGTCGCAACGCTCTTCTCCAGCGCCAGCGACAATGGGCCCCAAGAAGAAAGCCGCCGGTCCCGGTGGTCCCAAGCCCGGTACCAAACAGGCCAAGGCTGCAGCTGAGAAAGCGGCGGAGAAAAAGCCTGTCGCAGAGGAGCCCAAGAAGCCGACCGTGAAAGAGGTGATTGGCGGCGCATCATGGACGGGCAAGTTGCCCGTCAATATGCTGTCGGAGCACTGCCAGAAGCAGAAATGGGAGAAGCCGGAGTACAGCATGGTAAATCAATTGCACCCAATTCCTGTATTATGGATGACTATCATCGCATGAGAGCAAAGCCGCTGATAGAAGGGAATCACAACTGCAGATTCAAACCCGTGACGGCTATGTGTCGGCCGTGACGTTGAAGAAAATAGACCCCAAGACCAAAGAATTGATCGTCCTCCCTCCGATGAAACTACCTCCAACGCATAAAGAGCTGGCCGCCCAGCTGACGGCCCTCGAAGCTCGCCATTTTGCCGCTGCCTTTGGGCTCTTCCGAGTGTGCAACATGCGCAATCTCCATATGATGATGCCGCCGAAATACAAGAACCTGTGGCGGGAAGAGTTTGCGCAAATCAAAGTTGCAGAGACAAAAGAGGGCAAGGGTTGGCTATACGAGGCGGATCCCTTCCTCGCCAAGCAGGAACGCGAGAGTGCGGCAGCGGAGCTGGAAAAGAAGAAGGCAGAACGCGCAAGGATGCAGGCGAAGGAGAAGGTCGCGGGCCCTGAACTTGGTTTGGGAAGTGGTGATGGCAAGGGCAAGCGGATTTGGTCGCAGGCACCCAAGGTGGATATGGGAACGCGCATTCGACGTGAGATTGAAGGACTTTTGCGGCAGCATACTGTCTGGAATGCGTATGGGGTAAAAATCCCCGAACGGGAAAAGAACAGCATCGTTGAGGAATTCTCTCGTTTGGGCTTCAGGCGCAGCCACGTCGAAGAGGCAGTCCTCGAATGCAAAGACCGCGAAGAGGTGCTGGAGTGGCTGTTGGTCTACGTCCCGGAGGATGACCTGCCTCAATGGAGCTTACCCGAGGGATACTCGGCCGGCGTCAGTCTCGCCGCTGGTGATCTCGCTCGAGAAGCCAAGATCAAGCGTCTGGCCGCCATTGGCTACCCAGCGGATCTCTGCTCGCAGGTGCTGGATAGCAAGAATGGCGATGAACTGGCAGCCGCGGAGTCTCTGCAGGGAACGCTCGCGCATGGATCCACATTTGCATCGACCTCAATCCCCGAGGGCGATGCTGGGGCTTGGTCTGAAGAACAGGATACCCTTGAGGCCATCTTTGGTGAACGCTACGTGCGTGTATCCCTCCGGGTCTGCGAGATCAAGAGCGAGGCTCCAGAGATTCCCGAGAACACCGTGTTCCGCTTCCAGGAGCCATCTACTCATTATCCCACGGCGCCTCCAGTCATTTCCATCCAGGCCAAGGGAATTCCGGCGTACATTCGGCTCAGCGCAATCCGTCAGGCTGTACAGTACGCTGAGGAAAACTTCTCTGGCGAATCCATGATCTTCAACATTTTGGATTGGCTAGAAGTCAAGCTGCCTGCTATTATGGCCAATCCCGGCAAACTTCGCGATATCTCTTCGGTCAGTTCCTCTGCCGCCACAGAGACTCGAGATATTCCAGTGCGGTCACATCGCAAGCAGCGCAAGGGTATTGATTGGAAGCTACACTCTCCGCAGAGCCTGGCCATCCGTGAAGCATGGGAAGCGAAGCAAACCACCCCGGCGCAAGTTGAGATGTGCCGGAAGCGAAAGGCCCTGCCTGCATGGAACACTCAAGAGGACATCATCTATGCCGTGGACAATTACCAGGTGACTATCATCTCCGGAGAGACTGGTAGCGGTAAGAGTACTCAGTCGGTGCAATTCGTGCTAGATGAAATGATCAGACGTGGACTTGGAAACGCTGCAAATATCATCTGTACACAACCACGCAGGATTTCAGCCCTCGGACTTGCAGACCGAGTCAGTGATGAGCGGTGCTCAACTGTTGGCGATGAGGTTGGATACGTGATTCGTGGCGAGTCAAAGGTCAAGCAGGGTGTGACCAAAATCACTTTTGTAACGACCGGTGTCTTGCTGCGTCGAATCCAATCCGGTGGCGATGCAGATGGCAATGTTGCCAGCTCTCTGGCTGACGTCTCGCATGTTGTAGTGGACGAAGTTCACGAGCGAAGTCTCGACACCGACTTCCTCCTTGCGCTGCTTCGTGATGTGCTGCGTTACCGCAAGGATCTGAAGGTTATTCTGATGTCTGCTACCCTCGACGCAAATATTTTCATGGACTACTTCGGTGGCTCCAAGTCCGTTGGTCTAGTCAATATCTCCGGGCGTACATTCCCGGTGCAGGATTACTACTTGGACGATGTGATCCGAGACACAGGCTTTGCTCCTGAGTTGAGTGAAAACTTTGACGGTGAAGATGATGCTCTTCAAGGGGAAGCGTCATTGGGCAAGGCACTTCGAAGTGTCGGGATGGGCATCAACTATGATTTGATCGCCTCCACTGTTCAATACATTGATGCTCAACTAGGCGATCAACCAGGAGGTATCCTGATCTTCTTACCCGGTACTCTGGAGATTGAAAGGTGTCTTACGGCAGTGAAGAGGATTCCCAACACACATCCCCTCCCCTCCACGCATCTCTCCTCCCAGCTGAACAGCGCCGAGTCTTCCAAAGTCCACCCAGAGGCAAGCGCAAGGTCATCGCCGCTACTAACGTTGCGGAAACGTCCATCACCATCGAAGACGTAGTCGCCGTCATCGATACTGGTCGTGTCAAGGAAACCAGCTACGACCCGAAGGACAACATGGTCCGACTTCAAGAAGTCTGGGCATCGCAGGCAGCGTGCAAACAGCGCCGTGGTCGTGCAGGTCGTGTCCGCGCTGGTATATGCTACAAACTATACACCCGCAAGGCCGAATCCAACATGGCGCAACGGCCAGACCCCGAGATCCGCCGTGTGCCACTGGAACAGCTCTGTCTATCTGTCAAATCCATGAAAGGCATTGACGACGTGGCAAATTTCCTAGCAAATACAATAACCCCACCGGAAAGCATAGCCGTTGAAGGCGCCCTCAGTTTCCTCCACCGTGTCGGTGCCCTAGACCACGACCGCCTCACAGCGCTGGGCCGCTACCTCTCCATGATCCCAGCCGACCTGCGCTGCGGGAAGCTCATGATTTACGGCTCCATCTTTGGCTGCATGGAGTCTTGTCTCACTGTCGCGGCCATCCTAACCGTGAAGAGTCCATTCGTCTCGCCGCGCGAAAAACGCGAGGAAGCCGACGCCGCAAAGGCTGCTTTCTCCCGGCCTGGGGATGGAGACTTGCTCACCGACCTTGCCGCCTATCAGTCATGGACCGAACGAGCGCGAACTACCGGTCATTGGCAGTCGCAGTCCTGGTGTGGCGCAAACTTCCTTTCTCACCAGACACTACGCGATATCGCATCCAACAGAGCACAGTTCGTGACCTCGCTCAAGGACGCGGGCGTTCTCCCCGTGGACTACAGCGAAGCCGCGACGGCGCTCAACCGCAACGGAGCGAACAAGAATCTCCTTCGCGCATTGATTGCAGGCGCATTCCAGCCACAGGTTGCACAGATTTCCTTCCCGGATAAGAAATTCGCCAGCTCGGTCACTGGTACTGTGGAAGTCGACCCCGATGCGCGGACAATCAAATACTTCAACCAAGAAAATGGACGAGTCTTTATCCATCCCAGCTCGATCTTATTCTCTGCACAGGGTTACCCCAACGCAGCAGCTTACCTGGCTTATTTCACAAAGATGGCTACAAGCAAGGTCTTCATTCGCGATCTTACTCGTAAGTTCCTCCCTATTACATCATACTCGATCTTCCTACCATCTAGGTGCACTCCACTAACAAACATCCTACAGCATTCAACGCGTACTCCCTCCTTCTCTTCTGCGGCTCAATTACCCTCGATACCGTGGGCCGTGGTTTAATCGTAGACGGCTGGCTCCGACTACGTGGATGGGCTCGCATTGGTGTCTTGGTATCCCGGTTGCGGACGATGCTAGACGAAGCGCTTCAGGCGCGCATTGATAATCCAGCGTTGGGATCAGACGGTGGAGCTGGGGATCGGGTCATTGAGGCTGTGAAGAAGCTGATTGAGCTGAATGGGCTTGATCAGTAATGGTATATATGCATCGAAAATAGATTATACAAGGAAATTCAAACGCATGAGGGTTGCGTTGGCGCCTGCATGGCTGGAAATGCACCAACTGATCCTGCCGAGCTATAAACAAGAAAGACATCTGAAAATTATCGACTTTAGAGAAGAGCCGCACGGCCTACAAAGCACAGAACATCACCCATCAACCATAATCCATCGTCACTCTATTTCTGTATGCAATATTTGCATAACAGCAATGATTACGTAGAGATGGATGCATTGGACTGAGTGAACAGACAGTATGTGGCTAGGTGTATGACAAAGAAAAAGCATTCTCCTCATAGAATTAACTATGTTAAGCTAAGATAAGCAAGAAGAAAGCATACCAGGCCAGAAGAATCAACGCAGAAGGGGGGACTCAAGACAAAAAGGATCGTCATTAGGGCAGCGAGCTCCTGAGAGCCATGCCAGTGAGAAGAGGGGGAAGAGATGAACATAACTGAAATCAGACATGGGAGAATGCTAAAGTACTCTTCAACACGGGCAGAAGAAAAGGGAAAAGGTGGTATTTGTCATGACAAGAAAGCGGAATGGCGAAGGGAAAAGAATATTGAGAAACGCCAAGAGCAAAGCAGACCATGCACGTAACGCCGTCCGACCGCATAAAACTCCCCGCATGGTGTCAAGTCGTTTCATCAAGAGGTCGTGAGACGGGAGAGTGGTGGATGTGGGGCGAATTGAGGGTGAGAAGAGCAGTGTTAGCCGGTGAAGAAGAAAAAAAAAAAAGGGTCAAAAAACGCCAGTCGATGTCCGGTTTCCGTGTTCACTCCGATGGTCATCCTTGGGATTGCGTCCCAGAAAGCAGAAACAATGCACATGAAAGATAAGAAAGGATGGAAGGAGTGTGATTTGCTTGCACGGTACAAGCAGAGAGAGGACATTCAGGCTGGAAGACTTGAGATGACCATTAGTAGTTGGCCACGCCGTCCAGACGGTCACGGTCGTGGAAAGGGGTGGTACGAGGCAACTTGAAGCCACCCTTGATCTCGTCCTCTACAAAGGTAGAGGCGCGCTTGAATCGGCGATCCGAGTACTTGTCGTAGATTGCCATGTGGTGACGCTGCGGGTCCTCACAGCATTCCAGCATCGTCGACATGACGGGAACGAGCTGAGAATAGAGATAGCCGCTGTAGTGGGCATGAGCCATAGTCTAGGAGCAGGTAGGTCAGCATATAGTCAACAGAAACAGTGTCAGAAAAGCCACGATGTGCAGAGAGACACTTACCCAGCATCCCTTTCGCAGCATCAGAAGAGAGAGACAGTGGGCTGCTGCGCTGATGAAACTGGGAGGGGTGGCGACGAAGCGTTCATCCATAATGGTCAGTTCCAGGAAGTACTTGGCCACAGTACGGGTCTCGAGATCATAATCGTCGGCCTTGCTGATACGTCGGAGGAAACTCATGGGACCAGGCCAGCCGATGTCATAGTTGAGAATATTCAACATGAAACGCTCAGCCTTGAGAATCTCATCCACGGTATAGCCTCCATCGACCATGTAATGGATCTCCGCGACGGAGGGAGCCGTGATCTCCTCATACTTCGCAGCGATGAAGATGGCGGTGGCGCCGACCAGTTGGAGCTTTCCCAGTGAGACGATCTTGTTCGACAGGAATCGATCGATCAGATTGACACACAGGAACAGTGTCTCCGGGAGGAGACCGAAACGGAAGTGGACCTGCACCAGCCAGTCCATGAGGACGGAGCGCATTGACCACTGGATCTCGGCCTGGTTGGCCATGTAGTCAGGAGTGGGCAACATGGCAATCTGTAATGGTTCGTCAGTATTGAATATCCATTGAGAACTGATTGACACAGAACCATACCTCTTTGTACCGCAGATGCTCGAAAATCTCGGTGCTGTATTCAGCGACCATGCTGGAGTCATAGAAATCCTCCTCGATCTCTTCCTCGGTCTGGTTGGCTTCAACAATGGATTGGGCCTGCAAGAGCTCGCGCTTGATCGCAGCGGTGGACCGAGGATAAATCACTGTGGTCGTGCCACCAGTGGTGTTCTCAGTGCGGAAGGAATGGCCACGGGTCTCTTCGTCCTCCGAATCCTCAACCTCTGACAAAGCTGGAGCAGTGGCGTCCTGAGACCGATACTCAATTGAACCGATACCAGCGTTGGCCAGTGGTTCCACACGAAGAGCTCGGGGCTTGCCCACATTAGCTACAGCAGGAGCAGGCTTGGTAGGCTCTACCTGCGGTGGGAGCATGGCACTCCACTGGCGGCTGTTCTCGCTAATGTATTCATTGATGGCAGAGTCCTCTGACGGGAGGTCAAAGTACTCCTGTTTCTCGTCATCGTCGTCCTTGTCGACAATGTTTCGCGCAATTTCTTTCGCATTGAGCCGTTCGTCGCAGCGAGCGGGCTGGGTGGTGATGATTCCTTCCTTGGATGGTTCCTTCTCGACAACGGGCTCCAGCTGATCGCGGAAAACCACATTGGTGCGCTTAACATTGTTCTGAGTCGCAGTAGCCTGGGCTTTGCCGGCAGGGTTGACCGGCTTCGATGCGACATTGTTGAGTACGCCTTTCATGCCCGACATCGACAGAGGGCGCTGGGCGGGCTGCGCAAGAGCGTGTTTATTATTGGTCACCTGAACAGCAGGCTTACCAGGCAAAACCGAATCATCACAAATTGGCTTAGCGTTGCTCAAGTCGCCGAAGGCTCGGCGAGTGATGATAGCATTGCCGTTCTTCGCGTTCTGGGCCATCAGGCTGAGCGCGGAAGTAGACTTGTTGCGTTGGTGGATCGCCTTGTTGGCATGGAACGAGGGCGGCACATTTTCGTCCCCGCGGACGCGAATACGCTGTGGCTGGTCCATAGAGTCAGTATCTGAGCAATATGATGAGGAGTGTGCGCGAAAGTTGGGATGCTTCGAGTCGTTGTTTGGGATGCGACGCCGAGTGTGCCTGCGGACTAATCACGCCCTGAACCCGGCGATACAGGAAGATCGAGGCAATGAAAGTCGTGCGCAAATCAATAGAGTCAAGTAAACGTACCTTCGCATCCATGTTGCCGGTCTCCAGGATAGTTGGCAGAGAAACACGTTGGCTGGAGATGTCGACGAGGAATTGTTTACCTTTTGCTGAGTTGAGGCGGAAGTCGAGGCTGCTGCAGACCCGCTTTGGGTGATTGGGTGGGCTCAGCAAAACAAAACACAGCGGACCCGGACCCGCTTATCCAGCACCAGAGCCAGTCAGGGCGCGTATCACACGTCGTTTGGCCCGTACAGTCCGTCGCCCAGGCGAACCAGAGTGTATATACGGATGAACTTGCCCGCTTCCACCTGGCACACGCTGTTTTGTGACGAACAGCGAAAAAGGGGCAGGTGTCACTTCTCCGGTCGAAGAGGTAACGGAAGAAAGAAAAAAAAAGAAAACAGACAATTGCAGCTCCCAAACAAATGAGCAATGAAGGGGTGGCAGTATTACACGTGACCTGTGGGACCGGTGTAAACTGGCAGATTCATGGCCTTTACGATATTATGGTACACCGCCTTTCATGTTTGCACTGTTTATCTCGATTAGCTAAGCTGGGACCCAAGATCGAGGTCTTATCGGTCTTATCTATGACATCATTTGATGATCGTCACGTCCCCCACGAGACACTCGGTTGGAGGTTTTCCCTTCTCCCTTCCACACATCGAGGACAAATTACAATATCATTCTTCCTAGGTTTCCTACTGTTTGTGGCATCTTTTTCCGATGATATTTGCCCTCACTATCTGAATGGTGGAGTCACAATTGCCTCGAGGGGATGAAAGTGGCTCTTGACGCGCTAGTACGCGGACCCACGTGACCCTTGACCGCTCACGGGAGGGTGCGGTTACTGTTTTCCAACTGCGATTCGATTCCTCCGAAGCGCCGGTGAAGGCGATCGATTTGGCATCTTTGCGCATCCCGTTGAAGACACGACGAGGGGTCTCATGCGGAGAGCTCATGCATTGAATGGACTGGCTCTGCCCGCCGACTTCGATAGACTACGAAAGTACGAACCCGTTCAACCACTGACCCTCGCATCCGGCCGGGGATCGGGGAGGTTCTTAAAAATGGAGACGAGACGGTCTGGACAAGCCATTTCGTAACGCACGTTCCGCCCTCCGGCAATTCTGAACCAGTCACTGAAGTATTTCGTCCACTCACTCTGGAGTCCCAGACTTCAGTTTGCAGCAGGCGTCAATGGAGGACCACACGATCCGCCCAACTATCGCCCTTCATAGGACTAGTCTCTGGGCCACTCAATCTACCCAACCTGAACTAGTAGGCCTCCGTAGTTAGTCACCTGAAGTCAATGAAGTTATCGTTTCGGCCATTTCTTTCAAGAGGACCCTGCGAGTCCCGGACGAATGCCTCGACTTGAACCTTAGCTTCGAGCTGCCCCGCTAGGAGACTGCAAACCCAACCCTTTTTCCGATCCCTTTTTAGTCTCCCAAATCATCCCCAAATCTGTTCTGTACCAGCGTTCTTGAGCTGGTCCCGAGGAGGGTAAACTCAGCCGGCGCAGATCATGCGAAACAAGCCGTCATGAGCGTCCAGTCATGCGATGCGGCGAAGGTGCCCCCCGAAGAGAGGAGTCTACGAGAGCCCAAAAACACTCCCTGAGAAGCCTGAGAAGGTCGCATGTCCCCAATGTCTCGTGTCTGGTTCAAACTGGATGTCCTTGGCATCGCGCCCCAACTGTCAACCCTCCTCCTCCTCTTCCATCTTTCCCCTCTCGCTGCCTCCTCTCCGGACCACCATACCCTGCACATCCCCGCGCTTTGCGATTTCCTGCTGTTTCAAGGCATGGATCGTGTCGCGATATCGTAATTTGGGTCTCTAGAATAGTATATTCATGATGCGACAAGATGAGAGGGCCGAAATCGCAGTCAGCTCAGTCCACGTCGCCGTGGCACAAAGATCACCCCCTCGCTGGCTGGAACCCTCCGTAAAGGTCGGTCAAAGATAAAAGCCTAGATGGTCATCTATTTTCCTGAGTAAATGTGTACTCGCTTGCACAGTGATTCTATCAACTGCGATCCGTAGTCGATCTAATGGCGCTGCCCGTCGAGTCGGCGACCGGGTCATCGGAGTGCCTGCTTTGTGCGCCGCCTAAAGTAGCACTGGAAGCAGATCCACCACCCAAGGAAAGCGATAAAACCTCGATCGCTTGAACTGGAAAGCATTCCTATAGGCACTACATTGAAGCAATCCCCATTTGATCCGCGAGAGCGCTCGGCGCAATGGTTATCCGGATTGCGACAATGATGCGCCTCTGCGAAACGAGCCGACCTGAGGAGGGAGCTATCGGTCTCGCAGAGGGATGGTGATCATGTATATCAAGAGGGAATTAGATCGCTCAATAGTCAAATCTACATTCTACAGATCTATCGCTACTCCAAGAGCCTGAAGGCAGAGCCGATGGAATGTGATGGCTGGACCGGGCGCCGGAAGCGCAAATCGCCATGTCACCAGCCCAAGACAGCCCGTTTTCTCGCTTTAGGTGAAACCATCGTACGCACTCACTGGTCGACCCTCAACCCGTCAACCCTCCAACCTTCTCCTCCTTCGATCCCACTCGCCTTACAGACCCTGCTCCATCCTCGTCAATAGTCGGGTATCGTCGTCACTTCGTTGCTCTCTCTCTCCCCCCCGAATCGTTCCTGAGCCTTGGTCTGGGTCTTCGTTTCGGCTACTGGGCCACCGCTGACATAGCCCCAGCGCTTCGTAGAGTCAACCACGACAATCCCCTCGTCCACACTCTCCCACACCACCCATCGACCCTTCCTCCACCCCGTCTTGGATATCCTACATCCCTGCGACTCGGTTGGAATCAGGGTCATTCGTGCCAGGTATGTCTAAAACGCTCCCCCATCCTCATCCAACTCCTCCTCGTCGCTGGACCTCTGCCCCAAGCCTGTTCCTCTCCAGGTCGGCCGGACTCGGCTAGCCAACGACCATCCATCCATCCTCTATCGCATCTAAACTCGTCTTGAATGCGAATTCGAACTTCTGTCATACCCATTGTACTAATATTTGGGGCCGTCTCTCCTAGGTGAACCCGCCGCTGTCCTCGTTCCGGTTCATTCTCGGTTCTGGTGTTGCGACAGGCAGATTCCCCTCCATCCCCATCGAAAAAGCCCTGCGTCCCTCTTTTCCCAACATCATCAACCCCAAAAGTGGTCCATCCACTTATCGACCTTATCGAATCTTAGAATTGTGGTAGGTGAGATGGAAAATCTTCCCCCTCTCCCACTGCCTCTACACTTCAGACCCTTCCTGTCGCTTCCCCCCGGTCATGGATCCCGTCCTCCCGCTTCCCTTCTACCATACACGAGCAGTGGGTTGATGCAGTCATCGGTATAGCAAGTAGAGGCATCTCTCTTCTTCTTCCGCTTCTTTTGGATCTGCCTAGCATGCAAGCCGCCCAGCTTGACGGGCTTCCTGGCCTGACCGAACCGGCGGTTCTGGGGGAGGTCTCTTCCCGAGACCAGTCGCTGAGGAACCCGGTCCCCAAGAACGTCGCCTTTGAGCTTCTCCTGGACGAGAACTCCAAGGTTCGGGCCCGGATTCCGATGCGCGTGCAGATATACCCTCATGACACTACGGATTCTATCGTTACCACGGTCAAAAATTTCTATGGCATCTACGATGGCACTGCCAGTGGAGTGAGCTTCGAGGATGAACATGGGACCACCCTCATCGCAAGGTATGAAAACTTGAAGAATAATGGGACTGTATATGTCCGAGTCATTCCCATTCAATCCTTTGGGGATTCCTGTTACGGCGGCTATCCCACAGAGCGCAAGCGCCCCAGTCTGGGTGAGCCGTTTCAGATGGCCGATGGCATGGTCCCCAGCATTGATCAGCCATCGCGACCATCCTCACGTCTCGCAAGGAAGCGCAGCACCTCTCCCTCGAACCGGAGTCTCCGCAGCGCTTCCCAGCACAAGCAGGGTTCTCGCAGCGGTCTCAAAAGCCGCGGATCCAGCCATGCCGGGTTTCCCGACGAGGAAGGTGGACTAAGCGACAGCGAGTCCACTTACAGTCGCAAAGCTCGCGGCGACACATTCGCCAGCTCTGACATAAGTATGGAAAATATACTACAAGATGGTCGTCGGAAACGACCCAAGTTTGACAGCTCGGTGAGTAGAAATTTTCCCCCATTGCGCGTTCGGCTTTTTTTTCTCTCTTTCCTTTTAGTTTTCATTTGTGTTTTTTCACTTGTCGCTTGTGTCTAACACCCACTCTTTTCTCTAGGAACTCCCGCTCTTCGCACCTCCCCAAGTCCCCCTCACTACCTCGACCTCCTCCATCTCCCCTCAACGGCGCTCGGTGGGACAAGAAGGCGCTGGCTCTCCTTTTGCTCGTCCCACCCACCGCCCATATAACTATCAGCATGCGTTGCCGTCGCCACAAAGCTATGGACACAGTGAATATGGCGCCCAGTCGGGGCGCAATACTGTGTATGCGACGCCCATGGTCCCTGACCATGCGCATCGTGTTCCCTATAGCCATTCCGGTGCGCGCGTGAGCGGCCATGGCATCCTGCCGACTCCCGACCCCACCATCGCAAGCTGCATCTCCGATGAGGATGTCGCGATGCAATTGATCCGTCTAGGCGACGCATCAAACTTCTCTCATGGTCGCACATCAGCCTCAACGCTTGATGATGCCTTTAGCGGCGTTGCCGATGCTGCTTCCTCCACGGGCGCTACGAGCGACGGTGAAGACTTCAGTGAAGATGAGGATGATCTTCCTGCTCGTCGCAGACTTGACTCGAGCCCAATGCTGCCACCTGGAGCTATCAAGCGTCATCACAAGCGCTTGGATGATATCCTTCCCAGCGCAGACAGCAGTGATCACAGCTCCGATGGCGCTGACGATGGCATCAAGAGCGAGGGCGAGGAGGACGTATTTTATAAAGAGTTTGCGCCCAAGGCAAAGAAACCCAAGAGCCGCCCAACGTCCGCCAAGGTTCGCGCTCCTAAGCCATTGGCTAAGCAGAACAAGAGTAAGAACAGCATTGCTCCTGTACGCAAGCCATCCGACAAGATCAGCGCGCCGGTGCCGCCTCTCAGCCCGAGCTCCTCCCGCAAAGTGTCTGGCGGCTCCGTCAATTTCCAGCACCAGCTTGGTGCTGATGAAGAGGACCTCTCTACCAAGCCTCGCTGCCAGCGCTGTCGCAAGAGTAAGAAGGGCTGTGATCGCCAGCGCCCTTGTGGGCGCTGCAAGGATGCTGGTATCGGCATTGAAGGCTGTGTCAGTGAGGACGAGGGTAACGGCCGCAAGGGTCGCTATGGACGCCACATGGGTGTTCCTGTCAAGAAGAATGCCGACGGGGTAGAAGAAGAAGGATATGAGCTGCCCACAGTTCCAGTCACCCCTCTAGTCGATGCAGACATTGCCGACAAGAACAAGAAGAGGAAGCGCTAGTCGCACTCTTCCTTTTAGTTCTTTTTGAATGTCTTTGTCCTACTGTTCACATTGGAAAGGCGTTTTTCTTGTCACCAACACTTTCCGAGTCTCAACCCTCTTACTCCCTCGGACGTTCTCTCTCAACGGGTGCCATTGGGCACCTACGAGTCTTACCAACCCTCCAACCTGACCACTCCCTCTTCTCATCCTCTCGCCACATTCTCCCTCTTTTGACATCATCATCCATTCTACCATCGGCTGGGAGATTCGACGCTCCTTATCACAGCTCCCTACCTTCCTACACTCCCTTTTAGGCTCATGCCACACTCTCCGATTTCGATTATACAAAGTCCACGGGCTGATCTGTTGTTTTGTGTGTCTATCTCTTTTCGGCGTCTGTGTTTGCGGGTTACTATTTACCTACCTTTCCTGTGCTTGTCACTTCCCATTCACTCCTTCAAACTCAATGCCACTGGTCCCTGTGCTCATTCTTTGGTTCTGCGAGGTGTTTTGTTCTTTCTGTTATGTTGCCAGCCCGTCCTGCGGATATATAACTACATCCCGTCGGTGCAAGATGCAGGAGCTGGCACAGGTAGTATAAGATGTGATGGTTTTTTGTAGTTTTTTCGAGTAGTTTGGGAATGAATGCAAGTTTTTGTCAATATCCCTTTTCTCTTTCCGACAAGTCCGGTCTCTTTTTCAGATCCATAGGTCCTTCTGCTTGTTCCGGTTTTATCAAACAGATCACGTGATAAACACTTTCAAGGGCGGCCTGGACTGGCAGAAGGCCCCGCAGCATTTTCGACTCCGAAGATCACCGCAACTTTTTTCTTGGGACATTCAAATCGTTACTCTGAAGTGTTCGCCTAATTCTACCCTGATTCTGAGGTACCAGGTCTATACAACACAGCATTCCCACCAGTAAATGCTCTGAGAAGCTCCTCACCCCTTCATCTCACCACTTGACCAGCGGGACGCCAACGGCGTCTTGCCCGCACACCGAAGCACACGATGCCTCCCAAAGCTAGCGCTCGTCGCGCAGCTCCTCGACAAACCGGCGAATCCGCCTCAGCCCCCACAAACACAGCAAGTGCACCATCTGCCTCTCAAAATGCCCGCGAGGCCAGCACAACAACCACCAGCGCGACTCCTGGTCCAGCCGGTCGTCCGGTGCAGCGCCTCCAGTCATTGAAGAATCGCAAACCCTCTGGGAGCATCCCTCCTGCAAGCCGACCTCCCTCTGCCCTCGGCGGCGAACAAGCTAAGCCTGTGATGAAATATAAGCCCAAGGCTGTTGAGCGTCGCAGCAAGGAGGAGCGTGACGCGATTGAGAAGCGTGAGCAGGAACGGCTTAATGAGCGTTTGCGCGAGGCTGCGGCTATCCAGCGTGGTCGTGGGACTCGCGGTGGACGGGGTGCGTTCCGTGGTCGGGGTGGACCAATGGGGATGGGTGCGAATGGACCGTTTGGGTCTGGGTTTGGAGGAGCGCGGCGCGGTCGTGGTGGTGCTTCTGGGGGTGGTGGAGGTGGTTATGGTGGAGGTGGTTATGGTGGTGGTTCTCGGAGTCGGTTCCGGTCTGGAATTAGTGGTGGGAGTCATGGGGTGGATTATGACTCGGATGAGGAGGATGATTATGATGGGCTGCGGGTTAGCATTGACCGGATTGGGTTGGAGAGTGAAGAGGAGGAAGATGAGGAGGATTCGCGACAGATCAAGGGCAAGATGCCGATTCGATCGCGCGAGGGCTTGCGCCCTGTTCGGGTTACTCGTCTTCAGCATGAGGAGCGGGTGATTAGTGTGAATATGGAGTCGAGTACTGCCAGGACGGAGGAGATTCGTCAGAAGGCTGAAGAGGCCAAGGCTGCTGCTACACAGGCCGTGGTCGAGGAGCCCCATGTGAAGGCTGAACCCGTTGAGGATGGAGATACTCCCATGGCCGACGTGCCTCATGACGATGATGGATTCCTACCTACGCAAAAGGTCCGTGTCCGACGAAAGGTGTCCAGCCCTCGAGATCTCGCTACACCCGAACCGGTGCAGTCTGAACCTGAAGTGGTCGAGGCATTGGAACCTGTAAAGGTTCCTCGAGATCCACGAGAGCTCCTCCGAACAAGAGAGGAGATTGATGAATATGATCGCCACCTGGAGGACCTAAATCATGTCCGCAAACTCCTATACTACGAAGAGGTCCAGAAAACCACAGAGACCTCTCCCACCGAACCACCAACCGCCGACGGCGAGTCTGCACCGGAACCCACCACGGAAACCCAGGACGAAAACGAAAACGAGGACGAAGATGAAGACGAAGATGAAACCACCAACCAAGCCCTCCTGGGCCAACTCTTCCTCATGCAGTTCCCCCCAATGACACCCAACCTCACCCTCCCCGACGCCTCTACCACTCAACCCTCCTCTACCGACACCCCCGACAACCAACCCGCCCGCCAAACGGAACCCGAAGTGAAACCCGAAGGCGACGACGTCCAAGTCATTGACGACACCACCCCCGACACACCAAAGGTCATCACAGCCGCCACAGACTGGGCTCTCCCCGCGGGTCGCGTGGGCAAACTCAATGTACACAAATCCGGCCGGGTAACGCTCGACTGGGGCGGTATCAGCTTTGATCTGGACCGCGCGACGGCGGTGGACTTTGTGCAGGAGGCGCTGATTGTGTCAAGTCCGCCGGAAGCAGAAGATGGGGCGCCGCCGCGAGATGATAGTGAGAACAGGGTGTGGTCGATGGGTCAGCTTTGTGGGAAGTTTACAGTGATGCCGAATTGGGATGAGATGCTGTGATGGGATGGGATGTTCATTTTGGGCGTTTAGATGGATTGGGATTTTTGAAACGAATCAAAAGAGGGAGGCCTCCATAAGAGAAAATAATATTTCTTCGTGTGGCTATGGATTAGTATCTGCTGTACTATCGAGTCGTCTCATTTGTCTCCGAGGTAGAGTAGACGGGCCGTTAAAAACCACCCATGGAATTGTGTTACGTCCGGGATAAGCTTTCTTCCGATACTCTAATTGGCCGACTCGGTCTGTTGCCCCACTTCTTATTCATCCCTCATTTGTCCATGTACATTCATTATTTCCCATGCATATATCGTCTTGTCTTAGGGGTAGGAACTCGATATATTGTCTTAAAATAGGCCATTCCCTTAATTTTGGCATTGAAGCCTCTTCAGTAGTTCTTCGGCATAATATGCTCTGGGTGATCATACACCACACGATCAGAACCTATTCGATGGCAGATAGATATATCATTGCAGAACTGCCCGATCAAATACCCATGAGAGATGGGAACCCCCCCCCTCCGGCCTAGGTAGCTTTAAGAGCAGAAAATAAGTTAAAGGGCCCCAGGTAGAAGCCCATTCTTTACAACTGTCGCTATACTTGTTCTTCATAAGGTTCTGACGAGATCTCGACACATCTCTAAAAAGGTGGATCTAAGCCGGAGCAGACACTCCCGCACTGCCTGGCAACCGCGCAGTGGGCAGCAGCACTGGAGTGATATCCAAATCAAAACCGAGGATGGAGTATCTCAACGTATTTTGTATCTGCTTCTCGTTTGCAAATTGATCGCAATTATTGTAGTAGTAGTAGGTATGTATCTGGGCCGTGGTATGTAGTGCAGCGAGTAGGTGAGTAGTAGGTGACCCTTGCCGCGCGCCGTGCCGTGCCGCTGACTGTGCATTATATTTTGGATAGTACGGAGTCGGGATCTACTTATCAGCTAGGACTAAGAATATGCCAGTGAGGAGTGGGTTTGATTAAGAGTGCTGGGATGCTGCTGTGGCTAGCAGGCTATCCTGGGTTCGCGGGTACTGTACATGCAGGGGGAGCGGGAATCACACCATCGGGGTGGGTGGTGGAATCATCAGGCTATGTTTCCTCCGGACGTTGCATATTAGGGAGGGGGTGTAGCAACTACATAAACTACTGTATGAATATTATATCGCTTGGACAATGTCTATACGGAGTACGGAGTACTGGGTGGTGAATGACGAGATTGTTCGCCTGCCAGGGCCCAGTCTTCAGCAAACCCCCCAAACCAGGATGTTGCGAGCGGAAATAGTCTAGGCCGGGCTTTATCGACGTAGGAGGAGACTACCGCCGAGACTATCGAGGATAGAGTATAGACTAGTTTAGTAGTTCCCTGAGCGAAGATACCAGAACCGAGGAACATGAAGCCCGCACGACGTCGTTGGCTGTGAGGATAATTTCCCAGGAGGCCGCCAAGCAGGGAAAAGGAAAGCCTGTCGAGTGTCGAGTGTCGAGGATGGTCCCTGCGGAGTGCCCAAGAGAGCAAAGAGCAGCATGAACCAGTTTCAACTGGAGTGGTGCACCAATCAGGCTCGAGAGGTTTCAGTGTGGCGTGTCTCCACCGGCCCCCGTCCCTGACTTTTGCGCAAGTCTTGGACTCGTGGCTCGTCCAATGAACGGCCCCGCCTGTGAGTTGCCTCATCGCTGCGGCTGCTTTTTTTTTCCAGCTTCTATTGCTGGTTCTTTGCTTCTTCCTGGGTTGATTGTTTTTTGGGAAGAGATTGAAGTTGAGAATAATTCTAGATCGCTATATTGTCTAGTATCGAACCCTTCTTATTCATCCCCCCTGAAAAAAAAGGAGACCCCAAAAATTCCCCCCAAAAAAGAAACAAAGTTCACGCCCGTGCGGCTCTCGTGGCGTTGTCCATCACAATTCGGCCCCCTATTCATGGATGGGATTATTGGAGATTAATTTCTGAATTTATTTCTCGTCCTCGCCATCTCAATCGGCCCCCTAAAACCCTCAACTACCAACCCACTTCCCCCCTCCTCCGTCACATTCTCAACCTGTCAACTCTCCCAAGGGCCTCTGCATCTCCAACCTCCCGCCCTCCCCTGGAGTCCCTTGTCTACTGTTGCCTCGCCAACTACCAACCTCCTCCGCCGACGACCCGCACCTTCTTGGCGTTGCTTGTTTCGCGAGGCTCAAAAACCAACTCCCTGTCCCCCGCCACCGGGCGTAAAAACGAAAAAAAAAAAAACCAAGATCGCATCCTCCAACACACCACAAACACAAACACAAACCATGAAACCCTCAACGCTCCTCCTAGCGGCCCTCGCGCCAGCCGCCGTCCTGGCCGATCCCCTCCCACGCGCCAACTCCAATATCGCACCCAACCCCGACTCTCTGGCCCAGCGCTCGCCCTTTGCGACGATACCGGAGCCAAACAGACACCACACGAGGGCGCCAGAGTCATTGTCAGACTCCGACGTGACGGTGACCCTGGACAAGCGCATCACCAGGCATATCCTTCAGGCTCGCAGTGAGGGCTCGCTTGGCCAGACGCCGTGGATCGGTATGGCAATTGGTCTGACGTGCACGGCGCTGGCGGCGGTGATGTTGGGTTAGCCCGTGGAAAGTAGACTGCGACTGCTTCCCGGGGGTCGTTCGATATCCTCCTTTTCTTCTTCCTCTTCTTCTTCTTCCTCTTCTTCTTCCTCTTCTTCTTCCTCTTCTTCTTCCTACACTTCTCTTCGACTTTTCAACCCTTCAATACCTTTAAACACTACTTGACACGATACGTGAAACACGCGCCCCCCGACCTCAACTTTTGAACCCGACCCTTGATCCGACCGTTTAATCGCATCTTGATCGGACACTTCTCCATGCCCCTCCTTACCTTACCACCTTTAATCCTTCGACATTCCTCTGCTGCTGTTTTTGGCGACATTCAGCGACTTCATTCTTATACCTCTTCATCTTCGTCTTCAGCTTTACACCTTTGCATCCATGGCCTGGGCTCTACCTGGTTCTTGCGAGAGCCCGGGCGTGGGGATTCTTTTCAGCACCGTTGCATTTCCCTCGTCTACTGCTGCTGCCACTACTACTTTCCACTGCATTTTCCTGTACTAGTGGTAGATGAGCTGGACGGGGGAGTATAGAGATTGCATGTTTGTACATGATACCTACCCTACATTATATGTTCTTTGGGGACTCTTTGTTTATATGACCGATTCAGGGGACTATCTATGGTTGGACCATGGACTTGATCGGACTTTATGTGCGTCTATACGAGAATTGATGGCACACTTTTTGATCGAATGATTTGCTCAAGGGAGATGTAGATATACCTGCTGATCATAAGCAAATCGACTATTCAGTCTAGCTTACAGTGTTCCCAAAAATATAAAGTACCCTATTGGTCTAGCACAACTCATCTTGTGTCCTGCAGATTTCTTTGCTTGCCAACCTCGACATTCCTGCATAAAGTACGAAGTGACTCGTATTCAGTAGATCTACTTTTCCCCTCTCAACGAGAACGAAGTATATTCCTAAGTACATACTGAACTCTTTCATGAGAAAAGTACATCCTCCAGCCCCAACCCCCCAACCTCAAACCCCCAAATGAACTATACTTAGCCCCCAACACCCTCTACGCCGCTCTTATCCCGTCCATCCCCCGCTATCCCCTCGACTCAGTGCTTTACTTTGGGTTGCCTTGCTTGGCTGAGGCTGAGTTCAGCCCCCAAATCAACGCAACGCCCGACGCTGACTTCTCCACACCTCCGCCTTTCCCCAAAGTCCACCCTCCATCACCATTTTGTCTCCATCTCCCTCTGTATTTTGTATCTGTATCTCTGTCTGCATCGATATCTGCAGCTCCACCAACGCACACATACACCACTCGAAAAGTCCCCGAAAGACAAAAGACGAATTCCGAAGCAAACCCGTCAAGCCAGGTTCAATCTGCACACACTCGATAAAAACCCGCCCCTCTATCCTCTGATACAGATCTTCGATCGAGGGTGACGTGTGAACCATATCGAGTCAAGCATGCAGCGATACCCAGAATATACGCCTGCGTCCTCGCTGGGCCGGGAACTGGGTATTACGGTTGCGTTTCTTGGGGCTTGTGTGGTGACGATGGGGGTTTATTCGATTGTTTGGAGCCGTAAGTATGAGTTTGTTTTGGTTCATGTTGTGTAACATTCGATTTGATCTTTGGGTTGTCTATTTTTCTTTTACGCTTTTATGTCAGGGGCGAGATATTAGATACTGTGTATCTGTCTGGGCTCTATTATTGTCTTGTCTATTTCTTGTTTACTATGCTATACTCTACACTACTGGATACGTCCACACCCTCACAACAAAGCTTGTCCCATCTCAACCTAACACTCTCACCACCCCACCCATCCCACTCAAACCTACAGAGCTCCTTGATATGCTAACAATCCACAGGAATCCAACTTCGCGCCCAAGCCGAAGACCTCGCCCGACGCAAAGCACTCAAGAACCGCACCGCTACACTACCGGATACCCTTGACGCGGCGAATGGCCTGCACTTTGGTAGGAATATGAATGCCGCGCTGGGTGGTGAGCGTGTGTATGAGAAGATGGTGGATCGGTATGCGCTGCCGGGGGATCGGGTGGAGTTGCCTGGGCATGGGATGGGGAGGGAGGGGGAGGGGGAGCTTTTGTAAGGCTGTGAGGGTGTGATGTATGTATGACTACTGATGATTTGATGATTTGACGATTGGAATGAAGTGAGGATGGCGGGATTGATAAAGTATATGGGTTTGGACTGGGGACTGGATCAGGACTGGCATGGGATTGGATATTGATGTATTCTGGGACTGGGTTGGGGAGTTGGGAGTGTATTCCTGTATCTACTGGCATTTTGGACATGAGCATGAACATGAACATGATTATGATTTGGTCTTGATTACAATGGTATAGTATCTATCATCATATACAGGAAAGTAGATCATCCCATCTACTTCTCTACGCTATCCAAGGTACAAAAGTATACGCTCCAAGGGTATAAAACCACCAGCAACTCATCACCCACAAACAGGCTCATCAAACCCCCTCGTCCACAACAAACTCCCCATAATAACCACCAACAACCCCAATCCCACCCCGACACTCATAACCCCATACACATACGCATGCCTCCTCGCAACTCCATTCAACTCCGCCACCCACGTACTAATCGTTGTCAAACTCCCACAAAACCCATCCATCACCCCCTGCAAAACCTGACACCCCGTCAACGCCGCCGGCACCACAGCACCCAGCCCAGACACATGCTGCAAATCATAGCATAACCCCTCCACCGCCGTCCCGAGCATATTCACCGTAAACGTTCCCAGCGGGAACGACGGGACCCGGCTATTCAGTAGCATCGAGATGTAGAATCGGCCCAGACAGCCCAGCGGCGCAAAGACCAGCGAGAATACCGCCCGTCCGCGCCATGTATCGGCGCCGTGTCGGTCCGGTGGCCAGATGGCCAGGAACACGGCGCCGAGCCAGCAGCCCCAGGCTAGGAAAACCATGACGCGATCTACCACGCGGCGCGTCAGGGCGAATGGCACCGTAGGCGTGACCCGCGCCAGTCCAAGAGCGAGATGTGCGCCGAAAATCAACGCGGACAGACTCAGCGAGATGGTAAGGAGCAACACGGCGACGAGCGCCATGAAGCTATACCCACCATTGCGCGAGGCGATCCCGGTACCAGCCGGGAGCGACGGATCCGGCAGGGCATTCGCCAGAGCGAGAAAGACATCGCGCATGAAGCTGGAGAAAGACGTAAAGCAGCCGCAGAAGCCAGTCGTCAGACCGATGTAGAGCGGGATAGTCTTTTTCACGGCCGTGTGTTTTTTCGCGTGCTGGGCGGCTTCATGGTCGTCTTTTGGTTTGGCGGGGGTGGTTGTGCCCCATTCTTGTTGGAAGAGCTTCTTGTCTTCGATTAGGAAGCCCATTACTAGACTGCCGCCGACGTTGGCCCAGAGGACGCCTGTGACGACGGGGGCGCCGGCGTAGAATGTGAGGGCTTGGAGGCCTAGGCGGGCGAGGGTGCCGAGGAGAGAGAAGAATATTAGGTATGAGACTGTGTAGAGGTGGGTTGCGCGTTTGGAGAGTGGTTTGGAGGGTTCTTTTCCTGCTGGTGCTGGTGATGGTTCTGGCGCGACGGCTTCGGGTTCGGTGGTGTACCATCTTTGTCGCCGGGAAGGGGAGGAGGAGACGGGTTGGGGGGCGATGGTCTCGGTCAAAGCTGGGTCTGCATCTTTCTCGGGGTCTGTGAGGGTTCCGGAGGGCTGTGCGGGTGTAGGTGTTGGAGTTGTTCTGGGCGCGACGGCCTCATCTTGAGAGCACGGTTGTTCTGCAGCATACCACTGGGAGCGCTGCGAGGAAATGCGCTCGACCGGCTCTGGTGCCATGGTCTCGGTCAATGGGGGGTCGGCATCTTGCTCGGAATCTGCCGGGGGCCTGGAAAGGCCTGGCTCGAGTTGACGCGCCATGCAGAAGCTTGGAGGAGGAGAGGAGCAGAGGATTGTGAGGGCGCCAGGAAGAGGACGAAAAGAAGTGGGTTCGTGGTGGAGCTGATAAGAGGGCGATAGGCAATCGTCATAGCAGGATATATCCTGGGAGCAGTACAGTACAAGTTATAGTAGACGAGCTGGGAAGACTTGGGGAATATCTAGATGATTGAAAAATATGTATCTGTTTTGAGATTTGATTAGAGGCTAATCATGACAGTCGGCCCTGGCAGCTCACATCAGGACTAGGAGAGACAGGTTGTAGAACCAAGCCGAGGCCCTCAAGGGAACAGCCCTCTACCACCACAGCTCCAGGAAGCAGTCGTAAAAACCACTTCGTACAATCCGTACAATCAACTAGCAAAAGAACCCAAGCTCCGGCAGCTAACCAGGCCCAGCGTCGCATTTCCGTCAATAGCCTTCGCAAGCGGGGGAAGATAAGAAAGCACCGCAGGCCAAAAAGGCAGATAAGAACTCCGCGCTCCTTCTCTCCGCTCCAAAGCATACCACAGTCTCTTTCCTCTTCTCCTTTCACTTCTTTCTACTTTCACTCCTCTTCCTCTCCTCATTCCACAAACCACACCCCCCCCCCCCCCCCCCCATCCTATCCTCCACAATGTCCCTCCCACCCAACGTCCACATCTCCACCCACCCCTGCCTCCTGGCCAAGCTCTCCCAGCTCCGCTCCCAGAGCACCACCCCGCGCGAGACAAGGGCGCTGGTTGAGGAGATTGCTTCCATCCTGGGCGTGGAGGCCTTTGCCAAGGGGCTGACATTGACAAAGACGGGCACTGTATGATATAACTCCCTTCACTCCCTTCGCTCTTGGCGTACAGTATATATACTGTTATGTCTGTGTCTGACATGGCCCAAATCCACCCGCAGGACCACACCCCGCTCGGCGCCCAGTATGAAACCTCCACCATCGAACCGGCAGATTTGGCTCTCGTGCCGATTCTGCGGTCGGGATTGGGTATGATTGATGGTATGATATGATATATCCTTCTTTGTTGCTTGCCATGCTATCACGGAAATACTGTACCGTTCCTCTTACAATCTACACATCCACTATGTAACTTGTTATGACATCCAACATCCACTTTCCCCGCTCATCTCCACTCGATCCAAACACCCAACCACCCACACACAACACACTCGACACTGAACACTTGCTACTTACTTGATACTCACTTGATACTGTACTCACCACTCACCCCTTCCCCCAGCTATAAATGCCCTCCTCCCCACCGCAGTCCCAATCTACCACCTCGGCCTCTTCCGCGAACCCGTCGGCCTCCAGCCAGTCGAATACTACAACAACCTTCCCTTCCACAAATCCGCACTCTCGCCCTCCAGCCCAGCCTCCACAAATCCCACCGCCAACACCGCAGCCGCCACCCTCGCCGTCCTGCTAGACCCCATCATCGCGACGGGCGCCACCGCCGACGCCGCGATCCAGACGCTTCGCGATTGGGGCGTGCAGAGGGTGATCATGCTTAGTGTATTGGGGAGTGTGGAGGGGGTGAGGCGGGTGGCGGCGAGTTGGGAGGGGGTGCAGGTTTGGGTTGGGGCGGTGGATGAGAAGGTTAATGATAAGGGGATGATTGTGCCTGGGGTTGGGGATATTGGGGATCGGTTGTTTGTGGCGCTTGGGAAGTAGATGTGTGGTTGGTTAGCTGGGAGACCAGGAAATGTGGTAGAGAAGGCAGAAGTGGGATATTTCGGATTTGGACTTGATCAAGTATTATTGAGCTATAGCTACTACTACGAAAAGAGTTGAATGAGTTAGACTACGGTTTCAGGCCAGTAGAAAAGATTGTCCCCGCCAAATTGTTGTATTCATCGATTACGTATAGTACATGGAATAAGTAAGAAGAAATGAAAAAGAAAAGCCATCAAATAAACATGTGCAGGCGAAACCAAATGCTGAACCAAGATGCAGAGCGGAGTCCAAAGAAGATAAAACGGCAAAACCAGATTGCAAGCAGATCGCAAGGCGGGGAGGGGGGGCAAGGACGGTATCGCATTATCAAATCACTCAAGTCAAATCAAGGCAGATGCAATCAAACGAATACAAGCGGTCGTCGAGTCGACAAGCACAAAGCCTGCTCCCCCTTTGACTCCAATGTCGAAGCCCAAGGGGGAAAGACAGCGACGCGCAAGAAAAACAACAAGTCAAACGCAAAAACTCGCACAGAAAAAAAAAATATCCAAAAGGTATCAAGAGATCAAAAAAAAAGCTGGCAGATGGACTGACTGGGGGCACAATTAGGGGCTAGAGGTTGTCGCAAAGCACAAGGCAGTCAAAGATGATAATAAAACTCCATCGAGTGCGAGACGAACACACAGGTCCAGCCAGGTGTCGAAGAGGCAGAGCCAAAACAGCGCAAAAATGAACACCACACCGGACTCCCTGGTGAAAACAAGGGAGAGACGAAAAAGAGAAAATCAAACGAGAAGATGCAACCCAGAAATCAAAAAGCAGAAAAAGTCAGGAATCACCACACGGGCGTCGCGACGGCGGTATCTCCCAAAGCCAAAGCCCAAAACACCCCGCCTGGCCCACTGGCGTTTATCCATTCCTGAGTTTCCCATGTGTCCCAATGAAAGCGTCCAGATAATGAGAGTAAGAAATAAAAGCCCGAAAAGACTGTTTGGTAAAAAAGGAAAAAAAAGGGGTCGAAAATAATGACCAAGTCAAAGAGAGTGGAGAAGTATTTAATAAGCGGTGCCGACACTGGCAAGCGACTTGGTAGACACCGCGTGAATCGGCTGGTCCTTTGCGACGCGCAAAGAATCCTCGTAGCCGACTAGGGCCTGAGAGTGCAGCTTGAATGACTCGCCCATCAACTTGGTAATTCTGTTGGTAAAAAGGATCAGCATCTAGATCAAATATCGAAATCAAAAGGCAGATATATAGGACTTACCCCCAAACAACCACGCCGTCAAGGATGTTACCCCAAACGCGGGCGACGGTGGAGCTGAGTTTACCAAAGGCATCGATGGCATCATCATCAAAGAGATTCCGCACCTTGTTATAGATGGCCATTTCGGCCTCAGTCGCCGGCTCGTCGTCATGTTCCAGGCGGTAGAGCCAGAGACTCAGGATGACCATCAGATCCAGGCCGCAGAGTGGGTGCTCAACACTCCAGTTGGTGGCGGAGGTCTTGGCAACCCAGTTAATGCCCTGAATAGCAGCGATCTCGATGCACTCGAAGCATTGCTGAACAACCTTGTTCATCTCCTGAGAGCGTTTGACCTTCTCACGAGCGACAGTCATAGCAGCCGCCACCTCGTAGGAAGAGTGGTAACGCATGGCCTCCTGAATGGACTTGAGGTCGACTTCAAGGCGGGCACAAGTGTTGCGGTAAACCGCCATCGAGTTGAAGATCAGAGGGTGGCCCTTCTGAGGAGTGCTGAGCGGGACCACAATAGTCTCGGGCTCGCAAACCTCCAGGGAGCTTTCCCAGGTCTCCAGAGCCAAGCGAAGCTTGTACTCGGTGACCACATCCTGCAGAGCCTCGAAGCTACGCTTGTGATTCCACACCTGGAGGAACAGAGCATTGATCAAGACGCGGGTAGCAAAGGCACTGTAGCGAGTCTGCTCGCCCTGGAACAGGAAGTCGTGGGCCTCACGGACGGTCATCGAACTGGCGGCGGCGATGCTGCGGCGCCAGGTCTCATCGTCGGCGGCACCCAAGTTCCAGAGGGACTCAGACGAAGGCAGCTCCAGGTTGTCAAATTCATCGAAGCTCATCGCAGGTGTGTGGTTGAACGTCAGAGTGAGCATGCCAAAGAAGATGTACACGGCAAAGTAGGTACGGCGGCAGGACTCGTCCTCGATCCATTCTTCGCGCGAGGGCTGAGCGCCCTGGCGAGCCTCGGTGCGCAGCTTCAGCTGGTACCGGTTGCCAGCGACCATGTTGGCCAAGAGACTCTTGATCGAGCAAGTCCACTCGAGACCCTTGGGGTCACCACTCCAGCTCTCAAAGACCATGTTGAGCAGAGTGCTCTGCATCAGCCACAGGGGGCACTTGCGCGAATCAAAGTTCTCCTTGTGCTGCAGGAACTGGTTAACCAGAACCTTGGAGCCGACGTGGAGCATGAAAGCATGGTCCCGCTCAAAGGTATACAGAGCGCCGATGGAGAGAACGGCAAGCAGCAGCGGGGTTGGGGCCGAAGTAGGCTTGAAAGACTGCTGGTGGAGGAACGGCAGATGAGGGTGGTACAGGTTGAAGTAAGTGGACAGGTACCGGTTCAGAGCGGCCGTGGCCGGGATCTGGAAGTTATCAGGCAGGGCACCCAGGGTGTCCGCACTCTGCACATGCTCCACAACCAAGCTGCGCTCCATCTCGTCAGCGATTTGAGGGGCCTTGGGGAGGGTCAAAGCTTGGCTCGGTCCCGGGGATCGGCGATAGTTCACGGGGCTGACAGGGCCTGTCATCGAGGGATACGGGGACAGGGCATTCGGGGTAGAGTTGCCAGACATGGGCAGCGAGTGGGACAAGAGAACATCTCCAACGGGGCCGTGACGGTCGATCAAAGTGGGCATGGAACCGGGTTCCGCGGGGGAGATGAGGGTATCCCAAGGCATCTGGGGCAGAGTAGCGTTGCCCGACAGGTAAGGATCGAAAGAACCACGTCCGGGTGAAAGGGAATCGGAGCGCTCGGAAACTTGGCCGGTCACCGCTGCAGCAGCCTTATGTTGGAAATCTGTCATCAACATGGCTGCAGTTTCAAGGTCGACCATACCATCACTGCTTGCCTCGATCTGTTCCAGCGTCGCCGGGTCGATCGTGATTGAGGGCTTGGACGGGCCCGCCGAGGAGGGCTTCTGCACGCCTCCATTTCCACCGCGTCTCCGACCTTCCGCAACCAAGGGGATGCCGCCATCTTTGGCGTGCACAGTACGGTCATGGCGCAAGAGAAGGTCGCGGCGCACAAAGGTACTCCGACATTTCAAACACTTGAAGGGCCGCTCTTTCGTGTCTGTAATCAGATTGGATTAGTATGGATTCGGTGAGATCTTGTTTCCTCCCACTCTTTTCCAACCATGTATCAAGCAGAACGATGGTGGGCAGAAGGGGGGGGAGGGAGAGGGGCAGGAAAACCACTTACGGGACCGTTCATGTCTGCTGCGATGTTCACTACGGCTGAAAGCGCGATTGCAAAATTGGCACTTGTACTTCTTCTCTGGGGCCGAAGTCTTCTTGGCCGGCGAGTTGCTGGCCGTCCCGGGAGCTGAGGGAGCCATGTGTAGAGTTGATGCTCGGGCCGAGTTCGTCTCAAGCGAGGATCGAAGTCAACGGCGATGGTATCGTTCCCTGAGTGAGCTCGCACCGGTTCTGTAGGCGTGTCGACGACAGGAGTTCGTTGGGGAGTCTGATCATTCCTTGTAGTGGGGGATCTGATGGGTGAATCACGATCGAGAGGGGTTGTGTGTATGTGTGTGGCTTTGGGTTTAGGATGGGTTTGTGGGCGCGAGTTGCGAAAGTGGGAGTCCAGCCACAGGCGGACAGCGGGGGGAGGAGGGGGGAGGAGGGATGAATAAGTACAATATCAAGAAGAGAATAAAAAAGGCTCCGAAAAGAAAGAGGCGAGCGTTAAAGCACCGCTTTGAGGAGGGGTTGAGGAGGAGTGTTGAAGGTGGGAGGGGAGGGGAAGAGGAAGAGGAGGGGAAGAAAGTGGATGAGGAGAAAAGAGGAATTCGGGAATTCTGGGAAATGGGTTTTTGGGGGGGGGGAGGGAGGGGGGGGGAAGAGAGGGCTGGGCTTCAAGGAGGGGAGAGAGGTACCAAACTGGATGTACATCGTAGAGGGATGGGCCGTGGGCCCAAGCATCGCTTACAGAGGGGCGAAAAGCGGGACTGCCTTAATTTTACGTGACTTGGGCCAACTGCCCGCGATTGGAGGGGCCCAAGGCAGGGACACACTGGGAACTGCCCAGGGAAACCCTCCCTGGCAAGAATCGGGACTTCCCTCTCTCCCCCCCCGCCCCAGCCCCCCTCGACACGATCACCCGCCGGCCACGCACTTTTCCTTCCTCTCACCACGGCCTATCCTTTTCCTTCGCGTCTTTTCGCGACTTCGCCGTATCTAGTTAGTGCCCCCTTTTTACCATACAGAAATCGACTCGTAATAATTCCCAAAGGTAAATCACTCGGCCCTAGGCTCGAATAATATTTAGTTTCGCGACAAGAGATTCGACCCGATCGAAAGAAAAAAAAAACCAGGAGCCCACATGGCTTCCTCCGGACTTCCTATCCACTACAACGTCGGGACCGCCGGGCGTTGGTTTCTCGAGCGGGTCTCGGTTTGGGATGAATTGATGAGATAGATAATACAGGGGGATAGACATAAGTACAGACTCAATGGAGTATGGAATTAGTATCCAATATAGAGTATACATCTCATAGATAGAATATCTGTTATTATCTATCAGAGGGGCAAAAAGAAACCAGTGGGATATCTTCCCCCACCAGAAATGACAGAGCATAAACTGCTTTGTCCTGGCAAGAGACAGGTATACAATCAAACAAGTTCTGGAAAATCAAATCCTACACACCCGAAAGAAAAAGCAATAATATCATCCAGGAGATCAAAGGAAAAAAAAAAAAAGGACACACAACTCCTATATTTCGTGAATCGGATGTCAGAAACGGAAAACGTGAACGAGAGAGACCAAAAAAAAAAAAGAAATGACAAAAAAAGGGAGAAAATAACTGATATCTGCTGTGAGGGTAACGAGTGGGCCAATAGCCCCTCGCTCAATCGCAGGGCTCGATCTCACGCTCTTCAGGTCCTTTGTTTATCGACGATAGAAATGTGTGGCTGGCATGTGAGGCGATTTAGTGTCTTTGATCGTGGCACTCTGCGGACGAGTCGGTACTCCGAGGGGTTACTATGGAGTACTAAGACGGACTACGAAGAGTAACTTACTCCACACCGTGCTATCGTTATGACTATTGGCGATAGCCTCATTATCCATGAGTGATGGAGAGTTCCGGTTATGTGGCCCTGGAACAGTACTATCTTATGCTTGATCGCAGACTACCCCGCCGTTATCATGTCATCATGCCATTTCCTTCCTATCGTGGCCCTGTTTCGGTCGCAACCATGGTTCACACCCTCCACTACCCCTCTCGCTCTCGCTCTCTCTCTGGCATAACCCCTCCTCTCCGATCGGCACCGTTTGGCTCGGGACCATCTTGCACGTCACATTTTATACATCCTCCTGGGACTTCAATAACTACTATCATATTACACATAGTCTGGCAAAAACAAAGCATGGCGGGCCTTGCAGTCGCATTCGTGACAGGCCGAGTTGGACGCAAATTGGGAATGAGACAAGGGGGAGGAACAAGGAAAGGGAGCAGCAATTTGCCAGGTTTTCCCAGGTATTTCTGATAGACCAGTCCCGGTAGAGCAACCAAGAAAGCCGGTCTTAGTCTGAGTCTTGTGAGGTCAGTTCTGTTAGTCACTCTGTAACTTTTTGGTCTCCCCCTACATCTTGTATGTCGACTAGTCCGTTTCCTTGGTACCATCAGGTAAGGTCTCGATCGGGTCGGCCGTAAATCCTGTTCCCCGCCGCCGCTAGTTGCATGTGGTGGTGGGCGGGATCGCCCACCAGTTACCACCACCACATGCACCGCCATTCCCTTTCTACTCCCGTCTCATCCTGACAGCAGTAGTAGAAAGCCTTCTTTGTTATCAGCCGTCCGACTGTGACCAAAATTGGATCAGGAATTTGGAGAGACCCGAATTCAGGGATGGGCCGGACAAGTCAGCGCCACAGACTGCCGTCGTCTCAGCTGGAAAGTGGTGGCCCGTTGTGACTCCGTGTCTCCCCCTGATTGACAGATCGGTCACCATGTCTCGCCCTGGGGGACTGGATTATTGGGGTACTCCGGTTTGGTACTTTTGACACAGCCAGTCTCGACGGCTCTTAAAGAGTCTTGTCGTGGCCCCGCTATGTGGCGGTTCGACTGTGCCACGTCCTTGGCTTGGATGATGGGTAGGGTCAGCTAACAAGTTACGTCCTCAATGTATAACTCCTGTTATTCAGACATTGTATCCTATTTCTTGGTCACGCGGTCTGAGCCTACAACTCCTACGTTGTATGACTTGTCCTATATGCAGAAGATCGTATAGCCATCGTCGAGTGGGCTGATGGTGTAGTGTTCTGTAGTTATCGTGTACGCTGCCTGTCCAGGGTTCATGTCCGTGTTACGTGCCCCTCAAGACTCAGACATCAGCTGCTGGGCTGCAGGATGATCTGCACGCAAGATGCGAATCGGACACTCGTCGCGGAAATAACATCATCTGATAGAGACTGGTCTTGCTCTTTCTGGTCATTGTCCGCCTAGAGAGGTACCTCAACACCTATCATTTTTGATTTCAGTTTTATGATCTATGGAGTCCGATTTTCTAAACCAAGGAATCTCAACCTATCACTTCTTCATCCTCCATTGACAGTAAAAGCATCCAGTATCAACTCTCCATTTTTCGTCCCGGCAAACAAGTGATATGGTGCCCCGTCGGGGTCCACTCAACATCACGACTTGACCCAAATCATCCGCGTGAGTTGGCACGTACACCGCAAAGAAGAAGTCCATACGCGACCCGTAGGATTCGCGAATTCCCAGCGTGGGGCCCTGCATCATTGGAGTCTGACGATCCGCAGACGCGGAGGGCCGCGACGCGGTTACTTGGGAAACGCGTGTGGCGAAACCCCTCCACTACTGTACGGAGTAGTACTTCCTTGAGAGTGGGGGTGCGAGAAGAGAAGAGAAGAGAACAGAGAATGATGATTGGTCGCCCCAGCACGGCACAGAAATGGATGATCGGTGGTCATCGAAATCGCATTTTTTGTCATCGACAGGATGCACGAAAGAGAAAAGAGCGGATGGTATTTCGTACCTACCATCGACCAGATTGGCTTTTTTTGGCTTTTCAGATACCTCCCCCTGTCTCCATGCAATGACCTATAACCTTTGAATTCTTCAGCAGAAGTACTGTACAATGCACCCCTCCCTGGGCGGAGGACTCCTCCGTCATTGAGAGCGCCCTTGTCAGCAACATACCAGTTCCCCGACCCTCCCACGGACAACCCGGATGATCATCAACGCCTCAGCAAAGCCTTGGTGCGTAGGATGCGGTGAACCGGGGAGCAGTTGCATCTCGCCAGGATGCCCTAACTAGTCATCAATCTGCTGGGGAGATGACGGAGTTGATTAGGGTCCCAGGACTTTCTGCAAGGAGACCTGATTCGACCGGGCGGAGGACCTTGGGGATCTCTTGGGACTTGGGACCTTTGGAGGCTCCAGGATTATTTCGATCCACTTTCCGATGCAGCGGACCGACCCCGTTTCCAACGTTCTCGACCCAAAGAAGGAACACACTACTTTTCCATCCTCTGCAGTCAGTAATAATTCCTAGTTAAAAGCGGTGACTTGACCGCCCTAACAAAAGTCCCAAAGTACCAAAAAAAACATACCGCCACTCGTCCCTCTGTTCTTTTTGTTGTCCGAACCTTGCGTCCCACAGGTTACGATGTTGACCAGTTGATCCTCGATGAGCCATGATCCACAACCCACCATTCCCAATCCCTTCAAACAAGGGCTCTTCTTCAATAGTACCTCATTCCACCCACCAAGGCTCAAAAGGATGCATCCCGTGTCCATCATTCAAGGTCTTACTGTACGGAGGAAACGGGTCTATCCACCATCCTGGATCGGCGAAAGGGATCGCAGGAACGAACTCAGCAACCACTCACCTTGCTCCGGACTACTAACTCCGTAACTGGGCGACTGTAAGTTAGTTATCGACCCAGTTATGAATCAGCCTACTCGCCAGTTCCCTCACCCAAATTTCAAAAAGAACTCCACCCCGAAACCCACCAGCCCAGTTCCTGGAATTTCGGGAGGTGCTTCCCCGGCGCGGGCCCCTGAACTAATGTCCACCAGTCTGCCGGGCTGGCCTTGGCTGGGATCCAGTCCAGCGTGTCTATCGTCCCGACAACTCCCTCGCGCGGGCTAGTTACAGGGCTAGCCTGCCAGGGAGGGTGGATGGATGACCCCCGTTGGACTCTGCCAAGGTAGCACGCCAGGACGGTCTGGAATTCCATCTTGACGGGCTGGACGGATGTCGGTGAGGGACTGATCATTATCATCGACCTACAGAATGAAAGAGTGGGCGAGTTAACTTCTCCCGTCGCCCATTCGAGGCTACAGATCGGTCCCTCGCAGGGATGCGAATCATGCGATGCTGCCCATCACCAGCTTCACCGCCACGACACATGGCACGCCAGGATAGATGCAGTGCGCGACGATCCACCACTCTTGCCGTGGTGGCTTGTCGTGACATGCCTATGTCGTCTCTCGTGGGATATCAGGTAGTGGGGGACGGGTTTTGAATTTTGAAGATTTTCGCCATTGCCAGGCCCCATTGTGCGCGCTATCGCGTTTTCACTTTCGCTAAAGATTGGGGCTGTCTGGAGCAGAGACTGGCTTGAAACTTCGTCACTGTCGGTTCAACATGACCCCTGGTGAAGTCGGAGATAGCCATATAGAAAGGGCAATTGTCGAGGGCTTCGAATCCGCTCAATCAGCGGCACCCTCCGTGTCCAAGGCAGTCTATGGAGGAGGGGAGATAACGGAGTCCGTGATCCTTCCATGCTAGCAGGTGAGTTTTGCGAACGGGACTTTGTCTGTGCCGATCCGCGACGAACGGTCTGGACTTTCACATTGGTCGCACTTTCAAAACGACAACTGGATCTGGGGCCTAGGGCCCCATTGCACACAGATGGTTTCTGTAGATTCGTGGGCTTTATATTTCAACAGTACAATATAGGTATTGATATATATTCAATCTTGACGATCGATTATTTCCTTGCTATGATTGTAGCCCCGTTTAGTGGTGCGATCCTTGGATCGTGGCGGAATGGGCCATCCGGGGAAAGGGGCGGTCCATGGTTCCTTCCCGTGATATTTTCCTCGGTTCGCGCCGCTGCTACCCTTTGCATATTTGAATCACTGAACATACCTTAGAAAAGGTCTTTACCACTGTGTACTTGGATACTCTGATGGTTTGGTAATGGGAGTCCAGACAAAATACCCGACCTCGATTCCTTGTTCTACAGTACATTGCCAGGAATACCAGCCAGTCGCCGACCCATGCGGGTTCGTCCATCGAAGCCCCGAGACATGCCGTCAACGTATAAATGTTTGTATTCAGTAAACGTGCTTTCCGTGGCATTTACTGTGGCAGACAGACTTTTTTGAATCTGTAACTCTGCCCTGGTCCCGGGAGATTGTCAGGGACGGGGAGGGCCGATGCAGGGGGGGGGGGTTCTGCTTACCAAGAGGCACATGCACAGTCATTGCGCCGTATGGCTGATGATTGAATCAGTTACTTCACTGATGGACGGAACATCTTCAATCAATAATCGAATGACTGTCCCAGTGTGCAAAGAGGGTTCCATATTCATGAACGCCCCGCGCCGGGGATGTCGTTCCGTCGAATTTTCTCGAAAAGGTGGAACACCCCCTTAGTTCGTTACTTCATCGATGGCTGGACGAGTTCTCCATAAGCTAGCAAGTTAGCTGCTGGTTGGTTCGATAATATTTAGTTGATTGTTAGTCTGTTTCGAGAAGAGATATTGAAAGTCTGAGACCAAGAGGAGGGGCGGCTTTCGTCAACGGAAAACCCGGGAATCTTTCTTCCTCCGTAAGGTTCAATGTCTGACACCCGTCGTCGAGGGCAACTAGGCCACGCACACGTAGTCAAATGGTTTGCCGTGTTAGATAGCTGGTGGGGAGGGCTATGGTGGGGGGCGTTAGAACGAAGAGAAGGCAGAGAAGGGGGATGGATCATGGGTGGGTGGAGATCGCTCCATTCGTATCGAACCTTTGGGCTGGCTAGACCACGTTCATTGACTACTTCATACACGATGTGCTCGATACAGGGTATTATTACTGGGGGTTGAGGATTGTCACTCGGTGTTTTTCCCTTGTTGTGCAATAATTAATCATCCCACGTTGAGAACAAGAAACAGCGACCAACTCGTGAAAAAAAAAGGGGCTGGATGATGATCAGGATGAGGAACCGAGGTGCTGGATACGAGGCCCACAAGACACCGCTGACTTTGTTCATTGGTGCATTGGGTCCAGCACCAAGGGGCAGGAATCGTCTCCGCTGGGATTTCCATTCCGGTTGGTTCCTGCGTCCCCAAATGCAAGGAACAGGAATCATCAGCATCAGCACTTACAGTGGCAAATTTTGAGCTCGGCGATAATTTGCCGTGTCTGGATCATCCGAGATTTGTTCCAACTTCCAAGTACGGAGTGTAGAGATGCCTATGAAGTATCTGTTCGTGGAGTAAGGATGTAAAGAGAGTACGGAGGACTCTTGCCGTGGTGGTGAGATCCAGACGGTTCGGCCGGATGTTGATGGATAGATTGTGATTACAGGAGTCTCTCTATCGAGTGGACTCTTACACAAACACAGAGAAAGTTTCTTCAAGGTGAAATTCCCTGATATAGTGAGTGTTTAGAGTACTGCATACAATTTCCAAACTCGACCAAGTCAACTCCGCTGTCCATATTGTTCCGGGGGCGAGAGTATTTTCGGTCCTGTCGATTTCAATCGTTGGTTGATAGGTTATTACTAGGTTCTGGATCGAACGTAAGGATAGTTGTCGGTTCCATCCATTCCAATTGAATAGTGCTTTCGTCAATATTTGGTTCGTTTAACGGTGTGGATATATATGGCAGCTGTGAACTCCACGGATATACAACACCCACAACATGGTTCCATGGATCAAGACATGTCATGGGGTATTCATCCTCGCAGTCTGTCTGCTTGTTTTCTTCTAAATGTATATATAATCAATAGCTCCCATACACCCTCACCGTTCCTCGGGTCGGCTGTGACTACTCCGTACACCCGTGGGAGTCGATCGCGATGCCGAGGAAGATGGCAATCCATATGCACTCGTTCCTGACTCACAAAGTAAAATGTCGCACGACAACTTTAACCGACAAACCAGTGATTCTCCTTCGGATCACGAATACTAAATACTGAATCATGATCGACAGATATTGCTAGACTATCGAACGCATCTGACGTACTAACGGTCCAAATATTCAGAACCTGAGCCTCAACTTTGAGCATCCACCACAAGTCCACAATAAGGCAACTTCATTCGGGCCTGGAACGAACACCTTCAGGAACCATGGTTCCGCAGGAACCATAAAGCAAGGCAAATATCGCATTTTGCGGGGTTTGAGTTCATCGGCATCGAAATTTATCGACTTTGGCGCATTCACATGTCTCCCAGCGGATGTCGGTCCCAACCCCGCAGCCGGAGTGAGGCGATCAACTCTGATCTACAGGCACCATCGCTGTCCGTGACAGAACAATAGCTGTGTTTTTGATACTAGCCCCGTCTTGCGAGGCTCGAATGTTTGTTTTCGTACTGAGATAGAATACACACCCTGTTATTGTTGTGTACTTCTCCGCGGACTGGGCAATTATCTACTACCTTCCCTCAGTACTGCGCAGCTAGTCATTTATTTCCCCACGAGGGCAAACGGCCCGCTGCGCGGTTGGGGAGTGTTTCCCTTCTGTCGGGCTCGCGGTGCGGCCAGTCGGTACCAGTCTGTAGCCAACGGCTTTGCATATAGTGGAAGAGGGACCAAGAGGTGGATAGTTAGTTGTCTTACAGTTGGTTTATTCAGAACGAATGCCGACTGGGCCTGACAAGACTTGTGAAGTTAATGGCCCAACCTCCTCCGCGTAGGGGGTACCTGAGACGAGGGATTTATGTGTTGGAGACTAGTCAAAGCATGTCAGGATTTGGGTTACAAGGCGCATCGTTGATGAAAGATATCAAATCAGGGTTATGTATTGCTCCCGAGTAAACTCAATTCAAGAACGTCGTCGTCTGATTGTATAGTGCTTGTCTGGCCCGAAGGTAACAACATGCTTACTCCATGCCGACATCCCTGCAGTTTTCTTACCGTGACAGGACTTGTAATGCATTGTGTTACATACAAATGAATCCCAATCTGTTCGAAAGCGCGTCATCTTGCACTAATAATGATAATTTTCAATTCGATAGTTGTTCTTTCACCTGCCACCTGGAGACATAGCTTCTCAAAGCACTGGCTGGAGATAATGACCGTGCTCGCTGCGTCATAGGGAACGAATGACTCGAACCATGGCCTGATTTTTCCGTCGCATCACCACCACCATCATCATCATCATCATCATTCATATCGCAGACCAGGATGTGAAGCACGAGCCCCCCGTCTCCTGAATACGGCATATAATCCGGCACCCAAAGATAGCCGATGTTCTCCGAGCTCCAGACAGAAAAATGCCTCTCTCCAGATCCTGTTCGGCAGCGCAAAGGCAAAAACGCCAACTCAATTTCTCCAGGATGCCACGAGGACGAGTAGGTTTCCTCGTCAGCCACCAGAAAACGGGGGAACGTCAGCACGATCTCAAACGCGACTCGACCCGGAGCCTCGGGGTTGAGCGGACGCTATGCAAGCCACATGGGAATTTAATCACTGGTT